CTCGCGATGGCATGAGCTATCAATTTGCGACCGGAACATGGTGTGTGTGGCTTGAGTCTTGAATCGTAACACATGAGGAGCCCAGATTGGGCTGGCTAGGGTAAACTCAATGAATAAGGGCTAGGTAAGACGCATCTTCAAAAATCATCCGTGCTCGACAACCATTTTCGACTTCCCTGTCCCTCCTGCTCCCGCGTTACTCGGTGCTCTCTGGGGACTGTTGACGCCGCTGCCCAAGCCTCCATTTGTGTAGACGCCTTCAAACTCACCTCGCAGGTTATCCACGAGCTTCTGGACGCCGTCAATTTCCGTACTTAGATCCTCTACGTTGCCAGCTAGCGCGGCGACCTCGTCGAACTTTCTCCGCCGGTTTGCGTCGGCGATCATTTCCTGTACCATGAATTTCTGCTCTTCGAGCACGATGAGTCGTTCGCGGAGAGCTTTCTCTTCCGCTTCGAGTTCAGAAACACGAGATGAGGCAAATGAAGCAACGGAGAGATTGGAGGAGCTGTCATGCCGCATATGTTGATTGTTGAGAACAGACAGAGTTGAGCGTGGATTGTTGGGATCTGTCTTCGATGATGAATTGCCATGTGGTGTGGCATGCTTGAGGACCTTTGGTAAGGACTTGAGGGGTAGCATGTGCAAGTGAAGGAATTGACTGGCGTTTTGGTGGATAGCTTTTTGTAATTTGAGCTGAGTGGGTGAAGTACTCGGCATGTCACGGATGCGCCGAGCTGCAGTGTCAAATTGAGTAAAGGACTCCATCAATCGTTTTCGAGTCCGAGACGCATCAGCAATTTGGGACGATGATGGTGGTTGATCTGGATTTTGTAGTGCTTGAAGTAGTTTCTGAAACTTGGGCAACAAGAGCCGGATGCCGCGTTCAAATTGAACAAGATTGTTGTAGGCGCGAGTAAATGGGGCAATAGTTTGGGAGGAAAGTGACTGCTGGAAGTCTCGATGGGAGAAGATGGTGTGATTGCACTCTTTGCAAAGCCGAACATCCAATGCGACGGTGTTGTCAGGGGACGGTTTTTCTGTTACAGATTGGCGTTTGTTAGCTGTCATTGCATCAGTAAGGCTGGAGGAAGGAGAAGAAAGGTCAGGGAGAACATACTGGTGGCAACATTGAGACCCAGGACAATAGAGCAGGCTGTCGTTGGATCTCCACAAACCACTTTACCACATGTCCTGCAATGATGTCGACGGAAGGTGTATTGAGTAAAATCTTGTTGACAATATGGACATCGGGCAACATCGGCATCATTCTGCCAAGTAACAATGCTTTGTTCGAGGGCTTTTCGCGGATCATTTTGACCCCATGATAAAGACCACCTTTTATTTGTGGTCTGTTGAGGGATTTCCTCGGGAGGATTGGCAAGTAATTGCGTCAGTCTGGAGAGCCTCTTTTCAAGTCTTGATACCTCCATTTGTCTCTGTCCAGATTTGGATTGTCGCATGGACCCAAAGGTATCTGTTCTATCCGTCTCCAGTCCATGTCTGTCCGAATACCCCTCACGGCTTTTATAGCATGTCTCGCAGACCCGATACCACAAGCCTCGGACGGGCTCGTGTTGTGCTGCTCTTGACAGTTTCATCTGATACATGGTGTGTTCGTCACAAAAGAGTTTTCCACAATTTCGGCAATTAACAATTCCTACGCTAGCACCTAGCCTTTTCTCGCAGGTGGGATCCGAACAGGCATCGAATCCTGTCCTTTTCTGCCAATGCTGCTTCGTAATTATATCGTCTGGGTCGATGACCGCTGGGGCGGGTTTTGGCGGCGGAGGCGGAGGAGTAGCGGTTCTAGACTCGTGCGTCTCTCGTGTAATTGAATTGTTCCTTGGGGTAGGAGTACTGCTTCGTACCATATCATGGTTCGATTCAAAGACATCCAGGCCTTTGAATTTTTGATTCAGGACAGCTAACGGTTGGAACTTCTTGGCTTTGACCATTTGTTGTTTGAACCAATCCTTGACCTCATCCTGTTGGTCCTCCTCTATCTCTTTGTGTGCATCATCTAGATGTCTGTTCAGTTGTAATAAGGTGACCATTTCCTCATTGCATATTGGGCAGACCATACGGTCTCCTGCGGCAGCCGCAGCTGCAGCCAGGGACAGATCAGGACCTCCATGATCTAGTGATACTCGAGCGGCGATGTCTTGAGGGTCGGATGATGGCGGAGTGGAGCTACCGCTGCCAGTGGTATTCAAGGATAATGTTGAAGCAGAAGGGGACAAGACGTGAGCAGGCAAAGGTGAGGATGACTTCGGAGGAGGTGGTGGAGGACCAAGTGTTCTACCGCTACCTAAGACTCTTCCACCTCCAATGGTGCGCCCTGACATTGCGCAGCAATGCGGCTTTCCATGAAGCCAGGGAAATGGTTAAAAACAAGTACGTCTTACGAAAAGTATCGTGGCAGCATGGTTGTCCAAAGGACGGACGTGGATGGAGTCAGGGAGTGGAGGGGGTGACGCTGGAGGCTTGACGGCACCCAGACGGGAGTCGGAGAATTACTTAGTCATCGGGATGTTGTGTTATCACGTGATATAGAATTCTCATGCTGTACGAGTAGCTCTTGACGAGGATGTGCCATTTGCTCGTCTTAGCTGGACACCCACCAAAACATTTATGTGTTGCCTATCGATCTAGGTACCAGCTATTCCAGACTTCATGGCCGGGGGAAATCTTGTATATCTTCACCAGCCAGACTGGCCCCATTCCTATTTATCGTACCAGCTATGGCGCCAGACTATGCTCGCACTGTGAACTTCAACGCCGCGATCCCAACACCTATCATGCCGACCATGTTCCATTGGCGTGCCATACTGCAGGGCCCGTGGTATCACCCATCGTTAATCCGCGATACTTGTCCTCCGTAATGGCTCCAAAGCGGAAGTAGAGTGGTAGGCCCAGATCCTCACGCCGCCAGACAAAGGAATGGCCACCGGGGGGGTTAAAGTCTTGAAATCTGAGGACATCATTCACTAGGATATTGATGCCATTGCAACTATTCGGTAGACCGGACCACTCGAAACTGATATGGGTGCCGTTGATGATAGGTGATATCATATTCAGCAGTAGCGACTCGACGGACTTATCAGAAATGGGCCCTTGAACCTCAGCTAGGTTATCAAAGCCCCATCGGGCAATGCCATTGGTGGAAATGCCTAGGAGCAGACCTTCATAGAAGGAAGCGTACGGGCCGCACGTGGAAGCTCCTGGTAAGAGTAGTAAGGGCCATAGATAGTGATGGATGTGTAGCCGAAGACCAAGAAAGCCGAAGATTCGATTGGTGATATAAAGACCAACGATAAGCAGTCCATAGAGCGTAAGGCATCGCGTGAGTTGCTGTTCGCGGTGCAGCTTCCTAATCCGACAAATGATAAAGTACAGGGTAGCAGTGAGGAAGATAAGTAGGATCTTTTGAGCTTTAGGTCCCCATCCATCCTGAAACAATTGCCCAAAGAAATTGCATAATGCACCGCTCCAGAGTCCCGTAAGCCACGATGTCCAGGAGAGCCTGGTCTGCCTTCTTCCTTGGTGAGCATCTTGTATGCATACCAAATACACCGTCGTCGCAAGCGCGACGGCCGGCAGGATCCTTCCAGAAGCGATACAAAATATATCTTTGAAGCCTGAAATGGCGGGTTCATCAGGTGGATCCGAGATCAGAGCTACATGTAGAAACACGATGGTGAGGGCAACGCTGAAACATCCTGTCGATGACTTTTCGAAGAGCGGAAGTAGAATCGTGGTGGCAATCGACATACTCAGCAGTATCCAACGAGAATCGCGGTAGCTGCAGTCAGACGGTCGTAGGGAAAATGAAAGTGGGAAACTTGAGTCAAAAGAGACGCTTGTGATGCCATTCTGTCGCTGGCTGGGAAAGTCGTGGGATTGACCTTCTCTACGAAGCACACCACAGCCGCCTAGAGAGTCCTTGATAACACCGGCGTGAATAGCCGCAGGACAGATAAATGAATCGCCGCGATAGATTGAAGTTGAGCCATTATAGCCCCCAATGACTAGGGGACGGTGGTTTATCATTTGTGAGCCAACGACCACAGGGTTGGTCAAGTGGGCCGTCAAGCACCCAGATGGACATCGGAAGAGAAGCTCTGGACCGCTGAATGGGCGGCAATTATTCCCGTCTAACCCACACTGATTCGCGTTCGTCCTGTGATATGTTAACACCGTGAACAACTATAGAGTTGCGCCTTTACCTACCAATGTACAGATGTACAAGCTAGCTGCTTATAGTCACCTGCTGTTAGCATACCAGAAAGGAAGAGGACGTAGGCTTCGACAGCAAAACATGTGAAAAGAAGGAGTAGCAGCCGAGTTTTGGTCTTTGTGAGTGAAAACCCTCTAGCATAGGTGTCTAGAGATGCATGGCCATCCCTAAGTCGGCGCTTTGGGCTCAAGAAAAGAGGTAGATCCATTGCGAACGCCCAGTAATAAAGATGGGAAAGTTTAGTGGGGGAGTCACTCCCCCCAGGTATCAACTGAGGGTTGAGGCTTGATGCAGTTGGTCTTGGCGGACCATCCCTCCAGCTGTTCCCTTTTGACCCATTGTTATGGTACCGGGTCCTTGGGACCGTAGTTGCGTACGAGGAAGTGGTAGATTAGGATGTAAGGGGGAAAAGATCCCATCTTCGCGCAAAGATGTTTAGGATCCTGCTTACGCCCTCGTCCATACCACTACTCGCTTCCTAGTTGAAATCATCTCATTTCCTCTGTCATCACTTTTGTAGCTCTCGAAGAGATTCTATCAGGAAGGATGAGGCTGAAAAAAGGGATGTCCTGAAGCTGGCGTCACATGACACACGTGACTGAGTTCTGGACGTCCAGCCTCAGGTGGGACTTTTTTCTCTTGGCAACCAAAAGAAGTTGCCGCATGCAGTGTGTGCTGCCACTTCCACTGCCACCGTGAGAGCCTGCGACACCCAAAGCCTGTGGTTGTGACTCAACTTCCTTGCTGGATTCAGCTCACTTCCAGAGAGTAGCTCGCAAGCAGCAACATCACTCCACGTTGAACCTGCGCTGAAAACAGTGCCAAATCGCCATCATGTCGGACGCAGACTCCCTCACCAATTGTCGCTTCTATGAAGAAAAATATCCCGAGATTGAGAGTTTTGTGATGGTCAATGTCAAACAAGTATGTGACGTTCCTGTTGTTCTCGCCGTCTGAGCCATTCTGACTTTAACCGCACAGATCGCCGAGATGGGCGCATACGTCAAATTGCTCGAGTACGACAATATTGACGGCATGATTCTCCTCTCCGAACTTTCACGAAGACGTATCAGAAGTATACAGAAACTCATTCGAATCGGTCGCAATGAAGTTGTCGTCGTTCTGCGTGTGGACAAGGAGAAAGGTTATATTGACTTGTCGAAACGAAGAGTCTCCGCCGAAGATATTGGTCGTTGTGAGGAAAGGTATAACAAGAGCAAATCGGTCCACTCCATCATGCGACATGTTGCCGAAAAGACCAAAACTCCAATTCTGAAACTCTACGAAGACATTGGTTGGCCTTTAAACCGCAAATATGGACACGCCAACGATGCATTCAAGTTGTCAATTACCAACCCGGATGTCTGGAACGATGTTACTTTCCCAAATGATGTGGTCAAGGAGGAATTTCAACAATACATTAGCAAGAAACTCACCCCTCATCCAACTAAGGTCCGAGCAGATGTCGAAGTCACATGCTTCAAATATGATGGAATCGATGCAGTCAAGGAGGCTCTCCGAAAAGCTGAGGCCAAGAACACACCCGATACACAGGTCAAGGTCAAACTGGTCTCGCCACCACACTATGTTCTGACAAGTCAGTGCCTGGATAAAGGACACGGGATCCATCTCTTAGAAGAAGCTATCAAGGACATCGACGAGACCATCAAGGAATCTGGTGGACAGTGTGTTGTCAAGATGGCACCCAAGGCTGTGACTGAACATGATGATGCAGAATTGCAGGCACTCATGGACAAGAGAGCGAAGGAGAACGAGGAGATCAGTGGTGATGAGGATCTCAGTGAGAGTGACGAGGGTCCAGAAATTGCATGAACATATGGTCATCCAAGGCGTTTATGAGGATACGCATTTATGACAGTGGAGGGCAAGCAGCGCGATCATGTCTAAAGCCAGCCAAGCCGATCACCGCACGATGAATTTCCCTTCGGAGGTCACGATTGATACTGAAATGGAATAGGCCAGGACGATTCGAATTCAGTCTACAACAAATCCACCGGCCGAAGAGCGCCTTCGAGAGGGACCACCGCCGAGTGGCAATCGTGACGCTTCAAGGCTGTGGTTGAAAAGAGCTTAGTTTAGGGCTTGGTGCTTGCCAGTTAGGCGGCTAAGAGCCCGGCCTTGGGGCGGGCTTAGGGAAGCACTCCAGGCATAGGCTCGCTTAGTTGAAGCTTAAGCCCCGCACGTCCATGATCTTGACCAGGGGCCATGTCATTGTGCCAAAGCTCAAACCTGATTTTTCTCCATGACAGATACGGAGTACTGAGTGCTGGTGGTGGTGGTGGTGGCCCGTGTGAAGCTAGGTCAGATAGCTGCTAATCAAAGTGCAAACTTCTGTACGAGTAGCTTCACTTGTTTCTTCTGCTACAAACCACTCGACTTGCAGTACACCCCGAGTTTTGTTCCAGGGAGGATTGATTGTGCTGTATCAAGCCCTCGTCGCGTATCTATCAAGGCTCCTGCTTTTGGATCTAAGGAATCCTTCGGCTAGGGCGCTACGTCATCAATCAACAATATGGTCAAATGGGCGCAGCTTTTTGGATCGCGGCGAGAGAGGGATGCACCGCATCTTCGAGATGAGATGCGAAGGCGTGCGTTCTCATTCATTTATCCCTGTTGTCCCTGCTGATAGCTTCCAGTGTTACCTGCCCATAGCAATGACCTCCCAGCCTCCGCGTTTCCTGCCAAAGAAGTGACCAAGGTTGCTCTCCGGTTAAAGTACCAGATTGAAGAAGTCATTCCCATCGAGCTTCCCGAGGAGAAGATCACCGCAGCTAATAGCGGGGTCATCACGAAACAGGTAGTCAAGACTGCCAAAGAAGCTGGAGGCACCGAATACGCCGCCGCGGTAGTCTACTGTCTACTCGTCTGTAAACGTTGGTTCAAGAGACAGGCATTCCTTGAATTATGGGACGCAGACTTGCATGATGTTCGCGCGGTCGCCTGCGAGATCATAGCGAAGCGTATCATTGAAGGAGAAGAAAATCAGGAGTACCTTCTCAAAGAGGTGCTGCTGCAGCGATACTCAGTCATGCGTGACGGCGAGGAAACGGCTTCAGCCAACGTGATTGAGAGAGCTGTTGATCTGCATGCTCTGACAGTCATCGGTTCCTCTGGCTACCAGAAATGTATCAAGCACCTATGGCGTGGTTGGATCCATCAGGACGACAAGGACGCTGGAAATTTTGTCTTCTACAGAGAGCGGGACAACACCAGCTATTGGGCTCATCTCAACCCTGATCGAATGCGTTGTCCGCTTTATCAGAACACTGTCCAAATATCCATCTCCTTGATCTACTTGGGAATGTACACGGGGGCAGTAAACACCATCAATGAAGATGGAGATCTGGATGTTGTGGAAGGCATTCTCTATATCATGACGCTGGGATTCATTTGCGACGAGGTGGCCAAATTCTGGAAAGTTGGAATTTATTACTTCGGCTTCTGGAACGCATTCAATAATGTCCTCTACTCATTACTCACGGCTTCGTTCGTCATTCGAATTATCGCGCTTGCACATTCACCAGACGAAGATGACGAGCGAAGAAGAGAGCTTAATAGGCTCGGCTACCATATCTTTGCCGTGTCCGCACCCATGGTTTGGAGTCGCTTACTTTTGTATCTCGACACATTCCGGTTCTTTGGGGCCATGTTGGTTGTTCTCAAGGTCATGATGCGGGAGTCATTGATCTTCTTCGCCTTACTGATCGTGGTCTGCGTTGGCTTCTTGCAAGCCTTCATTGGTCTGAACCAAGTGGAAGGTAACTCGTCTATCACAACATTCATCATCACCGCCATGGCCAACTCGGTGATGCAATCCCCGGAGTTCGATGGTTTTGATGATTACGCACACCCCTTCGGATTGATTCTGTACTACATTTTCACATTCGTGGTCATGGTCATTCTGCTGAACATCTTGATCGCACTCTACAACAGCGCGTACGAAGACATCACGGAGAACGCGATTGATGAGTACATGGCGATGTTCGCGCAGAAGACGATGCAATTTACACGTGCACCCGATGAGAACGTATTCATTGCTCCCTTCAACCTGATCGAGCTCTTCTTCCTTGTCATCCCCTTCGAATGGTGGATGGACGCACATAAGTATGAGCGACTGAACAACTATGTCATGGGTGTCATCTATTCGCCATTATTGTTGATCACGGCGGCGTTCGAAGCCCGCGAGGCACATACAGTTCGAAACAATCGCAAGCGAGGCGAAGAGGACGATGACACTGTAGAAGAGTGGGAAGAGCTCGACGGCGAAATCGACTACGCGGCGGACGGTTGGGACGAGAAGGTCCGCAAGACCAAACCGATTGTCGACGTCGACGCAGATGTGGTAGAGATTCGGGAGCTCAAGAGCGAGGTCGCGGAACTAAAGAGGATGATTCGAGCGTTGAGTCCTGACTCTTGATTGAAAAGAATCTGTCTTGACTTTTAATCGACTTTGAAAATTGGTGAATGATGATGCACGACTTTTCCGCACCACCGAGTCGGTGCTCTTGCGTTCTTCCGTTTCGTTCATGAGGTATGCAGGTAATAGGCAGAAGCCAAATTCGCTGAGGCTCTCTCATTCTGCCAAAAGGAGTTTCCCAGCTAAAGTAATGTCAGGCCCTCCCTGGTTCTGTGGTGGGTACAAAATCAGTTAATATCTCCCTAATCCCAGAGTATTTCACTAGGCGCATTATCTTCTTAGCTACCTTTGATAGTAATCTTTAAGGCACAGTTCTCCCATGCCTGTGCCTGTGCCTCCTACATTCAGGTGTACCATGCAAGGCTGACTGCCTCCATAATAGATAATAATCTACGCAGACTACGGAGTGATGACATAATGCGGGGTGAAGAATATCCAACGAATAATTACCATGATATCAACCCCACACAGATAAACACGATTAGTAGCACACTTCATGCAACAAAGTCTAGAATTTGCCCATGACCACGAGACAGTCCAAAACTACGGTCCGTTCGTTTACAAGACACACTGCCTAACTAATCCTCACAGCTGTTGATAGCATCAGAAAGGAGGCGTCCAAAGGACAGCCAGCGACCCTGCAAAGCCATAACCTCTCACGCTGGAAGACACACAGATCATGGCCACAACCACACCTCTTCCTCCAGACCCATCCGCCTCTACGAACATCTCACCGCCTCAGCAACAGCAGCCCCAGGAAGAGTTCCCTTCCTATACACCTTTTCTCCCCCCACCTTTCAACATCACCACTTCTCCCCTCCCTCCCCCAGCACTAATAACCCAAGGTGCCGAAGCGCTCTTATACCGCACCCACTTCCTCGATGCCAGCACACCAGCAGCGTTAAAGGTCCGACCCTCGAAACCCTACCGGCATCCAACCCTCGACGCACGTCTGACAAAACAGCGAGTCCTAGCGGAGGCACGCGTGCTCGTCAAGCTAAGCGGACTGAGGAACGACGCCGGGAGCGGCAGTAGCGAAGTCAATGTGCCTGCTGTGCTGAGTCTGGAGTGGGACGTCGCGCGACGGGTGAAAGGTGCGGAGGTGAGGAGAGAGCGCGGTGGAAGGACAGAGGGCGGCGGCGCGTGGCTGCTGATGGAGTGGATCGACGGCGAATCGGTCAAGGACCTGCTGCGGCGGTATGATCTCTGGTGGAAAGCTCAGGAGACCACGCCGCGACGGACCGAGGCTGGAGGCGGCGGAGGCGGCCACGACGCGTTCGTCAGGGCCCAGGAAGAAGATGTCAAAGCCCTGCTACGCCGCATCGGGCGCGCTGTCGGTGCTCTGCATTCCAAGGGCGGTGTCATCCATGGAGATCTGACGACGAGTAATATCATGATACGACCGCCTACGAGCACGACCACAACCACTGCCACTGCCACTGCCACTGTCACTGTCACTGCCACACCATCATCTCCACCCAGCTTCGCCGGCGAGATCGTCCTCATCGACTTCGGGCTCGCAACACAGTCAGTCCAAGACGAAGACCGAGCCGTGGACCTGTACGTGCTGGAACGCGCGTTTGGGTCTACGCATCCGCGGCAGGAAGGTTGGTTCGATGCCGAGGTCCTGCAGGGCCCGGACGGCTACCGCGGCAGCTTCAGGGGCGCCGCGGTTGTTTTAAAGCGTCTTGAGGACGTGAGGCTGAGAGGGCGGAAGAGGAGTATGGTGGGCTGAGCTGGCGTGTGGAGAGTTTGGATGGGTGTTCTCTCGCCTCTACGAGGTTGAACATGTCGCTGTTGGCTGTGGTGGGGGGAAAGGAACCAGTACTATACCTGATTTTGCCGACCAGCTAGTGAACCGTTGGTCTGTTGCGAGAATGCAGTGAAATGTAAAAGGACACTGGCAAATGCGAGAAGGACATTGAAAGGCCACAACCACGGAGAAGAATCAATAAGGCGAGAGATCTTTTTTTGATTGAGACACTGTCGAACCAGAGGGTGTGGCCGTATAGCCATTAACCAGGAACGCCACGCTAAAGAAGGATATCTCTGGGATATCTCTGGTCACACTTTCAAGACGATGGAGTAGCACCAGCAGCCTCACCATCTGCGGTACTATCTTCAATGCAAGTCCCCAATTGCGCGACAGCGAAATAGCCTTTGTTCTCGATGACACCACGATTCTTGACCACTGCGGTATACTTGATGACCCACTGGGGCTCAATATCGCCCTTCAAACCAGGCTCATCTGGTCCGGCGTCCGGTCTGGCGGCAATGATGCCCGCACCGTCCTTCCCAGTCCCCAGCAACTCTCTCGTCGTTCCCGGTGGCAGGATATCGGTGCAGTCGGCGTGAGTAAGCAACTCGATCTTGTTCTCCTGCGCATATACGATCAACGGCTTAGGTACGACGCAACAATCTTTCACGTTGATTTGATCCACGGTTGGCCGCACCGTTACCTCTGGAAGGAATTTGTCCAGACGTTCCGAACTGAACTCGGAAACACCCAGCTGCGAGATCACGCCCTGCGAGTGCAGTGACTCCAGTACTCTCCATGCCTTGATCTGCGCATCGAAGCCCTCGGATTCATGACTATGCGCACTGGCATCCTCATCCGGCATTGATGCGACTTCCTGATCTTGTCCGTCGTCTCCTTCTTCGCCTTCCTCATCACCATCATAATCATCGGCGTCGAAACTCACGCCTGGGTAACTCACAATCAACAGGTCAATGCTATCCACCCCTAGCTCTTTCAGCACCAGATCAATTGCCTCGCGGGTGTGTTTACATCGCCGGGATGACGGGATCCCTGGGAGGTAGAACAGTTTCACCGTTACATCGTACGAATCTCGTGGTTCTGTCAGCGGAGTTGGTTGCCATGATGGCACGTATAATGTGTCGCCGTCTTTCGTCGTCCAACGCGTGTAGTCTGCATCGGAGAACGAGGTGGAAGATGGTAATGATGATGTCTCAGAGTTCGTTGTTGGTGTTGCAGTCGTTGAGGACGAGCCTGTTGCGGAATGATGGTGATGTGCTGCCGCCACGTGCTCCTGTGACGAGGAAGAAAAGTTCGCGCGGAGTGAGTTGATCAGTTCGACGTTCGATTTGGCGAATATTGGCCGTCGGACCACCGATTGTCCTGAGGATATGATGTTCCTACAACGCAAAATAGAAGTCAGTCCCTGCTGAAGTAAACACCGATTGTTGTGGGATATGGCATGAGGAGCGGGTCAGGAAAAGCCAGATCTGTCTATATAGATAGTACTCTGCATCTTCGCCCATCCCCCCTCTGTCCTCGGTCTCGTGTCGTAGACACCAGCGAGAAAAGGTGTGATGTTCTGGCTTTTCGTAGTGGAACGGGCAAGTGTAGGCAAACCAGACAAGGGTGTCATTCATACGAGGTCGAGAGAATCAGCTTCATCTTCGCGGCGTCTGCTCCACCTGGCAGGACAAGATAATCTGGGTCCCTACTCTTTTCCCGGGAAGGGTGTCGAACGAGGGGCCGCTGGCTGACTCGCCGGCTGGGAGATGTATCGTTGACGGATGAGCCTTCTCAACCACACTGGGGCGGTGTGCTCGGGGAATCTGTCCCTGGTTGATCGTTGCTTTTGGTTCCCAAAATTGGAGGTTGCAACTTGGATGAATAAGTCGTCTGCGCGTAAAGAGAAGAGGAGGGGCAGCGCAGAGCACCCCAGCCAGCGGCACGAATTGACGATTACCTAACATATTGAATTACGTAAGCAGCCACCCGGTACTTGAGCCAATTTTGTAGTGGGACGCGCCCAAGGCGAAGTGATCTACCAACCCTCATTATGGCATCATAAACTCGCTCTACTTATCTACTTATTGTCTAGAGAACCCGCGTACTTCCTCAGAGTGTAAAACAACCGATACCCTCAGCGAAGACGGGGCATATCTACTTCTGCTAAGTATCGAATGACCACAAATTCTAGCATCTCTTGCTTTAGGTTTTGATGGCGTGCGCTGTCGCAAGCCCTGAGTGGCCTATTTTGATGCAATTGAATGTTCGGTCGGATGAGTATTCAAGACGCCGGAAGGCTCGACGAATGCGTTCAATGAGCAATTTGTTCTCGTCCGTGGATCGAAGTGACTCTTGTAATTCGGCTTTCTGGTCGAAGTAGCGCTTCGTCCCAATCAGAATGCAGTAAAGTTTTAAAATCGAGGCCGCTGCCCAAATCCAGCTCCATGCCGCTGCCGAGAGTGTTGCCATGGTTGTAACAAATGAAAGTTGAACTGCTCTGACGGAAAGATTTCCTCGATCCTCAAGAGATGTCAAAGTAACGATGGAGAAATGAAGAATGGTATGAAAAAATGAAAGTTGTTTGTATACAAAGTATTCCTACCTGTGCTAAGAACTCACTAGGTACAGGAAATATTAAAACTTGACAGAATTTGGATTGTTGACAGCCTCCCATGCACCACTTACCTGTACCAATACCTTCGATGTATCGTCCTTTCCTTCCATTTTATATCTTAAGGACTTGGCAAGTCACTTCCCAGACGCACCAAGGTTGTTAGGAAGCTAGTGCAGGGTGGTGGCAGCATTGAAGATGTGAAGATTCGAAGATCTCAACCTCGCTTCCTTCTAAAATCAGCCTTGCTGGCACCCAGGTGGAATCCAAGCCTCCGCCTTAACTCAGCAGCAGCCTAGCAAGCAGGAGCAACTGGGAAGCATTCGCGACTTCGACGGGCAGGCAGATGGCGACGATCGATCTTTCTATCTCCTGTCTGTCTCTCCTGGAGCGCTTTCGTTCTAGCTGCGAGATAGGGCAGATGCTTTGTCGTCGCATCTCCTCGATGTAAAGCAGGTCGTCGCAGACCTGGCCGTGAAGATCAAGAAGCTGTAAGGAGCATAGTGTTTATTAGCTGATGGGGTCCGCAAGTATTTACGGCATTAACGGTAGAGAGATGATTTTTTCTTTCTTTTTTTCAAAAAGGACAAACAAACAAGTAGTGAAGATAGTAGAGGGAACACTTCTTGGTCCGAACATTTTGCCCTATCTCTATTTCCTGCCATATTTGAAAGGGGAGACAGGGAGTTCAACTGGAATACCGAGATAGACGGCGGCTTTACGCCTTTGTTCGCTGTGCCACATTCCCTATGTGCGAGCTGCTGGACGTGAAACCGTAATTGAATGATTAACACGAAGAACGTGACGGGCAAGTCTGGAGGTGTCGGAGCCTCAACGCGAGGCAGAAGTTCGACCGCGGTGTCGAGTGTGGGAACATCCATAGAGCTTGCAGTTCGGAGCGCCAGTCGAGCTTCTCACATGTACAGACTGGCCGTGAAGACGACATCTCTGCGAATCATCTCCCTGGCCTTCTCCATCTTCTGATACAGACCAGGATCACCAATCAACCTCGCCGCACTCATGACCTCGCGGCAAGTCTCGTCCAACCTCGTCACGACTCTGACAATCGTGCCCTCCATGACATCCGTCAGGTCTGTGATGTTCTTGAAAGACATGCCTCTCGCCCATTCGTACACCACTTCCACGAGTCCAAAGCGCGGTCGGGACACGAAATCGTTGGCGTCGTCTGATGACAGGATCACCTGGTGTAGGATCTGGTAGTGGTTGACTTTCTCCGCTATCTCAATGATGGCTTCCTTGCCGCGTTTGAGAGTCTCGCTTAGTTGTGGTTCGCTGTCGGTCTTCTCTTGGAAGACGAAGGCTGAGAGGAGTGCGACGATTTCTTCCGGCTCGAAGCTGGAGCTTTCGTTAGTGACTAAGTCACAAATTGTAAATGGACAGCACAAGAACTTACGACGCTAGTACATTTTCTAGGATCAGTTCCGTGAGAACGAGTTCATCCGCGGAATGAATTTCACAGGCCACTTTCCCTTTGAGTTGCACTCGGGATTCCTCGTCAATGAAGCCGAGATCCTTCAGAACTTCGGATCGTTGCTGGTAGTCGGGAAGTAGGGAAAGATTCTGGTCTGACATCAGCATCTTGAGTGATTCAATATTCACCTTGACCAGCCATTCATCATGTTGCATGCCGTAGTGCCTGATAAAATCAGGGCATTCCAGACATTTCGATCTCAAGATGATTTCAGCCACACTCTTCCTCTCGGTGAGCAATTCTCGAACATGCAAATCATTGACTTTGCTCCAATCTTGCTCATTCCAAGCCGAAGAGACCCAGGACGAGAAAACTTGGACGAATTCTTGTTCAGCAAATTGCTTTTGTACTAGCTCCGAGTTTAGTAACGATCGCAAGTCAACCTATTGATATGACATGTAGTGTAAGTATTACCTTTCGCGACTTTCATATACCAGATGGGGCCTCTGACCTTGACAACAGTTTGGGTAACACATTCCACTTCGTCCAACAACACCTGGGTAACTCCACTTTTCACTCGCGATGCCTCGGTCGGCAGGGGTGAAAAAAGGTTGCGGACACCTGGGAGATAAGGAAGCAAATCTCGGGTTGACCGCTTCCCTTCAATGTCGGATATCTCGAGAATCTTCAGGAAGGGGCTGGGTCCGCCTTTGACTCCGTCTTCGAGTAGCACACCAGTCTTGCGGGCGCCATCCTGGTGTTTGTTAGTGGCTGTTCGAACATGAATTTTTGTCTCGATCAATACCTTCTTGAACACGATCAATCTCTTCGCCATCCAGAGTCGCCGTCCTATCGGTGACGCTAGGGTTCTGATGTGAAGATCTTTTGTAATCTCATCGTACTTCATCGCCGCTTCGTGGCAGGTTTCAAGGTCAATGTCGCAAATCTCGCAAGGTTCCCGCTTGATCTTGTCGAGTGTAGCCTGGGAAAGGGCGACTTGCTTCTCATGTTGAGGCAGGAGAGCCTGAGTGGCATTCTCAGAAAAGCTGCGCTTGATCATCTCCTCGATCTTTAATGCTTCAACTCGCATCAAATTCAGCATCATGTTGTAATGCAGTCTGAATTGACTTCGAAGCTTTGTAGCCGGTCCTGTGATCATCTGACTCAACTCGGCGGCGGGGGGTGCCTCTGTCTTGCCAGAGGTGACAACGATGACGGTTCCTACAGTATCGAGACCTCTCCGTCCGGCTCGTCCAGCCATTTGAGTGTACTCTCCAGGAAGCAGATTCCGAAATTCGCGCCCATCATGCTTGCGGTAGCCGGAGAACACCACGGTCCTCGTCGGGAGATTCAAGCCCATGGCGAATGTTTCCGTTGCGAACAACACTTTCACGAGACTCCTCGCAAATAATATTTCAACAATCTCTTTGACAATTGGGAGGAGACCGCCGTGATGCACAGCAATACCCCGTCCAAGCATTTCTCGTAGGCGTCTGATTTGAGGCAACACTCGGTCCTCAGGCTTCAACCGGGCAATGGATTTCTCGACGATCATGTGGATGGCACTCTTGTCAGTGGCTGTGCAGAAGTCCTGATTGGACAGAGAGTCCGCATTTTCCTCACATCTCTTCTTCGAGAAGACAAAAATGCAAGCCGGAAGAAGGTTTTCCTTGCGAAGGTATTGCACTAGATGGACCCATATGTTGCGATCTTGGGCAGCTGTAGTTCTGCCGCCTCCACGACCAGTCCGTGCAATATTGCCTTGGCCACGATTGACAGGCAAGCCACGACCTCGCTGCTGCGGCCCACCTCGTTGATTGCCACCACGAGTTTGTTGTTGTCCACGGCCAGCGCGCTGATTGGCTCCTCCACGAGCCGGTGCCTGGTTTTCTATGGCCTTGTTCTCCTTGACTTTGTCCATGCCTGACAGGATGTCGTTGGCGGCCTTCCAACCTTTCTGCAGAAACCGCTTCTCCGAATCAACAATCTTGTGCATCTCTTTACCAGCCCAAAGATAGTGTTCAAGAGGGACAGGTCTTTTGGGTGTCGAGATGACATAGATATCTTTCTTCTTGGTTCGACCCACCCAAGACGCGAATTCATATGTGTTTGGCACGGTGGCTGACAGAAGAATGAGAGTAACGTGTTCTGGCAACATGATGATGACTTCCTCCCACACAACACCACGCTCAAGATCATTGACATAATGGACCTCATCAAAGATCACAAATTCGACATCTCGAATCAGGTCAGCTCCACGATAGAGCATGCTTCTGAGAATTTCGGTGGTCATGATGAGGCAACTAGCCTCAGGATTAATTTGAACATCACCGGTCAAGATGCCCACATCGTTACCAAATACTTCTTTGAAATCCCGAAACTTTTGGTTGGACAAGGCTTTGATAGGCGAGGTGTAGATTGCTTTGGTCATATGCTTTGCTGCTAAAGCAATGGCATATTCAGCAACTACAGTCTTACCAGCAGAAGTGTGAGCGGCCACGAAGACTGAATCGCGATTTTCCAGGTGATAAACAGCCTCTTTTTGGAAGGTGTCCAACTCGAAGGGCCAGGTTCGAGCCATTTCAGGAACAAGTTCCTTGAAATTGGTAAGTTCTTTGTCGATGTCTACCACGTGTGCCCATTCTCTGCCTGATTTCTTGCTACTGGAAGAAAGCAGTTCACCACGTGGTTCGAGAGAAGGAAATTCGACGGGCAGCAAATCGTCCAGATCTATGTCTTCATCCTCCGGCTCGCTGCTTGTGCGGTCGTCTTCCAATGGAGGAGTTTGCTCGCCGTTCCTATCATCACCATCTGTGATGGGCTTCGAGAAAGGGGTATCTTCATTGAGCGCTTGTTCCACATCCTCAGCGTTCTTCTGTGCGTCATTTGATTTTGTGTCTGTCAAGTTCAAGCCTCTTGTGAATCCTGGAGGAATTTCCAGCAAGCCATCTGCCCCACCGAAATTAATGATCTTGTCCAAGACGTTCCCTTTCTTCGTCAGTCGATGCTCTTCATCAAGAGTGATCTGATCCTCGTAGGCCTGAATGGCATCAACACCATCGAGTCCGCCTGGAGCAAAAGGGAAAAATCCAGCAGCGCCTCGAACAAAGTCAGCTCGATTTGCAGGTCTTCGGAGAATAGACGTGGAGTTCTTTGCAGTTGCACTTGAAGCTGGCACTGTGACTTGCCTGTAGCCTGTCACTTTTCCCTCAAGGCCTTCCCTTGTAAATCGAGTGACTGTGCGTGTTTGGGTGGGTGCCAATTGGCAGATTTCCGTGTAGTCCGGATTTTGGTAATCCCATCTCCGCTGGAGTCTGTTCAACCATTGCGCACTGAAGGTTGTCGGTGGCAATAAAAACCGGCGCTCTAAGTCGGCCTTTATATCCTCAGGCGAACGCGTCGGCCGGCTGCGCTCCATCACTCACCAGCTATTCCAGAAGAATCAAGTCATGCAGTAGTAACCTCTCAGGAGTTTTGATCAAGTCAATGTTTACCTGCAGATGAGGGAGACTGATGTCGAGGAAGTACTGGTCTGACTTGGCTGTCAGTGAAGCTCAGAGACTCCTAGTCGTGTTGAATGTTCTAGTCTGGAACTATAATAATTTGGTACTCGTCAAGCCTTAGGCAAAACAAGTAAGCAGTTGCCAAATAGAACTTGGCAGTGATATATCGATGGCGCTGATACTGAAGATCACGGAGACTCCCAATCAAGAAAGTCTACCGATGTGAATAACTACAGCAGATCATGGCCACCATAAGCGCCCACAAAACTAATATATGTAGTATCAAGGTAAAATACAAGTGAACCCTTCCAGCGCTCTCTACCGACTCCTCGTCGGCGTCTCTGCAGATAAGTTCTTCTATTTAACTCTCCTGTTGATAGCGTCTCTGCTCCTCTGCTCCTCTGAGCTCGAGCTATCTGGACGCAGCCCCGGTGGTCATATTCATGGATGCCCATAGCTCACCATTCTTTATTCGGAATGTAGTTTGAGAGTGGGTAGATCGACAGCCACTACATCTGCATGTACGGGTAGTGATGTCGCTCGTTGCCCTATCGTAGTTTGTCGACGAAGATATTCCCGGGAAGGGTATGGTGCTGGCGCCAAGATTCAATTAGCTCATACTAGCACTAGTAACACGTGACCGCACTAGTAAATATGGATACTAACCTACATGGACCAGAATACCTCCTATCTTGAACCAAGAAAACGCCACTGTATCAGCATTTGGAATCCTTTGAAATCATGGAAAAGGGGCTCCTGGAGATCAAGTGCCTAGGAAATATCTATATAAACTAGAGCAGAGTCCATAGAGCTGATGAAGACAGAGATTTCATTCATCGCGGAGCGCATGTCCAAAAGGAGTTAAGTCACTTCCTCCAACATATGAGGTACTCGGCACTGAGGATCAAGAACTGGGGTAACTGGTTTGTCCTACTTTGTACCTCCCCGAAATTACTCAGCGGATCAGGGCTCTCTTATGAGGCAATGAGCCCGAGCCGGGGTTCATGGCAAGCACAACAACTCCTTTAGCGAGATACCTGGTTGGATACGCCATTGCGATCCTATGTCCGAAGAACGATAGAGATAGTCCCTCTCTCAGATTCCAATAGTTTCGCAAAAGCGGGTTAAGCATGCTTTAGTGAATCATCGCCAAGCAGTATCGGATTAATCTAGCCATATCTAGTTAGCAATTCAATTAGAATATCCAAATGTTTAATTACTGTACGATAGTAAACCAACGTGAGCTTGTTCCTAAGGAGTGGTAAACATTCCGCCCAAGCAAAACCAGCTCTCATGATTTCCGATGCACTGGTGATTCTTGAGAACAAACTGTATTAGTATTTGGAAAGGTCTACACGTGTCGTATTTCTTGGCTGTTCTGCTCCCAACCACCAAGCTCGGAACTGTCCACCCTTGAAGTTCGAGTTTCCAAAGCAGATACTAATCACAATGGGACCAAAGACTATCATCGCAACTTTCGAAAAGAGCAATAGTCATCTAGAGACCAGCTCGCCCGATTGGGGTTGCATACCGAGGCTGCTGGCTAAAGTCTATGTCTCGGCTGGAAGATGCGTAACAAACCCACCACTTTCGCACGCCTGGTAGGATTATATATATCATATTGACGGAGTGCGGCATGTCGTGGACCTGAGACCTCGCTTCCTTGGTGATCAAGGTGCTATCCTCAGTCATGCTCGGCTCATTTTTGTTGTTGTTGCTCGCCTTCTCAGCCATTCCACTCGCTTTCGCTGCCGATGCCGGGAGCTTTAATGTCTTGACCTTCAATGTAGCTGGCCTTCCATCAATTATTTCTGGCAACGACGTTCCTGGCGACAAGACAACGAATTCTCGAACAATTGGTTCCAAGTTCGCAGAGTATGATTATGATGTGATCCATGTGCAGGAGGTGGGTGGAACGAACCTTCGATCTGCTGGGTCTCTCGCGTTTAGCACATGCTGATGAACTGTAGGATTTCAACTATCATGCTTATATTTATGAAACAGATGACCACCCCTACCGCACGTCTACGTCCGGTGGCGTTCCGTTCGGCAGTGGTCTGAACACTCTGTCTAACTTCAATTGGATATCATTTGATCGTATAACGTGGGATCAATGCAATATCAATGACGGCGACTGTTTGACACCTAAAGGATTCACCGCAATGCGGATGCAAATTGATGAAGGTGTCTACATCGACTTTTACAATCTTCATGCTGATGCTGGGTATGACTCTCCACTCAGGAAACTATACTGAGATGTGCCATTGCCAGGGCTGATTTTCCGCTCTAGCTCGGACGCTGGTGATGTTGACGCAAGGCGAGCAGGTGTCGTTCAGATGATCAATTACATTGAGGCCAATTCACTTGGTAACGCTGTCATCGTCTTTGGTGATACCAATGATCGGTACACCAATACAGGCGTTAGCATTTCCATGCTTACGACCGAGGTTGGACTCACGGATTCTTGGGTACAACTGATCAATGGCGGAAATACACCGGTCGCAGGATCTCCTGCCAACGCCTGCGGCAACCCAGCAGCGTCGAACCAATGCGAGATAGTTGACAAAGTGCTGTGAGTTGCCCCCAGAAAAGGTACGATTGGTAGCAGCTGATACTCTTCCAGCTACCGGGGTAGTCGTGCCATAAACCTCTCTGTCACCGGTTGGACCTATGAGTCTTCCAAATTTGTTCAACCAGATGGCAATATCTTGTCCGACCACAATCCAATCACTGTTGACTTTTCTTGGTCGCGGTCTAGCACAATCAGGCAAAGTAATCTGTCTGGTGGTCCTCATGGGTGAGCCCTCTTTAACAGGCCAGCCTTTTTGCGTGGTCATGCTAATTTGAGTTCCTTCCTCTTACAGTTATTGGTTTAATGATATTGACACCATTCCGAGCTCCTCAACTGGTGCCAACAAGCCTTCAAAGATCACGTTTCGGGGTGCCTCTCGCTTAGATAGCGTCGCTCTCACTCTCGCTTCAGGTACGGCTTACACGCATGGTGGCACAGGAGGAAGTGCAGCCGAGCTTACCCTCGGAGCATCCGAATACTGGACCCAAGCTCGACTTTGTCGAGGGCAGAAGGATGGCCTTACAAGAAACTTCTACATCGTCGCAACAACGAGTTCTGGCCGGACGTTGAGCGCTGGTTCCTCAACCAGCGACTGCAGTGATTTCGCAGCACCTATCGGATGGCAAATTGTTGGATTTCATGGACGATCGGGGGATGAGGTGGATCTTCTGGGCTTCCTTTATGCTCCGATATAAAGCATCAAGGCCATTTCCTTTGTTTTGAACGCTAATGATAATATATAATACCACGGTCACGGTCACGGTCAAGCCGTTGTAAGCTCCATAGCTCTTACAACTGAGTTAGATTCCCTTGTTATCAAGCTGGAAAGCCGATTCTCAACAGGTCTAGCACTTGCCATTTTTCAACCCAATTCTTTATTCAGGTATGATTGAATTCGATGGGAGCTACTCTCGGCCTCTGTCGACACCTGCCCACCACACAGGCACGAAGGATCTGCACGTGAACATGAGTCCCCCCTGCTCACTAGGCTTCTTGGGCCCCTGGTCAGCCATCACGCCCAATCAACTGCTCCCGTACGCCCATGCAGAGATTTTGTCACGCAACATCTGAGCAACGTACATGTACTATCGATCTACCGAGACGATAATCTGCAGTACTGCGGGACAGCGTAATCTAGCATGTCTCCAACATTCACACTTGACGACTGTTTACAGGTAACGCTCCGGTGGTTTTTGAGGGGCTCCGAAATGCTTCCACGGGGCCTTGCCCAATCTAGAGTTCATCTCCTTTCTAAATGTCTCTTCTTGTCGGCTTCCAAGATGTCCTCTGTTAGGTCACTATAGCTCGCTCACTTCATTCCTCACCGCTGTCGGGTTGGCATGGCACCAAAGATATGGAGTTGACATTGAGCCCCTCAGGTAGGGATGGTGGATGGGCGTGCTATAAAGGCCTCGCCTTCCGTGTAAAAGCAATCAGCTAGCAGATCAGTCAATCTTTTGTCCCTCACTTCAGCCTTCTCGCAAATTGATGCGTTGAGGTATCATGGCGTTGTTCAAGATTTCCGTCGTCGGCTTATTCTCCGCTTTGGCTGTCCTGACAGATGCTCTGGAGCGTCCCCTTTCCGACTTTGAGGCTCTGCAACATCTAGGAGCAAATAGTCCATGGTTTCCAGGTAGGTCACGTTCCTGAATGGAGGTGGCTTAATGCTCACCATATATATTAGGACCCAACGTCAATCACATCTCGTCTGAGGTTCCGGGCGGCTGCAAGGTTGATCAAGCGGTGTATGTCGTTCGTCACGGCAGTCGATATCCCGACCCAGGGGCTTATCAGCAATGGGCAGATCTCCATGAAAAGGTAATTTCCTACTTGAACCACTGTCTACCTATGACTCCTGACCTTTCCTCGTGCAGATACAATCTGCTAAGTTTACGGCTCGTGGAGAGCTCAGCTTCCTTTCTTCATGGGAGCCCGTTTTGAAACATCCCTCTCAACAGGTGAGCCAGGTATCTCCCACAGGATATCAGGAATTGTAGGTCTAATCCCAACCATCTGTGCCTCCGGTCACATTCAAAATGGTCTGACTACTCTTCAAGATATGATCTTGGTGTTGAGCTCCAAACTCGGTACCCAGACTTCTATGAGTACAATACTCCATTTTTGCTCTGGTCGAATGATTATCAGCGAACAATTGATTCAGCAAGGTACGGCCCAGAAGTTAATCATCCCCATTGGGCTCATCAGCAATTCATGGGTGCGTCTTTAGGCTGTTCGCTCGTGGCTACCTGGGCCCCAACTCGACACTAGCCGACGTACACGTTGTAAACGCCAAAGACGCCTCCGCGGTTGGGAATTCGCTCGCGACATCAGATTCATGTCCGACGTTTAAAGACGTGAGTGGTGGCGATTATGTGGACAAATGGGACAGCATATATCTACCACCGATCGTCAAAAGACTCAGCAAGCTCATCGAGGGAAACCTCACACTCAACGCATCCGACCTGAGTTTGTTCCCATATCTGTGTGGATTCGAGAGCCAGGTCACGCGACGAGTCAGTCCCTTCTGTAGCCTTTTCCGGCCTGAGGAGATATTGCAGTATGAGTATCGTCAAGACTTGAGGTACTATTACGGAACCGGTAAGAAAGAGGGCGGCGGCGTCGTCGTCAACCATACGACTTTCAAGTCATTGTTTCCTAATCCAGCGTTCACAGGTGCTGGAGCTTTCAAAAACTCCAGTGTTATGTTTCCCGTCCTTCAAGGGGTGGTCGATCTCCTATCTGAGGGACCAGGTGTGGTTGTCAAAACTTCTGATGGCCAGAGCAAACCCCTTCCTCCCCTGATTGTTGCTTTCACTCATGACAATCAAATCAATGAGCTGGCTTCAATTCTCGGCGTTTTCGATGGTCAAAAGCCTCTTCCAGCTGATCGTATCGATTCCGATCGTGTAAGTATCCCCTCTTGCCATTCCTTAATCAAGATTATGCTGCCTGTGGATTCTCAAGTCTGTGCCTTGGCTAATTGGTGCAGATTTACGTGAGTAGCCGCGTCAGTCCTATGCGAGGGACAATCACATTTGAGCGACTCAACTGTACCGCTGGAGGACATCCTCACAAACCAGGCCAAGTTGGAACGTCCGTCCGGATTCGGCTCAATGATGCAGTCTACCGTGAGTGCATATTCCTCCTTTCACTATCTCACCAAGTGTGGTCTATCCTCGCGGTTCTGCTCCACAGTTTCTCACTGCCTTTCCTATTCTTCCATTCAAGTTTGGATTACTGACTGATTCCTTTTTCTGCCGAGTAGCGGTCCAATCATGTTCCTCTGGCCCAGGTCTAAGCTGTCCTATCGACCAATATGCTGAACTGGTCGAGAAGAAATTCAGCCAGCAGGGGACCTTCGCATCTATTTGCGGCATTCCAGAATCCAATGTGACAGGTTCGGCGTCAGGCGGTGTTACTTTCTTCACCGATTTGACTCTCCCTTCGATTCGAACGGTAAAACCTTGAATAGATACCTACAATACTTGAATGCGATCATGACTGTACCACATGTCGTGAGCTTTGCTGACTGAACACCGTAATACCGAGGGGATCCTCCTTATTTTTCTCGGCGTAAGTGGGCATCCTCTATAATGTAGTGATTGATGTTCTAAATGGTGCTGTCTGGAGCTGATGGCCGGCCGTCGCGGTTCACGAAGATCCTTGCCAAGAACCCTAAAGCGGCCTTTGATACTGCCCCGATCTCATTAAACATCAATGTCCTTGGATGTCAGTCCTAACCTCCAACCTAAAAAAGTGAGAACCCTGGATATCCACGTAGAGACAATGCGACCAGTAGTCAAAAAAGACATATCTTTCTAGCGCCTAGGCACAGTGAGTTCCTATCGATTTCAAACTCAGAGAAAAGGTCTCCTAGTTCTCGAACAACAGTCAGTAGCAATTGAGACGCACGGATATCCCCTGCCACTCCGCAAGGTAAACGGCACCAGGCTTATGATTCAGATTCAGCAATGGGCAGGTATTTCCTTGACTTACTGGCACAATGACGGAAATGGTTCTTAATTTACTGCCTGCATGATTTCGTCTTTATTTATACTGGCTTTTTACACTCATCGACAAGTCAACATTGAAAGCAAAGACGATTGATCAGGGGATCTCAACAACCACCCTCCCCAGGTGACTCAGGATGGCCACCGCAAACAACACTCGAATCGCCTTTGGATTCCCGAAGATGAAGTACAAATTCAAGACGCCCACCGAGACAGATCGCTTCAATTTTTACGATATCAAGTTCTACCCTTATGCCCCCCCTCCTAACGACGAACCTATCTTCGCAATGGTTAGCCAGAAAAAGGTCTACATAGGTCGCCTCTCCCTTTCAGACCAAAGCTTGATAACCATGCATCACGAATTAGTCGACGAGCAGGAAGAGAACGACCCTAATTCTCTAGGGCTGAATTCCTGCACTTGGTGCTATATTGACCAACAAGGGCCCTTGCTAGCCGTCGCAGGTGGTTCAGGTCAGCTCAAATTGATCAATGCGCTTGAAGGAACAATCTTCGCCACACTGACTGGCCATGGGTATGGCACAATCAATGACATGGCCACCCACCCTTTCTATCCATGGATTGTCGCGACCGCTTCGATGGATAAGAGCCTTCGAATCTGGGACATCCGACGCCACGCCAATCCTCACGACTCACCAACCATCATTATCTGCGGTCAAGCTACAGGTCATTGCGAAGGGGTCTTGACGGTATCATGGCACCCTTGCGGGCGTTATATCATTACCGGAGGGCATGACGAGCGAGTTTGTGTTTGGACCCTTCCCGATCTTGGCGACAAATCGACTTTCTGGCAAGAGATCTCGGCCACTCGGCGAGAACGAAGCTCCCATGAGGTTAGAACCATCTATTACCCGCACTTCGTCAGTTCCGCTGTCCATTCCAATTTCGTGGACTGTATCAGATTCTTCGGGGACCTGGTGATATCCAAGGCTGCAAATGAGAGCAAAATTGTGATATGGAGGATCACCGGCTTTGATTCCCGGAGGCCCCCACCAAACTCCGATACTTCGCCAAAGACAGAAGAACATCTCGACACAAGGAACGGATTCATTCGTAAGGCGATCAGGGAGAACGATGGCGGCATCGTCACAGTTGAGGTGGCCCCAGAGTACCGAGGCGACCCGCTCTACGAACGAATCTTGGAACTTGAAACTCCTAAGAGCGAGCAATTCTATCTTCGATTTGGTGTTTTAATGCCGTCGACCAATTACCCAGACCGGCACCCGATGCTAGCCTTCGGAAACACGCTGTCCGAACTCAGGTTCTGGGACCTGGAAAGGCTGTCATTGGGACATGCTGGCGACGGGAACAAGCCCACTCTGGTGGCAAGAAAAAGTCATAAAGGCACTGCACGACCAGTCAGACCCTCAGACCGTCTCAGTCGACTTAGTAGTACACCTCAACTAAGAGAGTCGCCCTTATCCACAACATCGTATAACAGCTCGTCAGCATGGCCACGCCAAAATTCGACCGAGGCAACGAGCGAGATCTCGGACGAGATTACAGCCCCACAAGGTCTCGAACGAGATCGTGAGAAATATCCTCTTCATGAACCACACAAGCCTATCAAGGCACATGCGAAGATCTCGCTTATTGAACTTCAGTTTAAGAATATGGCGTTCACTACAAGAGCTGCAGACTGGAGTCCATGCGGCAAATGGTGTGTGGTTGTCGGCGAGAGCGCTGGGTCCGATGCGGGAGTTGGAGGCTTTGCTGTATTTTATCGACCATTATGAGGGACGCCCTATGGCTGTTCAAGCTCAATGGCGGCTGTCAGCCGTCAGCCTCTCGACTGATACGATGGGTATGGGGAGGTGATCTCATCTCCTGCACGGCCAAAGGTCATGGATGGTGCCTTGCATGAAACGTGCAGGGTTTGTTAGGGTTCTGCGGTTCTACGGATTGGCCCGCGGCTGTCGGGGAATTTCCAGGCTGTGTTATTTCGGTCATAAACAAGGGCTCCCTTGGACAAGGGTTGCTTCGCTTCGGATACCACACCAAGACCGTTGCACACGACACACTCCTTCTTGTCTCCTTGCCCAGACTATCGCTCTCTGCTGATCGGGTAGTTTCAATTGATTCTTTATGCTTTGTGCTCTTCGATAGAATGAACAATACTCCGGTTGAAGTGTCCGCGCAGCCGGCGCAACCACCAAAATTCCTGCGCTACAGGTCCGTCCGGAAAACAATCGTAGAGGAGCAGAGCCGCGATCGCGATCATGATCATGAACCGGTCCCCTCTTTGCCGGAAACCTCACCTGTAGCGCAATCGTCAATTACCCGTTTGCCCTCGAGGTATCATCGCAAAACTAAGCCCACTGCAGAGCACTCGCCTGTACCAAGCCCTCAAGCCCTCCCTCCGCAACACCATACAGGAAAGAACGATCATACGACACAGCCTGCCGTCGCATCCGTTCCTACGAAGGCCAAGAACAGCGAACCCCGAAAGAACAATGTCGAGCGAAGTCAGAGACCTTCGACCAGAGAAACTCGAAGTAAAGAAAGTGGAGGCACCCCTCGCTCTACAGAGGAGCACCCCAGCCCAGATCGCCTGCGTAGATCTTACGAGGCTGCTCGGGAAGAAGCGCGCCTCATCCTAGAAGGAGAGTTCGACCGATTAAAGATATTGCGAGAGCAAGAAGCGATACGCCGCCATGACCAACGAGTGCGACAGGAAGAAGTAAAGAAACGGGAACAAGAACGATTGGATCAGATCGCCCGAAAGAATACTTCTCAGGCGAAAATCGAGGCCAAGAGACCTGGAGGGCTACATCTGGACGGTGATGAAACCAAACTAACCGCTGAGACAGACAAACAGGGCACTGTTGAGACGCAAGAGCCGGCTTCCATGACAAAATCACGGCGATTTGTGATCGGAGGGCCTCCATCTTCTCAGAGAGAGAAGAGGAAACATCGCCGAATCTCATCTGCCATCGAGCCTCGTCACTCCAGTCACGGGCTTTTGCAGCAGGAGACCTCCCACAATAACCCGGATGAGAAACGTAACAGTGCACCAACAGCAAACGCACCGAACTTTGATGCTCCAGTATCAGCAGTCAATTCAGGTGAAAGACGAGTCAGCGTCAAATGTAAGGACTCATCTATTACACTTCCTATAAATCCTTCCACTACCTGTAAGGAAATTCTGAATTCGGCCGCTTTGGTCATGTCAGAACCAATTGATGCCCGAACAGCAGTTCTCGTTGAGTGTTTCTCACAGCTTGGTCTGGAGAGACCATTGCGGAGATATGAAAGAATACGAGATGTCATGAACTCGTGGGACAGTGACGGCCAGCACTACCTTCTTGTTATGGAGGCGAGTGAAGTAGCCGCGCGCGGTCTGCACTTTGGAGACGTGCCTGCTAAGCAACCGCTTGGGACTGCAGTTCAGATGTATCATTCGCCCAGGCCTGGCAGGTGGGATAAGCGATGGCTGAAACTATGGGACAACGGACAAATCAGTGTGTCGAAGAACGAGAGTGGCATGGATTGCATCAATATCTGTCATCTGTCGGACTTTGACGTGTACACGCCTACAGGCAAGCAGATCAAGAAGCTCAAGCCACCAAAGAAGCTGAGCTTCGCACTCAAGAGTCAACAGAAGGCGTCAATGTTTCTCAATGGCGCGAATTTTGTTCACTTCTTTTGTACCAAAGAGAAGGACGTCGCCGATCAGTGGTACCGAGGCGTTCATTCATGGCGGAGTTGGTACTTGGTCAATATGCTGGGTGAGGGCCAGCAGAAGGAGACTGTCCCTTCCATGGGACAGGAAGGAGAGCTCCGTCCGGGTACGGGCAATTCCAAAGAGTCAACACCCTATGTGCTTGGATCGTTCAAGCCACTGCTAGACTTTGGACTTAGCAGGCCGAGTATCGAGGGCACCAGACAGGCCGATGCTGACCTGCTCAAGCGGCCCTCACAAGACAGCCTACCTAGACCACTGATTGACCAAGTCCCGAACAAGGCAAGTCTTGATCTCCAACGAGGAGGATCAGTCCGAATGACATTGAAATCACAAGCCCGTCCATATTCTCGTCGGAACGGGCCACTCGAATCATCAGGGCAGGCCAAAGTATTGGATGAGGCTGAAGAAAGTGCCTTTACTGGAAAAGGTCTTCTCGCTCGCCATGCCACGCAGAGATCACAAGGCGGGAGTCGTTCTGGTCGAGGCGTCTCTGGCGTGGAGGGCAGGCCACTGGTCGATCTTCATCCTACCAGTGAATTCACAGATGGAAGTCTGCTCCGCAAGATTGAAGCCTGGACGGCGCAGGAAGGGACTATGACTCCGAAGATCGATAGACAAAAGAGAACTGAAGTTAATGCACCCGTGGGAGAGGGGACTTGAGAGGGAGATTCGAAGATGACACTCATGATGGGGAGAAGTTGAAACCTATGATCATTGATGTATACCATGCTAATGGTTTTGATGCGGGTTCTAACCTTGAGTTTTATAGTTGTTCTGAGGCCGATTGCCTCCTTGTTATGCCTAGGTGCAGATGCTTCCCACAAGATGAAATAAATCTGTTTCCCTACAGTTCCTGAAGCTTAGGATCCGATCACGAATTCACTTGGCCGTGATTTTGAACTCTGCTGGCTGGGTAATTGTTTGTGCATCAATAGAGAACGGTTTAGGTAAGTTTGATTAGAAGTTTGGTTGTCCGTAGCTGCCACGGGCAGCCCCTAATCAATCCATCTAGGTGCCCATGAAGCAACATTCGGGGCGCTCACCGCCTGGAACAAGCGCCTAAGCATGTAGTTTTGCAGGCGATGACATCAGCGTACAGCACCCGTCGACCCACCAGGTCCGCCGCCTCCAGCCCATCAAATCCACTCAACACACCAAATCCTCCACCCAACCCCCATCTCTGCAATCAAACTTGAAGCAACATTCAAGATTGGGCCGTGCAGCAGCTGACCTGCTGCAATCTGCACGTCGTGTGCTGGCTCTCTCGAATCCCAGATCCCAACCCAAAAGGAAATCCTGCGGCTCATCAGGCACAGCTGCTCAGGCCTCAATACAGACACAGCCCAGCCATCATCTTACTCAACTGACCCAACCTGACGGTGCTTGGTTTATTCCGTGCTTTTGGCAGGTGGAAGAGTTAGAAGTCACCTCGGCTTCGCATTTCCAATAGAGACTCCTTTGCGTGTTGAACTGCGACTCTGCCGTCTTGCTGACGACCCTTCGACATGGCGGCATCAGATGATACCCTGTATCTCTACACCTCTCTCACAGCCGGTTCTTCACATATCATAACTGCCACCTCCCGTCTGGAAACCATATTGAAGGCCAACAAGATCCCCTTCCGAGCGGTCGATGTCGCTACTGATGAAAAGGCACGTATGCTTTGGGGGAGAAGATCAAAGGGTAGAAAACTCCCAGGCTTGGTCAAGTTCGGCACCATCGTTGGAGTATGTCCTCTCCTTCCTACAACGCCCGGAGAACCTACTAAACTGTCACTAGGACATAGAACAGATTGAAGAATGGAACGAGTACGGTGAACTCAAAGAGCAGATTGCTGGAGCGGACGAATTTGGTACTCTAGGTGCGAGCACACTTGGTGCCAATCTGACTCCTGGCCCAACTGCCACTACCGCCGCCGCCGACACCACTACCTCTACCCCTCAGCGCTCTGGTCCACCATCCCGTGCATCCTCTGAGACACGTCACATATCTATTACAGAGCCCAACAAAGATAAAGAGAAGGACACCGGTTCGCAGAAGACCACAGACTCACCGGGCAACCAGATCCTCCGCCAACTGGGCGCTGAAGCTGCGGCAAAGGCAGCTCAAAAGAAAACAGCGGCAACCTCAGCAGCAAAGGCACCGGCCAAGGTCCCTTCTACATCCGAAGCAACCCCAACCGCAGCAGCTACAAAGCTGTCTGCAGACGCTGCAGTGGAATCTTCGAATACAGTTACAGAAGCCACTGCGGCCAAGACTCCCATACAGCTGGCAACCGAGGGCGCAAAGAGGACAAGCATAGATAAAATCGCGGAATCCGAGCCCACTGCCACTTCTCCTACGTCCCCGTCTGCAACACAAGCGGAAAGTGGTGAAGCGGCGTCGACCGAGGCTCAAGTCTTGGAAACCAGACGGACGAGTAGCATTACAAAGATCAAGTCCAGATTAAGCGAAACCACACAGGCTGGAGAGAGCGATACTGTGTTTAGTGATAAAGGAAGCAAGTCCGCAGTGGAAGAATCCGAGGTCAGTCCAACAGTCCCACCGGCCGCGAGAAAACACCGCGGTAGTGATATTGGTGAAGCCACGCCAGAAGAGATCAGAGCCTTGGAGAAGAAGCTTTCGATACTGGAGGAAGATGAAGATGATGACGACGAAGGCGAGGACGAGGACCACGACGACGACGATGACGACGAGAAGGTAAAGGACGCTAAGCCGGCTGTCGTGAGCTCGACGGACAAGGCTGAGGCAGAAGCCACCAAAAGCGCAGATGTCGAGAAAGGGGACCCTAAGGACGCCAGCAAGGCAGGTGTCAGTGTCGGTGATTGATAAAGGTGCGGGTCAGGGCATTTGTCTTACCCGGATTGGTCACTATGTATGGCCTACCTACTGTCCGTGTCTACAGTCTCATTGTTCATCGACTTTCGCCCGAGTGTTCGAGGTGTCATGAAGTATCATATAAGCCTTGCTTGTGGGATGTTCATGCAAATGACCCGCTATTCATTAATTCTTAGTTTTGCGACTCCGTACGAGGTACTCTCAAATGGCGTTAACACAACCACACTGACCGCGGAACTCTCCCTGTCCGTCCCCTAGTAACCGTCCGGTTCTCTTTTTGCTGGTATGCTCGCCACGGCGGACTGCCTCGCTGAGCCTTGCGACCGTGATACTTCTGTGCGTATATCTCCCTGTGACTGCCTATGTATTTATGAGGACACGCTCGCAAGGGAAATAGCCCGACGGGCATTCAAAGCATATCTCCATTCGCGCATTCTCTATAGACGCTGGAACAGTTTTCCTTAGCATGGCTTCTTGGATGGATTGGTTCGGTTCGGTTCGAATTTGTCTCGTTCATGACACCATCTGATGATGCCTGAGCACCAAGGTAGCTTGTGGCTAGCTGAAAGGACTTTTCCATGCGCACACTCCCGTTCGCCACCTAACTAAGACGTCTCCCCAGTGAATATTTCGCACTGCTCCCAGAGCTGAAGGGCGTATACGAGGAGATCTGAAGTTCCCCCGGGGTGCCGCCGTTCCAAAACCCGATACCTAACTTGCTGCCGTCAGATCCCTGTCCCTTGCCTTACACTGCCTCCCGTATGTGGTACTATGCCTGAGGCGCCAGCTTACAGCCTCGCCTGGACAGCGCCCTCGCCCTTCCAGCCGGCCTCCGTGGCAATCAGCTCGGCGGCCCGCTCGCCGACGCCCAAAACGGTCAACATGGGGTTGATGGTGGGCATGGCGGGGAAAACACCCGCGTCCGCGATCCGCAACCTCTTGAGGCCCCTGACCTTCAGGGTCTCGTCCACGACCGCGAACTCGTCGTTCCTCACGTCTCCCATCTTGGTCGTGCCGGCGGGGTGGTAGACGGTGTGCGCGACGCGGCGGGCATACTCGGACAGCTCCTCGTCGGACTGCACTTTGTTGCCGGGGGCGACCTCGCGCTTGATCCAGTCCTTGAAGGGCGCCTGCTGGGCGATCTTGCGGGCGGCGCGCAGCCCGAACACGAAGGTCGCGGCGTCGTAGCCTTCGGGGTCCGTGAAGTAGCGGAAGTCGAGGGCGGGCTTGACGGTGGGGTCGGACGAGGTAAGGTACAGGCGGCCGCGAGAGCGTGGGCGCGGTATGTTCGGCGTCATACAGAACGCGTCGATCGGCGTGTCGTAGCCCAGCCGCGTCGTATTCAGGCAGAAGGGGATTTGGTAGCAGTGCATCATCACGTCCGCGATGTCCCCGTCCGCGAGACTCTTCGGGTTGAAGACCGCCGACGGGTTCGTTGCGGCCGCGTCCGCTGCTTGTCGGCGCAGGAAGATGCCCGCGTCCGAGTCCATGGTGGTTTGGTTCGGGGGCACGGGCTTGTTGAGCTCCCAGATGATGATGGTTTCCGGGTGGTCGAGGAGGTTTTCGCCCACGCCGGGCATGTTCTTCACCACGGGGATGGAGAGCGAGGCCAGTTGGTCCTTGGGGCCGAGTCCGGACAGGAGCATGAGGCGTGGCGTGTCGACGGCGCCGGCGCAGAGGACGGTCTCGGTCCTGGCGGTCAGGGAGTGCTTCTCGCCGGATTGCAGGGTGATGTCGACGCCGGTGACGGAGTCGTTCTTGTCGATGTTGATCTTCGACACCCACGCGTTGGTCAGGATCTTCAGGTTGGGCCGCTTCTCCTCCTCGCGCAGGATCGGGTGGATGTAGGCGACCGAGGCGCTCGACCGTCGCCCGTCGTCTGGGTTGTAGCTGACGGAGAAGAACCCGACACACGGCTTCAGGCTGCCCGTGCTGGTGATTTCCTTGTTGAAGTCGTGCACCACGGGGATGTCCATGGCGGTGCTGCATGAATTCACCCAGTCCTTGCACAGCTGGTTGCGGTGTCGTGCATGAACCGGTTGCACCGTGTTCCGGAGCTTGTTCAGCACCCTGGTGAACATCGGGAACGTCCACCCCTTGGCCCCCAGGGATTCCCAGATCTTGCAGTCGTATTCGAACGGTCGGAAGGAGATCAGCGTGTTGTGACTTGAACATCCTCCTAGGACTTTCGCTCGAGAGTGTCGGATGTGCGAGTTTCCTGATCAGCCCGAATAGGAGGGTATATGTTAGAGTAAAGCTTTTGTTTGGGTCTTTCCAAAAGGGAGGGCTGGTTCGGCGATGAGAGGCGGAGGGAGTAGGATGTTATCGTACCATTGGGTTGTTCGGTGGTGCCATAATCATAATCCAGCTCTCCTCCGAGGAGATTGAGCCATTGCTTCAAATCCAAGACACGGTCATCCATAAAGTCGCTAGGCCCAGCCTCGATGAGGAGGATCTTCTTGTGAGGGAGATATTCCGCGAGGCGAGATGCGATGACGCAGCCCTTCAGAGCGAGCGAGAGAAGCACCAGTTAGCATGTCTTCGGTGTGAATTGTTGCATGGGGAGATAGCAATTTGGAAACACTTTCCACGCCTTTACTCTCGTTCAGGATTTGGATCAGAGGGAAGTGCTAGAACTCCAGATCATTACTTACAGCTGTGCCACCGCCAACAATGAGATAGTCATAGCTGTTGGTCTCGGAGGATGACAGTTGAGTGGTCGTCATGATGGCTATCAACCAAATGAAAACCAAGTTCGTACAAGAGCAATGGTAGATAGAGTACTTGTGGGTTTACTCGAGTACAAAGCTTTCCAAGATGGATCAACCTCGGAAAGATATAAAACTTGATCGCTCAAGGCACACGATTAGAGGCTGACATGTCCAAGTTTAAAAATCCCGGCGATCGAAAGCAGGGCCAGACCCACACTGCATACAGTTCACAGCAGTCCAATATCAGTCCACCAGACAGCTGAGGGTTACTTGGACAAAAGTCAGACCCAAACCAGCGGTGCAAGGGTCCAGGAAGCAAACGCGTACGAAGATGCCCCATTGCATGGCGCACGAGCATGAGAGGGGTCGAGCGGTCACATTGCACATTTGAGTTGGCGAGGTCTTATTGATTGCTGATAGCTGATTGACCAAGATAGAGGGCCTGCATGCTGTGGGTGCAGGGATCCTCAGGAGCTTCGGCTCTCTAGCCTATCCCATAATGACGGCATGCATGGATCCACCTCCGATCAATGGTGATGTATTATTCCTAGCTCCGCTGGGAAAATGGAGTCACGGACCATTTGGGATCAAGCGGTGAAGAGTAGCTGAGGGTCTGAGAAATAGGCAAGGCAAATGCGCTTTACGAGCCAAACCCCAGGTTTTGGAGGAGGGGAAACGAACCTCTGGCGGCCTTGTGATTGCTCTCAGGTAAACGATTACCAGAAAAGGAGGTATTTACCTGGGGAAGCTCTAGTGAGGAAGTAGTGTTTTGTTCGGCTGTCGCTTTGATGAAGGGCGACGCTCAAAGCTCATTTGATGTCACGCGAAAGCATTATCGCGGGCGGGGCCCCTAAGCCGAGAGAAGGCTTCAAGACCACGAGGCGAAAGAAATGTACGCAGCATCCCCTGTGGGTGGATAAGCCGACAGCAACATTGGTAGGATTTGACGGTGGGAGGGGAAACAGAACGAACAAGTCCAGTGTAGCCGAGAGGAGCAACATCGACACGGGTCTTTGCAAGTAATTAAGAATACACTCGGACAAGTCAAGGAATTACTCGCCAGTCGCCACCCTTGGCCTGCCGGTTAGTCGTTACTAAGACGCAGCGTCTGTGCGTTTTGCATAGCACAGCTACATAGCTTTGCTTCTTGACCAGGGCACGTAGTCAGTCGGCAGTCAAACCAAGTCAACGTCAACTTCGCTGGCCACTCACTCACTCACTCACTTGGAAACCCTTTGGTTACGAACTTAAAGTACGACACCCAAGAATTCGTTTGGTCGCGGCAAGGACCTCTCGCTGCTAGTGGATCCAATAATCCCAAACCCTCAGGAACCAAGGACTGTCGTTGTCTGAGGCACCACCTGGTGACACCATCATTCAATCAACCACCATCATTGAATGCAGAAAGCCGAACGGGCTTCACCGTTGACACTTTGAGAGTGCATACCGAACTCTCAAGTCCAGTTTCATCTAGAAGGGGAGTTCTATCCGGTCAGAAAAACTTAGCAAAGACTTGGGTTGCTTGAGGAAGATCGCCCCTCTTGTCTTATTCTGCTAGACACGTCAGAATTGGATGCAGTGCGAGGCTGGCATGACTTTGGATATTTGAGAAAATCATCAAACCAGCCCCGGAACGCCCAACCAACGATCACCTCAGAGCCACCTTTAACCATGACTGTTGCATCTGAGACAATGATCCCAGAGAGGCATACCTTTTATGCCGGGAAACCACAACCATCATCGACGGCTTCAGCGACATTCCAAGCTATTGACCCTTCGACGGCGAAATCTGTATGTACGATTCACGCATCCTCCCAATCATCAATTGATGCTGCAATCTCCGCTGCCCGCTCCGCATTTCCCACTTGGTCCAGTACGCCGCCAATCGAACGGTCACGGATCCTCCTAAAGGCGGTCTCATTACTTCGAGCCCGAAACGATGAGCTCGCCAAAATTGAGACTCTCGACACCGGCAAGGCGTTTTCAGAAACATCGACAGTCGACATCGTCACGGGCGCTGATGTCCTCGAATATTTTGCCAACTTGATCGCGTCAGGTGGTCTCAATGGTGAATCATTCCGACTGAGAGACTCTGCCTGGGTCTACACTTCTAAGGAGCCTCTCGGAGTGTGTGCAGGCATCGGCGCATGGAACTATCCCATCCAGATTGCGTTATGGAAGTCCGCTCCCTGTCTCGCCGCCGGTAACACGATGGTATACAAGCCATCGGAAGTGACTCCTCTCCACGCACAATTTCTAGCCCAGATCTACAAAGAGGCTGGCGTGCCAGATGGGACTTTCAACGTGGTCTACGGCGCAGGTGACGTGGGTGGATATCTCACCAAGCACCCTGGGATCGCAAAGGTCAGTTTCACGGGCCAGGTGTCCACAGGAAGAAAAGTCGCGGGCTCTGCTGCCGGCGAGATGAAATACGTGACGATGGAGCTGGGAGGCAAGAGTCCCGTCATCATCCTGCCCGACGTCGACATCGACCAGGCTGTGGATGGAGCTCTGATGGCCAATTTCTTCAGCTCAGGCCAAGTCTGCACCAACGGAACCCGAGTCTTCGTCCCCAAGTCACTCAAACCCGCATTCGAGAGCAAGCTGCTCGAGAAGATGCAGTACGTCAAAGCCGGCGATCTCGCCGACCCAACCACCAACTTCGGGCCACTGGTGAGCAAAGCCCACTACGAGAAAGTCCTGGGCTACATCCGGCACGGCATTTCCAAGGACAAGGCCAAACTGCTGTACGGCGGGCCTGAGAAGCCGGACAACTTGCCTGCAGGCCTTAAGAACGGATACTGGGTGAAGCCGACGATCTTCACCGACTGCACGGACGACATGGCGATCGTGAAGGAGGAGATCTTCGGACCCGTCATGTCGATCCTGACATATAGCTCGGTCGACGAGGTGGTGCAGCGTGCGAACAATACTGAGCTGGGTCTCGCTGCCGGCGTCTTTGGGAGGGATATCAATGCGTGTCACCGCGTCATCAAGCAGCTCGAGGCGGGTATTACCTGGGTCAACACGTGGGGCGAGAGTCCTGCGGAAATGGCTGTTGGTGGGTGGAAGCAGAGCGGTGTTGGTGTTGAGAATGGAAGGAGAGGAATCGAGGCTTGGCTCCGTAACAAGAGCACGCTGGTCGAGATGGGCGGTGCCGTTCCTACTGTCTTTGCAAAGTTGTGATCCGCGCAAGCACATGAGGCTGGGTTGGTATACCAAATCAATTCATCCATCCATCCATCAATCAATGCGATGATAGTTATTTAGTTCTCTAACTGCGGCATTTTGAAAATGGAATAGTGGCGGGTTTTCCATTTGGGCTGATATAAACTTCCTGATATGATCAATCTCATTCGAGTCCCGAATTGGCTTTTCGTATCATATGTCCTTCAGTCGACATGTGAAAGGGGGAAATTCTCCCTTCCAGCTATTGTATCACATACAGATCCATCCATCCTCTCCTGCCTGTGCATACAAGGTATTCACGGCCTCGAAGACAGCTAATCGCATGGCCTAGCTGTAACTGATACCTTTGTGTTCTATCATTCTTGCAGTGCGAACCAAGAAAGAAAACAAAGTGCATCCAACAATAAATGGGTGGATCAAGCCGCAAAAGTCGAAACCCTCGAACCCATCCGATCAAAGATGAAATCATCCATTTTCTTCTCATTCATTCCGATCGCGGAATCGATCAGTCTCGAGGACATGCTGTCGGGCGTCAGTTCCCCGTCGTCTTGGTCCACTACATCCTTTTTGTCGGTGTCGATCTTGAGCTGGCGTAGTGCCCCACGCCAGTTGTCGACTTTGGTCTGGGCTCTTTGTTGTGGGGTCACGCTTGACGTGTGTTGGTCTAAGGATACTTGCTCGATGCTCTTGAAGTACTGGGCAGTCCGGTCAGTATTTGCCTTACTTGGAGGAAAATCATCAGAGCTTACCTTGACTGTTTTGACGAGCATTTCGTCTGTGGCGGCATCATCACAGACGATCATGGCGGATTCGTGTAATTGAAGTGCGCTCGCTGTCCACATCTGACTGACGCCACCTTCAATTGTCTTTTGAAGCGCAACGGCTTTGTTGGCTCCCAGGACTATCACTAATACTTCCCGAGCATCCATTACTGTTTGCACACCAACGGTCAATGCTTGTTTTGGTACTTGGCTCAGATTGCCTCCAAAAAATCGTGAATTCGCTCGGATGGTGTCCTCTGCCAAGGTCTTGACTCTCGTGCGCGACCGTAATGACGAGCCAGGTTCATTGAAAGCAATATGGCCATCTGGACCTATTCCGCCGAGGAATAGATCAATCCCACCGGCTCGCGCGATCTTTTCTTCATAAGAGGCGCACTCCTCTGCAAGATTAGGGGCGTTTCCGTTCAAGATGTTGACATTCGTTGGATTGATATCGACGTGGGCAAAGAAGTGCTTGTACATGAAACTGTGATAGGACTCGGGGTGGTCTTCTGCTAAGCCCACGTATTCATCCATGTTGAATGTCACAACATTGGCGAATGAAATCTCCCCGTTCCGATGCGCTTGTACCAGGTACTTGTATATCAGCTCGGGGCTGCTGCCTGTGGGAAGTCCAAGGACGAAAGGGTTCTTAGGTGTAGGCGCGAAGGCGTTGATGCGGTTGACTATATATTTTGCGGCATACTGGGACGCTCCGTCTGCATTGTCTCGAACAATGACCTTCATTTTGAGGATATGGGATTGTCGTAGAGACCTCTGTTACCGGACAGGCTGTAGTGAAAATGTAAAGCAGGGCTCAAGTTGGAGGCATATTCAGAGAGGGAGTGTGGGCTTCACGGGTGGAAAAGCACGACCAACCTTTGACGTAGTATATCACTCCTACCGGCAAATCATGAGATGACTACATAGGGCAAGCGATGCGGAGTAAATGGCACCGGGGGTAGCCTGGACGATGGCAGTCTACAACAGATGACTGTTGGAACGTCATGGTCGAGGTAGACTGATTTGCAACGGTGCATAGTTGAGTGTCATCCAACCGTTCGACCACCCACTCAGTAGCCGACCAGTAGGATTGGTGGTGGCAAGGCCATGTTTGCCATGTTTGATCTTATCAGCGGAAGGCTCAGGAAGATGAAGTCAGCAGTGTAGGGTAGGGGATGGTTGGTACTGGCTATGATGGCGACGGTGGTAGTACACTTGTGTGGTCGACAACGCGAAGAGGCGAAAGATTGGTGGAAGGCTCGAGTTCGGCGATCGGATAAACTCAGTCGGAGGGATGATATCTATCACGTGACTGGGATTCGTTGGAGTTGCACTTGGGGCAGGTGGCACCAGTGTAACGGTTGCTGTTGTTGGCAGGAAGGAGCTCTCAATCTGGGTTCAGGCCGTTTGTCCAACCACCACTCGTGCACCATCGCGCTTTCCCTCTGGTGGGCTCTGCACAGGGTGTGATTTTCCGCTTTCCCTTCTCCAACCCTCCGGCCTCCCCAGCATTACATCTTCCTCAAAGCTTTTTCTGCTCAATGTGACCTGACGCGACATTGCTACAGATGCAACATCACCACGTTTCCACTTCCACCGTCGCGCGCCTCCACGTTTTTGCCTCGCCTTCGTCTATTGCACCTTTCTCTGACTACCGAGTAACCGCCATGCACATACCCGCCCTAAAACTTAGAGCCTTCTCGTGACGACCGATCACTGTTGGCCCCGGAATGCACCCCCCGATCCCTTTTCATGCTTGGGTTGTCACCGACTCCTGACCGGACCACTGTCAGGTCCCTATTCCTCTCTTGTCCAGCCTGATCACGTTTTTCTGGTCCAATCATCACTGCATGCGGGGGGGCCCACGCCCTATACTAACATGGCCACCAACGGGGATGTCCCCTCCCTGTGGGACGAATCAAGGTACGTCCCAATACGCTGTCATCTGTCCTGACGGGTCTCCATACTGACTACATATAACAGGCAGCTAGGCCAACTGTTTATGATGGGCTTTGATGGAACTTCCGTGACGGATCAAGTCAAGGTCCTCATTGAGAAGTATCACGTCGGCTCAATTCTGCTCAAGGCTCAAAATTTAAAATGTAGACCCCCTATCACATCTGCTATAGCAATGGCGCTTGCCCTTGCATTTTGTTGCTTTCTCGACTTTGGACTGACGTTCATCACGTAACAGCTGCGGAACAAACGACTAAACTCGTGCTGGAGCTCCAGACTATAGCACGTCAGGCTGGCCACCCCGTTCCGTTGCTGATTGCACTGGATCAGGAGAATGGCGGTGTTAATAGTCTTTACGACGATGTTTACATCCGTCAATTTCCGAGTGCCATGGGCATGGCAGCCACGGGGTCCAAGAAGCTGGCCAAAGATATTGCAAGAGCTACGGCGCAAGAGCTCAACTCTTGTGGTATCAACTGGATATTAGGACCTGTCTTGGATGTTCTTACAAATGCAAGAAATCAACCTCTTGGCGTCCGATCAATTGGCGACGATCCGAATGAAGTTTCGGCGTATGGAGTCGAATGCATGAAGGGCTATCAGGAAGGAGGTGTTGCTACCTGTGGTAAACACTTCCCTTCGTATGGTAATCTAGAATTCTTCGGCGTGCCCGACGATGTGCCCACCATCACGGACTCATTGGAAAACTTGAGTCAAAGTGCTTTGGTACCCTTCCGTACAGCAATAACACAAGGCTTGGATTCAATGATGGTAGGTGGTGTAGCTATGGCAACCTCACAGGTCAACGTGATGCATGCCTGTCTGTCAGAACAGATTGTTCGAGACCTGTTGCGGAACGAAATGTGTTTTGACGGAGTGGTGGTCTCAGAATGTCTCGAGATGGAAGCTCTCAGCAGAAATATTGGGATCAGCGGCGGTACGGTCATGGCTTTTAAAGCTGGCTGCGATTTGATCCTTACTTGTCGAACATTATCAGTCCAAGAAGATGCGATCAACGGTTTGAAAGCTGGATTGGACAATGGAATGATTGAAAGGTTTCGTGTCCAAGAGTCAGTTCAGCGAATACTCAGTCTAAAATCGCGATATACTACCTGGGAAAAGGCATTCTCGCCTCCTGGGATCGAAAGTCTTTCACTAATGCAACCACTACACACCAAACTTTCGAATGCTGCTTACAGCCAATCCATCAGCGTGGTTCGCGACCAAAATCACTATCTACCCTTGTCTAGAGCAATAAAAGCAGAAGACGAACTACTTCTCTTGACTCCATTGGTCAAGCCACTACCTGCCTCGGCACTTTTTCATCACATGCAAACCGATTTTTCTACAGCGCCGACTTATGGACGCAGCCCTAGCTTCGATGCAAATGCCTCGATCATGAGCGGGGAGCAAGTCTTTCGAAATCTTGGAAGGGCGCTAGCAAGCTATAGAAACGGGAAGATTGCTCATACATCATACACTGCAAATGGAGTTCGTCCTCTCCATGAGAACCTTTTGAATCGAGCTCAGGGTGTGGTCGTCATCACAGCAGATGCGGGTCGGAACATGTATCAAAATGCATTTGCAAAGCATGTTTCAATGTTATGCAAGTTGTCGACGGGACCAAACGGCAAGCCGAAGGAGAAACCGTGTGTGGTCGTAGCAGTCAGTTCTCCGTTCGACTTTGCAACCGATCTGTCAATTGGCACGTACATCTGCACATATGATTTTACGGAGACGGCTCTCCAAACTCTGGTTCGCGTTCTTTACGGTGAGATTTCTCCAACAGGAATTCTGCCAGGCTCATTTAGCCAGAGACCTCAGACCAACCAGGCAAGACAACAGTGGCTGGTGGAGAGCTTTGCTGAAGAACGTGATCGCAAAGCTCTCGACATGTTGCTTGAGCAATGCCGCGATGAGCCTTCTGTTCATGCTAGTCTACTACGAAATACGACGACAAAGACCTTCTTACTACGGGACCCGGAGGTGGAGGAGGCACACTTCGTGGTCAGGAACAGCAGTACGAAAGAGCTGTTTGGATTCTGTACAACATACTACTTCAAGAGTAGTGGTATCGGACACATTGGGGCCATCATTGTCGACCCGGCTCGTAGACGTTTGTCGATTGGGCATTCCTTACACGACCGCGCCGTAAGAGCGCTGCTCCAGAAACAAGGGATCACCAAATTCCAGCTTGGAGTGAGATATCCAAATGTGTATCTCGGTATACCCAAGCTTGACCTGGTCGATTCAAAGAGGCTGCGTCTGTGGTTTGCGAAGCTTGGCTGGAATGTTTCTCTGTCAAGCTCGGTGACGACAATGACCATCAGGGATATGGCGAACTGGTCTGCGCCGGAAGGACTGGGGCAATCCTTGACGGTGAACGAAGTCAAATACGATTTAGTCCATGGCCCGGATTATCTGGATGGAATAATAGACCATCTCACACGATCTGCACGACTTGATGTTCAGGGGATCTATCGAGCCGCCGCGGCGTCCAAGGAACAGGCCGGGATCATCCGTGCCAAAAGAGTTAGCGATCAAGTCGTGCTAGCGACTGTTTTGGTTCTGAAACCCGAGTTCCAAAAATCCGAACATATAGCGTCATGGAACAAGTCACTCGGCATGGGGTGCATTTCAGCGCCTGTCATCTCAACTATTTTCAGTGATAGGATGACCCTCTATCAAGGCATCCTCCTGTTGGCTTTACGATATTTCAAGAAGCAATCAGCACGATCTGTCATCCTCGACTATGTAAGTGGCCGGCTGCAAAGTCGATGAAGATGTCTCTGGGGACCACTCGCTAACAATATGGAACAGGCCCGCGAAGATTTTACAATTGATGGGCTCAAATTACTCGGCCTCAGTAGTGCTAACAGCTTTGACGAAGTAACAAGTGATCCTGTTCATTGGACCATGATGACACCAGCTTGAGGAACCGAATAGTGTTGACAACAGAGGAGCACCAACGGACATCAGGTGTTGTCAAGCACTGATCAACACGGTCAGGATAGGAATCGTCAGATCTTGGCTTCGTTATAGGCCGGCACGCCGAAGCTTAAGCACTTGGACCTGTATCCATACTGGATGCAAGATCGAATCCGGAGAACGATGAGGCGTCAGCCTCTAGCACCATACGAGTACTGCACGGGACGGCCATCAAATACATGCATAGTTGAATATTTAGCGATAGCTTGTCTGAAGTCGGAGAGGCCAAACCCGATCCCTCGAGCTGGAATGGGGCTCGTAAGCAGTACTGTGCGCTAACTAATTGACTAGTTGGATAGGCTGATAAGAAGATCCTTTGGCTTAATGATTGGCGTTTGTGGGATATCAGATAGCAACATAGCGTTGATAGGTCGGAGCAGGAGTCCAGGATATAGTGTAGTTGGTACTCCGTGTCTGATGAGAGACAGTGCCAGTCATTGACGGCTCGGGAGGGTTATGCCGTCATCATCTTTACGCAATAGTGGGCAAGAAGGCAGCGAGGCGAATATTAGATTATCTCGCTAGTGGGGGTTGGTATCTGGCGCTATCTGATTGAGTTGGCTGTCAGACAAAAGCACAGGCAGATACGCTGTGGGCAAGTATGTCACGGGGTTAACAAGGACCACGGAGCGCACAGAGAGCGCTAGGACTAACTATGATAGGGGCTTTCCGTGCGCGAAACGGAAGCACGGAGCAACCGTCTTGGGAAGATGTGTGTGTGTGTGTGTGTGTGTGTGTGAATACTAAAGGCTCCACGAGTAAGAGTGAGTGGGAGAGCGAAAGGAATTGAGGGGCGCTGAATCCACAGGCCGGCCCCATGTTTTCCACGGAACTTACTGTGATGGGATAATGGAGTCACCACGGACAGGATGGGATGCGCCATACATTCCGGTTAGTGAATCGGGAGTCGGGAGAGACCTGAAGGATCCATCCTCTGTGTTGATCCTGTACGGACTACGGGCTTCCATGTCATGTCATGGATAGGAGGTAGAGCGGCACTGTAGTAGCGAGTGAGTTCTCCGTACCTCTCTACTCGTAACTCACCTCCCTTGCGCTGGTACTACTACTGCTACTCTGTGTACGGAGTACCTAGTTAAACTGCGACGAGGGCCCTCGTACACTAACTCTCTACAACGGTTACTCGCGAAATGATCTGCGGAGTGCCGGGTGCCTCTTTGGTGCACTGTCTTGTCTGGTGGAGCGAGTGCGGCCCACCGAGGTACCTAGCAAGGTACTTAGCGAGCGAATCGAACGGGTGTGCGGGTGAGGGAGGGTGGGCTGATCATGCTTCCCGCTTCGATTGGAAACATGTGATCTTCTGGAAAGGGTCAGCGAACGAGAACCTACAAGTACGAGGAGGACACTGTAGCTTTGTATGTGCATATGTGACAGCTTGACAAGCATCCGACCCTGCTGCAATAATGCGCAGCGCCGCGGGTAGCTGAAACCGTCCTAATTGCCTAGGTACCTAGCACCCACAGGCAGGCAGGCAGTCATTGACTTTGGCTCCCAGTTCATTTGCCGCTGTGTCGCGCATGGGAAGTGTACCCGTCAATTCACCGATTGCCTAGGTATTATTGATGCAGCTTGCCTTGAAGGAGAAGATGAGGTCGTCGGGAGACTCGTACGTGTCTCTGCACGAATCGGGTGACGACGTTATTGTTACCTGGTACGGCATACTGTGTACTTGAAATTTCTCTGATGGTTTTCGCGTCCAAGTCAGCCGCATCGTTGGAACTCGAACTCGGGTCGTTCCCCATTCCGTACTCTTGTTAGCCAGGCATAATTCCCGACGGAACAAGTTCTACTCGTAGGGCAGCGTCCACTCTTACACCCAAAGAGTCAAAGGAATGTAAGAAGTGAATCTGGAAGACTCCAGTGGTTGCAGGGATCGGTGATTCGCACAGACCTTCTTTTTGAGGGCACTGGCATGAGGGAGATCGAGGGATGATCAGCCACCGGAGCAGCTTCTAGTACCTAATGCACCACGATGCGCTCAGTGCTCACCGTTGTCTGGAGGCGCTCGATTCCCTCGGATCCTAGCAAGATTTGTGAAGCCAACGTTTCCTTTAGGGGCAAGCGCAAGCGTCTCAGCCGGGCTATTATTACTCCCGGGTGTCTGTGCTCTCCATTATGCATGTCAGGCCTGAAAACTTGGCGGGGGGGGGGGGGGCATGTTCGGGCGCCGCGATGATCAGCGATGAGACAAGACAGGATCAGGGCTAACGCACCACCCCCGTCCAAAGCATCGATGTTCCTTGGAGACCGAGCATTCGACTAAAAGCCCGGCCGGTCACAAAAATTGGAGCCCTGTCGGTATGAGTGGGTGCAAGCTGGCAAAGTGGAAACCTAGATGGGCTTCCAAGTTTCCAGGACTGCTTCTCTTGCATGCTTAGGCGTTGGTAGGCGTCGGGAAGCCCAGAGAAGAGTGGGCACAAAGGGAGAGATAGAGAGACAGACACAGGTAGCTTCCTAGGCTGACTGGAAAGTGGACGCACAGGGTATGGCTTGGACAATCAACGCCCCTGTTCACTCGTCACAAGATCCGTCAGGCGGATTGTGAGGAATTAATTGTTTAAGCACATTAATCAGTAGAAGAGGCGAAAGGTTATTAACAGTTAGAGCATTGTGGAAAGGACAACACCCATACGCAGTCCAGTCGGTGATGAAAAAAGACGATGATGGCGATGGTGATGATGGCGCAGGCGGCGCGATTTCAGATCTCTCGCTGCCCCATAAACGAGAAGCTGGAGCCAGTCCAGTACGAACTAAGGGACAAGAGGCACTCAAATCAAGTGTTGGCTAAGCAGTGGCCAGTGGTGAATGGCCAGTCACGAGTCACGAGTGATGAACCCCCATTAGCGCCCGTCTCGTGGAGGTCAAGAGGTCAAGAGGTCAAGACTCGAGCCTTCCTGAATCGTCCCAAGCGTCCTTAAAGGCGTGGACGAGGAGGAACGGTGGTGATGCAATTGGACCCCCCGGGCGACGCGCATGGGCATGTCGGTGGCATGCCCAATGGGAAAAAGCCCTCGCAACCTGGCTTTAACTATCAGTGGCGCCCAGAACGGGAACTGTTAAGGTTTGTAGTTCACTAATAGTGAACGAGTTAGCTGGTATCTTAGTGCCTGAACGTAGGAGTACGGAGTACCATAGGTCCCTACAAGGGAGTCCTCCGTAAGCAGTGCCTGGCAGACTATGGGCCTCTGGGTGGCTGGCCGGCTAGCACAGGTGTCATGGCCCATGGTCCATGCCCCCCTCGACCTGCATTTGCGGGCTTGTGCCCCGTTTTCTTCTAGAAGGCAGCCTCCTTCCTTCTACCGCCTGTACCGCCTGTTTAGGGTCGAGGGTAGACGATGGAACCACCCCACCCAGCCACCCGACCTGCGCTGCTGATTGACCAGGCGAGGTCAGGTTGCCTGCTCTTTCCCACGTCTTGAGGTTCATCGTTTTATCGGTCATCGTTCAGGTTCAGGTTCAGGTTCAAGTTCAGGTTCGAGTTACAATTCCTGGTCCTGGTCCTGGTCCTCGTCTTGGTGCCGGTGCGTGTCGATTCCAACTGGCGTGGCACTCGTGCATCGACATCCAATACTCCGGACGGAGTTCTGTCTAACATTCCTATTATTCATTATTGTCCATTCCCTATATACTGTCACCTCTGGACTATTCCTTCCACACACGCACACACCACCCACGACCCACGACCACACCCACATCCACCACCACTCCATAGCGTCCGTCAATTTCGCAGTATTGCCGTCTATTGGGTGCGCTCAGAATATTCGATTCCTGTTATTGACTGAGCCGTCCACTTGTCAACTTGTCAACTTGTCAACTCTATCGCCCAGCGGTCAACGAGAAGCATTGAGTCCAGACAGCTACTGCTCTCACGGTCTGTCCCCCGCCACATCGCCGCCTCTTTTCCCATTACTGCATCGTGCACACCGAACCGCGCACTTGCACCACGCCTCTCCCGCAAACTCATCGTACTCATTGCTGATTCACCGGGCCACTGCCGGCTCATCAATCCTCCATCTTCGTCTCTTTTCGACGGTGGCGCTCAGTCGGCAGGATTCTATCTCTGTCGCTGAGAATGCGGAAAGCATCCTTCGTCCTTCTCCAATAACCTGAACCATTCGCTCTCCAACCTTCATTGCGCGCTTTGTGTACAGCGCCCTTCCTCTCGTCTTCCACTCACTCGACGTATGGCAGTGACAATGGACGGCTACGATCCTCTAGCAATGCCCTATTTACACAGTCCCATGCCCTTCACGGGCGGAAACTTGCAGAATTTGGATTATATGAGTGTACCTTCGGCCATGGATTTGGGAGATCAATACTCCAACTTCGATTCAGATGTCTACAGGTAAGTTCGCTCCTCGCGCTTCCCAGGCCCGAGGTCTTCCTTGTACTGACGAGTTCGCAAGTGACACTGGTTTCGACCTCCCTCCATCAACGGGATTGCAACATCCTGCAGTCCTCAAACGCTACTCCTCAGGCTTCGACGATCCTTTTGCTGAGGGCACCATGGCTCAATTCGACCAGATTCCAACCGAAGGACTGCCTGAGAGCCCCTCTATCGACCGCGACAGCAAATACCTCAGCTTCCATATGCCTCAGTACAACTATACCCTGCTTGACGATTCTTTCCGTCGCTCCTCGGTAAATATTAATGCCCAATTGCACGGCATGTTCTTTCTGGCAGAATCACAGTGGCCTGCTACTGCCGACACTCCTCCACCGCCACCAGAGCTTACCTGCTATAGACGGAATCTGTTCCAAATCACTGGTTCCGTCACCTTGCCTCGGAATCTAAGATACGTCTTCACCGATGACGGCTCCAGAATACCCATTTATGAGCTCGAGCTAGCAGTCTCCGCAACCGAGTCGGTGGAAAATAATGCGGTCAAAATCATCTCCGTGCCGTGGAAGACACCCGCCAGTGGCGAGGCCACCAAGCCCGACGACAAGGTAGAACGGGAGCCGCCCACGATTCCTCTAGACAAGATGTCCGGCCAGGAATTAGACACCGACTACACCACATTTCCCATCCAATGGAAGAGACTGCAATTCAGAATAGCAACTGCAAATAATGGTCGTCGAAAAGAACTCCAGCAACATTTCACCCTCCATCTCAAGATCATGGCATCGCTGTCTACCGGTGGCAAGATCTCAATTGCAGAGGCTCGCTCTGGTGCTGTCATTGTGCGAGGGAGAAGTCCTCGGAACTTTGCAGCACGTAAGGATTTACCGCTGAGTAGCTCCTCGACGGCGCGAAAGCATTTGCCCTCGGTCTCTCGAGCGAGCGCAAGCCAAACCTCCGTTCCTCAAGTCACCTCCGCACCTAAAGTAAAATCACCTCCAGATGACATGTCGCAAATGAGCAAAGTAGGCTATGAGGCCAATGGCGACTACAAACCAGCAGATCCGGCTGCATGGGTATCTCAAATACCCGGCGAATCTCTAGCTAACCCATATTCTGCCTCGATGAACCCTCCACCCATGCCGACGTTTGCTCACGACCAAACACCGGATCTCGGAACTCCAGGACAGACATTTCCGTTTACATTCCCACAAGAGATGCCAGCTAGCAACGGTGGTCCGTTAAGTTTACACTTCGGTAGTGACGATGAAGGTAGTCCATACCCTCCTAATCAGGGCAGCAGGCATTCTTCGCGGCCGCCAACGTCTAATCCAAGTCCAAGTCTCATGAATAAGGGCCAACCTCAGTCTCAAAGTGGCTCCTATCCTGGTCCTGGTGCAACCACCGGTCACTCACCAGGACACCTCGCCAGCATGGCTCAACAAGGCGGCCCTGGTACTCGCCCAAGGCTACACTCACACCAAGTCTCAATGACGAGCGTGCCGAGTTCGGGATCCATGAACGGCCCTTATCCGCATCCGCATCCCCATCACCCCAGACCAGAACTCGTTCCCATGCCTTCGTCCGGAAGCATCCCGTTCGCAAAGGTTGAAGGCGAGAATGCCGACCAACTGTACGAGTACTTCCCACTTGGTCTCGACGACTGGATGCCACCTGTCGATGCCGTCTTCCGCCCGCATGTTGTTCATCACAGCGGGCCTTTGCCTCCCGACCCGAGGTCACCTGGTGGCAGGCATACAAGCAAACGGTATTTCTCCGAGGTTGTATGAGAGGAACGAGTGACGAGGTCGAGCTATCCAGGAAAGTCCATCCATCTACAGTGGAACAGGTGGGAGAACAAATATGTGGAATTAACGAATGGAATGCATGGTATTTCTTTTGTCCGGCAAGGATTACGAGGGTAACACGGACGAGTGCATGCCTCGTATATCACAGGTCTACTATATGGCCATGCAAGGCCTCGGCAGGAGATATCCATCAGGACCACACCGTCGATTGCAAGATCGAGAGTTCTAGTACGCACTGATGGCAAATCATCAATTTGAACCTATGTTTCGCGAAGGAAACATAGATACTCACGGTAGCTGTATGTATGCATGTTTCTACCCGGCATACATATCAGCAGTCACGAAGAAAAAGGGAATGGAGTTAGGGAGGCAGGAAGGACCCAAAAGTGAAAGGAGGAAAGAGTCCCCACGGTATGATTTAAAACTCTGAGAGTATAGTACATGTGTATGTTGTCTCTTCTTTTTTTTATATATCTCTCGATACCCATCGCAGCAGAGCCGGGCGGTGATGATGATGGATGATGTGACAAATGAAATGAAAAATGAGAACAAATACAACAAAACATTGCCTGAATTTCCAATGATGATATTGATAACTCTCCATGTGACCTTTTTCTGTCTCTTCCGTGCGGAAGCAACATACCTAGGTACCTTCGTCTCAGCATACTTCGTTGAGGTCCGCCGTCCGCGGTGGGCCTTGGTTGGGATAATCCAACTCAGCCTTACGGGCATGTCAAAAGCCCGCTGGCTGTTTGCCTACGAAGAAATGGGTGATTGCTCTGGGTTGGGCTGGGGGCTGGGGGGGGCCTGTTGAGGACCTGCCTTCTTCGACGGTCGTGTTAGCAGCCATGCTGTGCCTTGCCTCTCTCCTGACTCTCCACGGTCTTTCACTACTACCCACGATGGAGTTACTACCACTACTCGCGTGATTCTCCAGTTTCCTAACCGACCCCCCCCCCCCCCCCCCGGCCATGTGAAGGGCTCCTGATCGATCTCAAAGTGCTGTGAACAAAGCTCCGGGGGCGCTCCCCAGTGTGCGAGGCGGGTCTATGAGCACACGGACGAAATGTTTCCAAAACCGAGGCTCAGGACTCCGTACCTCGTGGTAAGAAACGAGATCTCCACCGACAAACCACATTGGCCTTCTTCTCCGCTGTCAACCTCCACTATCATGCATCTCTCCTTCATTTCGGAGTCGTTTCTCGATTCGGACTAGACCCCTCGAGAGGCAGACGGTATGTACGGAGAATGTAAGGGACAAGGGAGACAATGAAAGGGCGGGGAGCAGCGTTTCATGGTACCCAATCGTCTTGTGCACCGTTTCTTCCCCAAGAATGAATCGAAAGGAACTCCGCTGATGCCCAGACGGGCTGTCACCTCGGAAGTAGGTCCCGTTGTTCGAGGTATCACGGTGCTTGTAGCAAAATGAGATTCACGAACTAGTAGTAGGTGCCTTTGACCTAACTGGAAGGCAGTGAGTGCTACGCGAAGGCTTCGTTCTATCAAATGGGGTTTTGTGCGTGTTTTTGTCATAAATCCAGACGCATTTGGATAGGATCCGTGCGTGGGAATGTAAAAATTAGCAAACCTCGGTGATTGAATTCACGAACCTCGCAGGTCAAGACCCGAGCCACAGATGTCCGATTGGAGAGAGACGAGTTTGAAAGCAGGGCCGGTTGCAAACTTGTCCCAATCACCAATCACACGAAATGTCGCTGACAAGGCAGAATTGCAGAACAAGCGAAGATGATTGGAAAGTAACTTTTCGGAGGCGGCCGAGGCGATCAGATACGAGGGAAGGTCGTGGTGTTTCGACGCATTCGCTTGACGGAAGACAAGGAAAAGGTTCCTCCTGCACGATGACGAAACAGGAACTTTGGAGGCATTGTTGTGTTTCCTCAGATGACCTACGAGTAGTGGCAAGGGAGCCTTTAGCGTTGTGGATTATTAAGCATGTCCAGATGGAATTTGTGGTGGTGAACGATGCCAGGAGGGACGAAAATTCGGACCATGGTCAAGGTCTCCTGAATCAAGACAGGTTGTATCACTGGAAACATTTGTAGACGAAAGATGCAACCAGCAGGGTTGGTATTGCAACTGGCCGAGAGAAGCGGTGTAGGATTGTCACAAAGATAATGGTACCTGTATAACAGCGGCTGGCATATTGTGACTCGGCAATGAAGAGTGGAGATGAAGGTATGGAATGTTCCGTTGGCAAGGATGGAGGGCTGAACAACCGGGACAAGATATTGACCAAGTGACAGTGCAGAAGCGATCTGTTTGGCGGTTAGAATCGGTAGGATTGTGTTTTCCTGGTTGACGGGGTTAGTGGGTGAAAGGGAACATGGGTTGCTGCAGCCTCCTCCGCGCGTGCATGAGAAGGATTCCCTGATGGGTCTCCGGTGGAGTTTGGAATCTGCATAGAAGCGACCGCAGAAGGAGATGGGTCACTGGAAGAAGGTCAAGAAAGGAAACGTGGGACAGGAAAGGTCGATACGGTGGTTGTTCTCAGAGACGATCCTGGTTCCTCGCTTAATGTGCCCACTGCCCGCTATAGTAGTGACGAGCACAGGAAGAGTGGGAGATTCGGTTCAAACTGCTCGAGTAGGACAAAAGTATGGCCAGGGAGGAGGAGGGACTCCGTAAGCAGGGGCGGCAGAGATAGGGATGACGAACGAAGGCTTGGAATCGAGGCTAGAGGATGAACGCGCAGTCATACCAGTGCTGTGCGAGGTATTGCATTATGCGGGAAGTGTTTTGGGAACTGGTACTCCGGAGAGGACTTGGACATGGGGACAGTGAAGGAATGGCACACGATGGACATAAACCTTGGTTGGTAGAAATGCAATATGAGCCGCAGCCGACAGAAATTGATTAACCGTTGAATGTGTTGGATGGAGCAACCCGCAGCCTCTGCATCCATACAATCTGTGCGTAAGGAAGGCATGAAACCAAACATGTGAAAGGGCAGGAACGACCACCTCGGATTCTCGGCAGAACCGGTGAAGGAGGCAACCAACCACGGCAGGCGGGGGCTCCTGCCATTCCAGTCCAGCCAACATATCCTCATCATGTGACCCACGATTCGCATTACTCCTTTCGGTTTTTGACTTCAACCCGCATTGTCTTCCACATCCATCCATCCATCATCATCGTCCCAATTCCGCCCTCGTGGCCTTGCCTTGCATATACTTTGGCTCGTGGGATGAATATCAATCCCTTTATTTGACTTTCGCGTCCATCACCCCAATCTCATTCGTGCCAACTCCCCCCGTTTCTCTTCCCCGGCCCCTTCCAGGCTGTGCAGTGCTTCCCCGTGCAATATGCCTTTTAGCTACCAATATCCGTTTCCAAGCGACCAATCTGTATCGCTAGGCTCTTGGATCCTCTGCCAACATCCGACACTACTCACTCGTGACTCATTCAAACGGCGCCCGGCTACTATGAGGACAGGTCACGCTCAGCATGCCAGTCCCTTATCCGCGCTCGTATACTGCTCCCTTCCGGGCAACTTCCGCTCGTCCAGACTGACTGTGGACCTGTTTTGTGGTAGACCGGCACTCTTCTGATCAATCCGCGAGGCTATTCTAGCTTTCTGCCTGGTACTTATTTTCGGGCCGTTCAAGGACTCGTGCTAAGGATTACCTCTACCAATGGCCCAGTGAGTTCCGAACATGGAGCTACCTGCTGGGGTGAAGGCCTCAATGGCAATCCCGCCCGTCATGGTACTCGTGATCCAATGCATATCACTTGACAGCTCTAATCTCCTACACAGGGCAACAAACATGAAGGTAGCTACTACTATATCACCCATTCGGACTCTCTCGCGGATTCTCTTTCGCACTCTTTCCCAGTACCACTCGAGAAAGACCATACCGTACCTGCTGATTTCATCCTTGTATCACTACTCGTTGCTTAGGGGCCGGCTGTTTGAACACAATATTACCTTGTCACTTCTGTGTGTAACACCAATCTACCAGTACCTGTACGTTTTACGAGCCCTCCATATTTTTTTGCCTTATGTTTGCCACTATGGACCGTCGTTCCGGACCACAGCCTCCTGGCAACCCAGACGGGTCTGTTCCACGGACGCGTTCCGCCCCTGTTGTTGGTGGAACAACTAACCACCAAAATATCAAAAGTACGATTCAGACTTGCTGTTCTGGTGGTCATGTACACGGGTGTGGCTGTGACTGCCCAGGCTGCTCATGCCGATCCATCCCTTTCAAGAATGAGTCCAATAGAAATGCCTACAACGGCGAAGGGGGAGTCCCTATTCCGGCAGTCAACATGTCAGATTATGACAGGAGAGCGAGCTCCCTCTCTAGCAATGATTCCGATCTATCACGGGAGCTCGAGAACAGCTATGAAGCTGATGACTCTCTCAGTGATTGGTTGGAAAACGAGGACCTTCATCAAACCAATTCTGCGCACCATGTCGTGATTGTGGCTGTCGAAGCAGCCTTCAACGCAGATGAGGTGGATGATTTCCCATTTCGTCACTTCACCAGCCTACCTCAAAGCACGGCCACTGATGAAGTTTCGGACATGTTCTTTGACAACATGGAGGGAAGCTCTATCAGAACCGATATGGGTGGATCACACAGCGCTTTCGCTTCGACTCTCTCAGACTACCAGTCAGCATGGACCCAGAACAGCTTAACCACCAGTCAGGTCATCACCTGCACGGGAACATCCTTCCCCCCGGTCAACAACTTCTTGCCCTTGACACCTGAATGTCGACACCAGAGAACTCGTCAGATGTGCAGGCATTGCTTTCACTATTGAATTGCAAAATTGACGCTACACAACGATGATCAAGACTGACGCATTCTCTTTGGGGTACGGACACGTTGCTTGGTTGAGGATTGGCAAGGAGTTAGCACGATGATTGAAGGTGTGAGATGCTGTTCAGATGTGTGGGCGGCTGCGGCCTATGGTCATACTTCTCTTTCATGGGGTGTTCCACGATGATGATTTTTTTCATTAAGCCTACTGTTTCAACTATACCTTATCTTGCGCAGAGCAATGGAGCGTGTGCGATCGTTCTTGGGCTATTCAGTTGCGGTGTCGTTGTTCTATGTTAGCGATACGTGACAGAACACATTCCATTTCCATCTCTAATGCTCTGCCGTCCGTCTCATCTGATCATGTGTAAGCAGTATCCCGCAGGCTGCCCCGCTTCCATCCAACGGCCTGAGCCCCTCGGCGGCTTCCCCAATTTATTTTTTGTTCCAGAAAGCAACCCCCACATTGACGTCCATCACACAACCGAGTTCAAGTTCAATCCGCACTTCATTGAACTTCCCAAGACTGCCCTTTCTGTCCACGAAACTGTTGACGCCTCCGTGGCTTGCTATAAAGATACTGGTACAACTTACCAGTCCCTACATCGAAGCACCCCTCTGCCATTGAACCCGCATCTAGACTCGAGCTGTTTTAATGTCTCCGCCAGCCATCATCGCACCCTCGATCCTAAGCGCGGATTTCGCAGCGCTGGGTGCAGCATGCTCAAAGACCATTGGAGAGGGTGCGGACTGGCTACATGTTGATATCGTACGTTCCATTCTGCTCCACCCCGCCTGCACCCCTCTGGCCGCCATCTTTCCGCCACTGGCCGGTAAATTGGACTGGCTCAAATTTGTTGAGCCTTATGCTGCAAACATGATCTGCTAAGATGATGAACTCGTGGGACGAGTACAGATGGATGGCCATTTCGTCCCCAATATCACGTTCGGAGCTCCTGTCGTTACAAAGATCAGATCCCACGTCGATCGGCCGAAGGCTGCTGGCGGAAAAGGCACGTTTGATTGTCATATGATGATCTCAGAGGTAGGGTTTTGAAATACTTGCTTTTACTTCCAAAGTGGCGTCTCCAGACTGGAAGAGGAGGGGCGATAGGCAGAGCAGAAAATGAAACATCAGCATCCTTAGGACGAAAGACACCCACTTCCACCATCTGCCGTTCTCTCTCCCCCCACTGCCCCTCCGCGTAACGCAAATTGTGTCCTTGTTGATGGGTACCCTAGCCACACCGATGGGCCAGCACATTTCGCGACGCCGGGTGCGATCTCTACTGTTTCCACTACGAAGCAGCTGTCACGTCCGTGGCCGCGACCAAACCCGAAGACACCAGCGTTACGCGTCCAACGTCGCCGAAGGAGCTGATCCGGTACATCCACGAGCTGGGCATGCAAGCAGGCATCGCCATCAAACCAGACACCAGCGTTGATGTCCTGTGGGAGATTCTAGAGAACCCAACCAAGGAGGAAAGACCGGATGTATGAATTGCCCTGCCCCCTTCCCTTCCCTCTCAATCCAAATTTGGTGTGGAAGAAAGAAATCCAGTCCAGCATCTCTGAAGCTAACCCTACTGCCTCCATTTCCCCTCCAGATGGTATTGGTAATGACCGTACATCCGGGCTTCGGAGGCCAGAAATTCATGGCCAGCGAGCTGCCCAAAGTGTCGGCGCTGCGGCAGAAGTATCCCGACCTCAACATCGAAGTCGATGGTGGTCTCGCCGAGGGCACGATCGAACAAGCAGCAGAAGCCGGTGCGAATGTCATTGTGGCTGGAAGTGCCGTTTTTGGAGCCAAGGATCCCGGCCATGTCATTCAGGTGCTCAGAGAGGCTGTCGAAAAGAGGAGGGCTGGTAAGCTATAAGAGATCGCTTTTCCGATGTCGACCCTAGCGAACCAAGTAGCTTGATTTTTTTGGACCGGTTAAATGGCGATTGGGGAGGGCCACGCCGTGAGCAACAAACATCAGTCATTGAGGGATGCCTTTCCACAAAACGAACATTACACAGGCCCCGTCAAGTAATGAGATGCGGCTGCTCCGCTGCTCCCGCCGCCACCGGAAATTGCGTAGACGAATATATCTATAGGTATACACCGAGCTGGGACACCAGAAGCGCCATGGCATCCTCTCCTCCTCCTTAGCTTAAAGATGGTTCTCGTTTAGTCGATTTGAATGACAGGCCAGCCATGAGGGAAGAAGAAGACGAAAGGGTGTGGTTGCATGCGTTCATTTCTTTGGATCAGCAGAATAGAACAATGCCGGAACATTGGTTCATGGTTTGATTGTGCTTTGACGACCCAAGCAGATATTTTCTCGTGTTCTCTGGCATATATAACATACCGCGGCTAAATGCGAGAGCTCTCTCGCTGTGCAAGGCTGGTCAACTCACCTAGGCCACACACGCCCTTTGAGTCTACAAATCTTAGCGAGCAGGCAGGCAGGCAGGTCCGTCAGTCGGTCGACTAAGCAATCGATACTCAATAGCCACTCCTTCCCTTCACGACGCCGCCAGCACCGCCGCCCTTTCCATACATGGCCCTGACATCAGCAATCAGATGATCCGGCCTCTCATAGGCAAAGAAATGGCCACCGGAGTCGTGCGTCGTCTCGAACACCACGTTCCCCTGGGTGCGGGTCCACACGCTCGGCAAGACCCTCAGCTCAGCAGGCGAGTGCGTGAGGCCCAGCTTGACGCCGCCGCCGATCCACTGGCGGGTGCGGTCGCGGGTGACTCTGCGGGCGGGATTGTCCCATTCATGGGTCGCCTCGTAGTAGATCCTCAGGTTCGCGGCGGGGCCCGCGGTCGAGAACCAGTAGATGCTGACCCACGTGCAGACCTCGTCGTCCGTCCAGGGGTAGTGGTCCGTCCAATCGTGCAGTTTCTCGTAGATCCAGCCCAGCAGCCCGACCGGCGAGTCGGCCATCGAGTAGCCCAGCGTTTGTGGCTTCGTGCTCTGCTGCGCCCGGTAGCCCGAGCCTTGCTCCAGGAACCACTTCGTGCGTTGGAGTCCTTTGGTCTCGTACTCCGTGTACGGCGTCACCGCGTGCTGGAGAGCCAGGAGAGGGTTCGTGCTGAGCGTCGGCGCCTCGCCCTGGTCCATGTTCACGTGCGTCGCCTTACAGTGCTCCGGGTAGAGCAGGCTGATTGCCCGCGTGATGTAATAGCCCCAATCGCCTCCCTGCGTCACGTACTCGCTGTACCCCAGCTTCAGCATTAGTTTGTGTGCCGTCTCGGCATACTGCGCCAGTGCAAACCCTTTCTTCTTCGCCGTCTCCGAGAATCCATACCCCGGCAGACTCAGGGCGACGAAGTGGAAGGCCGGGGCGTTGGATCCTGGTTCGGGTGACGCCAGCTTCTCCCAGATCTTGCTCGCTTCAATGAAACTGCCAGGCCAGCCGTGGACGAACAGCAATGGGATGGCATCCTTGACTTGCGATTTCTGATGGACGAAGTGGATTTTCAGCGGTTCAAAGCCGTCGACGGCGATGGAGGTCGTGAATTGTGGCAGGGTGTTCAGTTGCTTCTCCGCGGCCCGCCAGTCGTGTTGGTCTTTCCAATAGGCGGTCAGGCGCTTCACGTCCGCCAGAGGTGATCCGTATTCCCATCCGGCGCCCTCCAGCTCGTCCGGAAACCGCGCCAGCTCGAGACGGAGCTTCAGGTCCTGGATCGCCGAATCCGGGATGGAGATTGTGAATGGTTGGATGTCTGCCATTTTTCAAGGTGTTGTCGTTGCTGCTGCTGCTGCTGCTGCTGCTGCGACGAAGGACAGATTAGGTTGAGTCTAGGTTGGTGCGATTCAGTAGAAGGAGGGAGCGCTAAACTTCAAAGTCAATATGCTCTTTATAGATGGAGCAGAGAAAAGGAAGCAGTAGCTGTGAGAGGTTCAACTTTTAAAGATCCGTGGATTCTCCTGATATGGGTTTCCAGCTTGTGTTCTAAGATCAAACCAAAACCTACTTTTAGGAATGGCTCAAGATCAATGTGGCCACCAAGTATGTATGCAGAGAAAGACCGGGCCTCATACATAAACATCGAGTCGTCGGAACGGCGCACCTCGCGACACAACGGCTGTGGCCAACGGGATAGAGGGGGGAGTGGTTCGGGTAGTTGATCGGCACGACCGAGCACGAAGAGCTCCAGCAGTCGGTAAACATGCCGCCCGGTATGGCTCCTGACTAATTGCAGTAACTGATAGGATGTCCGCAGGATGTTCGAGTTCCACAAACAACATTGCGAGGTACATTCGCACCCACGTTTACCTATTAGGTTTCTTATGTAATCCTCCCCCACCGCTTGTCATCCGATACGCAGCAAGCAATCAACGCCGAGACACGCATGGCCTTTTTCCAGATGCCTTTCCCGCCCTTGGTCTGATTAATCTTGAGGAGGAGAATTTGGCGTATACGCCTTTGGAGGCCTGATGCATACATGCTTGACCCTCGAAGAATTCTGCACGACAATATGGATCAATCTAACTTAGCCGTTGATGAGTGACGAAGGGCTGTTGAAGGCTTTCACATTCAAGGAGGAGGAGGGGGGGCGGCCTTGCCGCTGAAGCCGTGCGCAAGCATACAGTATACCAAGTCCTGATACTCAGTCTCATCATTTTGCGATGCACACAACATGCCCACACCCGGATGAAGGCTACTGTTTGAGGTCTCGGAACGGGAATCCTGAGAAGCCAGAGCGGCAACAGAAATGAGCCCGTCACACACACCGTAACCCATCTAGAAATGAGCGAGGCGATGACATTTGGCGATACATCGACAAGGATGATCAGGGTTCAAGAAGGCAATGAAGTAGACTTGGCCAGCCAACGAGGATTGAAGTGAGTGGGAGCAGGAGCAGGAGGAGGAGGAGGAGGAGGAGGACCCGAGCACAGTCTCTCCAAACAGATACAGGGTTAGTATAGTTCAACAGTCAACGGGAACTAACTCCCTGAGTGCCTGGCCCGCAGAAAGTTGAGCCTCAACCAGGGATAATCCGACCGAAAAGGCAAACACACCCTTCCGGCCAGACAAGGCTGGCCACCTGTTCATCGACATTCGGCTGCCACGGTTGCCTCTTGCTACCCAGCACAGAAAGGCAAACAGGCGCCTCGAGTCCATCAGCCTGAGATACTGAGAAACTGAAAACCTGTCCTGGCTCTGATATCGAGGAATATAAGACGTAGGCAGCTGCTCTCGTCCAGCCTTATTTCCTCTCCTTTTCCCTGCCTCTCTCGCAGCTCTACTCGACCTGACAATCGAATCTTCACAATGTGGTCGTCGCTGCTTGCAGTACCACATTCATACGCCTAATTGCTACTCACTGCTCTGATGTAACGCGGTTAGAGACCAGACCTTGCCTCCTAATGCTCAGTTGAGACTTCGATGTTCTCACCGTCGCTCCCAGGAAAATTGGAAATCTTCCTCGATCCGGGAGGATGAGAACCAAAGGATATTGTTGCCATGCCCGGCAGGGTCGTTGAAAGAGCACACAAACACGTGAATCTGGAAGGGATGGCCCCTGCTTCTATCTGCCTCGTTGGATCTAGCATATCTGTCGACCAATTGTGGTTGCTCTCCCGCCTGAACGCTGGAAACAGCACTGCCCGGGCCAATGGTGGTGCTCTCGATGCGCTGAAACTGGCGCCCGCGCAGACACCGCCACTGTGCTGGCAGCGCTGGAAATGGTGTTGATCTTGTACAAAATACCGGATTTACTAGGACTTCTTGAGAACATGGAAAATCTGGTATTCCTATCAAATTGAAAATCCCCCTGAAATTCAAGCAGAATTGACCGACCTCCTGGCACCTTCCGCGTTCATTGATCAGGTCAAACTTCAGAGTCCTCATGTCCTTCAGTAAAACAGCCAAGATGCCTGGTTCTGCCCCGAAATATCAAACCCCTGTCAAGGGCAAAAATTCAAATCTCAAACCCGTGCAAGCCGTGCAAGCCTCGGGGTCGTCCAAAAAGGACGATTCGAAGAGCCAGAAAGTGACCAAATCGACAACCGGGGTCCCTAAAACCATACCCAATGCCGGAAAGTACGCTGTATGATCCCCATTACCTCAATAGCGGCATAACTAACCGTGATCACCATATATTCAGAGTCTCAGGGGAGAATTATGGTCCTATGGACAGTGGCATCAATTGGGGGCCAAGTGACGCATTTTCCAGCTTCCTCCTTGACAACAGCAATGTGCACAACCGGCTGCATGCCCAAACAGAAGGCCAGCGTCAGCTATCGCCTCAAGAGCGCAGGGACCAGATGAGAATTTCGGTTCATGGGTGGGAGTTGCCGGATTACGAGTCTTACTATGAGATACGGTCACCAGGTCTGCAGAGTGCAAGCGACATGGATGCTCTGCTGAGCCAGGTGGGAACTTGGCCAGGGGTCTCGGACATGTACACAAGCCCCGTGGCTCGGAAAGTCGAGGAACCCAAGCTCAACGGGCCCGACACGAATCGAGCGCAAAGGCCAAGAAACCTTCCACTATAGGGCCGTGGTGCTAGAGTCACTTATCACCATGGTGTTAGACTTGCAGGTGTCCATCGAAGGCTCGGTGCTGACGAGCTTGTCCCATGTGAACAAGAGCTGTGAGGACCAGCTGTGTCTGTAGATGGGCAGCGGCAACAGTGGTTGGAGAATGATCATTTTAGGAGCTTGTTTGCGCTTGATACGAGAAATCCTAGCTTTGTGACAAGATGGGCTTCACCCCGGCGGCTTGAGTGTTTTACTCTGTCCAGTATCTGGCGGAAAAAGTGCTCCAATTTCCAACTGATCCTCGGCCCCAGGCACCGATGAACCACTGAATTGAGGCTGGTCTAGCCCAGAGTACAGAAGGTCTGGAAGGGCGTACTCCAGCGCCACCTGGCTAGTTCCTGAGGGATGTGAATATTGAGTGGAATCCTGCGCGGCGGCTGAGCTTCCCCAAGTCAGATCGCCTTGGGATGGCGGTAACTCGCCAGAGCTGATTTCTGATTGTGGTGCCCACTGTTGGTGTAAGAACAGGAGACTGTTTTGTGGATTGCCGTAGTAAGCGTGCCCATTGTCCACAGCATGAAATTCCTCAGGCTCATCCATAATGACCCGTGGACCAAAGCCATCCAGCCCGTCTCTTGGATCGGGGTAAGTTGGGCAGTTATCCTCCGTTGTATTGAACGTTTCAGCCAAATCGGTATCTGCAGGGCAGTACTGGATCTGTTGTTCAAATCTTGCGGAGGGTCCTTGCTCGTCAAATTCCATTAGGCTGAGGTTGTTGGAGGGTCGCCTTTGTTGCCATGTTCTCACATCATCGGGAGTGGGGCAAGGGTTGAGATTATTGAGTATTCTCCATCCGACGCAGCGGATCGTATCACGAGTATTTGGTTCACAGAAAGGATCAGGAATACCTGCCTTTTCGAGAACATCGGGAAAGACGATCTGGTAGATCTTTTCCCACTTGCCTATACCTGTCAACTTGCCCCTCAACGGTGATTTTCGAGAAAAGATGTTGTGGAGTTCATCATCTTGGTCTTTGCCAAAGCCCCGTAAATATCCCTCTGCCAGGCAGTCCTTGCTATGTTTATCACATCGACTCTGTTGTTTGAAACCCTGGTGACAGCTCTCGCAGAGGAACTTGAGCCGATGAGCTTCATACAAGTGACCCTTCAGGCGATGAAACTCAGGGCCTTCTTGGAATCGAAATTTCCCGCACTGCGCCCACATATCTGGGCGACGGCAGTAATATGGGCACATGAATGGTTTTTTCCTGGCTTGGAACAGATCGTCATCCACCTCTTTGTCCCTTTTACTGGGCTTGCCGTTGTCATCGTCTTGACCGTTCTCGGAGTCGTCACTAGTGCTCCGTCGTCTTTTTTGGCCCCTTTGCCTCCCTCGAGGCCTTGACTGGCCGGGCTTTTGATTCCTTGTTGAGCTAGGGATGTTGGAAGACGACTCACCCCTGCTCACCGGCATGTGAAAAATATGTGGGACTGACTGAAGGATCGAGAATGCTTTACGACTTCCCACAGCTCCATCAGAGGATCGGGACATAGACGTGGCGAGGAGACTGATAACGAGCATAGAAAGCAATATATATAAGCATTGTGGTGTTGCAATGGGGTGCGGAATTGCATAACACGGTGTTGGGTTGAGAGGGCCATGTTGTGCTGTGACATCTCTCGATGTGATGTCCAGACACCCAGGAACGGCCAGGACCGATGGCACAAAGGGTACTGACGATACTTGGTGATTGAGGTTTCCAGTGTATGGTGAAGATTTCAGGATTGGAGATAAGTTTTCAGAGTCCGGTATCAATACCGTCAGTGGCATGAGTATGCTCACAGATTTGTTTGGATGTACTGCCCGTACGACAAATCCCACGGTAGTTGGAATCATCGTTACCGCTTGGGTCTTTCGGCTGTACGAAGATATGCCACTAATATCGATGATGATCCTTGGAATGCTGAAACAATCTGCGTGTATGGGATGCAGACAGAGAGCGGCTTTGACAAACACAGCCTAGTCGAGCCGGGTAGGGGTTGTGGGTTTTCCACGATGGTGCATTTATAGCACCATATTAGCTGGAGCTTTTGAGGAGATAGTAAAGAGTCCCCAATGGTGGTAGCAGAATCAGTTGCAGAAGTGGCTCCTGTTGCAAGTCAATGAGAGGCTGCCTTGGTGGCCAGCGGTCAGGTTGATGGATGTCAGCGAGGCTATCATGTATCCCGAATCCGATGGAGCAGCCCTTCCTTGATGGCCCTGAATCTCCTACTCCACAAGTTCGAGGAAAAAACTGCTCCTCGTGGGAGGTTTCAATGAAAGGCGATGAGCGAACGGGAACAGACAAAGACCGAGACATGACTTGCGACGTGCGAAGCCGACTTTTTGTTATCTCCCAAAGCTGGCTTCATTCTCGAAAATCGCAACGCCGATTTTAGCGCTGGAACAGAGAGGGTGGCGACTTTACGCGGCAAAGCCCATGCATAAGGTCCGGTGCCCGACTGAAGAAAAAGGATCAATGGCATAGTCCGTTCGTTCGGCCAGCATTGAGCCGTAGTGCATTAGTGACTTGTAGGCCATGCTAATGGTTTAGAGCGACATGTACTGACGGGTTCGGGGTGAGGCTCACGGCTTGGACGTCCGAGTAGGCTGTCTCCGGGGCGGTTTTTCTGAGGGAGGCTCAGATCAGGCACCTGTCCTTGATGACAGCATTCACCAATCACAAGGCAAAAGCAAGACGTTGGCCTAAGCCGCCCTCCAAATTACGTATCTTGTAGACAGAGGCGGTGCTAGATAGCAAACTCCGGAATCCATTGCCAAAGTTCGGATGTGCGGGCGAATCAATAATTATTGAGTGAAGCAGGAGGGGATTGAACTTTTATCAGGATCAGATGGAGGCAGATGCACCCAGCCGCCAGTACGATGTTCGTGTCCAGTACGATGTTCGTGCTTTCTCAAATACTGGACCTCGGGCACATACAAGTTACAACATGAGCCGACTGTCGTAGTATAATCGGTAGCATAGCAAATAGTAGTCAGTGGGGCTCGGACGCGGGAGACATGCAAGACATGTCCATTCTTATTTTTACTGGGGTACTCCCTACTAATATATATCACCCATCGCCGAGGCCAACAGAGATTTGTGAAATGAACACCATATATTTCAAGGCACTGCATAACCCAGTGGATTTCAGACATCCGCAACTCAGCACCGCTAGCATTCCACCTCCAAAGGTCAAAATGAGAGTCCCAAGGGATTGGCAGCAGCTGTCGGGTTACCAGCGACTTTAGCTCCAGTAGAAGTCTTCGGTGCTGATGCTGTGCTGGCCCTAACAGGGGCTCCCTTCTTAGCCGTAGCAGCCGGTTTCGATGCCGTCGATGACTTGGCCGGTGCGGTCCCAGCCTTCCTCATAGCTCCAGGATTTGGTGCCGCCGACGAGGTCGTCTTTTTCACCGGCACTGCAGTAGAAGTGTTACTCTTCTTCACAGGAGCCGCTGCCGCCTTGGTGGACGGAGCAGGCAATGCCTTCTTCGGAGCTCCACCTGTGACTTTCTTCTGAGGCGCCGTCTTGCTGGTCGTCGTCAATGGTTTGGAAGTATTTGACTTGGGTGGTGCTGAGTAGATCCGAGGACTAGTCACATTTGTTTTTCCTTGGACCTTTCCACCAGATAGTCCAAGAGGGTTACCCGCCGTTTGTGCTCGGCTGCCCGATGCTGACGTCCAATCCATGATTCCGTTTCCATAATCCAACACGCCATCTCCATACCTTTTAATTGATCTGCTGATCCCCTCACCCACACCGTTGATGCCACTGCCCACAGCACCGACTGCTCCGCCTGCATATGAGCCTGCACTGGACACAGCGTTCGACACAGTTGGCGCGAGCGCGTCAGAAACCTTGTCGAGCACCCACTGAGTTGCCATCGTTTATGAAGTTGTAGCGGGAGTCGTGGAGGGCGCCGACTTCCTGGGTCCGAGTTTTGGTGGCTTGCGTCTAGGTTGTTCACTAGTCTGCGAGGCTGTGTCAGAGAGTTCAGTCACTTTCCCCTGAGCCGCGTGAGGCTGTTGCTTGGGGTTCAGAGACTGGCGAGTCGAGGTCAACTTCTCTCGCGGAGGAGGTCGAGGAGTGCGGCCGCTAGTGCTGTTGTCGACAGGTGTTTGTTTTGGAGGTAGTTTTGGAGCCGTTCGAACTTTCCAGTCAGGCTTCGCCTTGGGGGCTGTGATGCCTCGGGTGGCAGTGATATTGATAAAGTCCTTATCAAAAAACACGTCAAACGATACGTTAGGCATCGGGATAGATCACTCAGTCACACATAGACTGGGAAGTGGCGCCAACGACTTTTCAACAATAATGAGAATTTGTGATGTCAAGAAGCTGCAGCTCTTGTTGGATCTAGAGGGCGGTAGAATCTATGCTGGGGGTGATGAGGTCCTGTTATGAGGATGGAGGAGGCGAGGAATTACTAACGTCATCCGAAGCAGAGGAACCGCACCGCCACAGGGAAGATGCCCTGTTTTCCTGCTTTTTGACATTTTAACCGCCGAATCCTTGTCCAAAGCCCAGTCTGGACAGAAATGACCAGGGTCGGGCCCTTGAATTCCCATCTCTAGGATCGAAGATTGGCATGCCGATGACTGATTGAGCAGGGATGATAGGAACGGACAATTCTTCCATTTGTCTGTACTCTGAGGGTCCCCTGAGTGATTCCCATCCTAAGAACTGAACCGACTGCAGTGCCGTGCCACACTCGACATCGAAATGGGCGTTCTCTTTCGTGGGGACGTCCAATGGGCGCATCGGCACCCGTGTGCCCTGAAGCTCATTGTCGTTGTGTGCTCACCCTTGTTCAGACCCTGCTGTTACACAGTCTGCTACGTCAGAGGTGGCGTCCACTCAAGGGCCCCAAGCCCAGCGATCTCCAGCCTTCTCAGACATATCCTGTGTTCTTATTCTCTGAGAAACGGCTTACTGGGGAGCTCGCGGCATTCAACTTGGCCAAAATGAAAGCAAAACCAAGGATCTGCAGGTAACACAGAAATGTCCACCATATCCAAAGCGCCAGCATTGGAGCCGGCCGCGGGCTTCTCACTCGAATCGAAAGCGAGCCGGCCTGATCGTGTGCCACTCCAAAAAGGTGAATTTTCTGTGGCTTCACGAGCCGTTGCATTATCAACGTACTTTCTCTCTGGCGCACTAGCAATCAATCTATCTCAATTTCTCGGTGCACCGCTATCTTTGGTCAACGAAGACTGGTACAACGCATGGATTGCATTTACGAAGCAGTCTTTTGGGCTGCTCACGATGACATTGACGCAGACATTTGCTCCGACCAAGGTTATCGTATCAGGGGATGCTTCTGTACGAGGTCAATTGCTAAAGTCCGCGGAGGGTAATCTGACCCTAGATTTCCCTGAAAGGTTGGTTCTGATTGCCAACCACCAGATATATACAGACTGGTTATATCTCTGGTGGATTGCATATTGCAATGGAATGCACGGGCGACTCTACATCATCTTGAAAGAATCCCTCAAGAAGATTCCCGTTCTCGGCTGGGGCATGCAACTCAGCCAATTCATCTTTCTCAAGCGAAAATGGGAGGAAGATAAGCCCAACATGGCCATAGCGCTGCAGAAGCTGAACAAAGTGGCGGATCCAATGTGGCTATTGTTGTTCCCAGAAGGAACGAATCTGGCACCCAGCACCCGTGCCAAAAGTGCTGCATGGGCAAAGAAGAACAACATATCTGACATGAAGCACGTCTTATTGCCACGCAGTACAGGTCTACAATTCTGCCTCGATGAACTGAAAAACTCTGTGGATTATGTCTATGATTGCACGGTGGCCTATGAAGGCGTGCCTAGAGGTCAATATGCGCAGGACATTTTCACCTTGAAGGCTGGCTATCTCGAGGGTCGACCACCGAAAAGTGTCAATATGTATTGGCGACGTTTCACTGTCAAGGACATTCCGTTGCACAGCGAGAAATTATTCAACCTGTGGCTAACAGCCCGCTGGCGTGAAAAGGATCTTCTGATGGAACATTATCTTCAATTCGGGCAGTTCCCAGCAGATAGGGGCGGCACGAGGTACAAGTCTGGAAAGGTCCTTCGTGGCTGCGGCCACATGGAAGTTCCAATCCAAGCAAGTCGGTGGTACGAATTCTTGCAAATCTTTGCGCCGATGGGTATCCTTGCCATGGTTCTGGCTATCTTCTACGGAGATCTCCCGAAGAAGTTCTGGAAGAGCATCAATAAGCAAGCTGTACACTCTGGGACTGAAGACATCAAGAGAGTCGGATCGCAGGCGGCGAACGAAGCGAAAAATTTATCCACTTCGGCCCGCGGCCTGACCCTGGACTCATTCTTCGATCCCGCGCAACAAGAAGAGACATTCAAATCTGGTGCAATGGCAGTCCAGAAACTTCTCACCTCACCCTCTGCACAGAAGCTACTCGGCAGCGCAGATTTCATCCAACAATTCCTCTCTGATCCGCAGAAAATGGTCACTGATAGTATCACAACCAAGCAGAAATCTTTCATGCAAGACTTAGCAATTGAGGAGGCAAGAAGGCAGCAGAAGACAGTGCCTGGGGCACCTGTCGGTTCCGTGAAGTCACTTAGAAACGGCACCGTCGCCAAACGACCGAAGGGCACATTTTGGGATACTCTAGAAGCGGAGGAGAGGAGCAGAGATGGCACAGTCGTCCACAGAGGACAAAAGGCAAAGTTCTGGGATGCATTGGATGCGGAGGAGAAGAGTCGACAAGGTCCAGCAAAGCCACAACGCAAAGGGACATTCTGGCAGGACCTCCAAACGGCCGAGGAGAAAAAGGGTGGTGTAAGCAAAGGCAACTTCTGGGAGAACGTGAAAGCTGAGGAGAACAGTCGATATGGCACTGTTGTCACCCTGTCAAGCAATGACTCGACAGCCGTTGGCAGCATAAGCTCAGGCGTGACGAAAAGCTCCGCACCGAAACTAGGGCTGAGGAAGGCGGATTCGAGCATTGGGCCGACGAAGAACCACCCAAAGCCGATATCGACAACAACTTCTACCTCCAGCGGACCGACAAAGAAGCCCACAGTCCAACAACCCCAACAGAAACCACTCCAGAATCCGCCCTCGTCAACAACAACAACAACAACAACAATAACCTCAAACCCGAGACCAGAAACCACAGCCCGTCCAACAGCAGCAGCAGAAGCAGCAGCGAAACAACCGACCAAGCCACGGCCCACCAAGACGAACATCAAAGCAGCCCCTTCGAAGCCTCCAGCATCAATTCCGTCCTCAAACAAGCCCAACAACCCAAAGCCAACGACCGCCACTTCCACCGCCAACACGAAAGCAAAAGCTCCGCAAGCGCCTGGCAGCACCAAAAAGCAAGCAACGATAAAACCGAATCCCAACCCACCCCTTCTTCCCAAGGCAACCAACATCACCGCCGCGCCCGCAAAGAAGCCGCCCTTGAAGACCAGTGGTAATAGCCCGACAACAGCCAAGCCACCCGTTGCCAAGAAACCCGCCTCGATATCAACAACGACGCCAGCAAAGAGAGTCCCGACGACCATCAAGACAGGAGCACTGACGCCGGCAAAGCCATCTACGACAGCAAGCGCTGGGGCGAAGAAAGCGGGTGTAGGTACAGGCCTGGCTAAGAAAGCTGGTGCGCCCAAGCTGAAGAGCTGAAGCTGGAGCAATGGGCTTGGGTTTGTGATATACTAACGAGACATGGTTCCTTCAGTCCCGTTGTACTTCTGTTATAGGCCGTCGCGGCCTCTTTTTCCATGTGTAACTATCAATGTAATGATATATGTATGTGTCGATCTATCGTCAGGATCAGGCATCTGCATCTGCACAAAAGCGAGGTCTTCTTCCCTTTGTAGTTTTTCGTCAGTTGCGCGAGGGAGGCACGCAATGAGGCACAAGGCTTCCGTTCTTCACAGCTGTCTCACTCACCTATTCCTGTTCTGTAGGACATAGACTTACCCTCGTGTTTCGCGTCTTTTTGGGGCGGTGCCGTAATTAAACAATCCAAACTGCAGGGCGGCAGATACAAAGCACTGGCTATCTAGGGCTGCAATAAATACGGATTATCATCACGGTGATCTTTTGGTATCTGATCATTGCTTCCTGCTGGCCATATCCTTCTCTCACCGGGTCTGAGCGCATGGCGAGAGAACGGCATCGCACACCAACCTGCGACCAACAGCAAGTAAGAGGTTGTCACTTCGTCACTATTCTCACATTCATTTCACCACCAGCCTCCCGGGTTCCTTCAAGTGAGATCCCAGGCGTCGAGGAAAGGAACTGAGTGAACTGCCTTCAGACTGCTTGTTAGAAGGGCGGGTGAGATATTTCTGGGTATATCAATGGCCTCCACAGCAGATCAGACATGACACGGTAGTGAAGTAAAGTGGAAGGTATGGAACAGTGAATCGCATGCTGGACAGCGGCACGCACAAGCAGCGTCCAAACTTCACGGCGGAATTCACTGCCTTGGTCGCTTGATGCGACCTATATAAACAGGGCTCTTGTTCATTTGTTCGCGCGCTTTCTCTCTTTCAACTGTGCGTTGTCTCACACCCAACCTTCGCACGCTGCTTGTGTCTTATTCTCAGTTGGCCCATGATATGACCTGGATGGTAAAAGCACTTTATTCCGGGGCTTTCTTCTTGGTTGACTCAAAGACCGCTTGATTCGATCCCTCATTCAAGATGACCACGATGACTTCCCCAGACAATGAGAAAGGAGACGAGATTCCTGAAGCCACCTGCGCAGCCGATAAAGGCAAGGGCAAGGAGACGCCACCGGCGGATCCCATCCATGACGCGAACGTCAATGTTAGCAAGGATCCTGGTGCTTCCCCTCCCAGAAAGAACGCGCACAAGAAGGCAGAAAAGTCATGTGCTGATCTCTCCCCAATGCAGCTCCGAGGGTAAGTAATTGAGCATTCTCATATCATGTAGCCACCTGACAGTCTTTCCTGTACCATGAATTGTGAACTTTCGCTTTGGGATGAAAGCTAACCAAGAATGCACAGACTGGCCAAAAGCGAAACTGTCGAGATTTTGTTCATCGCTGATGATGATACCAAGCCGCGTGTGCTCTTTGAGAACTTCCCCAAGGCTGTGGCGATGGCATTCTCGAGCAAATGGAGAATGGAGTTCCTTGAGCACAAACCCTTTGGTTCTGGTTTCATTCCGGCGAACAAGTCGATCACGATCAAGGGAGGGCACTTCGACACTTACCGGAAGATCCTCCATTGGATGCTCTCATGCTGCCATGGCTACGGCATCATTCCATGTCCTGACAGCATGTTTCGGCGGTTCACTACAGCATATTTCATCCGTATGTGTGCGAACCACATCTGCTGTGATTACCTTGTCAAGGAGGCGACTGATCGCATGCAATCCATCGCGGACAGCCAGATCCATTGCGATGATGTTCGTGCACTGTGGCTCAGAACTCCACCGGATCCTGAAATGAAGGCATTCCTCGTGGATCATGTGGCCACGCGACTCTGGTTGAAGTCATTGAGGGTCAAGGCTAATTATTGGGTGTTGAGAGAGGAGCTTCCGGATTTCAACGAGGCCATCAAAGAGGCTCTGCATGCGAAGGCAATCGTATACAAGGCACAGAAGGAGGCGATGGCTGCAGCCAGGATGGAGGCCGGTGCAAAGGGGGCCTATTTCATTGGTGGTCGTCGGCAAGAGGCCCGTCAAGCACAACAAGAGTTGACAGAGCAAGGAGCCACGGATCGCCCACAGAAGAACGCGGGAGTACAGAAAGCGACCACTCAACCACAGCAAAAGGCCATCACTCAACCACATGACGGAACAATCATGTTGAACGCTGAAGTGGTCAGAAAGGGAATCAACGGCCGTCCTTCGTATGCGAAGTTGGATCTTGCGAGCATTGGCGTGACGAGGGAGAAGTTTTGCATCAAGAGGTAGACTTGAGTTTCCTCTCGCTCAAAGCATGTTATTCTTGATAGTCAGATTCCTTCAGGAGCCCAGGCTAAGTATGGTGAAGCAGACCAGAGAAGGCAAGTCCGTCAAGGCAAACCTCCAAAAATGAAGCTTGAGCCATTTTCTGACCATGGCAATTGTCTCTCCTCGCTTTTCCACCTCTTCATCTGTGATGGCCGAGATTGTAGCTGCGATCGGGGGCACAAAGGCAAAATGAGCCAAAGCAGATATGACGCCTCCTAGGACCAACTTCCACTCACTGCTCCCCCGCGACAAATACTTCAAGGCGTAGGAGCCGCTGATGATGGTTGGAAGGGTAGTTGCGAAAACCAAGGATGTGCCAGGGACCAAAAAGGCCGACCACCAGTGTCGGACGACTTGACTGGTGGTTGCAGGATCATGATCCGCAGCTCGCAGGAAGGAAGAGAATACAGCAGTCTCGGCAAAAGCATAGAAGACGGTAAGGGAGGAGCCGACGAGAGGGAGTATATAAGAAGGGCGCGAATGAAGACCTAAGGTTGTTGTTGTAGCCATGGTGGTTTGCTGTGGACGGGAACTGAGGGAGGTTCGACAGTGAGACTGTTGTTGGATCAGGTCACAAACCACTTACGGGTATCGGCAGACTATGTAGCTCCGTCTAGAGGGGAGGCCCGACTTATACCAAGTTGTCGTGGAGGATGGAAGACGCAAGGTCAGGACTCATGACCCAGGGCCCTGTGGATAGAGGTGGTCGAAGGTGGTGTGAGGTTCACGCAACCGAATCACGACTCGACTCACGAGTGATGGACGATGATGTCCGCCAAATTTCTCCGGCACGTCGATCCCTTCCGAAAGCGACAGGGGAACAGCAAGCGCAGCGCTATTGGTTAGATAGTTGACTCGCGTATGTACTCGTACTGCGCCGACCCAGGTGTTTCGCAATAGCTTCCGAGCCCATTTCTATTGTATGTCTACAATGACAAGGGTGGGCTCGGGTTCCTGCACATTTGCGGGATCCTGATTCCTCCACTGACAGATGCCTGGGTCACAGACTCACAGTAACTAGTAGTAGCAGCACTGGCAGGAGACTGGAGCATTTCTGACAGCCCTCTCTTGCATCATTGGTTCGATAGGTCACCAGGATGCCCGAAGAATGGCACAAGATTGAATTGATTCATCAAGAGGGACAGTTACACGGTCGGTGAGAGTGTTACTCCTTGTCTTTTACAGGCCAGATCAATGCCTCAGGAGCGATATCAAATCCAAGGAAAGGAGTCGTTGGTTGTTGGCGGTTGCACGTGATGGTTCATGGTTCATGGTTCATGGACCATGGATCATGATGGCTGATCATGAGAGCGCTTGGGTTTAGGCGGGGTCCAGGGGCCGCAGGGCCTAGGGAACCCTGAAACCCCCTAAAAGTATAATGGCTGAGTCGCCCGGCTCCCACTGGACAGAGTCGCGATCGGGGGCTTGCCTTAGCTAATATATCGCCCGGCTTGCGCATTCTTCTGCGGTCTTGGGGTTCCACACCACCCCAACTTCCTATGCTCCCAACTTCCCAACTTCCCACACTCCTATCAATGCGCCGGTGTCTCCTGGAGGAAGAATGCACACTATTCGTGGACGGGGGACAGGTCTCCAACACCCTATACGGAGTACATCCTTCGTAGATCGAGGCAATAACGAACCGTGAATGGCCCATCAAATCTCGAACGCGCAGAAAAGTGCGTGTGGCAAGACAGCCCTCTTCCATCCCCTATCCCCTGTATCCTGGTCAACCCATGGGCTCGGCTCGACACATGTTTGGCATCTCCTCTCCACCGATCTCCAGTCTCAGTCTTTTCGGTGCGGGCTCATCGAGCTCACCAGGCTCTCCTTTTCATAGAAATACTGGACAGTAGTTATTCCCAGGCCGAACCCATGCAAAAGGTCTCGCAAATGGGGCACCGGTGGACCGCCCTTCACCCCCATTAGCCCCTAAGAGCGGCTAAAAATGGCTTGTTTGTCACTGCCTATCAATGTTAGTTTAAAGCTAGTTGGGGGCTTCACTAAATCGACCCTCCACACTTGCTCGTAACTTCATCCCGCCTAGGATTCTCCGGGCCCGAGAACACCACCACTGCTCGCTAAATTCCACTTCCATCCTGGTACTACAGTATCTTCATCTTTACTTTTGCTGGGTCGGTCCTGCATAGGTTTCTGGGAGTCAATCCAGCCCCGTGCTCATCCTCGTACATCTCCTTAGTATGAGCACTGCTATTATTATTTGTTGACGTTCTGCTTGTACATTATCCAACCTATGCACGGGCTCTTCACCTGGGTGATGCCCGTCTTTTAGCTGCCGAGAATGTGCGATGCCAGGCTACAACTAACAACTGCCACTCCCAACCATAAAACGAACAATCCAACGACTCATCACTCTAAGCGAGCCATTGAAAGCTCAACCTCTAATCCGCCACTCGCATCTTGGAAAAATCTCAAGGCTCTCCCACACAGGGAACAATCACTCACTTGTTGCGCCGGCACGCTCAAGTGAAACCCCCGTGGTTCAGATTTCTTAATCGATAATATTTTCACCGGCATCGATCAAGATCAATGTCTACCGTCAAAATGCCTTCAGAAACTTCGGACATCCCTCGTCCGTTAGCAGACTACTTTTGGATTGCTGGCTTGGATGGTGAACAGCTTTCAGATGCCTATTCTCAACCCCGATGGTCGAATGAGCCCAACGACATTGCGAATGGCATCGACACAGCTATCAAAGAGGATGTCAATGCTGAAAATGATGCCTCTTCTATTTTAAAATCTCCTCGGAATTCTGCCGGTCATTCGCGCCGCGATTCCTACCAAAGGTTATCCCAACTTTCCAATGAAGCGAGGGATAGCATTCAAAGTTTGGATGATGTTGCAAGACCACAGAGCAGCCGCAGCAGTATTACCATCAAAGCAGGAGCCCCTGCTCAAATTCCTCAGAACCAAAATCAGGATTCTCGCATGTCCAGTGCATTCACCGAAGTCGATTTTGAGAAGGCCATGAGTAAATTCACCACCAATCGTGAAGAATTCTTCGTCGATCTAACTTTCAACCCCATGGATCTCTCGTCTTCCACCAAGCCGGTTCCCTCCAAGTCTCGTCCTAGGACACAGAAGATTGTCGCATCTGATGAACCAAACCCTTTGCCAAACCGTAATTTCGGGAGCATTCGGCGACATCTCTCGTTCAAAGATATGTCCAGCGCCAAAAGACAGCCATCCATGGCACGACGAGTCTCAACTCGTACCGCTCGGAGAATGAGCAGCTATAATTCGGTCATTCCCAGCCCGGAATCTTTTCATTCTTCACCAAATCAGCATCCCCTCACTCGAAAGTTCGAACCTGTATTATTAGAGAGATATCCCCGACCAACCACCGTCGATAAAGCCCCCGGTAGGGCCAAGTTCCCAGAATATTTACCTATGTTTGCCTTCCCAAACGATATTAGAATAGTGTCTTCTGACTCGAGACCGAGATCGACATGGCATGAGTTTTCCATGACAGCTTCGGACAATTCCAGGTTAACGGCTGTGTCTGTCACATTCTGGATACCAGTCAGCCGCCAGATCTCCGCCGATCTGGAAAAGAAGTGTGATGAATGGCGCAAAGACCACATGTCTGAAGCAGAGCGAGAAATGGCCTCCTCTCTCGCCGATAGACTCGCCATTGAAAGTGCCAAATTGTCTAGACTACTTACCCAATTGCCACAAGTCTCCTCAGGCTCCCGTGCCCGTGACGAACTTGAAGATGAGATTAGTGCTGTCGAGGAGAAGATTGGTGTCATGTCTGATATGTTGAGACCCTTGCGACACGGCTCAGTCTCGGAGATTCAGGGTTTGACAAGCGGCGAGACCAAGTTCTGGGTGCCACGAGCGTATGGCATCATCGGCAAAGATAGCTCCATGGCCAACTTTTGGAGACAGTGGCTTCGAGCAATTATCGTTCCAATGACTGACGGTGGTGTCCTACGAGTCTCACCCAGCTCGCCCAAGGTCGGCATGTGGCAGCCTTTAGAGCGTTATGTTTCAACCTTGTGCCTCGAAGCACCTTGCCCGATATCATCCAAAACCCAAGTTCAAGTGTCAGTCCGAGAACTGAAATTGTTTGCAAAGAAGGAAGCGGCGAATGAACTCCCGGGCAGTAGGACAACAGACTTGTATCCTCTATTCAAAACTTTGACGATTTCCAACATCATTCTATTGTTTGAATATGTCTTGACCGAATCTAGGATCATCTTGCTTTCCACCCATACATCAATGTTGCAGTTGGTCAGCAAAGCAATCTTGGAATTGATCTTCCCGCTTGAATGGACTGGGGTCTATATCCCGGTTCTTCCTGCGAGATTGATCCAGGCACTTGACGCCCCCTGCCCCTATATCTGTGGCATTGATCGAAAGTACGAAAAATACGACCTTCCCGATGACGACTATGTCCTGGTTGATTTGGATAAGAACGAACTACACAGTGTTGCTCCGCCTCCACACTTACCGAAACAGCAGAGACGAAAGTTGATGTCGTTGTTATATCAAGCTGCACCTTTGCATCACAGCTATAGCGTGACGCCAGGTTCTCCTGCTTATGCGGTGGAAACATTTCCATACCAAACATTCGCAGCCGAGAACGAAACTGTGTTCACGGCCATCACTAAATCGACCAATCTCTCAAAATTGGCCAGCCTAAGCTCTTCGTTGTTTGGTCAACAAGCCACAACAGACACAATTCGCCGTGCGCCGATGTTCAATGTTTTCCTTGCTGGTCTCCCTACGCGAGGAAAGAGCATCGACGGTCGTCCGCTGACATCATCAACCGCACGACATTCCAGCAATACTGGTTCAGACACTCAGTCTCCCATCACCGGTAGCTTTCCATTACCACCCGCATCCAAAACTTCAAGAAATGACTCGGGCTACGCCCTCCAGACATCACTTCGTGAGAAACGGTCTGGTCACTTCGATTCGCTATCCAAACGCAGCTTTTCTGGGTCCGCACACATGATGCGCAAGGGTAGCCTGCCATTCATCAAACATAATGCTAGCCCTTCAGGCAACTCGTTCTCTGATATGCGTAATGGTTCGACATACGCTCCATCCGTGTATGCACAATCCACACTAGCAGCCTCGACGATTATGCCTGGGCTACATGTCCAACCAGCAGTAGCGACCGAGGGCATATACTGGGCCGAAGGCCACTGTCTGCAATGGAAAATCAACGAGGGCGCATCGACTTGCGTGCTTTGTGACGAAAAAGCACAAGATGATTATTATCGGTGCTCAGGCTGCGGATTTGTTGTTCATGATCGCTGCGCTCATCAAATAACCATTGTCTGTTCAGCTGCTTTCCACCCTGACCAAGTAAGAGCTGCGTTTGTGAGATGCTTGGCTAGCTTGTTCTACACCTATCGCCGCTTCATGCAGCCATCTGTCGCACAGAGCAGAAAGACAGGATCGGTCTATACATTCGATAAAGACGCCTGTCTCAACAGCCTCCCTCCAGACCATGCCGAATATATGCAGATGCTCCACCAGACACAGGCTTGGAACGAGTTCATCATGGATAGAGAGGAGAACAAAACAACCGCCGCTATCGCGTTGTTCGATGCAATTATCAACGCCAAGCGTGGGCGAGCAGGATTACTTCGATCGGGTCTTCCAGGTATTGGTCTTGGCCGCAAAAGCTTCGCGCAACGAAGTGTATCCGGAGGCGGTCGCCCAGATCTTCTCTCGGACACCTCGACACATCAATGGAAGATCATCAATGTCCCAGGCAGCTCTGAACGCCTTGATCTCGGTTCGGCGGCCAAAGGCCGTGACTATCATACCATCATTAGTCGAACCCCGGCTAAGTTGGAAGAAGGCCTCTTCAAACAACAGGAACAGGTACCAGACCTTCCCAAGTTCACCAAGAAATCACGTGTAAGCACCTTGAACGGCATGATGAACGGTCTAGGCATGAATGCGCCTTAAAAATCTCCATTCGGTCTAGATATGTCATAACGTCTCATCTCGTCGATCCCCCAACTGGCTTCGTTGTTCCTACATCACTCAGGGCGCTCTCTTCCTAGTGAGGAGATTGCCAGTACTCAACGAACCACGTTCGCCCATCCCAGTCCGCCATTGTATTGCTAGTTGTCCAAGAACAGCTCGGCCATCACGCCTCAAGCTGGAGCGAAGCTCTTCGAGACCAGACGTTTCTCCTTCGAGCTGTTTGACGAAAAAAGCCACCTGGATGACATCTCTAGGGCCCAGAACTGGGTTCTCCACATTTGGATCATCCTCCTTCTCAGCATCCCAGTTGAGAGAGGTAGACCTGAACGGCATCTTAGTCTGAAGTTTCGCCTCCTCTAATACTATCGAAGCATCCGAAACATTTTCCAATTGTGCTTCCAGGGCATATCGTGACAGAGTCGTCCGGCCGTATGGTCCATGTGTCTTGTCTGGGACTTCGATTGCAGCCAGCTCGGTCGCCTTTGTCCGCACACTGATGCACGGCTGAGCCAGAAATTGATAGAGCTTCCGAAATGACCGAACCCGGCCACTAGTTGCCCCACCCCCTCCAGTCAAGGTTTCAGTATAGGTCACATTGACGGCCAAAACGTGATTGCCTTCTTCTTTCAGGTCGAATCGAATGATTCTTTGCAGTGCAGTACCGGGTCCATCTCCACCTTCACCCTCAGACTCAGCAGCAAAGAGTTCCAAGGGAATAGACTGAGAAGGAGTTTGCATTTCTGCAATGATTTTCGTTCCCGTCAGAATTTTGGTGGTCTTGCCAGGAAGGAGCTCATTGTTGGCACACAATGCACAAGAGAACGTTTCACCCACATGAGCAGAGCCAAACGAAGGCGGGAGCCCTAGATTACCGGACAAGATGAATTCTTGATCGGAGTGTTTAGATGGATATGCCAGTGAAGCGTCATGCCTAATGTTGATTGCAGATTCCCGTGGGAGGGGATGTTGCTCTGCTAATGATGGCCGTGAAAGTCTAGTCAGAAAAAACAGTTGGTTAGAACGAAGGGGATCCAGGATCAAATAATCATCAAAAGTGTACCAGACACCGACCTTAGAACTAATTGTATTAGCAACAGTACCCAGAGTTGAACAGTAGTAAGAACTTTGTAATAATAGAACAGCATTCAAAAAATGACTTCCATATTTCACTGTCTTAGTCTCTCCTTCTGCGATCGCAAGCTTACCTTTCAAGGAAACCGAATGAGGTTCTTTGGGGAAGTTCCCTGTGTCTGCTCTAGCGCGGGCCATGTGTCTCTCGGCTTCTCAGAGCGATACTGAGCGCACCGCTTTGATGAAATCGACGTGGCGGCGGCGGCGGCGGCGAAGGAAACCTGAAATTCGGTCCCTTGTCTCTACAAGAATTAATTATCAGGGAAGGAGAGAGCGCTGCTGATTCCCCGCTCCGTGCCGCCGAGATAGCAAAAAATGAATGATTCTCAGCCAACGCTGGTAGTGCCGTTCAAAATAACCAGGATTGGGAATATGGTATCTCCTGGACTGACGGTGAGATCGCCCACCTTGGTATCACATACGAGTAGTCGCAAGCGAGAAAGCTGTTCTTCGAGGTCCCCCTCGAGATCAGCCGCTCGCCGCTCTGCACAAGCTCGGCTTACCTACCACTTCCTAAGCGATATTGAGCGCTCCAGGAGCCTGCCTGGGCCTTCTTTTCCCTCTCTTCTTCATCATTCTCCACGCTAACTTTGATCAACTTTAGACGATGGGAAGCGAAGCTAGGGTCGTTACACCGCAGCGCTGGATAGGAGGCTCGCCCAAGTTGCAGAATTATCCTGTTGACGTTAGGAAGGTTAGCCGCAAGCTTCAAGACCAGGACTTCAAGGAGTTCTGTCTCCATTGGTATTCAAGATATCAGATTATGACTAGGCAGGACCAATCTACTAAAGACGCTCTTTCTTGTCATGCTAGTCGTTGATAATAGTGATCACAAATGGGTGACTCGAAATTAGCATCTACTCGGCGATGAATTCAAAAGTGCCTAGGGTTTATCCGTCGAGTTGTATTGGTTATTTTATAACCACGAAGGGGTCACTGGCAAGCCAGAAAGACACACAAAACCAGAAATGAATCAAGAGTACTGTATTCAACACTCAGAAACTACCTCAACCATCAGGGCGCCGGTACAGGATTCATGTACGGTCTGTTATCATGACAACAATGTGTGGAATTCCTCATGGCACGAAGGATGCCTTTCAGTGCACCGAAAATGCCTCCCGAGGACCCCCATCGCTCGCGCCTTTTGTCACTCTTGTCTCCTCCGACAGGTTTGAGTTTCATGTCAGCCGCGCTCCGCTGCCTGTGTGCTTCCCTCTCTCCGTCGCACGCTTGGTCTCCAAAATATAGACATTGCCCCCTATCCGTGGTACTTTTACTGAAGCATTTTCCTTGGTCATGGTAACTGCAACATCTTCGAAGCCTAGACCAAAGTCTGCAACTTGAAAAATCCTAGGCGGGATCTTCCTTGAGAAGGTCGTCGAATACTCTTACTAGTGAGAAAAACCGCAACAGCGAGGGTATCTTGGAAATGGACATCTCCTCGGAGCCGTGCTAGGAGCTCATAGTAACATTAAGGCACAGTGGCGAGTCGAGTGAAGTGCTATGTTGTATTATCAGCCAGGCCTGAAAGAATCTTTGACAGTATGGAGTGGCATTGCAGAGGAGCGACAAGAACGTGCATTGACGATGTAGAGATGATCACGAAAGACGCTGACGTTGTGAAGTCGGGACTGTTCATGCGATTCCTCCCACACTCTTGCAAGAGCATTGGAAAGCATCCATTGCCGGCAGAGTGACAAAGACGCACGTTTCTATGAATAGTCGTCGAAAGAAGAGTCACAATGGAATGGACGAAGCACGCCAGAAAAGAGCGTATGTGCACTTTCCACTCCGCCGTTTATATATGCAAATCGTCCGTTCTGCGTCTCCGTAAATCTTATCATGATCCCCGCATCTTCAAACGCGTTCAAAACATTTGATATTTCTGTCCCTCTCTACCACGGACTGTACACAAGCAACAAGCAACACCACCAAATCTGTCGTTGCGAATCCAAGCCATGGATCCAGAAAACAGTTGCCATGATGTCGCTGCGCTTCAACCCTGGCTCGACACGGGCACTGGGGAGCGTTCGTCCGTTCACGGTCGGTTCTTTTTCCTCAACACTCCCAAACCAAAGTCGGCCACCTTGGACGAAGAAGGCTCGCCGTCTGCTGTCTCCCTACTATGCTTGTCAGGACGAATCGAGACTCAACTTCAGCGCGTCTTTGACCGGATCCAATCACCTCCATTCCCGGCGACGCCAGACTGGATTGAGTTCCCTTCGGAACCTCTACAGTTCGAAGAGCTCAAGAAGCTGGAACAACTTGGGTATTTCTACGGGGCAAAAACTCCGGTACCATTCGCAATCCTCTGAAATGGTTCGACGCAGGGAGCTCTGCTGACCATAACTAATAGGTACGACTATTCTGAAGCCGATGAAATCCTCACATTTCGAATGGCCGGTGCAGGACATGAATGGATCGATTGCGAACTCGTAACAAAAATCTCCCAAGGTCTCGTATCGCACACGCCGCAATCCGAGATGGCAACTCTCACTCTGCCAAGGAGTTTGCATTGCTGCCTACCTCCAAATGTGGCTCCGCGTCTCTGAAGTATCGGTCGTTCAAGGTGGCAGGCAAGAAATTAATACAGCAACCGGATGCTCAATTCCTGTCCGATCTGAGACTCCTTCCCAGCTTGATCATCGAAGTAACATGGACGCAGACTACGAAGAATTTGCAAGAGCTGGTATGCGATTACATCTTGGGTAGCAATGCACGAATCCGCACTGTCATTGGTTTTGACGTCGGTCCTGCCCCCAGAAAGCGTGCGACAGTGTGCGATTGGAGAACCGTGCACAACGAGGACAATATCGCTGGTACCTGTGACTCTACGGTAGGGGTGCTACCATCCTCTCCGTCAACGTCGCTAATCTGACCTCTCCATCTAGGAGATTTGCACCGTATCTGGAGTCAAGAACACCGACCCGCAAGCTGGACTGCGCCTGACGCTCGAAGATTTTGCATACCCTCGTAGCCAGAAGAATACCTGGACCTCGATTCTGTCATCATCTTCATCCCCGTCGATGATCTCTACGAAGTCTTGGAACAGGCCGAGGCCGCTCAGGAATGCTTCAGACATAGAGACCAAAGTGAATTAGAAGAAGAAGAAGAAGAACGAGTCGCGCCCACCACCAACAAGACTGCCTCTCACTGCTACTCGCTGAGATTTAGAGACGGGTGTGCAGTTCAGGAAAAATAAGGCTTTTGAAATGGACGTATTGGGAGGCGAGTATTGTCGACTTTGAACAACGGACACAGCACCTATTTGGCTGGGGAGGCGGCATTATCGGCGAGATCCTTGCTGTGGTATCTCTTGGGATAAAAAGCGACCTCCTTGGGCGAAATCTGGCTCCAGCTGGAGGAACCTGTACAGCGTTATGATGAATGGCCACACGGCAAATACTGGACGAAGTAACGATTGATGCCCCTGCCTGTGCAGCATGGCACAGATGACATAGTGAGAGAGCAAGACATGATGATGCTTTTGCAAAAAAGAAAAATTCGAGTACAGCCATGATCGGCATCCATCCTTTGAGATCGAATCATTCATCGTCTCTAGATCTATTGGCCTGCCGGTGACCCGTGAACCCCAGGGGTTCCGTCTGCGGCGAAGCCGACGACAAAAATCGAGCTCATAATTCCCTTGATGAGCACATGAACGCGTCGACTACGGCTTTCCAGATCACCAATTCCAGTTGTCCAAGCCGACATAGCTCGTCTCATCGCACCACTACCGTCCACTGCTCACGCGTGCCTCCGTCACTCCCGATATCTTTTCGCCCTCGCTGCCCTGACCGCTCTCGTTCTGTCTCGGCCCTCGAAAGTGTCTTGGACCATTTGGTCACTTGAACTCCTCCCACTTTCTCCAGCAAAACTCCCCAACTTACAAGTAGTCAGTACTCGCGTACTGACCAAGGCTCCCTGAATAGAGCTGTCTTGATAACGAAGCCCCTGGGAGTCTGTATAGAGAGCCATATATTCATATGGCTCAAGTTCGACTGTTGCCAAAATCTGCTTGCAGTGGCGGCGTCTCTTTCACGGAGTTCGGCTTTTGCTCCAACAGATATCGCGATCCAAACGCTGCTTCCAGCATTTCGGTATTAGATTTTCCAGTTTCAGAAGCGTGATCTGCCGTTACAGTGGGTACTGGCATTCTTCAGGGCTCACTCAGGAGAATGAAGAGTGGTGTACTCGAAGGGTACAAAACTTCTGCTGATCCGGTAATCATTTGCAATAGCCGCACCTGTAAAGCGGAGCAGACATTTTAATCAGCAAGGACCGCCCCAGGAAGGCTACCGCAGCTGGGGCGAGACTCAGAGCGACCCAAGCTCTTGAGAATCTATAGTGACACCTAGGGACCATATGTAGGGAGTTCTCTCCCTCTCCCTCTCCCTCTCCCTCTCCCTCTCTTGCAATAGCTCCCGGAAGCGCTCGCATTACCGGGGTCAGCAACGCAGGGCGCTTCAGCCCTAAAATCGACAGGTGGGACGCAATCGGTACCGGACTCTCTTACTTCGTGAAGGTATGGCTTCAAGGCTGGGAACTGGCAACCAATCGAAGTCCCAGGCTCAATGACAGATTAGGAAGATGTACACGACCCCTAGAGCTCAGGCCCAAGCACTAGGGGAGTACGAATCCACGAAAGCCGTCCACAAAGTGTTTCCAAACAACGAGCCAAGTCCCATCGGTTTAATTCGATGGCTCTTGCGGCATGAACTCGTTTGATGTCAATGCGCTACAGCCAGCGACAACGCAGACAACCTGCAGTACGCTCGTAGATGAGCACCAAAGGAGAAAGCTCTGGCTTCTCTTGCTGTTGTGGCTGGCAGCATACTTCCTAACTCATCTGTGCGCCGTTAGGGTTTTCGTTCTCGAGTACGGAGTGATCTAGGTGGGAGTCTGGTACGTACCAACTATACAGTCCTCCGTACAGGCCGCCAGGAAGGAATGTCCCTCCAAGTCAGGTGTACGCAACATTACCTAATGTCACAGATACCCTGGATTCACATTACTGTTTTAGTTCTTCGCGAGACCACCTTGACTAGCACTCAACAAGCGAGAACGCCCTCGATTCCTTGGCTTTGTGACAAGCGATATGGAGTTGCGGTCATGCAACATATTAAACTTGGCTGGCACCTCTAGGCCACCTACTCAGATCGGCATGTTGATGCGATGCCCGAGTACAAAATGCTTCTTAGTTCTTGATTACATGCAATTTTTTGCGAAGAGACCAGCCCAAGACTACCTCCGGATCCTAATTGAGCAAAATTCCCGGCTTCTCTTTCCGCCTTACAGTTGGAATAGGTAGCGGTCATCGGAAATTGGCCCGATTCTCCGGTCGATATACTTACAAGAGATCCTGATACTAGCCACCCGCAGCCGAGCACACAGGGCTGATTAGTCACCGTGCATGAGTCTTGAGAAGGGGCCAATTGAATGTAGTAGACCGAACATCGATCTCTTCATTGCTGGGCAGAGGATTGATTTCGAAAGCCATTCTCGGTCACTGTTTTGAGCGTCGCACTTCATGGTACATCATAAACAGCGAGAGTCGCTCTTTTGATAACAACGGCCCTCGATATTCAGGACTCCATAACAGCTCGAAGACTGATACATCCGCTCAGGTACTGGGTACGTTGGAGGGGCTGAGAACTTTAATTACTCCTCTTTCCTATCCTCCCACGCCGGATCATTCTCCACAATGAACATCCAGCAGCTGAAACTTCTCCATTAGATAACACGGCATTCCCTAACACGCAGATTATTGTCCATGACGGGCGGATATACCTTTGCCATGAACCTAACTCCCTTCTGCCACAGTCCGAGTGCTTCGTCCTCGTTGGTGTTTGTCAGGCTTCAAGATGACCTCTTGGCTCTTTGTGGCAATACGTGAAGACGGTCTCGAAGATCCGGAGACCCACAATCCGATCGCACTCAATGAGTTGAAATCCCACGCCACAAGGTTTGCTCACGCTAGAAATAGGCAGAAGCGACTGACCGCTCTCAAGGGAAGCTTGACCCGTTTCCCCGTTGCGCAACTCTCGCAGAGTCAACGAGAGATCAAAAGTCCGATCAAGGTGCATCAACGTGTATTGCATCCGCGACCGAGGAAGCTGGAAAAGAATGGACTGGACGACAACATTACCCATCTCCCCATGGTTCCAGGCCAGGGCAAGCCCGAACCCTTCTGCTCACCTCTTGTTCATGAACTCCCACCAATCATGCAGAATGCTCTTGAATATACGTATGAGGTGCTTTGGCCCAAAAACAGTCCAGCGTTGCATGGTGAATTACTAAGGCCGACCATCAACTTATGGCGGAGAGGCGCAATGGAATCACCGCTTGAGTTCTACAGCCAAGTCTCCAACGCCGCAACCCTCTGTCTGGCTTTATCTACTGACTCAGCAGTCATGAGAACGCTGTCTACACTCCGGATATTTTACCAGAGCCGAGCCATTGCTCTCATCCAGGAAGAACTAAATCAACTATCTAGGCCTCCCTCCAGTGCTCTCATCACCTGTATCATGAACGTACACGGCCAGGGGGCGCAGATGTTCGAGTCATTGCCCAACCCATCTGTCCCTGAGTCGCCCATCTTTAAAGCGTTCAATCTCAAAGAGTACGGCAGATTCGCGCCGCCCCGTGCGCACTTTCCTGCCCTGGTTCTGCTTGTTCGCCAAAGGGGGGGCCTTGGCTCCCTTCCTCCTAGGGTAGCCAATCCGTTGCAACTGTAGGTGCCGCCATGTTGAAAACCCCATCGAATGTACAACATCTGCTGACATGTGCCGCTATATAGAGCCGACATCTGTGCTGGAAACATATCCTTAACCACACCGACATTCCCATTACTCTCATCCATAGCCGAGGCGGCAGATCGTGAGAAGGTCGTATTCGATGAAAAGGCAACCCAATTACTATCGACCCTGGGTACTGGATTCCGACTTCGCAAATACGGCAATGACTACGAGCTCAGCCAGCTCTTGTCAAGTGCATGTCGCCTGATCGCGGCCATCGATGAGTCTCAGCGCGGTGCACCGGGCTGCTATCCATTACCATCTCTATCTGTGAAAGCCATTGCATTGCAACACCGCATGCTAAGCCTCTCCACTCCATCACCACCGACAGATCTCGTTTTTGGGGATTTGGACGACTGCATCTTCCAGATCGTGCGCCTGACAACATTCATCTTCAGCGATTTCGTCTTCTTCCCAACGGCGGAAGTCCGAAACGGACGACATCGACTGGCAACAATACTAAAGGACCACCTGACCATCTACTTCGGACTCCAGTCCGCCCAGTTCCCTGGGTTGACGCTCGGTTTTGAACATGACCATTTAATCCTTTGGGCGCTGGTCCTCGGCGGCGCTGCCTCCTCCAGCACCAGCAGCCGGGAATGGTACGTGTTGCAGATTTTCGAACGCGTCTCGGCTCAGCAGGTCACTTGGGATGAGCTACAAACCATCCTGCGGAGGTTTTTGTACTACGACTATGTACTCGATAGGTCGGTCACCAATCTTTGGGTCGAGGTGTCTCAGTCCTTACAGGCGGAGGCGGATTTGGATGTGGGTCTTTTGAATGCTGGGTATAGCAACTGGTAGATCTTCGATCTTGGAAAAGCTGAAATTAGACCATAAGGTTTCTGAACTAAGGGTTCTGAAAGGAGCGCATTAGACCATGAGGAAGCTGAACCAAGGTTTTTAAAAAGAGTACACAAGCTACTTGGTCATGTTGGGTGGCACGTGAGTTCGCCTGAAGGCTGTGTCGGACTGCGTGTATTCTTGCATGATAATTGCGGATGGGTGATCCCTTTGCGTTTCTATGCGAGGCTTGACAAGAACTGCAATATAAAAATAAACACAAGACTGAGGTGCAGAGTGATACTTCAGATGACGGGACTGGACGTGAGTCGTCCATGTCAGGATGACGTAAGAAGCATATACTGAGTGTCAGGGGCAGCAAGCAACACATCCGAACGTCCCCCGCCTGGGTGCCACCCTACCTCGTGTCTACAACGAACCAGTAGTATACGAGTACTCGTAACAGAGTTGACGACAGGGGCCCATCGTTTTTGATCCCTGTTCCGGTGCGTCGACAGACATTTTCTGACCAACCATCGAGGAAACTTAATCCGTACGACGGCTGTTCAGTGACCCCGGCAAACGCATTACATTGATCGACCCCTCATGATTCAACAATAAAACCCAGCTGGGGAATTTCATACTGACTCCTAGCTCTCTGCTCAGTGCAGAACGGGGACCGCGTAATGCCCACAGGGTGAGATCTGCCCAATACTTGATTGCTGTCGAGAAGGCCGGCATCTGGCGAATGAGGGTACTGGCAAAGTCAGACTTGTCGTAGATACATTGCTTTGCCCACAGCGGCGCAACAACTTTGATAATTATGTCTTCACTGTTCCACCACCCGTTCGGCATTTCATGGAGGAAAGCTCTCGTCTCGCTCCCACGATTGGTTCCCGACGCTGTCTTACATTTCACTTCTCCCGAAGGACCCCAGCCGATAGTATTCGACGTCCCCTCCCGCGAGGCACACTTGATCCCAGTATATGTCTTCATCCCGCCCAGAAACAACCAACACCACCACTTGGTCTCGCCCGGCGCGCATCTAAAGCAAGCTTTGTCAGACTCACAAAAGGACCCCCATGAGAAGCTTCCTGTCCTGATAGACTTCCACGGTGGGAGTTTCATTCTCGGCAGCTGCCAGGAACAATCGCCGTTCTGCGCACAGATGTGTCGTGAGCTGAACTGTGTGGTCATTTCTGTGGATTACAGACTCGGCCCTTATGCCACATACCCCGCTGCGAACCTCGACGCAGAAGACGTGGTACTCGCAGTCATCGATCGCGAGAAGCAGAGCTACCGCACTTTGCGGGAATCCATCAACCGGCATCTTGACAAGGAAGCACGTAGGAGAATTGAGCTGGATGAGGATCGCATCGCCTTCTCCGGCTTTAGCTCCGGTGGGAACCTGGCTTTGAATCTCGCCTTGAGCGTCAAGAACGATCCAACCATCCATCGCGACTGGTTGAGCCCGGTCCCGTGGAGCCACAAGAGCGAAATCCCTGTTTTGCTCTTCTACCCGAGTCTCGACTGCCGGCTCCTACCCCACGAGCGTCCGAGACCCGAAGGTCTCGATCCACCCAGCGGCTTTGTCGAGCGCTGGCGCCTTGAGGCTGAGTTGATGCCCACCTACCTCCCTGTCGCCAATCGGCCACATCCTAGAGCAAGCCCCGGCCTGGCAGACATCAAGGCACCATCCTCCGCTGATGGAAAGCAAACCGAACAATACGGCCTCCACCCGCAAGCGAAACTCTTCCTCGTCCTCCCCCAATTCGACTCTCTCAATGGTCAGAGTCTCGACTGGATCGAGAAGGTGCGCGCCGAGGGCCGCGGCAGCGACCTGATCGTCGAGGATGTCAAGGGCGTCACACACGGCTGGACGCAATTCCCGGACGGCTTCATATCGGACGAGCACAGAAAACTCAAGGTCGAGGTCTTCCGGAAGGCTCGCGTTTTCCTTGGCGTCTGGTGGGATGTCACGGGTATGAAGAGTGGGCATGCAGATCTGAAGGAGGTGAAGGTAGAGGTGCTGGGCGATGATAAGCCAGGATCCGGGGATAAGGCGCCTGGGAAAGGTGTCGATGTCATGATTGAGAGGGAGAGATATCCGAAGGCCGAGTAGGATGGGATGGGATCAGCTTTGGAGGATCATCGATTGAGGTTCCGGGCATCCTTGGCGGAGATGTTTGTCTTGCCTCTTGCGCAAGCGTGTCTGTCTCAGGCCGATCGGTATTCCAACAGTCCTCCGTTTTGCTCCGTCTTGAGACTTCTGTCGTCTCCTCTCTCCACGTTACTCACCTTCGCCGAAACGAAGCCAAGTATGCAGCACTAGACGAGGCGTACAACCACTATAGCATAGCATGATACAAGCGCCTGGGATCAAGAACTTGCCCCCAGACAATGTCAGAATGCACTGTCGAGCATATTTACCCTATTCCTGTGAAGACGGAATAAGAGTTTTCATGACCTGAGCCAACCATCTACATCTACTGACCCCGCTGGCTTTATACTAGTTAACCCCCTTCATTCAATGGCCCTACCAACGTTCGCCACCACACTACATGTGTGCACTGCTTGGTGGAAACATCTGACCTCCCAGCCTTTGGCGCTTCAGACACTTCCAAAACACCAAAAAGGCGCACAGCCGCACCACCGGCGAACGTCTGCATCTAGGTAGTCATGCTTGTATTCGGGAGCCGCCTATAGGTCGACACTATAGAGCAGAAAATGGGACAACGAAGCCATTCAACCTGTCAGAAATCCTCAGAGCATCCTCCGTTGCACGCACCGCGTAAGCAATAGCAAAAGCCTTTTCGCACTCAAACAGGTCCCATCCTTTCTAGTTGATCGCCCCAAAGATGAATCAGCGACTCGCCCGGCCAAGGTCTCAAAGACTCCAAGAGTCCAGACCATAGTTTGGCATCTTCTGCTGGCTAATCTTCACACACCTCGATGGCGAAAAGGGGCTGTTGTGTCATTGCATCGTAGGTGGGCTCGACTCGGCCACCATTGAGCAGCAGCGGCTTTGCCTTCAGTCACTGCCTTCTGGAGGCATAGTATCCTCCAACCCTATCGGCGTCAGAAGCCTGACCAGCACGAAAAGACTTGCCAGCAGCACGAGCATCTTGCGCCTGTCCCTTCTTACCACCATCCTTCTGCTCCCTCTCCCTCTTTCTCTCCCTCTCTCGCTCGTCCTTCTCCAACGCAAAATCACGATACTTGATCCCCTTTCCCTTCAACGCATCCATCGCGGCCTTGTTGTCGGACGTGCAGTGTTCCTGATCACGCATGTATCGGGTGCTGGCCGGGTCGCTTTTGGCCTTTGCATACCGCACGAAATCTGCCTGGCCCTGGCGTGTGCCGATGTCGGGGCCGTTCTCGTCGATGTAGACCGCTTTAAAGGCGTCCCTGCGCGAGTTCGGTGAGAGTTCGCGCTTGCCCTTTGGTGTACCCCAGGAGAACCAAGATGACATTTTTCCTTTCCGGGCGGTTTTATTATCTGGTTCCAACGCGAAGACGTCTCTTGAGGTCGGGTTCTTCGTTGCCTGGCTGAGCGAGTAAATTGAGATATAGAACCTGGCGGTTACAAAAGTGGATAGAATGAAGACGGTATGCTTGTGAGGTATAGCTATAGCGATTCTCCTGAGAGGATGCTCTCCAGATTCCTGGAAATATATACTCTTACCACGGTGGCCCGTTTGCCTGTGCGACTGTCACCTCTTGCGTGACCCAAACATCCTGACTTTTACAGAGGGCGAAGCTTTGGTATGGCGTTTGGAGAAAAGAAGGGGAGGTAAAACGTCGTCACAAAGGATCAGATCGTGAATGCTCATCTCTGACGAACGAAAACCGGACCCAGGTGACAAGTCGCTTGTTGGGTGGCGAGGAGCCGTGGTGATGGTAACGCATGATCTGTGGTTCATATCGGTGCCAGACAGCGCCATCTGACAGGATTGGGATGTAGACTGTGCAGAACAAAGCGAGAAAGAAAGGAGTTGTCATAGCTGAGTGTGTAGAATGGTATCTGTTGGTGATGGGGAGATCGTTGGTGAAGTGTGTTGAATAATGATAGCATTCGATGCTAAGAATCAATGCGAATCTTTCGGTGTATGCTTACATATTGACTATCCTCTCTTTCTAGAAATCCCAATCGAATTTTCTTCGGTAACACAGACAAAGAATGCACCTTCGACTCTTTCCACCATTCCACCATCCAAACGGCGCAACGCTGAAGTCACAGTAGCCATACCTTTAAGGTTTGATAGGGACATCTCGGATCATGAACCATATTCTCGGATCAGCATTGGATGGGATGTTAAACTTAGGGTCCATTTCAAAGATATGGACGTCCTTGAATCCGTACTTCTCGTAAAGGCTGTGGGCCATGGGTGAGGATTCGAGATAAGCTGGGATCCCAAGCTCGTCAGCGACCTGAATTCCCCATTCAAGCAACAAGCCTCCAACCCCGCGTCTTCTGTGTTTCGGGTCGGTCTGAAGCAGATTGAGCACTAAAGGTATGACTGTTAGGAGAAATTGCATCGAGCGAGAAATGGTCCGAGCATGGACATACGTGCATGGTGCTTGCCGTCCATGAGCTCATGTCGGGTTTTGTGAATGGCACCGAAGAATTCTTCACAAGCCTCAACATTGCAGCCTTGGCCAAATGTGCGTTTTTCTGGAGCAACAGCCTTTGGTCCGTCGATTATTTGCCACTGCGCCCAGCCTACCACTTCATCCGTGTCCGTGTCGATGGCCTTGACCCAGCGAATCTGAGGGTCCTCGTTCTTGCTCTTCAAAAGGTCTTCACCCCGTTTCGTCAGGACTTCCTTGGGAAACGGGCCAGGGAACAAGACTGGTTCCATGGGGTTGTCCTTGTATGCCACATGCTCGATCTCAGCAAAGCGAGCCGCATCCCCGTCCAAGCCGGGGTGAATTTCTATCGGCATCACGGCCTAAGTATGGGGTGAGCAATCACGACTGCACGTACAATGATCTGGTCGCGGAAAGAAGAAACAGATACAGATATCTATGATTCATTCCAGGGCAAATGGGAAGATTGGTTAGTTGACGAAAGAAAGAAGCACTCGCAGAGTCGACAATGCCCAGCAGACTTTAATAACAGAGGAATAGTTACCTAGGGTCGCAGATGTATCAACTGGATACAACGCTGTTGGAGGGAAAACTCCACTCCTCAAGGACAACCTTCCCGCTCGGCATTAGCGGGGTCTGAGTCGGAGGCAAAAAGAAGCATTTATCCCAGTATACATTCCAGGATGAGAATGGGCCACGAGGTGACGGAGGTGTCGATGAGTCACCTCCTCGTCCAACTATGTTGCTTTGGTGCCTAGTCAAGGCGATTAGCAGCTGAGCTCGCCAAATAAGGGGGAGGTATTTAGCGGCGGCTGACTTCGGCGTCCCGCTACCCCCAAATCTTGCTATCGAGACCCCCAACTAGTTACAGACTCGGATGTACAGTACAACCACCACAAGTGGATACGCAGGGGTAAGGAAATGCTCCTAGCTTCATTGATATCAGTCTAATCTTTCGGCGAGACTACGCTCGGTCTGTGGCCTCTCGTTCACAATAGCCAGATCAGATGCTACTTCTCATCTTCATACCGAGGACGCTGGTGACCCTGTCTTGCGGTGGCCTGTCTATGATGGTACCGGCCAGCATTGTCCCTCTATCCCTTAATGCTCATTGCCATCTTGTACCGTATGCTGTGTTCTCCTCTTCTGCATTTTCAAGTGTCGACGTCTATCGCCACTTTGAATGGTTTCCCATCCTAGACCTCAGATAAATCTGTCCTCATCGGTTTCATTGTTTGTTCAGTCGAGGACCTGAGGCTAAAGATCCATGTGTATATTATTATATTGGACACCAAATCTCTTTCTGCTTGACTACAGGAAAATCTGGCTGTAGGAATCGTGTCTAGTACCCACTTCATAGTCCCTGCGTCTGCTGCTATCCGTCGAGTTCGAGAACGCTACAAGAAAGTATTTAAGCTTAGGGAATGGATATATATCCGGATTGTCTGTCTTCAGTTGACTACCACCTTTTCTTTGAGAGCATGGTCCCAGCCGCTGCCAAAAAGACCGCCCAGCAATCATCCTTCTAACACATCTATTCACTGAGTTGGGGATTTGACCAAAGTATGTATATATGTGGCCGTCTAACAGTTGGCGACGACATCCTGTCCAGATGCAACAGCGTCATCAAGGGATTCTTGGGCCTCTGCAACTGCTTGATCGGAACTAAATTGCCGGTGTTAGTATCAATTCCAGGTTACTGACGGTTGGGGAAATAGAGGGCGAGCATACGTATCCCCTCCTGCCAGTGCCTGGCCCGCGGCAGTCAAGCCGGCCTCGGTGGTGTCTCGTCCCTCCTGGGGAGGAGCCTGGCCGGATATGATTGCCGACGCAATCTGGCGTATACCGGAATTGGCCTGGTCGACACCTGCCGCCGCTGCCTCCCTCGTGGTTGGGTCTTGAATTTGCGATATACTGTCCATGGTATCGCCGAGGGCACTGACTATTCCCAGGCGTGCCACGTTGCAGCGAATGTTCCCACCAAAGATCTGGCGCGGCAAAACGGCTGGTGTTGTTAGCCCGAGTGTGAGTAGCCTGGTGCATAGAAGGGATTTGCCTACCTGCGTTGGCAACCGAAATGCTTGCAGCCAATACAGTCGTGATAATAAATCGGAGGACATGCATTTTCGCCAGTTCGTTTTGAAGTATTCGATGGCAAAGAGAAGCGGTAAATATGGAATTAACTGTTAGGAATACTGGATTAGATATCCAAGATAGAGCAGAAGGATTAGTTTGATTGACGGCCAGGTCAAGCAGAGAAGGAAATGATGGTTTGCTGTTTCGATTGTTGATTGTGGAAAGAGGCGTCGCCTTAAATATCTTGAGTCTGCTGTGTCTTGAGTCAACACTCAGTCGACCGCGGCATAGGTCAGCATTGTTGCCGCCCGAGTGAAGCCTTGGGCTGGGATGAAACCATTGACACATTTTTGGAACAACAATGCCACCAACATGGGAGCGGAACATTGATCTCCCGGGACGATGTTTCTTGACCTTCGCATCGACGAGACCTCTATGGCACCAGTCCAAGACCGCAACTCGGTTTCGTGTTGGTGCCAATGGCCGTCTCTCCCTGATTTGGAATCGCACACGCCTTACCCTTTCTTGCTCGCTCGGCGCTAGTAAGGCTTTCGGCTCCCTTGAGGCTATCTGTAAACAACCCCAGCCGAGATGCTGGGGGTTAGCTGCCCACTGCCACCCATTATCGCAATTGTGTCTATACCGCACTCTATACTCCTTCCACCACCTCCGTTGCGATGGTATCGAGCAGAGCAGGTATTGCTCAAGGTTTGTTGTGAGAAGCCCTACTCCGTACTCACTCCACTTCCCCCGCTCTCCGTTTCGTCAAAGTTTCAGGGCTACGATCTCCGATCACAGTCTCGATACTGTTTTGGTTTGTTGTTGAAGTTTCATGGAGCGCATGGACTCCGTCAGATTCTGGCCCACTTTGAAGGCAGTGCTATGTATAGGTTTTGGAGATATTGTGAAATCCTCGAAACAGTAAGGCAGAGCCACAGGTTCAGAGAGACTGGAGAGTTCGAGAGGGCCTGATGAGACAACATGATCCTGGGGCGTATTGTGTGGAGCACGACGAATCTGCTCGCTGATGGCTTGGGAGCAGAAAGGAGACGTGTTGAGAACTTGAGATGGAGCCGTGAGGCTGAGAGTGTCTAGTTCATGCATGGTTAAGGTCAAAAGCAGCAACCTGGCGTGGCGGCCATGCCCCCAAACAGGGACGACCGTGTTAACCCCATCGTTTTCGGTGGCAGATACCTCCTCTCCAATCACTCCCTCTTAGGTTGATAGGCTTTACAGCAGCTAATAGACACACTCTTCCTACTGCTAAACCTCAGTAAACAGGGCAAAATAGAGTGCTCGAACGCGGGGGGGTGGGGGTGCGGCATTGGATTCCTGGCGACTGCCCGCGCACGTGCTAGAGAGCAGGTTGGGTTTCAACCAGTGTGGTCACTTGTAACAGGCAAGAGCAGCCCGTGAAGTTGGCAACAAGCCTGACGTCATGGTCCAACTTCGCGTTTGCTTCAGGCTGTCAAGCGATCATGATAACGAGCTCCTCCCTTCTACACAGTATGGTAATGATTGACGGTTTCCCCTCCAGTGTCTAATAACCGCCAAAAATCGCAGTTGCAATACCTAGGTAATTATGTCCGCTTTTGTCGAACAGCTGACTGCTGAAGGCAGCGGTGAATCTGCAGGTAAGAGCATTGATGCATGAGGCTTTGTGTGCTAGTCCTAAGCTTGACAGAGTTCCTGAACGACATCGTGAAGCAGTTATGGCCAAATATCAATGCGGCTGGCAGCAAAATGGTCAAGGAGATCGTGGAGCCCATGTTCAAGACTATGCTTCCTGGACCATTGAAAACCCTACACTTCACCAAAATCGATCTCGGCCCTGTACCCCTACGGCTGTCCAACGCAAAGACAACAAAGACTGAAGTAGACGGCATCAAACTCGACCTGAACCTCGACTGGGTGGGCAAAGCCGACATCGAAATGGATGCAGATATGTTCCCTGCCCTCGTGAGCAAGCGGCTTGTCTTCTGCCCACCAGGTGAATGCCATTGATTCGTGATGTAGGGCGTCGAAAGTGTCGAGCTGCACGGCAGGCTTTCCATATTGCTTTGCCCTCTCACAAACGTCATCCCGCTGGTACGCAATACCCTGCCATCGACGTCCTCTCTATTGACACATGATGCAGATCGGGGCCGCCCAGATATCGTTCGTCAACCCACCACTCCTCAAGCTTGATTTCACTGGCGCTGCTAACGTGGCCGATTTCTCGCTCATTGACGACACCGTTCGCGGAGTGATCCTCGGCATCATCAACTCCATGTTCACTCTTCCCAATCGATACCTGCTCAAGCTTGACGCCAATGCCGACTACTTCAAAACGTTCCATTACCCGCTTGGCATGGTGCGGGTGACTGTGGAGAATGCATGGGGCTTTGGAGAGGAGGCCACGTCAACCACTAAAAGGTTGTTCAACAAGTTAACTCGTGCCGCTCCCGACTGCTATGCCAAGGTCGACGTCGGCGGAGAGGAATCGTGGAGGACAGTCACCAAGAACAACACGAACAGGCCGTCGTGGAACGAAACGCATGACTTTGTGGTGAGCGACTTTGATCAGTGCATTAAAGTGGACGTGAAGGATGAAGATCTCAATGGAGATGATGATGTCGGCCTGGCAGTGACAACGGTTCGAGAGATTTTGATGGCGGGAGGTCGTCAAGAACTCCCGCTGGTTCATAAAGGCGAGGAGACGGGAGGCAGAGTACAAATCTCCTGCCAATTCTTCAAGTACGTGGCAGATGCTGGTAGCCTCACTGCTTCCGATCACAAGGGCGATGGCCGCCTCTCCGGCATTGCTACCATCTTAGTCGCAAGTGCATTCGGCATCAAGGGACAGCGTGAAACCCTCAAGCCAAGTGTGGCTGTGACTTGGGGCACGACTCAACGATTCCAGACTGTCATCAAGACTGATGCTCCCGGCACCGACATCAACAATCCTGCATTCGACCAGGCATTCCGAGTTCCTATTACAACAGACTTGGTTGGTAGCAGCCCAGACAACTTCCGCATTGCGCTTCTGGACGGCGAGAAAGAGGTCGGAAGCGTTGATATACCTTTTGCGAGTGTAGCGGATGCGCCGGACAAGGTCCTTCAGCAGAAATTTGACGTTGGTAATGGAGCCACTGTCAGGGCCAGCATTCGCCTGAGAGGCGTTGTCCCCGCAGAGATGCCACAGACAGAGCTTCCAAGCAGATCCAAGTAGTGATATGTCGACGAATGTGATGACAGTGATACCTTGGTACTTTACACCAGCTTTGGAACAATCACTGAACTCCTGCTCGATGGGGCTTGATCCGAGGGCACAGAGCTAGAACCTGCTGTATACAGCATGTTGTGCTAATGAACGAAGCGGAAGTCAGAAAAGACGTCTGTATGTGACCCAACGCCACGTAAGAGCCTGGTGCAGATCAGGCACAAACTCGAGGGATGGGGAGGTCCAGGGAATGGTCCCCCATATCACGGCCTTCCAGGCGGACCAACAAGCTTTACGCTAACCGAGGTATCGCGTTCGATCCCCCCAAGACGACACGCTAAAGCGGCAACCACACACTTTTGAATGACGTAAGGGCGAGGGGCGCGATACTCAAGGTTAACGTTCACTGTTCGTTGCTCAGCCTCAGCTCCATTGCACCAGCATCGATATCTCTATATTATAATTTACAACCTTATCCAGCGAATCCATTCGGCGTTTGTTGTGTGCACAGGATGTCACGAGCTCCATGCGTGGTGCGCAAACTATCTGGCCTCCTTAGCCCCATCGTATATCCAGCAAACCAGGCTGTGTGAAAAGGAGGCTTCTCGGCGAGTTACAAATAGCCCTATCAAACAGCTGTGGTACTCGTGGGCACTGCCAACCAAACCATGCATCACCTTTGCTCAAGAATAGCGGATGAAGTCCTATCTTGCATTCAGCTGTCACATTACCTAGCGACTCTGGGCACAGTGTCGCCGAGTTAACACGATGCAAATCCTTTTCCTTTAGGGAGTAACTCCCGAGCACAAGGATGAGGAGCACAACCCGTCTTCGAACACAGTCGAGTTACTGCGTCAACAGCGTGGCTTGGCCAGTGTTGGCTCCTGTCGACTTTCTGACCGCTCGAATCTCCACGGTGCTATTCTCGTCGAGCCTCTCACCACCCATATGGAATTATGGAATAACCAAGACAGATTGAAGGCTATAGTCGGCAGCACTTCTTCCAGCACTGCAATCCTTCACATGGAACGAGTCATGGCTCATCTAGCAGTATTGACTGAAGGTAAGCAGTGCGGTTGACAAACGTTCAGAGGTAGTTCGCTCTGCGATATTCCCTCCTTCACAGCCACTTTGTGTACGCGAGGCACAAAGCAGAAAGCATGAACAAGCGGCAGGAGATAATGAGAGCAGTTTTGGATCGAGCGAGCTATCAGCACTTCGGTGCGCTCGAAGCAACAATGGCGAGAAGTATCTTTCTCATCTAAAGGATACGTGTCTGCTGTATGTTCCAGGGGAGCTAACCAGCCCTTCAAAATCGATAGCATGAAGAGCTAGCACGAAACTCGCCATCCCTACAATTAACACAAGCGAGTGTGTACGGTCTTTACACCGTCCTTTCACGACATCGACGTCAGAATTCAACGTCTAGAAAGGATCAAAAACTCAACTCGGATGCACCTTCCACCGCAGAGGTTGGACTTGATTGAGAGACAGACGAGTTTTTCCACCGGGTCGTTGGAGCAGAGGTTCTCTGAAGCCGGCGGGTCCATTTGGGTGACAGAGTCTCAGCGGTTTGGACGTTTATAGATGGTCATGTGATTGGAGCGGCGTCAATATCTTGGGTTTCTTTGGTCTACAGCCATGCAAGGCACCCTTGTTGTGGTGCATGCAGTGGAAGATCTTCCCTTCGGCCGACATCTTCTGCACCTAGCTCTCTATCCTGCCCTACGGCACTTACCTGCAGGGTTCTCCATCCGTCAAACCCGCCCATGACATCCAGTGAGACACTACCCTAAGCATGCATTTCAAAGTCACCGGTGATAACTCTCGCTGAGTATCGTAAGTGCACTTCCGTGGCTTCTATCGTGGCCAGTGACTGCGACAGGCCATCCGCTCTTGCGATGTGATTAGTTGTCATCTGTACAGAAGCCAATCACCAATCCATGATAGGTAAGGTTATCACTTGTTGTGGAGGACTTACAGGTCAGGTTCGTCAACTTTTGACATGGTTGAATGGGCCGACCTATCTTTATATGCCCCACAAGCGCTTGGATTGACCAGTTCTTCTGTTGACATCTCTACTTATCGATCCACTTACCGCTAGCAGACATTGGATGACGAGTTGTATTCGGTCTGGTCATGTAGTTCAACAAATCGGAGATGTGAACGACACATGGCAAGGTGGGACATCAGAGTGGCCCTAGCTCTTTTCTAGATACCCCAGACCCACGAGAACTTCCCCAGAGGCGGTGATTCGGGAGTTGTAGGGGGAAACTCTGATGGAAGGACTACGGAGTAAACTCCAAAAGAAGCAGCGGAGATAAGATGCATCCCACAGACGGTGTGTCTCCATCCAGCGGACGAGATGCTTACAGTCTGCTCCTGATTGGTTATGTTCAACGACAAGACGAGAAAAGTTTTCTTGGAAGAAAACAGTCATTTGCTTCGATGGAAATCAAGATCCTTCCATCTGTGCAATCTATCTGTATCTGCCGCAAACAGTCCTGGCCGTAGCGGGAGGGGATATGAACCGGGGAGGACTTGGCAGGGGGGCCCCAGACCTTGGCATGCTAGGCGGTCTGGAGGAGGTCAGGCCCAACGGAAGTTGTGGACTCTCGCGTGAATGTTGCAGTATGCCAAAACCAGGATGAGGGACGATTTCCAAGAAGTATTTTCCTGGGCAAGACCCAAACTCCGAGAACATGACGCGAAGGCCAAGACCAAGAAAGCTTGCCTCATCAGGATGCGAGGCGTACTACCTAGGTCCTCAGGGCAGCGATCCAGAAGGGCGACGATGAAAACAGCAGCAACAACACCAGAATCAGCAGCAACAAGTGGAAAATGAGAGGAGTAGCGCATCGGATCGTCCCTCCTGTGTTATCAATGCTCCTGTTTGCGGCGGAGCGGAGTGCGTGTCTTGCACGGGGGAAATTGATATCTCTTGGCAGCCTTGGTAAGGCGGAACATATCTGATGAGTGGCTACACTCCCCTGCAGGACCAGGAACACACATGCTCCTTCAACGTTGTCGAAGCTGGCAATGCTGTTGAAGTTCCACCAACCCTGTGTAAGTCTTCTAAACTCTTTATCCTCTCGTCCGAGATGCTGCTATCCAGTCGCTTCTCCAAAACCAGGCCAAGGCTCTTCGCACTGCCAACCAGCTCACGGGTCCTCCACGAATGTTACAAGCGAGCATGACCTTGGGCCCAGTGCAACGTTGCTGAGCTGTACCAATTCTCCTTACGTAGGAGGCTCTCTTCCCTTCAGCCGGCACTGCGTCCACTGTTATATCGTGGGCTCCGTGATCGTCGCCAAGATGCCTGGCGCCCAGACAGACGCCCATACTCAACAAAGATCCCTCTACTTGTCTACAAAATCCTTGCATAGCGAAATAGAGGCGCGATACAGGCCGTTGACGAGGGGATAGAAGAACGTGCAAGGCAAGAGAATGGAGAAACCACTGGGCAGGGGCTGGCAGCAAACCGTCCGTTGAGATTCAGCAATCCTTACAAATACCGCGCTGTCCCTCCTCTTTCATCGCGTTGTTGATGTTGATCGCTATCTCATGAAATTCCTCCCATGATACATGGTATTTCTGTCCTACCTAGTCTTTCAAACGACACTATTCATACCTGTGTGGGCACAAGTTATACTCGCATCGCCTAACACCCTAGAACAGATATTTCCTATTCCATTCGGCAGCAATTTGTCTTGCCCTCATCAGACTTTATAAGAGCACATCGCGCAAGGGTTGTCTTGGACTCCTCTCGCTATTTGCACTTTGGACACTACCCTATCCTGATATCCTGCACTGTGATAGACAATGGCAGAGCCTCACTCTGCCGTACCGCACACAAATAATGAGCTCGTCAGCAGCGACGAGAAGGTCTCTCAGCCCAAAGACGCAGACTCCTCCTCCGGTGACATAGACAACCTTGAGATCGCCGGTGTTTCCCGCGCAAACTTGATGGTTGTCGACAGGGCAACTGAGCGGGCTGTTTTGAGAAAATTGGATTATCATATTGTGCCAATGATCATGTGGACGTACCTCATGAATATGATGGATAGGGGTGAGTGCCTGATTTCCTATAAAGTGCAGACGGGTGGCCGTGGAAATATGCATATGCTAACGGCTAGCTATCTAGTTAACATCGGCAACGCCCGTCTGTTCCACCTGGAAAGAGATCTAAATCTTACTGGTAACCAATTCCAGCTCGCGGTCTCGATGCTCTTTGTCACCTACTGTGTAAGTATTGGCTCAAGAGACCTACGAATGATATGTTGAACGCTAACCCTATCGGAAAGCTCTTCGAGGCACCCTCCAATATGATCATTAAAAAGATGAAGCCTGCGCGCTACCTCGCCGGCCTGACCATCATCTGGGGCATTGTTGCCAGTTTAAGCAGCCTTGTCAACAACCTGGGGTCACTCCTCGCTTGTCGTCTGCTCCTAGGGCTCTTCGAGTCCGGATTCTTTCCCGGAGTTGTTTTATATCTCTCCATGTTTTACGGTCGTCGCAGCCTTGCGCTGCGTATCGCCTACTTCTACTCGACGGCCGCCATCTCCGGCCTTTGCGGCGGTCTCGTTGCTTATGGCATCGGTCACATGGATGGAACTGCAGGCTGGAGCGCTTGGAGGTGGATCATTCTCATCAATGGTCTCCCGACAATTGTCACTGGCGCCATAATTCCCTTTGTCCTGCCCAACTCGCCCTCGACGGCCCACTTCCTTTCCGAGAAGGACCGCGAGAATCTTGTCAGAATTCACGAGGCACAGCTCGGCCGAGCCAAGAACCTACGGCACATGGAGTGGCCCGATGTGAAGGACGGCATGAAGGACTGGACCACTTGGGCCTACTGCTTCGCCCTTTTCCCCATGCTGCTAATGCTCTACTCGTTCGTCGTGTTTCTCCCGACCATCATCGACGATATGGGAGCCGGTTGGAGCCCGACAGAAGTTCAGGCTATGACGGTTCCTGTATATGCGTTCGGTGCCATTGTATATCTCATCTGCGCACGCCTCTCGGATCTGACTCAGCGTCGCGGCTACTTCATCATGGGCGCTATCGTCTCGTCCATGGCGGGTTACGGTATGCTCCTCTCTAATTCGGGCGTTGCAACCTCGTACGCTGGGACCTTCTTCGTCGCCGTCGGTATCTTCACTGGAGCGGGTATTTCATTTGCCTGGGTCCCAACGAACAATCCTCGCTACGGCAAGCGCGCATTCTCTACTGGAATGCATCTGACCATTGGTAACTCGTCCGGTGTTGTATCTCCTTTTCTCTTCAGCGCCAACTTTGCTCCTACGTTTCGAACCAGTTATGCTGTGTCAATCGCTCTGCTCAGCGTCTCTCTCGTCCTCAATACGATCCTCCACCTCCATTTCAAGAGGCAGAATAAACTTCGTGATGAAGGCAAACAAGATCACGTAATGGAGGGTCTAACGGACATAGAGATTGAAGGACTCGGCGAGAAAAACCCTCGTTTCCGCTTTGCTGTTTAAGCAGGCGGATACTATTTTATTTTTCCACAACTGGAGCAATCCATTCGCAAAGATCGGGAAAGAGAAGCAAGTTACATCTTGCCTCTATTGTTCAGCGAGCAAACACAGACTGTATATCATGCAGCGTGTGGGAAGAAGCTAATTAGGTATCGACCTCTTATCCTTTTATTCTCTCTTTATATCCATTTCACAGCCGTTCTACAAGAAAGTTCGAATCGGAGTTAGTTTAAAGTATTTATAATTGTTAAAGACAGATTCCGTAGAGATATGCAACCAGGAGCATTCCTGTATATTTCAGCGCCTGGAGCCTTTCATTGAATCCATCATGCGCAATCTACAAATGCACATTGACCCACTTGTGAAGGTCAACTTTACTACCTCGTTCTGTCATCCCTTGCTCTACTGCTACGTAGAATTCCTCAATACAGTGCTGACGCTGCAAAGTCAAAATGTAGTGTCAGTCTTGACTGTTCTCACGACATTTCACCGCCTATCAGGTCGCTTCGTAAGATGTTAGTCATCCGGTGTTCTAGCGTTGGCAGGCCAAGGCTGTTCCCCGAAAGCAAAGGTTTCTGCAAAGCCCTAGATCTGTGCAGGCTTTGGGTTCTTTTGCTTATTCAGACTCGTGCAGAACGGATTTCGCATCCCGCCGTGGTGGTTGTTCGCGCCTACAAAGTCACCGATCCGTGCCTATGGGCACTGGGCAGTGCTTGAACACCACCCACAACGGGTGACTAGAGCATGGGCATTACACGAAGTCGCGCTACCGACTGGGATACAGCATTTGTCCACTTCGGTGGAATTCCTCGAAAGAGATAGTACATTTCTGAGCCAGCAGAAATGTCTCGTAATGAACCTTGGGGAGCATGCCTTGTCGTGGGGTGGTGCGACATGGGCTCGGCACTATGGTACACGTGCAAATTGAGTCTATATGTATCCTTGATGGCTAAAAGCACCCTCTCGAACCTTGCTGGATGGCATTACTATCCCCAGTCTTCATACGCATAGACAAGCACATCAATTTGCCCTCTAACAGCAACACCAAATGGCGGCGGCTACACTGCCGAGCGAAATGCGTGCTCTGCTACATAACATCAAGGACCAGTCTCTTGTCATCAAATCCGTCCCTCTCCCCATTCCAGGCCCTCAAGAGTACCTAGTGAAACCGCTTGCCGCCGCCTTTACAGTGGGCGAATTATTCTGGCCTCGACCCGAAGAGCTGAGCGTCTCAACTCCTGGCGTTGAATACGTTGGGCAAATAGTGCAGTCGCCCTCCGCCACCTCGAAATTCCAGCGGGGTGATCGAGTCTACGCTCGGGTTACATACCCACGACCGGGTGCTGCACGCCAATACACCGTGACCACGGAGGATGAGATCGCACGGACGCCTAGGAATTTTACCACCGCAGAGGCTGCTTCAGTTCCCGTCAGCGCGTTGGCAGCGTGGCAAGCGCTGTTCGAAGAGTTCAAGATCGAGGTGCCGACTATCAACTCAACCCACTCATCCAGCACCCGGCCCCGGCTCCTGATAACGGCCGCATCGGGTAGCGTAGGCATCTACGCCGTCCAGCTCGCCAAGTTAGCCGGCCTCTACGTCGTTGCCACCGCAGGCCCGCGAAACATTGATCTCGTCAAGTCGCTCGGAGCCGATGAAGTCCTCGACTACACTACGACCGACCTGCGGACCTGGGTGGCGGAAGACCCGAGCCGCCGCAAAGTCGACTTTGCCTTTGCGCTGGCGGGTGGCTCGTCGCTCGAGCAGGCGTGGCACACGGTCAAGGACAACGGCCAGCTGCTCACGATCGTCCCGCCCCCAGACTTCAACTGGGTCTTTGATCTCGACACGCCCGACGGTGTGAGCTCGGCCGTCACGGGACGCTTCTGGATCATGCATCCTTCTGGCGCGCAGCTGGAAAAGATCACGGAGCTCATCGAGGCGGGGAAACTCAGGCCGCTGGTGGACAGTGTCTGGGAGTTTGAGGATTACAATAAGGCGATCGAGAGGTTGAATAGTGGTAAGACCTCCGGGAAGGTCGTGCTGAAGGTCAACGCTGAGCAATAGCTGGGCTGGAAGTGTGGGTAGGTGTAACGTACAACAGGGATGGAATCCAAATGCGTGAGGATATCGTATGACAAAGCCGTGTATAGATAACAGGGACTAAAGTATCCTCTCAACAATCCCTCTGAACATCCGCCACACATACAGCATTTGATCAGGATTGTGATTGTTGTAAGAATTGTAATGCATTTATTCACACATGTACGCTAAAACTAAATTCATCCAAAAGGCGTCGAATCAACCACCATAAAATCAGGCTATTCATAGAACACCAGACATCTCACCTCAATGCTCTGTCTACCTGGGGCATCAGCCGCAGTCTGGGGATCGACGAATGCCGTGTGTGGAGTACAGTCGGCCAAACCTTTCTTCCCACCGTTGACCTGGCTGTAAGAATCAAAGCACTTGATGAACATAACCTCTTCGGGCGTCATGTCTTTATAGTAATAGAATTTGTGGCTATCATTCGGCTGCACACCGTACGTTTCGCCCTTGACCTCATATCCATCGGTGGAGCTCGCAGAGGTTGGGTCTGGGAGAACTTCCTTGCCTCGGTCGTCATCGTCGTGGGCACCATTCGTGACGTCTCTTTTGGGGTAAAGGAGGTCGACCTTCACGAAATCAGAGGGCGTGGTGGATCGCCAATCCACAACTGCGAGAGGGAAATCAGAGGCCGGGTTTTCGATCGGTCGCCACACGTTGATAATCTGGTATCGTCCCTTCAGAAGCTCCTCGGCTTCCTCCGCAGGCAAATGTCGACGCACTCGAATTGCTGCTGCGTTCGGGGTCTGGTCAACGTGGACCTGTTGTACTGGTTGTCTGGGAGACGCCTTTTGTCTTCTTCTGATGGTGTGGTCGAAGATAACCACCTTTTTAATGCCCGGTAATTTATCACGTAGTACTTGCTCGACCTCGGAGTAGTATCCATCGCGAACAGCCTGATCGTCGGTGAACGACTTCTCCTTCGCTGGGTAATTATAAACGGCAAATCCTGCTGTGTCGGTGCTGAAATTCGACTCATTGCCACGAATATCCTCCACCGAGCGCTTGCGATCAATAAGATGAAATGAATAGCCAGGTCCATCGACCTTGGCCCAGGGCTTCACGAATGCAACATCGCTCTTCTCGTACGACGAAGGGTCGATATACTTGAAAGTAGTCGCCGTCATATTGGCTGGTCGGCTGCCGCTGGTGGTAAATGATCGAAATGTGGAAGATGGAAGTGACCGCAGCGGCAAAGATCGGGTTATGGTCTTGGAGAGCGGAGAAGCGGTTCTAACTGCTTTCAAGGTAGAGGCTTGCATACGAGTAGGAATCGCCAAAAACAGAAAGCTACTACTTCAGAGATCTTGCTCGGGAGAGAAAAACACAAAGAGAAATCATCAGCCAAATATTGTGTCAGGGCATCGGGCTTATTTATTTTCTGATCAACGCGGCGTTGATTTGCAAGCAGTTAAAAGAACGCGACAGAATGACGTTGAATTGGAGGAACGAGTGTACGAAACAGGAACTCTACCCAGTGAAAGGTGAGAAATTGCGAGTGGTTTGTCGTAAGATTATCTAATGCTTCGGATATCTGTCGGCTGGCGGAGTTGGTGATCAATTGGCGGGGTTGACATTTGCGCCATGGGCCATGGCCACTCGTCCCAGCATCACGTGTAGCACGTTATTCACGTGACGTACACAGACATCTCGGAACATCGTCGGATATATCTTGTTCCTGTCACAAAATGCCCGTTTGACGCGCTCTTAATCCGACGCGTCTTGAGAGCAGCACTGCCCACATTCACCGCGTCACTGGCAGTCGATCCTACCAGGCAGTGAGAGCCTTGACATAATACAAGTCCCTGTCATATGCCATCGCATCCTCTCTATGATTTGTATTGAGCAAACCTGCCCGCCAATCTCTCTCCTCAATCATTACCATGGCTTCCGACAAGGAAATTTACTCTGCAACTTACAGCAATGTGCGTCGAGCCCCTCCCTTTTGTGCCATGTGGTTCCAACACTAACCCACATCTGCAGGTTCCCGTGTATGAGCTGAAGACCGGTAGTGATCATGTCATGCGAAGACGGTCTGACGACTGGGTCAATGCCACACATGTGCTCAAGATTGCCGGCTTCGACAAGCCTGCGAGAACGAGAATCCTAGAGCGCGAGGTGCAGAAGGGGGTTCATGAGAAGATTCAAGGTGGATATGGAAAATACCAAGGCACATGGGTTCCTCTATCGGAAGGCCGTTCGCTTGCAGAGAAACATGGTATCATTGACCGGATCGCGAGGATCTTTGACTATGTCCCTGGTGACAGAAGTCCACCTCCAGCTCCGAAGCATACCACAGCTGCATCCAGCCGTCCCAAGCAAACCAAAGCCGCTCCCAAGAAGGCACCGCCGCCACCACCACCGCCGCAAGTAAAAGCCCCCAGTAAGCCAAAACAACTCTCTCTCCCCAGCATCCAGAATTAACGTTTTCTAGCTCAATTCTACCAGCCCATCGAAGGTTATGAGGCTGCAAGCGTTCATTATAACGGAGCTGAGAGTCGTGAACCTTCACCCGCCTCTGCATCCTTCATGGCGGAAGATGATTTCTTACCTCTATCCCAAAACTCGACTGCTTCCAGAAAACGAAAGCGGAACGACGATGAATCTGTCTTCACTGCATCAGACCTAGAACACACAATATACGGCGATGAGTTGCTGGATTATTTCGTGACCGCTGGTGATGACCCGGCTGCATCCAATATTCTTCCACCCCAGCCTCCGCCAAACTTCGACGTTGATCGTCCAATTGACAATCTTGGCAACAATGCTCTCCACTGGGCCTGCGCAATGGGTGACGTGCAGATCGTTAGAGACTTGCTCGCACGCAATGCCAACCCTGCTGCGCAGAACGAAGGTTCTAGGGAAACACCCCTTATCCGCGCTGTATTGTTTACAAATAATTACGACAAGCGAACGTTCCCCAAGATCGTTCAAGCTCTCTCACAAACAATTGTTGAACGAGACTGGCATGGTGCAACAGTCTTTCACCATATTGCAGAGACCGCTCGATCTCGAAGCAAGTGGGGATGTGCCAAATATTACTGTGAGGTCCTTATAAACAAGATGCAAGAGATGGGGTCGAACTATGTTCAGGCTTTGCTTGTCTCGACTGATGTCAACCATGATACAGCTGCACTATGTGCAATCCGAAACGGCTGTGTTAAAGTCGCCACCTTTCTGCTCAACCACTGCCCTGAAGCTGGTGATATTCAGAATCTGAAAGGCGAAACTGCAAACGAATACCTCCGATCACTTCGGGAGAAGAAAGATACCCTAGAACAACCAGGCTCCTCACCTCCAAGGGCTGGTGAATCTTTCAATACACGAGTGTCTCGCAGGAAACGACAGAAGGAGGCGGTCTCTCGAGCAGCATCCCTTGTTCTTGACAAGATTGGATCAGTCATGGATGAAGGCAGCTCCAGGATTGCAGAGATGTACGATGCCCAAATGTTAGAGAAAGACACTGAAATAGCTGAAGCCAAGTCTGCATTGAACGAGCTCGAGAATCAGCGTCACAAGATTCGCCAAGAGACTTTCTCGCTGATGGCTCGAGTTGAAGATCCGTCCAGACTTAATGTTCTGAGGCATGAATATGAGGAAAGTCTCCGTGAGATGGAGTCCTTGTTGGAGCAAAAAGAACATGTTGTCTTACAGAAGGAGATCCTTCAACAAGACCAGCAAACCAATCCTGAGGCCTTTCGCTTTTCAAACTCTCAGCCTCTTTCACCTGAAGAAGTTCGAACAGCCATCCCATGGGCCCTCGAACTTAATCGACAACAAGATGTCCGCAAGCACTGGGTGAAGGAAGTGGCCAAGTTGATGGGCGATGCAGGAACAAGTGAGAAAGTAGGCAAGCATCGAAAACTAGTCGCTATTGCGACTGGGCTCAAGGAGGACGAGCTGGACAACATGTCTGAGGAGCTGTTACAGAGTTTACAAGGTGACCGTGGCCTTGCCAGCACAAATGGACCACAAACGCCACCACATATCATGGCTGGAATTGAAGCATAGTGTATTCGTTGATGAGGATATGATTATCACTAGTCTTAGGTACGATCATTGAATGAATGAATGAGTAATGTTTACTATCAACTACACCCTAGTTCGTACATCTGGCATAGAACATGCGTTTGCAGTATCGGGAGTCTCGGTTGCCATCTCGACGGCCGCCACGCAAATACTGCATGGATATACACTCGAAGAATGGCTAGTACTCGCGAACAGATAGGTCGTCATTTACTTCGCCTGAAAGCCTCCTCGGCCCCCCACCCCCCCTTCACCCGGACTGGTGCCGACTCTAGCGACAGGCCAGACACGTATGTTAATGGGCACAATAAAGCAGAGCCGAAACACAATCATCACTACGTCTACGTGACGGAGCAAGCATGTCTCGAAAAGCAGTGACCACAAGTACAAATTACACGGGAACAGGACGGTACTGTTGACTTTCTCAACCATTTAAATTGTAGCTTCACTACTGGAGGAAAGAAGTCAGTTTCAGTGTGCTCGCTTGACTAGAGCTCTGGCTGATCCAGGCACGATGTGATACAGTAGCTCGTGCCTCTGCTATCAGTGATCTCATGTCATCTCATGGTGAGGAAGAAAGTGCCGGACTGTGATTTGATTTGACTTGTTCACAGTTTCTCGGTTTGGTGATATCATCCGTGCTATGTCCACTTCTGTTCCATTGCATACTGTGCGGGAAGCGCATGATTTGCCAATAGCTCGTTGCTCCATGAGTGAAGAGTCTGAGAAAGAAGAGGCATGCAAGGGAAATATAAGAGAATCAATCATAACCGTCAAGAAAGCAGTGTCAGAGACTATGTGCCTCAGCTCTGTTGAGGAATTAAACTCCGAGATTCGCCTTGAACACCTGCTGAGTGCTAGTAATCCTCGCCCTCGGCTTCCTGGATCGGGTTCATGAACGTGGCAGTGCCGAATGGTTGAGCGGCGTACTGTGGACCAGGCGGAGCGATCACTGGGTTGAATGGATTCATGTGGTGACTCGGAGTCGGTGAGAACAAGCCCATGCGTCCCATGCGTTCGATATTGCTGTGTGGAGGAGTCGCAAACGGACCAGGTGCGAACGGATTGAAGCCGTGCAATGGGTTGTTAGGTTCGCCGAGATGAAAGCCCTGAGCTTGTGCCATCGCAACCGCGGGATCAAAGATTGGTTGAGCAAAGTTGAGGCGGGGGGCATTGAGGTATCCAAGGTCGACGTAGGGATCCCGTGGAGTGCTGGTATGCGCTGGCGTTGCTGGGATGTAAGTGGTTCGCGGGCCTCGTCTGGCCGAATACTCTTTGGGCTCAACACGAAGTTTGACACCTTTGAATGTTCTCTGGTTCCCATTATGTCAATGTTTGCTACAGCGAAGGTGAGTAGAGCAAAAAACAAACAAACCTCGATGTTAGAGGCATGCTCTGCCTCCTGAACAGTACTGAATTCCACGAATCCAAAGTTGTTCACAGCATCATCGCCTGGAATTGCGGTTAGATCTCTGTCTAGAGGCGGGTGCGTGCAACGCTTGAAACTTACTAAAGACCTTTCGAATGACATTGACCTGAATGATGGTTCCAAAGTCCTCAAATAAAGTGTGTAGATCCTGGCGAGTTGTACCTTCAGGAAGATTGCCCACAAAGATGCTCTTCTGATCAACAGCAGATCTAGGGGTTGTGAATCCACGAACAATCGGGCTGCCTGTCTTGTTGTAACGAACTCGAGGTTCAAGAGGAGGTGCAAGAATCAAGACAAAGCCGGAGGTATGATGTGGAAAGCCCTTGATGACCGTTAGCAGGCTTCTTAGTTTTCTCGTCAGGGGCAGCTTGCCTTCAAAGCATCCTGGCAGTCAAGATAGAACGCGAACTTGATGTACATTGCGCCCTGGAGGTTATTGCGTGGATGGTCCATTCTCTGAGTGGGAGCCATGAGCTCAATAGGACCAAAACGTTCTAGCATTCGACGCGCTTCTTCTTCTGTGACTATGTCACCGTTCATCTTGGACAGAATGACAGCACCTTCTCTTGTCAGTTTATGTTCAAACTGTTGATACTCGATGTTCTGCACTCACGTTCGGCTTTAGCACGCTCGACCCGAATTCTTCGTCCATCAATGTTCAAGTTCAATGAACCTTCCACAGCTGCAGCTGCGTCATCAGAATTCTTGTTTACGTGTTAGCAAGTGCCAAATGTGTGACTCGCCGGAAAAGTACCTCGTATTGTACAAATGCAAATGGGTGCTTGTTCCGATCAAGGCGAACTTTGACGAAGCATGGCCCGAAGACGGTGAAAATCTGCTGACACGAGACTTCCAATTGCTCAGTTGTGCGATGGCTTGATAGGCTAGACAAATCAGTATAGATCATTGCTTGTCTTGAAATATACTTACTTTGCCACAAAGAGCAGAGCGCTTGGAGGATATAACCCTTGTGCATTTGACGAACTTGGACCGGCCCTCACTCTGTCTTGTCGAGGCAGATAACCCCCATACCCTCCACCAACTCCAGCACGATGCGCAATGCGTTACGCCAGCGCGAGTGTTTCGGCTGAGGGATTGTACGAACCGTAAGTAACGGCCGCATCGCCGAACACATCATCGGCTAGAGTTGGTGCCATGGGGGTATGGGTCCCTGGAACCATTAAGTGTCAGATGGATGTAGGACAAATTATTGGAAGCAGAAGAGCAGTTTCTTGGAGGGTAGTATGCTCAAACGATCCAGAAAGACACAGCTGGGATTTCGGCAGAGCGGCTTTGTGGGTTGGGACAGATAGAAATATGTAGGAATCGGAGTTTCAAAGACAGAATAGACTCACCAGAATGGTTCTGAGAACCGGCCTCAACGCTCATGCTAGCGAGGCTTGTGGCCAGGGCATCTGTATTGTCAGTTTGAGCGGGTGCTGAAGATGCTGTAGCAGCAGGAAGAGGAGATTCGGGCATGATGATTTGGGGAGAAGAACTCGATGAAGAAACACGTCCAGAAGACATGTCTGTTGCCGTCGAGATTGTGTAGGATTGAGGAAGGAGAATCTTCTCAAGTTTGAGAGGGCTTTGCACCTTTTAAAGGTGTTTGAATGCTGCTGTTTGCTCGAGGAGAAAAGGAAGATGTGACTCGAGTGTGAGAGGTGGGGGTGCAAGTCACCTATGGAAGTGAGGTGAGTAGCTACCTAAGCTGTGAAGCAATTATACTTGGCGACGCCCCGGCCACCAGTCTATGCGCGATATGCGCTCCAAAAAGGCCCTGTTGTTTTCAGAGGTTAGCACGTTATCCTGCTCAGATCGGTGCTGGATTCCACCGGGTGAGACGCGGACGCCATGCAGCGACTGAGCCAATTTCCCCTGCAGGGCAGATTGCCATGATGTGCAACGCCTTGTCGGCGCACCAGAAGGCAGGGTATCAAGGTCAGCGAACGCGTAGGCTTCACCACGACCTGTCTCATCGACGAGGAGGACAAACGCTCTGATGCCAGAGCCCCAGATTGACCATTTGTGTCACGGCATACAGTCTTTCGCCGGGTGATTCCACAAAGACCGCGGTTCGGAAGCTCGAGACACGTTGTGATATGTCAACGTGTCGTCCTGGCAAGCCGAACCTTGCGTCGATTGAGACAGGTCACTTCTTGGGTGGAATATACCCCACCATGCTCTTGAGGACCGGAGGAACGTTGGAGTCTTCACTAACCTTTGCGTAAGGCAAGGGCCCTTTTGGAGATGAGTATGAACCCATTGGCAGTGACCCAAGTAAGTTGGGCCACTGCCCTGAGTATGAACCTATTTGGCAGTGGCCCAAGTTAGTTGGGTCACTGCCCACCCTGGTGGGTACCTGTCTGACATGTAAGTAGGTGGAATCACACAAAGAACAGCCTGTCGTGGCCTCAGGATACTTACTGATAGTACCAAAACCAGAAAAAGGATGGGTTTGAGGAGATCCAAGTTTCCCGATCTTGAGATAAGAAAGAAAGAAAGAAAGATTGAGACGTGAATGTTATCGTGTGAAATATAGACAAAGTGAGAGGTCTCTTCAGGGACTAGCGCAGCCTCGTCAATTCCGCTAACGATTATAGGAAAGACAGCCGGATCACAATCGCGCCAAGGGAGGCGCTAAAGGGTCGGAAATACAGTCGTGCCGAGCTGCCTGACAGAAGGCTGAGCGCAGATGACGTTCTGGACTAGCTTTTTGTGAAGGTCGACTGCAGAAGGAGAGCGACGACGACACTGACTGATATATAACGACATGACAGAGGCACAGCATCGACAGGACCAATCGACAGGGGCATGGCCGTGATATCTACATTTCACGGAGATTGAAGGACTCACAACTATGTTTGTTCCATCCCTCCGCCGTTGTGCGCCAGGGTTCTGGAGCAAGACGGGCCAGGAATTTCAAAGGGCGACCAAGTTTGGTGAGTGTCCAGCCACATGTTGTGCTCTTGATTGGTACTAATGGTGCCTCTCTGGCAATTCTGGGTGGTTTGTGGACCTCTACTAACCAGCTAAACTATCGGCAGCTCTCAACCTCGAAGGTCTACAACTACCAGTAGCGCCCTACCCAATATTCGACTTTGCAGATGCAGAGACGATAACTACACTGAAGGCGATGTCCGATCGGACGGTTGGTGGAATTTCAACAGCCCAGTTGATACAGCGGCCTGCAGATACTTCTTCGAACCCTCAGACACCAGCCCATATCTTATTCAAGGGAAACATCTCCACGAAACTGCCCGCAGATCGACCAGACATACAGAGAACAGGCTATGCAGCATGGCGGAACATAGATCGAGGAAGAACGCTTTTTGGTGAACTCTTTTGGGATGTCGACTCCTACATGTATCTTGCACTGAAAGTGAAAAGTGACGGAAGGAAATACTTTGTAAACATACAAACAGACTCCATTGTGGAGTCAGACATACATCAACATCGATTGTACACGAAATACCACAAGGGCGCAAATGGACCCAATGATCCAGGCCAATGGGAGACGGTGTGGATCAGATTGCATGAGTTCGTTCGGACAAATCACGGTGTTGTCACTGAGCCACAGTCAGAGATGCTACGGCAGAAGGTGAAGAGTTTTGGAATCGGACTTACTGATAGACAAGCTGGTCCGTTCGAATTAGGGATTGCTGCGATGTGGGCCACCAATCTGAACGAGCGTGGTCAGGTTGATGGCCGCACCGGCTGGGAAGATGGTGACCAGGGCAGTGCGCGATTGTGCGAAGTCACAGAAGAAAAGCTTGCTCAAAAGGCTGAAGAAAAGCGAAAGCTACCACAAGAGAGAAGGAGCTTTCGTGAACGGGTGCCACATTTCGGCAAGGTTGGCACTCGCGATTATTCTGGTGTACGATAACGAGTCCAAATTCCTGGCAAACACGCTGGAAGGGATTGTACAATGTTACAGCAGCAAGATACACAAAATGATTACGATTCTGGTTTCTCAACCTTTGATCCTACCGCAGGCTCTGTAGTGCATCTTCTAATGACTTGCCCGTGAGAATCTTGAACGCCTCTGCGTACTTCGAACGGGTACCATAGACTACATCTTCTGGCATCGAGACACCCTCCTTGCCCTTCAGCCCGTTCCTCGTCAACCAATCGCGCAGGAACTGTTTATCAAAACTATCCTGCCCTTGTCCGACCTTGTAGCTAGATTTTGACCAGAACCTCGAGCTATCAGGGGTGAGCACCTCGTCAACAAGGACGACTTCATCTGTCTCTTCGTCCAGGCCGAACTCAAACTTGGTGTCAGCGATGATGATACCCTTTTCTCTCGCGTAGTCCCTGGCGGTCTTGTAAATGCTGAGCGCCAGCTCTTCGATTCGCTTTGCGTATTTGTCTCCCACAATCTTCGCGGCTTCCTCGGTCGAGATATTTTCGTCGTGCTGGCCAAGCTCAGCTTTCGTACTCGGAGTGTACATGGGCTCTGGTAGCTCCTGTGACTCTTGCAGGCCCTCAGCAAGCTTCTTTCCGTTTACCTCACCCGTTTTCTGATACGATGACCATGCCGTGCCTGTGATGTACCCTCTGACGATTGCCTCGACAGGAAACACTTTCAACTTCCTTACGTGCATACTTCGTCCTTTGAGTTCAGCGGCCTTATCATTTGGCACGCTCGAAGGCAAGTCCAAAGATATGAAATGAGTCTTTAGATCTGGGAGCGCTCGCTGCAGATATTCAAACCAATGTGCTGTGATGAGAGTGAGAATGACCCCCTTGTCTGGAACACCCTGTTTGTCCCCGTTGGTGACTTTTGCCCCAGACATCAAGGAAAGCAGCTACTCACATTTTTCATGACCACATCGTAGGCAGATATACGATCTGAAGCAATGAAGAGTAAAGATTTTGAGTCAACATTGTACAATTCACGGACTTTGCCTGAAGCAACCAGTGGCAGGGCGTCCCCCAGATCCGACTGAACAAAGGCCATGGTGAATCGACCTCGAGGTTTCAAGCAATATGAATATATCTGACTATTTCAACCGGCGGGCAAGGAAATACAAGTCTGTATGACCAACTTAAATCTGAAAAAAACCTTATGCAAATCGTGCAAACTTTCTGAGGACGCAGATGCTGCCCAATCACGGGCGGTGGACTTCCCGACGCGACAGGACGACCCGCACGCCTTGGGTGTGTAGGGCGAGTCCCTATTTACATCACCACATTTGAATGCACCCTTCGCTCTTTAAGAATGCAAACAATCTAACACGAGTCGGTCGACTTTGAAGACTGGTGGCGATGAGCGGGAAGCTGTTTAACACCGAAGATTCTAGGATGATTCTTACACCATGAATCGATACTTGACCCCTGCCAAAATCACCCTGTTGGCATTAAGCCTCCTCTATGCGGAAGATCTAGTCCCAACCTCAGAAGCAAAGTCGGTGCTGGCCTTCATCCTTGCACAGATCCTGCCTACCGACAAATCTTCTGACCATGATTTTGAGCCTGCTATCCCCATAGCGGTTTTTGAATCTGCCTTGTCAGGTCACCCATCAGCGAGACCTGGAAGGTCGCTATACGATCTTTTGCTAAGGAAATTATGGGCTGTTGATTGCTCCGACGCGCTCGATGCGTTTATCACGAACCTACCACTACTCCTCACAAAACCCAGGGAGCAGATTCTACGGGAGCGAGAGACAGGAGAAGTCTCGGATCAAACCTATGGACGGATTCTTCGTACTTCACCACTGGGGGCCTTCATTCGCCGTTGCAATCTCGAGTATATGCGATTGCAGTTCCAGGATAGTATTGCTTTATGGCAAGACTTCATAGCATACCGGATTCCGAGCCGACAAGCGTACGAAAAGAAGAATCCTCCGGTGGGGAGGACCGCTATTGATACCAATTTCGAAGAGCTTCAAATCGATGGCTCGCACCCGCTTGCTCAGATCATGTACGGACGACTTACAGGCATTGCACAAGATAACGACCCTGCATACAGTGCCCACGACCTGGAGAAACTCATGGAGTTCCAGGTCTCCGAGCTGCAACGATATGGGGGGCGTCTACCCGGTGAGATGAAAGCCAGACTGGATCAAATGTCAAAGGCTGGTCAAGCCATCCCTACACTTGGACATTATTTGGGTTTTCTCGACTCGTGGCGTGCGGGAGACTACTTCTCGGCATTTGATAATCTTCATCGATATTTTGACTACACGATGCAAAGTCGAGAACGGACCTTTTACCAATATGCACTGCTTAATCTCGCCATCTTACAAGCAGATTTTGGCTGTCATGCTAAGGCGCTTCCTGCTATGCAAGAAGCAATAGCCACGGCTCGAGAGGCCAAGGACACCACGTGTCTGAATTTTTGCATGAGCTGGCTGTACCATTTTGGACGGGCCTTTCCTGCACATATGAAGACGATCCGCGAACGTGGTATTCTTGGAAGTGAGACGGAGGGTCTCGCTTTTCTCAAATCACGGGCAAGAGATGCAGAGATGTGGACTTTGCTAAGTACGTCTCTGCTCAGTGAAGCAAAGCTGGGACTTCAGCACGGTGAAAGTATCGCTACAGTGTTTGAGAATATTGCCAAAGCTTCACATCTTAATATCATCAAGTCGGCAGCAGGTATCACGGGACCAGCTCTCCTAATGAAAGGCGCCACGTACAGCAGAGTTGGCCTCAGCCATATGGCATGGATGTGCGGCCAGACCTTCTTACAATGCCACGTCAAAGATGCTTCGCTAGAAGATTTGCTCAAGTATAGTTGTCGAACGGCCGGCCTTCTTGTCCAGAGAGGACGGTACACAGAAGCGGATAAGTTATTGAATGATCTCCCACAGAATATTCACCGGGTACTCAAATTTCATAACTACTTGACTTTCTACACCGGAGTGCTCAAAGTACGCCGCTTGCTGCATCGAGGTGATCACAACGCGGCTGAACTCCTCCTCCACCGCCTCAAAGGCCAGGGTCCTCCGGATGTCGAAATTGGGTTTTCTTTATTGGTGCTGGAGATCGATCTGCTTCATCGTCGTGGCATTCTAGACAAAGCACTAGAATCCGTCGAAGCACTGGGGGAGAAGGCTTCTGCCGAGATAAATGATGTGGTGGTCCAGACCCGGCTGATAAATTTCAAGGTTCGCCTCCTGGCCGACAGTGATAACACCCTGAAAGGATTCTCGCTGGCCACGAAAGCTGCTCAGATCGCATATCGTGCTAGAATATTGCCATCGCTGTGGGAATCAATGGGGCTCCTTGCAAACATTCTCAACGCTCTGCGAGAATTCTCCGCCGCCGCCGAGTTGTTACACGCCATCATGCCGCAGGTGTTGGAGTGCCAAGATTGTGATCTTGCCGCTCACTCATATTCGATTCTCGCAGATGCCAACATGGGCCTTGCGGGGTTGGAGCAAGACCACTCGACGAAACAAAAGGAATTTATCAGTAAAGCCATGGAACATATTGATCAGGCTCGTGCAGAGTTCGGGCGCGTTGAAGATCTGAAGGGTCAGCTGGAAATGTTGAAGAAGAAGGCGACGATTATGCATTGGCGGGGTGACCTGGTGTTGGCGAATGACACTGCAAGCCAGTTCATTCAGCTGGAGAAACAGTACGCAGATATGCGTATTTGAAATAGCATTGCAAGAGCATATTCATGAGCGGTTTATGCAATCGGGTAATGAAAATATCAATTTGGCATTTGTGTCAACTTTCTCGCCCGTGTCTTCACCATCCCTCGGTCGCATATGTACATAGGAGACACACTCCCTTTTATGGGTTCTGCATAAAGAGGCCACTAATTGGTGGTTGACTCTAATGATTTATGTGGCCTTGTCCTTGTTGTGATAGTTGACCTTTTCGTTCCAGAAGAGGGTCTGCAAACAAGTCAGAACGTCGGAAAATCCAAACAACGCATCCAAGAGTTGTTTTGCCCTTACCTTATCACCATCTCCCCAGAAAAAGTTCTTTGATCGGATGTTCTGGTAAGGATATTCAACTCGCTCTTCCAGGGGAGGCAAATGTTCCCAGTGCTCCCAATGTTCATTCCACAAATTCCAAGCGTTGATGCTGCCGAGGATGAGGCAAGGGATGACTACACTGTTGGGTTGGTTAGGCTCTGCTCTTCATCTTCAATATAGGCGTGTGCTCGTACTAAATGGAGAGTCTGCGCCATAAATCTGAAGTTTAGGTTAGTCATGTTTTCCATCCCTTCCAAAATCCTAAACGGGCCACTCACCACTGGTGGCTGCAGCGTGGGCCTTCACAGCAGCTCTTTCCCGGTTGAACGCATTGTCTGCTGGACCGACCAACTTGGCTCCAGTGGGAGGCAGCTTCTCGGAGGTGCTCGCAAAGCGTCGCTGGAGGGTTGTTCGGAGGGAGGGTGCACGTAGCTGCTGGGCAAAGCGCAGTCCCACTCGTTGGAAGGACATGTTTGTTTATCGTTCTCAGGCAGAGTGGAGAGTGGGAGGGTTGGTTAAAGAGGAGGGATCGCGAGGTTTTGAAAGGTGATGTTGGAGGTTCAACGGGTTCGCAGGGGAGCTTCGGTCATGGGCTTGGCAACGAATAACCCAATGAAAAAGCTTGTAAAGGTATGGTAACCCAAGTGGTGTGAGCGGGGAGCTCTCGTAATTTTGTATCGGTTTTACACAGTTTTTGCTGCCAGATTCTGCCAGCTCGTCATCGCAATGACAATACGGCGTGACCGCACCTTCCCCAGTTTGGACCATTGAACGTGAGCTCTGCCGATGAGCTCCTTCAACCTCAATATTCTGAATCTTCGACGTCTCACAACCACCACTCACTCTCCACTCCTTATACACGGCAAATCCAGCTCTATCCCAGCTGGCTCTGGTCGGTCTGTGACTGTCTTGCAGTATTTCGAACCGTCCTCGCCACCATGTCCGCGACAATGTTTCGGACAACAGCCGCCCGCTCCCTTCCGCGATCGTTGACCATTACTCCCCGAACAGGCCTCTGCAAGAACGTCCTTTCAGCCTCGTTGAGAACCTCAGCTCGTCCAGTCAGAGCTTCCAGGCTACTGGCGCTCACGACCGTACAACCTACGCAAAAGGCTCTGGTCCGCTATGCTACGAACAACGCCTACGCCTATGACAAGAAGAAGGCAGAGGCAGAGTTGGGGAAGCAATTGATCCGTGCAGGCCATGAGGGTGTATCCACGGAATCATCGATCCACCCCGTTACTGGCGAAGTTGGCCTCAAGGAGGAAGAGCATGATGTGGATATGATGGCAGGGATTCGCAGCGATTTTGTTGGTCTCTACATTCAATGATTTGCTTTCACGGACTAACCATTGCATCTAGAACACCATTAAGGAAACTTTTACCCTCAGAGAAGTGCCCCGTGAAGCGCTCTATGTTGGTTTGGCAGGTGTCATTCCTTACCTGGCAACATCTCTTACCACGGTCTACCTGTCTTTTGATATTCAATACGCCGCCCACCACGGACAGGGATTCTTCTTGTCCGGCGAGGTTGCTGAACAACTTTTGCACATCATTGAACCCATCCAGCTTGGTTATGGTGCTTCGGTACGTCTCAATCATGCAAGTTGATTACACGTGGATACTGACTGGAGATAGATCATTTCCTTCCTTGGTGCCATCCATTGGGGTCTTGAATGGGCCAAATTTGGAGGCAACCAAGGCTACGGACGGTACTCTATGGGTATTGTCGCGACGGCGGTAGCATGGCCTACACTTCTTCTTCCTGCAGAAGTTGGTCTTATTGCCCAATTTCTTGCCTTCACCTTCTTGTACTACAATGATGCCAGAGCCGCCGCTCGAGGCTGGGCCCCATCATGGTACGGAACATACCGATTCGTACTGACTTTCATTGTCGGTGCTTCGATTGTTGCCTCGTTGATCGGACGTGGCCAAATTTCGGATTTGGTCACACGACCAACAGGTCCAACCGAGAGATTCCGAGCACTCCGAGCTAAGCAGTACGCAGAGCTTGAAGCTGAGCCTGAAGGCGAAGCTGAGGAGGAAGAGGAGGAAGAGTAGAGCAAATTGGAACGGGTGTTTTTTGTTTGTTTTGCAGCTCGGTTGAAGGACGCTGATTGCTTGCAGAAAGCCAAGTCAGTGCTGTACATATCAAATCAAGAAAAATCGAAATATTCCTTTGTACACTTGAGTATCGGGTTTTTTCGCTCCTCTGTCCAGCCTTGGAAGCCCTTCTGACCTAAAAACCCTAGGACCAACTCCTATTTTCTCCCCGATTTGTTGTCGAATGAAATTCAGCGTGGAAGGACTGTCTTGGCGCGGGTTGCAGCTCGGGAATTGTGAGCCCGAGCCACAGCAACTTGAACATTATTGAACACGGATTCCTCGGCGATCGAAACCCCCAGACGTCATTTTGGGTTTTGCGGAGTTGCATCATACGAAGAGGGGACGAGCACTGCATGGGAGCTTTTGCTCGGTTTCAATCTCAAATCCCATGTGCTTCATTTTACATCCTGCTAACTACCTACGCTGCTCGTAGTACTCGATCTTTTCCGATCTCTTCCCTCCAGATCCCCGTGCCCCGCATCTCAGCATCGCAAGGGCCGCTCCAGCATTTTCTTGAAGCGTTGGATTGTATATATTGTGCTGCGCTTTGCTTCCCACTCCCTCCCATGTGCTCGTGCCTGTGAAAGCGATCCGTTGCACCAGACCACGCTTCTTCCCATTTTAACAGTGGGTTCTTCCTTTTTTTTTCATGTTCGCCCGTCTCGCTCAGCAGCTGAAGCATCTCTCTAGCTCCTCCGAATCTGAACAGCCTTCTAAGATGGTAGGTGTATACTGGTTGCTCGATAAGAGCGAGCGGGACGTCTTTCGTTACTGACTCGTGCCCCAGGCCGGAAGCAAGACATTCATTGGGTCGATTGACAATGGAACGACCAGCTCTCGATTCCTCATTTTCGACGCGGCTGGGAACCCTGTCGCGCAGCATCAAATCGAATTTAAACAATACTATCCCCATTCCGGGTAAATAGATCCCCAAGACGAGGGCCCCATGCGGCGCAGTCAGTCACGTGCTACTTGTACTGACATCTATCCCCCAGCTGGCACGAGCACGACCCATTCGAGCTCGTCTCGTCGGTGTCGGAGTGCATAGACAAAGCGGTGGAGGAGTTCGAGACCCAGGGCCACTCCATCTCGGACATCCAAGCCGTGGGCATCACGAACCAGCGCGAGACGACCTGCGTCTGGGACACCAAGACGGGAGAGCCGCTGCACAATTCGATCGTGTGGACGGACACGCGCACATCCAGCATCGTGCACCAGCTCAAAGCACGCGACGGCGCCGACGAACTCCAGGACCTCTGTGGCCTGCCGCTCTCCACATACCCATCATGCACGAAACTGCTCTGGCTCATGAAAAACGTCGACAAGGTCAAGAAAGCGTACGAGGCCGGGACGCTCGCGTTCGGCACCGTCGACAGCTGGCTGGTGTACAAGCTGAACGGGGGTCCGGAGGCCAATGTCTTCGTCACGGACCCTACCAACGCCTCGCGCACCATGTTCATGAACATCCACAAGCTCGAGTACGACGACAAGCTGATTTCCTTCTTCGAGCTGGACGTCAAATCCCCCAAACTCAACCTTCCCAAAATCGTTCCGTCGAGCCACGCCTCCGCATACGGCACACTTGCGAGCACGAAACTCAAAGGCGTGAAGATCGCCGGCTGCCTTGGCGACCAGTCTGCCGCGCTGGTGGGCCAATGCGGCTTTACGCCTGGCCGCGCGAAAAACACCTACGGCACGGGCTGCTTCCTGCTGTACAACGTGGGCGAGAAACCGGTTATTTCGAAGCACGGCCTGCTGGCGACAGTCGCGTTCGACTTCTCGCCGCAGGGGATCAAGCCGGTTTACGCGCTCGAAGGGTCGATCGCTGTCGCCGGGTCGAGCGTGAAATTCCTGATGAACAACCTGGGCTTCTTCCGGGACTCGGCGAAGGTGAGCGAGCTGGCGCGCACGGTGGACGACAACGGCGGCGTGGTTTTCGTTACCGCGTTCAGCGGCCTGTTCGCCCCGTACTGGTATGACGACGTCAAGGGCACTCTTTGGGGTGTCACCGCGTACACCGAAAAGGGCCACATCGCGCGTGCGACCCTCGAGGCAACCTGCTTCCAAACAAAGGCCATCCTCGACGCGATGGAGAAGGACGCCGGCGTCAAGCTCGAGGAATTAGCCGTCGATGGCGGAATGAGTAACAGCGATTTGTGCATGCAGGTTCGTCCCCCCCCCCCCCTCCCGTCACACTTCTCTCTACGCTAGAACTAACAAGAGCAAACAGACACAGTCCGACCTGATCCAGATCCCCGTCGACCGCCCGAAGATGCGGGAGACGACGGCGCTGGGCGCGGCGATCGCGGCTGGGTTCGCGGTCAGCGTGTGGAAGTCGTTCGACGAGCTCAAGGAGATCAACTCCGAGGGCCGGTTCTTCTTCAAGCCGAAAATCAGCAAGAAGGCGAGTGACAGGATGTACCGGAAGTGGACCAAGGCCGTCGAGATGAGTCGTGGCTGGACGGATGAGGATGATGAGGACAGTGATGACGAGGAGAAGGGTGAGAAGTTGGAGCAAACTGTTACACCCGGTCAGTAGTAAGCGGTGGAAAGCGGATTTCGGGAGAAATGGGCCTCTTAGTTGAGCAGCAGAAAGGTGGCCGAAGTGGCGGGGTTTTTGGTAAAAGGAGATTTCTTTATTTCCCCTTTTCTATTCTTGAATTGTCAAGAAGAGGTTGTGCTGGATTCATGAGTGCTCCGAAGGCACGATGATATAAAGTACCAACTGATGGTCCTGGACGAAGCACTGAGATGTTCCCATCACAACAAATGCCCATTACTTGGTTTCTCTTCTTTCGCTTCGTATGCCTCAATTCTCGCCTCCCATTCTTTTCTCAGCGTCTCCATTTGCTTCCAGGCGATCGCACCAGTGGAGACAAATTCCTCTAAATCTTCGGTTGTTGCGTCCTTCGCGCCATACTTTCGTCCGACCTGTCCAGCCCACCATGTATCTTTGAATGGTTTTCCAGTCCCGTTGATTCCCCAGCCTTGAACTTCCGATGGCTTGACTGAAGTTCTCCCCCACCGTGCGGTTGAAGAGCCCCATTTGACCTGACCTCTACTGCTGCCGGCATATTCAATCTCCTTGGATTTAATCTCGGCCGGCATTGCCAGCGCCAGCCATGAGAGAGCGAGAGCACCTTTATAAATCGACACATTTGCCCAAACAGACCCGCACCACCGTGCTAGGTAAACCCCCAAGGTGTAAAAAGGCATCAGGATGGCGTAGATATCGACGATTGTAGTAGCACAGATCCCTGGATGTCCAAGATGGAAGACCGGTGCGCAAAGGTCAGGCCGCACGCTTCCTGCACGTGTGGACGCAGAGCTGGTGGTGTAATCCTTGACCGAATCTGCAGTGCTCGGCTGGCCATCCGCTGTGAGCGCCAGATTGTCTGTTAAACGCTTTGAATGCTCGTAGGCTGCGTCAGTCCTCAAGCCTTGATGGTCTTCTGGATTGTAATTATGTATGGATGGTTCGATGGACGAGGTCCAGATGATTTTGCCGGGAGAATCTGAGGTGCATGCGCGCAGCAAAGGCATCAGCCAATGGACGAGCATGTAATGTCCAAAGACATTGGCGCAGAAGACTTGCCCAAGAACCGGTTCTTCAGACCCTAGTGACTTGTCCTGCGGGAATTGTGGCTCTGTAATGAGTCCCACCGCTCCCAGCTTGAACTTTGGCCATGTTGTCGCTTGTCTTATCTCCGTCAATATCGTCCACACCGCTAGCGGCCAGTTCAACCCAGTCCAGCCTCCGATACCAGCATTTAGGACGATCGCATTAATCTGAGGAAGGTCCGATTCGACAAGTTTGCGACCAAGAGCACGGACAGATAGGAGATTGCACAGGTCAACGTTCTCAGGTTGGAAGTAGACCCGACGGGTTGACTCTGTGCAACTTCCGTGCTTAGCCAGATGCTGTTCGAGCGTTGCAAGAGTATCAGAGGCTTTTCGATTGCTTCTCGTCGTGTATATGATAGTCAATTTCTGGTCAGGGTTCGCTCGGGCAAGGAACTCGTCAGTGAGACTGCAGCAGATGCCCAGGCCCAGGCCACTAGAACAAGGAGTCGCAATCAGAAGGCGGTCATGGAGAATCGCAAAGACATGGACCTACCTGTTGGCGCCTGTGACCAGGACATACTGGTGCGAGGAAGTCATGGCAGTGAAGCTCACCCCGAGCCTCCCGGATGTTTTGTTACATGCTGAGTCCTGGTCGACACTTTGGTGAGGCACTTGCCTTATTGAATGAATTTCTGTGGCGCGTGTCGGATAGTTCATTTCCCCCAAACTTACGACCTACGGGTTGGTGTGCCAATCGGAGCGGATTTTTATTGCCCCGGCTGCGACTAGCGAGCCAGCCTTTCATACAATGTTCATGGTATTCTGTGATTCTCCAATAGAAATGGTTTATGCAAGTAAATTAATTTTCAGTTCTTCTATCTCGTAGTATTTCGCTAACCAGTTTGGCACAAACTTCGCTCTTGGCATCCTTCAGCCTCGGCGCTATCCTACAATCGACAATATTCTAATGGGTTATGGTCCATGACAAATGACACTCAGGATGGCCTACCAATATGTTGCCCTTCCTGTTGTGACTTCAAACAAAGATCTCTAAGATCAAGCTGTATTGCGGCCCCGAGCTCACACTTTCTCCATGCCGATCTTCTCATCCCCGTCATCCGCAAAAGCATATCTGCTATGCTTTCTAATCGCCGCGCCCTTGAAGTAAAATACGAATGGGATCAAACAGCAAGCAAGGGCAATAAATGCCAAAAGCGAACTTGCCCATTGATAACCGAGACGATCATACATCTGCTCTGTAAAGAGAACGACGCTCGCGCCCCAAAAGCTTCTGATGCAAGTCTTGGCCGCAAGTGCACTAGCAGCTTGATGCTGGTATGTGTCAACGAGATAGTTGTTGGCTGAATTGTACAGGAAGATGAATCCGAACCCAACAGGCCATCCACCCATCATCGGTCCCCAATACGAAAGCTCGGGATATGAGGTCCAGGCGAAGATAAATAGTCCTATGGGGATGAGCCAACACGAGAACATCATTGGGATGAGACGCGCTTCTGCTGCCGGTTTGCTGGAGGACGCGTGTTCGCAGAGGCTGAGGTAGTGCTTGTTGATGAGTGGAGAAAGAGCTGCAGACATGAGTACTCCAAGGGCCAACGGGATGAACATGAGCCCAGTGCTGCCTTCGGACCAGCCTTTCCCGTTGACGTAAACGATTGGGTAGGCGACGAAGAACATGTACAACAGTCCATATAGGACACTCATGTACAGTGAGATGAAAAGAACAATGGGCTCCAAGAAGAGAAGTTGCAAAGGTCGAATAAGGATGATGCGCAGCCGTTCGCCGAATGGCCGAGTGTCGAGGTCCTTCTCAGTCACGTACTTCGACTCGCCTGTCTCTCTACGCAGTTGCTTGGCACGTCGGTCCAAGAGGGCTGGTGCATACGTTTCCGGGATGGTAAAAGTGAGAAGCAGCCAACAGATCCCGGACAGGATCAATTGGATCCAGTACAACCACCTCCATCCACTAGCCATTCCAAGGTAACCTCCAGCGAGGGGCCCAATGGCGGGACCAATGAAGGGTGCTGCTGAGAAAACAGCCATAGGCACTCCCCTCTCCTCATTTTTCCAGAGGTCTGCCAGTGTACCTCCGACGAGTGTCATAGGAGCCGAGAAGGCGATCCCATCAATTAATCTGCAAACTAGGAGAGTACCGATGTTCTGTGCGACTGCGCAAGGGATTTCGAAAATGACGGCCAGGGCAATGGTGATGATGTACACCGGTTTGCGGCCGTACATCTCTGAAAGCGGTGCGAAGGCGAGAGGTCCAACACCAAATCCGATAACAAACATGGTGATTGTCAACAGTGAGACCTCCATCGAGACATGAAAGGTCTCCGAGACGCCCTCAAGATCAGCTGTGATAACAGCACTGTTGAAGGCAACAACGAAGCAGGTAAAGGCTACGACCATGGTGCACCACCATTCTTATAAGAGATTAGTATCCGACTTCGGAATTGAGGTGAGGAGTGAGGTGTAACATACTGTAAGGCTTTGACCAGTTTTTTGGATTTTCAGGGTCATTGATTTTGAACGTAACCAGCTCGTGCTCCTCCGGCTTACCACTGACTCTTGAGATTGTTCGTTTCGGTATGATACCTGTGGCTGTTTCTTCCGTGTACTCTGCCATGTCGGCTTCTTCTCTCAACATGTCATAAGGCAGGTCCAGAACATCTGCAGCGTCTTGTGTCGGCCGTGTCTCATATCGTTCTAAGGTCCGGCGAGTAGAGGCACGGCTGAGGCGGGTATTTTGTCTTTGGAGATTGGTTACACGGGGATGGCTTTCGGCCATCTCATCGTGTGAGGATTCCGACATTGTAGCTAATCTGGGGAGCAATAGTCTCAATATTCTTGGAATGGAAGTATGTCGAGTTGAACTTCACCCAAGAGAGGTGTATATTCTCTGTACCAATTCAGAGAGAAACACGTATGCAACTGTAACCGAAATGATAATACAGTCGATACTATGTGCGATGTTAGCATGACACCGTGCTCCCACTGGGGCATAACGCGAGTTTTATAGCCCTCCTATTCATGAGGCCGGACTTCTCGAGCCTCGAGACAAAACAAATGAAGTATCTTATCAATGGATCCATAAACGAGTGCCACAGCACATGCCAATGAAAACGCATTGTCCCTATCCAATTGAGGCAATTAAGCCCCCTCTTTAGAGTACCTACATGTGCTCGGAGAGCGAAGCGCGACCTCCCATGTGGAACTTGAAGGCCCTGAGTGGAGGACTGCCTCAGGGGATAGCTGCTCGTGGTAGCCTCACACCAATGACAAGAATTGCTGACTTTAAGCATAAATGAACGAAGGGAAGACGGCAGACATTTGTACAGAGTAGAAGCCGTTGCAGCCGGCGACCTTTCCGTTGGTCAACTTTGTCGTTTGGTAAAGAGAAAAATCCTGTTGTGGCCGAAGGAAAGCCGGCAAGGCTGAGAAGATGGGAATTTTGGATGTACGAGTACGAGATTTTGTCTTGGCATGAGACTCGAGCTTCCGAGCTTTCGCCGGGCGTTGTAGTTGATCGTACTCACTGGACGCAATACCTCCTTGTACCTGGGACAGAGGATAAGACCACAACAGCTTATATCTACGATCTCGTGTGTCTCAGAGAGAAGAATAAACGTGGCAATAAATTCACATGGAGCTATTTCGGACCACTGCCTCACTTGATCCGCCCTATTTCTGCTTTTCACAACAAGTGGGTAGCCGACTCCTCGTATGGGTTCAGAGTCGAGTGCCTTGGACAGGGCATCCTATGGAAGTAAGGGGCACCAATACATTATGATCAACTTACGCGATGATGCTTTTAGTAAAGATTGCTCCGACCTAGATACACACTCTTTCTCCCAGGGATCTCTGATAAGAGCTATGATGTCTCTTCGTATTCCCCCAAGTTCTGAATGTACTTATCATGTATCATCCCTGAACTGACGTCATACCACGCCGCCCTCAGCCCCCCAGCCACGGAAGAGGCGGAAAAGCTTCAGGGCTGCATTTCTGCTCAAGTCCGCAGCATGGCTCGAGGAATTGGGGACATGCACCCATGCAGAAAGGTTAAAAATTTGCGAACCAACTGCCCCCGCGAACCAAGGTTCGCCTATGAGATCATGTCTGGAACAGATCCGGCCCTGCCCGTTCAGCGGCTTCGGGTGACGAGTGACGCTGCGCCATATGATGACTAAGTTTGTGAAGGGGCTCAGCTGAGCGATCCCATTGCGCAGCAGGTGAGTAGAAAACAGGTATGATGGCCGGCTTTTGCAGGCGGCTGCTTCTATGTTCGTTCACCCCCCCAAACACTCACGAAGAGAATTCAATCGCAGCTGATCATCTAGATGTCGTACAATCCCAATTCCTATCCTCCTCCACCTGGTGGAGGAGGATATCCGCCACCTCCGCGACAGGAGTATCAACAGTCTGCTTATGCCAACCAGGGTTATGGCTCTCCACAGGTGAGGCGCTTCGTTTCGTGTGGCAACGAAGTTCCACAAGCTCACACTATGTTCAAAGGGTTCCTACAGTGAATATCGACCGCCTAGCGAAGATCAATATCGAACTTCACCCCGCACCTCTGGGATGCAAGTAGGACAGTATAGTGGTGAATACCATAGCGGAAGACGAAACTCCGGCCCATATGCTGCATCACAATACCGCGACAATGACGGCGGATATTACGCTTCTCCCTCGCAGGCTGCTTCATACTATGACCGCCCCAGCTCAAGGGGCTCAAGAGGATCGAGGCGCGAGAGAGCGCGATCGCGATCGCGATCGGGATCGAGACCGAGAGAACGTGGAGAGAAAAAGGGGCACGAAGCAGAGAAAAAGGTCGGGGCGACACTTCTTGGAGGTGCAGTGGGTGGATGTAAGTTCCTTTTCCTTTGCGCCCTTTGTGCATGCCTCTTCGAACAATCCTTGACTGATACTTTGGCAGGGGCTGGACATGAGTTCGGACACAGTAACAGCCTCGTGACAATGGCATCTGCCCTTGCAGGTGCATATGCCGGTCACAAGCTTGAAGCCAAGCATGAAAAAAAGAAGAGGGAGCGCAGAGAAAGTGGCGGTCGAGGATTTGACGACGGCTCCGATGAAAGACGACCCAGTCGGAGTCGGAGTCGGTCTGTTAGACGCTCACTCAGTCGGTCTCTAAGGCGCTCACTCAGTCGCCGAAGGAGCAGGAGCAGAAGCAGCAGCGACAGTGAAAGCGACAGCAGCAGACGAAGGCATCGCCATCGCCATTGAGCAGGATCTACATGACGTTATGAAATATGATGTGGCGCACGTGATTGTTGAATGACTATTGAGTTCGGTAACGATGGCTTTATAGGATATCTGTTTCTTTTCTTGCTATGACCTTGATAAGCGGCCTATTAACGAATATTAAATTTTAAGCTCTAAGTACTTGTTCCTCTCCGTCGGACCTAAGGTGCCAGACTGACCGGAGCGCCACTCCAGGGTAAGAAGATGTGAGTACCGTGCAGATGTGAAACGAGGTGTGGCAGGTCGTCTGGCCAAAGCCATGTCGCAATGAAGTATGTCTTGCATTTCCTCGTGCGCAAACTTGGCAAGAAGAATGGGGAACCCCATCCTGGCCAAAGGCCTCTTCCCCAGCTACAGAAATCGAACAAATGGATATCAAACGCTACACCCGGAACTCGGGCTGGCTGGAACAGTCCAGGGTATCTACCATCCGTCCAGCTCTCACCGAAGCCATTGAGTCCACTCAGGAAGGGGTATCGACTGGTACCTGGGCTTCAGTCAAATATCTCCGTCATTGGTGTGAAAAGGACTCGTACGTGCGGATATGCTCGCCGAAATTTCAAAAAAAGTTTGGACGTTCTAGAAGAACAGTTCAGCCTTCTTTTTCTCTCCGTCGGCCTGCCGAAAAGCTGCCGAGATCGCCAAGACCTGTGCGGGTATCTTGGCCAATCATGACCGGCTGATTGTCCACAACAAATCCCTGACAGGCCCATTCTGCCCCCAGCAAATTCAAAAATTTGGGAGCGAAGGTTGAGGCCACGAAACCCAGACAATCTGGCCAGCTGGGATTCGTCTGGATAGGTGTGAGTCATGCTGCCGGGCTATAGTATACTCTATCAACATCGAGGACCTGGGAAAGTTGCTGTGCCATGTCTGTGACTGTTGAAGTTGTGGTGAAAGCAACCGGTACAGTCATTCAAAGGTACCTCAGCAACACTTTTTTGCTTATCAGTGGAATGCCCTAATCGCGTATCGATAGGCTTAGCGACCACCAAAGTGGCGCAGGATGTTTAAATTTCCCCCAGGCGGGCTGACTGAATCCCCATGGGCCACGGGTCATTTCAGTTTTGAATGTCAAGGATGACATTTCGAAACAAGGGGAAATGATGACTCTGGGCAGCGGCTACTACCAGAGAACCTGACAGGTGCCCTGCAACCTGGACACCGCCAATGGCTCTGCGGAGGAATTAGGGCGAAGTGGTGGCTGATTGATTACACATGCAGTGAATTCACGGCAGAGGCGGCCACTTACACGCTGCAACCGCTGTAGACTTCAGATCTGACGTGGTAGGTGCAGGATGGAACGTCTGACGACCTGGCGCGGAAAGGGGAACAGCATGTACAGAGCAGAGGCACCAAGACCTGTAGGCTGGTACCCAGGAGCAGGTCCTATTAGTTCGTATGTGACGCCCCCTTGCAATGGTGTTACAATGATGTGGGATGTTTTGGATGGATAAGCCACCCAGGAGGACCTATGAAGTCAAGCTGAGTGGCGACAAAAATAGCAGCTCATGCCTCCTTGACGATGAGATCGAGAGAGGGACACAGCGAGACAGCGAGACAGACCGAGAGTGCCTCTTGAAGCCCGAGGCCTCCTATTGTTTCCACAGGCTTCTTGGTCCTCTACTCCGTACCATTCAGCCATGTCCAGCCGAATGATTGACGGATCGACAAGCACGGGCGAAATGTCCGGCTAGATGGGGGGTTTGGAAAGGTTCAATCAAGGTTGCAATAAGTATCATGCCCGTTATGATAGGGATGGGACGATGGGGATGCTGTGGTCCAAGGGGCCCAAGGGGTCCCTTACGGGTGTCGGAGAAGGCGGTCTGCCCTCCTAACCAGCGACGAGGGGACGGCGATTCGGGTGCTGTGAAGTTAGTCAACTTTAGGTCCTCACCCGAACATCACCTAGATTCACTAACTCGCTGCCTTTCCGTCCACCTGCTAAATTTTTTTTCCCAAGACCAGAACCTGGGAAAAAAAATCAATAAAACCGCCGCCGACCCTCTCGCTCCCTCTAGTCTTTTTTCTTCTCTCTTCTACACCACCCCTCTCCCGCTGACATATCCTCTCTACTCTTGCATTACTCTACACTCAGTAGAGTCTTTGCTTCTTTCCCCTTTTCTTGGTTCTAGACTAGACGCCGCTAGAGCGAGACCTGCGTGTGAGAACGCGAGTCCCTGGCCACACTTTTCCTCTCCCACCGCCTTTTCACACATTCCTCACCGAGTTTACGCACAAAACACCAAAAGCCCCCATTTTCACACCCTCCACCTCTGTCGAAGAGCTGCGACATGCCCTCTGTCGACGTCATGACTTCCACTCCTGCCACCTCCGCAAAGGAGACCAAGCAGTCCCTCGCCACCCTAGAACAATTGCTGCAGCAATTGTCCATCTCAAAAGCACAAGATGAGGCCAACGCAGCCGCATCAAACGTGGCCTCCCTCCTAAATGGCCCTATTGAAGAACACGCTGTGCCCCTCAAGGCCGTGGAAATCCTCAAAAAGCAACTCGCCAACAAGAAGGATGCCCTCGTCCGAGAGCGTGCTGTTGACGGCATTCGAGCCATTGCAGCCCACGCCACCATTTCTCCTGCTTTTGAGCCATATCTGATTTCTCTCCTGCCCCTCACCCTTGCCGCAGTTGGCGACAAGATGGTGCCCGTCAAGAACGCTGCGCAGGCCGCATCTCTTGCCATCGTCAAGGCCATTAACCCCAATGCCGTCAAGGCCGCTCTCCCTCACATCCGAAACTCGATCATCACTGCCCAGAAATGGCCTGAAAAGGCCACCGGTCTTGACTGCGTCGAGGCTCTTGTCGAAACCGCTCCCACCCAACTTGCCTTCCTTGTCCCAACCTTGATCCCCATCGTTTCCGAGTCGATGTGGGATACCAAGCCAGAAATCAAGAAGAAGGCTTATGGCACAATGGAAAAAGTTTGCAAATTGATCGAGAACAAGGATATTGATCGTTTCATTCCTGAGCTCATCAAGTGTATCGCTAAGCCTGAGAACGTCCCCGAGACTGTTCACTTGCTCGGTGCAACCACTTTCGTCACTGACGTGCACGAGCCTACTCTAGCTATCATGGTGCCTCTACTCGAGCGTGGTCTTGCTGAACGTGAAACCGCCATCAAGCGAAAGTCGGCTGTCATTGTTGACAACATGTGCAAGCTGGTCGAAGACCCTCAAATCGTTGCCTCGTTCTTGCCCAAGTTGATGCCTGCTCTCACCAAGAACTACGAGAATCTGGCTGATCCTGAGGCCCGTGAGAAGACTAAGCAAGGTCTCGATACCCTTACTCGCGTTGGTGCTGTCAAAGCAGATGGTTCCTTCCCCAAGATCTCCACTGCTGGTGAGATCTCCACCGTTGCAGCAATCCTCAAGTCAATCATCGACCAGAAGCACAAGTCCACTGGTCACGAAGTTGTGGTCGAGTACGTTTCTGCCATCGCTGGCCAACTCATCGACGAGAAGGTCATTGACACTCCTGACTGGATTTCCAACACTGTTGAATACCTCAAGTCTGTCGTCGGCGAGTCTGACGCTCAATCCGTCGTCGAACAGCTTCGCAAGCGCGCCTGCCCCAACATTGAAGATGAGGCTGAGCCTGAAGTCGATGAGGAGGAAGGAGAGGATCTTTGCAACTGCACCTTCAACTTGGCCTACGGCGCCAAGATTCTCCTGAATCAGACCCACCTTCGTCTCAAGCGTGGCCAGCGCTACGGTCTATTGGGACCTAACGGTTCTGGCAAATCCACTCTCATGCGTGCCATCAACAATGAGCAAGTTGAGGGATTCCCCAAACAAAACGAGGTCAAGACTGTCTTCGTTGAGCACGATCTTGATGCCGCTGATACCGAACTCACTGTTATCGGCTGGACCATGATGAAATTGGCTCAGGTCAACATCGAGAAGGCCCAAAAGGATGTCGAAGACCGCCTCATGGAGTTTGGCTTCCTCCAAGAGCAACTGGAAGGTCCCATCACCGCTCTCTCTGGTGGTTGGAAGATGAAGCTGGCTCTTGCCCGAGCTGTTTTCGAGGAGCCTGATATTCTGCTACTCGACGAGCCCACCAACCACATGGATGTCAAGAACGTTGCTTGGCTTGAGAACTACCTCACCAACTCACCTTGCACATCCATCATTGTTTCCCACGATTCGAAGTTCTTGAACAATGTCATCCAGCACGTTATCCACTACGAACGATTCAAGCTCCGAAGATATCGTGGAAATCTAACCGAGTTTGCCAAGCGCGTTCCATCAGCTCGCTCCTACTTCGAGCTTGGTGCTTCTGAGATGGAGTTCAAGTTCCCTGAGCCCGGCTTCCTTGAGGGTGTCAAGACCAAGGCCAAGGCCATCGTTCGTGTCAGCAAGATGACGTTCCAGTACCCGGGTACACCCAAGCCTCAGATCTCCGATATCAGCTTCCAGGTCTCCCTTGGCTCTCGTATTGCCGTCATCGGTCCCAACGGAGCTGGTAAATCGACCCTGGTCAACGTCTTGACCGGTGAATTAATCCCCACCGATGGTGAGGTCTATCAGCACGAGAATATCCGTATTGCCTACATCAAACAGCACGCTTTCGCTCACATTGATAACCATCTCGATAAGACTCCTTCTGAATACATTCAATGGCGATTCCAAACTGGTGAGGATCGTGAGACCATGGATCGAGCCAACAAGATTGTCACCGAGGATGATGAGAAGGCCATGGACAAGATCTATAAGATTGACGGCACCCAGCGCCGCGTCATGGGCATTCACGCTCGTAGGAAGTTCAAGAACTCGTACGAGTACGAGTGCTCCTTCTCTCTTGGTGAGAACGTTGGCATGAAGAATGAGAAGTGGACACCTATGATGACTGCCGATAACGCTTGGATCCCTCGATCTGAGATCCTCGCTTCACATCAGAAGATGGTAGCTGATGTTGATCAGAAGGAAGCCCTAGCCAGCGGTCAATTCCGACCTCTAATCCGAAAGGAGATCGAACAGCACGGTGCCAACTTCGGTCTCGACGCTGAACTCATCTCCCACTCTCGTATGCGTGGTCTCTCTGGAGGTCAGCGTGTCAAGGTCGTCCTTGCTGCCTGCACGTGGCAACGCCCCCATTTGATCGTTCTCGACGAGCCTACCAATTATCTCGACCGGGACTCGCTAGGCGCTCTTTCCAAGGCTCTCAAGGTCTTCGAAGGTGGTGTTGTCATCATCTCCCACAACGCGGAGTTCACCGAGTCTTTGACCAGCGAAGTCTGGAGTGTTATCGACGGTAAGATGACACCTTCCGGTCACAACTGGGTGCAGGGACAAGGTACCGGTCCCCGTCTGACCGAGAAGGGTGACGAAGAAGACAAGTTCGACGCCATGGGCAACAAGATTGAAGGAAACAAGAAGGCCAAGAAGTTGACTTCTTCCGAGCTGCGGAAGAAGAAGAAGGACAGAATGGCACGCCGTAAGCGCGGTGAGGAAGTCTTTACTGATGAGGACGAATAGATGTCTTCGGATGTTTCATGACAGGTTTTACGGCTCTTCTTTCTTCGCATCGCTGCACAGCATACCGAATCGGCGCCTGGAAAAGAGAAATATGACTCCAATGTTTCCATGAGAAGTGGTGTCAATTGTTTTTAGTTTGGAGTTGGGGGCAGGGCTACAGTGAATTATTTCCTTGTGAGCGGACGATTGAATAGGGGTGGGTAAATATCTGGCGATATCACTACAGATACCCCGCCGCTTAGACCAAGTGGCATGATAGAAAGACTATGGTCATAGACATAGAAATTGGGGCATTATCAAATAGAGTGTCAAAATGATTGAAAAGTATTCAAATTGCAATTCTTCCCGCCTAGTCCAAGTTGTTGCATCGGTACCCTCGAACAGTCAAGGCTGTCTTCCAGCCTCGCCATTCAACCAGATGGTGCCTGCCACCCACCAAATCGTTCTCCATCCCAGGACAATCAGTTGGAAGGTGACAAGGTTTGATCGAAAGTGTCCAGTTAATCATTTTTACGTTCTGCCCGCCTTAAATATACAAGGTAGGAGGATGTGACCCTGCGGTGCTGTTTGTGCGAGCTAGTACTACTCTATCGGCCATTTATCGAGGCCATATTCCGCGGCTCAGTTGGTCCTCAATTGCCACCCAGCAGTAGTGGCCTCGGAAGTTTCGTTTCCGCCTTCTGAGATTATGGTCACAGCTAAGAGCACACTACACATTCTCTCTTCCAAAGGTGGCACTATTGAAGAGGCATCATGGACTTTGGGGCTGGAAATCTTATAAATTGGCCAGAAGGACCTCTCTTGAGCAAGGTCGGCTTGCGGTGCAGTGTTCTTCCACCCCACAGCGGAGCTCAAGCCGCGAGAGCCATCGGATAGGCTGTGGCCTGAGGGTTCGAAGAGACTCACTTGGTGGGTGTGTGGGTTCGATGTTGAAGAAGACGAAAGCCAGTCCGAAAAAGCCAATCATGACACGACTGAGGGACAACGCCTTCTGCTTGAGTCTGGCTACCAGATTCACGAGTATCTCGGTTCATCAAAAAGTGGGACGATCCCGGCTGGGTATACACCGGAAAACCCCCCCAACGGTTGATCACGTGCACGACAGTGTCCGTTCGCCAATGCGATTAATGAGGCTGATGTCTTATTGCACACTCTAGTTGAGTCGATCTCAGAGCCATACCTCGTTGCGTGACAGCTGCAGATGGCCAGTATATCAATACAGGACTTATTAAGGCCGCACGGAACAAGCACCGATCCTCTACTGTGGGGCTTATGTGATGTCCTTCCAGAGGAGGATGGTTGCGAGACGGTGGAGGTTTTCCGTCCGGTGGGCGAATGCGGAGACTCCAGAGTTCGGCAGATTCCAAAGGACCAAACCTAGAATGCAAGTGGCAGAGAGTGCTCGCTTTCAGTGTCAGACAAGTGCTTAGATCGTCTCTCCTGGCGCTGGTCGGGGTTTCGCCATCTCTTGGAGACGGGATAAATGGGTCCACGGAAGAAGCAAAAGAACTAAATACTGCGACGACCGTCGACTCGTAGTACACCGTTTTCTTCACTTCTTCCTAACTTCTGCGGTCTTGAGCACCCAACCCATTTCTCGAGACCCGACACCATCATCTTGCCTTCGTCAAAGGTTGACGATCTAGATACGCTGTTCGTCCTTTACGCCAGTATCTGCCAAAGTTCTGGACCGACCGCAAAGTTAACAACATGGGTTCCATCAGTTATGCTGCAGTTAAGAATGAGTATGCTCATCCGCTTATCTCTGAACGGGCTGTGGACGAGCCGGCCACTGAAAGTCATCTACGTTGGAGCTGGTATTTCTGGAATTTGTGCCGCTATCCAGTTCCCCAAATATGCCCCCAATCTTGAGCTTGCGATATATGATAAGGTACCGCGATCAATATCTCCTAAGCCAGACGTCATCATTGTGCTAATAATCTCAGAACGAGGATGTTGGCGGCACGTGGTTTGAGAATAGGTAGGCCTTTTCCCCTTTCCCATTATTACGAGGAGACTTCGGCTAATCGACTGGGCAGATATCCTGGATGTGCCTGCGGTATGTCTCGATGGTCAAGCAGCAGCTGAATCCCAGTCCTTCTAATTTGATGATTGTCCTAGATATTCCGGCTCATTCTTATCAGCTGAGTTTCGAATCAATGGTGGACTGGACCAAATTCTATGCTGGAGCTCCTGAAATTTTCGAATACTGGAAAAGAGTCGTCGAAAAATACGATATCAGGAAATTCATGAAATTCAAGCACCAGTGCATTGAAGCACGGTGGAACGAGGAGGCTTCCAAATGGCACGTGAAATTCGAGGTTGTTGGAACCGGAGAAGTTGTCGAAGACACTGGAGATGTCTTCATGACCGGCGTGGGTGCCTTGAACAATTGGAAATGGCCTGATATCAAAGGACTTCATGACTTCAAAGGCAAAATTCTTCACAGCGCCAACTGGGATGAGAGCTATGATGCCACCGATGAAAAGATCGCTGTCATTGGCGCTGGTAGTTCTGGTATACAGATTGTCCCAGCTTTACAGCCAAAGGTTAAAGCAATGGATCACTATGTCCGAGGGAGAACTTGGATCGCCGCTACTTTTGGCTTCGAGGTTGTCCAAGCCCGGAACGACGGCAAGGATGGAAATTTCGAGTATACTCAGGAAGAGATCGAAATGTGGAGAAAGCATCCCGAAGAATATATCAAATATCGAAAAGCTCTGGAAGTGGGAATGCAAGGAGGATTTGCAGTGACTCACCGAGGCACGAAGGAGCATGAGGACGCCTGGGTCGCATTCGATGCTGATATGAAGAGGAGACTAGAGAGGAAGCCGGAGATCGCCGAGCACCTCATACCTGAGTTTCCCCCACTTTGCAAGCGTTTAACACCCGGCCCTGGTTATCTGGAAGCACTTGTGGCAGACAACGTGACAGTGATTCCAACCAGGATATCACATGTGGATGCTACAGGTATCACGACAACAGATGGTGTGCACCGGGCCGTTGACACCATCGTTTGTGCAACCGGGTTTGACACATCGTTCCGGGGAGGATTCCCAATCTATGGCCGTGGAGGAGTCAACATTCGGGATCGATACATGAAACGTCAAGAGACATATCTCAGTCTCGCGGTCGACGACTTCCCGAACTACTTTCAATCACTTGGCCCTAATGCTGGCTTGGGCAATGGAAGTTTGCTCATGGTCATCGAAGCTGTCTCTGTTTATGTCGGCCAGATTCTTGAAAAGCTGTCGAAGGGCAACGTGAAGACCATCGAGCCCAAGCGGAAAGCAGTCCAGAACTTTACCGACTACTGCGATGCATTCTTCAAAAGAACTGTTTTCTCGGCTGAATGTGGTAGCTGGTACAAATCCGCGCCCCCTAATGCCACAGACGAAGAACGTAAACAAGGCCGAGTCACTGCACTGTGGCCAGGAAGCAGCATTCATGCTGTAAAGACGTTGGAAAAGGTTCGGTTCGAAGACTTCGAGATGACCACAGTCGATGACAACGAATTCGGCTGGATTGGAAATGGGTGGTCAGCTGCTGAGCGTGCTAATGATGCGGAGGGCCTGAGCTGGTATATTAACCAAACATCATTCACACACCAACCTTTGGCAAAGGAGAAACCGCTTCAGGTGGAAGACCGGAAGGTTGTCAGCCAGGAGGAGGATGGTGTCAAGAAGGGCGAGATCGTGTCGGAATACAAGATCCCTGAAGGTGTGGCTGCGACTTAAGGGATCACTTTCATCAGAGGGGTAGATTTACTGTATTCTAAGACTTGGCTGGTAGAGGCCTGACTGCAAGACTAAGAATTATTTGGCTTTTGATCAAGCTGAGCGTCTTCAAATCTGATCTCATATGTCGTTGCACAGATCCAAGCATCGCAGAAGTGAGTGTTTCCATGTGGAGGGAATGTCCGCGAACTCCCAACCTTATCTTCGTAAGGGCGTGTTTGCCAACCCGAACTTGCCATGGCTTGCTTATCTTGAGACTTTGCCTTCATATCTCCACGTCGCACGTTGTCGATGATGCATGCTTGACTCCTCCTCGTTGAATGACTTGACGTATGGTGAGTTTGGCTCGCATCGTACGTCCACAATGGCAAAGTCGGGTCGTCTCCAATTCTATGGCACGATATTCATGACCACACTCATCTTCTTTTTCGGGATCGACTATTTCCTTCGATCATGGGTTTCATCGTCTCAATCAATTGGCCGGCAAGACAAGATCACGTCGTCTCTCGGGCATGGTCGCAAGCAGTTCAAGGCTCCAGCGAAGAACCCATGGGCTGAGCTTGATGAAGTGGAATCCTCCCAGATCTACACTTTCCTCCACCAAGGCTCCGACCCCTTGAATCTAACCACTTCGCCAAAGGCTGACCGAAACATCATCTACCTGATCGAGACACTGCGCCCGAACAAGTCTGAGGTGGTTCATTATCTCGACAACAATGGACCTCGACCCGATCGTTGGGCTAGAGTCGCTGTTCTTGAGTCGCACGAGGACGACTCTTTCATTACGGACTATATGGTTGGACCACTCCCCCCGTCAAATACCACCAGCATCATTCCTCTTACTTACTGCCATAATTCCGGGAAAAACTGGGTCCAGAGCCCGATATCAGATGTTTTTGGTCTCATATCATGGGCTTCGGGAATCGGTGAACGTGTGTCAGACATTACCCAAGAACTCTTGGGAGCCACGGTAAACCGTCAGGATCCATCCGACCCCAATGCTCTCGTAATGGGATGGAGACCTGCTCTGATTGACTCTGGTCGTATGGTTCATTGGCTTGAGTTCTTCGGTGCGGGCGTCAGGTCCGATGGGCGGTCACTTCTGCCACAGGGGCTGTATGTCAAGCTTGACACACCTTCTACCAATCCCAAAGATTGGGTCACCGCAGAATGGTTCTACAATGGAGTCCTTTACGACAATGAAACTGCGCTGCGAAATGCAGTAAACTCCCCAACTTTTGAACACCTAAGTACCAACCCGGACGGCGACTGGACGAATACTGAGGATTTCGCGACCTCCATTCCTGAAAGAAACATGCCACCTCCGGTTTCAGTTCAACCATATGGTTCACGCTTCCATCTTGACCGTGCCGAATCTTACATCTCGTGGATGGGATTCTCGTTCTACCTCTCCTCCAATCAAGCAACCGCCCTTTCTCTCTTCGACATACGCTTTAATTCCACACGACTGATCTATCACCTTGGCCTTCAGGAGGCTTTGGCACATTACGCCGGCGCTGAACCGCTTCAGTCTGGTCTAGAATTCCTTGATACTTTCTTCGGAATGGGAAGTATGATGTTCAGCCTTGTCCCGGGGATTGACTGCCCAGGTCACGCTGAATACATCGACATGTCCTATCACAAGGGTGGGAAAATGTACACGAACAGAAATGCAATCTGTGTCTTCGAATACACGTCCGATGCTCCGCTGCAAAGGCATACATCTGCGTATAGCGTCAGTGTGAGCAGAAACACCTATCTTGTCGTTCGCAGTGTGAGCACTGTTGGGAACTACGATTATACGGTCAGTGAATCGACTCTATCCGTTCTCTTGCCTGAATCAGACCTTTTGACATTACTGCCCTACAGATCGACTACATCTTTTATCTCGATGGTTCTATCGAAGTCAAGGTGAGAGCCAGTGGGTTTATCTTCGGCGCATTCCACGCAGAACCTCGTTCCTCCCCCTTGGCACGAGACGAGACTACAAACGAGTACGGTTACCGTATTCATCCAGCCGTACATACATCGATGCACGATCATGTGATATCCTTCCGTGCCGATTTTGATGTCTGCGGGCCGAAGAACACGCTTGTTCGCACGTCCATTGAGCCGCTCCAAAGAGCCTACCACTGGGATAAACCAGAAGTCTCCGGGATCAGGAACACAATGCACATGGTGCACGAGCCCCTCAAGAAGGAAACTGGCTTGGATTGGCCCAAGAACGGAGCAGAGATGTACCTGATCACCAACCCCAACGCCACGAATAAATGGGGCGAGACGAGGGGATACAGAATCCTCCCTGGGACAGGCATGGGCAACCCAACACACTTGACCATCCTCAACTCTACCACACTCGGGCGTTCCGCCGCCTGGTCGACGTCCGACCTCTGGGTTCTGAAAAACCACCCCGAGACGGAACCCGCCTCCGCGCACCACCTCAACTACATCGACCCCCTGGACCCACTGGTCGACTTCGAGAAGATGGTCGACGGCGAGGGAATCGAAGAAGAGGATCTAGTGATCTATTTCAATCTCGGCGGCCACCACGTTCCCAACAGCCAGGACATCCCGAACACGCTTATGCACACCAGTGCGAGCTCGGTCTTGTTCATGCCGTTCAACTACTTTGACGGAGATGTCAGCCGTGCCGTACGGCAGGGTGTCAGGATCGACAGGAGACCGGAGCAGGCGAACAACGGTAAGGATTCAGCCAAAGAGGACATACGAAAACCCAGACACGTGCAGCGATCGAGTGGCTCTCGCCAGAGCATGAACAAGGGTGCCGACGGGGAGGTGGCATACTTCGGCGCACACTATACTGCGCCGGTGACGATCGCACAGGAGATGTTGTCGCCTGACCTCAGCCACTACATGAAGGAGCGGGATGACGGGGAGAACGACGGCTGGAAGACTGTCAGGAATAATGTCGGCGGCGGGCTGTTGGGGCTGTTCGTGGGGAAGCAGAGAGCTGGTGGTCAGGATGAGAATGAAGGAAGAAGTCGCTGGGATTGGTAGCCAAGGGCAAGGCGAGGCAAGGCGAGTCGATTCGTCAGTCCTCACCGGGGATCTTGAGCCTGAGGGCTGGGGTGGCGGTGGTGGGCGTACGCGTTGGAGGTCGGCTTGTTTGGTTCGATCTCCATCCAGGAGGAGGGGAGGAGTGGACCTGGTGCCTTGGTGGTACCTATGATATGTCAGTGAGTGAAACGAAGTAACGCCCGAACCAGCTCTGAATGATTTCTATTGCCTCCCGAAGAGATGAATTACTAAATGGCCGTCCTTGCTTGCGCTGTGCCCCTTGAATAGCAAGAACTACGATGCTAGGATGATTAGTATATATGAATCTTTCCGCGCAAATGTCGATACCTTTCTCTCGCAATCCCGCCTCCTGTCTCGTAAGACTTAAAAGCAATGGTACTGCAATGCAGTGGGTACCTATAGGTTGACTCGGAGCCTTGCCCGTCTGTCTGCGTCCTTCCTCCCTCCTCTTCCGAAGGCTCGTCCGAGCCAAAGAGAGAGAGAGAGAGAGAGCAGAACACCCAATAATCATCCATGAAATCAGACTCGCCCGACGTTTTCCCTTCCTCTCTCCTTTGCCCATCCCCCTTTTCGGATGCTCTTTCCCAACCACCTGATGATCCTTTGCTTCACTTCCTTCGCCCGGTGTCCGGCGCGTCCTCTTCATGCTTTAGGTTAAGCGGCCCCGTCGGGCCATTGCATCGACGTAGTGGCAACAGCGCAATTGACGATCTTTTGCTTTCAGCATGTAGAGCACTACCACCGCTAGATGATCACTCGTCCGTGCTGGAACCTGGGCTGTCGACGATGAAGATGCGCTTGAATCCACCAACTGCTGCGGCCAGCCTCTTCTTCGCAATTTTCGCATTGCCTCTCGGGCCGTCGGTGATGAAATCGGTCTTTTTCTCTTCGTCTTCGTCTTCGTCTTTCTTCTGTGGATATTAAAAACAAGGGCGAAGTAGATCAGCCTCTATCTCTGAGAGTGATGAGGGGAGTTCCGCGATTCCTGACTTACCGTGACACCTCGCTCACGAGAAGGGACTGGTCGATGCAAAATCGAGACTGAACAGTGGTGGTGGTGGCGGCGGATCAGGACTGAGCTGTCGCTTAGGTCGACGCGGCGGCCTGGGTGGACGACTTCTTCGTCTTCGTGGACCGTCCAGAGGTTGGTGGTAGCGTTGTCTTTGACGTGAGGCACTGAAGTTGGTAGCCTTGGGGGAAGCTGCTGCGAGTTGGTCTGTACGAGAGGAGTGCTGGTCTCTTTTCCTTGGCTTTTTCCCATCCGAGACAGGGTCATGGAGTCTGTAATTGTGACGATGACGGGAGTCGGAATCGCAGCTTTGCTGGAAACGGGAATTTTGCTGGGAGTGTCGACGATGTGGTCCTCGATATCTTCTCCTTCTTCAAAGGCGTCTTGTTCATTTCGTTCCTCAAGTCCATCGAGAGGCCGCACTTCGAGAAACGTACCATATGGTCTTGACGAGGATGCTTCGCCGAAGGCTTTGGTGACAGGCGGAAGCTTCGTCCCCGAAGTGGACGAAATAGGCGTTGCGATATTCACGTCGAGATCAAAATCGACAGAAGCGCTATTCCTCACCGCCAACGCTGGCAGGAGTGTTGCCCTACCATCACTTCCTCCTTGCCCGTTCCGTGCCACAAGATTTCCATTGCCGTTGCTATTTGCACTTCCGAATGGTCCAGAAACCGTGACAGGGGGGCCACCTTGCGTATCGATTCCGGCCTGCTCTCCATATAGCCAGAGAAGGTTGTGCCAGAGGGCTTTGGCTGTGTGGTGCTGGCGGACATGCGGGAGAACATTGATGGCCAGTGTGCCACGAATGAAGCGGCATGTCTCAGTATTGGCTGCTGTCCATCGCTCTCGATCCCAATGTTCGCTTGTACTGGTTGTTGACCTCTCATTGGTGGAAGGGGTAGTCGGTTGAGAACGTGAGGTGGGCCCAGGCTTTGGCTCGGTCCACCCACCGAGGATTAAGCCAGTGGATTCGATGTTCGAGAATAGATATGGTTTGATGGCCGAGAGCCAAAGCTGGAAGTTGGATTTCCCGACTAGTTGGTAGAGGGCGTTGGCGGGTGGGAATTTGTGCGTGTGCGTATGACCGTGAGCGTGGAGGATCGACGAGGCCGGAGAAGAGCTGCGGCTCGAGAATGGGGTGATTGGGTAGGAAATTTTTGGAAAAGAGATAAGTTGAAAAGCAGAAGTTGTTGATCGAAAGGAGCACCGAACAGTACTGGGTATGCAGAAGAAAGGCAGCAGGCCAGGGAGGGAGAATGGGTAGGAAGAGGCGTCAGGCTTCGACGAAGAAAAAGAAGAGGGCATCAAGTATCATACATAGCCAGCCAGAGGATATGCCCCTGATTTGGATCCCACCCGCCATTTGTCAAGCCTGTAAGTATATCAACCAAGACAAGGGAAATGATGTTTGAGACAATGTATCTGTTTGCTGTTTCTAGGCTTCATGCCAGCCTCTTGAATTTAGCCTACGCAAAACGAGCTCAGGAGGTGGCGCTGTAAGGTACAGGACAACTCTATCACCGAAGTGCCAACATACCATAGTATGACTAGCATTCATCGATCATCATGAAGGTCGCACGTAAGATATGCAAAGTCGGCTCAACGGTCCTGAAAGCCGTTTGAAAAGCCTCCTCGTCTGTGTGAGCGCCCAACATCGTCGGCCAGCTTGCCTTGCAGTTGCAAGCAAGTGGCTAACCTCTCGGTAAGGAACATCATCGACGGACCACGATTGGGACATCGTTGGACCGTCATGAGGACAGCACGGCGCAGGTATGCTTCTGCAACAACATACTCGCCGCGGTTCAGGCTCAATGAACCAAGCTGCTCGCACGCCCAGGCCGTCGTACCGCCGCTATTTGCATTTGCAGTATCAGAGGCTTCGCTATCGAGGATTCTGTGCGCTACCGATTCCACAGCAAATCCCTCACCTTGGTCTGCGTAGATCCGTCCCAGAGTGGCCAGAGCAGTCCTATATCGTTTCTTTCGCATCCTTTGGCTGTCTTTGACAAGCTGCTGGCAGAGTGTAAGTGCCGGTTGGAATTTCTTGCGTTTCCGTAGCATGTCGACCTGGTCGACGCGGAGTGCGAATAGTGATGAGTTGTCTGGTTTCCGTCGGGATTGATAACCTTGTGTCACCAGGTCCATTATCGATTCGACGACATGGTCGCGCACGCCTGCGGTGGCTATCATGGCCAAGGATAGTGCGAGAGGATGGTCTGAACCAAGGACATTGCTGGCCATGGAAGAGACGAACTCGAGTAAGTGGTGTTCCAATTCATTTAGCCCTTGCCAAGACGTCGCGAAATGTAGCAGCAAGCATGACAATAGGTGTAAAGGTGCCGACATCAGAAGGGGCTGAACCATCTGGCAGCATCTGTCAAATGCCTTCCACGCGTCCTGTGAGTCTCCTGTCTCGAGATGTTGGAATCCATGGTAGAGACTGAGCCAAAATTCCGAGGCTTGGTCGATGCGACCTGTTTTGACTTCCTCGGAGACTGTACGTGGAAATCGGAGTGCAAGTTCTCTCACCTTCAGTGGCTTGAAAGTGGTGAAGTGCCATTGAATGGCATCTCGAGTGTGGAACAGTGTACACTCGACAGCATAGAAATCGGTTGGTGGACTTATATTCCGAGAGAGTGTTGCGATGCTTGAGCCGGTGCGAGGGTCATCGAGAAACATTTTCTCTTGGTCCAGATTCGCCGTAGGATCTTTTGCTGGGCCTATGGTTCCACTCCTTCTCGAAGGAGAGTCTTCCTTTATGGTTGATTCTCCAGCAGTTACATCTTCAGGGCTTTGTGAGAGGTTGTCCAACAATCGGGAAAATCTTTTATCAGTGCGATAGTGCCTTTTGACTCTATCCAACTTGACGGGGCGACCTTGAAATGACAAGGAATGGAGATCTTGTCCTGCATTTACGCATGCTTTGACCTTCTTCGCAATGATTTCCTTGTCTTTGGCCTTGTAGTTCTTCCGGATTTTCCAATCGAATATGCGTCTTTTGAACATCTTTTCACTAGAGGAATGCATGAGCTTGCTATACAGCCTGCTTAGTTGGGGAATACTGACCTTGCATTAAAGCCATGCTTCTTAGAGAGGATATCTCTGACATCCTTCAATTTCCTATTCTCTACAATATACAGTTGTGTAAAAGCTTCCTTAATCTCACTCCATTGTTCCGATGTTGGTCCTACGATCCTCCAATGCTGGTTTACCATCTGGTCCGCCATGGCAGGGCTATGACTTTGTTGTTCCCCTCAGCGGCCAGGTGAGGGAAATGGTAAGTCGTATCTGACGGTCCGGGCACAACTGAGGGACTGTGAGACAGTGAGACTGTGAGACAGGAGGTGTGAAACACACGCAGATAGGACGTGGACAGTGGTGTAAGGAGGTCCATGGTACATATGACCACAGAACTCCTGTCTGTCTTATCATATTTTGATGGCGTCGGTGTGATTCAGTGAAGAAAGCTGGCTGAGGAGGAGGCTGTGGTCTGGTCTACGGATGAGGTGCATTAGTATCATGGAGCTGGATTGAAAATGAAGTTGTCTGACAATAATACCCACTCTGGATCACCAAGCTTGTTGCCTGAGGCCCGCACACCCATCTGTCTGACAGAATTAGCGCTGGATTCAAGCTCGAGGCAAACGTGGCTGAGCAACTCGTGATCCGACACCAGCCGTCATTGAAATGGCTTGATTATCAAAGTTGGGATAGAGGCGCTGCCTTGCGCCTCACTCGGATTCAATGAGGTGGTGCAGCTTGTGAAGAAGGATATTGATTAACAAGATTATACAGTACTTCTACATCGACTTTCTAATCGCACAAGGTTGCCTATCCAGATATGTGGATGAGTGCTGAACCGGTGGTTGTAATGATGCCAATCGCATGTCCAATCGCACTCTTAGACTTACTCATTCCTTCTCCCTGGCCAGCCAGCCTTATCGGACTTGAGATTCCAGGGCATTTCAAACAATAGCGGCTCGACACCGAGAGTTTATCTAGCACATCATACCAAACACTCGAGACTTCAAACCAGCCGACTCCTACTCCTTCCTCACTCTGGAGAACATTTTCTGGCATTTCGTCGCCACATGCCCTCTGGAATCTTGGCTGCTACTAGACCCCGCAAACAACAATGGTCTTGATGGATTGCAGCATTCCATTTCTTGGAGCCACCACTAATGCATGCCATGCAAGATCCAGTACAAGCCCAGTATATCGGGGAAGTACTTAATGCAGGTGAGAAGGCTTCCATCGTGTAAACGATTTACCGATACTAGGAAGCACGATGTCGTTGGCTGGATGATGATTATGCCTGGTCCAAGCTGCGTAAATCCACAACTGATAAATCACGATTGCCGTCACGAGGGACATCCTTTAGCCAGTCTCTGCATGCTGGATGCGAGCATTAGTTGAATTTGATTGCAGACTGAGAGTCAAACAAAGCCAAGATGGTCGTCTCCGGAGTTCATGGACGTAGACAGCCTTGGCCAACGCGTAAGTAATGCGGAAAAGGGCCACTGTCATGCATGGATACAAACTTGAAGCACTATCCCGACGAACGTTCCCCCCGAACTGGAGATTGAAACTCAAAGTACTCCATGCGAACTTCCTATTCGTTCTCTGTATGGTCAACGACGAGCAGATGGAGTGTGTTCTGCCCCGTGTCCATCGTTTGTGTAAGCTGGTCGACTCTGAACATGTTGGCAGCTCGCAACTTGTAAAGCCGGTTTCAAGAAGGAAAAGAAGACAACATCGACCTCGACGTTGTGCAACAGGCTTGGACAGCAACGTGCCTCGCAACCATGGCAAGCAAGCCCAATGACCGTTGGGGGATTGGCGTTGGGGGCTGAAATACCGAGACTCACAATACCTGAGTACTCCGTACGGGGGACAGCATTGGGAGGTGCAGAAGTGGCCCACCAGTGATTGACATTGACATGTCCATGGCCAACGGCCAAGAAAGGACGGTGGGCATGTTTCGCTGCCGTGCAACGTTTCTCAGATGGTAGGGAGAGAATCGAGCTCGTAATTTGGGTGGAATAGGAGCATGAGAGAGTATCGAATACGTTGAAAGCCTTATCTGTGGATATCAGAGATATTGCACCAGGTGGGACTGAAACCGGAACGGATATCTCTCTGTCTCGAATCGAAGGATCTCTAGTCTGATCGACGCTGGGGAGGAGATTAGATGCCCAGACAGGCAGCGCAGTTGAGCAAAAATACAACTACCGTGGTGCACTCCTAATGACAGGATCACCAGATGCACTCCGTAATCGAGTTACCGAAAATGGGTATTTGACCAAGACTGCTCGGCAAGAAGCAAACAGCGTGAAGACACTGAAGAGGATAACACAAAATCCGTGGTGCCAGAAGATAGTCCGTAGGCTTTGGAGGACGATATGGTCCGGGGAAGCAGTCGAGGCGAATGCCTAACAGGCGAATAGCGTTGCCAGTCGGGCCCCTGTTGCTCGGAATCTTAAGCTTCACTGAGCTACGGAGTACATGGAGAGATACGAGTAAGTGGTAAAAGGTGCCAAAGCTTCTGCAGATTCAAGTCCCCGGGACAGATTAAGTTAGGAATCTAGTTTAGTTAACACCGAAGGTTGAGAAGGCTCCCTGGGTGCATTTCGCCCCTGTATGGACCCTAGTCAGGCCTCTACAATTAGGTGTCCCTAGGGGCCGAGGGGGCTGCCACCCGGGCGGCCAGCCGGTCCCCGCCCAGAATCCTCAGCCAATGTTTGAAGTTCCAACGAGTTCCGCGGCTACGTGCGGGTGAAGTTGCAGCCTCAGGGCCTCAGGTGGTTGCAGGCGTAAATTCGGGGTGCGAGGGACCAGGTTGATGGTCAACCTGGCAGTCCCGCAGTCCCGCAGTCCGGTAGTGTCAGGGAAGTCCTGACGCGCCAGGGGGTGGTGACTGCCTCCTCGAGACCCCCCACCTTCCCATCCACCCACCACCGACGCTTATTGACGCTAATCCTCCCGTATCGACTCCCGTCCCCGTTCGTCAGCACCTAACGTCGATCGCCCATGCTCATCCACCCCGTCCACCCTCCCTTCATCAGCTCAAGAAAAAAAAAAGTGTGTTGGGTCGCAGGAGATCGGGACAAATATTATCGTGCCTTACACCATCATGCTCGCCCTCCAAACACAATCATCCAGCATAAGGAACACACGTCATGCCACCACCCATGCATTATCGCCCTTGTCTGCAACGTCTCACCACATCAAACATCGCCTGTTCACAACACAGACGTCTCCTTCAAACCGGGTCCTTGTCCTTGTCCTTGCCAGACGAGAAGCCAGCAACAGCCGGTACGAGAGTTATCAGTGCTCAGGCTCAGGCTCAGGCTCAGGCTCAGGCTAGTCCCAAAGCCCGGCAGCCAAAGAAGGAGCTTCCAAGATCCCAGCTGCACCGTAGATCCGGCGGCGTCACTGGTGCTTCGCTTCCCAAATCCACCCTCCTCCTTTCAACACTATCACCTCCTCTCTCTTCTCGCTTACAATCCCAATCCCAATTGCATACATCGTTCCCTGGGCCAGTATATAGTACCATGGCGACGCCCTCAGATCCTCAGGCCGCTCCCCCGGCAGACAACACTACACAGGAAAACGGCACCACCCAGAAAAACGACACTGCACAAGCAAACGCCGGCCCTGAGAACTCCAGTGACGAAGAATTCACCATGCCTCTAAGTAAGTCCTGCCACCTATTTCCTCGCTTATCTCAGATCTCGAAAAACCCAACCCAATCTCAGTACATCTCCACTGCTCATCTCCATGTTTATTTGTGAAAGCCTCTACAATTCACTCCTGTATACACCATTTCTTCTCCTGAGGTGCATCCGTTGTCTATTCTCCGCTGGCAGAATGTTCCTGCAGCTCACAATGTCGATCTCAACAATTTCGCAATCGGCAGTCACATGACCAGGGGTCCACTCAATGTTCTTTCCCTTCATCTTCCATCCACGAGCTGTCAAACTTGCTGGCAAACTTTCTTATTCTCGACCGTGCCCGGCATTACCACTGACAATATTATTTCTCATCATCAGTCACGAATGGACGTCCATTTGAGGATGCCTATACCAAGGCATTCAACAACAACAGTCTATGGCGACGATCTCTCGCCGAAACAGAACCTGAACTATTCGAGTCCCTTGGAAAAGGCCAATCCCCTCAGATTCTCTGGATTGGCTGTGCCGACTCCCGATGCCCGGAGACCACCATCCTAGGCCTACAGCCGGGTGAGATCTTCTGTCACCGCAACATCGCCAACATTCTGGTCAACACAGACATCAATTCTCTGTCCGTCATTCAGTATGCCGTTCAGTATCTCAAGGTTAAGCACATTATCATCTGTGGTCATACCTCATGTGGTGGTATTGCCGCCGCACTAGGGAACAAGAAACTTGGCCTCATCGACACCTGGCTGATGCCTTTGCGGGCACTCAGACAGGAGAACCTGTCCCTTTTGGACACCCTGAATGAGACGGAGAAGGGTATCAAGATGGTCGAGCTGAATGTCCGCGCCGGCGTCAAAGTTCTCCACTCCAATCCTATTGTTATCGATGCCATGAGCGAGCGCGGCCTTCAGGTCCATGGCCTCATATACAATGTCGGTACCGGAGAATTGCGAGAGTTGGACATCGAGGAGGAGGAAGAAATCGTCAAGAGCCGCATTGTGTCCTTCAAAACAGAGGACTAGAATCGTTCGACGCCCAGAACTAGCAATGATGGTGAATTTCCTCTTCGAATACCGTCCCCCTCTCGGCACAACAGGGCAAACTGACACCTCGATAAGATATAAGACTGGCAGAACGGTACAGAAAGACGCATGTTTGCCGTCACTTGTCGATTGATTGATTTTCATTACTTCTTGGGAGAGGGAATTTTGTTACATCAGGCAGGGTCACCTGCCTGCACCAGTGTACGCTACCAGGATGGCTGGCCAGTGATTACAGAAATGTCAGGGCCACTGACTGCCCCTTTTCGTTTGTCCGAAGCTTAGATGATGCCACAGCTGGCCATCCATTCCGAATTGAGAGGGTACTTGTTTTTTGCTTGGTTGTTTTTTTTTTTTTGGCCACCCCTTCTTTCAACCCGGGTTGAGGTCAACAGGCTCATCCGGGAATTGGGGTTGTGGTGCACGCAGTCGTTTTTGTTTTTACCTCTGTCTTTCATCTCCACCATGTCCCTCCTTTGCTGATGCACTCCTGCCTGATGGAGATCAGGCCAGTATTGTTGCAGAGACATTGAAGAAATATAAGTAGCGGCCACACCAGTCCGGCTCCCCCGCCCGGTCAGATGAATAGTATAAAGAATTGTCGCTACCAATTGAAGGTAATGGGGAGATAGTTACCATGAGTGCAAGGTTACATACTTCCATACCTGTCTTTGTCTCCTTGTGACTCGACCTTAACCAGTGGGTCGTAGTTAGTCTACGTGTCAGCAACGGACAGGGGAAAAGAGAGTCACCGATCGAAAGCTACGGAGCGTTGTGCCCCCTATAGGTCGGTCAGTGCCGTATGGTATGATGATGATGCTTGAATGGTTGGAAATCAGTTGGACTGAACGAGCAGCCGGGCAAGCAAGCGTGCACTCTCGGCTTGGGCATCAATTCTGTAGTCTGCGAGTATCTGCCTGGCCAGGTACCTAAGGAGTCAGGTCAAGGACGTTCGCTTTCCATTCTCATAGTCATTGGCATTTTCAATTTACGTCGTAGCTAGTGTACCCGATTATCAGCGTGCTCGGTCAGGTCATGGTTTGCTCATTATCCATGAGGTACGATGGCCATTTCCTGCTGGGGATCTCGTCAACCAATGGTAGCTCGAACGCCTCCTCTTTTGACCAATCGAGCTCAGAACAAGCAACACCATGAACTGCCGCTCAATGTAGCGTGATCCCGGCTGGGCGATCTGTGAAGCCGTACTTGATACACTGTCTCAGCTGTCTCCTATTCAACGACTGACGTAGCCAAATGTCGGCTCAGGTCCAATTGTGCTCAGAAGTGTCGAAATGTCTAATGTTCCTAGAGTTTTGCATTGACTCTACCCCAATATGTCCTCCATCTCGAGCTCTTCCCGTTGGGAGAAGAACAATTGTATCACACTCCCTCGAAGTTCCCTAACGGCCAAGGCTTGAGAGCCATGCATAGTAATGTCGATTGCCTTTCCCGCTCAGCGATCAACGAAACAACTCGTGTTGTAGTGCAGAACGCCGACTTTTCCTCGAGTATGTGTTGGCTCTCTTGCCTTTCAGGCTAGAAGACAAGAGTGAATTCATCGGTTTGGCTGGTCGACTCTGCGCGTGGTAGATTCTAGTGTTGATACCTCCCTCGCTCTGGCGGCTCATCTGACGAGAGGCAGGATACACTCCGTCATAATCGTCGTCATAATACACCGAACCTCGTGAAGCCATTTCCTCTAGCTCCCGGTTGACTCGAATCTCTTCCATCAACCTTGCCAGACTCATGCGTTTGGTGCGAGGCTTACAGATTGCTCTCTCGACGTCCTCTTTCCGACACAAAAGCACTGAGCACTGACGCAGTTGTTCCCTATTTCCCCAGAATCGCGTGGTGTCTTGAAGTTTAGCCATTCTTAGGTTGCGATATCTCAGAAGTTCATCCAGGAGGAGTTGTCGATATTTGTGTACTTCGTCATGGTCGGCAGAGTCGATCAATATCGATCTACCCCAGTAGTCGCGAGAGATGACTACAACCTCAAGATAATGCAGCTTGTGTTTTCTGCGTAACTCCTGGAAAGCTTGGAGATATTTCTCTTCGGCACTCAAGTCAAAGACGCTTCGGATGGCGTGAGCTGTGGTGAAGCCGGGATAGACGGTTATCGCGAGTTTTCGAACGTGCGCAAGATTCTTGGTGCCGATATGTCTCAACCACCACTTGAAGGCATCAGGATCGCTGAATTGAAACCACGCACTTCCGTAGAAAGCCTCTCGACCGAGTTCTGCGAATTTATTACACACCAGCATGGTCTGAGCAATGTCGATGTTATTCTTGGTGACCTCATGTCCGATATTGGTCTCAATTTCATTTCCAGTTCTGATGTACCCGGCGAGCATTCCTTTCTTGTAGAAAGGTCGGACAGTTTCATTCTCCAGTCGTGGTGGAACAAGGACGTAGATGAGGATTTTGCCAAGGACTTTGTCTGGGAGATCTAAAATTTGCTTCGGTGGACCACGAGGAGCTTGCAATTTTGTGTCTGTAGCCGGCGAGGCTCTTGCTTCAGAAGGTGGCGGTGAAGGAAGGCCAGGAGCTGGATCAATGGCAAGTGGGGAAGCGAAAACCATCAGGGCATCGTCGTCAATCACTTCTGTCGTGATTTCATATGCTGAGACGGTGTCGACGTCGTGTGAGGTTGGGAGATCGCGCCTTTCGCAAGAAAGATTAGCAGGGCGCGCGAGGTTGAAGATGGGTTATTCGCTTACTGCAGATTGTCGACAGAGCCTGAACCTGCGAACTTGGGCATCATTGAGCCAGCTAGATTGGCAAGGCAGGATTTCTTGACAGGGGGAATCATACTATTAGTCGATGAGATATCGGTGCTGTCAATAGGCCGCTTAGGACTGCGAGGCAGATCGAGAGACTTAGTCGATCTCATTTCGAGTAAGATGAAAATGATATGAAACCTGGTTATTTGTAGTATTGAAGATAAAATGCGTCACGCGTGGGCGGTCCGGCACTGGCAGTGGAAGAACGCGACAAAACTGTATTGCATCATGACGCGCAGGTGCGACGCGGTGGGAAGCAAATGTGAGATTGAACTGGAAGGCGCGAAGGTGAACTCCTCACCCACAGTGCACACAAGGCGTACCGCGAAAAGAACACGAGATGTAAAGTTACCTCTGGTGAAGTGAATTCACCCACGGAATTTCTTGAATGCTTCGGCTACTGTCATGCCATCAATCACTGCCTCCTTGACTTTATCATCCGCTGACACCAACTTGGGCATCAGGGACAGAGTCCCATCAAGAAGGCCCCGTGGAATTACAACGACACCTTCTTCAGGGTCTAGGAAGACAATATCGCCCTAGGCATAGACATGGTGAGCGCCACGTCTCCAGTACGGTCAACCTTTCAAAGAAATACATACCGCAGACACTTCCACTCCGGTGATCGACACAGGAATATTGCGTGCATACACGACTGATTCAGCATTTGTCCCAACTGTGGACCGTCCCTTGGCAAATATCTGGACATCCAATGTAAGTATTTGACTATTTATCAATTTGATGTTTGAGCTCAATAGTTGACGGATTGAGTTGTCTCAACTCAAAAACAAGGAGATTGTAAAGCCGGGAAGTAGTTCTCATCCTTTGTTGACACTTACTGGGAGTTCGGAACTTCGCAGCTCTGCCAGGTCCCTTGCTCGTCCGCCCACTACGCAGCCTGCCACCCCTCTGACCTTCATCCTTTGGGCCATTATTCCACCGACTGCTGCGCATTTCTGTCCCTCTGGTTGCTCAATAACAACGATGCTGCCGGGCTCCGTCAGGTCGACCCAGTGGCTACCCTTGGGAACAAGGTTTTCGGTTGGTGGTGAGGTGTCTGGTTTCGATTGCTTGGACACCAGCTTCAAAGTGCACGCGGGAGCTATAATCTTCCCCTGGTCTTTTTGTGACGATGGCGGCAAAACGAAGGGTACTTTTTTGGTTACAACTCCAGTTCAATCGATGGCCGCTTCTGGCTTACCGATGTCTGCTAAAAAACCTGCCCGCGCAACCTCACCAGGTTTGACCTTTTGGAGTTTGAGCAAAGCATCCGACACCTGGCCTCATGAGCGGCTGCACAACAGGTGTCCCAAAGAAGGGCGATTCTTACATCGCAGGCTGAAAACTCTTGAAGTCGACGCAGCTTGTCCTGCAAATCACTGGATCCTTCTAGATCTACGCTCATCTTGAGGGTGGATAATCTGCCGAAACCTCTGGTCTGACCTGATACTTCGACAGACCAACCGGGAAGGATTTTCCACGAGAAACTACTCAGATGCATACGACGTATACCGATCAGCATAATCAATGAGTGTCTCGATGATGTGGCTTGGAACGAGGGTTTAAAGCTTAGGCTTTTAGCACTTTACAGTTGTTGTACAGGGGGTTTGCTTGGCAGATCCCATGTGCCCGGAATCGGCCACCGACTATTCCCGGCGGACGAATCAAGGAATTAGCCCCAGGTATCTGGGTATTGGGCCATCGTTCGCTGATCGTGTTGATTCTACTACACCCAGCTCGTCAAGCCTTGCAAACGTAGATGGCCAGTTCGCGAAGCTGTCAGTTAAGCCGTTCTCTTCTTGGTGGGTGACTGCCTGCCCGAATGTCGTAGTATAGAAATCGTCCAAGGTGGGCCATGGCCGTAAGGTCACTTTTGACTTCCAAGTCCCGCCAAATCTCGAACTCATGACTGCATTCGTTGCACGTGCATTGAGCTCGTGGCAGCCAGCACATAATCTTAGAAGTCTCTCGTCATCCAGAACTCGGGCTATGTGGTCGACAAAATCAAGCCCTTCGTCAATCAGGAGATCGTCTTCCTCGACCTGATTACTGAAGCTATGCTCGGAGGTCGTCAATTTGTTGGCAATAAGAACTATCATTGCCGACATATACGTACAAGACATATTCCTGGGACTCATTAGTGCTAATTTCACAAGCTGAGGTGAGTCTTCAGGAAAGCGTACCCGACAAGGGCGAGATCCTTAGAATCTACCACATGGAACAGCCTCATACACTCCCTCGAGGCGTGCACGCCCTCGAACCAGTTCGATGGTAGAGGAGACAAGTAGTCATTATCTGGATTAGATCCGCAATGCTCAACGGCGTAGCGATCGCTATACCGCGTCAATCGCCTGATCCATCCCGAATCGTGCGAGAAGATGCCACGAACGAGGTAAAGACAGTGGTAGTAGCTGAAATGCAGCAATGCCAAAAACCGTACGGATGGGGCGAACGAATGGGCTGAGAGCACACCAGGTTGGAATTGCTGGGGAATTGATTCCTTCCACTCGCGTAGCATCAAGGCTATCTCCGCACCTGCTGCTTCTCTCTGAGCTCCCTCCAACTTCTCGCCTTGGACTGAAAACATCATGTCGTAGGCCTTGGCCTGGATTCGCGCGAGATCGATCCGACAAAGGAGAAAGTTGATCCAGGTGGTGCCATCGTTCCCAAAGACTATGCCGCCACTCTCGTCGATGCTCTTGAAGTCTGGAAGGTCGACATCCATGTCATGATCTTGCTGATGATAGGGGTCTCGAAGGCGAAGACTGATGTCCCTGTCGAGCACATAGACGATCCAAAAGACTCGATCCCGTTCCCAGGCTGTGCTGGCATCAAACTGTGTTATTTGGTTTTTGGTGTGCAATCTCAGCCGGTGAGCCATCCTGACGGCCATTGCTACCAAAATGCTGGTAGGACGAGGATTGGGCCCTGCTTGAAACAGCATTGCGAGGCCCACGACAATCTGAAGGTCCAACAGCGAATGTTCTGTGAGTGTGGACGCATGTAGCGCCGTTTGTGCGTTGCGAATACACTGGCACATCAAACGGTCATCATCCGGTGTTCTCCGAGACAGGTCATGCCAAAGCGACAGAGCGAAGACAACATTGATCGCTGCCCAGTTAGAGCTGTTCTGCCTCACCTTTGACTCTGAATACCATTGCCAAACCATGGTCATGAACTTGCCCTCGTGGAAGAGTGGCATTGCACTGTTGACATTGGCAAAATAGGCCTCAATAACAGGGAGAGTCTCGTGAAGCGGTGGGAGGCACTGGATTTTATCAAGCGTGATCTCCGTCGCCCTGTCGACGGGTGAACAGGAGTAGATATCGTTGAAAGTCCCATCTTGCTTGATGTCCAACGTCGAGAGTCCCCACAGCCCTCCAGCTTGAGACCGGGACGTCCTTGAAGTTGCTTCTCTTGACAAGCCGTGATCCTTTCGCATTCGTCTTGCTTCAGCCCGGGAAACCGGGCTTTCGGGTTGAACGCCGTCCTTGGTTGAGCTGCACTACTGTTAGTATAACATCCATTGACACGCCCTGCAACCATGGCCTATGGTAATGACTTGGGACTATGGAATCATGCGCAGGGACTTTTAGGAGGATTTACTCTTTTTGGGCGCCGTGCTCCTTCTTCCGTCTCCGCGGCTGTGGCGTAAACGTACAATTCGCCTTGTACAGCACACAGTGCGAGCATTCAGGTTTCTTCACATCACATTTGATTTTCTTGGAGTTGCAAAGGTCACATGCCTACCGTTTTTAGATTCGAGTTGATCAGCACATTCCATAAAACGAATTCCTTTCTTCAGGAAAGCCTACCTTCCTTCTACCAATCCCCGGGTGACGGGTCGTTGCGTCGCCCATGGTTATCGCTGTGCGGGAGGATGAGCGTGGGCGCACAGCTATGACAGCGAAAAAGAAACTCGACTCTTTGGATAAATTCGACACCAATAGGCCCTACAGACGAAATAAGGATGTCAATGAAGCTGATTTTGAATACCTGTGAGCATGCAAGAACTAAAATTCACGCTTCTTCGTGATATGGTAAGGCTGACCTTTTCCCAGAGTGGAGTGGAGGGAAGCCTTAAAGTCCGCGGAGTTTCACTGCTGACAAATCCTCCTGCCCCTGATATGATGACGTTCCCAGCATACGAGAAACTCAGTTATAAGCGGAAGAGTACTGTACGTGCAAGCAAAGAAAACCTGAACCATTCAGATAGATCCTTGAGATAGATCTGCTGAACGGCGTCATTTTCGCTCCCTTTGATCCCATCACATATCAATTCCGTCGAGATGAACCGCAAGTAAAAACTTGTTATTCTGAATCTCCTCCGCGCGCGCCTTGAGCTCATCCACGTCCCAGTTGGCCCAGACAAATTTGCTCTTGAGAAATTTCGCCTCGGGAGATGCGAGCCAAACACAGAAGTGGCCTGGGAGCTCGACTGTGTAAGTTTGGATGGGTTTACGGTTAGCAAAATGTAGGTCCTGAGCTATGTTTTATGTGGAATATTGGGTCTCTGGAACATGGCGGGGCTGGATGACAAGGGGGAAGAAGGGGTGGAAAACAATACCTTTATCAGGCGCCTCTTCCTGATGACCGTTGAGATCGGTGGGCGTCCAAGCAGGTTGGATGCTAACGACGTGCAATTGCGGGTTCTCCTTGGCGAAGGAGTCCACCATCTTTAGGTTTGCCGCCTTGGAGACCGTGTAGGCGCTCATACCGGGGGCAGGTTCGAAATGTGCCATGGCCGTAGAGATATTGATAAGCACGGGGTCAGGCGCCGCCAGCTTGATGAATGCTTGGATCACGTTGAACGCGGTGCGCACATTGAGCTCGAATCCCGACATGAAGGTCTCTATATCGTAGGTCGCTAGTGCTCCTGGTGGTGGCAAGTAGCCGGCATTGGAGACGAGGACGTCGATCTTACCGACCTGGTCGGCTATAGATTTGAGTGCTTCGTCGACCTGGGCGCGATTTTGAAGGTCCGCCTGCTTGTACAAGATTTGGGTTTCCTTGGGTGCAAGGGCGGTAATCGCGGCGGCGGACTCCTTCAGTTTGTCCACTCTGCGACCCAAGATGGACACGGACTTTGCGCCTGCCTGCGCGAATGCCGTGGCGATCGCCTTGCCAATCCCGGTTCCTCCCCCTGTGACAACCACGTTCTTCCCCTTTGCCGACAGTTCGGGTCGTTCGGGAGATATCGAGGGCGATGGCTCCGAGTGCCACTTTTTCGTGAACGATACAAATGCCGGCATCTCATCTTTCGCCGCCATTTTTTCGAAGTTATAGATTAGAGTCCGTTTCGAGGAAAAGACCGATGTGCTGGTCAGATGGAACGAATGTGGAATTGGAATCTAGAAATCATTGCTGTTCGATCCATTAGATCTTATAGAACCACAATGGGTCCTGGGAGCGAAATCAAGAAGACTGCAGTTCCGTGGACCCTGAGTCATTCTTAATAATGAGCATTCTTATTTGTCCGTCCGCGGACTTTTTTGATTGTCAAAGCTGGCAAGATTGAAACGGGCCTTGTGCCATGATTGAGCAGAGCGTAAAAGGGATTCGCCTGAGGCGTCCTTCCTGGTAGCACATACGGAAGTCGAACCGCACAGGTGGCATTCACGTTCGGAGAGATATTAGATAACAACCGGAGGAAAGTTGGAAATTCCAGCTGACTAAAGGTTACCACGCCAAGGGAAACACGAACAACAGTGTTGAAGGGACGCCTGATTTGATTCATCTTTTCAATCGGGACTGCTCATCCCATTTCCGTAGCGCGCCTACAAACCACTCAGGTGGCAGACATTCGCATACGCCCTGAAACACTTTCTTGATCATTGTATGTACATGTTGACGTGGCTCGACGCTGATGCAAACAAAAAAAGGAAGTAAATTTATATAACACGAGGCTCGATCTGGACGGATGGTTAGTCGTTGAAAGGGTGGAAAGTGTCGAGACTGGTGTTTGACAAACCTTCCATCCGCTGTTCACTGCACTGTGTTAGCAAAATATAATGGAAGTCCCATCCTAGACGCAACGAACCTTCATATCCTAGAGGTGCTTCAGCTTTATCTGTTTGGCCACGGAACTTGCCCGTTAATCTGTAGTCTCGCTCCATCACTGCCATCACTGGTCAGTAAGTGACACCCATGCGGGGCCCAAACGGCTCTCACTCTGTCTGTCCCATAGATCTAGTTGTCTTCGTGGTGCTTTCCCGTCGTTTCTGAACCATTTGACTGTGGCCATGCCAGCCCCCTGTTCAACTCTTTAGCAAAGAAGAATGTTACCTCTAGCCGAGTGTACGCACTGTCACGCCGAACATTGCTGTCATGATGACATAGGGAATAATTGCTTCGAAAGGTACACCCATATCGGTGGCAGGTTGGGGATGGATCCGTGAATTCGTTTGCTCTGGGTATGGTAAGCCTCAGAAGCTTTATAAGGTGATTGATTGTATGTTGTTTCCGATACCGCGAGAGCAATTTGGAGAGCTTCTCGAAGTCGTTGCTCGCTGGCTATGTTCAGCGAAGGATGTCGGCGCAGGTGAAGCTCGAGGTCAATGCCAAGGTTTGGCTCAAGGGCGCTTGGCTCACGCTTGTTTAGGAGGTAGGGTGATGCCGCCCTGTCGGCTCGAAGGCTCATGTTGACTCACGTGACTCATCGAGAATGTTTCAGACACTGGCTGTAGAATTGTTATCTGACAGTCGCTATTATAAATGACTTTCTAATTTTCACCTGATCGTCGCCTTAGACATGATTGTTTAACTAGTTATATAGTTGACATGACTATTAGCCACCTAACCATATACTACTAGGATACAAGATTACTATGGACCTAATCCATGGATGCTAATAAAGAACAAGTAAGCAGTGGAAATGAACTCAGAGTATTTGACAGATTTTTGGAGGGAGGTTTTGGCACATCAAATATGGCCTGCTGTTTCGCCTAAAATGAGTTATATTCTTCGCCTCTTGAAGTTTCGTCTATTCGGGCGATTTGGTCGACATTCAAGGTACGCACTGGCAAGTTTGGAACCGCCTTCTCTGACACAGCAAAGATGATTGCGAATAATGAGTTAATGAGTTCAGTAAGCTACGTACGCAGTATGCAATCTAAATAGTCGACATGATCTTATAACTTAAGTTGGCGGGTGCATGAAAGAATAAATAGCTCAAGCTTTGATTTGCCAGTTGCTCACTTTGTAGAACTGCGATTGTGAGGGGAGTATAAGTAAGTGTAACAAATCTGAGATCAGCTTTGAGCTGTATCGAACTGCGCAGCCTTGTCCCACTCAACATTCAAAGGGTGACTGCCCTTTCCATCATTGTCGCCTCCGATGCACGGACAGCACGTCCTGGGAAAGGAGTACTAGGGAAATTCAGGGTGGGAAGTGGGTGAGTGTGTAAGCAGGTTGGCGTTAAGCCTTGAGCGTTGACCACGTGATATTCATCTCCCCCCCCTTCGTGTGCTAAGCCCCGGTAATTTGTAACTATAGTCACGTGACTGCGATCTCGGGATTCAGAAGTGCAGGGCGGACGGACTACCATCAATACAATGTCTGGGATTCTTTAGAGATACCCATACCAGGAATTTGTAATCGCAAAAGTACTACCTACGTGTAAAGAGATGCCCAACTCTTAAATCACAAGTTTAAAAGAACAACTTATCCTTGTTGGTGTTGTTCTGACGCGTCGACTCTCCACATACCCACCTTTTAGCGAAACTGCGCCCTCCCTCAGAGCCAAAATAGCAAGTGAGTTCTTCAGCCTTTCGGGTTGAATTGGCACTTGAGCATTGGTCGCATAAAGAATCGCAGGCTACAATCACTTGGATTTGAACATTCATAGTCCCTCGGTATCACAGGGAATGGGAGGGTGTGCAGCGCAGGCACATGTCAAAGCCGTGGAAGACATCAGAATTATAGGTTAGACATATGCCGGCACTTCTCTCAGAGGGCCGGGACGAAGTGTCCACAACCGACTACAAGACTACAGATGACCAAGTACTTTCGGCGCCTGATCCCTATTCCATCTCGGACCTTGAGGCTGGACCTAATAATGCCGAGGGTGCTGGGGAGCAGACGGTAGTCCAAGCAAGTGGCGCAGATAGAATGTCAGCCTCGAAACAACCTGATTTAGATGCGCCGAACCCGGATGATAGTGCTCTTGGGGAGCAGCTTCAAAGATCAGCCGAGGAGAGTCTCAGTGATGCTGGAGCAGGGACGGAATCCGGAACTCAGGCAGATCCCGGGGGAGTTGTCACCATGGATGATGCAGACGCGGAGGCTGAACCGGATGAAGACGAAGACGAAGACAAAGACGCAGAAGGTGAAACCGATGATGCTGCCGAGGAAGCTGCCGAGGACGCTGCCGAGGACGAAGAAGAAGAAGAGGGGGACGAAAGCGGCGAGCAAGTGCAGAGCACCGAAGAATCGGAAGGTGGTGATGAGGACAGCACATCATCGGAATCAGAGTCAAGTGAAGCAGACAGCAAAGGCGACGAATTGAGGCAGGAATGTTTGTTCTGCAAGAGGAGGAAAGAACCCAGTGATGGCGGTGATTCGGATTTGACGTGCACCTCATGTGGCAGCTTGGCTCATCTTCAATGTGCTAAAGATAAGGGTACAGTGAAGGACGAACCAGTCGCATGGCAATGCCCGGACTGTCTCAAAAAACGCGGTCAATCAGAATCACCCAAAGAGCAGAATGCGCGCTCCAAGAATTCCGCTCCCCGACTTGTTAGAGACTTATTGCCTGTCACACGTGGAGTTCAGAAGCCCAACTCTCACTCAATATTTGCGCAGCCTCTCATATCAGAAGGTGAAGACGGCGGAAGGGCTCTCAGGAAAAGAAAATCACCAACGCAAGAACCTCCACCAATGTCTGAGAAGCGGCGTCGGAAAGCCACCCCTCGAGCGTTGGCGAACACATCCGACGCCAACACGACGGACAGTAAAGCCGAGGTTGATAGAGGAGTTGCACACTCGACAAGAAGAGCAAATCAGAAGTCAACATTACCTGTCGCAAGGATATTGCAGCACCGCCCATTCGCAAAACCTCCACCTTACAAATTCATACTCGCATTTCGCCTTGAGCAATCAAAGATTGAATCAATCCTGAACAAACCTCCTCGGCCTGGAAGGAGGAGGGCGCCGCGAACAACGGAAAAGAAGAGAGCACCGAAGATTCCGCCACCGATTTTCCAACCCCATGTCCCCAAATTCCCTGCGTTACCGACTCACCACCTCATTTTCCCCTCCGCATTCACGGACCGAGAGGCAGAACTCAATGCGAAACCATATGGCGGTATCCTTTCAGAAGGAGAAGCAGACACGTCACGATCATTGCCACAATTGAAAGATCGAGAAATCTTCGAGATTGCGCGAAAAGAAGCGGAAGAAGAACGACGTAAGACTTCTGCTGCAGCCGAGGCGGAGATCAACGGGGACAGTGCAACCGCTAAACCGAAGACCACCATATCCGGCCCGCCAAGTAAGATCAAATGCATCCAGTTTGGGAAGTTTGTCATAGACACGTTCTATGCTGCTCCTTACCCGGAAGAATACTCCCATGAGTCGAGGTTATTCATTTGTGAATACTGTCTGAAATATCTCCCTTCGGAATTCGTTGCATACCGACACAAACTCAAATGCCCAGCCAAACACCCTCCAGGCGATGAGATCTATCGAGATGGAACCATCTCGGTATGGGAAGTCGACGGACGCAAGAAAACGGAATACTGCCAGTGTCTGTGTCTGATGGCAAAGATGTTTCTTGGATCTAAAACGCTTTACTATGATGTGGAGCCCTTTCTCTTCTACATTCTGACGGAATACGATGAATTTGGATACCATTTCGTCGGGTATTTCAGCAAAGAGAAAAGGCCAGCCAGTCAAAACAATGTCAGTTGCATTCTAGTCATGCCGATTCACCAGAGGAAGGGCTATGCCACGTTTCTGATCGACTTCTCTTATCTCTTGACGAGAATCGAAGGAAAAGACGGTTCACCGGAGAAACCACTGTCAGACATGGGTCTAACGGCTTATCGATCATATTGGGATCTCACAATATCACAACACCTTTTAGACTTGGGCACGAAACCGTTCTCTACGAAGACGCTGATGTTACGGACGGGAATGACGGCGGACGACATCATTCATTCACTAGAGCGGCTTTACGCATTCATTCGAGACCCAGTAACGAAAACGTATGCGGTACGTTACGACAAGAAATTATACGAACGGATTGTGGCCGAGTTTGAAAGCAAGAACCACCGTATATTGAGACCTGAAAAGCTGGTTTGGACGCCATACATCATGGGTAGAAGTGACCAGGCAACACTGGATGGACAGCCAATACATGCAATTGCACCACGGGACGACGAAAGTGACAAGATGGATGTAGATGACGAAGCTGCATTATCAAAGGATGCGATCATGAAAGAGGAACCTGAAGATACGGGAGACTCTAACCATGTTTCGCCTCGCTCCAAGTCCAAGTCCGCCAAAGCCTTCTCTCGTCAAGGATCTGTTAATGGGGAACACGGCGATATTAAAGTTGATCCTGCTCTCGTCAATGAAAACGGGATCGTCGCGCCTGGACCACCTTCCACCGAAGCGATGGTGAGCGGGAATTCAATCGAGGTATCCCCACCGGATATCAAGCTGAACGGCGTGGCAAATATTGACAGCAACAATAAGGAAATCACCACGGCTGATGGCGAACAAAGCGAAGGAAAACAAGCAGAAGAAGTCCTTACCGGCTACGCATTGACCTACCGGACATTGGAGATTCCCCCAGCACGCTTCCAAATCGAGCCACCTATCCCACCAGCCATGCTCCGCCAACGTAGCACCAAGAAGCGGACTCAAGCAACGGCATTTGGCACTCCAAAAGCCAATGGCAGCGACGGCTCACCCTCAATACCGGTAGCAGTGCGCAGTTCACCGCGTAACGCATCGAGCGTCAACGGTAGCGTCAGCGGCAGTGCGATTCTTACCAACGGGAATGGCAGCCGGGTCGCAAGTCCCGACAAACCGCCGGACACGCCGGTGAGGAGGAGTGGACGTGGAAGAGGCAAGAGTCGCCTTGCGACGGTTAGCGTTGCAAGGTCGGACGCTGCAGATGACGAGGACGAGGACGACGATGCAGAAGCGGAAAGCGATAGTGCTGATGCAGAGATCGATGTGGACGCCGAGACAGGTACGGACAAAAGAGAGGAAGAGGAAGAAGAAGAAGAAGAAGAAGAAGAGGAAGGTGGCGACAGCAGCAGCAGCTCAAGCGACGAAGAGGACGAAGAAGAAGCATCCACGGCCGCGGTATCGAGCTCGAACTCCGAGGACGAAGACTCCGAGGAAGAACCGGACATCGACGACCCGAACGACGAAGACGTGGAAATCAACGAGGACAGTTCTGAAGAAGATGAGGACCTCGAGGACGCCGATGCCGATGCCGATGCCGATGCCGACCCGGACGTAGGCGCCGATCTCGCCTCGACTTCGGGCTCAATGTCACGTTCACTTCCAGCCTCAGCCTCAGCCTCTCCTTCAGGCGCGGCGCCGACTGAAGACGAGGGAGATGAAGACGAGGATGCCGAGGCGGAGGACGATGATTGAGCCAAGTCGACGAGATGAAATGGCGTATTGTTGGCTAAGAACAAACACCTTCGCACCCTGCCCGCTGTCTATTGGCGGTGCCTGAGGAGGAGTACCCCCTGAACCGAGCTCCTCGTTTATCTTAGGTAGGTAGTATTTCTTAACACAATAACGCCAGCGTACTATACCAACACGTACCTACATGCCTACTACCAGATGGGGTTGGCGAGACAAGAGGCAAAAAGGAGACTGTGCAAGCAGAAGCAGACCACGAGAGCAAGAAGTATAGCTACTATGTAATACGTCGCGGTATACCTAGCTTCCATACAATACAATACAATGCACAGTTCACTAGGCACACGAGATCAAAGTTTCCATAGGTACTTTCAACAACCATGACATAACTACAAGATATAGTTGTTTGACTACAAGATATAAGTTGATTGGTTTCCCTGTGGGAGTCGGACAGCGCAAAAACCGACAAACATTCTCGTCCTGTACTATTTGACCGGGTGCTAGTACTTGGCCTGCTGATACTGACTGATGAACGAACCTCTCCGTGAACCACTGGAGTAACATGATCTGAACCATAGCCGACAAAGCAGAACAAACTCAAAAGGCATCGAGGAACGGTGGAAAGCTTCTTTGAGCTTCTTTTCGCGATCCGTCCCAAACACTCTCTCCAATCCAAACAGAATCCAACCCCTCGCTCAGTATGAAATGTGGAACCCGTCTAACACAACTCGCCATGAGTTTCAAAGGGCGACAACACCAAATTCCGCAGAGCGAGGGGGCTGTCTCAACACTCCTCACATCCATTTCAATCTCAGCTGCTACAACTTCGTAAGACAGCTCTCCAAGCAAGAGTGAAAGCCCGCCACAACGTCACGCATAGTTTCGAAAATTACTGGGTCCGTTCACTTGCAGTGTCGTGTTGGCATGATGACCACGACCATGCCGCTGCCTCCTCATTTGCAGCGGATATTGTGATGGACTTTCGCAACTGTCTCCCTACAGCTCTTCAGCGTGATTTGCATAAAAGAGCTATTGAACGGGAACGAGTGGTACTGCTTCGATCCCGATCGGATACTCACTTATTGAGGTTTCTTCTGGGGAGCAGCACCACCAGTGTATCTCCTCAGGTCTGTGGCATCCACAGCCTTGCGGCTAAGGCCTTTGATAGTCTCCCATCCTTGTCGGACAGCCGGGGGCACGTTGGGGTTCTGGACCTGCTGATCGATTCTGGCACCGAACTGACCAAAGGCAGCTTGAACAAAATGGCTCTGTTGGTAACGGGCGCGAAGGAAGACAGTGTAGATGCCCAACAGAATCCAAGCGCTCTTGGTGAAAGTCAAGGCAGAGAGAAATAGCCTCGCCCAGAGGGCAATCTCGAGCGCGGCTACCAAGGTCATAGAGGTGTCATAATATTCTTTGACGAACTTCCCAATGGTATTGCCAAGAGGCGATTGAGATTTGGCGGAACTTGGGGAGGTAGGAGTGGCGCCTGCAGGCTGCTTTGGGGGTTGAAAGGCAGGGATCAAATTGGTGCGAGTGTAGGTGGCTACATGGAAGACCGAGTAGACCGTAAAGGGCAGGAGTGCCAGGGGAATTTGCCTGGAGTAGAGCCAAACCAAGCTGATAACTGCTCAGTGCATTAGCATGTACTCTGGGGGTGGGGGATGGGGCCAAGACTTACGCAGGTACTGAACATTCTCGTCAGAGAGCAGCTGAAGAGCGAAAGCGGTGGGATTAGAACCAGGCTTGAAACGAGCTCGGAAGGCTTTGAAAACGACGATGCCGTAAGTGGCGACAGCAGAGAGAAAAGCCAGGCGGTAGGTAAAGCTGGACCATTTGGAGGCAGAGTTGAATGTGATGTAGGACAAGCCGTATCTGAAGACAGAAAGTAGGAGGGTAAAGTGGCCCAAAAACCAGGCGCTGGACAGACGGGTTAGACAGCTCTGCGCGGGACACTTCAGCATAGATTTATTCTTACAATTGCAAGGTGGTTGCAAGCTTCTGGAGTCGGGCAGTCAGAGGCAGGTCTGCGGGAGGTGTTGATGGTGGGGGTGCCATAGCTTTGAAGCTGGAACGACTCTGGAGGAGGGGCGGTCAAGAGAGGTGGATGGCAATCAGGTTGCTCGCCTTGGAGAAAGAAGGTTGGGTAGAGATGGCGGAGGGGCAGTGACGAGGCAATAGGCACAGAAGTGTAGAAAGGAACGAGAGAGAACGGTTGAGGCAGCTGCAAGGAAGATGGATAGTACAAGTATGCAAACGAGGCAGGAAAAGATGGAGGTTGCCAGTGGAAGTGGCAGGTGTACAGTAGGAGGAAGGTGGCTTCAACACGAAGCGAAGTAGAAGCAGTTTTTGGTGCAGTGACGGTCTGCTGGTCAGTGTGTGGGCAGTTACGCCATCACTGGCACTTACTGGCAGTGGGTGTGGGTGTGGGTGTGGGTGTGGGCGTGGGCGTGAGGTCGGGCTCTTGGGGTTATGATGTCAACCGCGGCCGCTTCTTCAGCCACCAAGTCACTGACAGGCACATATCGCACTTTTTCACACATTTTCAGGGATACGTCAATCTCCAATAGTCTTGGTTTTTTCGGTCCGAATGAAGGTGCTGTTTCTGCACATGTCACACGAACAAGGCACGCCCTCAGACAAACACTCTCACACGGCCTTACGCACTTACGCGTACACTAATGGCAGGCTGCTGCATTTGATTTCTGACTAGATACGAGATACGTTGGGTACTGGACACGGAATCGCTTCGGATCAGGGCATGGCAGGCCCATACATGAGATACCTACAGACAGTATGTATCAGGGCAGCTCAGATCAGATGATAATCCCTTAAGAGACTTTCTTGAATCACACTTTTGGAGTCTAGCCAGCTAGGTACGTACAACAGGCAGCCTGTCCTGCTGCCTCAAAAATACCAGCTGTTATTTTCCGAAGCAATCAGGAAGAAAAGTCGTTTCTTGCCTGCCTGCCTGTCCTTCCCGCCTCCCCTTCTGATCTTCTTCGCTCAAACAAAGCAAACACATGAAAAGAAATATACATGATTGCAGCAAAGAGAAGGCCGCGATCGCCCCGTCTTCCTCCAATGCAGCTTGGATGAAAGCGAGTCTTGAACCTGATCAGTAGAAATTGGACCTTCTTCACATTATGCACAATCCAAGGTTTCCCCTTTCAACCCCTCCCCATCGCGTGGATTTCATGTATTCTTGATTAGGTAGCGACTGCAACAGCCCCAGTCTGCCGCTCCGCCAGACGATAACAAAGAACGTAAGTAGGTAGGTGTCTGTATGAGTAGAAGGTGCCAAAGAGCATACGCATTCGGAACGAAAGAATCGCCTTCATCGTCTCGTCGCTGGATAAACTGGAAACAGTTGATGGTGTGAGAAAAAACATAAAGACAACCAAGAGTGCTCACACTCCACTCAACGCTTATCGAAGAGAGAAGCCCTTTCTCTTGCCCTCCTTTTCGATAGGTCGTCCTTGTTCGATGCGTGATTTCTTCTCCTCTAGTTCCGCTCGTTGTCGTTCAAGTTGCTCCTTCATTTCGCGGTGGCGGGCAAAGAGCTCTTCTTCGCTCTGTTGCAACTTGCTCTCCTTTTCTTGCACCTTTTGTTGGAACACTGCCTTCATCTCCGCTTCCATCTTGGCAAGCTTTTGCTCGTGCAATGTGCGTTCTTCCTCTTGCTTCACAGCAGGATTGACCTCCTTGAACACGCTGGGGTCCTGCGAGACACCCATTTGGATAAGCTTGTCTGAACGGTAGTTCTCGTACAGTGCATTGTTGGTGTGCTCCTTGAGTTCTTCCATGTGCGTTCGGATCAACATTTGTCTCAGCTTGACAAAGTCGCAGTGTTCCTCGTTGTCCACCTCAATGATACCCCATGGGTAACGGCGGCCACGAACTTTGCGGCCCTCTGGGTTGGTCACCTCGTAGTTGGCTCCCACCACGGCAAAGGGCACTTTGGACATGATTTCCTGGTTCTCTGCAATGGTTTCTTCGTCATCCAACTCGTATCGGGGACCCTCGAAGATTTGGATGGAATGGTGCTGGATATCAGCAAGAATCTACTCTCGTTAGCAACTTGTGCGGCCGGAGTTTAGGGCAAGTCATCTCTCACTCTCTGCTTGAATGAGGCAACTTCCTCGTCTGTCAGGGTGTCCGCCTTGGCAATGACGGGGATCAAATTGACCTTGGTGTGCAGACGGCGCATGACCTCAATGTCTAGAGGCTTGAGAGAATGGCCGGTAGGCTGAATGAAGTAGACACAGGCATGGACCCGATTGTCAATAATGTTCATACGATTGACTTTATTCTCAGCCTCTAGGTAAGCATCAAATCGTTGTTCAATGTTTTCCACGATTGGTCTCCATGAATCGTCGTTGTTGACGAAATCGCCGAAGCCAGGAGTATCCACGACAGTGAGTCGCAGGCGAACCCCGTTTTCCTCAATATCAGCACTGATTGATTGGATAGACACCGTCTTGGGAATGATGTCCAAGCTGGGACCTTTGCGCTCACGTGGAGGGTAAAGGGAGGTGTTGAACAAGGTGTTGACCAAGGTAGACTTTCCTAAGCCAGATTCGCCTATGGGGGACGTCGCGTCAGGGTGAGAAATCATCAGAGGAAGATTTTGTGTAACATACCGACTACCATGACATTGAAGTTGAATCCCTTTCTCACACTTTTCCGGTGCCATTGGTTGGGCAGATTGGCAAAACCAACGTAGCCGGTCAACTTTCTTCTAACAACATTTCGCATGTCGTTGGCCGCAGCCGCAGCCGCTTTGGGATCTTTGGAGCTGACGGTCTGCACAGGGGTAGGGGTGCTTTCCTTTACATAGGGGGAGGTGGGTTTGCCATTTGGAATGTTGGGGGAGGGAGAAGACCGGACGCCATTTCCAACGCCAGCTAAATTTTCATGGCTCGAGTCAGCATCGGTCATGTTTTCTGCCACTGGGAAAGGGAATGTCCAAGATGAAGGGGTCACGATGGGATGGAAAGATTCTTCATTTTGCAATTGGGGAGGATGCAGAAAGTAGTTGGGGTCGCCCGGGTCTGTGCTCAGGCCACCGTCCCGCTGTGAAGGCGTGTTGATCATTGCTCTTCCTGACTTGTTGCGATATGCTCGCGGCAAGATATGGACCAATGTATGTAGTCTCGAGGGACAATGGAAAGAGATTGTAGACGGTGATTGAAAGAGAGGAGGTCATGGCTCACCCATTTCGTCAGACGGTGCGTGTGCAAGAAGCACTGAAAAGGCGAAAAAGTGAAGGGTAACTGCAAGTGAAGCGGGTTAGCAGCACGACAAGAGTGACTGCGATGAACAAAGGAGTGAAGACGCGAGTTGAGGATTGTAGGAAGTGGTGATTGCCTGCGACCAATTGTCTTTCTCCCGCAGTAGGCATGAGAGGACGGGCCAGAGTGGAACTGGATTCAGTGCAGTGGTAGAAACGGAAACTTACTGAAGTCCGAGTGGTGTGAAATGTTAGAGTTACAGGGGGATGGCAATATCACAAGTGTGGTAGCAGATCAAGCGAATGTGAGGGAAAAAAGTAGATGCGCTCGACCACAGAGATGATGAAGAAGTCAAGGATGTAATGCGGTTGTTGTCTGCACGGTACAGAGTACGAGTAAGACAGTCTCTTCTGCTCGAACTGGCTGCTGCCACAAGTTCAACTTCTGCAAAAAAGGGGACACGCCAAGTCCAATTCTGGCGACGAGGAGGGATTCTTGATTGGGGATCAGCATTGGGTGGTGGTTAGCCCGGTTAGCCAGGTTAGCGGTGGTGCGTTTGCACGCCCGGAGCTTGGGCTTGCCACTAGCCCACAACCGTCCTTAGGGGGCAGCCTCCCGGTGTCTGCAGGCCACCAAATGCCCGCCAAAGCCTCCCCACTGTCCACCAGAGCCCACCAACCATGCCCTGCTACTCTCCTTGCTTTTAACCCAACGAAAGGCCGTTCCTTGGTCCTTACCCCTGATCCCTTCTCGCCTTCCCCATGTCCGCGTATTCCAGCTCCGAACGCCATTCACGTGAGCCTCAATGCAGTCACACATACTCGTACAATCTCTCGTGGCAGTCCTGAAACGTGCAGCTGTTGAACAGGGCACCGTTCCACCATTGGGTTTACCAACCGGATAAACACAAATACGACCACAAATACTCAGTACTTCTGGCCCCTGTGATAGGATCATATGGTATGTGTGACAGAGCTGATTTGTTTCGGCGGTTTGCTATAGTACAAAAGATAATATCTATCTCTCCACCCATTCTGATCTTTCGATTTAGAAAGCTCCCTTTGCAAAGTCTATTCCCAGGGTATCCTGACCTGGCTGCGGTCATTATGCATTGCTCAACGCCCAATAAATGCCATGTCCTTTCACCGGCCGCACCGACTTTCTACAGAATCGCTAAGAGGCACTGAGTACAGTCCAAGCTTACTTACTGTAGGTGTGTACTCATATTGCCTCTGGACCCTCTTTCGCCTGAAATCGCTCCATCTCTTTCAACAAATATTGATATAATACAAGCATCGTTCCACTTTGAACGCTTGTCCACACAAACCGTGGCCCAACTCCCCGGAACAGGCCAGGCACGCCCTCGGTCTTGTAAATGAGTTTCAGTCCGGTCAACACAGATGATGTATCCAAGGTGGGCGTCGTTCGTGGAACTGTCCGTGGACCAGAGTGTAAAAGCCGCGTCTGCTTGTGGCCAGGGCCAGGCGGTTTGTGGCTCTTTGCTGCGGTCTTTTCCATATGTGCGGCCTGACTGTTCTGCACATGATTGTCCGGCGTTATTTGGGTTTGTGTTCGAGTCTTGACAACGTCGAGTGGGCAGGTTATCACTCCCGCGATGCCTCCCGCTGAGACCGCCGTCAAGACCTCGAGACTCAGCCCGATGTCAGTATCTCCCATCCAACTTTGTGCAAATCTCCTCTCTTGCTCATAGAAAGCAAATTGCAGGGCTGAAAATGGCAGATCTCGAACGATGGTGGCTTTGTACCCGGAGTATAACGCACCAAACCCCTCGGTTCGCGCAATGGTTTTAGCCGCATCCCACGTTGACTTGTAGTTGTAACCGGAATTGAAAAATGGATTGTTGTATCGACCCTGTAATTGTAGTCGGGTTTTCATCACCTCCGAAGGTACGTAAATAATCGAAGCAGCTAGGTCGGCGAGAAAACCTGGTGATGGTCGTAAGTGCGTGAACATTCGTCATAGTCAAAGTTGAACCTTACCACTCGCCAAAAACACCGCAGACGGGCTGAGTCCTCTGTCTAACAGATTCCGCTTGCAATATTCATAACATCCGAAGAAAGCCACGGTGCCCGGGAAGGACCCAACCATCGCCGCAGTGAAGCCTCCATAAAGTCCCCTCCGAAAACCCTCTTGCCGGAAAATTTTGATATATGAGTCCGACAAGGATGAGTACTTCGGTGGGAAATGAGGGTCGCCTTGTTGTCTCGTCTTGACAGTATCTAATGAGTGCATGAGGATATCGCCCGTCGTGCCTCCGATACCACCTGCCAGCATACACTGCGGACGGATTAGTACCAAATTACCTTGCAACGCGTGCTGCGGACTGCACCTACTTGATAATAAGGAGGCCGTTTTAATTCAATATCGATTTCCTCCTCCGCCAACTTCTCCATAGTCCGCAGCCGTTTTTTCTGTCGTGCGCCGTCGAGGTCGAGGTCGAGGCCCGGTTGGGTCTGATAGCCATTGCGCGGGTTGTTCTCATTCGAGGTGTCTTGAAAGAACAAACTAGACAATCTAGAGCTTAAGCTCATGGCAGGGCTACACGCACCCTAAACGACTTTTAAAGCACGAATCCTGGTTGATGGAGTAAGTGCGCAGATCCCTGAGTAGAGCAGAGGAGTACCGAGAGAATGATAATCCCGATGCCTGCAACTGGAAGTTCGCCGCCGCAAAACTTTCTGACTTGGCACTCTTCCCCTCCCGATTGGCCAGCCTTGTCCAACTCGCATTATTATTTTTTGTTGGGGGATGAGCAGCAGAAGAAAGCAATCATCCACCACGAACATACAGGCCTCTATCTCCTGTTTCCAATCAGAGGGTCACAAAGAACCTCCCGCCGAATAGCTTGGCCACATATGAGAATTAGTGCATTTCCACGCAGCGCACTAAGGGACTACTTTTGACCCAGAAGGAAGAAATATTTTACACATGACCTTCCTGCCACCAGCCTCGCTAAACCCAACTAAACCCATGCAGAAGTTCACAGCAGCATTTCCAGAGGATTCTCAACTACCTTCTTCAACTCTCGGATCCATTCACCCCCCACAGCTCCATCCACAACCTTATGGTCGAAGCTACCGGTCACAATGATCTGATCATCCCACTCGGTCACCGTGCCTTCTTCGGTCTCGACTGGAACCGCCACTTTACGTGTTGTGCCGACGGCGAGGATCGCCGCTTGGGGTGGATTGATCACCGCCGTAAACCGTTCTACTGCGGCGTTCATTCCCATGTTGCTGATCGTGATGGTACCACCTTGGTACTCTTCGGGCTTGAGCTTGCCGTCCCGTGCTCGCTTTCCAAGCTCTTTGACTGAAGCAGAAATTGTGGAGAGACCGATGCTGTCAGCATTCTTGACGATAGGAGTCATCAAGCCCACAGGCGTAGCCACAGCAACGCTCACGTCCACCACATTGTGTTGACGAATAACGGTTTGACCACCCGATTCCCTCCAGCTGGAGTTCACTGTAGGAACCTTCTTGCTGGCAACTGCCACAGCTTTGATCAAGAAGTCGTTGACAGATAGCTTGTACTTGCCCTCAGATGTAGCGTTGAGTGCTTCTCGCAGTTTAAGTAGCTTGGTGACAGACAACGTTGTGGACACAAAGTAATGTGGGTTCTGGTTCATGGATTGCTGCAGCCTGGTGGCGATTGTCTTTCTCATGGAGGTGGCGGGGATATCCTCATATGTTGGACCTGCGGTGGTGCCAGCGGCAGCCGGGGAACTAACTGCACCTGATGTGGCCTTCTCGACATCTTCCAAGGTGATGCGACCACCGGGACCGGTGCCCTTGAGAGACTTCAATGAAACACCTTTGTCCAAGGCAGCCTTCTTAGCTGCCGGACTGATGGTAGGCTCTCTATCCAAGGCCGGCTGAAGCTTGTCCCCTGTTGAGTCAGACTCAACTGCTGCCGGCGCGGCGGACTCGTCACTGGGAGGCGCGGTTCCTGAGCCAGAATCTGGTGTTTCTGTAGATTCAGAGGCTTCTTCCTTTGGTGCCTCTTTTGCGGGGGCTTTTTCGCCTCCCGCATCCTCGACGGTGAATGATTCGAACTCGGAAACGTCCGTTCCCTCTTCAACCAGTACGGCGATCGGCTAAATACGTGTCAGTGTGTGGTGAACCGGGTTGAACCGTCAGTATAAATCTTACATTTCCGACTGCGACATCCTTCTCTCCTGAAGCCTTGAGAACCTTCGCCAAAACACCCTCCTCTTGGAACTCAAAGTCCATCTGAGCTTTGTCTGTTTCGATCTCGACCAGGACATCACCGGGGGCCAAAGTGTCACCAGGTTTCTTCTGCCAAACGCCAATATTTCCGGCGGTCATGGTAGGTGAGAGGGCCGGCATGCTAATGATAGTATGAGGGGGGAATGCTGCTCATCACGGTCAGCACGGTTGCAATGAGTACAATATTCCCAGTCCGTACATTTGGAGGCATAGTAACGGCCCAACACGGAGAGGCAGGGAAGATGTTGGTAACTGTGAGCAGTGTTAGCTTGAGAAGTCGGTTCCAGTGAGGCCTGTTGCATACGTTACGGCACTGGGTAGCCTCTGCAGAGCACTTCGACTCAGTCTGGAGCTTGGAGTAGACTGGAGAATGAGACGTGTCCCTGAGCGAGCGAGCATGGTTGAGGTCGCCATGACAGGAGCCAGGATCTCGGAGCGGCAAAGAGCACCTAGGTAATTAAAGAGTGCCGCAGTGGGAAGGGAAGGGGGGCTGAGGAAAATGAGCGACGACGAAGGACACGGAATGGCCCAAAATGCAGAAAAGCAGTGGCAGCAAGAGCCGGCACAGTCTACCTCAAGTGTTGGTGCTGGCCAGGGAAAAGTGGTTGAGTTACGAATAGCAGGGTAAGAGAGCCGGGCCCCGAAGTGGAAACCTAGCTCGCTGCTCACCCTCAACGTCCCAGAAATTCCCAAAATTCGAGGTCAAGCTCCGCGACGAGAAAGGATCACGTGACATTGACATTGGCTCACGTATTTCACCGTATTACATGTCTGGTCTCTATGCTCCCACCTCCAGAAATTATGCCAGATTCATGTCTCCGCAGGGAAGGGAATCCGTCACCCGTGATAGACATCTGTACAGTTCTCGTTTCCTAGTGCTTAGAAATGTCCAGAGGTTGATGATGGGCAATGCGCGAACCTAGCTATTTCTCTTCTCTGCATGAACGAATTCCTCCACTGTTCCCTGGATCTTCCCTTACCTCGCCGGCCAAATGTCTGGCGTCTCGAGCGAGGCATCCAGAAATCCTACCCCGGACCACCAACGACACTTGGGGAATGCTTCGTCCGATAGGGTTGACGAGTCTGAAAATTCAAAAGCTCCTGATGGAGACCGGAACGACGATGGTGTCCCTAGTCATGGCGTAACCATTACTGTCGAGGATGCCGATGCCGAAACAGACGAAGACGCTGAAGACGTCGACGACGACGACGAACAAGACGGGGATTCTGAAGATGGCCACACTATGCCAGGAGGCTCGCAGGCAGATTCCAATGGAGAGTCGGACGCTCACATAGAACAAACACAAACTCCGCAGCTCGAGAGCCATAAACAGGAATCAGAGAGACTACCGCAGGAGGAGGCCGAGAGTGAGACGACGTCCTCGATCCAACAGCAGGACGAAAATGTCTCTCACCCAGAAATCGCTCCTGATTCGCGCCTGCAAAGGTCTGACTCGAAATCGACAACCGTCTCTCGCCCGCTGCCGGTTACTTCTACGGTCTTTGTGATTAGTGCGCTGGAAACAATTGGAGCTTCGAAGGAAGTCAAGAGGAACAAGGAATTCACAGATGCTGTCCAAGCAGCTCTGGCCAACATCAAAAACTCTGAGCATGCTCTCAATCCTGAAATCCTCTTTCGGCCCTTACAGATGGCAACCAAGTCGTTCAATGTACAAATGCAGGTGACGGCACTGGACTGTATTGGAAAGCTCATCAGCTATTCCTACTTTGCCTTTCCAGTTGTAGCGGCAAGCCAACCTGATGGTACAGATACTCCGCCTTTGATCGAAAGAGCAATCGAGGCTATCTGCGATTGCTTCGAAAATGAAGCGACTGCAGTTGAGATTCAACAACAAATCATCAAATCCCTACTTGCGGCAGTTCTGGACGACAAGATTGTTGTTCACGGTGCCGGTCTCCTCAAGGCTGTCAGGCAAGTATACAACATCTTCATCTATTCAAAATCTAGCCAAAATCAACAAGTGGCACAAGGGTCGTTGTTGCAAATGATCGCAACGGTATTTTCCCGCGTACGAACGCGTCTCGATGTGAAGGAGGCCCGTTCAAGAGAGCAAAACGAGTCGAAATCGGACGAGGCTCTTTCGGGAGACGCCTCAATGTTCGAGCAAAGCGATATCAACGGTCAGATGGATACGCCCGACCAAGAGACTCCCCCTCATCTAGGAGAAGGGGTTACCAAGATCCAAGAGAAATTGACTCTACAAAGCTTCGAACAAAACAAGAATCTGGACGACGCGTTAGTGGCCGATAGCGCCCCTACCACGGTGACTCGAGCGAGGAGAGATCGCAAGAATACTCGCTCCAGTTCTGGCCCGGTGTCCCGTGCAAGTTTGCAGGAAGATCGAGAGGATGCGGAGCTGTCTTCCGAGGACGAGGATGATATCTACATAAAAGACGCGTTTCTCGTCTTTCGATCATTGTGCAAGCTAAGTCAGAAAGTTCTGACACACGACCAACAACAAGATCTCAGATCACAGAACATGAGATCCAAACTCTTGTCTCTTCATCTCATCTACCACCTCATCAACAACTATACTCCGGTCTTCACCTCCCCGTTCTCCATAATCAAGAGTGGAAACAACGAAGACAGTACTCCATTCTTGCAGGTTGCCAAGCCTCATCTCTGCCTGAGCTTGTCTCGCAATGCCTCCAGTTCTGTCCCTCGAGTTTTTGAAGTTTGCTGCGAGATCTTCTGGTTATCTTTGAAGCACCTACGTGTACTGCTCAAGAAAGAAATCGAAGTGTTCCTTAAAGAGGTCTATCTCGCTGTTTTGGAGAAGCGAACTGCTCCACTTTTCCAAAAAGAAAAATTCATGAATGTTTTGGAAAGGCTATCGGCTGATCCACGCGCTTTGGTCGAAGTCTACCTGAACTATGATTGCGACCGGACTGCACTGGATAACATGTATCAAGAAATTATTGAGCACTTGTCGCGAATTTGTAGCACACCAGTCGTTATTACTCCTGGTCAGCAGCATCAATATCAAGAGCAACAAGCAAAACCCGCTACACCTTCATCGGAATGGCATACCAAAGGCTCCCTGCTGCCAGGTCTCTCTACAGCAACCCTCAGCCACCCGCCTCCTCCACCATCATCCATACCAGGGGAATATCTCTTAAAGCAACAATCACTGCGTTGCTTAGTGGAGATCTTGAATTCTCTCGACAACTGGTCCACACAGAGCGGACAGGAGCCTGTGAACGGATCTCGATATCCAGCTTCGAGGGGATCTTTCGAGGATTCAAGAGAATCACTTGACACGAGTGAGAGACCTCCTCCCTCGCCCCGAGTGCCGGGCTTTGGCAGTGAATCTGGTGTCTCAACCCCAGTTGCAGAAGACGATCCCAACGAGATTGAGCGGGTGCGGATGCGCAAATCGGCATTGAACAATGGAATCAGACAGTTCAACTTCAAAGCTAAACGGGGAATCAAGCAACTCTTGGCCGATGGATTTATTCGAAGTGATAGTCCTCAAGATATTGCCAAGTTTTTACTTGGAAATGATAAACTCGATAAGGCTATGCTTGGTGAATACCTCGGAGAAGGCGATGAACAGAACGTAGCCACTATGCATGCCTTCGTCGATCTGATGGAATTCAGCAAGAGGAGATTCGTCGATGCCCTTAGACAATTTCTACAGAGTTTCAGGCTACCAGGAGAGGCACAGAAGATCGACAGATTCATGCTCAAGTTCGCCGAACGCTATCTCTCTGGTAACCCAAACGCATTTGCAAATGCTGACACAGCATATATTCTTGCATACTCGGTGATTCTACTAAACACCGATCAGCACAGCACCAAGATGAAGGGTAGACGGATGACCCTGGAAGACTTCGTCAAGAACAACCGGGGTATCAATGATGGTCAAGATTTGCCACAAGAGTATCTGGCCACAATTTATGACGAGATCGCGAGCCATGAAATAGTATTGACTTCTGAGCGCGAACATGCTGCCGAATTGGGGATCGCAAATGCGACTGCTGCCACGGGTCTAGCCTCCAGAGCTGGACAAGCACTGGCAAATGTTGGACGTGATTTGCAGAAAGAGAAATATGCTCAAGCTTCGGAAGAGATGGCAAACAAGACCGAGCAGCTTTATCGCAGCCTTATCCGTGCGCAGAAACGATCGGCTGTACGAGAAGCGCTGTCGCGATTCATACCAGCCACCTCCACCAAACATGTGGGCCCAATGTTTAATGTCTCATGGATGTCCTTTTTATCTGGATTCTCAAGCCAAATGCAGGATGCGCAGAATCTCGACCTCATCAAACAATGTCTCGATGGTCTCAAACTGGCTATCAGGATAGCCTGTCGATTTGATCTAGAGACACCCAGGGTCGCCTTCGTGACTGCCCTTGCTAAATTTACAAACCTCAACAACCTCAAAGAGATGATGGCGAAGAATATCGAAGCTTTGAAAGTCCTCATCGAAGTGGCTCTCAGCGAGGGCGATTTGTTGAAAGGTGCTTGGCGAGAAGTTCTAATGTGTATCAGTCAGCTCGATCGCCTTCAATTGTTGTCCACTGGAATCGACGAAGGTGTCATTCCAGATGTTTCAAGGGCAAATATTCCTCTGCCTTCGAACTCGAGAGATAGTAGAGGTAGCCGGAAGTCCATGCAAGCACCAAGGCGTCCCAGACCAAGATCATCGCATACCTTCCGACCTGAAGTCGCGGATGAAACAAAATCAACGGATATGGTCCGTGGGGTAGATCGGATCTTTACAAACACCGCCAAATTGTCATCCGAAGCTATAATCGATTTTGTTCGTGCTCTGAGTGAAGTCAGCTGGCAAGAAATCCAGTCCTCAGGCAACAGTGAATCCCCGCGGACGTATAGCTTACAGAAACTGGTAGAGATCAGCTACTACAATATGACGAGAGTCAGGATAGAGTGGACGCGCATCTGGGAAGTTCTCGGAGAACATTTCAATCAGGTTGGCTGCCACAACAACACAACGGTTGTGTTCTTCGCTCTTGATTCCCTCCGTCAACTGTCCATGAGATTTATGGAGATTGAGGAACTGCCAGGTTTCAAGTTCCAGAAGGACTTTTTGAAGCCATTCGAGCACGTCATGTCCAATACAACTGTCGTTACGGTGAAAGACATGGTTCTACGGTGTCTGATTCAGATGATCCAAGCCCGTGGAGACAACATCAGATCAGGTTGGAAGACAATGTTTGGAGTATTTTCGATTGCGGCCAGAGAACAGTATGAAGCAATCGTTAACATAGCCTTTGATTACACCACCCAAATTTACAACACGCGATTTGGTGTTGTCATTTCGCAAGGTTCATTCCCCGACCTCATTGTCTGCCTGACAGAATTTTCAAAGAACCTCAAGTTTCAGAAGAAGTCGTTACAAGCAATTGAACTACTGAAATCCACAGTCCCCAAGATGTTGAAAACACCTGAATGTCCTCTATCTAAAAGACACTTCAAAGCCGCAGATTTGGATGGATCGGTGGTAGCTGGTGTGAAACAGCCAACCTCTCAGACCGAAGAAGAACAATTCTGGTATCCTGTCCTTATAGCATACCAGGATGTTCTAATGACTGGCGAAGATCTGGAAGTTCGTTCACGGGCTCTTACTTATCTCTTCGATACATTGATCAGGTATGGCGGTGACTTCCCTATTGATTTTTGGGACGTGCTATGGCGACAGCTCCTATACCCAATCTTCGTTGTCCTGCAGTCAAAATCTGAAATGTCAAAGGCACCCAACCATGAAGAGTTGTCGGTGTGGTTATCAACAACTATGATTCAAGCACTCAGGAACATGATCACACTGTTTACGCATTACTTTGACTCTTTGGAGCACATGCTGGATAGATTCTTGGACCTTCTCACGTTATGCATCTGTCAAGAGAACGACACAATTGCTCGGATCGGCAGCAATTGTTTGCAGCAACTGATTTTGCAAAATGTCACCAAATTCACACCAGAGCATTGGGCTCGAATTGTCACAGCGTTTGTGGAGCTCTTCAATCGAACCACGGCTTATGAGTTATTCTCCGCTGCTGCCACCATGTCAGATGCTCGGCCTACCCCAGCTACCGACGGAGCCGAAGGTCTATCGATATCAGGAACGACGATTGTCGAAACTCCCACAACGAATGGAGGCCCCGATCCATTTCCTGCTCCTGACTCTTCCCTGGAACACAAAGGCGATGTCCCAACTGCTGACATTCCTCACTCACAATCAACACAAGAGCTTGAAGATTATCGCCCACACTCTGATCTTCAGACCCCCGTTCCTGTAGTGACTGCGGCACGCCGACGTTTCTTCAATAAGATCATCACTAATTGCGTATTGCAATTGTTGATGATCGAGACTGTTGCAGAGTTGTTCTCGAATGATTCAGTCTATGCACAAATACCATCATCTGAACTTCTCCGCTTGATGGCACTCCTAAAGAAGTCCTATCAATTCGCGAAGAAGTTCAATGGTGACAAAGATCTCAGAATGGCGTTGTGGCGTCAAGGATTCATGCGCCAACCGCCCAATCTACTGAAACAGGAGTCTGGTTCGGCAAACACATATGTAAGTATACTACTCAGGATGTACCACGATGAAGGGGAAGAGCGAAGGTCGAGTAGAGACCAGACTGAAGGCGCATTGATTCCGTAAGTTGTTCTATTCAACTCAAATCGAGCATTTGACTAATCCTCCCTCTCACAGTCTGTGTGCCGATATTATACGCTCCTTCCTCTTGCTCGAGGAAGACACCCAACAACGCAACATAGTGGCCTGGCGACCGGTTGTCATTGACGTCCTCGAAGGCTACACAAACTTCCCTCGCGAAAGTTTCGAGAAACACCTCGAGACTTTCTATCCTCTAGCAGTAGGGCTGTTAGAAAAAGAAGTCGGCACGCCTGATCTTCGCAACGCGCTCTGGGCCTTGTTCCGGCGTGTGGGTGAGCTGAGATTCGGCATGCCAGAGTATACGCCGCATTCTCGAGGCAGGGAGAATAGTGTAGGTTCTACTAGGAATGGCAGCGTGGGTGGAGGTCACGAATTTCGATCTCCGTCTGCGAGGAGTAGGAGAGAAAGTCGTGTCAGTAGAACCGGTACATCTTGAGTCCACCACAGAGCGAGAGAGGTGATGTGATTAGATCCACTAAAAGACAATCATGGAGGATTTTCAGTGCTGCAGGACATAGTACTAAGTACTAGTTTAGGTCAACATATATACTATGTAGTACATACATGGACTATAGTACTCAAGTTTCAAGTACCATATATGTATGTATGTAGTATATTGACATAGTAACTACAGAGTATACTTGCTCTGCTTTAGTAATTTGCTCTAAAAACATGACATTGAACCTTCGAAACTTCCTAAATACATACATAGTACGACATATACTCGGTATACTATTTACATAGTATCCTAGGCACTAATAGCAGGTACCTAAGTAATGTACGTGTATGTTAGAAAGGTACATACATATGTCCATAGTACATATATAGTGCCCTGGGTACATACGTAGTAGTTCCTGCATCGTGGATAGGGGTGACTAACTTAGCATGCGCCCCTGAGATAGGAACGAGTCACGAAACCTTCCCAAAGTATACTAGCGTGGCTAAGCAACATGAAATATTATGTACATTCTAAGCTAGAACCACTATGTACTATATACTTAAAGTTCGTAGGATCTCTCAGTACTTACTGCTACTATATTCCTAAGTGCATATACAGTAGCCGTTAGCCCTTAGTACTATTATAAATGCTATATAACAGCACTTGGTTACATTAGTCCATAGGTTATATACATAGTACGCGTATATATAGTATGTACGCTATGTAGTTAAGGCTGTGTCCTCGGTAGAATTCTGTACTCCTCCCGTGATTCACTTTCCTATAAGTACTACTTACATATACTATATAGTACATAAATATTTTAAAAAGTGGCACTACTTACTATGTAGTCGTACTATATCCATAATTACAATAGTTCCTGCATTACATTAGTAGTACATAGATTCCTGACTTTAGCTATACATCCCACGCCCCGAAGCAGCATTGCGTGTACTAGGTATAGTACAGTAATCTCGATCTTGCCTTTGTTCTAGGATGTAGTACCAATCTGGTTGCCAGCTGGCATACTATATACATGCATGTATCAATGGCCATTGCATCTAGTACTAGTACGTACTATATAGTAGTGTACATACAGTTATGTACTTAGTATTTTACACCCATCTACTACATACGAAGAGTGCATATGGGAAACGATTGGCCCAATAATTTGATTTGGAATTCTGGGTTTTCAAGATCTGGGAAGTAGATGTCCTGCCCTTCATTTCTCGCTACACCGGCTCCCAAGGTACATACGTAATACCAACTAGTACTAAGCAGGTATCTATGAAATATACCTGCCGAGTACTATGTACTGTATATAGTAGTATGTACTTACGATAAGGAACTGTTTTCTCGTATATTATGTATTCTTTGCTAGGCTTCAGCGGAACTACTAATTACTATGTACTAGCTACCAGATTATCACTGGAATCTCGGCACTTTTTATTCCCGCACCCTCGGCTATTTTGATTTCAAATGACCCAGGCTGGTAATACCCCATGGGTGTGCCGAGAAGGAAACTGCGAGCTGCTGTCTCTTCGCTTTATTTTCCAAAACACTCTACCCGATACTACCACTTTGTCCTTATCGAAATCAGTGCAAGGCGCGGAGCATACATACTTCTATCCAAGAGCAATTTTGATGACTAGTACTGCGGGCCCACCACACAACAAGTCCTGATCCCGTCGAGGATGCTGGACCTGTCGGCAAAGAAAGGTCAAATGTGACGAGGAACGTCCTAGCTGCCGCCGGTGTGAGAGGCTAGGAAGGCTTTGCGACTACGAACCACGGCAGCGCAAGGCATATACCAAGAAACAGCCGACGCACATCCAGCCGAAGGACCAGGCCGCGTCGACGCCGCCGGGGCAACAACAATCGCTTTCACATGACACTGACCTGCGGACTTCAATTGTCCCTTCGCGGCCAGCTATTGAAGGACCACACATTCAGATCGGATATTCCTTTCAAGACATCCAAGGAGAAGAGCAAGGGAGAACTTTCCCAACTCCCAGTGACCAAGTGAGTAACCATGTCGAAAGTCACGGAGTTGATAGCGAGTGGTTGTCAAGTGCCTGTTCTACGGTATTGTCGTCCTCTGACCATGCAGCAATCCGCTGCTTCCGCTTTGTATTCTCACCAAAACAAGACACCAAAGACCCTATCTTTTCGATACCTGCTATCGTCTGGACCCTCGCACGGCGGAACTCTATGGTCCTACACATGGTCTGCGCCGTAGGTGGCCAGGAGCTTGCCAATTTGAATGGCACTGCCAGGGAGGAAAACGAAGATGAAGAAGCGCAAGCGCAGCCTCACCAGTCCCGAATCGCTGACCATTACGGAGCCGCACTTCGGCTGCTAGCCACTGCTATTCAAAAAATTGTGGATACTGTGGAGCTCGACTATATCCTCGGTACTCTCTGGCTCATGGTGGTCTATGAGCAGAAATTCGGCGATGGCTATGGGTCCGGTCTGATCATCCACCTGAGAGGCGCTGGATACCTTGTACAAGGCAGGTTGCAAAACCTTGCGCGCATTATTGACCGGAGCAAGCCTTGTATATTTGATGAAGAAGAACTCGAAGCCATGAGCCCGCGGAGCGGTCCGGAAGACCACTGGCAGATATCTGGATTTTCTGCTCGCATGATCATATGGATCTCTTTTCTCGATGGGGGGGCAGCACTCAATGGCATAGGAGGAGTATTCAACGAGTTTCTCGGCCAGGCAATGGACGGGCTGGCTGGAGATGAAGTCCAGTCGCTGATTCAGGGCTTCCGTACCATTCACAGACATTCACATGCTGCGTTTCGAGAGACCTGGGGTGCGTCTTATCCACAGGCTCAGCTTCTCGAAGATATGGAGATTCGTCATATGTTCTATCTCTATGGAGAATGCGGACAACTGCGTTACTTGCTGAGCAAGCTCGCAGTAGTGGATTGGCGTAACAGTCCTAAGGCCAAAGCCTACCTGAAAAGAGTAGCGTGCGCGCTCAACGATGTCACCGTGAGGTATGGTGATATTCTTGAAGTAGCAAGCTCCCTGCAATTGGTTGAAGGGTGTCCGAGGCGCCGGTATGTCACGAACATTCGCTTTGTGGTCCCACAGTATAATGCTGTGCTTTTGTGCTTCTTCAGAATAGCCAGGCGTCGCCGTCCACTAAACTATCGGCAGCGGGCAGCCTTACGCGTGATTCTGGACCTCGCTCATCAGGCACATAGTGATGTGGGAGAGGAGGGAATTCTACAGGTCGCCTGGCCCTTATTCGTTGCTGCTCTTGAAACTGACGACCCTGTCCACCGAGCGTGGATCTTGGAGCGATATCAGATCCTTTCCACGCAGGGACAGAATTATCGTCGGGCGAATGAAGCCCTCAAGGTGGCATTTGCCGAGCAGCGTTTGAACGAGAGACGGCTAGATTTCTTACAATTGGTCCGGAGGGATGATCTCGATCGATTTGTCATTTAGCGAAGCCGAGGTCCAGATTGTCGGGCTATGAATGACAGCTTAGTTTTAACACGACCAGGGCTACGGAAGAATTGCCCAGAGCAGTACGCTCTCGTCAGGGCGATCTGCTCGAAAAGCCGACCGCCTAAATCGGAAAACTTTTTGAGCTTCCAACAAGGCTGTTTAGCCGAGCTTTGTGGCCCCGCTCTCTGATATGGAGTAAGTACACCTTGATCCTTTCCGATCTAGCCGAACGGTGGCTGGCATCTGTGGACGTCGTGAGTGCCAGTAAGTTTACTGATATCCGATCAAGGGGCTATCCTCAACCCTATCATTTGACTGATCGCGAGCGGTTGGGTGCCACTTGTTCTCGAGAGTGCAGCCCTTTTAAGACCGTGGCCAACACTCTCGTGGCTTTGGGTTAGAAAAGCACTTGGTCGCTGACCTCACTTACCAGGGGCCTCACAGGTGTTTAAGATGACAGATTCTGTAGCATCCTTGAATGATCCGTCGACATGGAAGAATTTTGGGATCCTTGAACCCTTTTTTGCACAGGTAAGTTGAAGAGACAGACATTTGACCTTTGATACGTATGATGCTGTTAGCAATTCTCACGCCTTATCGTTCTGCATGGTTGTTTACAAATGCATAGGTCGCCAAGGATCTGGAGAAGAACCCCGAGTCGGAGCCCTCGCTAGATAACCTTTCCAATAATCGCAATTCCTGGGAATTCAACAGTCGAAAAGACACTGATAACTTGCTGGACACGGTCAAGGACCAGGTCTCAGAGCAGGAAATCTTCATCCCATGCCGCGATGGCCACAAAACACGTGCTCTTCTATATCAGCCCAAGCAGGAGTTTGTCCGCGGGAGACCGCTGGTTGTCGTGCTCCATGGAGGCGGGTTCACCTTTGGCACCGCGGAGATGGAGTCGTTGTTATGTATTCGAGCGACAAAAGACCTTGGATGCGTGTCACTATCGCTAGAGTATCGGCTAGCTCCGGAGAACAAGTTCCCGACGGCGTACGAGGATGTTTGGGACGCGGTCCAATGGGTGAGGCTCCATTGCAATGCCTACATTCTCTCCCGTTAACAAGACGACAGATTATAGTGAATGCTGGCAGTATAGGAGCAGATTTGAGTGAAGGCTTCGTCCTCGGTGGCTGCTCAGCTGGAGGGCACATCACCATCCCACTATCGCACCGGGCCCGGGACGAGAAGCTCTCTCCACCCTTGACGGGGATCTACCTCAGTGTGACGCCTGCTTTGGCGCATCAAGCTGTGACAGAAAAGTACCAGCCACTCTACCGAAGCCGAGAGGAGTTTCGAAACGGCATTTCTCTGACTTTCTCGTCCATCGCCTTCTATGACAAGACCAACGAGCCGGATGTAAATTCGCCGCTCTGGAGCCCATTACTCTGGCCAACCGGCCATGCCAATCTCCCCCCAACATACTTTCAAATCTGCGGCGCGGACATGCTGAGAGACGAAGCGTTGATTTATGAGCGAGAGCTACGCGAAAATAACGTCAAGACGAAGGTGGACATTTACCCTGGCCTGCCACATGTGTTTTGGTATACCCATCCTGATCACCCTGCTGTCCCCAAGTATCACGAAGATGCGAAGAATGGTGTTGGATGGTTGCTTGGGCAGAGAAAATCGTCCTAACTCATGAGTCCGAGTCCTGAGGTTAGTAAAGACTTGAGTCAGGACTCGAGTTCTTTACCATATACTATCTCCCTATCAAAACCTCAACTAGTAGGTATTTTATACTCTTTGTTTACCTATAACGACCTAACAGAGTCTTCTATCTCCCCTACCAGGAGGATTGGTAGTAGAGCGAAATAGTCTATTAAGTAAGAACTTAAAGTAGATAATATAGGGACTTCTTGAAGAGTAGCCTAACTGGGCTTAATCTAGGGAATAATTTATTAATATGGTGTACTGTAAATAGCTAGGACTGGGAATGGGACTGGGACTGGGACTGGGAGTCGAACTCGAGTCCTCCGATCTCACCGAGGATTCGGACTCGGGACTCGATGCCTCGAGGGTTGGCAGCGCTATAAGTCGGATTCTGTGCCAGGAAGCTGTTTGACGGAATGGAAGAGACTCTTGGAACGCGTTCTCCTCTGTACTTGTTGAAAAGGATAGACAGACCTGTACATCGGAATTCTGATGATATGCTACACGTTGGACCCGGCCTCGGCATATAGGGCAGGTTTGATAGGCAGAGCTGTTGAGGCAATTCACGGGATTGTCACAAATATATAAAATGAGTTCGGAATGATATTCTTCCTGAAGTGGACTCTAGGCTAGGAGTACCGTTTCATGACTACTTGGGTAGTATGGCAGTGCTCCGTCCGGTAGCCTGGAATTTTGGGGGTTCTGCAATATAGGAAAGTCCATGTGCAGGTGTTTCCCAGCAATCTGTCAACCCGATCAATTGACATTTTCTCGTCTTCAACCCTACACCAGAGTTCAACTTACACAACAGTTTGTGTTCTGCAAGCGACCAGTGAGGACTAAGACTTACAAACCCAAGCTCACATTCGCCATCCTCCTCATCTCCCTCTGACCATCTGTCAGCCGCTCAGCAGTTTCATCAAGGCTCATGAATCCCATGGCCCTCAATCCATCATCAGACAGGATATTCTCCTTCTGCGCGCCGCAATCATCGTGCATGTTTTCCACCTCGTATCCCCCCTGCAGTCTCTCAAAGTCACGCGGTGGGACCCCCTTCTCAAACGCCGCACGGCTACCAAGCAACGAGTCCAGGTTGTATGGCGTCAGAGGAGTACATGCATTATAGAAAACCGTAGAATCATTCTTCCCGGGATTCGTCGTATCCACGCCGTGGACCAAATCGCAGTGCCAGAAAACATAGTCGCCGGGCCTCACCGGAGGTATTCCGATCAGGGCGCGGTCTATGGCCAGGTGGGGGTGGTGCTCTGGTGTTGGGAAGAACTGCGTTGATCCGGGCGTGGCGCCTGGGAATGTAGGCTGCGAATCGTCAAATTCATCGTTGACGAAGAGAGGTTTTAGCAGCATATATGCTACGGATGCTTTGAGACTCGGGAGCAGGCGCAGAGTGCCCTCCCCGGTGTTTGTGTGAGACAGCGATATCCAGCCCTGAAGACTTCTCCATGCGGAGCAAGACGTTTTGTTGGCGTACAGGTCACTGCGGGCGTTGAGGCGTTGGTCAGCCGCCCAACCGTCCCACTCTTGCCATCGGCCTTCGAAAATTGCCTCGTAGTTCTGACGATACGCGTCGTCCTCCCAGCGCTCGGTCCCGCCGCTGTCGAGGTGAGGTGGTAACGGGAATTGGTCGGGATCATCGGAAGGCTGGCGAATCCGGATCCGGTCAGGATACACAACTTGTGAGTCCAGATCGATCAGTAGAGATGGATCAGAAACGTTCCAGAGTCGAGATACAATGTTCATGGCCTCTAATACTGCAGGGTGAGATCGAATTTGCACCTGTGGCTCGGTCCAGTAGATGTTCCATCCAGCAGGCTTGTTGGGAGGGACGCCGCCTACTCCGGGGTGTCGATGGACGTAGTCCTTGAGCTTGGCCTCCCATACGACGGCTTGTTCTTCTGGGACAACATTACGCAGAATCACGCAACCTCTATCTCGCACGAGGTTGGCAAAGTCTGGAGGAAGGGTGCAGCCTGAAACAGATGATTAGCATTTCGGATGATTGGTGATCCCGAGTTGAATGGTTGGTGTGACTCGCTTACCGTTGTTGCGCACATGGTTGAAGTCAATCTCAGGCACCATAGAAGACCCAGACTTCTCGATGCGGTTGACCTCGGAGTTCAAGACGTCGACAAGGCGACCATATGATTCAATCACTTTCTGTTTATGTACTTTCTTGACAAGCGAAGCTTTGAGCACCGCAAATCTTTGGTCGAGCAGCGGCGGCCTGTGTCCTCATATCAGTCAGAGAAAATTGAAACAGGTCCTTTTGACTTGCTGTTCATTCGCGTATACAGTCGTGAGCATCTGTGTAGTCGCAGTTCTGGTAGACATAGCTACGTCTGTTCAGTGTAGAGTTGGACTTGCTGGCGTGCCTTGTGATAGTTAATCGTCGATACCTTGATTTCTGACGGTGGAAGTCTGTAGTGTCAGAGACCACGCCGGTCCAATGTTGCTTTTATGTGGTACCAGAATCAACGGGGCTATCAGATTCACTTGGGATCCCTCACTCCGATGCTCGGAATTCTTGGCTTTGCGGCGATCCTGGGTCGTGCGAGATGGAGACTGGGAGTCTGTGGAGTACATTTCCTTCACCTTGCCACTGGCCAGCACTTGGTTTCGCCCACCCAGGACCCATGACTGAAGGGACCAGAATTGAAACTTTACTCGGGTACTGGAACGCTTGTTGCGTCCCGCCTCGCTTAATCCCCTTATCTAAGAATCCAAATAGCCGACCAGAGACCAGCTCGGCAATTTGGACAGCCAGCTTCCAAGTCTCGCTCTTCAACATCCAAACTCAGTGCTAAAGTAGCCAAGGATAACAGACAACATTTTTCTTTCGCACGTTGAGCGGCCCGTCAACCTTGCGCTGGGCAATTTATCAAGCGGCAGGCGTTGTCTTCTCCTGACTGGGGCGAAGAGGAGATATCTGCATTTATCGGAAACGTACTCGTATGTCTGACTGTCCCTTTCGTTGTCCTGTCCACTTGAAATATGACGATGTGTACTGATTCTTTTCTCGGTCACAGCTAATATTCCTCCTAGTTCCCAAATGTTGGGATCCCTAGAACTGATATATCCTTCAATATGGCGCCACTCGCCGTAGGTAATTGATATATGGCCTGATCAGGACTAGCGGTAATGGCGCTCGGTATTTATTTTACCATGTGACAAGCCGATTCCGTCTGACAGACAGACTCTTGGTCAAAGCCGCTCCCTCTAAACAAGCTTTCTAACGGTCTCTCGACCCGACGACCATTCCCATTGGGAGTGGGTTTCTGTCCACGCACTCTTATCTCGATCGGATGTTGTTACACAAGGGAGGTGAGGGCGGAACTGCGAGTGAGTTAGTATAAGAGAGGAGAGGTATCACTCCCCGTCGTGCCTCAGGATGGTGTCGTCAAACACGAAAGGTGGACAACTTTCTACTCTTCACCTAGTTACCTCGGCATTGTGAGAAAAAAGATCGAGAGCAAGGGACCGACTACTTTCAGTAGCCATGTCGCTCAAGGCGTGGATCAACGATGCAGATGTCGTGAAGGAGATGAACGTCCCATTGTTCTTGTGTGCGATGTTTGCAGCAGTAAGTGATATTGCTACCTCAAAGCCAGTCGTCGCCGCTGACCAGTATCTAGATGGGCGGAATCTCGTTTGGAATTGGTTCGACGATACGCTTGCTGCGCAAAAGTACATACTGACAGGTATAGACTATGGCTACTGGTCGGGTTTGCTCGGCATGACCCAGTTCCAGAAGGATTTTGGCCGTTATGACGAAGAATCTCAAGGTTGGATCATCCCGGCAAGCCTTCAATCTGCTGGCAGCGGCCTCCCCATCGCAGGTCTTGCAGTTGGTTCATTGGCATCAGGCTGGGTTGGTAATGCCCTTGGTCGCGTTCGTACGCTGCAAATTTCGACAGTGGTGGCTGTGATTGGTGTTCTCATCCAAAGCACCGCCTTCAAGTCCTACTGGCAACTGGTCGTCGGACGAGTCGTCAATGCGGTCGGCCTGGGGATTATGGCCAACTGTATCCCGGCATATCTCGCGGAAATATCACCCCTTAAGATTCGTGGGACCTTGATCAACTTTTACCAAACTTCCATGGGCATTGGAGGCTTGACAGTCTCATGTGTCACTTTGTCTACGCACGACAGAACCGACCAGTGGGCCTATCGCATAGTGATCATCATTCAGTTCATCATTCCAGTTGGCTTTCTTGCGGCAACGTTTTTCCTCCCAGAAAGCCCTCGATGGTTGGTCGGCAAAGATCGTCGTGCCGAAGCAGAGAAGGCACTGACACGCCTCCGTCCCAACACGGCTCTCGAGGTGCTCCAAGAAGAAACAGCCTTAATCGTGGCCCAGGAGTTGGAAAACAGTGCACACTTTTCCAAATCGTGGAAAGAGTGTTTCAGGTAAGACAGCGCATGTTACATATCAACGCACATGCGCATACCCGACTCCTAACTGAAGGCTATAGGGGTACTAACTTTCGCCGCACGATGATCGTTGTCGGCGTGCAGTGTCTCCAACAGTCACAAGGAAACTCGTACATGTCAAGCTATAGAATCATCTTCCTTCAAGCCCTTGGCATGCAAAGCGTATACAAGCTTGGCGTCTTGTTCATGCTTGAGATGGTTTTAGCATGTGCTTGCGCGTTTTATTTTGCCGATCGCCTGGGACGGCGTCCGATCTTGACCTTCACAGCATTCTTCATGACGGCCACCATGTTTATCACCACGGGTGTCGCAACCTCGGGGTTGGCGAGTGATCCTGCCGTCATGAAAGGAGCTTTGGCTTGCATGTTTATATGGGACATTTGCATGAATTTTGGCTGGAGCTCCTGGTACGTACTGATCACACTCCCACCCGATCACTTCATTCTGATATCTGTTCGTCGCGTCTTTCACTGACCACCTATTCATTAGTGTGTGGATGGTGACCGCCGAAACTCCTAGTCTACAGCTACGAGAAAAGAGCATCATGATCGCAACCTTCACGGGCTTCTGTGTCTCCGTCCTCGTCAGCTTTGTGAGCCCCTTTATACAAGCAGACGATGCTGGGGCGCTCGGCGCTCGGATTGGATACGTCTTTGCCGCGATATCCATCGTTGCGACCATTTGGGCTTTTTTCTTCCTTCCAGAGACAGGTTCGCGCAGCTTGGAGGAGCTGGACGAATTGTTCCAAAACAAAGTTTCGGTCTGGAAGTTCAAGAAGTATCAGACCCACGGATATGGGGCTCAGTTGGCCATCATCGAGGGTTCTACGCCTGCGGAAGATGGTATCAAGGCCCAGGCTATTACCGTCAGGGTGAAGGATCAGGCTTCCACCGCCTCCGTCGCCTCTTCGTAGGGAGAGGAAGGGAGGGAAGCAGCTTTGTGAGAATCAGATAGTCTGTCCACTTTTTTGGATATTCGTAAAGCCGAGGGAAATACGTCCTCTCAGTGCTGCACCGCCAGTTCAAGATTGTAACATATCCCGTAGTTGAGATATAAAATGTGACTAATTGGTACGATGATTACATCGGAATCTACCGGACTTTTATCCCATAGCACGAGCACTTTATAAAGTCGAATTACTAGCACTGACATCAAACACCATCCAGGCGCTCAAAAGTGAGTCTGCAGCACTCCCCCTCGGGGCTGCTCGTCATGAACTGATCTGACATCGCCATCGAAGCCATCATATCATCCACCGGCCGGGTCCGAAAGTTCGAGTAGAGGCGGTGTAATACCGCCCTCATTTCCGCAACCGCAAAGCTGTCACGTCGTTGAACGTCAGTTTCGCTCACTCTCTTTACGACTCATAACAATTCAATCAGACAAGATTCCCGACTTACTATCTCCCGATGCAAGTGCGCGGCCCAGCGCCAAAGGCAAAGAGATGACGCACGCGGTCTGATTCGCCAGCATCGGCTAGCCATCGCTCGGGCAGAAACATCTCCGGGTTGGGGAGCACATCTGTAGTGAAGCGGTGTAGTATGTAGGACTGGCAGCCGACGATCGTATTCTCGGGCACGAAATATCCATCCATCATCCGTCCCCCCTGTGGAACATACCTCTGCAAGGGAAGCGTGCCCGGAGCCCGGAGTCTGAGGCTTTCGTTGATGGTAGCCGCGAGTTACGGTAAATCGCCCAAGTAATGTCCTGCCTTGTCGACCGTGCGCAGCTCGTCGGCCAGCCTCGCCATTCGCTCGCCGTTGTGGGCCTGCGATAGTTCCCACATCAAGAACACCAGCCTGTCGGCTGTTGCGTCAATACCCGCTCCGATATGGTCTAGGAACTCCGATACCATTTGTTCCATTCCAAAGTCAAGGGTTTGATTTTCCAGGAGTCGCTTCGCCAATGTGAAAGCCGCGTGGCCTTTCTTGCGCATCGACGACCAAGCGTAATCGCTGATCAACGACCCACCTTTGCTCTTGTCTCATGAGAACCAGGCATAGCATTTTTCCAAGATCGGGACATAGTAACGCAGGACGAGTCCTTGGGCTACTTTTCAGTATTGCTCATCCACGATCGAAAGTATTAAGCAGTGTCACTCACTCTTGCGTGTATCGTGATAGGTGAGTGATTGAACCAGTTCGTCATTCTTGCCATGTTCTATTGATTTCGTGCTGTAGGAGTGGAACAGAAGGCATGTCACGCAGTCAAGGGCGTAGCAGTGCAGATAGAGCTGCAAGGTAGTATGAATATTAGTGTCCTCATGTTCATTACGCTTTGCCAACTCAAGTATACATCTGCGTTGCGAATGGCTGAGCAAGCTCTAGTGAAGGCTTCGGCACGGTCACGGAAGGGCTGCGAGAACGGGTGATTGTAGAATGGCAGTATTGGCGTACCGATCATTGAAGCGTCTTTTTATGTCGATATGCTGTAGGCCACATTTAGAGAAGATTCCACAGATACAACTTCAGGGCAGACGTACTTCTCTTTTATCTTCCGTAGTGAAGAGGTTGCTTCGTCTCTGGTGTCAGCGACGCATTCAGACGAGGCCATCACAGGTATAGTAGAGTTACGTTATTCCCTTCTGTCTAAAAAGCCTCATCACATCTGTCTTTGCGAAGCCTCCCCTATTGATATATATCTCTTTCAGCGCTTCGGAGGTGGCGAAGACAACCTCATTTGGCGCTAGGTGCACAATAGGCCCATGACTTTAATGCAAGTCGTGTATCCATAAGCATTTACTGCCATAGAACTCGTGGTATTTGACAAATATACTAGAGAGTTTAGTTTACCATGGCCCTGGAAGTTTGCTTCTTGGCGAAATTAGAAGTCGATTCACGATCCAGGCCGCGAAGATGCAGCACGATAGAAACATGCCGAGCCATGGGAACGAATGCTGCTGTCCCAACTCGACCGCTCTTTGCATTATGCTCATTTTGATCCCAATGTGTTGGCCTCATTCGAACGAGATGATGGTGGTTCTGCTAGCGTTGGCAATCTCTGGCTGATGTATGAGGAGATGCGTTTGTGGCGAAAGCAAATTCTGATCAAGATGTCTTTGCAATGTTTTGTCTGATATCACCTGAGCATGCAACTCATTCCCGGAGCCAGCGTATCGGAAGTGTGACCACTGCAAGACGAATATCAGAGATAACAGTCTGGGCAACCATCGGAATAGAGTTGTTCATATGCTGACTAGCCGCTGGCAAGCATGCGGTAGCTCGATGCAAGGTAGCGTACCTGTGGCGAAGGCCCCTTGGCACTGCGAGGAGGAGGATTTTACAATATCCAGCGCCTTCGTATTCACAACGCATTGTTGGTATCAGTTGAAAAACTCAATTAGGAACGTGGGTTTTGTCAGGTCAGACGTTTGCATTACTAATGGATCGTCTACATACAGGGAACATAGAAGTAGATCGCCAGCTACTTGGCCACTTGAGGCGACCGGTAGAGCAAAAGTTCGACCCACGGCTTTTTGGGGGAGCGTTGTGCAGACTTGCATGAAGCGAGTCTACGTCGCCATCGTCCGTAAGCCCTGCATACCAGTAGCAGAAGATATCGGCATGCTGGATATCAGTGTTACCGAGGACATATGGAGACGACGACCTTCCTTCGAGACGTCGATAAGACAAGGCTGTACTCGACGGCCAGTTGCATGCGATTGTCTCCGTGACTGACGACCTGGTACAAGTCGAGAGTTGGCTTGGGCCACTGATAATCGTCGAATTTGACCATGAAAAACTGACATATCGAAGAGCGAAGCTCGCTAGCACTACCATCAAATTCCCATCAGTCGCTTGCCCGCTCACACGGTCGAACTTCCAGCCTCTCCGAAGATCAGTGGAGAGCTTGAACTGCATGAGCTGAGACCAGAGGCCTCCAGATAAGCGAAGCAGAAGGCATGACAAACAGCGCCAAACGAGGGCCTCAACATCCGCGCACAAATCAACAGCAAGCAATGAGATATCCCTCGAGACCACTACTCAACAACGGAGTTAGGGATGGAAAGAACAACACAACAATGTTCCTTTCTCCAAGGAAAGAACAGGAACAAAGGGGTTCAGACCACCATGGCGTCCAAACCTGAAAAAGGACAAGACCTGCTTCATCCTCGAGAATACTAGTATGACCATTAAATGGCCTAGTATTATTAGATCGAAAGGATTTATGGCTCCACTCCATCACGCGACTCCGGTTGCGATAATAATGATGCAGTGCTAGTCCTCTATTTTGTTGACGCCAAATGCCTTGCTTATACACCTCGCAGCGAGGCGCGACGGCCACAAAAGGGAGGAATGGGCCGTCGAAAGGTCAGCGGAAGACTGGGCGAGATCCACCCACCCGAAAGGTGAATGGACCTGTCTGCACCACCGGTGAAGGGGCAGGGAAGGAGCACGATTCCCTCGGTCGATTTTCCTCGCGGGGTCGTCTTTCTTTGTACTCCTGGTGAAGGTCACAGATAATACTCTCCGAGAATTGGACTACCATATTATGGCGTTGCCCGAATCTTCCGAGTATTGATCGCTCCGCATCAGCGGACAACAAAGAAAGAGGATTGTCCCGCCACAAGCATGTCATCATACGACATGCACACTCACAATACCAATGCCACCCGTATATGCTCGTTGCACTTCATGGTTCTTAATCGAAATTTTATTCTCTTCCACAAATGTTGCGTGATTCTCCACTGTGCTAGTTGTGGCTGTAAGCGATAACAATCCAGCTCCAGCTCGAAATTTGAGTGGATCTCATGTCAGTTGCGTAATCCGGGAAATAGCTTGTAGCAGGAATTTCTTGACGAGTTCGCCAACAAATTCTTTGTTCGCCTTCGTAATCTACTCAAGATTTTAATGAGGTCAGTCCCTGTTCCACAGATCAGCCCGCTTGTCATCTCCAAATGGATTTGACGTGCCGTATGATTGCGGTCTTTGCGAGGCTAGTTTTGGTCCTTGAAATTCAGCCTCTGGAACTACCATGTCTTTTGGTGCTGGTGTGTATTTTGGAGCCGGTTCCATTGGAGGCACATGATGATTAGTGTGAACTGTTGACAGTGGAATATTGGTAAACCCGCTATATCGATCTTGATTCTCCGAACGAAATTGATCGGATGTTTGATAACGGGTTTCTGTGGTGACAGAGGAGGTAAATTCACCGCCATCACCACGGACCTTGTCACGTCCGTACCACAGTGTCAAGGCACGAATGACTCCAGTGAAGACAATGAAAACCCACAAGAGAAGAATGCCAGTCGAAATAAGAGCTTCAGTTCGAATCCCATCCTCAATAGTATCGATGAATCGAGCGACGGCACTAGAGATTCTATCACTAGTAGCATCGCCCGAAAGAGAAAGAAACGAATCATCTGGGTCGCTTGACGATGAAAGGCTCTGGACGGCACCAAGACTGAATGTGTCATTCTCAAGAAGAGGGAATTCAACATGTGCGTGATCCGATACCCAAGTAAGACCTTTTTGTATTCCAGCGATCTTCATCAACGCTAGGCAATTGAGGACATCCATGATCGGGTCATAGAGAGGCGTACCGCCGAAGGTATCGTTCAAGATTTCGGTTGTTTTGTCGACAAACATGTTCAAAGTATCGTTGATTGCAGTTGTCGTTGTGTTGACCCAGCCAAGCATGTCTGTATTGATATCTTGCCCTGTTGACGTAATGACCGCGTTAGTACCCACTGCCCATTGTTCTGATGCATTATTGAGTTGAGCCACGACTTTGTCACTGAAAGCACCAACTTGATCACTGAGGGCAGGGACTTGCTTTGCCAAAGCCGAAAGTAGAATGGCTTGACAGAGACAGGCAAAAAGGCCAGCAAGTGCGATTGCTAGAACGAACAATGCAGCCTCACTCGTGGCATACGCAATGACCCATCTGATCAGGTTTTTCTTTCGCTGCGATTCGTAGCCTCGTGACAGCTTCAAACCTGCGGAAGAAGAGTATGGCCTGCTGACAAGATAGACAATGTCCATGGGATCACGGGCGTTGGCATTGACAAGGAGACTGCGTTCTTGGGCTCTGCGATATCGTTTGATTTCTCGCCAGGCCATTGGAATCATGACCAGGACGGCGAGGACAACCAGAACACCAATAAAAACACGACGGGCAAGGTGAGCGAGACCTGTTAGCTTGTTGAAGAAGTCATTGATACCATCATCTTCGCCACAGAAACTGAGTTGTTCTTTCTGTGGGACAGGGAATACTGAACGATTGAAGGTGTAATTGCCCATGGATTCAGCCATGAGCTTCTTGACTTCTTCAAATGGGAGCCGGATAATGGATTCCGTGAAATTTTTGACTTCGTCAAAGGTGGGGATTGACTTATTGAGCTTCTGAAGTTCGGCATCGAGGTTTGGTGGGAGCTGGAGTTTTCTCACGGCATCTTCCTGCTTGCTAAGGTCGAGTGTTGGGGGAGTAGGAATTTGACCGCCAATTGAGAAGAATGAAGATAGACTCTTCACCAAAGAGTTATATTTGTCCTCGAAATCTCCGACTACACTGCCTAAGTCATCGCCAAGGGTCTTGGTCAATGTGTTCAGGCCTTTTTGCGCAGAATCAAGAACTCCAATGACGGATTGTAGACTTCCAGTCACTGCGAGTGTGATGAGGCAAAGGTAGGTATTGGTCATCATACCGATGACAAAGACTGCTATCTCTTCGACTGCTGTCACACTCAACGTCGACATTTCCATGAGGCCGTTGACTGATTTCTCGACACCTTTGGCGGCCAGCTCATTGACACCTTGAGACATGTAATGAGGCATGGAGGCCATGGTAGAACCCATCGATTCAACTTCGGAACATGCTGAAAGTGCTTCGCGCCGTGCTGAAGCTAAATTGTTGTCGATGCCAGCGATAGCAATAAGGGTGCGAATAAGAACAAGTAGGAGGAGAATGGTCCATCGATTGAACCAGATCTGTGATAGTCGAGCCCGGAGGCCAAGGTAGGGTGTGATGGATGGTGCATTGTGTGGTAAAGACCGAGGTGGGTCTTGGTTGGAGTAGTAGTCTCGTATCTCATATTGATTGCCAGCAGGCATGGATGGAGGACGGCCAGCCGCAAAGGCTGACGGGGCAGACATGTCGTCGAGATTGAAAACGAATTATCTGGGTTGGTAAAGATAGTCAGTTGCTGGACGTTTTGATTTGAACGAGATTGATCTCGGAGACGAGAATTAGATAGGCAGTGTATCTTGTTGGTGCGAAGATGGAAATATTGGAATTTCGAGGTGTGGATGTGAGGGACACAGTCAACAGTGGAGTTAGGTGATAGAGCAAGTCATCAAGACTCGACAAAGAATGATTATCGATAGATCAAACAAAGGAAACTCGTGATAGGTGAAAATGGCAAACAATAGGAAAGGGTGACAGTAGGGTGATGGCAGAAGAGTGTCTGAATGAAGCGACAAAGGGGACAATAAGACCTGAATGAAAGTGACATTCTGCCATACATACCGCTTCCATTGTCAAACCCGACCTCACATCCGCGAGGCTCCAGCAACATGATGCACTGAGCTCTTTCTGAGATTGAAGAAATATTACCATGTTTCAGAAGAGAAGTGCGTGTTGTGGTGCATTGAAAATCGGCTGGTGGTGGTGTTTCCAAACAAAACTGGCGCGTAGGTTGGAAATAGCGCCGACCAGGCTGAAGAAGCGCCTACCAACCATCTCACTCATCAATTTTCCACGTCAGACACGCGCTCTCACGTGAAGAGATGAAATTGAAACGGATTGAGTCAGTAGAGGCGGATGGTAGATGCATTCTTCAGATCGCCACATCATCTTCCTCCCTGCCCCGAGGTCCAACGAACAATGACCAGCGCGTAGATGGCATGACGTAAACCAAGCCTTGGACCTCCCTCGATCTAATGGATCTGAAGGAGCGTTGCAGTCATTGCGACCTTGAGGCAGGACGGGAAGGAGACACAGGTGCAGCGACACGATATTCAACAATGTGCCTGGAGCAAGAAAAAAGATGGGGAATCCTGCATGGATCGGCTCTTATAGTAAGTAGTAATTATCCTAGTGGGAGGCGGGTGGTAGAAACATCATTATGGTGAGCTACTAGCTTGTGGCGTTGCAAGATTCCCTGATTTTGAGAAGAACTAAGCTATTTTCAGATTAGTTCTGACTTTAGACCGGGCACGTGTTTCGACAAGGCTGCCATGGGGACGCCACCACGAGGCTGAAGCACGCCTTGAGTCCTCAACCTTGAAATAAAATACACGCTACATGCTTCGGTTACGCTCTCTGCTCTAGGATGGAAGTTAAGCTTCGAGTCCATCTCGCTCCACCAGGCTACTCTCTAGCCTCAGGTAACAATGGCAGAGAACTTTAGCTTTTTCACTTCATCTGATCAGTTGTCTCAAACCTGCTCGCAATCTGTTTCCGGGTAAAGATGTAGCCTCGGCAGGATCTTGTGTGCAGTTGTCTTGGAAATACGAGGCAGTGTCATTCATCACCAGAGCATCGTACATCGGTCATCGGTCACCGGTCATCGCATGCAAGTGTCAGATCACGCCAAAGATTCTTGGAGCATTGCTTGTTTTCACCGCGAGCGCGCACAATCGGCATGAGAAAATCCAGGCGCGCTTGAATGGTCACGCAATGCACGAATCGAGGGTCGCTCATCGGTTTGGGGCAAGTGGTGTTACTCGCAGCTCAATGTGCGTAATGCGAGTCATATCGTCGAGGTGAAGCGCGGTCATCCCAGGGAGACATACAAGCCACAATCACGAGCCAAGACACGGTCAACACCACACGGGCGCTTATCGTTGCTCACCTTGACCTTGACCACCTTGCTGTTGAGCTGCCATAGCTGCATACCACATGGACAGATAATTCTGATATCCGCCATATGCTGCATATGGATCTGCTGCACCAGCTGGCGGTGGTGGCCCACCAAGTTGAACGGCGGGAGCTGCGGCAGGAGGGTATCCGGGAGGAGGCTGTTGCTGTTGCTGCTGCTGCTGTTGTCCTGCGTAATGGTCGGTATAGTCATCGCGGGTTTCTCGAGCCTGTGATCGAGCACGCTGCACAGAATTAGATCCTGCTCTCCAAGGGGTTCGAATCGATGACTCACAACTGTGTCGACCTTTTCCATGATGGCACGTTTTGCCGCATCGATAGCATGGCGTGTACCTATCAAACCAATCTCACGTTCGATGTCACGTCCTGTGGCCGTAGACACATTGATCTTGCATCCTGTCTGATTTTGCATTTCGCGAATCGACTCACCCCCTGGGCATGTGTTAGCAGTAGATCCCGAAAATAAGATAGACCTCACGTACCTTTCCCGATTATCATGCCAACGGCCTCACCGGGGACAACAATAGCATCGTTAATCTTGCCATGTATATCTTCACGGTCACGATGAAGGTCTTTGACACTGATCCCCTTTTGATCACTTTCAACAATTTCAAGAATGAGATCCCGAGCATATTGCTGAGCAGAAGGGCTGCCAATCAGATTGACTGGCCGCATGCCGTTGATACTCTTGTTTTCACCCACGATGTTGACATGACATCCACTTCGATCTTGCAAATCTCGAATTGTCTCCCCACCCCTTCCAATGATCAAGCCCACTGTACGGTCGGGTACAAGCAACTGTAGACTATCACCTTCCTTGGTCGGAAGAACCACAGCTTTGTTGCTTTGGTTCCGTGATTTGTCCCCGCCTCTTTTTGCCGCCTCGTTGTCCTCGATGATTTTGAAAATCTCAGTCTTGGCCGCTGCTCTTGATGATCGCCCACCGGAGATCCGGCAATGTCTTTGCGTGCCAGCCACTTCAGGGCCATCCATGAATTGTACACGAGCTCCTGTGGTACTCTCGACTCTTCTTAGGTTCTCCCCAGAGCGTCCAATTATCAAACCCACGAGGCTTTTATCTAATGGAATGATCTCAGATTCGCCTTCAGCACCAGTAGAGGCACCGGCACCGGCACCGCGATCCTGCCCAGGTGACCTATCATCTCGATATCTAGGGGAATACAGTCCGCCTCGAGGTGAAAATGAGCGTTCTCTGGTGAAACCTCTCTCATTACCACGTCTCTCATCACGGTAAGGATTGTAGTTGTCACGATAGCCTTCTCTGCTCATTCGTGGAGGTGAACGGGAAGGTGATCGCGAGCGTCTATAACCTCTGTTGGCTGAGCGAGAGTCTATGTTGATCGGGGCTGTCAGATAGGGTTAGTTACGGATCACTTTGGGGGACAAGAAAAGACTTTACGTCTGCTTGGATCATATGAAAGACCCTTTTCCGCAGCAATGCCTCGGGCTTTGGCAATGGCATCAGCAATGCTGACAGAGCCCGAACTGACGGGTTTTATGCTCGCAAGGTCAACACTGCCGGAGTTGATAGGCTGAGGAAGTCCGTACGGCGGCGCGCTACCAGGAGGAGCAGCGTACTGAGGTGGAGGGTAAGGAGCGCCTGGAAGAGGCGGAGGAGGTGCTTGTGAGGGTGCGCCACCTTGTCTCTGTGCAGCGAGAGCAGCTAAGATATTACTTAGATCCGCCATGGTGCTGAACCAAGAATGATCTGCAGACTTGGGAAGATGGGCTCAGGCAAAATTGAAGAAAGAATAGGTGAGAGACAAGTAGCAATTGTAGAAAGATGAAGGTTGGATAGAACGAGGGTATGCCAGTCTCCAACCATTCAAACTCGCTGCATTGTACAACCTTGAAGGAGAAAGGAAGATTTGTGCAATTAGTGGGGCTCAGAAATCCCGACGTGAGAATACGCAGCAGTCGTCGGAGGAATCAGTGAGAGGACCAAGAATGGAAGAAGCACCAGTTCCCTGCCAAGCTCTAGCGTTTCCAGTTTCGAGACTCACCACGTGATTTCGCATTGGACGCTAGACTATTTAGGTCAGTCGCGAACGGCGTTTGGCTGTTGAGATCTGATGACCATCCATTATTGATAGCCCATCAACTTCTTTCTTCCGTTCGTTCAAGATTGCAATTCACCAAACAAATCCGAGTTACTGGAAGCTTTACAGGTATAGTAGCTCGTGCTAGCACATTCGAGATCATACCGATCCGTCAAAAATCCCATCACAACGGGCTTTAATTTGCTAATTGACAAATCAATCAATGCTTGACATGCTCTGCCCCTGGGATCAGCGTCCTTTCCAAGGTTAAGCCATTTAGGTCGTCAAAGCGTCTAAATGCCGTAGAAAAACAGGCTGAACATCCAGCATCTCCTAGCTCATGCTGAAAACCGAAGCACCCGCTGACCCAAATAACGAACAACTGATAGGAATGGGACTCGCCAGATTGGGGGTAGAACTTTGGATTGAGCGACCGACGGCTTCGAGCAGGCGTAATATATATGATGAAATGACACTTGAGCTTTCGAGAGTAAGAATTCCAGAATCGTTAAGGTCCAGCACCTGTTCATCATGCTTCAGGAGCCGCTGAAGATAGTATCGATCTGGATGAAAATGCAATGACTTCAGAGGGGCGTCAGCCTTGCGAAAAGACACACGGTCACTTCCAGGATGCGGACCCCGATATGGCATGAAGCGGACGCTGAGCACCATCTTTCTCGATAATGTCGTGAATGAGACTCTGCAGTGACAGCCAAGTTTGCTTCCTCTTATCGAGGCAGCTCGATTCGCTCTTCATCCGCATCCATTTAGCAACCGATCTTGACAAACCTAGCACAATACAGTGTTTATGCTTCCTGCTAACAACAGATCTCGGCATACTCAATCACCACCCAGATGTCAAAGGGTTCGTCTGCAAGCAACAAGATGGCACAAGGGTAAGTTTTCTCCAGCTTAACTTCTGATTCTTGCCGAGTCGTTGTCGTTGTGTAGGAGGAGAACCATCGCTTTCGTAGCTCACAAGTCCCTTTCCTTAAACAACTACACAGTCGTACAGCTCTCGTCGGAAGCAAAGAAGTTTGTCCTATTTGGCTGGGAGGACGGCGAGCTCAGGGCTGACATTCTTGTTGATTGCGCTCCTTTAACGCTCGAAAATGCCGATGAAGTCCTCTGTTTATTCTGCCAGAAGATCTGGCTACATGGCCTGGGGGCAAGTCATGGTGCCCTCACAAACGGCGGTATTGTCGCTCAAAGCTTCTTTTAATCTTCCGACAACGCTGGGTCCTTCAACCGAGACAAGTTGTCTTTTGGCATTCAAGGGTTGCAAGAGTTAGACTGGCCCAAACAAAACGTGGCAATGCTGGGTGACACTCAGATCAATCAATCTTCTCCCCAAAAATCCCGTCTTTGCTTTGGTCCTGAGAAACGATGGATGTTGGACGTTGACACGGGTATGCTGGAGCCGCACGGAATTGTCAAATTCAAGATCCACGATGTAGACATCAAACAACCACAGTAAAAGAAAGCTCACCAATTGGTTGTGAATGTCAGACATATCCTGTTTATCAGGGCATTCGCTGACGACTCAAAAACACAATTGAAAAACTGGGTATGCATAAATGATGTCTCTGAGTAGTTCCGCACTGACCAAACACAGGCAGTCTTTGGCCAGGCTATCCGCCTGGGGCTGATTATCTTCGAGGAGGCGTCAGCCTATATGAAGAATCCTGCAAATCGCACTGAACAGATCCATCTTGTTGAACCTATTCAGAAGCAAAACTTTCTTGAAAGTTCAGTGCCATTGGAGGCAGGTCCAGCAAAGGAGGGTTCCATTTCAGTCGCCCTCGACAACGCAATGGATCACATTCACGCGGCAGCCTCGACAGCAGATAAAACACAGCTGTCCTCATTGCAAACTCCATCTCCGTCTTCGCTTCCCTCACCATGTTCGGCACCGATGGCTGTCCAATCGTCCCCACCAAACGACTTACCCCTGAATACAAAGGTTGTTAGCGACAAGGCCGAGGCGACGGCCAAGGCCAAGAGAAGGAGACAGCAACAGAAGAAGAGAGAGAGAGAGAGACCTGCCACACAAACTCAGAATCCACTACTGTGGACCAGCTACAATCTCAATTGTCTGGCCTCAAGCTCGCTACAAATACCACATCCAATGTAGATGTGGCTCCAAGTTCACCACTTCTGCATAAGCAGGGTCCTGGAGAATTGGGCGACATGGCCTCTAATCCCCATGAAGTCACGGCACCATCAGAGGCGGATGTTCCAGACAGTCACTCGGGTGCAGGTGTAAGTGAATGTGGCTCACAGATCTCTGACAACTCTGATCGAACCATCACCCAGACAAACTGCAACGCAGGTGTCGGTAGAGGAAGTCTTCCAGCCCCTCAACAGAGCAGACCTGCAGCAAATGTTGTCAACATGGCCAATGTTGTTGAAACTAGACCCGTTGGCAATCAATCAGGTCCACTTCCGGAATCTTCTTCTTCGCTTTCTCTGCCGTTCAAGTTCGATAATTATTACCCACGCCTCAAATGCCCGAAGGAGGACTGCGGCAGAATGACCAATTGTTGGGGTGAGTTCAACGTCCAACCTCTTTCCCAAACGAAACTACCCGTCTCCAGGGTGTTGACTGACTTGAGTACTTACAGATTCGGTTGTGGTGAGCTGTCCTGCCTGCGGCCCTTTCAGCTTCACCCGCTATTGTCGCAAGGAACATCAGTACGAAGATATCTTGCGTCACTGGCTGTATGATTGCGGCAATCATCGGGTCAATGGACTTGTCGACGAAAGCACCATCCGCCCCAGCCAGCTTCCAAGAACCTCGTACATCACTGGCCACTTCTCTAACCACATTGAGCGCCACAGACAAGCAGTGTATCGTGCAATGGAGCCTGTGGATTACTTCATTTTTGACGATGACCATCATCTTAGCAGCGACACACCGACAAGAGAAGAATGGAATCTTGTACGTGGTACTGGAAGAGTGTTGAAGACAATTTCATTCCTGAACGATGGGACATTGCTCTGCCCACACGCATTCTTCAACCACCATGTGATACAATGTCTCAAGTTCGGTGGTCCACTCGCACGGAACAACTGCAATATGGCTTTCCATATGATCAGAGATTTCTTGGTTATCGAGGGTACTTGGAGCGAGTCTCTTCTGGCGACTTTGTGCATGCAAGTCGCATTTGAGTGGGGTTACAAAGTACCAGATCACTTTTACAACGTCGATCGAGTCAACGCCGCCTACCGCCAGTATGGTGTACGTCCCATGCCTCTTGCTTTGGAACATGTTTGACCACTCATCAAAGTCTACACTCACGACGAACAACAATTCAACAACGATGTATGATGTTACGAAGATCAAACCACGAAGGATTACGAAGTGTTGCTAGGATGAAGAGCATCTGCAACCACGAATGAACTGAGGTGGAAATCACGACAAAAGCTGGGTTGGAAAACTCTGGATGAGCACATTGACGGCGACCGTGATACCCCTGGTATTCTTGGTGTTGGCTGGCTTTGATCACGGCGAAGTGATTGGCGTTATTCAGATACAGGAACTTGCGGATTCCTAGCGGCGAATGATATTTTGGTGGTTGAACATCTTTGTCGCTGATCTCCACCATCCGAAGTCATGTGACCAAGCGTCTCGGTGGTTTCCGAAAGCACGTGATGAAAAAGTCGCTCCCAGCACAGATGATCGTACTCGTACAACGTTCCACTCCAGCTTCAACTTGCGATGGAGATACGCGGGGCTTGGCGTCGTATGTCTGCCACTCGTCTGTGATGCTTTAAGCCCACCCTCCATCGGTAAAGTCTGAGCGATCTATAAAACGCTTCGTCTGATTCGTGGTATATTCCCACCTTTACAGGTGCCCTATCAATGCTGTCAAATGGATTACTTCTCTTCTGACGAGGGCTTCAGGTAATCGCCGATAAGATCTTGCACTGCTCTGCTTTGTTTTTCAACCTGTCTCTTATCCTGTACGATCTGTGATTTTGTTGTTGGATCCAGTGATAGTTCATGGCCAAAAGTGGCGCACTTACGATATAGATTCCTCCTCCCTCCTTTGCCTTGCCTCCGCCAGTTTCGTCTTTGACACTTGAAACTGTACTCCATTTTCCAGTTTGCCAACATGGCACCGTCCATGCTCGAGCCAACTACCGCCAATAATGACGGGGCCTTGTCATTGCACTCTCTCACTGCAGAATACGATGATACACTTCGCTTCTACCTCAATGGGACAAAGGTCCAATTGGACGCCGTCGATCCTGAGATTACACTGCTAGAATATCTGAGAGGCATAGGTTTGACTGGCACAAAATTAGGATGCGCAGAAGGTGGATGCGGGGCTTGCACAGTCGTTGTATCGCAGTTGAATCCTACAACTGGCAAGATATACCATGCCTCAATAAATGCCTGTCTGGCTCCTCTGGTCAGTGTCGATGGAAAGCATGTGATAACTGTCGAGGGCATTGGCAATGCTAAAAGCCCGCATCCTGCACAACAACGCATCGCTATGGCCAGTGGAAGCCAATGTGGATTCTGTACACCTGGGATTGTCATGAGCCTCTACGCTCTGTTGAGGAATACTGGGCCTGACGCGAGCGAGACCGAGGTGGAAGAAGCCTTCGATGGCAACTTATGTCGTTGCACTGGTTACAGACCTATCTTGGATGCAGCTCAAAGCTTCAACAAATCGTGTGGCAAATCACTTGCTAATGGCGGATCGGGTTGCTGTATGGAGAATGGTGGTGGATGTAATGGAGCAAATGGCGTTGCGGATACTACTGCAGAGAAGAAATTCACACCTCCAGCATTTATTCACTACGACAAGTCCACGGAGTTGATTCATCCTCCTGCTCTAAACAAGCATCAATTCAGACCTCTGGCTTTCGGAAATAAGAGAAAGAAATGGTATCGTCCGGTCACTCTTCAGCAACTCTTGGAGATCAAGCATGCTCATCCAGGTGCGAAATTGATCGGCGGTAGCACTGAAACCCAGATCGAGGTCAAGTTCAAGGCAATGCAATATCCTGCCTCGGTATACGTTGGTGATATTGCGGAGTTGCGTAAATATTCTTTGCATGATGACTATCTGGAGATCGGCGGCAATGTGGCGCTGACTGACCTCGAAAACATCTGTGATGAAGCTGTTGAGCACTATGGCCCAGCGCAATCTCAGCCATTCGTTGCTATCAAAAAGGCGATCAGATATTTCGCTGGTCGACAAATTCGTAATGTTGGCACTCCAGCTGGCAATCTCGCAACGGCATCCCCGATCTCTGATCTCAATCCGGTATTTGTTGCTACAAACTCGACCCTGATAACCAAATCGCTGAAAAAAACGACTGAAATTCCTATGTCAGGCTTCTTCAAGCGCTATCGGGTCACAGCATTGCCCGAAGATGCCATCATCGCCGCAATGAGAATACCAATCGCCAGCGAAAAAGGTGAATACGTGAGAAGTTACAAGCAGTCAAAGAGGAAAGATGACGACATAGCCATCGTTAACGCCTGCCTGAGAGTTGCTCTCAACGATTCTTACAAAGTAAAAGACGCAAATCTAGTTTACGGTGGCATGGCTCCTACCACCATCCAGGCAAAGAATGCCACCGAATACATTGTTGGAAAGACATTTACCGACCCCCAGACGCTTGAGGGAGTTATGAATGCTCTGGAGAAGGATTTCGATTTACCATTTGGCGTACCTGGTGGCATGGCAACGTACAGAAAATCCCTTGCTATCGGATTTTTCTACCGCTTCTACCAGGATGTTCTGCTGAGTATCGAAAAAACCAGTCAAGCCGCTGACAAAGGAGTCATCGAGGAGATTGAGAGGCAGATTTCTAGTGGAAACAAGGATCTCGAGAGCTCTGTTGCCTATTCCCAGAATATCCTAGGAAAAGCAAACCCTCATGTTGCAGCCTTGAAGCAATGTACAGGTGAAGCTCAGTACACGGATGATATCCCTCTCCAAAAGAATGAACTTTACGGATGTCTAGTTCTATCCTCAAAGGCTCATGCAAAGCTGCTCAGTGTTGATGCCAGTCCTGCACTAGAGCTGCCGGGTGTAGTCAATTGGGTTGATAGGAATGACGTTAGCAAGGAAGGCAATTGGTGGGGTGCTCCTGTCTGTGATGAAGTCTTCTTTGCCGAAGATGAAGTTTTCACAGCTGGTCAACCTATCGGAATGGTCTTAGCCAGCACAGCCACCCAAGCTGAAGCTGGGGCACGAGCGGTTCTCGTCGAGTATCAAGAACTACCTGCAATTTACACAATCGAGGAAGCTATCGAGAAGCAAAGCTTTTTCGAGCATTATCGGTACATCCGAAAAGGAGATGTAGAAGAGGCGTTCAAGGACTGTGACCACGTGATCGAAGGCACGACACGAATGGGTGGCCAAGAGCACTTCTATCTTGAGACCAATGCTGCGTTAGCGATCCCCAAGCCTGAAGATGGCGAGATGGAAATCTGGAGCAGTACTCAAAATCCCACAGAGACGCAGGCATATGTGGCGAAAGCACTCGGTGTGCAATCCAACAAGATCGTGTCCAAAGTCAAACGACTCGGTGGTGGGTTTGGTGGCAAGGAGACGAGATCGATCCAGCTATCAACAATCTGCGCAATCGCGGCCAACAAAGTTCGTCGTCCAGTTCGATGCATGCTGAACCGAGATGAAGACATCATGACATCCGGCCAACGCCATCCTTTCCTAGGTATCTGGAAAGTTGGCGTCAACAAAGACGGCAAACTCAAGGCTCTCAAGGCCAACCTCTTCAACAATGCTGGTTGGTCGCAGGATCTCTCTGCAGCAGTCGTTGACCGTGCTCTATCCCACATTGACGGATGCTACAATATCCCCAATGTGGACGTCGATGGCCGGTTGTGTAAGACCAACACTGTTTCCAACAGTGCGTTCCGTGGCTTTGGTGGGCCACAAGGCATGTTCATTGGCGAATCCATCGTGGAAGAGGTTGCGGACCATATCAACATCCCCGTGGAGAAACTTCGTGAAATCAATTTCTACAAGGCTGGCGAGGAAACCCACTTCCATCAAGCCCTGGAAGACTGGTACGTCCCCTTGATGTACAAACAGGTGCAAGAATCTTCCGACTACGCCGCTCGCCGGAAGGCAGTCGATGAATTCAACGCGACGCACAAATGGCAGAAGAAAGGGCTGTCAATCATCCCGACCAAGTTCGGTATCTCCTTCACAGCCCTCTTCCTCAACCAAGCCGGTGCCCTTGTGCATGTCTATCACGACGGCTCTATATTAGTCGCACACGGCGGAACCGAAATGGGACAAGGGCTACACACCAAGATCTGCATGATTGTGGCGGAAGCGCTCCAAGTGCCTCTATCCGACGTGCACATCTCGGAGACAGCAACCAACACCGTGGCCAACACTTCCTCCACCGCGGCATCAGCCTCGTCCGACCTCAACGGCTACGCAGCGTTCAATGCATGCAAGCAGATTAACGAACGCCTGGCCCCTTACCGAGAGAAACTCGGACCGAAGGCCACGATGAAACAGCTAGCACACGCAGCATACTTCGACCGAGTCAATCTCTCCGCCAACGGATTCTACCGCACCCCAGAGATCGGCTATGTCTGGGGACCCAACCCATCGGATCCATCGCAGGAGAACACCGGCAAGATGTTCTTCTACTTCACGCAGGGTGTGACAGCCAGCGAAGTGCTGATCGACACGCTGACGGGCGACTGGACGTGCCTGCGCAGCGACATCAAGATGGACGTCGGCCACTCCATCAACCCGGCCATCGACTACGGCCAGATCGAGGGTGCCTATGTGCAGGGCCAAGGCCTCTTCACAACGGAGGAATCCCTCTGGCACCGTGCATCCGGCCAGATCTTCACACGGGGCCCCGGCGCGTACAAGATCCCCGGGTTCCGCGACATCCCACAGGTGATGAACGTGAGTCTGCTGAAAGACGTTGAGTGGAAGAACCTGCGTACCATTCAGCGCTCGCGCGGCGTCGGCGAGCCGCCGCTTTTCATGGGCAGCGCCGTTTTCTTCGCCATCAGGGATGCTTTGAAGGCCGCGAGGAAGCAGTACGGTGAGACACAGGTCCTCAGCCTCAGGTCCCCTGCTACGCCCGAGCGCATCAGGATCAGTTGTGCCGATCCCATCCTCAAGAGGTCGCTGGTAGAGCCGAAGGACGGCGAGAAGAGTTTCTTCATCAGTATCTGAGAAGGGGTGTGCATGCACGAGTGATGGTTATAGGGGATTGTTGTATGTATCATGACGTGGAGACTTATTTATCCATGAATTTACCCATGAATTTGAGGCCTTGTTTGGTACTGGGAATAACGAAAACCAGGAATTGACGAGAATGGGTCCCAGATTGCGACCTGGATATTTTCCGTCTCGGTAGGAAACGGCGTACATCTTAGTTTAAACAACGTTCAGTGATATCTTAACAAAAAAACTGTGTATCATGTATGCTTGAGTCCATGAGGTCCAAGAGAGCTTCCTGTCTATCAATGTGAATGAATTGCCGGAATTTGAGTGTCATCGTTTGATGGCAACTCGATCGCTCTGCTACTCCGAGAAACTACAGGAGCAGGTCGTGAGAGGAAGTGCCGCGGCGTTCGACTACCTAGATCCCCCATCTACATGTCGACTACAGATGATTATGGGTAAGTTGTAGATATCAAGGCCCATCAGTAGGTCTCGAAAGGAACGTCGATCACGATCCGCACACTTGTCTTCGGCTTCTCAACGCCGACGATGGGGGAAGGGGCATTTCCTTGCTGTGCTTGGTTTGCACTCGGCGTGTCGCTGTCATCCGGAAAAAATGTGTCCGCGCGAGAAGTAGACTCGACGACAACGGGCGAGGCAGCGAATGCGACAGCTCGCCTGATGGCAAGATTCCCATCCTTCTTCCGTTTCTTCGTGGCGTGTCCGTCCTCAAGCCCAGAAATCAAATCGTTCTCCTCGCGAAGCCCACTGACATTAACTCCGTTGCCATCATCATCATCATCATCATCATCATCATCATCATCATCATCATCATCATTTCGCGTTTCGAACAGCAGGACCGGAAAATCCAGCCTCCCGCCCTTCAGCCCGAACTTATCGTCATCCTTGATCTTGAGAAAGCCTTCTTCTCGAATGATCCCGTTCATGGTGAGATCATCGAGCAGACTCTTCTCCGCTTTCAGCAGCTCGGCATTACTCATCTGACGACGCCGACGCAAGATCTTCTCCTCCAGCGTACCCCGTAGGACCAGCGTCTCGACATACACGGGCCTCTTCTGTCCGATCCGATGCGCCCGCTTGATCGCCTGGGACTCGATGCTTGGCTGCCAGATCGGCGAGACGATGAACACGCGGCTCGCGCACGCCACGTGCAGGCCGTGTGACGCCTGTTTGAGGTCCATCAGGAGCACGCGGAACACGTCCGAGTGGTTGAATGTCGCGAGGTAGGCCGCGCGTTTGCTCACCGAGAGCGTGTTTGCGTAGATCAAGAACTTCACGGACAGGAGTTCGAGCGCTTCGGCAATCCAGAAGGCGATGTTGTTGGAGTCGTAGAAGATGATGATCTTCTCGGAGCTTTGGTGTTTGAGGATTTGCGAGCATAAGTAGTTTAGTTTGGCGGAGGTGAAGCCTAGGATTCGAGTTTTGAGGAGCGCGGAGGGGAGCACTATGCTGGTGGATGGGAGATGTCGCTTTTGGATAGGAGATATTGGTGTGGTATTGGCTGTGCTAGGCGCTAGTCGAGTAGGGGAAGTTAACTGCACTGACGATGAAGATGAAGCCGATTGATGCTTGATCTTCGGTTGCTCTCCGGAACCAAGGGGTTGAGACTTTCCATTGGCAGCAGCGGCAGTCTTATCACGGGCTTTCTGTTCCGCCGAAGCTCGTTCTTTCGCTGAAAGCATAGCTCGAAGTCCCGCACCGGTCAATCCGGCGGCAGGATCATCTGACTGAATATGTCTCAGAATATGCTGCTGTGCTTCCCGCGCTTGAAAGGTGCCCAAAAGCAACGGCTTTGATGCTTCGCCATGCAATGCCCACGCCTCTGCGGCATGTTCGGGGAAGTCTTCAACGTATACACCAATTTCATACAGCGAAGAAAACGCCTTCCATCCAGGGTCGGCTAGAGCACGCTCAGCATTCATGATAGCCTCTGTAAGCAGGGCGCCATCCATATCCGATATAGATTCAAGCTTGTTGTCAAGATACGTGTTGCTCACGTGAAGGGTTTGCGATACGTCGTGTTGCGTAAATCCGACCCAGTGAAAACTTGAATGGCGAAGGTTGGTGATCAGTTCGTCTAACGACTTTCGGTTCTTTGGGTGAAACATGTAATCTTCGTCAGCTCGTTCCGAAGTGATGGCATTTGATGTCAACACAAGCCTGAATAGATTCATGCTGATCTTGTCGTAGTAGCTGGGCTCGAGATAGACTGTGTTGTTGTACAAAGGTGGTAGAGAAAGATCCACGTCAATATCCTCGATACGGTGTCTTATGATGAGTGATTGCAAAATTGTCCTTAGGCCCGGAGCAAAGCGTCGATTTCCCGAAGCATCGAATGGTGCTAAGTATTTTCGCCAATCTGCAGAGTCAAGGCCTTTTTGGTTCGCCCATGGTTGCAGTTTGAGGAATTTAACTACCATGACACGCAATTTCTCCATGTCCTTGATTTCTTCATTGCTGGAATCCTTAAGCTTTCTCCGCTCCAGAGCAATACGAATTGAGTCTTTCCGGCAAAGCTCTTCACCTTGTGATGTCTCATTAATAGCAAGGTTTACTTCAACTCCGTGGAGAGAGTTTGATGGTGTTCCAGATACTACCCAGCGGCGCTCGATGGACATTTTGTCCAGCATGGCCATTGCGTTGGTGCGATAATTTGCGCCGGCGAAGCCATGACCTTCATCGCAGATGACTCTCAACCAGCGGATTTCAGTCAATGAAGATCGAAATTTGCTCTCACCTCTTCCTCTTCTACCTTGGTTGAGGTCATCATCACGATACTCTTGTTCAAAGCGGGCCTTGGTAATCAAGACGATGTCATACTTCATCAGAACCTGGTAGGCCGGGATGACTTTGGTAGATGAATCCAGAACAAGTACGTCAAGGGCGTTCTCGCGGGTGTGCTTCTCGATCTCTTGCTGCCACTGCATAAGCAAATTAGGAGGTACGATAACCAGGGTGGTGTAGCAAAGGTGCAAGGTCGAAAAGCTTTCTCGATTACTGGCTCGTCTATCAGGTGTCGTAGGATGGAAAATCGGTTCAGCGAACTTTGCGTCATATCTGTCGATAGCTTCTTTGATCTTATCAAAATAGTATCCCTTCTGCTCAAGACAGAATAATTGAGCTTTCCAGGGAGTAGCTGACTGCTTAAGGGCTTTGGCAGCAAGTTCAAGCAGGCTGGGTGTTCGTGGGTTGGGCTCTTTGGCGATGATATTGAGTCGTCCTTCAGGGGCTTTGGAATAGTGGCCTCGAGTGGCAAGGACCAATGCAAGACATATCAGGGTTTTACCGTAGCCCATAGTCTCTGCAAGAATGCCTCCTCGAGGTTCGCTGTACAACACCGGATGACTCCGAAGAACGCCCTCGAGTACATCAAAGTAGAAATGTCTGCCGCGGAGATCTGTAAATTGTGGCTTTCGGGGATCCACGGTGTTAGCTGGACTCGCTTCTCTCTGAAGCATAGTTGCCACGGATCGTTTTTGATAAGGATATAGCTGGGTCACGAGGCCCTCGACATCATCATAAATAATATCCACCATTGCCTGTTCAGAGTAGATATCTTCTGACAATTTGTCAAGTGAGGGCTGGGGCGATGACAAAGTGTTGAAGATGTAGAAGAGAGATTCCTCATGGTCATAATGTGCGGTGTGGTAGGTTTGCAACGAAGACTCGGGATCGAAGTGACCATCCCAAGTCGCAGGCGACAGGTCGATGTAGTCGACCAAAGATTTGACGACTTTCCTAAAATCCTTCAAAGAGCCTCTGGAACTTCTGTTGATGTCCTCGGGCAAGATGTAGAGTCTCAAGATAGCCTTGTTAATTGCTACCTCACGGAACTCGGTCTTGAGCCATTGGTGTTTCTCGCCTTGAATCAAGGGCCGATTGGGGTAAGGCTCTTCCCCGTTGAGGCCTTTCATGACTAGGACATCGTTTCCATCGACGATATGGACGAGCAGACGAACCGTCCCAATAGCGATGTAGTCTGTCATCACACCTTGTTCGGATGGATAGCCCAATGCCTCACGCTGCTTCTCAGAGACATATTTGAAATGAGGTTCCGACGAGGCCTCAGTAGAATATCTCTCATATGGCTGTCAGAGATTAGTCTCATGATACAGCATCTTCAAGTCCTGATAGAATTAAATACCTTGTTGTTAGCGACCTCAGTGATTGAATCAGATGCTAGTGGTTCAGACGGGTCTCTCATGGTGGTAAGGTAATCTGTATTTGAAGGGCCGATGAAAAATTCTTTGGGATCAAAGGGCTCGTCGGCAATTGTCTCCTCAACTCTAGACATCGTGTGAGAGACTTCTCAGGAGTTGGGAACTGCGTGGTAATTGGAGGCAGATATGAATGTTCGTGGATTGATGAGCCAGCGTTGACAAGATCTGGAGCCTTGAGGTATGTTTGCCTAACCTGAAACGGCTCTGTCTGACAAAAATGGATATGGCACCCTTAGGCGAATCTGGTGCCTGGGGCTAGCCTCACACGATCCAGATACTGTCTGTAAGACAAAAGAATTTCTGGGCGTCAGGGCTCAATACTTCAACTGTCAATGATGGAGACCGCGCAGCCTTGCGTCTCGGTTCAATACAGTGTTAATGGACTGAGAAGACGAATGCAGAAATTATGAACTCAATCAAAGTTTCTACCCATGCAAGGCAGGAAACTTGGAAAAAATCTCCACATCACGTATCTAACTAAGTATCTAGTTGAAATACATTGCAGGCAGTCGGCATCGGTTGCGGCTTATGTCGCGAGTCTGCCAGTAAGGAAGGACCACACTCACTATATAGTGAGATGAAGACTTAGCTGCTTCTGTGGCTGGCTTTTTTCTTGTCCAAAACCCACAAATAAGACCTTTGTGATGCCTCACTGAAATCCAAGGACGCCATGTGATCTCATCCTGGGTGGTACGCCTGAGTTACCAAGTGAAGGCTCGTCAAGGACAACAAGTTCATGGTGTGAAAGAGACAGTGTTTAAAATGCTTCCCTGTGGTCGCTGTTTACATGGTATAGAATCAGGCGTGGAAGAAGGTTGTTCAAGCATTTCGGAACAAACCAACTAACTAGTCCGAATTCCAGTTGTGGCTGACAAATCCGGATTTTCCTCCACTCTGAGGGATCCATTGTGAACATATTAAATGGAATCTTCCATCAAAGAGTTAAGGCAATAATCGACAGGACCAGTAGAGACATTCCATCACCAACATTGATGCGCATCACTCCAACACCACGCCTTCTTTCAGCCATGTCGACCTACAATATCAGCATCACGTCAGACGTGGTATGTCCGTGGTGCATGGTCGGCCATTCCAGACTCACCAGGGCCATTGCCGAGCACAAAAAGACATTTCCAGATGATAAATTCAATCTCAAGTACTATCCATTCTATCTCCAACCACCGCCCCAGTATACCACCACTGGTCCAGTTCCACCACCATTCCCGGTGAAATCTCGGCCGCGGCGGGAGATGTATATGGAGAAGTTCGGACCAGAGCGATCAAAGCAGATCGAAGCGATGATGAAGCAAACCGCCGCCGGGGAGGGACTCAATTTCAAATTCGGTGGAAACACTGGGCCCAGCCGGAACGGCCATCGGCTCGTCTACTACGCACAAAACCATGGCGGCGAAGAGGCACAGAATGCAACCATGCTCGGTCTTTGGAGGAGATATTTCGAACAGGAGGTGGACATCACTACTCTGGAGACTTTGATCGAGGTTGGGCTGGAAGCTAAGCTCGGAACTAGAGAGGAACTCAAAGAGTACCTCGAGAGTGGCAGGGATGGTGAGGAGGTTGACAAAATCGCCGATGAAGCTAGGCATAAGGGCATCAGCGGAGTGCCCAATTATGAGATAAATGACCTCTGGGAGGTCTCTGGCGCCCAGGATCCGTTGGCTTTCCAGAAATTGTTTCAACGGTGGAAGGATATGGAGGCCAAGGGACAGGTTCCCAAAGGGATGGGTGGCGATGGCAAGCCGGCGAATGGGAATGGGTGCTTGTGATGGTATTTCATTCAATACACGATTATAGTGTTTTGATTTGGGGTTGAGAGGATGTCTTTTCGTTCTTTCAGTGGCTATGGGGGTGGGAAATCGATGTCCTATATCTGATCATACAAGTAAATTTCTTGAAATACAAAGGGCAAGCCTACCCCATCGATGACAATTCCATATAGAGATGGAGGAGTGAAAATAATGTACAGGGTTCTAGTTTTATATCTGAGGCTCTGAATCCTCTTCAGAATTGACTTTCTTTCCCTGGAACCGTCTCTGCCTTTTTTCACGCGGCCTTTCTGACCTCTGTAGCCTCTGTTCTTCCAATTCCACCAGGAATTCATCAGTAACCTCGTTCGTATCCGGAGATGGCTGGCTAAGGCCTGGAACAATGACCTCGTCGTGGTAGTATTCAGGCAAGGTCCTCGGCAAGGGGAACTGCGTAAAATCCTCCTTATTCAAAGTCTGAAGCTGAGGAATCTTGTACTCGTGTTTTTCGCCAGCGTTGATCCATTGATTTTGAACATGAGTCTCAAATCTCTGGGCAGCGTCTCTCAAGGTCTGCCACGCAACCTCTTGTTGTTTGATGAGTTTCGCCTGCCGGTGGGGATCGTTCCACACGTCTTCGAATGTTTCTACCAGTGGTGATTTTCCCTCGAGACCTAACTCCTCTCTCTGCCGGGCGTACTCTTCCAGCTTCTTGGGCGAAGTCATGACAAGCCAGCGTAAACGCCAGCCGAGCAAGCCAAGCTCCTTTATCCTAGCAGGTTTCTCTCCACACACGTACTCATCGAGTCCACCGCACTTTCGGATTGTCCTCATCACTCGTGCTGTGATGGGAATCCGCAGCTCTCGATCTAGAGCTTCGCTCCGAATAGTTTCCAACCTGACGTTAGGGAACCAATGCCGCAAAGTCTTTCCCTTGTTTCTGCCTTTGGAGACTTTGTTTCCTGAGCGAATTGTGGCGCCGCCATAGAGGCCGAAGTTGGCTTCTTGGAAATGGACGTTTTTCCCATATGGATAAAGGGGCATCAAAGGGTCATCAGCACCGGCCCTCTTGAAGTCAGGGTGGCCCAGAGTCCCTTCTCGATCTTCGGTCTTGAAGGTAAACCGGGGCTTGAAATAGGGCGAGGTAGATTGCTTGGTCCGGGAATGGTGTCGATAGTCTTTGTATTGAAGTGAGGTTGGACTGCGAAAGACCGGATCAAGTTCAAACTTCAGCGCCCGGAAGGCATGGTTCGCAGTGGCCGTGGTGGCCATTGTTGAGAGCTTGAATGCGAATAATCGCCCTCAAACGGCGGGAAACGGAGGAGCAATCGCAGTGGTCAAAGAGGGAGCGAGTCGGTGGGAGGTATGCGAGGTACACTGAAGTAATTACGGATGTTATGAGTTTGAGTCCTCGGTCGGGGAAATTCAAACTGCACTGACAGCTGCGGATCACTTTTACTAGCGCGGTTTTGCAGTCTGCAATACATCCAAAATCACGAACACTGAGCAATACGAAGTACACAGTCCAAAGTCCATTTCAAGTATCTCATTCTCATCCTCATTCGGTCCAGTGCCGTTCCCTTCGACCTCCTCCTGTAATCTTGTCACTTTTCTCACCCACCCACCATGGTCAACATCAGCGAAGTCAAGGGCAATTCACGCGAAAACCGAACGGCTGCGCATACTCATATCAAGGGATTGGGTCTGCGGTCGGACGGCACTGCTGAGGCCTCTGGAAATGGATTCGTCGGACAGGCAGCGGCTCGGGAGGTATGCAGCAATGCCCGAATCACCAGATTCTGATTAATCAATCTAATTGCAAGTGCAGGCATGTGGTGTTGTGGTTGACCTCATAAGAGCAAAGAAGATGTCGGGGCGAGCAGTACTGTTGGCCGGCGGACCAGGTACTGGCAAGACTGCTCTCGCTTTGGCAGTGTCTCAAGAGTTGGGTACCAAAGTGCCTTTCTGTCCGATCGTGGGAAGCGAGATATACTCGACTGAAGTCAAGAAGACAGAGGCACTGATGGAGAACTTCAGACGTGCGATTGGTATGGTCCATCTGTATTTCCCATTCCATTCTCACGTGTAGAGAGACTGACATTGGCATAGGACTTCGAGTGCGTGAAACCAAAGAAGTCTACGAGGGCGAAGTCACAGAGCTCATCCCCGAAGAAGCAGAAAACCCTCTGGGAGGATTCGGGCGCACTATTTCCCACCTTGTCATCACCTTGAAATCGGCCAAAGGTACAAAGAAACTGCGTCTAGACCCTAGCATATACGAAGCGATCCAGAAAGAACGTGTTGCCGTTGGAGACGTCGTCTACATTGAGGCCAACACAGGCGCATGCAAAAGAGTCGGAAGGTCAGATGCATACGCGACAGAATTCGACCTCGAGGCCGAAGAATACGTACCTGTGCCCAAGGGTGAGGTGCACAAGAAGAAAGAAGTGGTGCAAGATGTGACATTGCATGATCTCGACATTGCAAATGCACGACCTCAAGGTGGCCAAGATGTTATGAGCATGATGGGCCAGCTTATGAAGCCCAAAAAGACCGAAATCACCGACAAACTTAGAGCAGAAATCAACAAAGTGGTCAGCAGGTACATTGACCAAGGAGTTGCAGAGTTGGTCCCCGGTGTGCTCTTCATCGACGAGGTAAGGCCTATCACCTTGGGACAGCATTACTTAAGTTGATATAAACTAACCTTCCCTCCTTTCCAAAGGTCCATATGCTCGACATCGAATGTTTTACATACCTCAACCGTGCTCTGGAATCCCCCATCGCCCCCATCGTCATCCTCGCCTCGAACCGAGGTAACACCATCATCCGTGGCACTGACGACATCTCCGGTGCCCATGGTGTCCCTCCGGATCTCCTCGCGCGGCTCCTTATCATCCCCACACACCCTTACAACGCCTCCGAGATTCAGACTATCATCCGGCTACGTGCGAAGACCGAGGGTGTGGTTATCTCAGAAGCTGCGATTGAGAAGGTAGCCTTGCACGGCACCACCGTCTCGCTCCGTTATGCACTGCAATTGCTCACGCCCTCGAGTATCCTTGCAAAGGTGAATGGTCGGACAGAAATTAGCCCCGCTGATGTGACTGAATGCGAGGATCTGTTTATTGATGCTAGGAGGAGCGCAAAGGTCGTTGAGGGCGCGGGCGACGCTTTCATCAGCTGAGAGATCTTGCAGAAGCGCCACTAGAGCGCCCTCATTAATGTTTGCTTTGGTGATGATCTTAGCTTGATCGCCAATGCCTGATCTTCGCATTGTCGTTGTACGGGCTGGTCCGATTGGAAAACCCTCGCTTTAAGCTTGGGTCCGGATGGCATGCGCTTGGTCGAACCTTCAGAGATGGCACAACTGCCTAGGAGATTTCACACGAACAGGGATCATGCTATCAGTGTCTCCATGTTATTGACCTCGGGAAATATAGAATTTTCTGACTTCGAGAACTAGGGCGAGTATGAATGCATGTAAAAATATGGGAGGGAGGGTACTGTATGAGTGTTTAGGGCAATGCTTCGATTGCTCTAGATAATTTCTACTGTTGAATGACCAAGGACCAGATATCCAAAGCAAATTCGATTTTGAAAGACAAGCTTTCATTATTTATCGTGATGACCTGAGCAAACCCATCTGCCAGATTACGAGAAAAAAACTAGGCACGACGAGTGACGGAGGGTATGCAAGGACGAAAAGTCTTGAGGGAGAATGTCTACCTAAACAGCAATATGTGTTAGCACAGATTGTCCCGATAAATCAACTGTAGAAATGGCTCGGGTGTAAAGATAAAATCAGACATCCAAGGAAGATTAGACGCTCAACGACACCTGGACTTAATAGGTTCATGCCAGGGCTAGCGTGAAAACTGCGAATGTGGAAAAGGTTTTCAATCATAAGAGGTGAGGTTTCTCGGGGTAGGGGCAGTGGTATAAGGAGTATGGTACGTACGTTTTCTAGTCGATTGGTTGAGTAGGGTTTGTTGTAATGAAAACCTACCGGTCGTGTTCGATTCGAAGAGGAGTGGATCTGTTTTGAAGACCCATTAGTCTGGCGGGTCAAGGAAGAAGGCGATGAGATGAAGAAAGAGCAGGCAACATTGAGAACTGATCAGACAGAAAATACTGGCTAGTAACAGCCCGTTCAGCGATGACGGACCGAGTGTTTCTTCAAGGTCGACTCAGCGATAGAAAGAAGTGTTGAATTTGTGTCATCTTGGAAGTTGGGGGGAATAAAGAGGAAGGGTTTGGGAAACCAGGGGGAGTGCTTACCGATGCGTTGAATACCGGGTATTCATAGCGCAACATGACCTTGGAAAGGGAAAATAGTATGAGCTTAGGAAGACGAGGGAGAGCAACGAAGGAATTGGGAAGTGGTAGAAGAAGAAGGTCGGAAGAATTGGAGGCGCCTAGAAATAAATTTGTGAGAGGATTCCATTTAGCGGCTCAGACCGCGCTAAGGTTTAATGGTTGATCCTGTGGATTCCGTCAGACCGACAAAGGTAGAGGCTTCCTGCTGAACAGATGCCTACGGAGATGTAATGACCTATACTGAAGGTCTTGGCGATGGATGGGCTAACCATTAAGCTGCAAGTTGTTCTCCGAACGAGTGATCTCTATGGACGAGTCAGGCACTAATAGAAAAAGCCCCAGCCCAGTCGCCCCTGCTGCCGGTCATCCTGATTCCTGAGAAAGTCCCGAGTTTGCAGTGTCGCCCACACCCAACTGGCAACGGCACCTTCCCTCTACCCTCTGCCCTCTGCTCCTGCCTCTGCATCCAGCAATCCCCATCCGCACCTGCATTTCGTTCTTTGCGCAGTTCATCCTCCCATTTCTCTCCCCATCGCCATCAACCATCGAATTCTCATCATCGGACATCTCTCATCTCGTGGTGTTTGTTACCGCGTCGGTCGTTCATTTCCTTCTGTTGCATCTCGGCTATTCATCGCTCTGAGGCTTACTGCGCCAGCCTTCGTCCGACTTGTTCCTCCAGATCCTCCGAGAATCACGAGCACGAGCATGAGCACCCCGATAACGCTGTCAACATCTTATTAACATCCCACAACTGAACCACCCAATTTCTCTCACCTGATACAACCCTCATCACCTATCCATCCCGTGATCAAGAGATTGCCCAAATATGAAGTTTTCACGCCCATCTTCATCCCTCACCGTTTCCCTGTGATCCTTCTTCGCCTTGTCGCGACCTTGATCCAGCCCCATAATACCTGACTACGGGTGACATCAGCTTCTAGTTATCCAGGGACTGCACCCACCGCCTCAGGATCTTTCTAATACACGTCGCATCTCTCTCATTCTCGACAGCAGCCACAAGAGGCCTTTTCCCGCCCTTTTTGCAAATGTAACAACTCGATCACTGACCCGCGAAACACAAATCCGTGCTCCGGCAAAAGTGGGGCCATTCGTTTCGTTCCCCAGATCAGCCAAAATACAAGAAGAGGAGGACTTGCACATTGTGATTACCATTTTCCGCCCTTCTGGAATATCACCAGGACGACTTCCTCGCGCTGACGAAAGCGCCCCTCCAGATTTCCGCCGCATATTGCATCGCCGAAGATGATGGCCCAACCTTTTCCTACCCATGCGGGTATGGCTCCTGGCCATCCAGGTATGCCCCATGGCCATCCTATGGCAGGAATGCAGCACCCTGGCGCCGGTCATATGGGTGGTCAACCTCAGCACGGTATGATGCAAGGCATGCATCCTGGTGTCTCCGGGCCTCAGGTCACTCAAGGTCCTATGGTGACGGGCATGCCTCCAGGTGCCGGCACTCCTGCTCCAGGGCCAATGCACTCTGGTGGCATGGCTATGGCACATCTTGGTCCACAGCAGACCATGTTTCAGCAACCCAATCCACAAATGAACTTCGCTCAGATGCAGATGACACCTCAACAACAGCAGATGATGGCTCGCCAGAGAATGGTACAACAGATGCAGCAACAACAGAATCAACAGCAGGGAATGCATATGATGCCTAACGGACAGCCCGCCTTCAACCAAGCCCAGCTGAATGCCCAGATGAAGATGGGTATGATACCACCGCAAATGCAGATGCAGATGCAAGCTGGCAATCCTTCGATGCAAAATTTCCAACACGCACAACAACAGCGCATGATGCAGGCCCAAGCACAACAGGCACAGGCCCACGCCGCTCAGCTGGCTGCTAATAGAGCCGCGCAAGCACAGCAAATGCAGATGACTAGATCACAAGAACAGACCTCTCAACCTCCTCAACAGGTCCCTACTACAGCTCCTCAGCCTCCACCTCAGCCTCAACAACAGCCACAACCAACTCCTCAACCACAACCTAAGGCAACACCGCAACAAGCACAGGCTCAACCTGTGAATAACCAGCAGCAACAGGCCCAACAGCAGCAAGCCCAACAACACCAGGCTCAGCAGCAGCAGCAAGCCCAACAGCAGCAGGCCCAGCAGCAGCAGGCCCAACACCAGGCCCAGCAGCAGGCCCAGCAGCAGCAAAACCAAGCCGCCGCACAAGCGGCCATCAAAGCCAGCGAAGCAGAAGAAGAAAGTTCAGTCAAGCAGCAACAAGACTTGACCAATTCAATGCTGATCTCGGATATCTCAAAGTCAGATATTCTTGCTGGTCAATGCATCTTGCGATTGATTCAATACCAGAACAATTTAGCCAACCCCGAACGACCCAATGATCTTGATTATTGGGAAGAAACCATGACCAAGTACTTTTCACCCGTTGGTTCATTACGACAGCAGTTGTATAGTAACAAAAATGGAGGCGACAAATCCTTCCAACTACAATTTCCATCTCTCGCCCGATACTTCTATTCGCACTTCGCTTGCGGGGTCAAACAAATATTCTTGCAATCTTATGATCACAATGAGAACAAGTTGCCAAATGGTGGTGTCCTCATCATGAGCAGTACTGCCAGTCTGACGTATGTCTTTCAAAACGACATTCGAGTAACGACAACTGGACAGCTTCGAGTCACATTTGATGACATGCAAAAGATTGACCATATGAACATCAGTACGACTGGATGGCAAGAATACATTCCTAGAAGTGCGTTGTTACAACCTCAATCTCCTGAAGTCAAGCAAAGCCCGAAGATCACCAACAAGAATATTAAGCGCGCCCAAGGCAAACCTTCCGAAACCAATTCTCGACCTGTTATCCCTCAATCAGGTGTTGGTGAGTTTGGTGTCCCGAATCACATCTTCCAATTTCTTGAGGTAAGTTGCAATAAAATGATTTTCCACGAAATTTGACTAATGACAATCTCCTTTCAGGTTGCCGAGGTAATGACTGCGATGGGACCAATTATGGAATACTTCCACACTCATCCAGGTGTCAGTCCAAAGGAGTCTCTCTTCAGGGTTACTCAGGATAACGCACAGAATATGGCCAATGTCAATAATGCTCGATTGCAAAATCAAATGGCAGCTCGCGCCAACGGTCAGGTGGCATTTCCCAACCAAATGAATCCTGGCATGAGTGGTCCGAATCAATTCAATTCCCCAGCCATGGGACATTTGGGAATTCCACAGGCACAAGGATCTCCTCTTATGGGTGGTCCCAACCATACTCCCAGTCCTGCACAAAATCCGACCGCAGGTGGAGTAGCAATGATTCACCAGATGAGTGCTCAAGGCTCCAATCTAAGTGGAAGTCAGGGTCCTAGCACAAACACTAGTCCCAATGTCTCCAACAAGAGACGGAGAATGAGTGTAAAGGTTGAAGAAGAAGGCGCTGCTGAGTCGAATGGTGCCAACAAAGTCAAGCCTAGTCCCAAGATTGGTGGCAAAAGGCAGAAAGGTGCATAGTTCAACCACACCCCCCGATGTGCTCAACAAGACCCGAGCGCGACCGCTCAATTCTTCTGGCTCGATTCACTATTCCGAGGAGTTCCGGAGCTCCCAAGGAAGTTTATCCGTTCTTTTGGGATTTGGCGATAGATTTCTGCAACTTGAATACAGCAAGGTGTTCTTGAACGATATTTTGGCTAACTGTTGTCCATTTTTCGCACTGCTGCATATTACATCTTGGACGACGACCAATAGATCTCAGTACCAAGCCTGGAAAGTGGCGGTCTGGTTCGTCATGCTCATCCCTCATGAATGGTTGTACTTGAAGAATGACCGCGTCACTCCTCGTCAGAAAATATCTCAAGCTTCCAAATTATCGACCTTGAACAGAAGAATTTTTGGAGCAGAGAGGGAGGATTCGAGTTACGACTCGTTGAATTGTATCATATCGTCGTTGGATCAGATTTGTGGCGCATTCTTCGTTGTTTTGAGTTGCTTTCCTGAAGCGGCGTTTTTGTTTGGACACCACCACACTGAACGGGGAATGATGTCCAAGAAGGGTCGAAGCCAAAAAGGAGATTGGTACTTCGTTGTCCTTTTGCGACGGACGAGGACAAGATTTTATTGTTCAAGGAACGGATTCATGCTGCAGATGGACTAGAGGATTGAAATTCAGTACCGGGGAACGAATGGGCTGCAGAAAGAAAGATGGGCATTTGGAGATTAGCGGCCTGTTTTCTTTTCTAAGAGTCCTCCATCTCGAATTCGGTCCATATTCTGGTTAATAGAACTGATGTCTTCACGTGATGATCGTTTTCATCGTCCAATCTGAAGTTTCATGCAACTGCATTATCGGTGGATGGCGTATAAAATTCCAATTCGACCTAGAGTGGTGTAGTAGTACAGTGTACGAGCATTATCCGTTGTAGAGGCAGTAGTTTAGAGAGCAGGGTCGGGAATCGAGATCTATATGCCTTCTAGCGCCTTGCAGCTCGTACTATGAGTCGTACTTTGCTGAGGCTGCAGATGCAAATGGAGTCTTTTGATATGCACTAGCTTTTCCGGAGAAATAATAATTCCGTCTGGATTTGCCCAACTTCTGCTTGGTCGTTATTGAAAACATTGTAAATGCGATCGATTCGACCTATTTGGGCCTGATGATTTCTCTTAAACTTTCTTGATTTTGTGATTTGGGAAACGTCGTGTTTCCCAATCATTGGAATATCGTCCATTTTGGACTGGAGGCATTCTAAATGACCTGAACTATCCAGGGCAAAAGCGTCCCCAAAACCACTAATATAATTCCACGCAGGCAGGGCCGGACTTCGTTTTGAAAACCATATCAGGTCAGAAGGCTGCTACATACCACTCAAATTAAGTTGGAGAGGTGGTTTCCGTTTTTCCTCACCATCGCGTTTGAGGGTAAGGCGCATTGCCTAAGTTACGGCTGTCCACGATGGAAGCTCCTTACTCTACACCTTCCGACACCGAGGAGATCGCGACCATTGTCCTCGGCCTCTCCGGGCCGTCATCCTCCGGCAAGACGACTCTGGCCCGCCTCTTACGGAGTACATTCAACACTACTATCTCATCAACAGCACAGCAGCAGCAAGAGCCGTGTAAGCTCACCCTGCGGCTCTTCATCCTCCACCAAGACGACTTCTACCTGACGGACGCGCTGGTGCCGGTGATCAACGTGTCGTCGCAGGAATTCGCCACACGCGACCTGCAGGACTGGGACTGTGTCGAGAGTCTCGATTTGGGCCTGTTCGAGGACACGCTGCGTCACGTCAAGCAGTATGGACGCGTGCCAGATGGGAGCGTGAGTAAAGAGGATCAGAACGCGGTCGGGGAGAGTGGAGTTGATGACGATGAGATCCGCCGGGTAAAGGGGGCGGTGGAGGATCGGTTGAGGGCGTTGGTTTTCGCTGCTGGCGACGACGAGAAGAACAAGCCTGCCGTGCCCAGAGAAAGAGAGCTCAGGATATGTATCCTCGATGGATTCCTCCTGTACCCACCACCACCACCACATCCTCCTCCTCCGTCGACGTCGGCGTCGACATCAACAACACCATCCGGTACCCTTACCACCAGCAGCGGCACTCCACAAGCACCACCTCTCGAACACCTTCACCACCTAACCCACAGCCTACTCTCGCCGCGGCTATTCCTCCCCAGCACACGTGCGCAGACGCTCTCCCGGCGGGCACAGCGCACCGGCTACGTGACGCTCGAGGGCTTCTGGACCGACCCGCCGGGCTACGTCGAGGACGTGGTGTGGCCGAACTACGCGCGAGACCACGCGTGGATGTACACGGATGGGAACGTCGAGCGCGGGAAGCTCGATGAAGCGCGCCTGCTTAGTGATGAGGGCATCATCGTCTGTCCTGGCGGAGGCGCCTGGGAGATGGGGAGAGTGCTACAATGGGCTGTGGATGTCCTTGTCGATGCTGTGGCGAAGACGTTTGTTTAGGGGCGAGGCATGGGGAGGGGTAAAGGGAGTAAGGGGGAAAGGGGCCAAGTGGGCCAAGGGCGGTATGGCATGGCATGCTATGGCAGTAAGGGAGCTAGGTCTGCTCTGGTGCGTTGATTAGAGAGACAGGTTGAACGGAAAAGGAGAGAGAGGAAATAGAGTCAACGGCATACCAGGAATGATGAACGCCACTATCAACTTCTTCCGTTACTACGGCTTGCCATGCTACCTAACTAGGTACAAATCACGGCCTTGCTGTAATCCTACGACGATGCCTTCTAACTGCTCCTCACACAGAACCAAAAGGCCATGGAAGATGCCCACCGGTGAAGCGTCCTACAACCGAACTTTCTATATAATTTTACATTTTCTTTCGGGCATGTGTAGGCATGCGACCATGCACCCACGGGCCCGCTAGAATGAGGGAACCTCCCTTTTTTCCACTCGTGATACATAAAACACCCTGAACTCATTAGCGAGATTAACAAATGTTACAGTTCTTTTCCTTTTCCTTAGCTAGTATGCTGCTTGGGGATTCCCTGTGTAGTTTGAAGCATTGAAAGACTTGAAAACACTCTTCTAGGCGAAGCGAGCCACTATAATGACCACACCCTACGCTACTGAATCGCATGCTTCTAATTCCCATCACTCTCTGACTCTTACGGTATCTCTCTGCTGCTTTCCTTTGGTGGGGAATCCAAGCTTGGGAGTCTTCTTCTTCCTCCCCTTCTTATCGCCATATTGCTCGTCGAATTTTTTGATATCTTTCAAGCTGGTCATGTCTTCACTGATACTGGCGCTGATCTCCTCCATGGAGGTGTTAAAATGTTTGGCTGTTAGTGTCCGCCTTTCAGGATGTTGATAGGGCTCTGATCCGGTATGTTGCTTGGCCAGTACATTCTCTTCCTTGACAGCATTCAGTGCGGCTGCCACACACAGGTTTTTCAGGTCCGAGCCAGAGTAGAATGGCGTCTTCTTTGCAAGGGAAGGTAAATTGACGTCTTCGGCGAGGTCCTCGTTTCGGAGATGGATTTTCAGGATTTCGAGCCGGTCGGGTTCCGTGGGTAGGTCAACAAGGAGGCGCCGGGGGAGGCGTCGCAGAACAGCGTCATCAAGGTCCATTGGTCGATTCGTAGCTACCATGATGAATGCGCTACCAGAATCGTTGCTCATCCCGTCCCATTCTTTGAGGAATTGATTGAGCAGCTCACGATGATTGACACGACGACCCTGATTGCTCCTGGCACTGAAGATGGCGTCTGCTTCGTCAAGGAAGACAACACAGGGGGAGAGTTTCTTGGCAAGGCTGAAGAGTGCTTTCACATTCTTCTCACCTTCACCCACGTACATATCGTTGATATCTGCAGCACTAACTTCCAACATGGTGGCTCCAGATTCCTTTGCTACTGCTTTGGCAGCGAGTGTCTTTCCTGTCCCAGGCGGTCCATAGAGGAGAAGTCCGGGGATCTTGTCGGATGCCAGCACGCCATATTTGAAAGCATCCGGTCGGGTGAGTGAGAGGGTAGTCAAGACTTGAAGAGCATCAATGGTTTCAATTGGCATGTGTACATCATTGAAGGTAGTTTTGATGTTCTTCGGTTCAATAATACCGGACATGAGTCTTTTCTCGTATTTGGTAGCCGATGCACGAATTTGACGTAAACGAGAATCTTCAAAGGAGGGAACTGCTTGCTCATCGACGTCGGCACCTCCTTGACTTCGGAACAGTTTCATCAACGCTGGTATAGAGTCACCTTCGGCTGACTTGGATTCTGACGCACCATCTTTGTGAAACTTTCTGTAGGTATTTACCCACTGTGTCTTGCTCTCATCACTGTGTCGTAAAGTATCTGCTGCTTGGCTGATAAGAGGTTGCTCGATGAGAGGCTTTCCAGAAATAGGCATGGTCTTCAGGTCTATAGATAGACCTGGTCCGAACGTGCCAGCAAGATAGGTAGCAAGTCGTTGGACATAAGCAAAACTCCAAAGCCGACTTTCGAGTTCTAGTCGGTCAGCAGGATGGATATCCTTCAAAAAATCACGACCCCAAAAACCAGTTCCAAGTTGGGAGAACATTGTGATATCTCGATGTCTCATCATTTGCCACAGATGTCTCATATTGATCGTGGCTAATCGCCGTTTGCGGTCGTGATGAAGTGTAAGTTTTGATTTGGTATTTGGCAACACTGGGGTTAGGACAATATTTTGGGAGATTTCCATCAGTCTGCCATCTTGAATGTCATTGATTTTTTGTCTGGTGATTGGGAGACTCTCTTTTCGGGCTGTATCGGTGCCAATAATGATCACATTTTTGCCGGTCTGCCGTAGTGTTGAGATGGCCTGATAGAGTTCTTGGAGGAAATGATTGCCAAGGGAGATGTCTTGTATTACTCGGAGATCTTTAATGTGGATGATTGTCGAACATTGGGGCACACCCGCTTCTTTCGCAACTTTTTGGCGATGTTCAGCAGCCAAACGTGTCTTATCTTTGTCTTGTTCTTCTAGAGGCTGTGTTGCGGCGTATTGTAGAGTCAAAACGCTTTTTACTATAGTATCAACGATACTTGAAAAGTCTGGCGAACGAGCTTTACTCTTCATGGACGATGATGTTCCGAAATGGTCCGACATTTTTGTGCGACCACCGGAGTAAGACGATGACGACGACTTGAGAGGCCCTGATGGGAAGAGGTCCTTGAGAGCAATGGTAATAGGCCTACCAACCATAAAAGGCATGTTGGACGTCGACCTTGATCCCATTAATCGATCTATGTCAGGAAGAGCCTCTTCTTCGTCCTCCTCTTCTTCATCTTCCTCCTCCTCCTCCTCGAGGGGTCGTTGAGAGTGAGCCAATGAAGGGTTCGAGAATACTTCCGTGAAAACGTCGTAGCTTAGCATACGGCCGGCAAAGGCAAAGGCGTCTAGTTGCTCAGAAGCTTTAATGAAATCGGAAATGTCTTGCGCATCGAGAGATACCATGTCGCAACCGAGATGTCGCGATAATTGTTGTACAAAATGATCCATAAAAATGGCACCATCAGAGCCTGTGTATTGCAGCAGGAGATGATTCCTCAAGGAGTCATCAACTTCTGCTAGAATCGAACTTTTGGCGCTTCGCAATAGTCCTTTCGTGGTTCGTACCACTTCTTCATATTGATCAGCAACGATGTAATACTTCATATCATCGTGAGGGGACTTCGAGTCGTCTTGGGTGGAGCTCCCATCGTGGCTGACTGACTTTGTCTCACTACCGGTGTCCTCAATTTCTACGGCATTTCTCGAGGTATTCTCATTTGCGTCATCCTCAGGTTTCTCAGGGGCCCCGGTTGGACCAGAGGAAGAACTAGGCGCACCTCCGCCTTCATAGCCGGGGACTATCTCAATAGTAGCGGCCTGGTTGGATGAAAGCACCCCTTGATCAAATATATGGATGTTGTTCTCGATGAACCACCCCGGAGGCTCAAGTTCAGGCTCTTTTTCCTTGAGGGCGCGATTCCGCAACCGCCGTTTGGCCGGGGAGCCATAATAGTTGGGTTGTTCCTTGTCTGCATTCCCCGAGGATGGGGCGTCTATCAGAGGTTGTCGAGAAGCGTTGGATTCTCTTATGTTCGTTCCGTTGACCACTTCTGGACGAGGATCCTGTTCTTTTGCGTGATCGGCAAGGAAACGGGCGTTGAGAGAGCTAGAATTGCCAGGAGACTCTTGAGGTACGCGCAGTCGAGTTGCGGAATGAAGTGAACGAGGTTTAGATGCGGTGCGTCGGGCGCAATGTCGACAGGCGGCTGCTAATATATGCGAGAACCTCAGTTCCGCCTGCAAGGTAGAATGCATCCGAGCGAGTGACTCGGGAGGTGAGGAGGGTGAGGCACGGGTGGTTGAGAACGGTCGTGGTGTTGTTCATGTGCAAGCAAAATAATAAATTGTGACAGCCGCAGCCCATGAGTGATCTGTCCTCCGATTGGTGGGATCCGCACATTCTATCAAACAACTCTGAGCCGTATCCACCTCGAGGCTGACGCCACTCCGGAGTCATTTTCTATTTTATTCATAAACCATTTCTAGTTCTAATCACCTTTAGTGAAATTTCAGTTCCCCAGGCCTTGTAACGATACCATTTCCGTCATGCCGCCATCCATATGTGAGGTCTGTCAAAATTCTCGTGCGGCTGTCATCAGACCCAAGAACTCTCAGAAAATTTGCAAACAGTGTTTCCTGTCCGTCTTTGAAGCTGAGATCCATGAAACTATTGTGGCCAATAACTTATTTCGAAGAGGGGAGAAAGTCGCCATCGGTGCCTCAGGGGGAAAAGATTCGACTGTGCTCGCATCCGTATTGAAGACCTTGAATGAGAGGCATGACTATGGTTTGGACCTTGTCCTGCTGTCCATTGACGAGGGCATCAAAGGTTATCGAGATGACAGTCTCGAGACGGTGAAGAGGAACGCTGTACAGTATGAGATGCCGTTGGAGATAGTGGGATACGACCAACTTTACGGCTGGACAATGGATCAAGTCGTGGCTCAGGTAGGAAAGAAAGGCAACTGTACCTATTGTGGAGTCTTTCGACGTCAAGCTTTAGACAGAGGAGCGGCCGCAATGGGCATCAAACATGTCGTTACGGGCCACAATGCCGATGACGTTGCAGAGACTGTCATGATGAATCTGTTGCGTGGCGATCTTCCACGGCTGGCGCGTGCCACATCAATTGTGACTGAGAGTACGGCAAGTCAAATCAAACGCAGCAAGCCTCTGAAATATGCATATGAAAAGGAAATCGTTCTCTACGCACATCACAAAAAGCTTGACTATTTCAGCACCGAATGCATTTATAGTCCAGAGGCATTTCGAGGTAGTGCGAGGACACTCATTAAAGATCTGGAAAAGATTCGACCCAGCAGCATTCTTGATATTGTAAAGAGTGGCGAAGACATGGCATCCCTGGTCTCGCCCGAATTGACAGGCTCAGTTGTTTGTGCTGCAGATGGCGAGGATGCCACCACCGGTTGTGGTTCTCGGAATGCTAACAGTGACTCAATGGCTCAGATGGAGATGACTTTGGCAGCCAACGAAGTGGCAGCTGAAAGGGAGACAGAGATCAACCTTCCAACTGTTATGTCAAATCATGCCCGCATAGAAACCTCTGATTCAGTGAAGATTCACGACAAGAAACCTAAGGGACGCCGAAAAGTGGTTAAACAAGTCATGGGACAGTGTGAGCGATGTGGCTATTTGTCGAGTCAGAAGATTTGCAAAGCGTGCACATTACTGGAAGGTCTGAACAAAAGCAGACCAAGAACGACCGTCGAAATTGGATTTGACGAGGAGGATGGAAGCACAACAGTAATGCGACAAACTGCGAGCCTTGCAATATCAACTGGATGAAGTCATGTCCATGCGATCAAGCAATCTTTCGTCGGCCAGCTATCCTCTGGTCCATTCCTGCAACCACAATGGCCCAAGATTTCTCCCCCAGCAGCATCAAGATCTGCAGCACGAGAAGAACCAGTCTCAACAAATAATTGCTTACTCCGAGGGTAGGTTTCCTGCCTCTTGAAAATGTCGAATCAACGAATTCGAAAGGCAGCTCTGCGTCGAGGTGATTAATGGCTGCGGACAGACCGCTGCTGAAACCATCTTCATGGAAGCCATATTTCGTCCATGCACCGCAGAAACTGATGTTCCTGGTATTTTGGATGTTGGGTAGAAGTTGCTGGGATTTGATGGCTGCAGCATTGTAGAGTGGATGAGAATACTCCCAAATACCTTGAGCAAGCCGAGGATCCGGCATGTTCAACGGATTCAATGTCACTAAGACGGGACCAAATTTCTTTTCAGAAATATGCTGCAGCAAATTCATCCAGTACGTTAGGCAGACTTTGGAAATATTCTTGCTCTTCTGTGGAGGAAATGGTGATTCGGTGATATAATTCCAGGCCGACCAAGCGACCCGTCTCTTCGGCATCAGGGAAGGATCTGAATGAAGTACAGCAACATTTCTACTGGTCTGAAATCCACTCAAGATCTCAATTTCTTGTCTTGTGGCGACAGGTTTCAGGATTTCCAAGGCTTGATGGCCATGGGTTGCAAGAATTACATGGTCGAATTCATAGTCTCGCCCGTTCGCTGTTAATGATACTGGTCCAGACTTCGATGGTATGACAGACGTCACTTGAGACTTCAAGTGAATTCGATCTCGAGGGAACCCTTGTAATACCGCGTCAATGTACTGTTTTGAACCCCCAGGAATAGTCAACCAATCTGGGCGTTTGGCGATGGTGCTCAATAAATGATGGTTGTACATGAAACGAACCAACGTGATGGCGGGAAACTCCAGAGAGCATTTGTCTGGACTTGTACTCCAAACTGCTGCCGTCATGGGTATGAGGTAATCGTCTCGGAACTCCTGAGAGTATCTCTCCCGGTCTAGGTAATCGCCAATACTCTCGTTTGATGGACCTGCTACCTTGCTTGTTGATCCAACAGATTGGGGATCGTTCTCACTTTCAGTTTGCTCTTGCAAAAGATCGAGAGCAAATTCGTTGAATCGTACAATATCAAAGATCAACCTCCACATTCTTAGCCTGAATAGATTTCTTCTTTGAGCGAAGATGGAAGAAAGGGAAGTCCCGGCCCATTCGAATGTTCCTTGGTCTCTCGAGACACCGAAAGTCATGTCAGTCTTCTTGGGAGGCAATCCCAGCTCTCTGAGAAAGTGAATGAAGTTGGGATAGGTAGCTGTGTTCATGACGATAAAGCCAGTGTCGACTGCGACTTTATCCCCATTTGGTCCATCAAATGTGACAGTGTTGGTATGGCCTCCCAAGCGGGATGAGGCCTCAAATAGGTGAACTTCATGGTCGGTACTGGTATTGAGGGCCCACAAAGCACCGATGCCAGAGCAACCACTGCCCACTATGGCAACTCGTTTTCCCATTGCTCGATATTGATACTCAAGAAACCGCCTGTAAGATGCAATATCAGATTAGGGCCTGCTTCCCCGAAGCGTCAACTGTCACACAGTGGTTTCGCAATTAGGATGAGGACACAACCCGTTAGTTTAAGAGATATTCATGATTATTGAGGAGAGTCCCCAGGTACACACAGACACACACACACACACGATAGAGACAAGAAACTCGGCAGCCTCACAAACGCCAAAAGCCAAAAATACTCTCGATCTTTGGGTCGAGCGTAGTAGACTGGCGATCGATGATCCAATCACTCTACATTTCTAAAGCAGCGACATATCTATGAGGCACGATTAACTGTATTTGCCAAGACGTGGTTGGGATGATGGAAACAGCAAGGGGGGTTTCCCCGATCCACCACGGGTCTGGGCTGGCTGGCTGGGCACGTGGCTGGGCCATCATCAGCCATGCGATGCTCAGTTCCTCTGTGTATGACATCTTTGTTTAATTGTACATACCACTCTCCATCATTTCTCTCAATAGATCAGGCTCAAAGCAGCTGCCATCTTCGTCGCTTCACCTCCGCTATCAACCAGATTAGTTCGAATTCTTACAAAATTCCTACGTGGCGCAACGAGCAACCCTATTCCCGGACATCCAAATAGGCGCCATCATTTCCTGAGCGACCCCTCCTCACTTTTCCATACACCGACAATGTCGAATCCTCTAGATACAGATGCTGGATCCGAGCTATTCAGCACATATGAGGCTGAACTCAAACTCATCGAGGCAGACGTGAACCAGAAATTAGATCAGATACCCGAGTTGGCAGGCGAGGAGCGCAAAGCCGCAGTTCGAGGCGCTGAAAGAGCACTCGACGAAGCCAAAGAATTGGTATATACCACCGCCCCTCTCTCACATCATTTCTTCGCTCAAAAAGCTAACCACGACCCCTCCCGTCCAGCTCGATCAAATGAATCTCGAAAAGTCCAATATCCCCTCCTCACTACGGTCAAAGATCAACACCAGATTCCGCAACCACCAATCTGACATCGATGCGCTGGGTCGCAAGTTAAAATCACTGTCTGCATCATCTGACCGACAGCAACTCTTCGGCGACCGATATACAGATGACCCAGAAGCCGGGCCCCGAGACCTTCAACTAGAACAACGTCAGCAGCTCCTCTCCGGCACAGAGCGCCTTGGAAGATCGGGCGATCGACTTAGAGAATCGCAGCGCATAGCTCTCGAGACAGAACAGATCGGCGCCTCCACACTCGCGGATCTGCACCAGCAGCGCAATGTCATTGAAAACACTCATCGGAACCTACTGCAGAGCGAGGGCTATGTGGACCGCAGTGTGAAGACTTTGAGGGGGATGGCCCGTAGGTGAGATCCTCTCGCTACCCCTTTTCTGGTTCACGATGACAAGCCACGTACCTGAAACTAACGTACTTTTGTTCCCGTCTTACAGGATGGCTACCAATCGGATAATCACCATCGCCATCATCACGGTGTTGGTGCTACTTATTGTCGGTGTCATTTACAGCAAGTTCCATTGATATTGCTCAAACGAATAAAGGGCATGAAGTCAGGGTTGGCGTTTTATTTGGCCGGGCCCTCTGTCCTTCTTTTTTGGCTTCTCGTGGAAGACGTCCTTAGCAAGAGGGGGTTTTGAAATAGGAGTTTTATTGGTGGATCGGGGCAGCAATCTGTAACAAAAACGGAACAATTATATGTATACAGCGGTTCACATTGCGGTCACAGAAGCCCCCCGTATTCCACCATCTTGAGATATCTATTCGCCCAATCCAAGCTGATGCCCATATTCACATTTGTCGATATAAAAAGAAAAAGCCATTCAGCCTCAGATCCATGTCCTCAGCCAGTATATCTAATGAGCCCAAGCCCAATATTCAAAACGAACCCAATAACGACAGCCATTTTCCGGCGCTGGCTCCAGATCCCCTCTTCACGGATCCCCCACATCAGACAGCCGATCGGCCAGAAAAATCCCATGACCGTGCCCCAGATCATATCGTCCAGCGTGCCGGCCTGCGCCTCTTCGTCCGTGGAGCCGTCCAGCGTGCCGGCGCCATCGCCCAACATGCCGCCCTCAGACGTAGAGTTGTCCAGCCAGCGATCCTCCATGTTCCGAAGCGTGTTCGGAGATGGCATCGTGTCGGGCGTGTGCGTGTGCGCTTGGATGGCGAGGAACTGGAGCCGGAGTGACTGGATTTCGGAGGGTGTGAAACCTGCGTTTTGGAGGCGGTCGAAGCCTCGCGGCGCTGGCGTCGTGGTTGTTTGTTGCTGCTGCTGCTCTTGCAGCGATTGTGTTTGACTTGATGTGGCATCGTTCTTCTCGTCTCCTCCCACCTGCTGCGCAGCGGCTCGTTCGGCCGCGACGTCCTCTTTGGACAGCACGAGATCGCCGATGGAGCAGTGAATGTAGATGCGAGGCGGAGACGGAGACAACGGCAGGTCACGGCTCAGTAGCTTTCCCTTGCCTGCGGCTGTTGTGTTCTCCCTGCCTCCAGCGCCGCCGTTGGACTCCTCATAAGGGCCCGGGGTGCTGATGCGACTAGGCGGACGACTGACATTTCGCTTCAGCGAGCTGTTCAGCGGGACCTCGTCGACCAGCGCTTTTCCCGCGTAGATCAGCCTGATCCGTCGCGTCGCGTACTCATCTGGAATCCGTGATCGGATCAGCTGTTTGAGGGTTGCGGTGTTGGCGTTCAGAGAGCCCGGAATCGAGAGATGGAGGTCTGGCAGGGATGCGGAGAATCGGATGGTCAGTTCGAAGTCGTACTCGTCATCATCGTTTCGCTGGTGTTGGGAAGGAGGCGGCTTGAGATTCATGGAGGCGACTTATCGGGCGGAAGAGGCTTACGCTCTGCCGTCATGCTGCGGGTTTTCTAATGTCAAGGGGCACCCGAGCGATGTGGTGGTTTGGAGCGAGGTGGAAGCTGAGTTGAGTGAGTCGCATCTTGGGGGGCGGGCTGGGAAATGACTCGAGCTTTGGAGATGTATCGGAAGATACGAGTCATTCATGACTTTCTTTTGATATCACGAATACAGTTTGACTGCTCTATCCACGAACACAGCCATCTTCCATACTCAATTAACAGACAACAATAAATGCGCATTGGCCACTAGAGATCAGGATCGTACGCGCAACCGTTTCAGCCAGGAGATTCTGTTCGACAATGCATACGAGCCGCCCATCTTACCCCACCCTTCTGCAGGAACGGATTACGATCTTCCTTCCCACGTAGCTGCTATTCTGAAGAGCAAATTAAAGAGGACGTTGCTGGACAACGCTGGAACACCCAGTAAATCTGATCTCACCAAGCCCAAAAACTCCTCAAGGTCACGATATGGCGTCGCACAGCACATCAGTCTTGTACATGGACAATGAGCTTCCCTCGGGCCCGTGAAGTAGCAAGTTTCGAATATCCCTATCATGAATGTCAGCACGGTTTTTCACCTGATGTCGATGATAGTATCATTTGAAAGCATACTTGTAAGACTTGATCCATCTCAACGACGCTGTCTAGCACTGGCCTCATTCTCCCATCTTCGATAAACACCACAAGTTTATCCAGTGCTTCTTTCGAAATCTTTCCGGAATGCATCAGACACTTTCGTGGCATACCGCCCAGCAACAGCGGCATCGTCTGAGCAATTTTGATGCCGATGAACCAACGTATCATCTCAAGGATCGTTCCGCCTCCATGAATCAGGGGCATATTCCCTCCGAAGACAAAAATCCCATCGGCCTTCAGGTAGGCAGACGAGTTCTTTACGTTGGAGTTGTCCTCACCCACCATGTCGATAATGGCGTCAAATGGACGAGAACTGTATTGATCCGAGAGGTATTCATGGAGGACCGGGTGCTGCTTGTAATCGATGACCTGGTGCCAGTTAACAGACAATTCCCATTGAAATATGCATCGGTTGACGGGATCTGAAGACTAGCTATCCCACACGTACCTCATGGACTCCAAGTTCCTTCACCAAGTGCTCATTAGCCGCCGAACACGTCCCAACTACAAGCCCTTCACCTCCAACAGCCGCCCTCGCCGCTTGGACGACCAACGTGCCCGTCCCACCAGACGCACCAGTGATCAAAACCCGATCACCGCGCTTCAGCTTTGTGACCTCAACAAACTGCATGGCTGTGACTCCACCAGCACCCATGCCAGCGATATCTCTCAGCGAGACGTTCCGCGGCTTCCGCACCACCACATGATCCGGCAAGACGACATATTCAGCAAGCACGCCACCATACTTCCTGGACACATCCGCTGCGAAGCCACCGAAGACATCATCATCGACCGCGACATGCTCGACCCTCGCTCCCGTAGCAACAATGACACCGGAATACGCATTCTCCGGGACCCACGCCTTGTCGTTGAAGTGCGGCATCATCGCCATCATCGCTGCCGTGCCCTGAAACAGCGCTGCATATTTTACCTGCACGAGGACTTCATGTGGACCCAGCGACTCGGGGCTTGCTTGTGGCAGGTCGACTTCGAATTTCAACACTTCCGCCGGCGTGCCGCGTGCTCGATACGCCCATCCCCGCATGACTGTATCCAGCTCGCCTCAAAGTACCCTGTTATTCTTGACACGAACACTGCAATGCAAAATGCTCGGTATGGAATTTGTGTGGCTCTGGTCTGACCTTGCGAAATCACGCCCTTGCCGAACACCCAATTTACCCTAGTAGTCTTCGTAGCATTTGCTTGAATCCTCCCCTTTTCCGCAGACTCCTCTCTACCATTATAAGGACCATTTTTAAAGTTGCTTGAATTTGTCATGCTTTCTGACAAAATCGCAACCAAAAGGGCTTGATTAGAGTGGCAAGACCAACATGACTCGGTTTCTGACAAAATCAGAATAAATGCTGATGGACGTACGCCTTCTCCTACGTGGATATGGAACATGCCTTGGTGGGTAAGAAATGGCATTCGGCCGGAAAGCGGGCGAAGTGCGTCTCACCCTATAGCTATGTACTTGATAATTACGAGATCCACCTCCCCTTATGGTACAACCTCCCACTGAACGTGACCCCAGCCTGCCCGATCGCTCATTTTCACCGATGCCTTCTCCTTGGGCTCGAGGATGTGTATAGGCAGCACATCGTCCTTTTTCCCTGGGATCTGAATATCCTTCCCCTCCGTCACCGACGCGAGATCGAACCTCAACAACACCATGGCTACGAAACCCAAGATTTCGGCCTGCGCAAAGTGTCTTCCTGGACATAAAGTGGCGCCTCCACCGAAGGCACGGAACGCCGCTGGGTGCACTTGTTTTGGTTTGTCGTCGTTCGAACCATTAGATTTATGCGTTGCGGCCAAGGGAATTTGACCATTTGACGAGTTGAAAAACCGCTCCGGACAAAATTCGTTGACTTTGTCGCCCCAGATCCTTGCGTCGGCGTGCATAATACCGCCCGAGATTTGGAGCACGGAGCCCTTGCGCAGGAAGTACTTGTCTTGCAGGAGCGTGTCGGTCGTGACCACCCGCGATGACAAGACATCGGAGTGTAGACGTAAAGTCTCGCGAAACGTTGCTAGAAGTAATGGGCATGCTTTGTTGATTTTGTTAATCTGCAACTGTCGTATATCTGCAACTTCTTTAGGGCTTGTCAGCAATGCGTTGGTTTCAAGCTCTGCTCTAATTTCCTGCAAGAGGTGAGGGCGCGCGAAAATATGCAGGATCATCCAGAACGAAGCGAATGTGGTGTTGATGATCCCGGCAAAAAGGAATGAGATTTCTGAGCGGGCGAGATTGGGAAGGGTGAAGCCATGTTTCCGCCCGACAGCAATGCGCTCTTGCGTGATGTTGGATCCAAGCTTGTCGTGTCCATGGATGAGATATTCGACATAAGCCGCTGCAAGGGCCTCTCGGCCTTTGTAAGCTGTACGGGCGGTATATGCGGGAAGGGTATTGAGGAGTAGGCGTGGAATGCCATGCACAAAGTCCCAAAATGCCTGTTCTAGGTTTGGATGCATCGTGATGGGATTTTTCGGACCGTAGAGAAACCTGGCGGTGGCAATGGTGACAATATGTTGAACCCATGCCATGAGATCTACTTCCCTGGATTTCAGCTTCTCGGACATGAGTTCTTCGGCATCAGAGTCCAGCATGTTCGAGAACTCGGTGTAAGCGCGCAAATTCAAATCATCAAGGGCACCACCCGGGGTCAGTGTCGAGTAAATTGTATCCTGCACATCGGGGTAGAAACCACGGACTGAACCATCTCTGTCGATATTCGTCGCCACAATCTTCTTGGTCTGGTCGTCTAAGCCCAAGACACGCTGGGTGACTTCGGGGATGATGGGGTTGAATGAGAGAGCTTTTGAGGCCCGCTGGACGCTTGCTGCCAGTCCTGGATCAACAACCACGTATGTCTTGGATGTCAATGTCTGGAGTGCGAATATTGGATGGGAGAAGCGGGAACTACATCCAAATGTCAGCGAAATAGGTCGGCGATGGTGGCTCAGCCTGCAATCTTACCCAAGATATCTGAAATAGCCAGCCCCATATCTGAGTATTCCGAAAACATGGCCAACGAAGGGGGCTGAAGATGGGACTACAGGAGGCTCACGAAGATCATACTGCTTTGGGGAGACTGCTTTTGCCAGAACCCAAAGAGATAGTGCAATCGCAAGCGTAAGAAGTGATAGGGAGGATGCTCCCTCCAAAACCATAGCGACGAGGTCAGACTGGGCAGATATGAGAGCATGTCATGTTACGACTTGAACGCGCGGGTACGCTTGAATGGAATCTAACTTGGACGGCTCACGCGTCTAATGACAAGTTGACTACTTTGTAGACCAGCTCGTCGAAATCTGCCGGTGTCTTCGAAGTCGAGTTCGTCATTAGCGAACGGTCAAGTGTTTGCCGAAAATGGCAGGGGAACTGGTGTTGTGGTTGTCTACTTCGAGCTTGTAAAGACGGGGGATTGCCTCCCTTGCAATGCGATAAAGCCACGTGAGCTAACGTCTGACGAAACCTCACCCGTCATTGCAATACCCAATCCCATCCTTGTGCACCCTTCCCAGGCACAGCTTACAATCTGAGAAAGAAGATCTCAAGATACTGACTAAGTGTTAACCAAGATTTTGGTGCAATTATATTTAGCGGTGCTGGCTTCATGGAAATTTGGGTACAGATGAATGTCAGCAATAACCGAGGTCTTCCTACACTCGCCGCTCAGGGCCCAGAATACCAAATGAACACTGCACCCTCAAAATGTTAGCCGAGGCCTTTTGTCCAAGTGCGGCAGATAAGATACAAAGCTCGTGGATCCTCAGCTACGTAGTAACCCTTAACCACTGGTGCGCACAGAAACCGGTGTATGTACCCGTCCACAATTGGCGTCTCCTCCATCAGGGGCAGAAGCCTTGTCTACCATCTTAGATTGTCTTCACAGTCGAATGGCGAGCCAGGCCGAGAGCAGATCATTCTCAGCTGTCACATTCCTCATGCGCATCATTAACAACAAAGAAGCCCACCACTCAAACACTGCATCTCCCGGACGCAAAGGAAAGTTGCAGAGAGAAGCGATGAAAGAGAACAGGCAAAATGCTAGCAAATTTGAGTAAGCCAAGAAGAGGATCAGATATCATGCAGTCACATTCAGAAACCTGCTTTCCTGCCCCTTTCCTCTTCCGGAAGTGGAAGGATTGTTTCAGTTGTTCAAGTAAAAGTACACCGTTGACCATCGATGCCTGGACAGTATCCATCCAATGAAATCTCTCGAGTTGGAATGTTGCATGTTGTCAACAATGGAATGCACATTTTCCTAGATCGAAGTACAAACAAACACTTCGATAATAGTAAGCTGTCATACTTCTCTGTGATGCAAAGGTGACCATTGAGTTTTCTTCTCAAACTAGCTCTTCTCAATCTGTAGCAGGAGCAGTAGGACATCATGTCGTCGTCATCCTCTGACATGCACTCTACAACTCAGCAACTCCAGCCAACGCGAGTGGTGGTGTTCGACGAAGAAGGCAGTCCAGTTCGCCATCCAGAAAGCCCTACCAAGGGCATAGGGAGTTCCAAGCGGACTGCGCTCGGAGAGTTGACTCCGGGGACGATCGCACAGCGAACTCGGAGTGCAGCGAATCAACCGGTTACTCGGCTGCCAAGAGACAACAGTCAACAACCAAGACCAAGATTATCGCCCGATAAGGTCGGTCGCCATTTTACAATCAAGGTAGTTGGTGGCGAGGAATGGGCCGCTCGCGATGTACGTTTTATACTTTGGTATTATTGTCGGACCGCGCTCAAGTTCGATTCGATTGCAACCGCCTTGAACTCAACCTATCCAGAAGCGGACAACCAGATGACTGCTGAAGAAGCAGAAGCAATTGTCGAAACCATCAAATCAGATTGGCCCCGAATCAAGCAAAACTTAACACCCGGTCATTTCGCCATCCCTGAGGACTGGGGATGGCATCCGTGCGACCATCTCATGATTTGCACGTCTCAGCAGACACAGGACCGACAGTCAGTCATGCGCAGTCCAAGGACTAGGGTGGCTGGAGTCAAATTGATCAAGGAGATTTTGACGACGCTGTGGCCAGGCTCCTGGGAAGAACTTCTCCAATGTCCAAGAACCCACCACAATATCCGGGAAGCTGAATTGGAGTTACTTTCTCAACCACGTCATATAGACAACAGGGGTTTCCTGGTCCCATCAATGGTTCAAGAAAGCCGACGGTTGGATCTAATTTTGGACGAAACATCTCTGGGGGACGACACGGACCAGAGCGTGTTGGACCATGAGCACGACGCTGAAAGCCACCTATTTCATTGGGTAGTGAGGGTTGTAGGAGGCCCAAAGGTGCTCTACACATCCATCGAGGTCTTCCTCATGACCACATTTTGGTTCTCTCTAATAGCACATTGGTGTTATCCTTTGCGCCCTGAGAAGACTTATCAGGATCTGATCCGGATTTCGGCCCTTAATTTGGAGTCAATCGTGTTCATGCTGTATGGTGCTATGAATCTCGTCAGTGGCATTTTGAAATTCTTGAAGATTGAAGTGCTGGTCTTCCATGGAGTTGACGAGTCACCTCCACTGCCTGTGACTCAAAAATTTCGCGCGGTCACCATTGGTGTTGCTGCAGCCTTTGTTCTTGCTTTATGGCAAGGCTGGTTGTCAGAAATCCACGGAGAGGCATTGCAGGCTTGGTACAAAGACTCGAAAACCGCCACATGGCTGCGAAAGATACCCCAAGGATGACTCAACGACAGCAATTTCGTCGTCTCGCGAATGCAATAACAGATCCCAAGGGAGCGGTTGGCCCCGCGTTGAGAAATGCCGAGTATCAAAAGCTCACGATCCCCACCATCGAGCATTGCCTCGGGCTCCACCACCGGCTGCGAAAGCAGATTCTTCTTCTTCAAACTTGAGCCTTTCGACTATCTCACGGGCTCGGTAACTTTTGACAAATTTCCAAGCTTCAGTATCGGCCAAATTCCATGCTTCAGCCACACCACGAATCTTCAGAAGTGGCTGGTCCTTGCTATGGATGTTATCTCTTGCTCTACGCAGAAGGTTCACCTCAATAGCGGCTTGTTCATCAGATGGAGGATTGGCGTCTGAGCTCTTCTTCTTTTCGGCTGGTAGACCAGCAAGAGGTTTCCATCGTTCGGGACCTGGAACTGGAGGAAGAGACTCACCGTGGGAGATTGAAGTGCGTGGAACTGGAAAGCCTAGATACCAATCCACATGCTCAAGCCAATCCTCTGGAAAAGGTGCTATCTTTTCCGGGGTTGGGTGAGCATCATTGGTCGGTGATTTGGGAGGGGGTGGAGGTGGCCAGAACGAAGCTGGAAAGTGCTCGGTTGTAAACCACAAAGACCGGCTACGACCATATTCTGAAGCCACGGCGTCCTTCAAACTCACCACTCGGCTTGGTCCACCCCGGGCATTTCCAAGAATGTCTCTCGTTACAGCAGTAATCCAAGGATCACGATTTGTATAGCGTCTGATATGCGCAACAGAAATGCTCTCGGACTGATTGGTCAAAGTAATCATCGTGTAAGGGTGGGGTACGGTTGCAATTGTGAACAGGCTGGAGGTATTTCTGAAAGCAGGGGCGGTGGTGATCCTCATTTTGGAGCCCACGCATGGGCTGCATTTCGGTCGATTCGGCGGGCAGGATGACTGCAAGATGGAATTTGGGCATTCGGTAAGGAGATGAGCAAGGTCCTGTGAGGGCTTGACCAGTGTGAATGTGTGAGCTGGTAATGGTTGTAGGACGGCAATTCCACTACTGAAGGTGTTTTGCCAGATAGTATGAAGGTGGGCGACAATGAGCTGATTGAGAGAACGGCGGCCTTTATTTACATCTTTCAACAGTTGTTCCCCTAGGGCTCTATATTTAGAGGTGATCGTCTCGATATCGTAATGTGCAATCGAGGTTGACTGTTCAATCTTGAAATGGTCCGAACTGATTGCATCCGTAATAGTCTTGAAAGAGCTTAACTTCACATTGTCAAGTGCAGATTTGATGGCGTCATTGATTTGTATTTGTTCTCCAGCGAATAATCCAGAACCTAGACCTTCAAACTTGGTAAGCTGAGCAAATTGTCCACGACGCAGGTGAGACAAAAGTGCATCGTCGTAGGAGCTCATGGGAAGGCAGTATGGGCGAGCAAGTAAGCCTGTGCCCATGTGAGCCCAAGCCAGCCATTGCCTGAACTCTTGCTCCAGAGTTGTTTGCATCCCTTTGGAGTGAAGAGTCTGGTAAAGAGGATGGTTCATTGATTCGGCCTCAGTCAACACGACGGGTCGGAATCCGTGAGCCCACCAGGCCCGACGCCAGATCAACAATAGTTCCTGATCAATTTTCTTTGTTTCCTCGTCTCTTTTGATTGTCATATCGTAAAATGTGTAGACTGGGGTTCGTTCGAGTTGCAGAGGGAGGACTATGCGGTCTTCGTCGAGGGTAATGGAGGAGGAAAAGGGATTGAGCCATTTCCAATCACTATACCAGGAGCTGTCGCCATGCGTGCTGTTTCTCTGCTCCGGAGGCTTATGTGCCGATTTATGGAAGGAAAATCGAAAATTGGGAATCGTGCCTCGAAGACTTTCGGCATAACCAATTGGATCCTTGACACTATCGGCAACCGGACGAGAAGAAGCAGAAAATAGAATAATTCCAAACAAAAAGACCGCGCCAACAAAGATGTACTTGAGAAAACGCCTGGGAGCCATTGCAATGAAGTCCAAAGAAATATGTACAAGGACGGAGCAGCCAAGAAGGGAGGCACAAGGAGACAGGCAAGAGTCAAGCAATGGGACACATTATGGAAGTGGTCAATTGGTCATGAAGACCTTAGTACAAGAGATAGGGACCCCTACTCTGTGAGTGAGCCTTAGAAAGTTTTAGTATCATTAACGATGACGAAGCACGCGCGGCAGACCAGCTTGATTGGAGTGTCACTAAGTCACGTGATATGTATCAGATACCGAGGTTTTTAGCTCTACATTAGAGTACGTCGATGCTTGTCACGCATCGTACCTAGTATGAGTGCCACCTACCTTACAGTATGTATTTAGTAGTAGCGACTGTAAAGTACGTCCTACGGAGTAGTCCTGCTGGTTTGTACCTAACTTGATGGCCACAATGCACATACCTGAGTTACTTAGGTACCTGGGTAAGGTAAGCAGTCAACAAGTTTCGCCATAATATCTTCTTGCCCATAAGGGGTCCTTTGTGACGAATGGTTCCGGGTATTCGCAAAGCCTTTTGTTGTTGTTCGAAGTGAATAGTCAGTCCAATTCCGTGATCTGTTGTCGACATTCATTGAGTATTTTGGGATTATCCATCGTATCAAGGAATGCGGCGCCCTAGATATTGGATCAGTTAGGGCTTCGCGTTTAGTTACCACTATTTACGGAAAACCCTCTATCCACAATTTCGTATAAAGAGTCCCATCTTTGTTTTCTCATAGTCTAGTTAAGCACGATTCAAGGCTCTGTAACTCCTACCATCTTCGTTACATTTCTCGACTCATAGATTACTCGATTTGAATATCTCTACTCGAAATAAATTTTCAGCCTTTTCCACACGATGAAAACCTTCGGCACTCGAAACGGAGCCCCCGACGATATGGACTATACCGATCCTACAAACAAGTACAAAAATCTTAGGTCCGCGAAGTACGCTAATCGTGATGTGTTCTATTATGGGCCGGAGGTGGAGCTCTGCTGGTCCTGTGGGTGGAATACACATAGCCAGAGATACTCGTCTTATGCATCCCGACTTCGGATCATTCACACCCGTCGGAACTGTGGATTGTGGGCAGTTGGGACTCGTTGGATCCTTCGAGATGAGCAGAACGATCGCTTCCTTGGGAACCACTATATGACCTTGAAGTTTCTCCACAAACAACCGAACCTGACTATCCCTGTTTGAAAGGAAATACGAAGCTTGAGTCAACCGACAGGATCCCATATACTTTACCCTAGAGTCGCGAATCGCTGGCAATACACTTGTGGAATTTTGGCCTAGCCTCTCTCCGGAGGAAAAGGAGAGCTATAGCTCTCAATTAGCTGATGCTATAAGACAGTTAAGACAGTTTACAGCACCCCGACCGCAAAAGGTTAACGTCAACCAAATGATGACAACGTTATCGCTGCGTGCTTTACGAGCGCTGCAGGTAACTGTTTTAAGATTCCATACAATGACGATGAATGGTTAGACGGTCTTAGACCAGACCTTCGTATATGATTATCCAGAGTTCATCAAACCATAGATCCAACCATCATCGAAGAGAAATTCTAAGAGCTTAAAGACTGTTTTCCAGACTGTGCACCGTATGTGCTCATCCACGCAGACCTTAACCCCAGCAACATTATTGTCAAAGACGGCAAAATACAAGGTATCCTCGACTGGGAACGAGCTGGATACTAACCCTGGTGGGTGGAATGCCGAGCGTCGTATCAGATTCCCAGTCATTACACCAATGAGATATTCGATCCAATTTGGGAGGAGCTCATGCCAGAGTATAACTGCGAGAGATGGGTAGCGCTCATTGAGAAAAAGCTGTTTCCAACCGAGCAGGCATGGGGTCACTGTCGCCATAACCACCCAGACGAAGAGAAGTCTTGGTGAAACCAATCCTTCTGAGAATGTAGAGATATACAAGGAGACTTCAGGCCGTTTGACAGTCTGAGTCGTATTCCACACAACCACCAATCCTTCTCAGTGATCTGAGTGAATCGTGACGGAAGCCAGGTGTGCTAGGTGACATAAAGGAGTATCTACAGAGGAGAGGAACTGCTGCTCAATTGATGGCCAGATTGATTGTAGACTAATTCTAACTAACATAAGGGTAAAACTTTTTTTCAGGACGCTTGCCTAAATTTGATAGTCTTTCCTAATTCCGTCTTGACATTTCGACGGCTTACGGAGTACTTACTTACTCGTGGGTTAAGTAGGTAGTTCTGGGCTGGAGAGACGACAAACGTGATGAATTACTTAAAGCAATACGCGATAGGGTCTAACTGCATGCAAACGAGCTAACATTTGGACGCCAGACGGTTTTCCGCACCAAGGGCACGGCAACAACTCTCACCTTTCCGAAGTCATTGCATTGCGTATAAACACCAAGCCCCTTTTGCGAACATCCCTTTTATGAACGACCAGCTCGTGCCGGATTTTAGACTTTTAATTCTATATATAGTGGCAGCAAAAGAGGGAACAACCTTTCTTCTAGGCTGTGCTGTACTTGGATTCTCGATCCAGGGGGACATGATAGTAACATGACTTTTCTTGGTGATCGGGATGGTGCTCATTACATCCTAATCAGAGCCATCGAGATCAATAGCTCGACCATTCATGGTCTGCTGAAGGTGTTCACATCAACCGCTTAAGTATTTGATCCATTGCTTGGTCATTGTAACGGACATTCGTAACGAAGTGTGCGGACTCGATAATAACTCCGGCAGTGGTCAAATATCGGTCTATGCACGGATTGCGAGGATGTTCGAATTCCTCAAAGACCAGCCGAAGGAGTGGCAACGCTATGATGACAACCCCAGAGGCCATGTGCGATCCAGATACCATAGAGGAATTACCGCCATAAACTCCTGGCTGCTGGATTTTGAACGATGAAGGTATCTGCTGGGCCTGGAATGCAACCCGGAAGTCGTGGTAGCCGCCATTGCTGCTTTGACATAGCTTTGAGTTCAACGACTCGTTCAAAAGCACCGCAGTCAGGTAGGGGGCATCCACCAGTATACCGCAATTCGGCACTTGCCTTTTCCACGGACAAGTTGAAGCTTGGTGGGCGAGTTCTGGAACGATTCGCGCACAGTCAGCTTCAATCCTAGCACCGGTGATGATGGTGATGAGCCATCCCTCAATTTTTTTTGGAGGAGCGATTGTACATCCGAGGGGCTCATGTTGATAGCGAAATGGTCCTGTCTCTACGCCACAGGTCGCTACAAGGGTGAAGGAAGAGAGGACAATCCTAGGCTGGGATGAAAGGAGATATGCCAACCCAGAAGAGCCGGTGTCGGTTTCCTTGCCACCTGGACATTTGCAGCTTTTCAACCCCGGCACACCCGTACAAAATGTTTCATGGAGATCTCTCGTCGTCGAGCCTCCGCTTGATGTCACCCAAGCAGGGCCATTTGTCAAATCTGCTGTGCGAGTTGCCGCTGCCCGTGAAATGCTTTTTGCGACGCGAGGCAGCAAGAGGGATAGATAGCTGCATCAGTTGGGCAGTAGTCTCTGCCTGAATACGCACTGCTGGCTGTTTCGGACTTTAGAAGGAGAACTTTCCTTTTTCGCAACAATTAAAAGAATCGCAAAGAAGAGACGCCCTGGCACTCAAAGGATTCACCCTTGCGACCTGCAAATCAGTAAGGCTGGCAGCCAGTTCTCTTCTGGTGAGAAAGGTATTATATGGACTCTTCCTTTCTTTGAAGCACGTCGGCACCGACAGTAGGCACTACAAAGGTACGATTCGAATTCAACATAATTGAGGTAGTTCGTACTGTACACTGATGGGGAAATTGCAGGGGTCCAATCCATGCCAAGAGTTCGGTCCGGATGTTTTTCCGACATCGGATTCATTCTGCGCAAAATTTATTGTTCGGATCATGAGAAGTCAAAATGAATGACTCAGACACCTGTCAGTGTTCTCGATCATTTGGACCGTAGCTGTCTGTATTGATGGGATACATATTGTGGGCAATTTATACCTGACTCCTACTCCGGGTACCGATTGCATTCAGCTCAGATATCAACGCCCGGTAGCGAAAGAGCCTGCCTTTGACCAGGTTCCCCAAAGATGGCACCAGATCATGTTCCAGAGCATCTGGAATGGTGGGGCGATCACCTCAAAGATCAGACCATTTCACCTTTGACAAGAGACTACCCTGAAGCAGCTTCTGACAATTTACATAAACGACCTATCGAAGCTGTAGAGTCATTGGCTGCTTCCAATTCTACCAATTCTGCGATGAGGAAGTTGTCTTCTCTGGGTTCAAGCGTCATCGTGTTGCAGACGGCTCTTGTCATCTTGGTCAGCCGGTTGACTGGAGATGAAGATATCAGCATTGGTACCAATGCTCAACTGAATGCTCAACCATTCGTTCTAAGGACCTCGATATCAGCTTCTGAGACGTTTTCACAATTGTATAAAAGAATACAAGATTTAACATCACAAGCTTCGGAGAGGGTAGTACCTCTCAATGCTATTCAGAGTCAACTGCAGACTGCGGCACCTTTGTTCAAATTCGCTGCTTTCAATACGAGCGATGCCGAAACGACTCTCGCTAGTATCGAAACAACTGACTTTTTGCTAACCTACAGCCTGTCTTCATCTACCGAGCTCCGCTTAACAGCACGCTACAACCAGCGCCTGGTTTCAAGTGCAAGAATCTCAGGTATCCTAGCTCAGATTGTGCAATTGCTAGAGAATATTGTCGCAGCTGGCATTGACTCTCCGGTCGGTGGCATCGTCTTTACGACTCATGAAGAGGGAAAGCGTCTTCCTAACCCTACGAGTGATTTAGAATGGTCCAATTTCCGAGGAGCTATTCATGACATTTTTTCAGCGAATGCAGAATCTCACCCCGATAGAACATGTGTGGTCGAGACAAAATCTGAGGATGGTCCACAGAGAACCTTTACTTACCGGCAAATCCACGAATCTTCCAATATTCTAGCCCATCACTTGGTTCAATCCGGTTTGAAGAAAGGGGATGTGGTCATGATTTACTCATACCGAGGTGTGGATCTCGTTGTCGCAGTTATGGGTACTCTCAAAGCAGGTGGTACGTTTTCGGTGTTGGATCCTGCTTATCCACCCGATCGACAGAACATCTATCTCGATGTATCAAGACCCCGAGCTCTTGTCATAATCGAAAAAGCTACCCAGGATGCCGGGGAGTTGTCTGACAAAGTTCGTGGGTTTATCAAGGAGAATTTAAATCTCAGGACAGAGGTTCCAGCACTTCGCCTTCATGATGATGGCTTATTGCAAGGTGGTAATGTGAAGGGCAAAGATATATTTGAATCCGCCCGGGAATTTAAAGCCAAAAGCCCTGGAATTGTGGTAGGGCCTGACTCTACGCCGACATTGTCTTTCACATCTGGATCCGAAGGGAAGCCTAAGGGTGTCAAGGGACGCCACTATTCGCTCGCATTTTATTTCGATTGGATGGCTAAGACATTCAACCTATCAGAGAAGGATAAATTCACGATGCTTAGTGGCATTGCTCATGACCCCATTCAACGGGATATGTTCACACCTTTGTTTCTCGGTGCGCAACTACTGGTTCCCTCTAAAAATGACATTCAGAATGAACGATTAGCTGAATGGATGCATGAACACGGAGCCACAGTCACTCATTTGACTCCTGCCATGGGACAAATCTTGGTGGGTGGGGCTGTTGCTCATTTTGACAAGCTACATCATGCTTTCTTCGTGGGCGATATTTTGATCAAGCGAGATTGCAGATCGTTACAGAACTTAGCCTCAAATGTGAGAATCGTCAACATGTATGGCACCACAGAGACCCAGAGAGCTGTCAGCTATTATGAGCTTCCCAGCCGGACCGAAAGAGAAGGTTTCTTGGATGGCATGAAGGATGTTATTCCAGCGGGCCGTGGTATGTACAATGTACAGATGCTCGTTGTCAATCGATTCGACCGCACTAAGCTCTGTGCTGTCGGCGAGATTGGTGAAATCTACGTCAGAGCGTCAGGTCTTGCCGAAGAGTATTTGGGCACGCCGGAATTGACCAAATCCAAGTTTGTTTCTAATTGGTTTCCCGGTCACGAGCAGGGCTTAGAAGCAGATAAAGCTCGATTTGAAAAGAAATTCAAGAATGAACCATGGGCACGAGACTATCTTGGTCCCCGAGATAGGCTTTACCGTAGTGGGGATCTTGGACGCTACACACCTACTGGTGACGTGGAATGTTCAGGCAGAGCGGATGATCAAGTCAAAATTCGAGGGTTTCGGATCGAACTTGGAGAAATCGATACTCATTTGTCTCAACATCCTTTGGTACGCGAAAATGTCACTCTCGTGCGAAGAGACAAATTCGAAGAACAGACCTTGGTTAGCTATGTGGTTCCACAACTCAAATCTTGGACTTCGTTTCTGGCCCAGAAAGGCAAGGTTGATCAGCAAGATGATGGGTCTCTCGCAGAGCGATTTGACCGTTTCAGGCTACTTCAACAGGCTGTGCAAGAGTATCTCCGGACCAAACTCCCTGCATATGCTGTTCCCTCCGTCATTGTGCCAATGAAAGCAATGCCTTTGAACCCGAATGGAAAGATCGATAAGCCCAAACTACCTTTCCCGGATGTTACTGCCAGTCGACGCCGAAGGTCGACGATGCAGCAGCAACTTACAGAAAGTGAACGTGCCCTTGCGAGTATTTGGGCAAAATTGGTTCCGGATTTGATGGCGAATACGATCAAACCGACCGAGTCTTTCTTTGAGATTGGCGGTGAAAGTATGAAGGCGCAACAATTAGCTTACCAGGTGCGAAGAACGCTCGGTGTCGATCTTGCTATCAGCAAAATCTATAATCGGCCGACGTTGAAGGATATGGCTGCATTTATCGATCATGTCAGGGCGGCAGACTCTCTCGAAGGCAGAGAACAAGACGAAGGAAGCACCAATGGAGTTCAGGTGGAAGATGAGTATGGAGCAGACGCCTTGAAGATGGTTGAAACTCTACCAGAGGCTTTCCCTGTCGCTGCATCGGATTCTTTAAGGAGTCCGGTAGTCTTCTTGACTGGGGCAACTGGCTTCCTGGGATCTTTCATCCTTAAGGATCTTCTTGATCGTAAATCACCGGAGATCAAGAAAGTCATTGTTCTTGTTAGAGCCAAAGACGAGAGCACAGCTATGTCAAGAATCAAGGTGACATGCCAAGCATACGGTGTGTGGTCCGATTCATGGTCATCACGAATTCAATGTGTAGCAGGAAGTCTCGGACCAACCAAATTTGGGCTTTCTGCTGATATTTGGAAACAGCTTGTCGACGAAACAGATGTTGTAATCCACAATGGAGCGCAAGTCCACTGGATCAACACATATAAGACTCTCAAAGCACCGAATGTTTTGGGCACAGTCGAGGCGTTGAAGCTGTGTGCTGAAGGCAACCCGAAATTCTTCGCCTTCGTTTCATCTACAAGCGTTCTTGATTCCGACCATTTCGTTTTTGAATCCGAACGTATCGTTGCAGCTGGTGGTGAAGGAATCAGCGAAGAAGACAATCTCACTGGCAGCAGTAAGGGACTTGGAACTGGGTATGGCCAGAGCAAGTGGGTGTCGGAATATTTGAGTCGTGAGGCTGGTCGAAGAGGTCTCCGCGGGTGTGTTATCCGACCAGGCTACGTTTTGGGTGATTCCAAAACTGGTGTGACCAACACCGATGACTTCCTCATCCGTATGCTCAAAGGATGTATTCAGCTAAAATCCAGACCGAACATCAACAATACTGTCAACATGGTTCCAGTTGATCATGTCGCACGAACTGTTGTTGCTTGCGCATTCCATCCGCCTTCAGAGCAAGGTGTCCGAGTGGCACATGTCACCGGCCACCCCAGACTTCGCTTCAACCAATACTTAGCAGTGCTCCAAACTTACGGATACGATTCCAAACTCAATGATTACGTCCCTTGGGCCTCGAGTCTCGAACACTACATTGCGTCCAACTCTGACTTCGCACTGATGCCACTCTTCACTTTCGTCGCCAACGACCTCCCATCCAATACCCGCGCTCCCGAGCTGGACGATAGCAATGCCGAAAAGTCTCTTTATGCAGATCGCAAATGGACAGGAGATGACTTCAGCGCCGGCAGCGGTGTGACGAAGAATACCGTTGGATTGTACCTGTCTTATCTGGTGTCGATCGGCTTCTTGCCAGCTCCTGAGGCAAGAGCTCAAAACAGTGCCGTCAAGAGCCTCCCCGAGGTTAACGTGTCGACAACGCAGCGAGATGCTCTACAAAGTGTGGGCGGGAGAGGAGGATTTGCCTGATTGAGGAGCATCTCGCTTTTTCTCGGTTCTTTAAAAGCGCCGATACAAGTGCGGTCGACCCGAGAAAGAAGAATGGTGAAATTTCGGCTTTGTGTGCTTCGCGACGAAATACATCGAAAACCCGAAACAATGAAGCTTTTCAATTGTTTGAGGGCAAAGGGGAGAATAAACTTTCCCCCGACACCCGTGGGTGCCACCAGATCTAACTAGATCGCTTAGTCAGATCTGACACTCATTGCTTGATTCGTCCTGTACCACAACAAACGCTCTATATGCATGCCGCACGGGAGATTTGCGGTTCGGCCGAAAGATGCAAAACTCTCTGAACAGCAACACGACATTATGGATACCTTGCTTGACTAAAGTACGGTCTAGCGGAAGACAAGATACGCTCGTGCCTATTAGGCAGGGTCGCTAGTGATGCAAAGTAAAGCACCAACGATAGATACGCTTTGAAATTGAAAATTGCGTTATTTCCTGCTTACTCTTCTCACTTTAGAAAAAGCCACACATAAACCTCCAAATCTTATCTGCGTGTTGTACCCGTCTATCTGAGTATTATAGGTACCTTTACACCAGTACTACCGAGCGATCACGAGCCACAGGTGCTTCGACTCCAGGGGAAGGTCCACTACTGCAACCGAAAGTCTTGAAACTTTGCGGTCTTGCCGTGACTTGATACATAGAGTCGTCTCACTTCCCAGCCATGCCAGACCATTCGCACTACTTCGAAAGCGACCCCGACTGGGCTCACTTTGCGGCGCAGAACGGCTACAGCCTCAAATCGCCACCGTATGAGATCCCAAAGCTTGATCTTGCATCGAACCGGACCGCACAGCACGTAAGCGAAGGAACATGGGCCGCGGAGCATCCCCTGTCGTCCGTCGGATATGAGTCTACAGCCGCCACCGTCAGTGCACGCGACGGCTTCAACATTCCAGTCAAAATCTCCCGCCCAGTCACCTCCCGCGCCCCAGGAGACAAACCTCTCCCTCTCTTATTCGTCACCCACGGCGGCGGCTGGGTGCAAGGCACGCACACCACGGAAGAAGCATGGCTGTTGTGGCCACTGTACGAGCACTTCGACTTCGTGGTCCTCAGCGTCGAGTACCGACTCGCGCCTGACAGCCCGGCGCCCACGTACATCGACGACTCGTGGGATGTGCTGACGGATGTGCTTGCGCGGAGCGGGGAGCTTCACTTCGATCCCGACAGGGTCATCCTCGCGGGCAGCTCGGCTGGCGCGGGGGTTGCGGCTAGTGTGTCACAGATCGCGCGAGCTGAAAACGTCAAGATCTATGCCGTGCTCCTCAACGTCCCTGTGCTCTGCGACTATCGCCATTTCCCCGAGAGCGAGTATCCCTATACTAGCTATGAGGAATGCGGCGGCGCGTTTTTCTCCTCAGGTGAGATGCGCGCGATCTGGGATATCGTCGCCCCTGAGCCGGAAGGAGGGCTGGATCCAAAGATTTCGCCTCTGCTCGGCAATCTCGGCGGTCTGCCATACCATGTCATCTATGTGGCAGGCCAGGATCCGCTACGGGATGAAGCGATCGCGTACGCTGAGAAACTGGAGAAAGCGGGCGGCAAGACATCCACTACGGTGTATCAGGGCGTGCCCCATAATTTTGGTGAATTTTGGCCGCTGGAGGCGACGCAGCGGTGGTGGGTCGATATCAGGAAACACGTCAGGGAGATTCTAGAGCGGTGATGATAGACAAATATCTCAGAGGCGATGATTGTTGCGACGTGTGCAGTGCTAGATTCAGACTTGCTTTCAACCATGGCAAATATAAAGAGATGATGGGTGGTAGGGGGTGGACTCAACGTCGAGGTCAAGTCTGGCTAGCTTAGGGCACCAGCAAATGCAGTGGTATTCATGTGTAGAATTCAACAAGATACGAATCCTAGAAGACATCTAGCAAGTCCAGGTATATTTCCTACGAACGAACAGAAACCAGGACTAAACCGCCGCGGGCAGGCCAGGGATGGGGAGACCCAGGGAATTTACCAACTGAAATCACATCAATCCAGATCCATTACTTTCCAAACCCTAAACCACGACCAAGACTGCTCAGAGTCTTTCCACCCTGCTGTGTCACAGCCTTGCCCGTATCAACGGCTTTGCCAGCACTTTGTTGGACGCCGGAAGACGCAGCATCCGTTACACCTTTTGCTGCACCGGCATCCGGGATGGAAGGGGTAGTTCCGGCGCTAATAATCGTTTCTTGAGCTTTTTTTGATGGTGCTGGTGCTGGTGCTGGGCTTTTGCTCCCTGAGGTAGGGGACCTGACATTCGTGGAGGGGTCGTTGGACTTTCTGATGCCTGCTCGCGAATTGGGAGCAGGAGAATTGATGTTGGCATTAGCTGAGTCGCCACTTTTGCCTGCCCCTACCGAGTCCATGACCTTCCCACCAGCACCCTTCCCAACATCCACTGCTCTAGAATGCATGCCGCTCAACTTCTCGCCCAGCGCCTTGGGTTCTGGCCCGACACCCTGCCCTTGGTTGAGTTGGCCACTGGTCCACCGTGAGCCCAGCTTTGGCGGAGGAGACCTGAGGCCTGACGAGATCCGTCGGACTAGGTCGGGCGTGGGCACCGAGGTCGGGGGTGATCGTGCCCCAGTAGTGGGATCGAGTCGCGTTGGTAAGGCAGGAGATTTGATCCCAGAAGGCGTGCGGTCGAACTTCGTCGGTAGTGACGGAGATTTCAGGCCCGAGGCAGCACGAGAGAGAATCTGTGCTGGTGAGGTTTGTTCTCCTGCAGATGAAGGAGTTCTCGCTGCGTTGCCATTCTTGTTTGAACTGGAACGATGTTCGAGTCTTGGCGGTGCCTGTTGCTCAGAGGTCGTGTTGGTGGCGTCGACGTTCTTGGATGAACTTGCTCGCTTCTGGAGTTTGGGTGGTGCTTTCTTTGTGTCTTTAGTACCTCGTCCGCCAAAGCCAAGGGATGGCATTCTAGGAAGTTCAGGGAGATAGGACGCCGCCCGTGAGGTGTAGGACTGTCCTGCATTCGCGGCGCGTGTCACCTCTGATGCAGCAGCCTTTGCTGCACCGCCAGCTTTGTCTGTCGAGGTGTCCAAACCTTTCTGTACGATTTGTCCCGTATTTTGTGTCCTTGCGCCAACAGTATTCGAGACACTTCCTGCCGAATTCTTACCAGTTGCAGGAGTGCGGTCTTTGGCTTGGTGGATGATGGGTGCTTGCCGTGTGGCCTTTTGAGCCGACTTGACACCAGGGTTGCCTTTGGGATCCAAAGTGTTCTTCACTGCCGGTGTCACCACGTCCGAAACAATACCTGCGGTACCCTTGACTGCTGATACTGTTGTGTCTGCGGCTTTCGAAGCATAGTCGGCTGGTATTTCAGTTGCGGTTTTCGATTTCTTCTGAGTCTTCTTTGCCTGCTTGTCAGTGCCAACCAGTGATGGCATGCTGGGCACTGATTGAAGGTAGGAAGACGCCTGCTGAACATAGCTTTGGGTTGAGCTCGACACATCCTTGGTAGTGTTTGCTGTCTGACCTGTGACCTTCTTGGTGCTTGTAGGAGCAGATTTTTGCGCGTTGCTTGCTGGTGTTGAACGAGGCATATGTGGCAAGCTCGGCAATTTTTCATACAGCATGGTAGCATAGCTCTGAGTGGAAGCTTGAACATCGCCAGCTGTCTTTCCAACAGTATCGCGAGCCTTAGCTGGATCTTGTGAAATCTTTTGAATATTCCCGGCAGCATTTTGTGCATCTTTTGCACTAGGAACTCCTGGGGTATAGAAGTACTCAATAGCCCTAGTCACTAAAGATTTCTGGGTCTGCTCTTGGACTTTCTTTTCGAGCTCAGCTGCTTCTGCCTGACCCTCAACCTCTTCATCGACTTTGCCACCTGCTGATTCACGGCGGATGAGCCATCGTCGCTGAGACTGTAGAGACTCCTTTTTCTCCCGTTGCTCCATCTTCTGGAGTTCCTTACGTTCTTCCTTGACTGCGTTAATATCGATGTCTTCAAACCCAATGTTTGTCAGAATACTGCCGATGAGGTATCTGTACCTCAAGTGACCGGAGACGTCCTCAGAGACATCGACATTTTCAACGCCAGCCAAGCCAACAATCTTCTGCAGGCCAGCAACGCCGTACTGAATGGCTGAAGTGCGATACATGAACCCAAGGACATAATCATTCTCAGAGTAGACATTGACCAGGCGGCCTGCCACAGCACTTCGAAGAACTCGCCAATCGCTTGTATCACTCGGAGTTGGAGCGCCAATCAAGACTGCATTCTCGACAAGTCCGAAGGCTTTTCGTTTTGCCAACGTCATGAGGCAAGTGTAGATGACTCTTGCCCCGAGGGAATATCCGATCAATGTTACTGGTCGCTCGCCTTGCGCACGGTTGATGAGTGCATCGGCGAGAACTTCACCAGCTTTCTCAGAACGAGCCTTGGCAACACTGAAAGGGTTATCGACGACTCTGGCAACCTGGACCAAAGCGATTGGCCACATAGCAGAAGCCAATTCGGCAAATATTGTCCGGGAGATAAGTTGCTTCTGGGCATAACCCCAGGCTGCAGATTGGACCATTCCATTCATGGCATTTCCGAGATTCAAAAGTGCCTCCAGTTCATACTTCAATGCGAAGACTTCTGCTCCAGTGCCCATCACTCGCCATGGTTTCACCACTTCCTCTTTCTCCGTCAACCAGCCAGAAATGCAAATCGTGACTCGCAATTTATGATCATGATCGCTGGCTTCTTCAGCACCCTTCTTCTCATCTTCACTGGTCTTCTTGTCGCTGCTGCTGTGTACAGGGAGAAATTGAAAGTCTTCCACATCTCGGGCATAATGATCCATCATCTGCCCGGTCATGCGCCCGCCATAAGCCCCGAAAAGTCCACCCACCAAGACAGTGCTTCCGGCGACAGAACCCAGATAAGCGGCGGCACTGGTAGCACCAAGACCCAGACCACCCATAACGGAACCAACGCCCGCAGCAATCATAGGAGCAGCCAAGCCACCGGTAACACCCAGAATAGCCGCACCAGCAGCAGTCGCAAGACGGACCTTTCTGATTCTCGCCTCCTTATTCTCCTCGGCCATTTTCTTCGTTTCCTCATCCGCAGACATTTCTTTTGCTGCCTCGAGAAGCCCCTTGCCTGTCGTATACTCGTCCTGCTCAAAAGTTTTCAGTGGCAGCTTCAAGGATGATGTCAGATTGAGCATCAATATCCGAGAATGCGCCTTGTAGTGCTCGAGAGAAATCAAGAGTAGCAACAAAGCGTGAAGAATCAACGTCCGCTGATTCATGGCCATCTTGGTGAGCGGTGTCTTTGCAGGAGGGAACAAATCCTTGAACTTCAGGTTGACCATCTTATTCGGCACCTCCATAATCCGGCCAACGGTGCTCGGCGCCTGAGGTTTAGAAATATGAGCATTTCCGGAATTTTGTTGGACCTGCTTTTGGGCAGTTCGTTCGCTGTTCACTACTTCTCCAACGCGCGTTATGACCTGTTCACGCCATTCATCGTAGGCTTTGAGCGAGTCTTTCTTCAGATTTTTCATTTTCAGGGTCGCCAGGTCTTTCGTAATTTCTTCTTTGAGCTTCTGTTCGCGTTCATATGCGCCAACATCTGCATTAGAGGGGTCGGCGGCCATGATTTTCTCATCTTCTGTCATACCCTCGCGCGAAAGGCCTTTATCCAAACCAGCAGAAGCATCGAAATTGTCCAGGATGACCTTGCGCATAGACTCAGAGAGCGTTGCGACAAGCAAAGTCAGCTCGCCTCTTTGATTCTCATCTAAGATTGCCCTTAGATCAGTGCTGTCCTTGTCCTTGGACTGATCCTTGCTTGCCGGCTTAGTTGATTTGCTGTCCGACATCTTGGTAGTGTGGTTTTAATGCTTGGGCCTATGTTTCATTCACCCAGGGCAGACTGTGCAACCAAGCACATGACCTGTGATTTCGAAAAGTGATCCTGACAACGAATATAGTAAGTGAAATAATTAAGCGAGAAACAGACCAGGCTAATGTAGTAGGACAGACGAAGGGAGAAAACGAATCGTGGCGGTGCAGCCCAGTTTTGATGGGGAGGAGGGAGGAAGTCACGATGACGTATTCCTAACAATGGCTGGGCGGTGCTTTCAAGGGGCATCCCTGTACAGCAGGCAAATGGCACAAAACCTGGCATTTCAAAAGCATAAAAACGTTCGCGGCGATGATCGATGTTTGGCTAATGCCTGTTTGCGTTGCTTTCTTTCTTTCTTTCATCCCGTGGGGGCTCGGTTGAAGGGTTCTCTTGAACACTCATTCTGGAGCATGAAATCTAAAGAATCACGAAACACACTCGCTGGTTTGATTTTATCGTGCACTCTGATCGCCAACCTCCCGAAATGCAATTCAGAAATGTGTGGTGTCCCACCATGTTTGGCCTAGAGAATAGTACCGAAGCTGTCTATGTGTCAGCCAAATTCAGAGTCAGATATATGCATGGGTCAGCTTACCCAAATGTTTGTTTAATACTGCGGACGTAATAACCTTCCCAATTGCGACGCACTACCTCTTCTTGTCCAACAGGCACCCCAGTCCAAGTGACCCGCAAATTGGTGACTCGATCTACATCGTTCTGATCGAAAAAAATCTCCTGAGTACTCACGTGTCCTTCCGGCCATTGAGCAAGTCTCCATGTCTGTACCAATTTCTTGGGCGATTCTAAGGTGACGAATTCACCTGTGACGTTTCCGTCGAAAATCGCAAATTTCCCACCAGGTTTAGCTCCCTCAAAGACTCGGGGCGCGCCTCGTGTGAATGCTGCAATACGCTGCGGATCGGTGAAGGTCTGGAAAAGCTCTTCAGCGCTCGTGCGGAATTCGTCTGTCGCACTAACGGTGGTTGTGTTGATAGACGAACTGCCAGACGTGGATGTGGTCACTGGAGCCGCAAAGGTTGGATTTCGTTCTTTCTGAGGATGCCACGTGGGTGTAGCAAATCCACTGGAGGGGTTGGAACCAGGAGCATGTTGGAGATCCTTCCCATGCTCTTCAATGAGTGCAGGGGCGAGAGTGGAGAAGGCTTTTCGAAGTTGAGGGACCAGGGTTGACCGAACAAGATCCTTGACTGGTTGTTTCTCTTTTTGCTCAGAGTAAATGTCTATCTCAAACTGCAAGATGTAAGTCATGTGACATGAAGTCTGCCGTGGGATCAGCAATGGAACATACAACGTACTCCTCAGGCTCGGTGTCATATGCACATTCGGGAACTCTGATGCTGCCGCTGACATCAATGCCTTCCTTCGTTTTTCCTGCATAATGTCATCAGTGCCCTGTTCACAATTTACTCCGGCCAACCTAGGACGAACCTTCGTATTCTAATTGTAAAGACACGTCGAAGATGGTTATGACCTTTCCTTTTCTTTGGCTGACTTCGACGTCGCCGTCTAGTGACACAAGCTTGGTAATGTTTGCTGAAACCCCATCTTCCTCGGCCGAGACCTTCTTGATTTCTGTTTCTAGGTATTCCTTGGCCCACGGACCAGCATCCTTGGTGACCCAGTGCCAGTTGTTCGGGTTGTGGAGTACCATGGTGGACAGGAGGGAGAGAAACGCGAGCGCAGATCAATCCTACCACACCAGATTAGATATGCTCTCTAGACACTGCACGGGAAGCGTTCGAATAGGGAGAAAAATCAGGCTGAAGGCTTATTGCCGTATAAAGCTGATCCGCATACAAAGAGTACAAGTCTTCTCAGACTGGTGCCAGCTGGATTCTCATCACAAAGTCATGGAGGGAAGCATTGGCGAACGGCACGTACCTGGGTGTTAGCCTTGAAGATGTCTACTCAGACTCGCAGTTCTGTAGTGTTCTTTGCGCATTGAGTCTGAATTGTGGATTTAATTGTGAGCGGAATGGCCTCTTCTAAATTCTGAGAGAAACGTCTAGAAATTTAGAAGTGATTCTGCCAAGGCCTGTTGCACCCGTGCCGGGCGACTATTCCGGAACGGGAATGAGGCCGCTTTAAACAATATCCCGAACGCGTTAGAAACATCGGCCTGCATTGCCTCAGCCGGTTAGGCTTGCCGGCCAAGCTGGTCTCATTCTTGGTATATAAATGTTAGTAAAGAAATAGTAAAGAGATAGCAACCCGTGGTGTCTTCCCCACGTCGACCGCGTCTCAGAAATGTACCCTGCCCGTCCGACGTTGACAGAGCATCATCAGGTTGTGTGCGGGCTTCGTGGAGGTAGGCCTTGAAAGCCAGAATTGGTGTCCGTTCAACAGTATTCGTTCCTTACTCAACGCCGTCCGATAGAGAGGTCTTTCTGAACGAAAAGTTCTGTGTAAAGGGACACGGAGCTGCTCAGTGACTTTCATGACATCGCGTCCAGGCCGGTGCAGCTTGCTGTTCTTCGCCTTCTATGCCGACATCGGGCCTTTACCTATGATGCTAGGATCTCAACTATTTTCAACACATGGCAACAATGCGTGGATGACGCCAAAGGTTGCGTTTGCCCGAGCATGCTTGGGAGGCAAGGGTACAGGTAACAGCATTATTGCGGCGAGCTCGCTCCATGATTCGACCACCAGGGCCGACGAGGGAACCAATGCCAGAGTCATGATGCAATTGCTCGGTGTCGCGCCTGGTACACCTCGTGAATATGCCAGGAAGTGCCAGCCGTCTGATATTTTTGCTTTATCATTGCGCGAAGGTATGGGGTCCCTGCATTTCTTCGACCATTCTCCCATTCGCTAGCGAGCGAGGATTGATCGGTTGGTCTCGAATCGTCCCTCACGCAGATTAAACTCAGGAACTCCCCGTACCGAAAGAGCTTGAACCAGACAGAGTCTTGGTTCAGGTCTCGCACGCAGCCCTGAATCCATTTGGACATACTGTACGTTGATCGGATGACTTCAATGGGAGGTATGAATAGCACTGGCACTTGCACTGGCACTTGTCACTTTTCTAGTAAGAGAAGGATTCCAAGCTCTCAAATTATTCTACTAAATTCTAACGGTTTCGTTCATTGAGTAAAGGGATACGATTGAATATGGCCCTTCTACCATCGCGTTAACTCCACAAGGACTGCAACCTTCCACGACTCTTGGAGCAACGTCAATCCGTTATAACCACTGCGTTCTTGACATAGAGGCCTTCGACAGCAACCTTGACCAGGAACCTCGCCGCACTAGAAACACTGATGCTGTCGGTCATGCGCATGCCGGCGCCGCTGCTGCCCAGCGTCCGCACCTCAGTCTTCTTGTCGGCTAGCTCCTGCTCCTGCTTCAGATCGTCGTACTCCAGCCTGCAAGCCCTCACAAGAGTGTAATCCATCTTCGTCAGGCGGATCTCCTTGTCCAGGATGCCGTGATCCTCGAGCGCGTACTTGATGTTGGTCCACCCCATGAATGCCTTGGACACCCACGGCAGCGTAGCCCATGAATTCCCGACGCCTGCTGTCGACATCACTACAATGCGACGAATGCCGGCCTCCTCCAGGACCTCGCAGGCATTGGCGCATGTGTCGGCTAGAAAGCGAGGAGGTGAGACCTGCGGTGCGAACGGGCTGTCGGACTTCCGGACGGCGTTTAGTGTGAAGATCGCGGCAGAAGGTTTCTGAGAGGGCGCTGCGGAGAGGGCCCTCTTGATGTCGGGTTTCGACAGTGGCGAGCCAGTGACGATGGTGAGGCCTTCACGAGGGGCGAGGCTATCAGGATTTCGCACCAGCGCTACCGCTGTGTAACCCTTAGAGAGCAATTCAGATACAACATGTCGACCGGTGCGCCCAGTAGCGCCGAGGAGCAAGAAATGCATGACTTTCCAAGAATGAGAGGAATCGTTGAGCACTGGTGTATAGTTGAATTGGTGTGGAGACGAAGTGTCTGTCGTTGCAAAATTATCCAGACAGGTTGAAGGAGTCGGTTGTCTCCCCTTTCTTAATGGAAGGAAAAGAGGCACCTATATAGACCTAAGGCACTGATACTGTGAATGCTTAAGCACACTCTTTTACAAGAAATAGTGGTCACGGGGTTCCGGCTCCATTCGTGGACTTAGCATTGGCCTCGGTGGGGGCCGTCTCGGGCCCGATTGAGCGGCAGACTCAGCAGCTGATTGGCTGGTTCGCTCTGAATACTCTAAGTGGAAGCGGCAAGGCTGCAGTACCAGCATGCGATCTTATGCACTCACGTTAGCCGCCTCGTTATCCCTTTTCTAAAATGCTATGGGTGATGTAATTGAGGGTCTGAGCGTGATACGTGGATCAGACAGACATTGAACCAAATATTCCCGAAAAGATTGCATCGCTTTGCCATGAGTATTAGCACACTTTAGATCGCGCCTCTCGACCATTTCTATTCACACTGCGCATTCTATAACCCTTGACCCTTTCGCCGATACTGTTAGCTAATCCTTGTAGTCGGTCGTTCTCGGTCCGCAGTTCGGCGTTCAGATTCGGCGAGGAGTCCAGTGTACCCAAGAGAATTATTTTCAGTATCACATGGAAGAGGCGCATGAAAGCTACCGAAACAAGCTCAGGGCCAGGAGGTTTGATCTCCGTCTCAACCAGTTCAAGGCCAGTGAGCCACGATCCTAAGGAGTCCAGCAGAGCTACTTTCTCGGACAGTAGTCGAACAGCGTCTTCTACCGATTTGATTTGTGACACTTTGCCGAGGAATTCAACAGTCGATGTGGCAATCCTGGTAAGCTCTGTCCGCATGTCGGGTACAATCCTGGGAAGATCTGGAGATTCAGACATCGGAGACACAGGCACCGTCGTCCCGCTCATATCAGATATTGTTGGAGGATCTGCGAACTTACATGGTGCAGCAAATAGCTTGATGATGAACAGGTCAAGGAGAGGCAGTCTCCCATGGTGTGCTGGCACCAATTTATCTGCGGGAACAAGACATGGCCTGGCCCGGTACTGATGCATGATTCTGAATCCTCGAATGATATGCTGGGCCATAGCAGTGTAGTTTCCTCGCACTTGCTCAATGCTGACAAAGACCTGACAGCAAAGTAATGCCGACTTCAACCCGTTGGAGTCTGGAGAGGACAAGTTAGACGCAAGACCCCCTAAGGCCATACAGTATTGCTGGACGCCGTAATCATAGCCCGCAGTCTGCTGTGTGGAAGATGCTGAAACGACTCCGGATGCCTCGAGGTCTTCGCGAAGAGCTCTAAGAGACAAGACTGCGTGTCGTATAGGCGGATCAGTCAAGCTGGCTTGAAGGACTTGCCTGGCCTCTTCACCACAGCTCAGCTTCACATCGAAAATGGTTTTGGTTGAGAAATAACGGTTGAGAAGGTCGATGTCCAGGGGGCCAATCTCAGTAGCGGTGGGCCGAATGAGTTGTAAACCAACGCCTAACCGAGCGCCGCCGGCATGAGCGTTGTTCGTGGGTTGGTTAGTAACAAATCTAAAGGGAGCCTCGTAGCCGTCGCAGGTACGACCAGTGCCAACACATTTTTGGCAAAATGGCTTGTTTTCGTCGCATTTGACTTTCCTTATCCTATTACTAAGTGAGCACAATCACTGCAGAGTTGACTTCCGGCTAAATCCTCAAGCTGGAGGCTTAGACTGATGATGGAATGTGGGACTAACCTGCAGGTTGTACAACCAGTTTTCACCTTAGTTCTACATTGGATGTTCCGTTTCCGGGCGACAAGGCTTCTGGCCATCGTGGGCGCGGTGGGACATTCGTGCTCGTCGCGCAACGCAGCGCCCTATGGACGGGAAAGAGAATCGCAACGAGCAAAAAGCCCGAACAGATCAATCAAATGATCTAGCAGATTCATCACTGACACCAGGATCGTTCGGAGTCGGTATCGGTTAGTATTGAGCCGTGATGTTGAAATTGACACCCCTCGGGCCCGGGGAGAAAGGATCAGCGCTAACTAAGTTCGGCAGGGAGAGCGAGCCCGCCAATCATGCTCCGTTCTAAGGCCCAAGGCTTCATCCTCAGCCTTCCCCAAGCGCGCTACACTCCATAGTTAACAGTGGCACCCTGGCGAGTGACACCATTACCGTAACTACGTTCCGCGACCCAGTCGTCTCCACCAGCCTCTACATAACATACCGGGCGGCTCGCCCAGTCTCTTTCGAAATGAATACTTGTATATGTCGAAGCTCATCACGCACAGTCCTCCATTGGTGTGGAAATTCCTGCACAGCTCCAAAATGCCAGCTTTCACTCTTTATGGCGGTCGTGGTTCAACCAACACCGATCGGGTCCTCCTGACTCTCGCGGAGGGCAGCTTTACGGACTTCGACCTCGTGCTTCTCAATCTTGGAAAAGGGGAGCAGAAGGTGGGTAGACAGTTCCTCTTGGAAGACAACGCTGCTTTTCCTTGCGTTAGCGAATCCCATATAAGTTATGCTAATACCCCTGCATCCAGTCCGCAGAAAACATGAAACGTCACCCGTGGGGGAAAATACCCGCCATAACTCTCCCCGAAGGATTCACTCTCTACGAGAGTCGCGCCATCTGCAAATATCTCGCCAGGAAGTACTCCTTTCCACTTCTACCATCGGAGGCCGACGTCGAAGCCACAGCGCTGTTTGACCAGGCAGAGTCCGTAGAAATGGCCTACTTCCAAGAGTCTGCAGGGAAAATCGCATTTGAGAAATTCGCCAAAAAATTCATGGCGCTGCCTCCCAACGAATCGGTGGTCTCAGATGCACTGCGGTCGGTGGAGGCGTACTTCGACGTTGCAGAACGCCTCTTACAACACAAAGACTACATGGCTGGAAACAAATTCACTCTCGCAGATATCTACTACATCCCGCTGATCCAAAGACTGTTTGCCTGCGGGTATGGTGAGGTCATCCGCAGTCGCAAGGCTGTGAGTGCTTGGTGGGACCGCTGCACGAGTCGACCAGCCATACAAAAGATGTTGGCAGCTGACAAGGAGGCTGCGGCTGCTCCTAGAAAATAAGGGGTAAATAGGATAAAATCAAAATATGAAGAGGAATAGCCACCTCTGGGCCCAAGACGCAAGCTTGTTTCCACGGTAGTGTAGCCTCACCAGCTGCAAAATCAGGTCTCCCCATAAGCACGACGCGGAAAATTGATGATTCGCTGCAAGCATACGGGATTCGGCACCTCAGCCTCAGCCTTTTTCTCAACCAATGTGACGCAGAAAGGGATTCAGAGCCCTTCTAAATCTCCGTCCTGTCTTTTTCTAATCTTGATCAATCATGAAGACACAATACCGTTCACCCAGCCCTACGTTCAATTTTAGTGGGACTGGCCCGACAGGGTTGTGTCCACTGGGCATACAGGACTATGATTTTGGCCAGCAGCAGGGGGACGGCAATGTGAATTCTGGGCTATGTGGGATTTGAATCTTGGTGTTTTCTGGCCTGTTACTGACGTGGTGTTGGCGTTGGAGAACCTTTTCTCCACTGAGATCAATGATGCTTTTTTAGGCTATGGCGGGTCATAGGCGACCAAAGTGGGCTTTTCCACATGATCTCCGCCGAGGCGAGTCCGTGCCTGATGCTGAGTCATGATTTACTTTCTCTGTTAATGTTAGGATTTCCGTCTGTGGACGTGTCAGATTCACCATCACACAAGAGAAGGACCTTTGGTAGCACAAGTACTTGAGATGGAAAGGCCTTATTTTGAAGACCTGCAAGTGCTCAATGTGCACGGAGCGTGCCCTCCAACCAACCGGCTCCATTACTCAATAATAATGACAAAATTCCATATCACGCAAGGAAAAGCGTGATTCTCTTGTGTCTCCTCCGAAGACTTGATGAAGCTCTACTTCAATTATGAAATCATTCCATCACTCCCAGATTTTTCTCCATCCTTGATTCATCGTGCACTCTCGATGTACTCGGCACTGGGCTTCTCGTATTTGGCGCAGAAGAATCGTCCGCTGTTTCTAGACAGCCAGGTACTGAATTTGCTGAGCTCCGATTTCAGACGGGACACCGATTCTGCGTCCATATTGGTCTGTGCAATGATTTCGGGAAGATTGACTGGATATTCGTTAATAGCTGTCAGACAAAAGGAAGATTAATGGAGTCGACGTACCGATCATGCGAGTGAGATGTTCAGCACCATAGCAGTCACCAGGGCCCTTGCCATCCCACTCCTTGTATTTGCCAGATTCCCACAGCTTGCGCACCTAGGATATCATCAGTATAAACCGGGTCTTATTGGGATTTCACTCATTGTCTCACATCGTTTAATTGGCTGCGCTCGAACCGGTAAAGCAGGATCTTTCCAATTGCCTTCTCGAAGTAAGTCTTCAGTCCAACACAGAATTCTTCCAAGATATCTGCTTCGACAGAACCGAGACGTCTGTTGGTCTTCTCTTCATTGAAGTACTCGTCAAGGATGAAGTTCGCCGGGGCTTGGCTGGGGAGAGGAACGAGGAGCAAGGATTTGGTAACATTCTCCCAATCGTCGACGAGGAGATTCTTGAGGTGGTCGGGGATAGAGATCCGAATCGATGGTCGATTTTGGTAATTTTCTTCCTGTAAAGATGTTCCAGTGTAAGTAAATATGTCCAGTCCAGGGGTAATGAAATTGCCATCACGATCAAACAGCTGGGTACGGCTTAGTTGTTTAGAGCTGCGCTTCCGGCTTCCTTTCTTTCTATGGTAGGTCCTTTGTTAAAGGTTAGCTTCGGCCAAAGCTCCTTAGGAATTTTGGTGTCCGGTCCAAGGTGCACATGTGAGGTGTCGGAATTCACGTTCAAATGTAGTGTAGCATCAGTGATACTGCTATAGAGGAAGTCTGCTGCTGGCTTCGGCTTGATGTCAAAGCTGCATTCATACCCTGCATGGGAACACCAATGGCAGATCGGCTTCTGTCTGTTACAATTGATGCCCATCGCGGCACAGGTAGTGCATGGACCTTCGTCTTCCAGTTGATCATTAACAAAGGTGGTTGGTGGTGTGTTGCCTGCTGATTCAAGCAAGCCGCCGGGAGGCAGATTTTCGTCACCGACAAGAGGCTGGAAGATCGAGGACTGGCTCATAGTTGACATTGTCGATCTAGCATTCGTTGATTGCAACACTGAGTTTCCCATCGGAGGTGGATTGGCATTGCTTGATGTTGCAGGAGTGCTGCTTCTCAGAACGCGAGCAGGACGGGGAGCTGCACTTCGAGCAGCAGCGGCTTCTTCCTCGCGTCTGCTTTGCTCTCCGAAGAAAGGGTGATTGTTCGGCAACTTCTCCTGAATGGTAAAGGGTAGCTTCAAAAGTACATTGAAGGGCATCTTCGCCAGAATGTGTGGGTGCAGTTCTTCCATCAATTTCTTCGGGATCTTCAGTAAGGCCGTCTCATCCCAACCGATCAATGTGTCGGCATCGTCACGGTTCAATTGCTGGACGAGGCGGTCTGGGAACTTGAGCGCGTCGAAAGGACCACCACTCCCTGGTGGGTCGATGACAAGAGGATCTGCGTCGACAACAGCGATCTCATGGAGTCGGTCGGGAGCAACGCCCTGATAGAATAACTTCTTGTTGAAATTGCCTGGATCGCCTCTCATGGTCTTGACGAAACCAGGGTGCTCGGTTGGCTTTCTCGTCAATTTACCAGCCTCCCCGAGCTCATCCTCGATCATCGCTTTCTCCTGCATTGTAGTACTACCGATGAGTGGAGCAAAATGCTGCTTGTCTCGCTGTCGTGCCGTATTCTTACTGAATTGTTCTGGTTCATCAGGAGGGGCCGGGCGGGCGAGGATCTCATCGACTAACTCAGTTTGCATTTGCTGCTGTCTCTCTGCAGTCCAGTATGCCTCGTCTCTGGCATGTGGATCAGCCATTGTGCGCCGTCGAGTAGAGGTTGATGCTGAATTGTCTCTAGAGGTGCCGACGCGTCTTCTCTTCGACACGTTGCCATGAGAACTTTTGACGGTGGAAGTGGTGATTGATGGAGATCCTTTTTGTGGACCTTGATTCAGTGGTGAGGGAGACATAAATGTAGACGGAAAAGATTCTGGGATCCGCTTTTCATCGTTGGGTTTCGTGATCGAAGGGTTCTCGGCGCGTTTTGCACGTTTTAGAGCAGGAGTCATTATGTTGTCTTCACTACTCAGTTGCTTGGCTGAGCCCTTATATTCTTTGGGCTTGCGAGCCCTGGTCTGCAGACCTGAAGCGGGAGGACCCATCGAACCGGCAGATGATAGCACTCCAGACGCTTTGACAGCTGCCTTTCTAGGCACATGGATGAATGATGAGAGATCCAGACGCTTATTGGGCACAGAGTCTTGTGCTTTGTCCTTCGCCATGCCTTCTGGCTTGACAGTCAATGTGGTCTTGATAGGACGCCTCGGTTTGGTGAGCACAGGGGGCCCCACGTCGTCCTGGTCGCTAGCCTCATCCAAAATCCCAGAGATGTGATTCCAGGGGGTCGGGAATTGATAGGGTCCACCTACAGCTTTTTCCAGGGTATCCAGATTGGTATCCAGAGTTTTGGGCGCAAGGGGATCACCGTCAGAAGGGAAAGGAGGGTAATGGGAACGCTAATCAGAAGAGGGACCACCAACCTTTTCAATATCGTTATCCCGCGCACGCTTTGAACCTCTGGCTCCTCCGGTAGGGATGGAGGATGTACGTTCCTCACTGCCTCTTCCGGAACCGAGTTCAGAACCTTGACCCCGTCTGGTTTTCCCTAGGGATTTTGTCACGGGCTTTGGGGCATTCTGAGCAACGGCTTCTCGGCGGAGGTTTGCTGCAAGCTCGCGGTTATCGTCTGTGAGTTTGCGTAATCGATCCTGTGACACCCAGTCGTCCCAGCTGGTTCAACATTATTTATATCAGCCTGTGATCTCGCTAACAGCTGAGTGGGAAAGGAAAGGAAGGAAAATGGGATTGGGGAGCGTAATGGGATTTTTTTGTGATGAATGCAGAACCAAACTGCGAAGCACCTAGCGAGGTAGCTGAAGATGATTGCTGTCACCACGACTGCCTTGCCCGCTGCCTCATGTTTGATGATATAGGGGAGGCGAGGAACAAGAATGAGGTTAACGAAATTTTCACATCGTGGGCAGGACAACAACTCTCTGAGATATGAGGCTAGGTGGTATGGACAACTGGGGACTCACGTGTTCTTCCATCCTTTGTAATGGACATAATATTCATAATGACTATTCTTGTCCTTGGGATCCTGTCGTTTGATTTCGAGGACCTTTGCTTCGTACAGAAGTTCACCATGAAAGCAGAGGGCCTTTTCGTCCTTCTGGTACATAGGCTTGCTCTCACTGGACTGTGGAGCCATGTTTTTGGCTGTGCGTTGTGAGTTGGGTTCGTACGCACCGACTGGACAAGGGGATTCGCGCGAACTTGACGATTATTGCGGTCACCCAGGCGACAAGGGCTCATGCACGGGATCTCAACCGATAGCCCGTCCAGGGTAATCACAGCTTCCTGACGCCAAAAAAGAGAAGAGAAGAATTTCAACAAGGAAAGTATGGACAAGGAGAGCGGAGGGATCAGGACCAGGTGGGTTGGGCGAAATTTGAGATCGAAGTGAGGAAGTGAGGGTTGGGCGAGAGGGAAGATCGACGGTTGTGAGGCTCCTTCATGGTTTCTGCCAGCCTTGCCAGCTATTTGGCCGGGAAAGAAAGACGCTAAACCCAATTCCCTCTCATCAATCACGACGCGTCACTTCATCTCAGTGACAATCCATTTTGGAACTGCAATAAGCACATAAAAGAAACTGAAAAGCGTGTATCCAGGCGTCATTTGTCCTACATATCAAGACAGAACGCGTGTATTGTGGTTTAGGGACCATTGCTTTCCAGAAGAAACATATTTTTCTCAGCCGCAGGGATTTAAGACCCTCTCTCTCTCTCTCTCTGCGAGACCGTTCCGCTTGTACGAAATGTGTCTCAAGAAGCCTGGGATCCGTCCTTCTATCTAAACTGGGAGTCGAGGTTTGCATATTGCCGAATTCACAGATTACGAGAGGCCAGGCGACTGCTGTGCGTTGACAAAACTTCCTTTCACGCAGCACTTCAGCTCAGTCCAGTCGGATATCTGCATTCGGAAAACATCATCTGGTCAGCCAGCACTCTATCTGGCAGACTTGGTGCTATCCCAGCTGCGAAGGATATAGTCCAAGCCGCTTCTACAGCCCTTCCGCGACCAGTGCTAGAGAAGTGTGCCCTGATCGCATCTTAACAGTACATCACCATGGCATCGCTCCACCCATCTCAACCAGATGAAGCCGAAATCTTGACTGCTTATCTTTTACATCCCAGCCCTATCCCTACAATTCTCCCCTACTCACGGTTTCAGTCTCTGGTACCGAAATCATCTTCACTTTGTTTGACAGAGCTCAAGCGATTCTATAGAGATCTGCAGTTCCAGCGAGATATCACGATCGATGATGTCCGACGACGAATAGAGATTGAATGTCGACGAAGCACAACTCTTCAGGCTCGGCTAGCTAGGAATCTGCAGCGGGAGACTGGGACGAAAAGAAAACGCGAGGATGATGGCGAGAACGACGGCGGTGGCACGTACGCATATCAAACACGGAAGACTTGTGAAGACTCCGACTCCGACGCCGATCCGGAGTACTCAATCAAACTGGATAATGCCCTACATGGCCCCTTGGGCAACACCATTCAACCACAAATCAAGAAGCACAACCACACCACCACCTCTTTACTCTCATCACTTGCCACCGCAGCTGAGGATCTCACATCAGAAATAGCCTTCCTCGAGGGAAGGTTGGCAGAGCTTCAGAAAGAATGCGAGGAACGAGTGGGTGGATTGAGTGACTTGAGATATGGCAAATTCAACAATAGTGCAGCGACGGGCGAGAGTATTGAAAAGGAAGTGGTTGGCAATTTGGAAGCGTTGAAGGATGCCCTTGAAAAGGCTGGTAGCGGCTGAGGAATGATTGAGTCAATGGAACAAAGGACCCTGTGCGATGTCTTCTCGTTGCCAGGGAAGACCGGTGCCCTTATGTGCTGATGAGCTGTTTTGAGGAAGCAAAATTGTTCAATGCCAATGAGTCAAAGCCAACTACGTGGCGACATTTGAGAATATGTCCTTCAGTCGATCCTGGACGAGCTATGGCGTTGGTCGGATCTCTTTGTCCCATGGACGGCCCGCTGATGTACACGAAGCATTTTCTGGCTGGAAAAACTTCAGTGTCAGATACTTACTACTTACTAGGTAGGTATCGTTGCATCTTGCGAAGAGGGATTGTGCTTGATATCTCGCTAGATAGGTAGAAATCTCTAGCAGCCTCAGGCCTCTATCGCAGCAAAAAGAGACCGCTGGGCACCTTCCATGCCTGCCAAAGTGGTACCCCGCACTTCAGGCGTAGAATATTACATAATAATTATAGTAGGCATGTGATTCTGGAACTTTTGGAGATGCAGAGAGAATAATTATGCCAGCCACGAACTACATGATGAAATAATGCACCACCTGTTCTTTCTAGAAATCCTCTGTCGGACACCCACATGATCATGATTAAGACGGACTATGACATTCCGTTCCTTCTGTTCAACTCAATTTGACATAGACAAGGCGCAAACTCCAACACAATCACCTGGAGCCACAAGCAAAAAGCAAACAACCATGGTCACAACATCGGGCTTCTCGCATGCACCAGTAACCCGCTTCGTGATCCTCCTCTGCATATCCACGAGCATTTTGACCTCGATCCTCGACGTCAAGCACTACCTCGCAATCCGACCCACGCCGCACCTCTGGCCCTACGTGCAATTCTCACGAATCCTGACATTCCAGGCCGCATATACCTCGTCGGTCGAACTCCTCTTCTCGACCACGCTGCTGTACCAGTTCCGAGTGCTCGAGCGTCTGTGGGGCAGCCGCAAGTACGCGAGCTTCCTGTTCGTGTGCTTCTGGCTGAATGTGCTGCTTTTGCCCGCGCTGGTGGTCACGGCGAAAGTGTGGTCCCTGGGCGTGTACAACTACCTGCCTAGCGGGCTGACCGCCGTCGTGTATGCTTGCCTCAGTGCCTGGGCAGATGAGATCCCGCAGCTCTACCGGTATAAGATCATCACAGCGAGTCCGAGTTCGAGTCCTCGAAGGGCGGGCGCACGAGGTGGAGATGGAGATGGAGATGGAGATGGAGCGGAAAGTCGGGGAAGTGCGACTGGACACAGCCCACAGCAGCCTGCGGGCATCGTGCTGAGCGATAAATCTACGACGTATCTCATCGCGGCACAGTTGGCCTTGAGTCAGTTTCCGTATCAGCTGCTCCCCGCTGCGGTAGGGTGGACGATAGGCACGGCGTGGATGGGCGAGTTGTTGCCGGGTGGCCTGGGGAGATGGAGAGTGCCCAGCTGGCTGGTTGGAGAAACGAGCAAAAGCAAGGAACGAGGCCAGTTCGAGGGACTGCGCCGTCGTTTGGAGGAGGAAGGCAGCTCCGCCGACGGAATGAGGAATGTCAGTGATAGTGTCGCTGCGGGCTCGAGCCAGGGGAACAATGCTCGGAGAGGTTTTGGACGCCAGGTTTTGGGCTATTTCACTGGCTCTTGATGAACTTTTGTCGTTCTGTTGTTCACGCAGCTGGTGAGAGAGCATTTCCTCCATTTCGAATTTGATGAAATGGTAGATTTGGACAAGGAAATGCAATACATGACCTATGGGGTTAGACGGAAAATATCGAACGATGCTGAGGTGAAACGATGACTAGATCCCAATAGTTACATTTGTTTATTTTTGCATTCTACCCGCAGTGCTAATGCTCTACGTTAAAGGAAAAAAGACTTTCCCTATTCCTACAAGGCTTGCCGGGTTCGCAAGTCGGTAGGACTGATGGATTCAGCTGCACGAATGAGACGATAGCTGGCGATGTTGGGAGGGGCTTTGCCACACTGCAGGTGGTTTGAGTCTCAATGGGGGGATGGATATAGCCACGAGTCAAGTGCCGATGCCGTTCCTGGTCCTCAGATTTGAGCGCGGATGTGGTTCTGCTTTTGGAGAATTCCCTCGACCTGTGCGAGGACTCCATGGAGTCAAGGCACATATCTAAAAGAGCAGTAGATCCTTTTACTCCTCATGTCTTTAGAGATGATTGGTTTTCCTTTCCACTTCATCCTTCCTTGCCAGCACCACCCGTCTGCTCCTCGAACGCCTGCTTATATCGGGCAACGGCATTCGCGAGGCTCTTGATGATTGGGCCGAGGAGGTGCTTGACGACCTTCCCGCCGCCGCGGATCTGGTTGTGGTCTATCCTGTGTCGCCTGCCGGTCTTCTTGAAGCGCTCTTCTATCGCCTTCTGCTGGGATTTGATGTGTGCTTGTCTTTCCATCTCTGCGTCCTCGGCGATGACGTTGATGCGGTCTAGCGCGCGGTTCAGGCTTTCAACCAGCGATGCTATTTCGTTGGCGCGCGACACGTCGCCAGAGAGAAACGCGTTCCAGAACTGGCGCAGGAATTCGATTGTGGTCGCATGTGTCAGCGTCAGGCGGTCGTATATGGCGGTACTGAGGCCTGATGTCATCGGGATTTCGGAGGTTTGGTCGCGGTGCGCTTGCACCAGGGAAAGGATGTGGGTCATGGCGCTGGAGGAACCGGTTTTCATTTGACTTTTGTCATTGTCATCCATTTCCTCGTCCTCGAATTCAAAGGCGTCGATCGGGATGGCGCCTACTCCTGGTTGGGGGAAGTGGGAGGTGAGGTCCCTGTGGACGTCCTTTATGGATTTGGCCGGGTCGATATTGCGGAAAGGGTTGCGATCTGTGGTGCTCTCGCCATCCTGTTGAGAACGATTGTCTGCGAAGAAACGACTTTGATCACGAATGTTCAGGATGATTCGTTCCTGTTCTGGGTCGCCTACGAGATCGTGGAGACGGAGTCGGTTATATTCAGCCTCTGGCATCCCAATGGGTGCAGAGGCGTCGATATCTGAGGGGCGGACGGTCGCCATGAGCTTCTCAGAAAGGTTATTCAGTCTGCGAATGATGGGTGCTTTGTCGAGAGCTGTCGCACGAAGTTCGCTATCGGGTCGGTTTCCCTGGCGGCGGCTGTGATTTTCCTCATTCCCTTCTAAATCGATGAATTTTGGAATGTGCATTTCTGAGGGTGTGGGTCGTAGACCGGTCAATTCTGGGTGATTGAGGAATTCCTCAGTGTCCAGATATTTGTCTCGAGACTCTCTCGCTGGGTCAAACTTCAAGCCGCGCAGTTTCATGAACAGTTGGCTTTGGAAGAAGCGTGACCAGAACTCCGTTTCCGATTTACACTTATTGGGGACGACCTCGTCGTAAACTATACGCATCACAGGATACTGTTCAAATATAGCACGAACATGATCTCCAGTGAGACTGAGCTTGGTCCCTCCATCTTCACGTCGTAGTTCGGAGAAAACGTTGTATTTGCCCCTTCCCTGGTTTTGAGCGATAGCATGTGCCCGAAGCAGGTGAACACGAGATGACCAGAACTGGGTGGTAAACTGAATGGTGGATATCGATTCCGGCTTCAGATTCAACGCTTCCAGGAATGTTCGTTGCAATTCTGGATCTTGCTGCATGAGAGATTGCTGTAATTTGACGTCTGTCTTCAATCGCTCATCGTCCTCCCAGGAATTGGTAGTCTTGTTTGCGCCCGAAGCGGCATTCGCTATCGTCATGGCAGCGGACTGACCGCCAGCCGGTCCAGCAACAGCATTTTGTGCAGCCTTTTGCGCTTGAATAACATTGGCTAGTGAATCCTTGATCGCATTCGCTTCGCTTCTCGGATCTTTCCTGGATGTGAAGGTGAAAACGTGTGCGGTTGCTTCAGACCGACCCGGATCTTGAGCGAAGATCTTCAACATCACTTTCGCACTCGATTCTGGAGTTTGCTGTAGATTGGTTACATTTGCCGCTGATATTACCAGGCTGGGGCTAGCATCCGGCGGCTGGGCTGGACTCCATGAAACTGATTTTCTATCTTTCGAGATAGCTAGGAGGCCTGGTTGTTTCTTGTATGAGGCTTCACCGGTCGGGAGTGCCATGGTCACTTGATGTGGACACTGAAAAATAAAGGAAATAAGTCGGACTCGCCGGTATGACGGCTCCAACGAGTTCAAAGACAGGGAGGCGAATTTGCATTGCGGTGGTTTCTTGTCTTTCAGGCGTAGATATTTCCTTCGCGGCCCACACTAGTCTATCTCTTATTCATCATGTGAGACAAGCTGTTAAGATTCATTGACTGCAGTACTAGCTTGCGGGCTCTGAGCCGGCCTTGGTTCAGGTTGACGTTGGATATTTGATACACGCGAAGTTCAGGTTAAGTCCTTTGCATGGCACGCGCCAAGGCTACGAACATGACGATTCACATGTGGCATCCACCCCCTTTGCGTATACCCATCACGCTGCTCTAACGACTCTACCCGCCCACAGCCTAACTCTGGAGCCCTAAATGGCTATCGTCAAGGGCATATTAATTATCAGCCGCCTTCAAGAAGTTAGACGTGGGCAAAACGGCGCCACATTGTGCATGCCGGCTGGAGACCTATGTAGTATTTAATCTTGAGCACAACGATAAGGACAACTTTGAATTGGAATTTCCAGCAGCATATTTTGAGCTGCTAACAATTACAGATGATTAAACCCCAATTATGTCTGACATCCCTCACTACTCGAATTGGGTCAATGGCAAACGCTCTTCACCAACTCCAGACTCAATACTGGTTATCAACCCTGCCACTGAGGCTGTGATAGGCAGCGTTGACGCCACATCCTGCGAGGCTGTAGACAACATTGTGAAGGAATCAGGGTTGAACTTTCGCACTGGCTCTTGGTCTAAAGCCAGCGCAACGGACCGATTCAATGTCTTGGTCAAGGCTGCATCCCTCCTGCGATCACACATGGGAGAGTTCATCGACCTGGAGGTCAGTCAAACAGGTCGACCTATACGGGAGATGAAAGCACAGTTGGCTCGCATTCCTGAGTGGCTTGAATACTTCGCTAGCCTGGCCCGCACCTACGAGGGTAGCGTGACACCGTTCAAAGGACCGGTCATCAACACAATAACACGCAACAGCCCCATAGGCGTTGTGGCGCAGATTACACCTTGGAATCATCCGCTACTGATCGCGACAAAGAAGATCGGCGTAGCTCTTGCGGCAGGTAACACTGTTGTGGTCAAGCCGTCAGAGCTTGCACCCATCAGCGTCCTGAAAATGGGCGAGTTGTTCCAAGAGGCGGGCCTCCCTGATGGAACACTGCAAATTATTTGTGGATATGGGCGGGACACAGGCAAATTTCTATGCGAGAATCCGTCTCTCGCCCGTATCGATTTGACAGGTGGTCTGCTCACGTATCAAGCCATTGCACCGGTTGCAAGTCGAAACCTAATTCCTATCACAGCCGAACTGGGAGGCAAATCCCCTGTGTGTATCTTTCCTAGTATGGACGTTGGAGAGGCTGTCCGAGCCGCACTCTTTGCAAGCTTTATTGCCAGCGGACAGACATGTGTCACGGGGAGTCGTCTGCTGGTGCACACAGATATCTATGACGAATTCGTCGTGGAGATGGTCAAGCGCACAAAAGGTCCCAAACTAGGCGATCCAGCAGATCCCAGCACACAAATCGGGGCGGTAATTAGCAAAAACTCCGTTGAGCGATGCGCGGCGTTTGTCTCACGTGCCGTGAATGAAGGCGGGAGAGTCCTGTGCGGTGGTAAACCTGCAGACCGCCCCAAGGGATTCTACTTTGAACCAACATTGATAGAAACCAGTGCGAAATCCGAACTGTCCTGTAACGAGGTGTTTGGCCCAGTAATCGCAGTGATACCGTGTGCTTCCGAGGAGGAAATCGTCGAAGTCGCCAATGGCACAAATTTTGCACTGGGCGCATCCCTCTGGACGCGGGATTTTGCACAGGCACACAGAGTGGCGGAACAGATTGACGCAGGTATTCTGTGGATTAATGGCCATCATCTGAATGATCCTTCCTCACCATGGGGTGGGTTTAGAGAAAGCGGTTTGGGGAAGGAGAATGGACGGGAGGCTTTTGAGAGCTACACCAAGTTGAAGAGCACTATCATCAACTATGGGATTCCACCAGCATGGTTTGATGAGCAGGTGGAAGGCGCTAGATATGGATAGACAGACTGACTGAGTATTGCGAGGTCGCGAAATATTCAGCCCTCGAATGATTGACTTCGAGCTATTACTAACTAGTATCATGAATGGCTATTTATAGGCCGCATGATGGTAGTCGGACTCAAGTAGAGGGGTCTGGATATTCCTTCGAGACGTGTGTTGCTACAATTATTTCTATCATATGTGATGATACAGTGCTGCCAATCCTGGAAGCTTGATGTACTTTTGTACCAGCGCTAAGATCTGATATCCAAGCACCCGCATCACTGCTCAGCCCGCATCTTTCTATGATGGTGGCATGCTGTACTAGACGTGGCTATTGAGCACACATTCTTCTGGTGGATAGGGTCGAAATAGTCTACCTGCCTTCGAGGCATTTTTCGAGATCTTTTGCAACTTTTCGAGAATCCTGTGCAAGTGTGGTCATGCCGGCATGCACATTTGCCTTTTCAGTCGCGGTGAAGCCTCCGCATCGGTAGGAATAATTCCTGGGAGCCGAAAAGAGGTCCCGAAGTATTAGGTTACCGCCCCAGATGAAGCCTTTGGCGTTCCGGAGACCTTCGTGTAGCCGAAATACTGGTGTTGGGCAGTGTTATCTCAATGGAACAGAGCCGGTATTATCTCCCGTTTTCGACATCTCGCTGACTGGTCCTTGCTCTGAAATTTCGCTGACTGCCGTGTGAGCCGGAGGTGTCGAACGTGTCTCGTACCGGCTGACTGGGAGTTTGAACTTCCATTCTTCGGGTATGGTTTCTTGATCAGAACGATCTGGACTTCTCTCCCAAGCAACCTCATCCTCATACTCTCGTGGGTTGTGCTCTTTCCACTCCTTTAAGAATTCCATGCCACTAGTTCCAGATATTTCATATGCTTCACCCGTTTTACGATCTTCTCTTACTCGGCCATGGTCTTTGACCTCCATACTGACAAATGGCGTGAGCTAGGAGGAAACGGAGCCGTCAGCAAGCGAAGGAGGAAAAGACACAGGCTGACATTCACCTTGAAACCTTTGAAGTCAGGTACGACATAATGGCGAGTCTTCCGGTAATCGATGATATAGCCTCCATATGGGGTGTGGGCACCCATTGAACCAGTTCGTGTGCCTCGATAGAAACCTTTGCCGACCTGTTTGGTGGTGAAGCGCATGCGCGCCTGGAGTTGCGGAGAGGGTTTGACCATCTTGAAAGGCGGGACGCTGGTGACTTGAAATGGTCCGCTAGATGGAGAAATCTGGTCACAACGTGACAGCGCAGTTACAGGCTGGTTGCTACTGGAGCTTCTCAATGGCCGAGTCGAAGACTCTGGACCTGAAATTGAAGTCACCTTGAAGTTTGGCTGCTTGGGGCTAGGAATTTGTTCTGCCACGTGATGGACTTCTTTCGGCAAAACTCCGGTCAAAAAGTTTAGAAATTCCACTTCCCACCTGCGATTTGGACAAGTTAATACCCAGGTATTGTGAGAGGTGACACATTTGATATCTGGCCGCTTAAGAATCTTAGCAACCATGCCGCGGAAAGCCCATGGCCGATCGTTATACACGAGCAAGCCAGCTAAGCCACTCAAACGGAAAACCACGAATCGAAGGCTAAATGCCCTCGAAATCGCAGAGGAAGAAAACCTAGATCGAGTCAAAGTCCCACAGCATCGTTTGGGAGAGGTCGATGTCGATTCAGAAGAGCCTAGAACGGGGGCAGGCTTTGATGGTCGGTCCTCAAAGAGGAGGAAGATCAACACAACACATCAAGCCGATTCTGCAGATGAAGGTTCAGACCTCGATGGAAGCCGCTGGCACGTTGGTGTAGACGACGAGGATGAGGACAGCGACATTGATAGCGACGGCGCTTTTGGACAGAGTGACGAAGAGAAATTTTCAGACTTTACATTCCGAGGCAGCACCAGCACAGTGGCGAAGCCGAAGAACGCTTTAGTCGCACGAAAAGCTGACTTGAATGAAGACGCTCAAGGGGACGACCAGAGTTCCGATGTTCAAGATGATGAGAGTGACGGTGACCTAGGGGATGAAGCTGTCGATCTCGCTACTGCTTGGGATATGGATGACCAGCAAGAGGCAGAAGCAGGAAAAACGCAGAAGCGAAAGCACAACAATGGACGAGACCAGGGCTTCGAGAGCAATGAAGATGACTCTGAGGAAGAGATATCTGAAGATGATCAGTCTGATCAGTTATCGGTGTCTGAGGACGAAGGCGATCACTCCAGACTGCAAAATTTTGTGGAGGGATTAACTGCAAAATCTGCAGAACCAGCTGGTAGAAGTCGTCACACTACTAAGAGCTTGCCCGATAAACCATCACAATACGGTCTCAGTGCATCTAAACTCTCTGCTGCAGATCTTCTACAGTACATCAAAGATCCCCGGCAAAGACAGTCTCTAAAAGCATTGCAAAACAACGACGTGAAAGGACATGAAACCTACAAGAGCGGGATACCTGGAAAAGTAGCCCCTCCATTGGCCAAGAGACAACAAGATCGACTTGACAGATCAGCTGCCTATGATGAGTCAAAGAAGGAGTTGAGTAAATGGATTGAAACAGTGAAGGAAAACCGGCGAGCGGAACATTTATCCTTTCCATTAGAGGACCCTGCTGCAGCAGGTGTGCTGAACAAAATGCAGCTTTCAGCAACGTCTCAATCAAAACCAATGAACTTTCTAGAGTCAAGTATACAAGCTATCATGCTTGAGAGTGGTCTCTCTTCGAAACCCGGTGCCACGGTAGAAGACCAAGTTCAAGCTTACGAAGAATTGGAGGAGAAGAAGATGCCTCTCGAGGAGGTACAGGCTCGTCGTGCAGAGCTTCGTAGAACAAGGGACTTGATGTTTCGCGAAGAGATACGAGCACGAAGGGTCAAGAAAATCAAAAGCAAGGCATACCGCCGAGTTCATCGAAGGGAGCGTGAGAAGATGAATTTCGAAGAGAGGGCTCAGCTGGACGCTGAGGGGTTGATCAATTCAGACGAGGAAAGGGACCGAAATGATCGTCGAAGGGCCGAAGAACGAATGGGTGCTAGACATCGAGAGAGCAAATGGGCCAAAAGTCTCAAAGCTACTGGTAGAGCGGCCTGGGATTCTGAGGCAAGGCATGGTGTGAATGATCTCGCAAAGCGAGATGAAGAACTTCGACGACGCATTGATGGGAAGGCAGGCAATGAATCGGATGGTGATGAGTCTGACTCATTGGAATCGGCCGAATACTCTAATACGGACGATGAGAGGGAGAATTTGCAAGCGAAGCTCAATGCGCTGGAGGCAGATGAATCCTACAACACCCATTCTCGGTTGAGCTCCATGGCATTCATGCAGAAAGCGGAAGCTGCGAGGAAGGCAGCTAACAACGAAGAGATCCGCAAAGCCAAGCGAGACCTACGTTTCGACGATTCGAAAACCTTTACTGAGTTCGACATTGAAGACGAGTTTCCAGCCGGACGTCAAAAATTTGGCTCAAAGACTAAAATGGACGAACTCATGCCACAGAAGGTTGTCCAGAAGAGTGAGTTCGAGGAGCGGGCTTCTGACGAGGAACTGGCTCAGTCTGACGGTCAAGAACGCGATGTCGTTCCGGCGCCAAAGCCCTCGAGCACTGCACATGCTGCTCCAAAAATGGACAAAATACTCTCCTCCAAGACAGCAAGCCGTGCCAAACAATCCTTGGAACGTGAGGCGTCTTCTTCAGGTAAATTCAAGCCTGCCACAGTGCAGCGATCCGCTTTGGTGCAACAAAAGACCAAAGGTACGCTAGAAGCTCGGCTAGATGATTACACGAGTTCTTCTGCATCAGAAGCAGAGGATGACAAGGCGGCTCTGGCGCAAGACATATTTGCCGGGCCTGATGAGCTCGTGCAAGAATTCGAGAAGGAGAAGAATGAGATAGTGGCTGAGGAAGGAGATCAGATCGTCGACAACACGCTTCCAGGATGGGGGAGCTGGGCTGGTGAAGGTATTAGCAAAAAGGCACAGAAGCGGGCCAAAGGCAAGGTCTTGGCCACGATCCAAGGAGTCGCAAAAGATAAGCGACGTGATGCGAAATTGGAACGTGTCATCATCAACGAGAAACGGGTGAAGAAAAATGACAAATACCGAGCGAGCGAACTCCCTCATCCATTTGAGTCACGACAACAATATGAGCGATCGCTTCGACTGCCTCTGGGACCAGAGTGGACGACGAAGAGCACGTTCCAAGATGCCACCAAGCCACGCGTGCTGATGAAACAGGGCGTTATTCGGCCCATGGCTCGCCCACTTGTGTGAGCTTTGTGACCTCGGTTGCTCAGGCGAAAGTTTTAAGATTGGCGAAAAGCGGGGTGGCGCCATCGTCGAACTCTGTCTGCCGCCGTGAGGACCAAGCATGTGAGCTTTGAATCTGCCGACGGCCTCAGAAAGTATGGGATGATGTTGCTGATAGTATGTTCGTATGAGTTCTGAGATTATTATAACTTGATATCAGGATAATTTGCGCCGTGGAAGCAGGGATGAAGGTTGAAGTGTCAAGTTGTTCTTCATGACAGCCTGCTTCTAACTTTCAGCCTCGCATGTTCGCTAGTCCCGGCGGAGATTTTCCGGGCCCGTCGACGCGTGATGATTGGCTCCAGGGACAGCAATACCTGCGGGAGTATTTCCCCAAACTCTTCTCCCATGTAAACATATCTCAGCTTCACACCTTGAGTATCGGCATCTCCCTTCAACTCGAACCCTGAATCGCAACTTACTGCCCGCCTGTTCATCGGACTCGTATTCCTGTCGCAACTCTGCATGCGCTATCATTAGGTGCCCGACTAAATGTGGGCCAAAGGTCGCCTGCTCTCTGAAGGAGATCCACCGCGTCGCAATGGGTACCATACGATTTTGTCGGCTTGATCTAGCGAGTTCACAAAGATCGCAAGGTAGGCAAGACGAGGGTGGTAATGCCCTGCCCTTCCTACCATGGCTCACTCACACCTGCCTCACTGCCATTGCACAATTGCAAGAAGGAGCAATGACGAGCCTCGAATGGCATGCTACAAGCATCTCAATCTCGAGCCTATCCTCAACCTCTTCCATCGATCGGCATCCTCTACAACCTATTATGATCCCAGTACTCGTATCTCTTCCCCTCTTATTCTTTTTCTAGCTCCTGTCCTTGAACGCCCCCTTGCGCTATCCATTCCTAATTTTGTCCCCTCAAGCCGGTTCTCCGCCTCCGCGAGCTCGAGTCCTCCCGAGAGGCACACTGACCACATTGGCCGCCGTGCATGTTCGGGTTTCGGTCCAAGGGTTTCGTTCTGGTATGCCCCACAGCTCCACCTTCTTGATGTGGTAATATGTTGTCGCTGTGAAAGTCGTCGTTATCACGAACGAGCCTTGTACGTGTCAATAATGACGACTGTCGATATATTGTCAGAGACTCACCCTTGACACAACTCTTTACACTTGGTCGATCACTCCTTCATCCTCTCCATCATCTGAACGCACCTTTGGCGAATCTCCCATAGCACCAAAGCCCAGCTAAAGCTGTGTTCAGAGATACTCTCAGAAAGACATTGCTCGTGTTATCCGCCGTCGCCCTGAATACACATGAGTTCTGGAGCTACTCCGTGATCAGCAACGAAAATTTTCAACTCCCTCCCCCTCTCTATCATGCAAACAAATTGGACTCCGATTTTGCTAACAGTTTCACAGGCATACCTTGCTGGAGCGTTACCCGCCCCTCAGTTTTTCGGTCAGTTGCAAAATCCCTTAGGTCTAGATCGTGATGATCTAGAAAGCTTTCCCCTATGATGAATTACTGATCTTTTTTTCGTCTTTAGGTGCAAATGGTGCTTCTTTCACTCACGGCCCGCCTATCCAAACCTCCAACCCTCAAGACAGTTCTATCCAAGGCCCTGGGTCGTCTCCTTCTTTTCAACCTAGTCGACCTGATTTCGGTGTTCCTGGTCCAGCTCCTGCTTCTCCGCAATGGGGAAACCCATCTTTCTCCTCTGAATCCAGTGCTTGGCAGGCTTCTGGTCCGCCTGCTCCCTCTTCTGGTCCATGGTTAGCCCCTGCGGCGCCGGGCAGTGACAACTGGGGCAGCCCTGATGGCAACCCCGGAAGCCATCCCGGAGTTAGTTCAGGTTGGGATAATGACATAGCTGCTAATGGCCCCTCATGGGCATCACATTATATTTCCGAGATTACCTACGTCGATCCAAATCTTAGCATTCAGACTGTCACCGTAACCGAGCTGCCTTCATCACAGATTCCGACAGTGACGTCTGCAGCTCATGACCATCCAGACACCACGGGAGTAAGTCCTGCTCAATCGGAAATATCAGTCGGCAACATACTAACACTTGCAGTCTGTGATACCTACCCTTGAGACTGGTGGAAATCCTCCTTCACAGCCATTCCCTACAGAGCACCCAACTATCTCATATGCGACTTTGTCACCCCTTGATAGTTCGATACCATTCGGAACAGAGTCTGCAACAGGCGCACAAAGCACTGTGACTGAGACAATTACACTGCCATTAGCAACCTATGAAACCGTTGTATACACTCAAACTGTGATGAGTGTACCTGTACAGACGACTGCTATTGTCACCGCGGTTACTGTTATCAACACAACAATCACATCTGACGGAAGTATTATCTCAATTTCAACCGTTGGCCCAACAGTGATCACCACAACTGGAACCGCTATGGTCGAGACCACATTGACAGCCTCCTCAACAATAACTGGAACAGTGGCTACCACATTGACGACAGATATCTCAGCAACAAATCTACCAACCTCTAGTCCCACCTGTTTACTGAGTCTGGGTTGCTACGGGCAAGATATTTTCCAGCCAGTTGCTCTTGGGTCGCCAGCAAACAATATTCAACATCATAGTGGTCATCCGGTCCCGCGCCTAGGCATCAATCTGGATGGAGGACCTATTGAGACGAATAAATTCTACCAGAACTTTGTTCTGGGCACTCAAAGTTCTCCTGGGTTCGTTACACCGTATAGTCTCAGATGGAGTCAAGGGAGTGGAAATGCGCAAAGTTGGGGCATGGCAATTTCCCATATTGATGACAATCAAAAGGTCTTTGGAGCTCCAAATCCCACCATTTCAGGCTCACCGAATTCCTTCTACGTTAATCCCTTGGGAATTGAGTCGATCATACTCTCAGCAGCTGAGTTCGGCGCTTCTACGGTTTTGACGTCCGATTCCTTGCTGGCATTGTCTGCCAACATTCATCTTCAACCATCTGCAGGTTCGCCATCCGTCCTCACATTACCACTGGTCCAAGGGATGGGATTCGTCACAGGTCAATATGTCAATCTGCAACCAGCAATTCAAAGCAGTGTTTTCTTCAGAGCGGTTGCTGCTGCTGATTCCCCTAAGCCTGGTGTATTCAAGTACAGAATAACACTTGAAGATGGCAAGATCTGGTTGGTGTACGCCGTTGCAACTAACGGAATATCCCCAAATCTTCAGCTCGTCTCCAGCACCTTGCTTCAAGGTATTCCAAATTGGTACGGAGATATACAAGTTGCAAAAGTTCCTGATGCAAGTTTTGAATCAATTTATGATAATGCAGTTGGTGCTTATCCCACCTCTGGAACCGTTGGGGGTAACGCACATAATTCCACGGCTCAGTACAGCTTATCTTGGAACAAGGGTGGGGCCTACGTTTCGAGTACGAGCCTGCTCATGTTCGCTTTACCTCATCATGTTCAATCATTTGAGTCTGATACTTTGGGCAACCTGACAAACTTGGTGCTTGACTCGCTTACCAAAGGTCCAGCCACAGCGGTTGTTGCGGACTACTGGGTGCTCGAGGAAACCCTTCCAACCTCTCTGTCTTTTGTCCCTTGGAGACCAGATGGCGACACCCAGGTCACGGCCACGCTTTCCCCAGCCGCAATCTCAGCCATTCAAAGTATTGCTGCCGTTGAAGCTTCGCAAAACATGTCTGCTCAGACAAATCTAGACAGCATGTATTTCAGTGGAAAGGCGCTCAGCAAGTTTGCCACCCTGATTTATACCATGAACGAGTTGTCGAATCAACAAGATCTTGCTAAGTCTGCCCTGCTGACGCTTGAAAACGCTTTCGCAGTCTTTGTCAACAATCAGCAGGCATCTCCTCTGTATTACGATACCGACTGGAAAGGCTTGGTCTCATCTGCCAGCTATATCACAGGTGATTCTGGGGTTGACTTTGGCAACTCATACTATAACGACCACCATTTCCATTATGCCTATTTCATCCACGCAGCGGCTGTGATCGGCCATCTTGACCCCACTTGGTTAACTTCAAATAAAGATTGGGTCAATGGCTTGGTCCGGGATGTCTCCAATCCAAGCTCTCTTGATCAATATTTTCCTGTTTCCAGATCTTTCGACTACTATCAAGGGCACTCGTGGGCGAAGGGCTTGTTTGAGAGCGGAGACGGAAAGGATGAAGAATCGTCATCGGAGGATGCTATGTTTGCATATGCATTAAAACTGTGGGGAAAGACAATTGGGGATGCTTCAATGGAAGCTCGCGGTAATTTGATGCTATCTATTCTATCTCGCAGCTTGCACAACTATTTCCTGATGGACAGCGACAATGCCAATCAACCCGCGTCGTTCGTCAACAACAAGGCCACCGGTATTCTCTTCGAAAACAAAGCAGACCACGCCACTTATTTCGGCGCCGATCTTTCTTATGTTCAAGGGTGAGTGAGGAGCAAGTCCCAGAAGCTGAAACTGTTGCTGATTCGCTCAGGATCCATATGATTCCGGTAATGCCATTCTCTACCTTGACCAGATCTCGTAAGTCATAGCAGCCTACAAATGGTTTGTCTCGGAACTAATCATCGTCCAGGAAAATTTGTGCTAGAAGAATGGCTGCTCTACTTCGCCGATGGCGGTGCTAGGCCGGCGAGTGGTGTTGACGGTGGATGGAGAGGTACAGCATTCGTGTATTCCTTGCATACCCAGCACTAATCAATGCTACAGGTCTAATCATGGCGAATCTAGCAATAATTAACCCTGAAGCAGCGTACAACTTCTTCACTCAGCCGAATTTCGACATGAGCTGGATCGACGGTGGGGCAACGCTGACATGGTATATCGCAATGAGCGCAATGCTTGGAGGGTCGACGTGAGACAGGCCAAAACGAGGTAATGACTAACGAGATAGGTTTCGGTTTTAACATAGCGACGGTAAATAAACATGATAGGGTTACTGGCAATATTAGAAGGGTCGATTCGACATAACGGTAAACAGGGCCAACTTGGGGCGTCATTATGGGTTATCAAGGTCAAAAGTCATGACATGGGTGGTTTCAATGGATGGGAATACCAGTGTATCAACAATACTCGCCGAAGAGGATGAACGTAGGCAATCTATGGGACTTAATCATTCCTTGCCGACTGCGGAACACATGTGCAACTCTCCCGTGAACGCGGTGCTTCTCGCCATTGATTGCGAAATACGTAAGCTTGATCAGATCTTACGCTAGGGCATGTACACCACCTCCGAGGACTCGGTAGATCGACGAATCGATGAGTAGCAACTGATGGCCACCCTCATTACATATCCTTGGAGTCTTGGGTTCGGTGTGGAAAAGAAAATAAACATTCCGGAATAGGTAAGCTAAGGCTGAAGGGATCATCTCCCAAAAAGACTGGGAGGGACAATAAATAAACAGGAGGGAGAGGAAGAGGTTTAATTAAGAATTTCCCAAGGCTGCTCGGGAGCTTCTCTTGCGTTTAAGTAGTTTCAATTACACATAAAAGGCGGGGTCGGGTTGTTCCTGCAATTGTCACAACTTCAACCAAATAGTAACTTCGTCTGCCTCTGGTTGTTAGCGACATTCGGTAGGGCGGCCTTCGAGGCCATGGCGTGTGAGCGGCCGTCGGTCCAGCTGAAGGCAAGGGTCCTTTTCGCCTTCTCAGCGACGTGCGCCAGCGGTGTTTGCTGGAGCACGGTGCGTTGTATTCTACGCTGTATAAACCGTTTTCTGAATCGGAGCCGACCCTGGGGATTGTTGCTGGCAATTGCGCGGTCAAAGCTGGATGTGGAGCCGGAGGTGGCAGCGAGGCGTTCTTGTCTCTGGCCTAGTGGACCGCGCAGTAGGAGCGTGGATGCCTTTTTGATGGAGTTGGCTTCTTCGGTCCTGGAGGCGGCGGCGGTGGTGGTGCCATCGCCCCATGGCGAGGGGAGGGAGTGAGAGGGAGAGGAAGCGACGGGCCGGCGTGTTGGTATATCTGGCATTGGAGTCTCGCCTGTGGCAATGCTTAGGAGTTCTTGGTATTCTTGTGCAGGGAGAGGTGGGAGGACACCCCGTGTGTTGTTCAGATACCACTCGTGCAGTTGGTTGGTCCTACGTCGTTCCGAGATGTGTTTCCCCCAGATGTTGGTTGCGGGTTTGAGTTGGAATGGCGTTTTGACCTTTGGTTTTGCGCTGCGGAGCATGTAGCCTTCCTGTTTGGCCTGGCTCGCCAGTAGGGCCTCCATGTGCGCGGGCGGTTTCCAATGCGGCGAGCGTTTCGCATCACGAGGCTCCGGCGCTCGCTCCTCCGGCGGAAGTCCCCGTGTGGTCAACACCGGCGAGTTGAAGGCGTCGAGGAGCTCGTACCGTCTTCGCCCGGTCCGACCGTACGTCATGCTCAGAATCTTCTCGAAGGGTTTCATCGAGCCTTGGTTCGCCCGCGTGAGGATCGAAAGGAAGCTTCGGCCTTTTTTCAGGAGGGCCACTTGTCGTTGCAAGGTGAGCTCGCGGTTGCCCTTGTGTGCTTGTGGGAAGCCATCGGGGATTGTGAGGTGGGCTCGGTCACGTCGTGGCTGGTACCGGTGGAAGGACTGTTTGATGTAATCCTTGACGTAGCTGCGGCATCTTGCCAGTGGGAGGTAGCTGGCTTCCCGGAGGAGAGACCGGTATAGGTGGATGGGGTTCGTTGTTGTCATTCCATTTCACGCATAGGGGATTGGGATTCTAGTGTTCTCCTAGCTAGACCGGTGATGGGTGGATTGGACGGACTATTGGGTGTAAGATCACGATGAGGGCGCAGCCTCGTCCCGCCTTGTGCAGACTTTTGGGACGTACAGGAAAATCGATTGGGTGAGGACATCACAGGATATCGGCCATTAAACTTCCTTTGTCTGACAAGTGGGGTTTTGCAATATTGGAGGTGCTTTCATGGGTACTTCGTGGTCTGACAGGGAATTAATCTCGCCAAGGCTAAAACGCGACACGCGCCATGAAAGTGGGGATGAAGCAGGAGCGAGAGGGATGGGCACTGCGCTTGCCTGGTGGAAAGCACGACAGCATCTCAGATTCTAGTCAAGCCATAAACACAGACCGTGTAATTGACTAATTTGGTATGAATGAACCTTTATTTCGTCTAACACTCATCATTCAGATTTGCGTCAGTGGCCTCTGCGTTTAAACGTCTTTCCTCAGAGTCATTTCTTTAGCAACCCCATTTCCTTATTTCGGCGCGATTCATTTCTGCCGAGCCCGCTTTCCACCTCACGCTGCCTTCCGACTCAGACCTTCGATTGCACTCCGACACCCAACAACAGCTTGCACGAGTTTCGCAGTGTCGCCGAATTAACAGCAGTCGCATATCGAAAGATCCTGGCTCTCCTCCGCCGACATACCTAGTTCGTTCCAGTTGTCGTCGGTCTGCGCGATATCTCTCCGGCCCTTTGTTGCATGGTCGTTTTCCCCTAATCCAACTTCTTCCCTAATAGGCAGCGCAATTGCGCGCGAACATGTCTTGACAACTACGACTATAGTCACTTTCCTCAATCCTTTGATAATGATGGCGTCCGGCGGTATTCAACAGGCAGTCTATCAGCAAGCGCCCTCCTTTCCTCAACACGGTCATTCCAATTCCCTGAACGCCTCTTTCCCTCAAGCCCCTCCTCTAGGAACGTATGAAGCTCATTCTGTCGCTTCTACTCCTGCTCCCACCCCTCCACCACCTCGACCTGTCTCTCAACAACAGCAACAACAGCAGATGGTCTATAATATGAACGGCGCACCTCCTATCGCCAATGGCGGCCCCATGATGCAAGCCCCTAACTCTTTTGCCGGTTACGCCGACCAGAACGTCTATGCGCAGCCGAACCTCTATACCAATGGATTCAAGCCTCCACAGATTTATACTGCGGTTTATTCGAACGTTTCGGTCTTTGAAATGGAGGTTAATGGTATCGCCGTAATGCGACGTCGAGCCGATTCCTGGCTGAATGCGACTCAAATTTTAAAGGTTGCAGGCGTAGACAAGGGCAAGCGAACCAAGGTCCTTGAGAAAGAAATTACTGGGGAGCATGAGAAGGTTCAGGGTGGTTATGGCAAATACCAAGGCACATGGGTCAATTATCAGCGTGGCCGCGAGTTTGCCAGGCAGTATGGGGTTGAACAATCACTCCTCCCTTTGTTAGAATACGACATTACTTCTGACGGTAGTCTTGGTATGAACCATGGGATCGAAACTCCGACCAAAGAACAAGCTATGGCTGCCCAGAGAAAACGAATGTATGGTGGTGATGGACGACCTTTGACTCAATCTGCTGGAGGCACCTTCTTCAAAAATATGTCCAATACAGCGGCGAATGCCATACATGCACTCAACCGGACTCGACTTGATTCTCCCGGTCAGTTGGATGGTCGTCGCTCTGTTGGGCCTCGGCGACAGTCACAAACATTCTACGGTCAAGACGCACTCTACGGCCAAGGAGCAAGTCAACAGAGTATGCAAAGTATGACTTCACAGGATAGCTTCGGGACCAATGGTGGAATCATGAGCCAGAATGCAAGCTTTGCTGATTTCCCTCAGCCAGATGGGCAAGAGCCTCCACGCAAACGAATCCGACCATCCCCTCAAACATCTTTCATCGGTAATCCCTACGAAGCAGCCATGGATCTTACTCTTCAGGAAGGAACTCCCACTGAACAAGTATCATTCTTCTCCCAACCCAGCCAATCTTTTATGATGACTTCGAATATTCCCTACGGTATCGAGCCACTTCCTCCTGTTTCAGGGGCACTTGAGGAACAAAAGAAAGAACTCCTTCTAGATCTTTTTATTGACCCTTCCAGGACCGATTTCGATGATCATCCAGCGTTTCTTCGCCTTAGTGGTGAAGAGTTTGAGCTGCCTATTGACGGTTCGTGTAATACTGCGTTGCATTGGGCTGCTACATTGGCTCGAATTGCATTGGTGAGAAAATTACTGGAAAAAGGATTCAACATGAGACGTGCAAATAGTGGTGGCGAAACAGCTTTGATTGCAGCTTGCCAAGCGCGCAATAACCTCGATCGAAGCACATTTCCACAGCTGCTCGAACTTTTAGGGTCTAGTATCGAAGTCAGAGATGGCCGCGGGAGAACACTTCTCCATCACATCGCGGTGTCGTCTGCGATGAAAGGACGAGCCGCTGTAGGCAAGTACTACCTCGAGTCCTTGCTAGAATACGTTGTCCGACAGGGCAGCTCCGCGCCGAACTCGATGGCGTTCGAGGGAATGCATGGAGCAAACGGCTCAACACAACCGGATGCCATGACATTGGCTAAATTTATGACGGAGATTGTCAATGCACAGGACCGGGCAGGTGATACTGCGTTGAACTTGGCCGCCCGAACCAGCACCACTTCGATCATCGCTCAGCTGGTCGAGGTTGGTGCGGATCCTAACATAATGAATCGAGGTGGACTGGCCCCGTCAGACTTTGGAGTAGGCAACCATACCAACGGGGAATTGCATGATAACAGCATAGCGCTGTTTGATCAGGCAGCACCTACCAATAACTCATCCCAGAAGTCATACGAGGAAGCTCAAGAAGGCCTTATGACTTGTAAGTTTTATGTCCAGCTTGTCCTAGGAACGACTAACGTTAGAAGCAATACGAGAAATCCTGTCGCAATCCGAAGCCGATTTCACTTCCGAGATGAAGGAGAAAAAAGAAATCCTAGACAAGACGAACGCGGCACTGAAAGAATCTGGCAATTCGCTGGCGGAAGAAAGACGACGATTGGAAGAAGTGCGCAGTACGGTAATGGAGAAGGAAGAGCTCGAACAAAAGGTGCAAAATTTACGGCAAGCTACTTTCAAGCTACGATCAGAATTGCAATCTGGCGAAACGCCGACGACGATTCAAGCGGACGTGCCGGTGGGAGAGGCTGATAAAGGACTTGACCTTGGTGGCCAACTTCCTTTGATTACGCAGTTGTTCCCATCGGAGATGGATGACCCCAGCAATATGGTTTTGAACCAGGACCAAGCCAATTTCCTGGCATGTCTAGAGCGGGCAGAAGTGTTGTCTGGGCGCACCCAGGTATATCAACAGCATAATCAGCAACTGGAGGCGACAGCGAAAACGCTCAAGGCTCGAAGTGGAGAACTGGAGGAGAGATACAAACAAATAGTAAGTTTATGCACAGGTGCCAGCGAGAGTCAAGTGGATGGACTGTTGGACGAACTGGTGCAAGCGGTAATCAGTGAGCAGAAGGACAACAATCTGGAGCTTGGAAAGGTGCGAAATTTCCTACGAATGGTACAAGGATCGGGGAATTAAAGGCGTGTTCGCCAATTGATTGGCGGTCTGATCGACGCGATGGCGAGTAACGATTTGGTCAGGTCGATTTCCCAAGGGAACTGTTGTATGGGTATTGCACGTGGGACATGGAGATGAGATGTTCATGGTTTCATGTCTTAGCGACTCAAATGAATGACTACGAGTACGGCAAACTAAGCAAGTTATCCAGGATGACTGATTAGTTAGATCAGCGTGTACGGCTAGTTCTAGCAACCCAAGTCTTTCAGGTCTGGAGATTACGATGCAGTGGTTCGTACACCATGACCCTACAGCCTGCTTGGTAGGTCAATTAATTGCACCACCGCCGCGTACGTAGCATGTACCAACTACAACCTACACCGGCACTGGCCGTGGTACGGTCGATGCAGGCCGGTTGTGCTCATTCGCGCGCGTGTCAAGATTAACACGCGGTCCCCGTTTGGCAGCTACCTAAAGTTGCCACCCAGCCTCGTTGAAAATCGAGTCAAAAAGGAGGCTCGTGCGTATCCGCGCGGGTGTGTTATTTTTGGGATTGTGTAATTGCAGAGACAGCGACACCCAATTGTTACAATGGCCACCGAATGCTTCAGCGGCAGAGTGGGCAGAGTTGGCAGAGTCGTTTGACAAAGGCCAGGAGGTTGGTTGAAAACCAAGGGACGGTCAGATCCAACCGAATTGATGCGAGGACCAAACTTGGCAGGAATGGATGTTTCGAATACCCCGGGCGCCTCTCCCTCGGCAGACGCCAGGGGCACGTTGGGTGCGTACGAATGGATAAGGGAGAAAGCCAGTGCCTTGAGCGAGGGAGTGGGACCTTCTGCGGGCAGTACTCCGTACACTCCGTACGAGTGGGTGGTTTAGGTGGGTTTGGTGGCACCAAGGGACGATAGGCGTACGTATGCGGCGGGGGTAGCTTCACTGCTATGAGGGTTCTTCGGGGGGGTATTGATAGGCTTGGATAGGCCTGCTGCAGCCACACGGGTATTGGAGTCTGTAGCTGCAGCACACCCATGTCAAAATGCTTGAAACAGAGGGCGGCAGCCAATTGAGAGCCCTAACCACCCTTGAGGCTCCTACCCCCTGCTTCATCCTCCCCACATCAGTTGTATCAGAACCGTCAGAAGCTTTTCTCCTTTGTTACATTCATCATTTCTTCGCTGCGGACAGAGGCCCTGTCTTATACCATCCCTGGTCCTACTTGCCCCTCCATGTCTCCATTTTCAACACTACGATCATCGTACCGAGCACCACTAAATGCCTGTTCCTCCTTCCGCCTTCAGCGATTCGCTGGACGCAAGGGCGTGTACCACTTCTGTTTCCATCCACTCCCCTCTCAGCTCGAGCCAACTACGAGTACCGCATGTTCTGATGGCTCCCTTTACGTCTTTGTGTACGGATACATTCTCGTTTGTCTTCAAGCTTGCGTGATGTTTCATGGCTAGCCCACCTCTAGATGCCTGATGCCCGCGTGGAATCGCCTCCCTCTCCTATCTATTCTCTTCGACTTGCCCGATGCCGAGGACTCTGCTGCGTCTGATCAGACCACCCATGTCACTCGCTCGCTGGCCTTGCGCTGTCCATTGACCTGACCGCAGGCCACAGACCATGTATCCACAGCTCTCACAACCATGGACCATGTGTCAAACCTCCTTGGCCGCTAGGGTTTCCATACACAAAATGTTTTATAGTAGATGCCCACTGGCCCAGGCCTTCTGTCAGTCTCAGCACTCAGCCCACACTGTCCATCGCACAGGCCTTCTTTTCTCTCTTTCAATCATTCATCCTCTTCAACACGCCCGGGGCAGGTACCTCTCTCCTACTTTCTACCGCCCTCTACACATTCATTTGGCTTCCGCTGGCCGTGCCTACCACGTTCCTTCACCGAGCAGAGCTTGGTCTGTTAAACGGTCCCGACGACCTTTAGAACACCTTGACCCATATCCCAGCAATAAAGGGAGAAGTTGAACCAACTGTCGCTATAAAACCCAGCCGCAACCCGCCATCCCGCAACATGCATTTCACAGCTTATATCGCTCCAGCATTGCTGGTGCTGGCCCAAATGGCGGAGGCAAAAGCCATCATCCACTTACCCAACGCCATCCGAAGAAGGGACTACTCGCAAGAAGTGAAGAAGGTTGCAGATAGACTCATTCGACGTGCTACCGTCGGGACCAACGACTTGCTTCAACCTCAGAGCTTCAATGGTCTACTCCCACTATCCGAACCTGATGCCGCCTTGAATGAATCCATCGCAGAAGCATGCATCGGTTCTTTGAGTTCGATCACCGGTGTTCAAAATGATGCCGGGCTTACCGCATGTTATAACATTCTGCAATGGGATAGTAAGCTAGGCTCCTTCATGGCGGACCTTCGACTCTACCAAGCGTTTGAACCCAAAGGCGTCTTCGCCAACGTCAGCGTCAGCGATATCCAGATCGGTGTCCAGTATCCGAGTTCGACCACCTTTCAGTCAGTGCCCAAGTCCAAGACCAAAAGAGATCTCGAGGGACGCCAAGCATCTTCCATAAACAGCAGCATGACCGAGATTGAGCAGTATCTTCTCATGGGATCTTTCCTAACACACTTGGATATCAAGAAGCTCAACAACACACAGATCATGTCGTTGATGTTGCCCGAAATCAAGCTCAACACTGCCGAATCCCAAAAGGCTGTGTCGGCTAACATCACCTCTGCCGAGGGTGCTTGGTTTGTCATCGGAGAGTTTAGCTCTGATTTCGACGGCAAGCTTGTTACTCTCGCAGCAGCCAACAATGCCATCGAAGCTGCCTTGCCATTCATCCTTCCTGGAGTAACCCTGGGGATTTTCCCCACTGGATTGATCATCACCATGGCATGGACAGGCCTCTTCTTCCTGGCCTACGGGTTGGGCACTCTGGGCCGAATCAAGTACAGAGATGCGTATCGAAAGAGAATGGCAGTTCGAGTTGGCCGAACAGGAAAAAGAATATAGAAGGAACCCGGAAAAAAAGTAAAATATAAGGCAGGAATAAAGCAATCAAGTCGCAACGACAAGGCAAATCTGGGGTCCACCTTTTTAGGAAGTTGTGTTTTTTATTGCGTCCTTGGTTTCACATCATATACCCTCGTTTGGCATACTGGATTTGAACCATTCGTTTCTCTCAACCCTGGAGAGCCTTGGTGTCTATTGTGGGCTCGAGTGTTTCCATATGTGTATCAATAGCGAGCGGCATTGAGAGCGAGTTGGAAGGAAAGACAGGAGAATTGCAGACTCTAGCGGAGAATTGAAAGACACGTGACCAACGACTATTTGGGGAGCGAGGGGCTCGTTTCTTTTTCCTTCTGCCCTTTTTTAAACCTTTTCTCCGCTTTTCAACGCCCACTACCTCGTGACCCAACGTGACCTGATTCGCCACAAAACAACTCCCACAACCTTTGAACCTGTCGTTGTCTTTGGGTTGGGCCTGGATGACCAGTCTGAAATGTGTCTCCCGCATCTTCTGGCTTTGTCAATGGTGGATAAAAAGTATCATTTTTTGGTACGAGGTACTTCAGAGCCTCATGTATATTGATTCCAATTCACTGCTCCCATCACGTGCTCCACGTTTCGCACCCGCCCACTCGCGGGTAGGATTTCTCTGAGTTTTCCCCGAGGCCTGGACACTTTCCAGATCATACCTTTACCCGAATTGTAATCTTCAACTCACGTCTACTTCAAGGGAGGTAGGTGGATAGGTGCGAGGTTCGGCCCTGCAACACCCAGTGGCAGTGGCACCAGCAATCACACGCCTGATGATCAGGGATCGATGAACCACGATATTTAGATCCACCGTCCATCTCGAGCAATTACAACCATGGAGCATCTTTTCCCCTACCCAAAAATGGGCTCGTCGTTCCTTGAGGTCCTTCATGATCCCTTGACACGCAAGCTACTTGGGTTCGACGCCGTCCACGCAGAGAAGACTCCATTCATCGGTGGTGTCACTTCGCGACTGAAATTCCTGTTGAATGACGCGACCACCCATCTTTCATTCCTCAAGATCGGATACACTGCGCTTGAGGCTTTTTTGCAAGCCAATTGTACTGGACCACCACTCGATTTCAATCCTGAAGAATCAATATTTCCAGAAGTATACTGGAATGATGGTCTGAAAATACTGAAGGAAGAGCTCTTTCAATCTCTCGCTGTCGACGGCAGTGGACCTTATCCGTTGACACCACATATTGAACTGTTCTGGCTAGCTAAGCTCCTAACTTCCGACACCACGCTCGCAGAAGCAGGGTTCAATGGCCGTCGTGCTCGATTCAGAGTCAACTTCTGGCATCAGAAGCTTCTGTCCGAAGAGTCCCCATCACTCCGCAGTGCTCTGTATTCCGACGCCGAAATCCTTGAACACCAGCTCTCGTCACGACTTGCATATGGAGGCGCAGCCGCTGAAGAACACTTTGTTGAATTTCTCGTTGAAAGAGCCCTCGTTAAAACCCATTATGGGGACGACCAGGTTGCCAGGGTCGACCTCGCACATGCTGCGACCACAAGACAGTTTCAATTCGCACTGAGCGGCGTACTGGGAAAGCGCACAAAGTTTCAAGATCGCGACATCACCCAACTGGTTGTCCTGGCCAAGAGCAGGGATCATGAGCCAGAGCCCTATAGCAGTCGAAAATCAAGTCGAGCTGAAGCCTCGGACTCGAGGAAGTCAAGCGCGGTCGATACGGGGTCTGCCTCGCGACACCCACGCCCAAAAAGTCCCAATACCCCCATCAGTCCTCCACCTACGTCGGTACCTTATCGTTCAGCGACACCAACACGGCCGATGGGTAGCCATGAACATCTCTCCCGTCTAGCAAGTCCGATTACCCAACCAGAAAATATCCTTCTCAACGACGACACCCTCCTGGAACGGATTCATTTCAAGCAGACTTTGGTTCCAATGTCTTCCGACAACATGACCCAAGTTGTTCCCCCCGAGTCAGCTTTGCCACCTCAGCTTGCAGCGCTTGACCCCGCCAACCAACCGCTGCTGTTCCCCATGGACAGTATCATCCTCCTAGCAACAGCTAGCAGTATCTCTAACACCTCTCCATCCGATGGTCTTGTCAGGGAAGAGACGCTTCCGTATGCTACACGGGTCCTAGATGGCGGATCTAGTAATTGGCAAGTCTACACTCAAGCACTCCTAGTTCGAAGTAGAATCGAAGGGTATCGGTCCCGCACGACAGAAAGAGGCCTTCTCCAACTCCAAGCACTCGTTGACCAAGTCATAGCTGAAACTTCCGAAGCCCAACCTTCGACATCCTCGAATTCCGATCCTGATGCTAAGCTCCCCGCCGCAAACACATTCCTTCCTAAAGCTTCAGCCTCTGAGTCCGCCACTGTGGCTGAACGACTGAGATACATCTACCAGCTTTCACCTCCTTTGAGGTGGGAACTCGAAGCCGAGCTTGCGGCGCGCTGGACACATATGGGCGGGCTCAAGACGGCGCTGGAGATTTATGAACGTCTGCAAATGCATGCTGAGGTAGCGCTATGTCTCGCGGCAACGGATCGCGAGGGCGATGCTATCAAACTATTGAAATCCATGCTCTTCGAGGATGTCACCGCGAGTGCTACAACCGCTGCAAAAGGCCCAGCCCAAGAGAATGGTGGCGGCTCCGACGAGACCATTTCACTCAAATTTCGCACCTCTCCTCCACCCACTGACGCACCTCGCTTGCTTTGCATCCTGGGGGACATCACATCTCACCCTTCGTATTACGATCTAGCATGGACTGCGTCAGGCAATAGGTACGCTCGCGCACAACGTTCCCTCGGCCGGCATTTCACCAAGAAGCGTGACTTCCCTGCTGCAGCCAAGGCGTTCACGCTTGCATTGGGCGTCACGCAGGTAGACCGCAGCTGCTGGTTCTCCCTCGGCTGCGTCCAGCTTGAGCTTGAGGATTGGATGGGTGCAGTGGAGAGCTTTACGCGCTGTGTACAGCTCGAGGACAGCGACGGGGAGAGCTGGAGTAATATGGCAGTGGCTTTGTTGAAGTTACCGCCACCGCAGTCTTCAGCGACGGAGCAGCAGCCAGAGGAAGATAAGGTGCCACAAGCGTCTGACACCCCTGACGCCGACCACGACCACGACGAACCTCCTGATCCACTGACCCAGACCAAACAGCAACAGCTCGAACGCCGCCAACGACAGGGACCATACGCACACACATTCTCAGCTCTTCGCGCTCTCCGGCGCGCTGCAACTCTCAAGCGCGACGACGCTCGTATCTGGGACAATTATCTGACAGTGGCGGCGTCGATCCCACCCAGTGCGGGCACGCCGTGGAGTGAGATCATTCAGGCCATGGGTCGTGTGATTGAGCTCCGTGGGAAGCGAGAGGGTGAGGGGTGCATCGATCTCAACATATTAAAGGTTCTCGTCGAGTATATCACCGCGGGGTATGATTATCCTGCCGCAGATGGTGGTAGTGAGACCAGCAGCAGCATGGCGGACGACAAAGCTGAGCCAGGTATACGAAGCGAGACCAAGGCAATTCAGCAGCCACCTACAGAAAAGTCAGCAACATCAATAACCACCCCGTCCCCGACCCCAGCCCGACTACTACACCTCCCCGCCTCCCTCCTGCACCTAATCGACACGCAAATAACACCGCTGGCCACCAGTTCCCCCTCCCTCTACCTCCTCCTCACCAAGGTCTCAACATGGCGACACCGCCCGACATTGGCCCTCTCCCAAGCCGAGAAATCCTGGCGGCTTCGTCTTACCACGCTCTCGCCATCTGAGGATTTTGGCAGTTTATCCCAGACGGACTGGGAGAGTGTCGTCAACAAAACTATCTGGTTGATGCGAGTGTACAAGGAGTTAGGCCCGAAGGAGAGGGAAAGGACAGGGGGAGTTGTGGAGTCGAAGTGGGCGTTTAAGGCGAGGACCGCCGCAAGGAGGGTTCTGGGTAGAGCGAAGGATACCTGGGAGGGGAGCGACGGATGGGTCAGGTTGGAGGGAGAGGTAGAAGGTCTGAGAGGAGGCGCGGAGTAGAAATAGCAGTGTTGATCTTTGTGTGTTTTGAGGTTGTTGAATAGCGTGTCCGGAGGGAATTTTGGTGTGGCGAGGCTACTTGGGTTGAGGGATCGATCACAGAGTGGATTTATCTTTGCAGAAAAGAAAAGGAAAAGCTGATGATTGCACATACAGCAACTATGGCCATGCATTGTTCACAACGGGCTGATTCGTTTCTCATCATCGTCGGCCACATATATATGTAGCACAGGAAGCTTGCCTCCCCACGCCATCCACGTTATGCACGAACTTCAAGCTTCCGCTTTAACCAGCCGCAAAAACTCTCGAAGACCACAGGATCCTGACCTTGGAGCCAGCGGAGGTGCACTCTTTCTGTCCTCGTCGTCGCGGCGTCGCCGTGGGCCGGAAGCACGGAGATCTTGGCGACGAGGCCGGGCTCCGCCTCCGCTTCGCCTTCATCACCGCTGCCGCCGTCGTTATCGTCGTCGACAACATCATCATGATGGTCTTTCATCTCCTGATCCTCGGCCTTGTCCCGCTTCTCTTGCTTCCTCCTAGCCTTCCGACTCCAGACATCGCCCGCTTGGCTAAGCAAGAAGCCCACACAGCGCGCGTGCTGAAATCTCCACTTCAGCTCTAACTTGCCCATCTCCTCATCAATCCGCTTGCATATCACGTCAGGATCGCCATGACTAACGCCAAACTCCACCTCCGTCGCTCCCGGCAAGAATCTCTTCTCCACTCCACTATTCCCCCCAACGCCACCCCTCGCGACAGCCAGACTCGGCCTGAACCCCATCCAGCTCCAGGATACACACCACCGCCTCGTCTTCTGTCCTTGGACCAACTCCGTGACCGCGTAATTCGTACACTCTCGGTCCTTCAAGTCTTCGACGATGGCCGCCACGCTGGACAGCTTGCCCAGCATGCTGCTGAACCACTGGATTCTGCAGACGAGCGCCGGAGACGTCGATTCGCGGATCAGTTGAGACACGAACTCGACTTCGCCGCCGGGCGTGATCATCTCGACCGGTGCGCCGGTGCAGCTGGAGTTCGGGGGCCGGGATTTCTGCGTGGCGGATTCGAGCATCGATGTCGCGGAGGCGTAGAAAGGTGGATTCGTCAGGAGGATGTCGATCCTTTCGAATGGTGAGAGTTCGTCGCAGGGGATGAGCTGTTTTCCTGATTGATCGGTGTCGATGAGCTTGATGCGCGATTGGAGGTCGTTGCTGGAAATGTTCTTCTCGGCGAATGAGCGGTTCTTCGGGTCGATTTCCGTGGCGAGGAAGAGCCAGTTCGTGCGTTGCCGGCAGGCGAGGAGTGGGTAGATGCATGATGAGCCCGTGCCGCTTTTGCAAATGGGGCCACATATGTTAGTCAAACCCGTGGAATATGAGTGATAGACTAGGCTTGCGCTAGAGGTGCGATCGGGAGGACATGAGAGGTGGAATTGGGCTTACATATCCAATCCAATCACGCGGCGATCTGGGTCGTGTCCATCCCGAAAATCCGGTGAAGTAGAGTCGAGCAGCTGCTGGATGAAGAGGATGTAATTGAATCTGGTAAGTGTGAGTAATCAGTGATAGGTACGATCGGTTGCGAGCTGGAGACACCTGCCGGTTTGGAACCTGGTGGTTTTAATCATCAGAATGGGGACCGCCAACGAAGAAGGTCAATAGGAGACTTACGGGTGGACAAAGCCGATCCTCGGGCAGTTCAATTTCGAGATTGAAATCGCGATGGAGAAGCGATTTGGTGAGCTGTCTGAGCATCGTCACGGTATCATGTTAGGGACTGACTATTGGAGCTCCAAAAGCCAACATTCTGGGCACGCATGTCGACAACATACCTGACGCTCTCTGGGTCGGAGAAGTCTAGTTGGCGATTCTGCTTGAGTCTGGACGTTGGGAAAAGACCAAATTAGCCGGACTGTTCCAAGTGTAGAAGACACGCGTTGAATAAAGATATTGACCCTGCATTGTACACCGGGGTCTGTCCTCGAACGTCTACAGGTAGATGACAAGAAACTACAAACCTTTTCGCGAAGTGCGGATACTGAAGTGCTAGGGCCGTGAAGTCGACTTCATTCTTGTATATGTCATCTGGAGCCGGCATTGGGCAGAATGAGGAGAGTGTGAAGAGTCGTGGTCTGGGATGGGTGGGCACGCCGACAGAAGCCCATCCACAGCAGTCAGCTGGTGACCAAAGACTTCACTGAATCAAGGTCTGGTATGGTTTGAGTCCGTCTTCTTGCGTTCAGCGAATACAGCTATGGGAGATACAAAGGCTATGCAAATAGTGCAAATAGTGCACGCGTAGAGCGGTGGTATTTAAAAGGAATGAAGTGCGAAATGACCAACTGCATGAAATGATCATACCGAAGATACTATGCCTAAATAGTCCTCGTGCGAGGCTGCATTGGACGCCAAGTCCTCTTGTACCAAATCTTCTATCAATCTGCCAACCTCCCCGTCCAGAGCAGAGAGCGACGCGAGCAGTCCAGGAGTTGCGGTACAAATTGGCCCATACCGATATGATCTAGACTCAATCTCGTGTTCGAATCATCACCATTAAAGCCGGCCGTTTGAACATCACCATCTAAGGTTTCCGCGAGAAGACTGCTGGCGGATCGGAATACTCGCTCAGGCTTTGCATCATTTTAACTCTTGAGGCCATGCCTCAATCACAGCCGAGCTGACAGTCCCGCTCTCTTTTCTTGGTTGAGAAGCCTCTGTGCGACCTGAAACATTAAACCATCAGTATCGAGCCCCCTGCAGGCGGCATTTTATTAGTGCTACGGAAGAAGAAACTTACATAGAAGGCCTTTCCTCCCTGCTCACTCTCAAAGGTAACTGCAGCGCAGGCGTCAGGAAATGCAGTCCTAGGCTTCCCCAAAGGAACCGATACTTACTTGTTGAGCCCTTAGGAATATACACTACCTCTCCGGCCTTGGCCACAACGCGTTGACCGTTGCCGTCGGAAAACACAATATCACCCGAGATGACATATTTCGCTTCGGAGAAGGCAAAGGTCGCGGTGTGCTTGGCACCCTTCTCGACGTCGAAGAACCCGGCTGTGATGGGCTTCTCAGGGTCGTCAGCGATGCTATCGGACATTGTCAGTCTACAGGTCAATGATTTTGCTGGTTTCTTTTTGGAGGGGGGAGGGAGGGTAACGTACCTTGTGACGGTATCGCCGATGAAAATGTCCTTGTTGTTGGCATAAAATGGCAACTTGGCCGACGAGGCGTCTTTGAAGAATTGCAGAGATGGTGCCATGGCGGATAATTAATATATCAGTATTTTCGTTTAATTCGCTATGCAAAAAGGACAACCCTGAGGTAAGAAAGGAAATGAACTCTTGCAAAATCTCTACGATAGATCTTCCAGATAGAGGAACAAGAGCTAAATCATCAATGCTTTCGAGCGGTTCTTCGTACCAAGTATAGTAGCTCCTGAAAGTGTTTTCGGATAGTTTTACTACTTAGGGCAAAGTTTGGGTTGGATTCTAGGATTGCTTTACTTGTTGCGCACACTTGTCCCTTCGACTTCACGCATTGCATTCCGGGCTCTTATCACTGCTATGTGCATACTTTTTAGCCCTCGCTGCCCTTGATGATCTCGACAGACCGGAAAATATACTATTTCCGTGGCTTTATGGTGAGCTATGTGGGAATAAATTTATGACCCACATCGAACTCTGCACGTGATCTGGTAGTACTGGAGTGCTGTATTTGAACCAGACAGCGAGTGTTGATCCGTGAGATTGTTGCATAGGAGGCGATAGTTATATACGAAGCTTGCTTTAGAGCCATGTCCAAGAGGGTATCAAGGGGGCATGTTTAGGTCAGCGACTGGTAAAGCTGGTAATGTTACAATTGGGTGACTTTGTACTGGTATAATGCAGTCTCAATAACTTGACACTCGGATCCTGTGCCAGTTAGCCCCTCGGCAGAGTTTGCAGCGTGTGAATCATAACCGTCCTGCTGGCATGGTGATTCATAGTGCCTAATGGTTGGTTGAATCCTTGATTCGATATGACACATAATTTCACGATGGTAGTCCACCAATATGAATCAGATCGTTGACGAGCCCACGCAATTTATATCTCAATGTCCATGACGATGGGTGTTAAAGGAGCATCTATTCGAAGCGAATGGACAAGTATTGAGCTTCGTCTTAAGGTTTAGAACCTGGACATCCGGCGGATGGCCATATTTCAGACTGTTTGTGGTATGATGGGGCCAGAATCGATGCATCACAGAATTTGGCATAATGCAATTGAGAGCATCTGGAAGAAATTGTACATACGTGGTATTGATGAAGTGAATACGCTTTCCTTGGAGCGAGATGTTGTCGCGATGTTGTGTTGAAGAAGTGATCGTGTCGGGTGCCTGGTGCCTGGTTAACGCGAGGCATGGTCACGTGGCACTTCACAACAGCTAAGTCCTAAATAGCATCACGCTAGGACACAATCTCAATATTAATAACAATTAACGACTAATTATGCACTCCACGTTGAACTAGCAACCAGCTAACTCAGCCTAACTCAGCCTAACCCAGTCTTTGTCTCACAAACATCGTGACATAGCAATAGCTAATGCTGACCTCTCCTCTTTCATCCCTTCATCCATCTTTGGTCACTTCCTTTCATCGTGCATCAAAACCATCGTTGCAAGTATGGAGAAGCCAATGTCGCTGGACGACACCTCCATACCGGGGAAACTGTTTTTACTCTCCGAGGAGGACGCTGCAGTCCGTCCATCCATCAAACCATGGAATCAGCGTCATCCACAAACTGCCTTTCGAATGGTATGCCTCATGGTGATTTTGATGATATACTGGCCTCTTGCTTTTATCTTCCCTCGCTCCCCGTTTCATTCTCAGAGCCCCATTGCCGCCACAGGTATGTGTACCAAGCTCTAGGCCTCCACGCAACCAATTACTAATGTGATAGGAATAGAAGAACAGGGCATTTGCCTCACACCTGAATGCGTTCATGCTGCCTCTGAAATCTTGTACAATCTTTCTCCGGACTATAAGAATATCGACGCTTGTACCGATTTCGAAGAGCTCGTCTGTGGTGGATGGCGTGATCGCCATGATCTTCGTCCCGATCAAGGTGATGCTTTTACTGGCACAATCATGTCGGAGACCTCCCAAACTTTACTGCGCCATATTCTCGAATCTGATTATCCGGGTTCATCAGCAGTAAGTTTTGACGAAATCAAATGTCATCATTTTGTTGGTCTGGATATTGACCAGCTTCAGCACTCTTCCTTCTCTCCAGTCAATCTGGCATCCCTGGCAGAGTCAGTGGATGAAGAGAATTTCGACAAGCTTAAAGCCGCTTATGATGCTTGTTTGGACGAGGACTCGATTAGAAAGGCTGGGCTAGCGCCACTCGCCGAGCTTCTTGATACTGTCAACCATATCTACCCGGCCTCGTGTCTGCGTTCTCAAGGAAGCTCAGATGCCCTATCAGAGGCTGTGATCTATCTGGCAAAACTAGGAGTCACCGCATTGGTGGCATCGGGTACTGGAGCTGATGATAGAGATCCTGACAAGGTAGTTGTTTCTGTCTCGGCTCCCTACAGGATTGGATTGCCCGCCAAAGAATTATACTCCGACGACAAAGTCCTCGAGAAGTATAAGGCGGTTGTCCACAATGTATTCGCGGCACTTTACCCGCAAAAACTCGCCCACATCAAAGAGAGTACTGGCGCAGTGGTTGACTTTGAGAAGAAGCTTGCAGCGGCTTCGCCCGACGCCGAGGATAGGGACGATGTGACAGTGCGTATAAACTTCCCAACCCCTCTCCATGACTAATGCCTTTGGATCAGAAATATTACAATCCAATGTCCCTCAAGGAGACCGACGCTCTTACTCCCGACCTTCATATTTCCAAGCTCGTAGAAAGCCTATCACCCAAAGATGTGAAGACGGACCGCGTGATCGTCATGGCGCCTCAATATCTTAAAGATCTCAATAAATTGATCTCGAGCACTCCAAAGAGTGTCTTCAATACCTATTTCCAATGGAAAATCATTCAAGCGTTCTACCCATACGTCGAGGCAGATGCCCTCACACCATATCGGCGATTTGTCAATGAACTGCAAGGAAAGGTAAGACCTGCCATGCGGCAATCCCCACCTACTTGATCAAGCAACGTACTGACTCCTTCCAGGATCCTGATTCAACTCCTGAACGGTGGCGAACATGTGTCAACCATGCGGATGACGGGGTAGGCTGGATTCTCTCGCGTTTCTTCGTTGAGAAGGCTTTCTCTGCCAAGGCCAAGGACCTTGGTGATCAAATCGTATCGGACATCAAGAACCAGTTTGTCAGGAAGCTCGAGAAGACAACGTGGATGGAGGAGGAGGTCATTGACCTCGCGATCCGCAAAGTCCACAACATCGTTCAAAAGATTGGTTATCCGACTAAGGTTCGTTGCCTCCCAAAATAGAAACTCCCTTAATATGGGGTTTGCAGTGAAGTTGACCAAATGTTGATTTAACAGAGTCCCAACATTCTTGATCCGCCCAGTCTCCGCGACTACTACAAGGACGTCAAGATCAACTCGTCAACCTACTTCGAGAACGCTGCATCCATGAGCACCTTCGAGGTCATCCGCGAGTGGAGCGCCCTGGGCAAGCCAGTCGACCGAGACCAATGGGACATGACGGTCCCAACCGTCAACGCATATTACAACCCACCCGGCAACGAGATCGTCTTCCCTGCGGGAATCATGCAGTTCCCTGTCTTCGACGTTGCGGTCCCGCAATACCTCTCCTACGGCGCCTTTGGATCCGTCTCAGGCCACGAGCTCTCGCACGCCTTTGACTCGACGGGGCGCCACTACGACCAGGACGGGAACTACACGGATTGGTGGACGGACAAAACGGTCGCGCAATTCAAGGGCAAAGCCGAGTGTTTCGTCAACCAGTACGCAAACTTCACGGTCGAGGGCTCCGACGGCAAACCGCTGCACGTCAACGGCCGCCTCACGCTGGGCGAGAACATCGCCGACGCAGGCGGCCTCTCCGCAGCGTTCCAGGCGTGGAAGGAACGCGCGGCAGAGACCCCCAACCTGGGTCTCCCCGGCTTGGACTTCTTCACGCAGGAACAGCTGTTCTTCGTTAGCTATTCGAACTGGTGGTGCGGCAAGTCTCGCAGGGAGACGGCAATCCAGCGCATCTATACCGATCCCCATGCACCCAAGTGGGCTAGGATTCTCGGCACCATGGCCAATTCGCGCGAGTTCAGGGACAGTTTCAAGTGTAAGAGCAGAGAGCCGGTCTGTGAGTTGTGGTGAGCGAGCGAGCGAGGAAGTCAGGTCAGCCGACTAGGAGGGGAACTGGCACACACACGCCTGAGCAGCGCCTATTTTATCTGTCACTGGTGCCACCTGCAACAGGAAGGACAAAAGCAGGTCGCTCATCGTCGAGATTGGAAAAAAAAAGGGCCGGGCATCCTGCTTCAGAGACAGTATAGTATATACGACAAGTCCGTGAATAAAGCTACGTTGGGAAAAGTAGAGCGCCAATTTCCGCGTTGCTGCGGTAGCGGTAGCGTCCGTTGCCCACACACGTATTACTCACACTGATCACTTGAATGTGACTATTACTATCATAATATGTGCCGTGCCACGCAACCCGCCAACAGTATTTGGACAGGTCCCCTGCTCCTCCTCTTACATCTTCACGACCTGATCAAACATACAGGCGCATGGTGATCCGTTCGTATCCGTCCAAGGAATCACCATAAGAGGAGAGAGAAATGTATAAGGCAGGAAAATTACCTTGAGTTATGGTTCCATGTATCGATTTGATTTGTACTTGTGGACAAGAAACAAAAGAAAGAAATGGCCGCCCCACTTCCCCTTGTCCTTCTGGCTTTGCCCTATCTTATTTCTGACATCTCAGCCACTCTTCCATACACAGCCCCCGGCCCCCCTCCCCGCCTCTCTCTGATTGAGTTATAGCGGGAAGGTACAAGTTCCCCCCATTCCTGCCTTAATTTGCATTTGATGTTCCTAGACTCAAATAGATCGCGCCGTGGGTATCAAGCCATGCGAAAAAAGGGGGAAAGAAAAACAAGTGGAACAGGCTGGGGGGTAAAGTCGTACAGCGCCATCAAGAGAGTAAAAACGCCTATCCACCATTCTGATGATCCAACACACGCGTGATAAAAAGAAATAACCCTCATAAACTCGTTTCATCCCGATCCAGTTCCAAGATAGCCTCTCCTACGCTCTGGATGCGCTTGTAGATGTGTACAACATTGCTCTCTCCTGCGAGTCAACCGCATTCGTCGCACCTACAAGAATCGAAAGCTCTGCGATGCCCACACATGTTTCTTAAGTCGATATCAAACCAGACCTTGTTTGTGAGATGAGACTACTTCTTCAAAACCGCCTCGTACAACCCCACTGCAGCCCCGAGGCCTGAGCTGATGAGGATGCTGAAATAACCACCCAGGATACTCTCGTTCACAGTGGCAATCGTGTGGTGGGTGTAAAGACCTCCCAGGTCAAAGTGTTGTGCATAGATCAAGTATGCAAGCAAGCCCTTGGCGAGGTTGAAGACGAAAGGATCAAACTGGAGCTGAGAATTGGCCTCTAAAGTGGCGCGCCTGGTCGAATAAGTGTAGCTTGGGTGAGCCTTCAAGGGCAAATTGATGAAATAAGAGATGATTGCTGGGACAATCAAGGATGCCAGGAACCAGAGCGTGAATGGGGCCCAGAATTTTTGCTCGAGTAAGAGGAATAAATCTGGAACCTTGACAGGTATCGGCTTTGTAGTGAGGTATGGAAGTGCAGGAACTTCAGTGAGAATCTTATTGGGGAGAATTTTCCCACGGAGGCCGTACGCTTCGAGCAGAATTGCCAAGATGCTGACAGTCAATGGCGAGGAAAGCAAATCACGCGTTGAATCAGCATATTGATGAATCTGAGTTCGATCGTATGCATGAGAGATAGAAGTGCGAATGCGACGCGTCTGTTGATCGATTGCATCCGTGACGGCGGCGGGGGATGGTGGCATGGGTATTTGAGAGGTCAACATGGACGATCGACGAGCAAGCTCTTTGGCGGGAGATTTGATCAGAGCACCAGCGGGTGAGTCAGTGTCGGTCCTAGATAGTCGGTCAGTACACGTACGGGACATCTGTTTGCATACAGGGCGTTTGCCTACGTCTCCTCGACTGGCGCGGTTGTAGTCTTGCGCCGGACTTTCTTCGCTGGAACCGGAGCATCTTCGTCAGATTTAACGACTTCCGAGACCTTTTCAGCAATCCTCTTGGTAGGCGACCTAGAACTGCTTGCCAGCCGCTTGTAGTATTCGCTCAACGAAGGGTCTTTGGCATAAGTGGTCGAGTTGGCGCGCAAATGCTCGTCCAAGGCGATTTCGAGTTCGGCCTTCTTCAAACCAGCATAACTAGGGTCGCATGGACGTCAGCAATGGTTCTCGAGTGTTTGCGACGGTGTCTCGACGCGACTTACTCGGACAGTCTGGATGTTTCAGCGAACTCGGTCAGATCCGACTTGCGCAGCTTTTGTAAGTAGGGCAAGCCTGAAGACATGGCGGTCAATTGTTCGACGACGGAACGGATAGAATGCCACCACAAGCTTGAGAGAGAGTAGTTTGTCTCGATGACGATGCGACAACAAGGTATGCTATGAGGAGGGATGACAGTAGCAGTAGTGAGCGGATGGTGGATAGACTAAGAGGGTGGCTGGGATGTGGACTGGCAGTGGCAGCGGGCTGATGAAATGGGAGAGGCTGGGGGACTCGGGAGCTGCAAGTGGGAGGAAGCTCGTCCAGATTGTCAACAGAGGCTGTCCACCCGACAACCGATTAGGCCTAGCACTGTGATCGCTTCTTACTCGTAACTTCGTAAGTGCCGACTTTGACGTGATCTTGTTTGGCTCTGAAGTGTTGCTTGATTGGCTTACCAAGGACCGGAGCGCGCTTTGGTAAAGGATGAACGGGCGGCGAACAATATAAACAATAACATTGTCTCGTGAGGCACTGGCAGGTGCAGGTGCAGGTGCAGGTGCCACCGTCAGCCTGTTTCCCGGACTGGACTTGCCTAACTCGAAATCGCTGAACAGGCACCTACGAGTCACATGATCTCCCCGGCATTGACGTCACATCCTTCTCCCTGTTCCTGAGGACGTGCCTCACCTCGAGACAACGAAACATGCCAGGTTGGCACCTCGGCAATACTTTCGTCAACACAGTTTTAATGCTACAGATGAATGCCAAATGTAACGAAAGAATGGACTATGCTGTTTCCCATTTATCCACTTGAAATGCTATCGGGATCCTGCCCTGTCCATTGGGTCGAAAACTCCCATTGAACGTGATATCCGATGGAGATTGTTTTACGAAAGACAAGCTCATCCAAAAAGATCCTTTATCGCAATAACTAGCTCATACTCCCTCTCAACCTCGAGGCTCTTCTCACTGGGAATACTCGCTTCTAGCGCGGATTTAGGGTACCTCGCGCATATCGAATACTCGTTGCAATCTGTTATTTCCGTCCTTGGCCAGTCAATGCGCAAACCACCTACTTTGATGATTCTACTCTCGCAGTAAGTTAGATATCCATGTTCCCAAGATGGGTGTTCAGATATTGGATCAGGTCATGAGTGCAGGTATAAATCGCCGGACGAAACCTCTTCATGTCAAGGAACGTCATTCCTCTTCACAGCTCCACAATTCCTTCGAACTTGAAGCCATTACAATAGAGAGAGAATTGCATAGCCATGTCGACTCTACTTTCAAACGCGGCGGTTCCTCGCCATCGTTCTGACTTCCGCAGGTTCGCTCTTAGCGGGATCTTCTTCCCCATCCTACTACATCGCTATCTGTTTCACAGAATCTCGGCTTCGGTTGGGCGGTGCGCATCATCGGATTCATCTAATTGGGCCTTTTCTGATTCGCCTATGTGGCCCTCCCAAGGGTCCCTCCACGCAAGAATCATTTTTCCTGCCATCTGCCTTCAAGCGTCCCGCTTACTCTTTGCAAATCACCTCTGTCTTGTCTTCTGGGGTCAGTGCACCCCATTCTTCTTTCTTCCTGCTTTTGTCATTTAGAAGGGGACGTTGTGTCTTGATCCTTTTAGATCATAGCACTTATGAATTGTGGATCCTTTTTGAGTCTTCTGACCACGTCTCATCTCGCTACCGCAGGGGATTTCAATATACTCCTGTTCGGAATCTGCTCCACGAGAATCTTGTTATTCTGTTGGATTCGGATGACCTCTTCTGGAGCTGAGGCTTTGAGCTGCCGACACGGCAGGCAAGACAATAGTTCCCCCCCCCCCCCCAATTGTTTCCCCATCGCATGTAGTATGGGACTATTTTGCTATATCCCATGTGGAGAGGAACTACGGTCTGGCGAGATCCAAGCTAAACAAGACACCTCCATGGATATTAGGTGTTAGAGCTCCCTGTTCCTTTCCCACGAGGCCTCCCTCCGTCCGATCACGCAGGTGGAACAACTCAACGTGATCGGAGCACATCCGTTGCAAGGCCATAAAATTTACCTATCCGGGGTGTTGGAAAGCTTAAATAACACCTCCGCCCTCTGGGGATCGAAGAGCGAAACCGGTCTCCTCACTATAAGTATGTATGTATGTAGCTAGGGTGGAGATAAGATGAAGGCTAGTCTGGATTAGGGATCAACACTACTGCAGTGTCGGCCTAGTGCAACTGGGCTAGCTGCAATGGAACAGTGGTCGGGATGATCGTTGGCTCTGCATATCGCAGAAGAGGAGACAAAAAGCATCTTGTGAGTTAGACTAGATGCACAGTGGCTCGTAGTAGATCTTGGAAATGACTAATATGTGCTACCCCAATGCCGATTGTGCGGACAGTTCGATAAATATGACCACGTTTATGAGTAGTGGAATTACTAAGAGCTCTGTTAGATCTACGACTGGGGGAATGAGGGCTGGAGAGACGCCCAAGCCATGCAAGCTGCCTGCATGATTCGGATGCAGAGTTATAAGTACGAGAGCATCACCTTGCGCGCAGAAGGGCCGCTTCCCGTTTTGCTCCAAAGGTATGGCAAGTGGCTGCAGTTATGGGTATCTAAGCCTCCAATTTTCTTTTCTTTCCATCACTGGTAGCAATGACCACGTACGGCAAGACAGGGCTCTGGAAGGCGGTGCAGAGCTTCTTACCTGAGCGTCTTCACTTCACACGGGAACATCATCCAGAAGAGGACTTCTGGGAGAACCGAGGCCATCTTATCCATCTCGACCGCTGGCCGAATCCGAAGTCAAAAATCCGACTGATTCTCTTGCACGGCGTGGGGACCAATGGCCGGCAGATGTCCATGATACTGGGGAGGCCTTTGCACGAGGCGGGGTTTGAACTCGTCGCCATCGACATGCCTGGGTATGGACGGACTAAGGTCAATCCGTCCTCGGTCCATACATATGGCGACTGGGTCAATATTGGCAATGATTTTGTGAACCACGAACTCCAAAGAGACGCGCGACCGATTGCGCTGTATGGACTGAGCGCTGGAGGGATGGAAGCTTACCATGTGGCTGCGCTCAACAAGAAGGTCAAGGGCGTCATCGGCATGACGTTCATCGAGATGCGCAATTGGCAGGTCCGCGACCAAGTGTCCAGGAACGTCTTCATGAGCCGCGTCGGTATCCCGATGGCTCAGATACAGGGCAGTATTCCTCTGCTCCGGAGCCTGGCGATGCCAATGTGGCTGGCAAGCAAGATGGACACTCTGTGTAATGACCCCGACGCGCTCAAGATCATGATGTTGGACTCCTCGTCTGCCAATCGCTGGAATACCATGAGGTTCTTGGCGACCCATGGGTCGTACAAGCCTGCGCTAGATCCCGAAGAGTTCGACGTCTGTCCCATTCTGCTCACCCAGCCGGCAGAGGATCTGTGGACGCCAAGGTGGATCAGTGAAGTATTTCTGTCGAAGATCAAGAAGGTGAAGGTCAAGATTGTTGAACTTGAGAAGGCTGGGCATTACCCCTTGGAGGATCCCGGGCTGCAGCAAATGGCGGATGCCATTATCAAATTCCTGCACGACTTGGAGCCATGAGGGAGGAGGTCCCTCTGGTCTTCGAATGGTCTCTTGGGAAGTTGTGCGCCAATGGCAATATTGTATCAAGTTAGTTGAGACGAGGTGTTGGGCAAGAGATGGGGTGGGCTTTGGGAGATGTTCCGGACAAGGCACGAATGGTACGAGATGCGAATAAATAACCGCCTACTCGCGTACGGCCTCGGCGATATGAGAAAATATAGTACTAGGCAGCCCCTCGACGAATCGACCACGCCCCACGCGAATGGCACGGAATATCATAGTATCAATAGGCACCCCTTGGCTCTTAGCGGCCCACTTACTAGCGCTAATAGTAACTATTTAGCGTCCCGGTGGGCCGGAGTATCTATCAATTCGTACCTAGGGAATAATAAGACTCTTTCTCGAAGGGGTACAAAGAGTGCAAGGACGAGGAGGACGAGGAGGACGAGGGAGCGGATTGATTCTTTTTATATTAATAAGAGGTCTTTATAATACCTTTGTACTATCCTAAAAGGTCTTATATAGTTAGTATTTGAATACTACCTACTTACGCTAGCACTAATCGATACTCATACTAAACTTACTTACTTACGCCACGGCCTTAGCAATATTATATCCTTATACTTAACTTAGTAATTTACTGATAGCCCTAGTCCATGACGGAATATACGGCGTATAGAGATCGCCTGGGCGAAAGATGTTTACTGAATACCATACCCGCTCTGACCGGAACAGGCCTCCTAGATAGCGGATCCTGCGGGTCATGATTGCCGCTGAACGCAAATTTGTCCTTTCCCGACGGAGACGATTCTAAAAGAGGAAAGCCAGCTTAGGGATTGATGGCCCCCGGAGGAATTATACTCCACCAATGACAGCGAAACACCTCCAGATCTCCTCCCACGGAGTAGCTTCAACCACTTAGACATGATTAGAACCGCTTGAGCCGATATTGGGAGCTTTATGGGAAACAAATTGATGATAATTGTATTGCTACAACCGAATACAGGCAGGTTTTCTGTGTGGTACTGGTTTGACTTTTTGAACACTGGTGGGAAACATGAGCGGTGTTCGATCATGGAACGAAGATGCAGAATGCCGTATGGCCACCTCCATAAATTCAGCTTAATAGCGTGCCATGAACCCTTAAGTACAGGAATCTTAGTGCTAAGGTACAGCAAGGTGACTATCCGGCTGCGTGCAGATTTCACACGTAGACCATGGGTGTTGGTGTTTCCGACCGCTGGGGGAAAAAATACAATGTCCAGCATTGTTGGAAGTATGAACGTTCATGAGATTCGCAGGTAATCGGTCTGGCCGTTATCGTGCGTACTACAAATCACTCTCAGTCTTTTCCAGTGCGTCAAGAGCCTAAAGGCGACCCCAGCCACCCGTTCGCCGACATGAACCAATTTAAGTCAGGGAAGTATGGCGGACACATCAGCTGTCTTTATTTGGGGTCAGAAGTGGCAAACATTTTCTCTCCACGATTGTATTGACTCGAACCTCCACGACACTACCGAGTTTGATGCCCGGAACCTGGTCATTGATTTCTTATAGCGATATACTTCGAAATTGACGCTTCCGAAGTATCCAAGATTCCTACTGCAATCAGTGTCTACGCTGATGCTCTAGTGGCAGTAACTGCCCGATTTATCCATCGACCAACTCGACCAACTGGCAAACAACGTCTCTCACAGCTTCAATGGGAATCAAATGACCACAGTCGTTGATTACTTTAGTTTCAACCTTGAATCCCATGGCCTGCAGGACCCCAACTGTCTCCTTCCTCACTTTCTCGGGGGTTTCGACTTTGTCCTCCTGGCCAACAAGTATACTCACTCGCATACCCGGCCTGCGCTTTGCGAAATCCCAAGCTGCATTGGTACAATCCGTTCCCATCCCAAACTCCAGCCATCCCCTCTTCGCTCCTTGACTCATCCTGATAGCATCTCTAGCAAGTTGAGTAGCCAGCTCATCTGTCAACAGTCGATGGGTGAGCACATGTCGCATCGACCACTCTGCGCTTTGAAGCGACTTATACGCCTTCATGGACTGCGCCCGCATCTCTAGAGAAAATTCGAGTGGACCAGGTGGAGCGGGAGCTAATAGAAGTAAACTTGTTATTGCTACCTTTGCCGTGACGCTGGTAGATGGTTCGATTTCCAGATTGTGGAGAAGCTGGAGTGAAACTTTGGCGGACATGCTGTGTGCGCCGAGCACAACTTTCCCTGAGGGGACCAGATCGACAAAATCCTCGCTCTGGAGCACAGCGAGGACGTCGGACGCTAAGGTCGAGATCGTATGATCTTCGGCTAGATCTGGCTCCAAAGTTCTCGAAGTGCCGGTCCCGCGATAGGATAGCGCCACGTAGATACCAACTGGACGACAAGTTGCTATTTCGTTCAAGACAGCGTCAAATGTCGATGCTGAGCCACCCCAAAATGGCAAGAGCAGGATGGTGGGACCAGATGCCTCAAGTCCGTTGCCTTTACGGTAACGAATATTTAGTGTCAGATGGTTGTCGTCGTCACTTGTTGAGACCTTCGAGGGTCGGATGGCAATGTCCCTGGACAGTATGTGGTCAATGGTCCCCTCCACAGACATATTGCGATATTCCTAGATCGCGTTTGGGAACGGTACTTTGTCTAGTAAGCTTGGTACTGTGTACAGCAATTGCGTGCATTGGCCTGCACGCAATCGTAATAATCTGGCTGCTACCAAAAGAATACTCTCAGCCACGAATTGATCCAAGTCAATTGGTGCATGGCTGACGATCGATGACTAAATGCTCCGATGTACTATGGGATGCGGGTAGGCGGGACAGGAGTTATAACTTATGGCGGAGCAACCCGGCTTCAACACATCCCCAAAAGGGAAAACTGACAGGACTAGGTTAGTGCCCAACGAGCTGGTCTTACGAGCACGTTTACGCCCCCTAGACTCAGCTACTAGAGAACAAGATATTTCCCGATTGGTCGCATTTGACTCCTCGTGAGAAGTTACCATTGATTCATATGATTCGCATCTTCTAGTGACCCTATGTTAAGCGAGTTTGGAATCTTCTTAACGGCAGGGGCAAGTTATAAGCGTCTTCACCAACTCTCGATTCAAGGAAAGGAGAGGTTCAACACCGCAATAGCCTACTGCCGAAGGAGCAGTTTGGCGTTTGGCCAGCCTAAAGTTAACGCGTGGTACTCCAGTCCTTACTCTGGTAGACATCTTCTCTCTTCAGAAAATCGAAGTCGCTGACGATCCGACTCAATGACGGTCCACCCCCCTTACACCCGTTGAACAAAGGGACCATCTACTCCTTCGCTTTCGATTTTGCTAAATGGATTTGAAGGGTTGAGGATCCCTACAGTGTCCAAGCCTTGAAACCGATTCAGCAGTATCTCCACTTCACCGATGAACACCAGCCAGTTGAAGAGTGGTGGAAGAATCGAGGGCATACAATCCACAACATTCTCAACAAATAGCGTGATTACTTGTCAGCACGGGACGGAGCGGATAACGAAAGTGAGCCCTTGCCCAGAATCGACATGGTGAAAAAGATCGAGGTCATTAACTGTCGTTTCGGTGGGTGTTGAGGCCGCATAAGTAGTGGAATCATCGGGATCTAAGGGTCTGGGTGTAACTTGGTTCATAACCATAGTGGTGGAATCTTCGCTAAAATGTCTAGACCGAGATCACGAAAATGCGCTGCAGACCATGAAAAGGATACAAGTAAGTCTGAATGGTGGATACTGTATCCGACAGCTGCATGTCGTCAAAGATCACGTCACCGGGATACCGGGCGTCGGTAGAGAGAGATACTAGCCCTTGGAACATGGTCGCCAATTCCGTAAGATACAGTAGCTGCTTTTCAGAAGTTTCTCTTTACATGCCCAGTTGGTTGAATTTCGCGCGGGCGGACGCTGATTTTCGCGCCGTCTCTCCGTTAACCTGTGGACTTCTTAGAACAGTTACCCAGAAGGTTCGGGCAACTACAGACCGTGGGAAATTCTTGCCGCATAAGATGAGAGAGGATATCTTAGATATGGAATCTCAAGAATACGATTCCAATTTTATACTTCTCCAACTTGTTCCCAGGGGCTTCGGGTTTCCGAACAATTCCAACTCGGCCCTTTCACGGTCGAGGGACATATCAGACAGGTGTTGCTGGCCTGGATTGCGGACGACGTGCCAACCCAGGCGCAATGTGTGAGCTTGACCTTGTAAGTAAGTCGATTAACCGTGATTCAGCGCCATGGTCGACCAAGTCGGGCTTAGTCAGGACTGAAGAGAGCGTCATTTACGACGTAGATAGTATTCCTTATTGCTACATGTAGAATGCAAGCAAGATTACGTGTTTGAAGAGATGTAGTCTAAGCTAATTTCAATGCAGCGCACGGTGCGTCTTGCGGAAACTACGTTAGGTTAGAGTGAGAGCTAAGCCCGCCGCTAATCACTAGATTCGCTACGGAGCTAAATATCTCTACAGTTAGTAGATAAATGATTATAGTTTGTACATTTAGTATAAATACCTGTACTATAGAGTGATAATATAGTAGATATGCTAATTATAGGTAGACTTAGAGGAATAATTTTTCTTAATGCCTAAAAATTATATAGTTAGCTATAAAGAGAAGAACAATAATAATACATGACTTTCCGACGCAGCCTGCCGCTCGTGTGGAAAGGGAGAGCCGACGGGTCGTCCTCGTTCGGGTTCTGAATCAGTTTGGGCATCGTAGCGCTATCGCGGCGAGCAATTCAGGCGGGATGTAGGGTTTGCGAGAGGCGGAATGGCGCTTGAATCTCTAGGCGTTGAAGTCGGTGGCTCTAGCCCCCACCAATCCGGCATGACTCAGCTCCGGAGTAGCCCAATCAGAGCCTTGGGGGCGTTGGTCGGAGTGATTGAGGCCCTAGGACGTGCCTAACCCCAGGAATAGCTTAGGGGCACGTCGCCTAAATTGCCACCTTCGGCCGTCACAAAGGAGCGTGGTATCCGCGGCCCCCAGGAGTGCTAGTGTTAGAGCTCAACATTGTTTCTCTCGTTCTACAGATTCAAGACGATATGACGGCCTAATGTTGATGTCACAGTGACAATACATCATGTCCTCCCCGGCGCCATTACAGAAACCCCTACTTGGGTCCGCTCCCGTAGCATGCGCGGCATGTCGGCGGCTGAAGGTGTGACAAGACGACAAATGACCGCCGAGAGATCTAATGACCATTTTATAGATGAGGTGCGTGGGAGCTGAGAACCCACCATGCGCCAGATGTCTCAGAACCGGCAGGAGATGCGTGGTGAGTCCATCGAGAAGAGGCCAAACGCAGGCCAATTCACTGCGCAAGAGGCTGCCGCCCGTATCATCCTCGGTCGGCGAGGTTCCAGACATCCAGACCGCCACAGGTTCTTATGGAAGTATTTCGATGACGTCTCCATGGCTGGCTCCACCGGAGCTGCCCAGGCTTCCGAGTCGCCCGAGTCCTACTCATAGGTCGGATGCACATGATTCTCCTGCTAGCATTTCCCGAACGGAAGATGTTTCTACCCCGAGCCTTCCATCAGTATATTCATTATCTCCTCTTGATGTTCTAGGCTCTGTGGCAGCACAGGATGTACTTTCTGGCTCCCAGCATCAACATCAGCAGGAGCCAAGGGATCATCGGGTTGGGAATTCTAGGTCTGCCGAAATCCCAGAGAATGTTTTGGTCGAGTATATTGAGTTGTAAGTTGCTCTTGTCCACGTTGCCGATCGCAGGTAATCCTGACTTTCTGGCTCGATTCTAGCTTCCGGGAAAAGATCTTGTACTGTGTACCTGTCATCGACGATGCAGACCTCAGAGATGAGCGCTATGTCATTATGTATAAGCGACCCCTGGCTTATTGTGCAAGTTTTGTTGCTTCCCAATTCATTCCTGGAAGTGCAAATGTACGACGACAGCTTCTCGCCCACATTTCAGAGTTCATCGAAACCATTAGCGGCCCTTTGACGCACAATGAAGACGCAATCTGGACGCAACTGCAGGCTCTAGCCGTTCTCTACGCATACCGCCCAGCTGGAGACGTGTTTCCACTCCCTGGAGCGCCTGAAAACCCCAGCTTCCTCGATCACTGGACCCTGAAATATTCTATCGAGGCTTTCGCCTTAAGGGCGGGACTACACCGCTCGATCGATAGAGTCAGGGTTTTACTACGGAGTGATTCGTCAGATATATCAAAGTCATCGGCCTTTTCTATGTACGTGTACTGGCTGTGGCTTGTGACAATGTCCCATCACTTCTCCCTGATGACTCGGACACCTCCGACCCTGCGGGAGGACAGTACCATCACTCTAGCGGTTGATTTGTTAAGAGACATACCGCGACCATCGCGAGTGACTCGTGTTCTTGCCGAAATTGACCTGTATACTCTCTGGCAACAAGCTGGCCGAAGCGCTCCCGGTCTTGCTGAGTGGTGGTGTACATCTTCAGACTCAATGAACGTCGAGGGAATTGTTGCCGTTCTGGAAGACTTGGAAGGGGCTCTGGAAGTATGGAGCCAAAGATGGGGTCTTCGTGGAGAGTCCAATGTAACCATAACAAATGTCGACATATCAAAGAACGGGGCCGTGAATTTCCACTTCGAAAGCACTCGCTTCTGCATCAGCTCATTTGGCACACGGTACATTCTGGAGAAGACCCGATCTGCATTCGATCAGGAATTCGCGTCTCGTTCCGCCCTGAGCCACTTGGCCCGAAAGTCCGTTCTGAAATCCGTCCAGGCAGCGCATGCTTGTTCACGATGTCTGGTGGATATTTCGCCACTACGGCGGGAAAATATCCGCTACATGGCTGAATTTGGGTACGCCCTCGTCGCTTTCTGCTGCCTCTACCTCATCCAGGCGTACGAATTCTTCGGAGAGGCCTTGCCGATGTCGAAAAGTTATATGGTTTCTGTGGAAGAAGTCGCCACTTTCATGACAGAAATGGCTGTTGCCAATAATACCGCTCCGCGAATTTACGGTAACTTGGTTCTACGGCAGCTGAAACGGGTTCTTGAAGGACCGCCAGATGGCTACGAGGATTCCCAATCTTGGACTGAGAAGGAGAACGAGGCAATGGGAGAGCCCGCACATCTATCAATGGACCAGACTGCACCAATCTCTGATGTTGATCTCATTGACGGTGGACCATCTGGTCATCATCTCACCCACGACGAGGCAGGATTGCAGTTCCTGACGAATTCAACTTCTGCCACGAGCCCACCACTCTTCTCCATATTCGAACCTAGCTGGGGTCCTCTTTTGAAGTAATATGACATGTATAAAACTTGCGTTAGCATGATAATTCTGCTGCACTAGTACGGGCACGAGTGTTCCGTCTTCTTCTAGGGATTTCTAGTCCTGCTCCGTTTCTTGGGTTGAAGAACAGAATCGAATCACGTTTTGAGGGAGTAGTTACCTATAATACTTAAGGCTTTATAATAAGTTCCTAGCAAGTAATTATTTATAGCTATAGATAGATAAGTTCAACAGTATACTAGTATAAGTATAGCGTATTTAGTAGCAAGAATAGGAAATATATACGGTACATTACTAAATCTTAGTATAAACTAACTTATAAAGTACGTAACGCACCAATAGCTAAAGTCTAGATCTACTATTCCTTCCACACCGGGTACTTTAAGCACAATGGGCATTGACGCTGCGTTCGAGATCGTTGCCCGTCTGTCTAAAGGAGCATTTAACATGAAGGCAGAACTAGAAATCCTTCCTTAAGGCCATAAAGGAACACTATCAAAGCGACGACCTAATAGAGGTCAAATCAAAACTTTAGCGTGTTCAAAGCACGCGAACATCCATGGCTCCCTTTTGCCTTGACAGGTGCTTGGAAATTGTGTCTATTGTAAAAGGAAAACAAATGGTCACGGAGCCCGCCCATGAGGTTGGTCAGTCTATACGAGCAAAAAGCACACTCCCTAGTTCAGATGAGCACTGGGCCGAAGAGGGCTGAATGCTTGGTGTCGACCTTGCCCACGATTCCCTTTGCCTCCCTCATACCCGTATACTAACTCGAGCAGTCGTACTTACACTATGTGAAATAATCAGGAAAGTGCACCAACAAATTTAATATCCCATGGCAAAAACCTTTTAGTTTTTGGATGCAGAATTCCACGTTGTTCAACCACCTACATCCGTAGCATCTCGGTCTTGTCCTACATCTACAGTATACAGACAGTACTCCCAAGAAGGAAGATGTAGAATTTCTGTTGAAATTCACACCACCTCCAGCCCCAGCGTCTTCTTCACCCATAACCACCGCTCGACGCCCACGACGGCCTTTTGCTTGGCCGAGATGTTGCCTCCGTGGCCGAGATTCTTGATGATTCTGACATGTGTGGCTGCTGCCGCAATTGGATCAGCAGGGCAACGTTGCTGCTGCTGCTGCTGATGATGATGTTGTAATGCCGCCGCCATCTTCAGACTATGCGACGGCTTGACCAGGTCGTCTTTATCGCCCGCGGTCAGGAGGACTGGAGGGTATGCTACCTCTCTGACCTCATCCTCACCCCTATCTTTCTGCAAGGACAAAACCCGTTCCAGCGGCGTCCATGAGCGAATGAAATCGCCCTCCACGCCGTCATTGACGTCCCCGATCTCCTGCACCCCGCGGTCCGTACCGGCCATGCGCTGGCGGTTCAGCACGTCCAGAACGCCGGCGTTCAGCAGCACCGCGTCGAACAAATCCGGGCGCTGCGTCATAACGCTCGCTGCGTTGAGGCCGCCCATGCTTTCGCCCATGAGGATGATTTTTCTCCTTGACGCCGTCCCTGGTCCAAAGTTGGTGTTCCGCGGAAGTGTTCAGCCGCGCATACAACATCGTCGAAAAGACGCTGCCGGTTCAATTTCTGTGCTGCGTGGTGCCACGTCGTGCCGTACTCGCCGCCGCCGCGGACGTTGGCCACCGCGAGCGTAGAGCCCCGGAACACGCGCAGGAAGGTGATGAAGTCGGGCCGGAAGTGGGGGATTACGGCTAGCCCCATGGCGCCGTAGATGTAGAGCAGGATGGGCCCTGAAGATGATGCGGGTGAGGGAGAGGAGGTTGTAGGAGACAAAGATGTGAGGAACATGGGGATCGGGGTTGAGTCGGTCGAGTGGTAGAAGATTTGGGTCGTTGAGAGGGATTGTGGTGGTGATGCTGCTGCGGATGAGGATTGATTGGACGATTCGTCTTCTGGGAAGAGAGATATGAGTTTGAAGTCACTGACAGCCATTGCTACCCGTCCTTCTCCACCGTCTGCAGCCGCTGCGTTGGATGGAGAAACTTGTGTATACCACAGCAGCGGCGGATGCGTGAACGCCGACTCAAGCAAGAACAGAGTCTCGGTCGAGGGATCAAAAGACACGTCCAAGATCGTCCACATGGGTAGATCATCGCCTGCCACGGTCGTGAGATGCTCACCCGTCCGCGACGAGAAGATCTGGATCTGATCCCGCACGTCGACGGAGCGCACGGCCAGTATGTTGCCGTCAGACAAGAGGCGTGCAAGCTTCAAAGTCTCGCGCTCTCGAGAGCCGACCACATCGCGGAGAGGCGTGTTCTTGTCCTTATTGTGAGGGGTATAGGAGACTACTTTGCCATTCGAGTCTGTGGTCCAGAAGAAGTGGGTGCTCGAGTTGTCAGGAGAAGAGCCAATGTATCTGTAAAGTGCGTCAGCTAGGGAGGTGGACATAAAGCTATGGTAGAAGAAAGAAGAACTTGGGTTGACTGGATGTGAAAAGACTTACTCCAACTCAGCATCAAAGCTATCCGACACGAGTTCGTCGAATTTGAGATTGAGCCTTTTGCTCTCATTGGGAGCAGCACCGACAGTGCCATTCACTCCGTCCACATCGACGTTGGCAGCCCAGACCTGGCATCCCCTACCTTGATCGTACACCTCGAGAAACACCGTTCTCGCGTCCATCGACACACTCGCCTTGATTGAATACCCGGGATGCTGTGCATCTTCATACACGACCTCATCGACCTCCTGCGCCGCCCCAAGGACATGGAAACGGACCTGAGGCGGCGCTGTTCTGACCGCTGTGCTATTCCCATGTGGCCCGCCGCCGGGATAGGAAGTGTAAAAGAAGCCCCGGTCTCCGAGCCAGGGGATCGTGGCGCAGGGTTTGCTGGAGAATTTGGTGCCGCGGACTTCATCGCGCAAAATCTCGCCAGTGCGAGTGTCCTTGACGCGGATGACACCCCAGTCCGAGCCGGAGTCGCTGGTCGTGAAGGCCCAGAAATTCCCGCTCGGGCTAAGCGATGAGGCTGTCAGAACGGAGGAGTAGGTGGCTTCATCGTAGAAGATTGTTGGGCTTTCAATTCCATTTTGATCGGATTGAGTAGCAGCAGCACTAGATACGCCCAGGAGAGCCGCTTTGCCGACCCGGTACGAGACGCCAAACTCCCGTCCCCGGCCCATCACTCTGACGATGTAGTCCCCATTCCCATCTCCCAGACTCTGCGGCACACCTGGAAAGATGGTGAGCTTCCACATGTCCATCAAACTGAGCGTCAAGCGCTGCTTCGCGGGCCCGAGCTTTTCATCGTTGAGATACGACGCGAACACGGCATTTTGGGCCTCGACGAAGGATATAGTTTCGGCGCTAGATGTGTCTTCGAGCCAGTCGTAGGGGTTGGACACCGCGATTGTGCCGTGTTGGGTGCTAATGAAAGTACTTTTCGCAGAGGAACGGCGGGCGGGCGGCATTTGTGGATCTGCCATTTTTTTGCTGCTGCTTGATGGGTCAGGGGCTGTATATATTTGGTCGTTGGATCTTGCATGTGCGAGGTGAGAAGGGGTAGCTCTCGCGGATTAAGACATCAGGAGTTCGAATCAGGGTATTTGTATGTCTCCCGCTTCGAGATGAGTAGAGCGACTTTTCCTCGCAAACGACCCGATTTATTTTCAATACATCTTGTACATCGAGCTCTTAAAGTAGTTCACATGCTTCTCCTCGGGCCCGAAGGTTGACGCGTGAGGGGACCGCAAGCATGACACGAGGCCAGAAAGCTTCCGGAAATGCGGTTGTTCGTGGATGACGAAGTCACGTTGCGGCTTCCCTCTCTTGACATGCTTGCCTACGGGGAATCGAAATGCCTCGAGCTCGGCACAAGTAAACATGCGAGGTCTGGGGAAATTTTCAATTGAGAGCGAGTGTGGGAGCGTAGACGAAGAGTGAGAGAGGTTGCCGCAAGCCCGGTGACCGGAGAGACGGACATCTTACCTAGGTAGATATCCATGTGCATGACCCCAGATAATTTAGTCGCCGTCGCTAATGCCCAAGATCCACGTCTAGTGTACAAGGGAGAAAGTATGCTGACGATGAGGGTCACTCTTCTGAGATTGGTACGAGCATGACTTCGATTTTGCTCTATAGCCTATCTTCTCTAAAAACTAAGTAATCATTCCGCCATTCACATGCCACTTTCCCTGACTCTCGTGTTCTGGTCAAATCTCATTTGCTCATCACCATGGACCATTGCATATCCATCGCAACGATTGTTGCTGTATTTTACCATCTGTGTGATAGAGGTACAGTATTGCGACATTCTGCTGTTCAACACACATATTGAAAGATCGGGTTCGATTGATCTGTCAAGTCTGCAAAGGCAACATTTGGATCCGTAATCAATTCAGGGTGTTCTTCCCTGAGCGGGGCTTTCTTCTTGTTGCAACGGATATAGTGAATCCTATTATGGACGTAGTGTTAGTTGTGTGAAGATTTTTACAGGTGAAAGCATTGGCGATCTGGGCATGACGGCTTCCGTCCTTATCAAGCAGGAGGACGGTATACTCACCAAAGCAGTACAAAACATCCCACGCTCGCACAAAGTAAGCTCAAAGTTGTAATCTGACCTGTAGGGTAGCCTCGTGCGGCTTCATTTCCTTCGTATGCCCATGGTCCAGAAAAGCCACCGAGGTTCGCAAGAGCGAATATCGTGGCATTGATGACTGTTTTCTTAGTGTGTCCGCCTATATTGGAGGAAAGGAGAGCAAATTCCTGTACAAGAGCGCCGTAGAGCGTAGTAGACTACCAATAGAAGACCACGAGTGTTAGGGTGCCAAAGACCTAAAGAGGGGGAAAAGAGCTCACGATGTACAACCCAGCCAAAAGGGCCCCCTTGCTTGACCTGTCGCTCTTCCACAGGATGATGTTTCCTGCCAGGCTGGGAAGAAGGTAAAGAATGGCAATCAGAATGCGTCGGCGTGGAAAGAACGTGCCGAATATTCCAGATGACACCATGGAAACAATGGCAACGGCGCTCGCAGGCATTGAAAGGACAAGAGCTCTCGTGTTAGAATAGCCGAAGGACGAGACCAAGAAGCCTCCGAAACTAGGGAAAGGGCGTCAGTTGCAGAGGCTTGAAAGAGTATCCATCAGGACAAGCTCACGTGCCGATGGCATTGTTGACAAACGCGAATGTGAAACTGTAAACCCCAAAGATGTACAACTGAGGATCCGTGAAGGCTTCCTTGACTTGCCTCCATTTGAACTTGCGAGTCTGGATCCCCGTATTGTTCTGGGCAAGTCGTCGCACTGCAATTTCCTTCTCTCTGGCAGTGAGGAACCAGGCTTTCATAGGATTGGCAGGGAAGATGAGCCCAGTGAAGATGCCGAATCCCACAGTAACAGAACCTAGGATAACGTAAATCCATTTCCAGGGACTCGCAGTGTAGGCACCGGAGAGATGCACTGCACCAAGGTCAATTCCCTGTCCTGCCAAAGATCCAATAGCAGTTCCTGAGATGAAGATGCCAACACGAAGAGGTTGCTCTTTGTTCTTCCACCTGCGAATTCCATCAGCGAGAAGGTTCTCGATAAAGAAGAAGAACATACCACATGGAGGTTATGATGACAGATAGCGGCTGTGACACGACGGCAAAGCCGGTGAAGAACCTGCTTCTCATAAGCATGTAGACCTTGTTGAGATTAACTTTATACGTACCGAAGAGCCGCAATGTCGGCGAAATCCTGGCATACGATGACCAGAATAGCAGTCAATCCTATGTATATAATAATGACACCGTAGAATTTGCCGGCCGGGAGGTACTGCGCAAGAAGTAGTAATGGATATTGACCCTGTAGAGAATGAGTTCATGTGCCTTCTACGGCGGTCAAGAGGTAGAATATTTACAGCTGCTGCGCCTAATGGGCTCATGCCCGCGGAAAGCTGATATTTGGTTGTGTCAATGACAGGTTTGCCTCCAACGGCCTTCAACACAAATAACTTGAGATCTTTGACCAGGCCGAACAGAGCGGCGAATCCGTATGCTTGAGTATCTGCATATGAGACAACGGCGCCCATGAAAAGCTATAATATGGAGAATTGCATCAGAACACAAGTTGCGTAACTTCACGTTCACGAAGACCTTAGGAGGCGTTGCACTTGCTGAAGCTTACCAAGGTCAAGATCACGGCGTCAATCTTCCACAATACTTTGTTTTCCTCAGCTTCAGTCCAATCAATACTCTCGCTATCCACTGCGAAGCTCAACGCAACGTCATAATCTCGAATATTTTTCTTGAGGTCAGTATCCTCAATAGTCACGGACGAACCGTGCTCGATGTTGTCGGACTCTGACTTGGACGCCATGGCATGAGAAGACGATGCGTAATGATCTCAAAAGCGCAACAAGGTGCGAGAGAATGGGCAATCAGATAACTCAAGTGCCACAGAACGTGGAAGGCATTTCTTAAATGACTCTAGAAGCTGTCTATGAAGCAAGTCTCCAGAATTCATTTTCAAGCGAGCAACACCCCAGAGGGGACTGGCGTCCGACTTGCTCCTTTGCTTTTCGTTCGCACGACTCCTGCTGGGGCCCCAGATTTCGTCTCCAGATGGCTACGGAAGATGCGGAACCAATCCAGAGTAGACATCCAAGGCTATGGACGTGGGATTTGGAGCAGCAAGAGAGCATGGGTCAATGTCTTCTCTTGCAAGTGATACTTGCATATGCTTGATTCGCAATTTTCGAGAGGCGTAGGTAAGGAAGTAGTCATGCGGTCTCCGAATCCGGTCGCCGGAGAATTCCAGGACTTGCTCGACATCGTAATATTGAAAAGCTGTCGATTGGTACAACAAACCATCAAGGCGAAAGCGTGGTGAAACGACAAACAAACCCCCCAGCGGTACAAGCAAATGTGCCGACGGTGAGCTTTACTCAAAGAAGCATGGCGCATCTGCACGTCCGGTGACCGTTTCTTTTAGGTTCGTGATGAGCTTCAACTTCGAGCCTCTTACGATGCTGCTAGTAGCAATCAAGAGATCAATTCCGAGAATCCGCATCGAATTTTAATTCTCTTATGGCTTTAGCAGCTATTAACTCGGGACCTCGGGCGTGCATGTCCACCAATGTGGTGGTATTGCTTCGGGCCTTCGGCTTTCACGTTTCTGTTGACTGGGCACCTTGCGAAGGTCAGAAGGTTTTGACCAAAAGTAAATGCTGTTAAAAATGACAAGAGGCCATTATACATGCCTTTTGCACTAGTTTAGACACTCATAGTTTCGACTCGTTGACCCTCTTCGTCTTACTGAAATAGCAGCAATACGCAAGTCTATAATTAGCGCTAAGATTTAACTAGCGCATACTAGCTCTACTAATATATATTACACTAGTAAGGATAGAGCCTAAACTCCTACGGCGCTAGTAGCTAAAATACCTCCTATCTTAAACCATAAAAGTGCTACTATATTAGTATTTCGAATACTTTAAAATGTGACGTCGACCGTATTCGAACACTTTAGAGGTGAGCTGGTCTAGCTTAGCCGTATAGAGTATATCTCGGCCTAGGCGTAGTAAGTGGAGACTCAAGTGTCGACCCCACTCTCGATAAAGCGACCTAGCTAAATACAGTACTAGGAACGGCTGCAAGACGTAACTACCGCATAAGTAGTTGGCAGCAACTCCTTTCAGACGCATTTAGTCGAGAGAACGGTCTGACTAAGCTCGAGGAACGACCTTTTTCCGGCGGCAGGTGAATCAATCACTCGGCCAATCCCGTCGAGCCTGAAGGACCACTATCCTGTTCTGGTGAGTGCATCACCAGTAAAATAGTATCGTTCTTTCATCCCTGTCCAGGGTGAATGAATACCTTCATCTTCCGCCAGATTTTGATGATATCGAGTTCCAATAAAGCTGTGTCAGCTCTTGATAATCTGTTTCTAAGCGATGCTGCGCTGCGTGCAGACACCAGGTCCAAGACCTCATCCTAGGTTGGGGGTTTGTCTCGAAAGGAGAGGGGTCATCAGAAGCATTGAAAAGAAAACCAAAGATAAAATCCATTTTTCTTGATTCATCCATTCTCATCAAGCCTCCATTCGAAAACATGTCTATTTTCTGTTCTGTCGAGGAATTCCTCTCTTGTTCTTTTGACTTTATTATTGTCGGTGGAGGTACGGCCGGACTCGCACTTGCCGCACGTCTATCTGAGAGTGGGCAATTTAGAGTAGGTGTGCTCGAAGCTGGCGAGAACAAGCTGGATGATCCAATGGTCAATATTCCAAGCATGTTTCCACAAATGCAATTCAAGCCTGACTATGACTGGATGCTGAAGAGCGTTCCGCAAGTAAGGCACTGGCTCGTTGCTTAGATCTCCATTTAATAGCCTACAGGTTCATGCAAACAATCTAGAATTCGCTTTGCCACGCGGAAAAGTGTTGGGAGGCACCAGTGCCATAAATTACATGCAGTACAGCAGACCACTCGGCTCTGACTGCGATGAATGGGCGAGTTATGTTGGCTCGGACGAGTGGTCCTGGTCCAACATGATGCCATACTTCAGAAGGAATGAGTATTTGGAGGCTGAAGAGTACCAAACAGCATGTCTTGCAGCACATGGGACCAATGGGCCAATCCACACTAGCTCAACACGATCCCAGATTCCTATGGAAAACGTCTTTCTGGACGCGTGTCGAGACGTTGCCGGATTTGAGTCAAAACCGCAAGATGCTACCAACGGGACACATGATAGCTTCTTCGCGGCTCTTTCGACAGTCAACCGCTCCGATCACAACGGAACAAGAAGCTATGCAGCTTCAGGATATATTTCACCTTACTTACACCGCACCAACCTCAGAATACTTACGAACGCCAACGTTGAGTCCGTGAAGTTTCAGGGAAATAGCTCCGAGAGGGTGGCCGAAGGGGTTTACTTTTGGCGTTCGGGAGCCAAGTACGTAGTAAATGCCACGCGAGAGGTCATTCTCAGCGCAGGCACCCTTAAGACCCCGCAGGTTCTTGAACTTTCAGGGATTGGAGATCCTACAATTCTCAAAGCTGCTGGAGTTGCCTGCGTGGTGCCGAATAGTTTCGTCGGTGAAGATATGCAAGACCACACTGCATTCATCACGACGTTGGAACTGGCGCCAGGAGGCTTCTCTATCGATGCCTTTGCAGATCCACTTATTGTTCGAACAGTCATGGAAGATTATCAACGTACGGGAGGCGGCCCCCTTGCCAATCCTCCATCGGGTATGGGCTTTCTCAGCTATCCATCCTTGGTTTCCCCCAACGACCTTGATGCCACTATCGATGCAGTAGGAAAGATTGAGGGTCTGAAAAAACCTCTCACAATGGCTCAACAACGAAGAGTAATCAACAGGCTGAGTGATCCCCACGCAGGCGCCATACAGATTCTCTTCATTCCAGCAAATATTGACGCTGCAGAAGGGCGAGCAGACCAGTCCAAATTCATTCGACCAGCGGCTGGTGGAAACAATCACGTAACAGCAATTACAGCATTTCAATATTCGTTGAGTCGGGGGAGTGTCCACATAACAGGAAATGATGCCGAAGCTCCACCCAGGATTGACCCATCCTTTCTATCACACCCGGTGGATGTCGCAGTATTGCGCGCAACAATGCACTTCCTGACCAAGGTCTCCAATTCAACAGCTGTCAGAGAGCAGCTCAACCCAAGCTTCACGCTAGCTGAAAAATTTGGACTTGGAGACCGAGACCGTGAAATATCGTACATTCGCAGCCATGTGGGGACAGAGCATCACCCCATCGGCACGGCTGCCATGGGAACAGTGGTCGACACCAATCTCAGGGTAAAGGAGGTCGCTAAGCTGAGGTGCGTAGACGCAAGTGTTATTCCCATTCACATAAGCGGAAACCCAATGTCGATGGTATATGCAATAGCTGAAAAGGCAGCGGATCTGATACTTGGTGCTGCGAAAGCATGATGGTTTGAGCGTCCGAGTCTTGATCGAGACCATACGCCGTTGGCTCGCCACAAGTCAGTGGAAGAGAGCTGGTGCCTAAACAAAGCGACTCTGAGCGTTTCCGGTGATTTCAAAATAGGCATCATCCTTAACTTTGTCTATCAACGCATAGTCAGTACCAGGTTTGCTTTTCTGAATGCAGCACCAGGGACAGGATTTACGCATTCAGCGACTTTACTGTTGAGAGTTAAAAATTTATTAGCATACTTAGTACTAAGTGTTAATTAGGCTGAGTACTTCTAATCATTAGTTATATTGAATAGCCTTATACTCCATCGGCTGACTTCCCCTTCGGGGCGGGCCGTCTACTCCAGCGGCCCTTCAAGTGACCTAGTTTACAAGAGTCGAAACGTAATATAGCAGGCAAAAAGGGTCTTCTTTCGTAGGTGCGTTAATGATTGGAGAGGATTAATTAGTCTTCCGTCTCTTTTCTCGCCGCCCCGGACTTGTGTCCAGGCGGCTTGAGGAGTCTAATCGTACTCAACACTCAACAATAGTACAATACCAAGTGCCAATTAAAGTAAGTCAGTACCGTCTTGGGGACGCATCTGGCCGGAGAAAATCAAGCAAAGTCCACGAGGTTGATGTCAACAAGGGCCATGGGGTTGATATCATCGAGGCTGAAGAGGTTGTCCAACGACCAGTCGGGATACCCGTCGAAGAAAACATTCGTTGCAGATTCTGCTTCTATGGCGTCCAGCAATTGCAGTCTGGGAGACAACGATTTTGGAAACGGGAACAGATCATGCACATTTGTGATTACACCTTGTGGTAAAAGTGCCAGCTCGGAACAGTGTCTTTCTGCCGGGACCGCGGCGAGGTTGGAATCCACGCACTGGGAAAGCACATCATGTTTCAGCTGCTCCAACCTGTTGACTATAGATTTTGCTCCAGGAAATTTGACAGTCCGTTGTTTGAGAATGTCCAGTAAGATATCAAGGTCTTGCAAAGACGATGGTTTGTTCCTTCGTGGTTCCGTTTGGAAGCCCTCGCCTCGATTTTCTCTGGCGATGTTGTTGAGTTGAGGAATTGCGGCTGTCATCAAGTACCAGTTATTGATGGCTGTGAGGTAATTGATGTGGTCACGGCAGTCCATGTCTTGATATAGGCCGATCATACAGGATGAAGCCACCAGTGAAATGCGCGAGACCACTGACGGTCGGAAGTGTTTTCCAAAGTGGTGAAAGAACGTGATGATGTGAGTAAGATAAGATGCAAGGTACTCGTAGATTTCGCGGCGGTAGACCTTGCCACCTTGTTCGTTGTAGATCCGAAGATCGCTCGGCATCTCGAGAGCCCAAGCTCGGAAATCTGCAAGCGCTGATGACACCTCTTCGTTGGTGGTGAGGTCTTGTCGTTGCTGGAGGTCTAGCATCTTCGCAATAATTTGTGCCAACCGCGTATAGATGATAAATTTGCCAGCCTGTCTACCTTCCGAGAGCGCGAAGTCTGTCACTGTCAGCGGGCGCAGGTCGAATTCTTCGGTTCTTAAAATTTGAGGCCGTCCGAAGCAGGAAGAGAGCATTTTGTCTTGCGAGTAAAGGAACCACGCTATCCGACGAGCGGAACCTGGTATGGATCTTTCCAGGTATGTTGACTCTTGATGCAGACCCATCTGCACAGCAAGGCTTACTGCGAGGCCAAGCCAACTCCAGCTGCAGTCAATGGTGACCACTGAAGCAGGTCGGACATTCCAAAGAGTAAAGGTGCACAAAACTTTCAGCATAGTGAGGGGATCACGTTCATGGTTTAGAAAAAACAAAATCTTGGCTTTGACGTATTCTAGCTCGGTTTGCTGAATGCTATCCGCGGATTTTGGATGACGAAGAAAGGACCCGACGAAGCAGAGGGCTCGCAGTAAGAGTATCGAAGGGTTAGCACATTCCACGTCTTGGTGGTCGAGCACGGGAATGCGATGATATAAGTACTTGAAGTAGCGAGCGGCTGAGGCCTCGATCATCGAGGGCGCTGGTAGCTGATCTGCTTGCGAGGCTACGAAGCATTGTCTTTCGAGCAGTGTAGAAAGGGAACCTGCCGAGGCTGAGGCCGAGGCCGACAGGGGGCCATGAATCGACATGATCGAGTGCTTTCCGAGATAACCACGGTTCAGTGACTGCATTTCTTCAGAAGGACATCCGGAATTGTCGTCCTCACATTCCTCAGAGGGCGTTTCTGTCCTGTCAGCAACTATAGATGGCGCCAATGTCCCAACAAATGGGGCGTCGCCGGGCAACGCACTCCCCGAAGACGGAACCCCTGGACATGAGCGCACAGACTGCCTCTTCGGTCCATCCCTGCGCTGACATAGCTCGTTCCGCTTCTCACAATTTGTGCAGATACCCATGGTGGGCAGCCTGAGAAGCAAGTCGCATTTGACTTTTCTGGAATGGCATCGCTGGCAGACCACTCGGGAACGATCGCGGGGTACTCGGGCTAGGTTTGATGGGCTCGGCGATGTAGCAGCCATGGGTCGCTTTTCTTTTGGAAAAGGAGCTGTTGACAAAAGACGTATCAGCAGGAAACTCACTTCGACGAGTCTGCAGATAGACGACCAGCACAAAGTTAAGAAGGTAAATATGGTGACCAGGTGTGATTAGCGATGCCAAGCGATTGTAAAGACCGTCGTCAATTGCGTCGCTTCGACGCATTCGAACTAGCTCCTAGAGCTATTGTATTCGATGCTATCCGAGGCGACCCCGAGAGCGCCCAGGCGCTAGTCTAGTATGGACTTAGGACATACCGTCTTAGGAATGACCATGTCCCTTCCCATCATAGAGGAACAGCCGGGGGAGTGAGAACGCTTGCCGACTGCTCGTAATCATGCAATCGGAAGCTTCAGCAGATGCCGCTGTGCTCAGGGCCCTGTACAGGCACCAAGTTCAAGCTGCCGCGGGAGGGGGAGGCATTGGTTGCGCCTAATTCCCGTAGCCACCCCACTAATCTCCGTAGTCCTTAGTATTTCTTTGTACTAGCTTAGCAAGTACCTTTTTATATACGGAAGGGAACTTACTAGTGATATGCTATTGGAGCTAGCGTATTTTAGCACTATGATACTAAGTTACTAGCTTATAGTAACTTCACATAATAATAAATAAAGTAGGTGTATGTCAGGAACGGACAAGGTACATACTGTTCCCCCTTTAGTGGAAGAGAGATAGGGAGTCTAGAATCTTCTATAGCGCCGCCAAGCTAGCGCCGAGACTCTAGTATATAAGAGCTGCTCACCGCATGCGGGTCCCAGGGGAACCTCATGCTTTGAGCTTGCTACGACGGACACCTCAAGGTATTACTTGTAATTGAGAGATAGATCCAACATCGAGACTATTTAAACTACTCTACTAGTAGTCCTGCCTGTTAGCACGAGTGGTGCCTAACAGTGTATATAGTAACATCCTTATCTTACTACTATAGAGCATCTATTAGTCGATAGAGTATTCGTTCGCAGCCTCGATCTATACTATTATTCCAAGCTTTCATCGTCGCCCGTGACATAACGGGCGTGCCAGTCGCAATAGACCTCCCTCTATAAAGTATATTGGAATCCCGGTAACCCCTCGAGGACATATCACCATTGTGGACATTCTCGTTCAACCTTGCTTATGTGAAAGGCTAAGCCGTCTGCTACTACAAGAGTGAGGCCGCAACATCTAGACCATTTCCTGTCAGCATTGCGAGTGTTGAAGAAAACCAGTACTTACGTGAGCGAGGCATAAATCCCGGGCAGATACTGGGGTGCATCTTCAGACCGGAACACCAATGCACCAACTATTCCCCCGAGTCCACCAAGCGTGATCAGGCTTGCACTGCTAAATGGTCTTTTCCACTGACCCCGAATGTTGTTGGCCTGCCATGCCATGACGGTCGGGACTGATGAATTCGCAGATCCGATAACGAGAAAGGCGCCTAGGTCCTGGACTCCTGCAGTCTCGGTCCAGGCCTGGAGACACAATTCACAGATTGCTAATAAGGCGTTGCATACTATGATTGGACTCCGAACATGGTACTTATCCCCTATCCATGCTTCGACGCACATCACGATGGCAGCGAAGAAGTAGGGTGGAGTGCTCAACACTTGCGAGATTCCAACATCGAAGCCCATCTTGACGTTGAGAATGATAGGCAAGAAAAAAGCGACTGAATAGGACATCATGGTGCTGCAACTATCTCGCTATTAGCATAATGAGTTCGCCTCAAAGGAGAGGGCTTACAAAAAGAGGAACCCGAAAAGCCAGATCTTAGCATCCAAGCCGGATTGGAAGAAATTGCCAAGCTGAAAGCGGTATCGTGAGCATCACTGCGATCTTTTCCCAGAAGTCTTATGACGTATGCCAGCTCGTGCGGTTTGAGGAACGCTCTGCTGTTTTGTGCCTTTTCAGGGAAGTCCACGATTAGAAATGCTCCCACGATTGCGGTGAGACACGTCAGCACACCTTCCAAGATGAAAATGTACCTCCAGCCTAGATAGCCACCAACGCCGCCCATCTGCATGAAGGCATAGGCGAGGACTCCAGAGAGGGAGGAACCCACGATACTGATTAGATAGAAAGAAGCATACCGCTTGTGGACGTCATCTGAACTCGGGGATTAGTATAGGGCGATGAGTAGCACGGCCGAAGCAGAAGGGTGCCACACACAACGAATATACCACATTTGCAATAGGAAGAGAGCACCTGCAGCCGTCAGGGAGCTGTATTGAAGGTGAGCGGGAACAAAGCATAGCCTCATTCTTAAGTGATATCGCCTTTGGAAAGATAAAATTCTCACCAGGGAAAAGGCCTGCTTCGAAAATTCCAACAATGGCTCGAAGTCCCAGGAGCTCACCCCAGTGGTGAAGAAAGCCCATACACAACATCACAATTCCCCACAGGAAGTTGCCGCCGGCAAAAAGAGGCGTGGACCGATTTTCCGGACAAGAACAGCGCTTGGCCACTGGAAGACGATACAGGGAACAAAGGAAATTATGATGGCAATAGACTATTCTTGTCAGATCATGACTCCTCGACATCATAATCTCATACGCATATATCGATTCCCAACTGTAAGGTGCAGCTCTTTTCACATTCCGGAGATGTTAGCGGATGCCAGGTTGGTGCGATCCATCAAGGAGATGGCAAACATGAGCCCAAGAGATGTTACGAGACGTCGATCAATCTTATGCACGATTTTCCGGCCTTCCGCGTAAGAGACATCGTCGTCTTGAGCCGGAATTGAGTCCACCATTTCAACATGGCGTGCCTTCTCAGCGTCCTGCTCAGGAGCAGACATCTCTAAAGTTACCGAAGATATCCTGGTCAGCAAGTGAAAGCTGCAAAGCCGAGAGTGAGAAACTGGAGAGCAGGCGTGTCAAATCGTTTATTACCACTGCAAGAGATGTATGGATATTTATCTCCAGATTCACAGGCTGGGGTCTCCGCAACCGAGCTTACCGAAAACGCTCCTACATCAGGAAATGACTATGTCGTATATGACGGGGCTTGTGCTGCCCTGGCCGGAAGAAGGATGATGTAAGAAATATCTCAATGCTGATTTGCTCTCGATTCGGCAACCAATAGGGAGCACTCAGCTTTTGCCGAGGAGGGCTCGGCATTCGGCAGCCCATCTCGCGAACACATTCAGCGAGCCGAGAATGGATTTGTCTCGGAACGCTGACAGCAACTTTCAGTGCCGAAGTTGTACGCTCATACAGCATCGAGTGAGTTACTTAATTCCGGAGATTTGCCCCTCCTCTGGTTCCAGAAATCCAGAAAGCCTCTCCCGTTGCAAAGATTCACTGACCGCGCGACGATGACCGCGACCGAGAGCAGATCTGCCGACCGGACTTCGCCTTCCTTCGAAGATACTGTGGACTTCGCAAATGCCGAGCGCGGCTTTATAGGATGTCTGGAACCGTGTGTTGTCAAAAACGCACAAGGTCAAATTGTCTGGAACAATGATGAATATAACTTTGTCCATGAGGAGCCATGCCCGACTACAGTGGAAGCAAAGTTATGGCGACAGGCTCGACTGCTGTCCAAGCAGGGCCTCTATTGCATCAGCCCATCTATCTATCAGGTCCGTGGCTTCGATATCTCGCACATCACTTTCGTTGAAGGCCAGAGTGGCCTGGTCGTGATCGATCCTTTGATTTCTTGCGAATGTGCAGCAGCAGCGATGGATCTGTACAAGCGGTATCGGGGTAGTCGTCCAGTCAAGGCCGTTATATACACGCATTCGCATATCGACCATTTCGGAGGCGCCGCAGGAATTCTACCGCCACCGAGGGGGAAGGAGGGCCTGGACGATGTGAAAATCATTGCACCCGAACACTTCATGGAGGAAGCTACTTCTGAGAACGTTTTTGCTGGACCCATCATGCGCAAACGATCTGCCCACATGTATGGATCTCAGCTTCCACGGTCTTCCATCGGACAGGTGGGAGTAGGTCTGGGCATGGGAACCTCCCGTGGGACGACGAGTCTGGTCCCGCCGACAGTCGACATCACCTACACTGGGCAGTCTTTAACGATTGACGGCATCCACATGGTATTTCAGATGGTGCCAAATACTGAGGCACCAGCCGAACTCAACATTTACTTCCCTAACGAACACGCTTTGCTAGTTGCCGAGTGCGCTACTCATGCCCTCCATAACATCGTCACCCTGAGAGGTGCCCTCGTCAGGGACGCCAAGGCCTGGAGTAGATACCTAGACGAGACTCTGGTGCTCTACTGCGAGGAAGCAGGGGCAGAAGTACAATTTGGAAGCCATGGCTGGCCCACCTGGGGGAACGACAACATTACAAGCTTTTTGGAACAACAGAGAGATTTGTACGCCTACATCCATGATCAAACGGTGAGGCAGATGAATAGAGGATGGAACGGAACGGAGATTGCTGAACGCATGGTGCTTCCTCCTGCTTTGAGGCGTGCTTGGCACACGCAAGGTTTTTACGGAAGCGTCAACCACAACGTCAAGGGGATTTACCAGCGTTACATGACGTGGTTTGACGGTGCAGCCGAAAATCTATGGAAGTGGCCTCCGAAGGAAGAGGGGATTAAATATGTGGCATGCATTGGTGGGCCGGAAGAGTTGTTGAAGAAAGCCGACGGGTTTATCAACGAGGGAGATCTTCGCTTTGCTGCGACATTGTTGGGCCATGTCGTGGCAGCGGAAGACGGCGCTGGTGGTCCTGCAAGCGCACGTCTGCAATGCAGAGATAGGCTTGCTTACGTATTCGAGAGTCTGGGCTTCGGCGCAGAGAACGCAACCTGGAGAAATTTCTACCTGAGTCAGGCAATGGATCTCAGGAACGGCAAGAGATCTCGCGGTCAAGATACAGCCAGTCTGGCATCATTTGCACCCAGACTTGCAGTCGAGCAATGGCTCGGTGGTCTCTCCATCATTGTCGACGGTCAGGCAGCTGGGAGGGAACACCAACCCATCAACATCGACATCCACATCAAGGACATTGATGAGAGGTGGAGGTTGATTTTAAGCAATGGTGCATTGACATATCGACGTTTGGTCGGCGACAGGGTTACTACAAGTCCCCAGGGCAGTGTCAGACTCACTCTGGAGAAAGCTGAGCTGTGCGAAGTATTAAATGGCAAGAGAAATCTGACTGGGATTGCGGACGTCGAAGGTGATGTCCAGCTTCTGGGCAAACTGCTATCATTTGCGTCGATTGACGCAGGCATGCCACATGGAGCGTCGAGCCACCTCTAAGCCAAATAGACCCGACAACCACCGGACACCTCAGAGGCTCCGACAGATGTATTAGCTCCGAGCCAAGCCGATGTGCTTGAGATGTATTGAAGCAAATAGTCAGTTATGATATGCCGTAGACCTCTTTACCCACTTATGTGGTCAGGCTAACTTGAGTTTGAGTTACACTATTCGTCCGGACCTATAATCTACTCAGCGAACCAGGTGTCGCTACTAGCAGCCTAACACTTGCCCTCTGGGACCTCAGCACTGTACATAGGTTCCTCACGAACCAGCTAGCTCGGGTTGTGTGGACTAGGGTCGAGAGCAAGGCGATGTCGTTTTATAAATTAACTTAATGTCTTCCCACTTTGCCAGAACAAGTAGATGCAACTGAAGTTGCTGATCCACCAGGCCAAGCTCCTAATCCAGGAATGCTTCCATTTGTCCACACACACATAAGCAATGGTATAAACGATCCGTGCAATCGAATATATAGCACACGTACGGTTGATTGTCTTGTTGGGAACTTTGTTGACCGTTGCAAACAAGATGCATGCGACGAAGACGGGATAATGCTCCATGGCATTAGCGTGAGCTGCTTCACTGCGTTTCAATCGATTGAGCTGTTGTCGGGTGATTTTGCCCTCCTGGACAGCCTTATCTCCAAACCGAGCAAGGTCTTCGCGCGGATTGACGTTGTGATCGATGCCGTATCTTTGTTTGAGTGCACGTGATGAGGTGAGGATATGGGCCCAAATGAAATTGAACATTGCATGGTAAGGGGCATAGTTTGCTGCTGGGATGCCAGGACCTGTGTGCAAGCCCAGTGCTGTTGCGAGGGCGGACATGTTGAGACGTTGTTGAAAGTGGTTGTTGCTCCAAAGCGAAGTCGAGAAAACAACAACTGGACCCTTGCAATAAACGGAGGGTCTTGTTAAGAACCAAGCAGAGCTGCCGCGACTGTCAACAAGATGCCCTCAAATGTAAACCAGGCCCCCCAGGGCCAAGGAGCGAACCTCATTTCTTTAATGACGTCAAATGTGTGTTGATGCAAATCTGTTCCCTTTTATAGCACTATTTCAACAAGCACTTGGCGCGTGAGCAATTTCAATGTGGCTGGGCGGTCGCCTGGATCAGTTATGGAGGGACTTCAGCCTCAGGTTAGTGGGGCCTTATACTCCATATACGAGGATTCCTACGGAACGACATTCCATTGAACATGGTCAAACTCGCCACCCGCAACACCGCCAGATAGTGGGCCACATACTAAGTCCCCCCGTATCCATCAGCAGCATGGGAACCAATAGGGTAGTAGAGGTTGGCGTTGACAGCCCAGGGTCTGAGGACGGCCATCCGTCAGGCTGTCTGTCCATCAACTGCGCTGGCTTGCCCATCTTCTCCTTTTGCAAGCATGATCTCCATCATTTTCCAATCTCCTTGTTTTCTTTAAATATCAAGTTTGGCTCCAGGCAATTGCATTGCACCTGCGGCTAATGACGTAGTTCGAGGGGTTGGGAGGGGTACAGTATCTTCTAAGTAGGGTAGGATCAATTACTAAAAGAGATGATAATGAATAGAAGGTAGTAGTGTGTAACTTTAGTTATTCAACCTTTAGCCTAGCACTGTATCCGTACACGTTCTATTCTACCTTTTCGGCTTCTGCAGTCAATCTGAAATCAAGACATGTCTGGACCAGCATACGGCCAACGCCTTCGTGATTTTCCCGGTCTTGAAACCCTGACCACCAGGTTGTCCGCAACTCCACATTTTCGAGACCTGAGTGATGCACAAGAAATGTACCTCGTTGAGTCGTGGTTAGATCTGTCCAAGTCAACGTCACACGGATCCATCGCAGTTTCGACACTCATTGCGGGCTTCACCTTCAACACTCTATTAGGGCAATCCTTCCAGCCTCGATATGTATTCGATGACTCGGAAGTCCAGCTTCTGCTGGCGTTAGCGTTCCTATTTTCTGCTCTTGCAATCCTCCTTGCAGGCTACGTGCTCTGGCACTCGAAATTTATCATCTACCGTATAAAGTTCTCTACGGAGCGTGGAAATCAAGAGCGGGCGCCCGATCTACGATCTGCACTGAACATGCTGGCTAGCGCATTTGCAACTTTGACCGTGAATTCGGCTTCGTTTGTGACGCTGAGTCTCGCCATCATGGCGTTTCAGAAAGCTGTTGGGACTTTCATCGTGGCGGTGACGTCTTACATTACGCTCAATCTGATATTTGGTACTCTGTACTGTGCAGTGTAAGTTAGATGGCAACAGGTGTGACCAATATTAACTTCCCCTAGGCAGGCGCAATTCTTCCAAAAGGCGCAAGTGCGGGAGGCTCACAGGACGGTGAGTGCTAAGGGTAAGTTTCAGAACGGAACAGACCAGGCTTTTGTGAATGAGACGTAAGTGATCCTAGAAGTGTTGACAAAATCTCGAAATTAGTGTAAAACCACGCACAGGGTGTTTCAAGGAGTGAGATGCGAGAGACATGCTCTAAGAAGGACATCTATAGGTGAATCCAAGAGGTTGAAAATCGAGAGAAATTTGCTTACCAGGGTTAAAGTCATTTCCTAAAACTGAGTAATGAGCCAAAGCTTGTTCTCACCGTGAATATGGGGCATAATAGGCTGATAGACTGCACTTGGACAAGAGCAAAAGACTGGTCACTGGACTCCAGGCACAAGTCGGGTTTGAAATTATGTACGTGTCGACTCGGATCCGATCTTCAATTGGTCTCACGCACGCCGTCCATTTGTCTCCATTCATCGGGTATCACCTCAGGGTTGGAATATCTCCAGCTAGTCGTTTCTTGGAGGGTGGTTCCACCGCTTTGTATCTTATACAACCAGGTCGTGGCAGGGAGTTTGCATATGTTCCTAATTTCCAGGGGTTCCATCCTAACCCATTGGGAGTGATAAGTGAAATTGCGTGCCAGCACCACCAGCCACAGGCATAATTGTCTTAATAAGGAGTTCCGAGGTCTGGGCCACTTCAGCGTAATTGCATTGCATGGCAAACTGATCGAGGTGGAATGGATAGGTAGTGGATACTCAGACGCAATCCAGCCTCTGAGGAATTGGTTATGGAGGTACAGATTCTTAGGGACTTTCAAATCACCTCTAAGGATGTTCTCCCCCCTACCTGACTCCCTTTCAACCCAACATGAAGGTAGAAAGAACTGATATGTAATGGGAGCACTACCGGCGCTTTTGAGGAATTCTAGCAGATGAAGCACCAGCACCCCGCCACGCCACGCCACGCCACGGTCCGGCCAGCTCGCATGTGACACTGATGGTGGCTCCAGGATGTGGTGAGAAATCTATGCGAGCCAGCTTCGAGAAATGACATACTCTTGCCCGGATAATGGAACCCAAGCGCAAATTCCTGCATAATGATGGACAACTAGAACCGAAACATCCAAAAGCGACAGAGGCACAACTTGCGCGAACGAACATGGCGGCCATGTACGAGCTTCAGAAGAGCATTCTAGATGATCTTCGCCAGAAAAGCGCCAAAGCTGCTCCAAAGATGGAACTAGACGAGCAGGATATCGATAAAAGGACAGCTACGATGGAAGGACTACAGGAGAGCATCATCGAAACAGGGTTCAAACGGAGCCGTGACGATCGCAAGGCAGGCAGGCTTGAGATCGAGGACTGGGAAGTTGAGGGTCTGTCTAGTGGTATCATTTATGCGTGAGCGGAGACCTTGAAGGAAGGTTTCAAGCATGGATCGAAGGTAAAGCAACGCCAGCTGTGATTCGCCATGTTAAGTCCACGTTATTCGACCAATTGAGAGGTGAGAACGATTTGCAAGTCGAAGGCTTACTGACGAAGCTGCTGGATGCTGGGAGAGAATCAAGAGCCACTACAGTTGGAAACGACAAAGGCGAGTCGGACGATGGACGAGAAAACTACGATTAAGAGGACCCGAGCTACGAATGGAAAATCGATATCTACTAGCTGTACTCCGTACGGAGTACCTACCTATTAGTATGAGTAGTGCGTAATAATGACTAAGAATCTTTGACTCTATATCATTTGCAGTTATAGCGGAGCAAATAATTAAATATCATCGAGCTTTATAGTTGAGAATGGCTGTTAGATTTAAGCTATAGAATGCTAGTTCATATAAGTAGTAACTACTGTAGATGGAAACGGAGTACTATAGTAGAAAATGACGCGTTGAGACGCGTAGGTCATTTCTAGGGCGGGCCATTACGTAGCCCAGGACTTATCATTACTAGGCTTTTGTATTTCCTAATCCCTCTCACTGCAAACATGACTAACATAAATAATGCAAATTGTGGCTCATCTCTGTGCGATATTATCAGCTTATGCACAGTACAGTCCATTCAGAGCACGCAGACCCGTTCCTTTGCGATTCCCACCCGCCAAGATTTCCCTCCTTCACGTCATGTGCTCTGCTCTGCCTGTGTCTTTCACGCGCACACACACCAAGACCCTCAGCTTTCGCCGCTCATCACGGAACCACACCTCACGCTTCCAGGTATTCGCTCACCAGCCTAACATAAATTACAAGTACTAGTATCCGTATAAATCCCTCTGCTTCCCAATCTTGTTTTACCCTTCGTTTCACTATGGCCCCTCCAGACCTCAATTCTTTACCACCTTCACGCTCAATGTCTTCCTCCCCAATGCAGCCGAGATCCATGCACACAGTTACCTCTCCTCCAAATCGACAAGAGACTCCCTCCCCTCGCAGCGCCTCCATATCGCTCGCCTCTGCCGCCAGCATCAATGCTGCTAATGAGTCTAGAAGATCTTCCCTGAGTAATCGAGGCTCCCCCAGACTCGGCCGACTGCCCACTGATCGGCGTCGCTCACAAGTCGCCATTAACCTCAACCTGAACGACCCTTCCCTCCCCAGCCCAGGAGAACTTTCTAGCAGTGACCTGCGTGCCAGTTTCACAGACAGAGTGCCTCACAGCTATGTCTCAGCAAGTCCACCCACCCTAGCGGGCCGTCCAACCATCGCAACTGGCGACCCACACCACCAGCGACAACCCAGCCTCGGAGAGGTCCACAATGTCCTGGAGCAAGAGCAAGAGGCACAGGTCAATCGAATGCTACAAATGATTCGGGAACAGCAATTGCAGCTTGACGCCCTGCGTACGTCGTCCGAACAGTCCAGGCGACCTTCACAACCGGGCAACAGCACCGCCGTTATCGATGACCTTACGCCCGCTTCCGAGCGCTCATTATCCTTTCCCTCCGTCCATCCCGCTGTTCCAGCTGGCACGCCTTTACCACGACGAGTCTCCTACACCCACCGACATTCAAGCGCAAGCAGATCTCCCCACCTCCATGGCATGGCTGATGGTGGAGAAAGCCGAAATTCCGAATTCATCTCCCCACCTTCCCCAATCGAGACCATTGGAAGAAGAAACAGTTTCCGCGACGAAAGCGCGTTCTACCAAGCTGAGACCGCGAATCTGACGAGAGAGAATCAGATGCTCCGTATGAGAATTCGGGAATTGGAGAAACAGATCAGTGACATGAGCACGGCTCCTGCCAACACACCTGCCATTCCCAGCAATCTGGTCACCAGCCCTCCCGTCGAGGCTGAAGAGGAAGCATCTGCCGCAGCGGAAGTGGCACGAAATACGGGAGATTCGGACAAGACATGAGAACACAGGAGAACAACATCCCGAATCAGGAACATTTTCGATGTACTATTACTGTTAACAATATTGGCTTACGACGATCACCATGAGAGGGACAGCGGCGTTCAGGTGGGCTATGAGACAAGCAGGGCTGAATAAAATCGTCTCCCACCGGGTTCACGAAATCGAGAGACGGCAGGCGCTTCGAGAATGGCTGGTTTGATAGAAATGACAGAGATCAACAATGAGGTGTTTGGGGAAGAAATATCATTACTGTAAATCAGATGATGATTAAGTGACCTTTACAAGGGAGGGACCTCATGGCGCACGAATCTGCCCCCCCCCCCCTCTCTCTCGACCAAATTCTTCTACACGGCGTTCAAAGAAGATCTCCGGCCCTGGGAACTAGGAGTTTAGATAAATAAGAAACTACTTCAATTCAAAGGCTATGGAGAAAAATAACGAGATTCCAGGTTTGCTGCACGCTACTCGCGTAGGTCCTGGGTGTCCTGTCCCTAACCTTCAACCAAGTAGCCAGTCGCCTTCTATATGGTTCCTATTCTAAATTGCTGATATTGGGCCCCAAAAAAGATGGGGTGGGGGGAGAAGTATATATATCGGTAGAATTGGCCGGACAGTCGTACGTACAAGATTGCAGACGCAGATCGCCGACCAAATACATGATCGCCCGTCTAGGCGAGTCTCTCATGGTCCGACCTTCTATTGAAGCCTTGGCCGCGGCCATTTGCTGTGTTTTGTTTACTGTGCACCAGATACTCATGGCGGATAGTCCACAAACACGTGGCCACACCAATCAGAGCGGCGCCTAGTGCGACCCAATATGCCTGGGCATAGCACCTGCGGCCGATAAGGCACTCCATACTGCCCTTCTCGTCGTTGATCTCGCTGTGGGAGTCATAGATCCAACCGTACAGCAGGTTGAAGATGTTTCCCGAGATGACGGGAGCGAGGGTCATGGTGCCCCAGTTCTGGCTCAAACCGTGTACCCCGAAACAATGTGCCACCAGGCTCGGGTACACTCCAAACAGAATGCCATAGGCGAGGCCTGTGAGTCCCGAGACGAGGATCAGGAAGTGCGGGTCTTCCACTGCGGTTCCGGTGACTTGTGCGAAGCAGAAAATGAGAGCGGAGACAAAGAGGCACCAGAATCGCGACCGACCAAGTTTCGATACCAGTATGTCGCTGCCAATGCCGGAGAGGAGACGTCCGGAAAAGGAGAAAAATGATAGAATTGAGACATGCATTGCCTGGCGTTTTTCAATGAATTCGCTTGTAGTCGAGGGGTCATAGTGTTTCCAAAGTGCTTGAGCGTCGTTGCCGATATTGCTAAGCCGTCGTCAGGGGATGCGCCCAGGAGGAACGAGAGAAGATGGAACTCACTTAATTGTCATCAAGCCGATGCCAGTCAAAAGCCCGAGCATACAGAATAATTGCCAAAATTCAGGAAGGGGTAGAAGGGCAAAACCACGAATGTCTAGATGAGGGGAATCAAGGGTCTTGTCAGAGTGGGAATGCTTGGAATTTTCAAGGTCTTCAAGGTCTTCTGAAGTGGTGGAGAGTAAGGAGGAATTTTCGGTGCTGGATGCTTCAAGGATGGGAAGGGGTCCAGATGCATCTATGCAGTTGTTCGTCGTTGGGGATTTGTGATTTTGAGATTCAATGAGCGCACCTGGTTCTTCAGAGTTACGAGATTGTTCTTGTCGGCTGGTAGAGGAGCTAGTCCGACGGAGTACTTGGTTCTCGTGCTGCGGTAGGTGTTGATAGGTGCGGTGGGTGGGAGCACGAACAAATGGAAGCGATATCAGCGGAAGTACAACGGTGCCGGCAGCCAGGAGAACAAGGAAGCTGTAAACTCCGGAAGGGAGAAGCAAGGCAATTCCTGCAAAGAACAACGCGCTCAGACCAAAGGCTGCCAGCGGGAAGGCTGTGGCGGTCCCTCGTGCATCGGGAAAACTCAATGCGGCTGATATGATATGATCAGTCGTTCGGCTTTTACCTTGGTGGTATTAAGTAGGCTTACCTGCTTTGATGGACGCGGTAAAGGCGGAACAACTGCCCGCGCCGGTGAAGAAGGAGAACAAGCATATAGAAGCCACGCTGTAGGCACCAGGTCCAGCCAGGTATGCTGAGGAGAGTTAGACTCATCTTCCGAATGCCGGGGGTCATTCCATGCATACCTCGAGCAATAGGATAATAGCCAATACCGAAGAAGAAGATGCCCAGAACGATTCCCCACCTTGGGGTTTTGGCGTCTATCATCATGCCAGCCGGTATACCGGTAGCATACATGCCCAGGTTTCCAAAAGTACCCTGCAACAGAGATCAGCCCTGTTTGTCCATCTCTTATCTAGGTCGGTGTCTCATACGATAAGGTTACTCTGGGTGGCAGAGAGTCTGAGATCGGTCGCGAAACTCGGACCCCATACCGAGTAGCCATACTGTGACCGATGTCAGTATACAACATGTATAGGGGAGAGATACTCGCATTGGTACCGCAGGCTAATGCGGTTACGGTGCAGAAGACCACCGTCAGGACTCGCGCCTTGTTTGGCTCGGAACTGAGGATCATGGTGATTGCGGGAGGATGCGTGTCAGTCCATTCCAGAAATAAGGATCGCCCACCACGAAGTCATGAAGATCGTGGGCTACGTTGAGAAAGTGGGAAGAGCAGAAAACGTGAGAAGCACACAACACTTCGTCCCCTCCATCGACTGTCGACTGGGGAATCCGAGTCGTTTGGAAAGTCCGTTGAGGTGGGAATGCACCTGCAGTACGGAGTACTCCATCGGGGGTCCCCCCAATCGGGTGCAAAGTGGCACTCCGGTTAACCTTCTGTTTCGGGTACATATCACGTGTTCGTGCCGTCACTGCCGCAGCCAGCCCACCCGCTGCTAATGCTCTTTCCTTGCATCCTTCGTCTCCAGCCAACAACGGCGACGACAAGCACCATTGTCATCCCATCCCGCTCGTCTTTCATCTCGCATTCCTCTTCTCACAACATCTCTCCGCCAGTATAGTCATCTATCGAAACCGAATAGTCTCGATTCTCAGCCTCCCCAGCGACCTACAACCTCTCGGCCTAAGCCCTTCCAAATGGGTGCTATCCTTGCCGTACCTGCCCTCCTCCTCCCATCCGCTGCAACACTATGGTCAGTCGGAGCATCATGCTGTGGAGCAGCCTCTTGTTCCATGCTGTGCGGACCATGTGGCATGTCTAAATTCCGATCCTCTATCGCCACCAGAATCGCATACGCTATGATTCTTTTGGTGAACAGTATTGTTGCCTGGGTCATGCTCACTCCTTGGGCTATTCGGAAACTTGAACATCTTACTTTGGATTACATGACTTTCAAATGCGGCTCCTCCAACTGCTATGGCTATTTCGCCGTCCAGCGTATCAACTTTGCCCTCGCACTGTTCCATTTGTTGCTCTCCGTTCTCCTCGTCGGCGTCAAGAGCACCAGAGACACTAGGGCCGGCCTACAAAATGGCTTTTGGGGTCCCAAGATACTCGTTTGGCTTGCTTTTGTCGTCATCAGCTTCTTCATTCCCGAAGGTTTCTTTCTCTTCTGGGGCAATTACATCGCCTACTTCGGTGCCATCCTCTTTGTCCTTCTCGGCCTGATCCTTCTGGTTGACCTAGCGCATACTTGGGCAGAACTCTGTCAAGACAAGATTGATCAAGGAGATGGTCCAAATTACCGCCTCTGGCAAGTCTTACTTATGGGGTCTAGCCTCGGCATGTATATTGCCGCCATCGCCATGACCATCATCATGTATATCTTTTTCGCCAAAAGTGGATGCAGTATGAATATCTCGGCCATCACTATCAATTTGGTCTTCCTCTGTGTCATTACCGTCCTTAGCGTTCAACCCACTATCCAGGAAGCCAATCCTAAAGCAGGCTTGGCCCAGTCTGCCATGGTCGCCGTCTACTGCACCTACCTCACCTTTTCCGCCGTATGCATGGAACCTGACGACAAGAACTGCAATCCTCTTGTTCGTGCTCGAGGCGCAAGAACCACCACTATTGTCCTTGGCGCCATTGTTACAATCCTCACAATCGCCTATACCACTACTCGAGCAGCCACCCAAGGATTTGCCATCGGAACTAATAACTCCGCGAACAAGTATGCTCAATTGACGCAGGATGAGAATGAACATGGATTGGTTACTCAACAACCTGCTTCGCGTAGGGAGATTATGCGAGCTGCAGTCGAAAGTGGCGCTCTTCCAGCATCAGCCCTTGACGAGGATTCAGATGACGAAGAGGAGGTCAGTACAAAAGGAGGAAAGGACGACGAGCGACAAGGAACCCAGTACAATTACACCCTTTTCCACATCATCTTCTTACTGGCAACTTGCTGGGTTGCGACTCTGTTTACACAACAGATGGACCCAGAGCACAAGACCGACTTCACACCTGTTGGTCGTACTTACTGGGCCAGCTGGATCAAGATCATCAGTTCTTGGGTATGCTACGGTATCTACAGTTGGACGCTCGTGGCGCCAATTGTGCTCGAAGGACGGGAGTTCTCATGATGTGTCCAAGGATAAGACTGTTGTTCCCCCGCGGAGGAAAATACCATAAAATATATTTGGTGTAAGTCAATGGGCTGGCGTTACTGCGATTAGCGAAGTAGTGAAATATCATTGGGTTGGTCTCTATGGAGAGTGCTTGGTAACTAACAGATTCCTTTCACCCATAAGTGCGTGCTCGTGCCCATGAAATGCTTGTAACCGACTCCATAATGCTGTACTATTTCCCTGAAGGCTTGGACTCTGGTTTTTATAGCCCGTCCCCTCCGCTGGAAATCACGGGACGCCTCATCATCAGATCAGCTTGGCGTCAGACCCTTGTACATAGGACTTCCCTGGTACCGACCAAACTAGGGATGTACATAGCTGAATATCAATTCCAGAATTCTAGAACCACTACATAGCTAAATTTCTGCAAGGCTAGATACTTGCATTGCATCCACCCATCGCTATTCAGGCCCAGCAGATAAGTTGCTAGTTTTCTACGAAAATCCGTCTTATTTTTGTTGTTCATCGATCGCCGTAAGGAAGCTGGAAGTGAGATCGACAACATCCTACTACCCGGTAGTTCTAACAGAGATAATTCTGATTTATTCAAGGAGCTTTATTTTCCTTGAAAAAACTACAAGCCAAAACCATAACACAAAAAGCGTCTTCGGTCTGTAAATAGTGACCAACGCTCTTCAGCCTTGACCTTCTTTTGCATTGTTGTTCTATCCCATCAGCAAGATGATTTCTTCAAACTACGACAACAACATCAAAAATAACGATAGCGCCGGCTCAGGGGGGCGAGTGAGCGACGATCCAGGCCTTCACTCGACCCACTGCATCGCAACAGATCAAACAGGCAAGCAACGCGTCATGGTGGCCTCTAGCACGGCTACCTCGAGAGGATCCACGTCGAGTACGGGTGGCCGGCAACCACTCCGCTTCATAATCATGACCGACCACGTCAAGCAGGAGAAGAAACAGCCGCGGCATCGGCTGCGTCGAGAGAGGAAGGGGGAGCAGCAACAGCCGTCCAAAAAGGCAACAGCGGAGGCACACTCGAATTCGCACTCGACATCGACATCGATATCGACATCCACATCACAAAGCGACGGGGTGTGTCGGCGTCACTACTACCGCACCACCGACGAAATATCCCCCGACATATGCAGAATTGGCAATCCAGGGGCGGAAGACTTGAATTCATTCCCGATTGAGAATTCTCGCACCGTGACGATTGCTGTTGATTTCGGTATGACTCCCCGCTATATGGACTGATAGATGAAAAGCAGATATGGTGTAGCAAGCAGAACAGGGCCATCTCACTAACCAGACTTCCCTCTCTCGGGTACATAGTGATCAAGCACATGATGCCAGGCCGCTCCAAGTCGTCATCCCACCAAGACCAAATCCCAACGATACTCCTCCCCTTCTTACAACTGGGCATGCAACACGAGTACCTCTTTGAATCTATCGTCGCACTGGCCCTGTCATACCGCGACAGCGACGTCTACGATCGCGGCCACGGGGAAACGAGACTCACTGCCGAGATTGCATACCACTATGGCCGGGCGATGGCGTGTCTACGGAAGCTCCTCGCGAGCCCGAAGACGGCGCACGTCGATGATGCGGCCATCATGACGACGATTTTCCTTGCTGATTTGGCTGTGAGTCTCTCTCGCTGTTTTTTTCTTGCCGGGTAATTTTGGGTTATAGTCGCTGATCTTTGTTGCGTTAGACAAAGTATGGCACGTCGGCAGAGGTGACTGCCCATGCCGCCGCGTTGCAGAATATGATCATTTCACGCGGTGGTCTGGACAATCTTGGCCAGGAGGGACTCCTCAAGTCCATGATCGAATAGTCAGTGATCCAATCTCGAAGTCTTGCACCAAATGGAGAAGCTATTTCTTCCACTAACATCTCAAACAGTGTTTCGGCGGTCGGCGACCTTCCCGGGGTGTCTAAAGATGGCGACATTCCCAAGTTTGAGTCCTCCGACTCTGCAATATCGCGTACGGGCCTACCACCTGAATCGTCAGATACACTGCCATCATCTCTCGAGTATCCTACACATCCATATCCACCAGAGGTGTGTGCAATCATCGCCAATCTCCCTCAAGGGTTCCGCGAACTGGCGTTGAATGGGCACTTGAGCGTCGAAGTGACTGCACTGATCGGTCTCACACAGCGTCAACTCTTCTCCAGCAACGGGGACAAGCTTATCCAGCTGAAGGACTACTGCCCGGCGACCATCATCATGCACGCGAAAAGGTACCTGTCGATCTCCCAACGGCTGACAGAGTCCATTGTCTGTCTCAGCGTCATGCTCGTTAGCATGCGATCGTTCTGCTATCGTTTCAGTCCGCAGAAGTATTTGTTTCCAAAGAAGCTTCTGTTATTGGCTAGGGAACGTGGCGCGGGTGAGGCGAGTCGAGAGCAGCAGGAGCATTTCGTCTGGACCGTGCTGTTGACTGCCGAAGCGTGTCAATGCCAGCCGCTGGTCAAATATACTGTGCCGTTGATGGAGCAGATCTTCGGCCCAACTGCCAGGAATGAGGCTCGGTCGGAGGAGTGGCTGGGTGACTGGGCACAGCTGCGCGGAGTCATGCAGAAATTTCTCTGGGGGAGAGACCTCGTTTACCAGTGGAGGGACAGATGGGAAGCAGAGATGAGATGGCTGAAGAAGACTAAAGCAACGATGTAAGGGCAAAAAGCGGTGGGTTGAGAGTCGAGTCGTTATCCGTACCCCTACATGAAACCGTAACACTCCCACTTTTCTCTCGTGGCTGAGACGAAAAAGGTGCCATGTCGAATCTACCGACTACCTAATCAGGACGACGACGATTCTGCTTTGGGCCTCAAGTCTCACACTACATCACAAACCGTTTGCAATGCAGCTTCATCAAGTTCTCTGGCCCGCATTGTGTCAAGATCATGCTTGTTGTACAAACAGCCCTTTGATCCGGGAAGATCCCACGACGCGGAAGTGGTTGCGGATCCCTGCACGCATATCTCGTCCCACGACCAAGGCAGATGCCAGTTCGGCTGTGAGCCCTTGCAATTGCCCATTGTGGCCAGTTCTTCAGACCAAATATAGAATTCGTGGGATTTCTTTGAGGTTGTTTCCGTCATGTACAATCGCACTGGCGTCCAATCCGCGAGCCGATTGGACGTGGAAATTCAACAAGCGAAGACAAGGGCGCGCTTGACTAAAAAGTGTGCGTCATGGGCCATGCCGGCAGAATCGGAAGAGAAGAAAGTCAGGCTTGTTGTGAGCTGGAAGGTACTTCCCTTAGTCCTTTTCATCCGTGGCCCTAGCGGACTCGCTTAGTCTACAACGAACCAACTCATAGGCTATTTAGCCAGAAGCGAGGCTGTGAGATCATGATTTCCTTCGCTTTCGGCGCACAACGAAGCGAGCCGGAGTGTAAATTCGCTTGCTCAGTCAACTCGACGTCCCTCGTACTGCGTAGTTTTATATAGGAAGCAGAACCACCTTAGGCTATTTCCAACTTCTTCTGGACTGAGTTCTGCCTATAGCATACGCTCCACGATCCGGGCAGCGGGGCCAACTACACGTAAACTTTGCGACGGGGTTATTTTCTGATCGATTCCGAACCCAGGAGCTCATGAGCACGCTTGCCATGCTCATAACCTTGTTCGAATGAGGACAATACTGGTTTGGGTGTACCGGCTGGAGAAGAAAGGCAAAGTCAGCGCTTGATACCATTCGCACGGAGCCTTCCCAATGCTGAACTCTATATACCGAGTACTCCTAGGGGTTCAAGCTCACATGAGGCTGAGACTATGTTCAATGCCTTGCCAGAGGGATCGCCCCTGCCAGCACCAAAAACTGGGAAAGGCATGGGGCATTGGATAATACAACCGCCAATTCGGTCAGGCTGCGAGGCATGCTTCCCATGACCTAGATGTGGTCAGGCTCTAGGCCTGAACAGTGACAAACCCTACAGGTGAATATCGATCAGTCAGCATTGCCTGGCAGCCTTTATCCGGTTCCAAAAATTCGTCTTGGAGAACCTAAAAGGTAGATCCTCCTTCGGAAGACATAACTAGGTCCAACTACTTGGGAACAAAAGCAGTAACTCATTGCGCCGCACGAAACCACATTGCACGCAGCAGTCGGGCAAGGAAACGGGTCGTAGGATTGCATAACATGCCATGACCACAGCTAACACCGATGGCGAGAGCGATCTACACTCTAGAAGGCCGTGGCTTTTCGAGACATTTGCAGCTATCTAGCTCCTCCAGTGTGTTGATAATACCATGAAACTGAACCATGCGAACAATACAGACAGCTATTACACACTACTAGGCAGCCAGCTTCTCTCCTTTGGGCTTCAGGATTAGAACTACGCTCAGCGTTCACTCACTTTCAGACTTCTCATCGATGGAGTGAGGTTGGGGGTGAGGGGTTAGACCGTGTAATCGGTTGGAAAGAGTGGCCACGGGTTGGGTAACAAGGGCCGTCAACTCATCATCATTGTATTGTTGTTGTAGGTAAGGAAATGGGAGAAAGTGATCGAGTGCTAAGTAGAAATGTTATATATGCGCAAGAATCTAGCAAGTAGCAGCCACCCAGCCCGTTGTCATGTGATAGACAGGTCAGCTAACCTTCCTATCACACTATCAGAGGCTGCACGTGAAAGAAAAGACGAAAGTGAATAAAGGCAACAGATGGGAGCGATAGTTGCATTTGTATTGGGTTGAGCATTGGAGAGAAGGACACTGCCGCGGTAGACCGGCACGCGTGTTAGTAGAAATCTGTAAATTTGGTAGAAAGGAAAGCCATGTCGAAACAATTCAGCGAGAATAAATTGCGGGAAGAGCCGATCAGGCAGTCCCATAGTGGCTGCCAATTCGGGCTGCAAGGTGCATCTCATGGCTTGTTTATGTTTGTACATCTCCGCCAACGGCTGCAGCGCTTGCCACAATCGTCTTCAGATTCGTGACTCAATCGTGCCACATTTATTGTATTCGTACCATTGCAATGCACCGACTGGACTTGTATTGAAATTAAGGCCAGAGAAGGAATCAGGATGCCTCCCATTGACAAGCAACGCATTGACATGGTTCTTGCTGTATAACCACCGCTACTTAGCATGTGCTATGCACCCTTTAGACCGTGACACCTTGCAACCAACCGAGAAATCCGGCCAAATGAGAGGTCCACAGCTGGGAGAATAGCTCTGGCAACACCTAACGCCCAACCCAAACCGTACACCCAAGCTGTAAACCAGCGAGGGTCTAGAGAGAAGGACCGCACCCTGTAAAAGGCACGTCAGTATACAACGATCCGAAGGGCAGATGGTCCAGATTACAAATCGTTATCCATACTCCTCAACAGGAATGATCCTATCCCCGATACTTTGGTTGATTCTCTTCTGTCTTTTGGTTTGCATATTTAGGGTCGTAATGTTTGCAGCGACTACAAATGCTCCATCCGCAGAGGATGCACTGAAATGCCTGTGTTGTCTTTGTAGCGCAGCGACCACACGACCAGTACATAGGACTCGGTGGAGCGGTGAGCTTCGTAAATCTGTGCCCAGGGCACTTATCGACTGTATAGTGCCAGGCCGGACGAGTATTTGCAGGCTAAGGGCTGCGTCAGGGATGTTTCCTGCAATCATGAGGAGGTGGTGATGATGATGACACATACATCGGTATTCGATCTAGGACTTGCCATTACTGATTCGGGGCCTTGAGGTTTGAATCTTGTGGAAGATCTTGGAGCAGAGACGAGTAGAAAAATCTATAAATTGGCTGATTTCGTATGAACAGTCCGGTAGCAAAGACGGGAAAGCTAGCTTGGCTGAAGTTAAATAGTCGTGGACTGAGTTCTCGGTGATACGCCTTGAGACCCAAACTTCTGTGTATATGACTTCTGTGAAACAAATCTGATTGCCGACTTCTGGTCATAGAAATCATCGTCAAAGCGTTCATATCGTCATGCACCCAGGATGACAGGAAGGCGGCACATGAGGCGCACTGACCAGTCACTCTTTGTTGAAGCTGTTCTCAAGAGTGGAGGATGGTACCTTCTCTTTCACCCGTGAGAACAAAAACTCGTAAAGAGTGAAAGAAGGGTGTCACTCATGGCAAAAATGATCATTAACCCCCCTTGGCCAGCTGTGCCATCAATCCGTGCGGGCCGATGTGATCAGCATGATTGCCGTAAATTGACTGCTCTCGGCAGTCTCAACCGCATGAGTGCACGGAAATAGGTTTAGAGATGGAGAGCTAAACGGAACAGCCTTCCACCCGCAATCTAGGACCATTCGAGGTAGCTAACATACATACACACGAAGCGGTCAAGGGTTGACCAGCGTCGCTGACGTTCGAAGATTCAGTCCACGGGCCAAAACAAGGGTTGTCGAACACCACAATTCCAAAGGCGTGTGACGATACTTGGTACTGGCGCAGGAGAAAGGACGATATCCATGTCAAACATTACTGGCGTGGGGTTGGTCGACGAGCACTGTATTCAGACTCGTGGGATGTAGGATGAATGGTGGGGCAATGACTTGCCTAATTGAACGATGAATGACGGCAGATAGTCATAATCTCTGGGCAATCCCCAGCGCTCTCACAATATTGTCGGTCGGGGCCATGCCAAAACTTTCTGTTTTCTGAAGGGGAAACTACCCAAGGGACGGGATAAAACAGAGTTGGTAGTACGAATTCGAGCGGTCCCAGGGGCGTGGGCCCGGGCGATCGCCGAAAAAAAAGTGGATGGAGGATCGGCTAATACGAGGACCTATGCCTAGCGGGTCCCCAAAAATCGAAGGAGGGCTTTGGCGAGGACGCGCCGGTTCCGCGACTGAGCAAGGCAAACCCAAACTCAAACTCAAGGCGTTAGTGTGCAGCTGCGTCTGGGATACCCTGTATCAGCAGGGGATCGGCATCGGATGCCAGATCCTGCATACCGTACTCCGTACCGCATGAACACCACTTGAAGTTCCGTAGGGCTCAATACCATGCGGGTGGCCTAAGCCATAGTATACATATTAGATTGGTCTCAATGTAGTGAGTATGATGAGCCTCTTCGTCTACTTTGCAACCACCCTCGCAAATTTGGTGGTTGAGTCGGTGCCAGTTGCCATGGTGCGCCAGGGGAGGTGTTGAGATATATGCATGGGGTATCTGGCCTTGATGAAGCTACCTCCCATGCTCTCGCATAAGGAACATGATGTGCATGGGCGTGCAACATTATGATGCTGGAATAACTGAAACAGCCACAGTACTAATTAAGTGGACCGATGTCCGAGGTTGGTGGCTGAAAGATCCGAAAATTTCACAAGGCTGCGGTCTGCTAGCATGCAGGTTCCCAGGGGAATGGAAAGGGCCAACCCTTCAAATGTGCCAATCAAGCTGGTCCTCTCAATTTGACGGGTTGGGTCACAAATGATAACCCGAGAAATGTCCGTTCCATTGAGGAAAATGCTGGGGGTTGTGGCTAACGAAACATGGAGAATTCTAGTATTTGGTTCGTGTTCGTCGTTAAGGATCTACGTTGGTTCATACGAATCAGAGTGGTTAGGAGATGTCGTCGAGTCGATGGCAGGGCGGTGAAGTCGAAATGAATGGAGTTTTTGACCATCCCCAGTGCTTCTAATCGTGTAAGTGGAATAATGTCGAGATATCCTCTGTTCAGATCAGCGATTTACCCCTCAAGGTCTTCGTATATCGGTTTCCTTACCTCCGTGATGGTTCCGTCGAATGGCTTCCGCCAATAAGCCAGAGAGGTCGATCATTATCAGCTTCTTTGAAGCACGAACTCTTTCAGGGGATATCGGGAAGGTATTTGTCACCACAATATGATCAATACAGTCGCAGTCTTCCAACTCTTCGAGAGCATCCTCACCGAAAAGGGCATGGATTCCGATGCAGTAGACCTTCTTTGCATGTCCAATCTTGACGCAAGTCTCTGCTGCAGCTATCCAAGAACCTGACCGGTCGAGTATGTCGTCCATCAGGAGAACAGTGGTATCCTTGACGTTTCCAACCAATGTGATGGTGTGCTCTAGGTCAGGGTTCTTGATGCCTTCTTCTTCTTCGTCTGAGGTTGCAGCAGCATCGAATGTACCGCCCAGCGCATGATCAGGCTGAAATGATGATGCGTTCGATACGAAAGAGGAAGTCATTGGATCGTAGCCCGTGTTTTCAGCCGCATCTTGAGAATTTCGGTCACCCGGAAACCCAGTGATCGAGGCTGTCAAGCTAGACATGCCAGGTGATGCATAGTCTTCTTCGACAAGGTGCCCTTGAATTAATCGACCAACAATCACGTCGCGTGCTCTTTCATCGTTCAAGGCCTCGTTGGCTTCGTATTCTGAGGGGCGTCGCGCGCTTCGGGCGGTCTCTGCACGTCCCAGCCGACTTGGAGAAGGCGGAGGGGATGAAGACTCCACGCGAGTTGTCTGGACCAAGGGGCTTGAAGCAATTGTGACCGCTTTTGGTCTTCCTGATCGACTGGTTCCATTGACGAGCGGGTGACGACCACGAAGAGGAAATTCCTGCCGTCGATCCCAGTCACCAGGCTTCTCTGATTCCGTGTCAGCTTCGTCGCCATCATCTCCGTCACTCAGGGGTTGTCTGTAGTGAGCATTTTGTGGCTCTATTGCATCGAAGAATACGGTACTGTCCATGAGATTTGTATTCTGGTGCGACGGGCGTGAACGATTACGGTCTGTCGAAACAAGAGCAAATCGTAGCTTGAGAGCATCTGCCAGGGAAGTGACGCGTTTGGTTCCGCCGACATTCTTGCTCACCACCACTGCATCCCTCCAGTGGGGGACATTTGTTTTGATCCATCGAGCGATGATTGGCTCAGCGTAGAGATTGTCGACAGGCTTTCCGAAAAAACCTTGCATTTGAGAGGCATGAAGGTCAACGGTTATGATATGATCCACACCGGCAACCACCATAAGATTTGCCAGCATTTTGGCGGTGATGGCACCTCGGTGGGCCTTCTTCTTAGACTGTCGTGAATAAGGAAAATACGGCATGACCGCAGTAATTGATTTTGCGGAACCGCCTTTGCAAGCGGCTATCATGATGAGCATTTCCATTACGCTGTCGTTGGTTTGGGGGCTACCACTCTGGACGATGAAGACATCTTCGTTCCTAATCGAGGTCCCAATTTGCACACTGATCTCTCCATTGGAGAAATTCCCAAGATCGCACTTGCCCAGATCACTCCCTAACCTCTCGGCAATTTTGCCTACAAGTACAGGGTGGGATCTACCCGAAAAGATTTTAACTCCTCTCATGCTTGTGTCTTGACTTTTGAGTGACGGAGGGAAGCTATAACAATTGTTTTGTAGAAAAGGCACAGCGGGCGGAGCAGGAATATTGACCAAAGGAATGTTCAAAGGGATTCCGACACCGTGAAACTCCCATACAGATGGTTTCGGTGCGAGGGCAGGGATATATTTTCCAAACGTGGTTGGAACTTGGAAGTGAAGCTATGGTGAGTCGTGACTTTTTTAGATCCCTGAACTCATTAGTGCCAGGGAAGGTTCGGTTGAATCCCGCAATGCAGGTGCGACGGCTGAAGAGGCAGGGACGCGTCCACGTGACTGTTGATCTTTGATCTAATCTTATCACTTATCTGTGGAGCTGCTGAACAAAACGCCGCATGCCCGCGCCCCCATCACATTCCAGTCGACTTTCTAGCATCTCCTCGGTGCTGCCATCCATGGCTCTTCTCGCGCGCATGCGCTCACAATGCCCAATAAGTATCCTGAGATCCAGGGAGGAGGCTCCTTGATCCTAGCATGGCAGATCAGGAACAAGCAAGTCCTAGTCATTGGCGGCGGTGAGGTACGCTGCTCCTTTACCCCATGTCAGCAGCAATCCAAAACGATCGTCTAATCGAGCGAACAGGTTGCCGCTGGACGCATTGTCAACCTCCTCAATGCGGATGCGAAAGTGACCGTTGTATGCCCACGCGCTGGACTCAACGAAGAGGTGGCATACAGGGTCGAACGCGGCCAGGTTAACCACATCGATCGAATCTTTTTGCCCCTCGATCTCGAACCAAACAAGAACGTCGCAATGGTCTTGACAGCTATTGATGACCCTGAAGCATCAACACGCATATGGAAGTATTGCAAGGAACTCAGAGTCCCTGCCAACATAGCCGATGTGCCCCCAGAGTGTGACTTCTACTTTGGCAGCGTCCATCGTGATGGGCCCTTGCAGATTATGGTGTCCACCAATGGCAATGGACCTAGAATGGCTGCAGCCATCCGCCGACAAATAGGCCAGATGCTCCCGGTAGGCACCGGAGACAGCATTAAAAAGGTTGGCGAACTTCGACGGAAACTCCGCAGAGTTGCCCCGGGGAAGAGCACACGTGACATCAACAAGAGGATGGGTTGGATGAGTGAGGTATGTGATAAGTGGAATGCCGATGATTTCAATGCAATGGATGAGGCAGACATGCAAGCATTAGTGGAGTACTATGACACTGGCAAGGTTCCCAGTTTTGAGGACATTCGAATCAAGCCCCGGGAAGATGTGGTATGGGAATTTGATGGATCTTTTGGATGGGTGTAATGTAACGTAATATCGAGGGTGCTCGATTACAATCTTCTATGCCATATATAGCCCTTTTGATATATGTACGGATCGAAACCAGATATACGGTCCCTTGGGCCCAACCCCAACACAACACCACGGAAAACAGATTTCGCAAGATTCCAGCCTTGTAGACTTCCGACAATCCAGCCGCAGCTGCAGCTGCAGGATCAAGTAGCTGGGTATATTCACCAATGGCGCAAAGAGTTTGCTTGGATGGTGCACCGAAGGACTGGTGTGTGGTGGGCTGCACGGGCTGCATCAGGCGCATGGCATGGAGGGGGAACAAATCAAGGCTGAAGCTGAAGGGATGACGTAGTCCATCAGAATCAGAGACAGACTCAGACTCAGACTCCATCCTTTCCCACAGTCAATCAGTCGCTGTGAAGATGGAGAGTGCCATTGCTTGCTTCACGTAGCCATATCCTCCATGCTCTCATCTTCCACGCTTCTTTTCTATCTTCATCTCAACCTGTGATCCGCGCTTGTGCCTGGTGCACCGCAGACGACACACACCATTACGTTTACGCTCAATGAGAAGCCCCGCTATTGACCGATTCTAAACACGATAGCCTTGACAGGTTCTAAGCAAGATGAGGGCTCTCCGAGACAAACTCAAAGGTACGATACATACACCTGGAAATCTCCACCTCCAGACCACAGACAACCGAAACCAATAATCTTCCTTACCCTAGATTCCAAGCTGCAAGACGCGAAGATCAAAGCCATCCATCTCAAGCACAAGATCGGCAAGCTCACCAACATTGTGAATAGCAACCATCGCCATGATGAGGAACACGAGCAGGCTACCGATCGCAAAAGAACCGAGATTTGCGAGAGTCATCGGTTCAAGTCCTTCTTCCCCGAGCGCGATGGCAACAACATCAAATGGTATGTCGATGGTCGTGACTACATGTGGGCTGTCTCTGTTGGCCTCGAATCTGCCAAAGAGACCATCTACATCGAGGACTGGTGGCTATCCCCGGAGCTGTTCTTGCGTCGTCCTCCCTTTTTCAACCAAGAATGGCGTCTTGACCAGATCATCAAGCGAGCAGCCGAGCGCGGTGTCCAGGTCTATGTTATTGTCTACAAAGAAGTTCAGCAGGCACTGACTTGTAATTCCGCCCACACCAAACACGCTTTGAGGGCTCTTTGCCCAGAGGGAACCCCTGGACATGGAAACATCCACGTCATGCGTCACCCAGATCACAATGTGTTCGAGAATTTCGGTGACATGACTTTTTACTGGGCTCATCACGAGAAATTTATCGTCGTCGACTACCATCTCGCATTCATCGGCGGGCTGGACTTGTGTTATGGCAGGTGGGATATTAGACAACATATTCTGGCCGATGTGCATCCATCTGGCGTGGTCAACGAAATCTTCCCTGGACAAGACTTCAACAACAACAGGCGCGTGCGATCAGTTCCTCTTGATTGCGCCCCTAGCTAATTGAAAATTACAGGATCATGGACTTCCAAACCGTGGAGGATTGGTCAAACAATGAGTTGAACAAGACGGAATATGGAAGAATGCCCTGGCACGACGTTGCCATGGGACTCGTTGGAGAATGTGTCATTGACATTGCAGAACATTTCGTGTTGAGGTGGAATTTCATCAAGCGAGACAAGTATAAGCGGGATGAAGGAGTTGACTACCTCTGCATGACCACAAGATCCCGCGCCGATGGCTCAAACCCTGACGAAGATCTCATTTCCATTCAACGTCCCAAACATCCCGTAGGAAGGTACCTCGAGCACCCACTTTCCCCACTCGAAGGCAAAGGACTGCAAAATGCCGGTTCGGTCCACGCTCAAATTGTTCGCAGCAGCGATGACTGGAGCAGCGGTATCCTGATTGACCACAGCATCCAAAATGCCTATGCTGAAGTCATTGAAAATGCTCAACATTACGTCTACATCGAGAACCAATTTTTCATCACTGCCACTGGCGATCAGCAAACCCCGATTACCAATACCATCGGTCGTGCCATGGTGAATGCTTGCATTCGTGCCGACAAAGAGGGCCGCAAATTCCGAATCATCATTGTGATCCCGGCCATCCCTGGCTTCGCGGGAGATCTTCGTGAGGATGCTGCCATTGGAACCCGTGCCATCATGGATTACCAGTTCAAGTCCATCAATCGTGGCGAGCACTCCATCATGGGACAAGTCTCCAAAGCGGGCCTTGATCCAGCCAAGTACATTTTTGTCTTCAACCTCCGAGCCTACGACCGAATCAACAAGACCCCAGCCCTAATTCAACAAGAAAAAGAATCCGGTGTCTCATACCAGGAGCTTCAGCGCGCCGAAGCCGAAGAAATCATGGGTTCGGGCATCCACGGCTACGAAGGCGAATCATCCGACGGCGAGGGGAGCTCCAAGGCCCCGGCAGTCAACTCCGACGAGCAGAAGCGGATCATCGATCGGAAGCGCAGGTTCGAAGCAGCAAGACGGGACGTCGATGTCAAAGATCCAATCACGTCGACCGACTCCATCGGCGAAGACGCCATGGCACGCGGCGGCCTTGTCAGCGAGGAGCCATGGGAGGGCGAGAGAGAGGCAGAAAAGGAAAACTTTGTGCAGGAAGAGCTGTACATCCATGCAAAACTCCTGATCGCCGACGACAAGACCGTCATCTGCGGGTCGAGTAATCTGAACGACCGCTCCCAGCTAGGGAAGCACGACTCGGAACTCTCCATCGTCATGACTGACACGAAGATCCTCGAGTCGACTATGGACGGCAAACCCTACCAAGCAGGCCACCACGCAGCAACCCTCCGCCGCCACCTGTGGCGCGAGCACCTAGGCATGATCGAAGCGCAAGCAGTCGACGGCTCAAACGACCCGAACGCGCAACCACCCACCGTGTGTCCAAACGACAACTACTCAGGAGAGGAGTGGGACTTCGTCGCCGACCCGCTGGGTGACGCCTTGTGGGAAAAATGGACGTCCCAGGCGACGACCAACACTGAAGTCTACCGCCACCTGTTCCGCGCCGATCCCGACAACAACATCAAGACCTGGGCCGACTACGACAGCTTTGCTCCGCGCAAGATCATCAAGCAGGGTCATATCCATGACCCCCATATGCCTGTCGACCTGATCCGTCAGGAGATGGACAAGATCCGCGGCCATCTCGTCTGGATGCAGTTGGATTTCCTGTGCGAGGAGGAAATGGCCGAGAAGGGCCTCCAGGTCAACTCCATGACCGAGGTGAGTGCTACATCCCTAATTACGATTTGCCCCCCCTGGACACCTATTTCCATCCCGGCTCCTGAAATTGATTAGTACTGACCTCCTCCTCTCACCACAGAGCATATACACCTGATCCACCCGAGCACCGACGGGGACCCAGCCTCGCGATTGAGACGCGTCGCGCCGCGAAAGAGAGAAAGTAAGGGAGAGAGAGAGAAGAGAGGCAGTCGCGTGCGAGAATTCATTCATCCTTAATTCTGCTTATAAGTACCCAATCGTTATGATTACCCCATGTTGCAAGGAGACGTACGCAGGACCTTCAGTAGTGGAAGGCGTCAGTGAGTTGAAAAGGCCAGATCCCGAAAAGGAACCAGAAATCCCATAATTGCCAAACCAGACCAATAATGACAAAAGTGTTGTACAGGGCTATGTGTCACTCACACTTGGTCCTCCTGAACGAATCGTGACTTGCTTTGATTCATTCGATTAATCACCATTCCATCTCCCCCCTTTCGTATCTATAGTACGAGTATGCCATTCTCAGCCCTGCAATTGGATGTCCTCCAGGAGAACGCGAATGTTCAGAAGCAATTGGATTTCGAGTGAGCATGAGTCGTGCATTTCATTTCCGAATGGCTGTGTCAATCAAGTGGAACAAGGGGGCGGAAAACAAAATAACTGCATCAAAAACCCCATCGCATCCCGTGCCGTAGCAGTGTCGCCGCTCCGGACCTTGGGCTCAATCTCAAGTCGCAAACCCCGGTCGTCCAGCCCAACACTCATCATGCAGCAACGCTCGGCCCGGGCCTCCTCCCCAGCCGGCTCGCGCTCTCAACTCACTCGAACTCCTGACACTGCTTGGCGCCCTTGACCTCGCCGACCCAGGGGAGACGGTGCTTGACCCAGAGCTCGACCTGCGGGGTGCCCCAGGCCTCCAGGCCACCGTCCGCGCGCGCCTTGCCATCGGCGCCGTCTCCGCCGTCCAGGCCGCCCGCGAAAACAATCACGACGCCGGGAAACCCGCCCGGGGCGCGCTTGTACAGCGTCGACGGACACTTGCTGCACCCGTAGAACGTCATGTCCAGCCCGACCTCGTGCACGCCCGTGGTTTCGCGCACTGCAGACGACGTTTTCGACGTCATGTGGAGCGAGGTGCCCGGTGGTGCCGGGCGGTCGGTCAACGAGCCCGGGTCCGGGAGGAGGAGGAAGGTCGCGTACGCGCTGCCCGTCAATTTGCGGCACGTGAGGCAGTGGCAGATTCCCTGTTGGTGGTGGACCAGTGGCCCGTGGTTAGTGTTGGGTAGTATACGATAGGACAGGACACGACAGGATAGTTTGATACGAATAAAAATAGCGGAACTGGTTTATGCTGGGGGTGTGCTGAGATTTCGGGGCTTGGGCCACGTGGTCTTGGAGGGAGAGTTGAACGGGGCTATACTCAGGGGAAACGTTGGAAGGAGAGCATGTGCATGTAGTACCTTGACAAGCGGCTCGCCGTCAAACTCATAGGTGAGATCGCCGCACTTGCATGATCCTTTCGTCGGCATGATCTCTTTAGGGCTTCTTTTTCTCTTCACTAGCTCTAAGGTGGTTTCGAGACCAAGCTACCGATCGATCGATCACACGAGCCGTCCGATTACGGGATGCAGAAAAGTCGACTTGGTATCGGGGTGAACGCAACACACGAAGGGGCCTGAGCGGTCTCGAAGTATATCGTTCCGCACGGGGATCCAACTGGAGTCAAATGTGTTTCGGGGAGCTTGCCGTGCTGTGTTGTTTTTCAGTTCCGTTCTTTGCAAGCGAGAAGACTGACGAGGACAAGCCAGGATTTTATCTCTTTGACAGAGGGAGGAAGAACAAACAAAGAGACCTCGAGCTAGTATTAGGATATATTATATTGGGCGAGAAGCCCTCCGTTACCTCGTTCGTATGTGAGCGGGCGACGGTGACCAGCAGTGTGAATTAAAGTTTGCAACTTTGCCACCCAGCTCATCGTGCCTGGAACAAGCTTCTCAGCTCTTTAGATGACAGAGCTGGACATCCAGTTTCCGTATCCTTTGAGTTTTCGTTCAAGCCACGAATGGCGACCGCCCTTCTGTCCAAGGTCCCCCGTTTCTATTTCGTCAACAAAACAGGGCGTCGCAACTACTGCTGGGCTAAGACGGCTCAGTCCAGATCTGGAAACTGCAACGAGGAACTGCTGGGCATGCTTTGGAGACAGATCCATGGGGATTTGTTTGAATGGCACATTACGCATGCGAAAGGATGTGGTGGGCAAACCAGACGATGGGGGTGCCTAGACCAAACGAAAAGTGGATTTCAGCCGCATACGAGCCCCCCCGCTTTTGTTAGCCCAGATCTCGATTTAGCAGCGGTCAAAGGTTCGAAATTTGTGGGCTGGAAATGCGTGTAAGGTTGTGTGCTAGAGGCCTTCTTGGGTTTCAGGCTGGAGTGAAGGTTTGGCTGACACCAGAGGCCTCAAGTCTTTGCGGAGCCTAGGATTGGCTCTCTCGCGGCAAGTTCCGGTAAGCAGACATCCCAGGGCATGTCTCCTCTAGCTGTCTGGTATGTATCCATCTGGGTTTGTTGCAGCGAAGAGGTCGCATAGAGATGCATTCGATGATTTGAAAACGACGTCAGAGCTTGGGAGGGGCTGCCAGCTTCCCGCGAACGCAAAGCAGGTGGAAACACTGCGCGCAGGAGACCGGACGCAACTGTCAACAGCCGTCCGTATTCGTTCCAATCTCAATCATGTATTCCCAGGAGAGCAGGGTCAACTTCCTCACCAAGATCTCTGTCTTCGAGGAATATCCTGCCCCTCAACTTCTCCGGCAAGTACTCTTGCTCGACCTTCCCATCCACATAATCGGGATTATATTTATACTCCTTCCCATACCCAAGCTCCTTCATCAACCTGGTAGGGGCATTTCGGAGGTGAATTGGAATAGGCAGACCCGCAACTCCCGGCTCTTCAAGAGCCCGGATGGCATTGCTCAGCCCACGGTACACTCGCGTCGACTTCGGCGCCTGGCACAGCGCAACGGCGACGTGGGCGAGATTAATCCTGGCCTCGGGCATGCCTACCCTTTCCGCCGCAGTATATGCCGCCGTAGCGAGGGGAAGCATAGTACTGTCCGCGAGGCCCACATCTTCGGAAGCGATGACGATCATTCTTCTTGCGATGTAGAGTGCGTCCTCTCCTGACTGGATCATGCGCGCGAGATAATACAGCGCCGCGTCTGCATCACCGCCACGGACAGATTTGTGAAACGCAGAGATTGTATCGTAGTGCTGGTCGCCCGCGCGGTCGTAGACGAGCGTCTTGGTGAGAGACTGCTTTAGCATCTCCAACGTCATGTTAGGACGCTGGGATAACTCCATCGCGAGCTCCAGCAGATTGAGCGCCGTCCTCGCATCCCCGTCCGCAAACGCGGCCAAATACGTGATCAACTCATCATTGACCAGGGGCGACGGAGTGTAGTTCTCCCTTCTCTCCGCCTCCGCCTCCAACGCCCTGCCCAGGATATCAGCGACATCCCGATCCGTCAATTTCTGCAATGTGAACGTCCGACACCGACTCAAGAGCGCATTCTGGACCTTGAAACTGGGATTCTCCGTCGTGGCCCCAATCAACGTGACATGGCCCGCCTCAACCGGCCCAAGAAACACATCTTGCTGACTCTTACTGAACCGATGGATCTCGTCACAGAAGAAAATCGTCTTGCGACCAGTCAAGCCGAGCTCGTTCTTCGCCTCGGCGAAGATCTTCTTGCACTCGGCGACCCCCGAGCTGGTGCTGTTAATCTCGACGAACCGGCTGCCGACCATGGACGCGATCACACGTGCGATGGTGGTTTTGCCTGTGCCTGCTCCGCCCCACAGGATCATGCTGGGCACGCGGTCTTGCTCGATCAAGCCGCGGAGGACACCGTTGGGCCCAACAAGTTCCTGGCCGCACACATCGTCCAGTGTTCTTGGCCTCATCCGCTCCGCCAGTGGTGCCGCCCTCTCGAATGCGCTCATCGTCTTGGGTTTCTTGACCGCTGGCGAGGGAAGTGCTGGAGTAGTAGAACCATTAGGACTCGTAGTATCTCGGCCGACGCCGTCTGTCAGACGTATCTCCTCGCTCTTCTTGCCCAGTGCCCCGGCGGCAGCAGCACGGGGCTGTGACGAGGACAAGGACGCAGCATCAAACGATCGCTTCAAGCTGGTATTCGAATGATTCGCATTCGGCCTCAACTCGCTCGGACTCTGTCCAACAGGCTGCGACGAGGAAAGGAAAAGCATCGCCGTGTCTCGTTTCGCAGGCGTTTTGAAGAAACTCGCCACGCCGCTCGCTGGAGTAGTAGTGGATGCATTGCTGTCCGGCTGCTCATTCTCGATATCCTCCACGCAGTTGGAGTCGATATGATTATTGATGTTGGCTTGTTTCACCGACCGGCTGCAGATCGGACACTGAACCATCTTGAAGGAGGAGGAGGAATCTCCATGCCTTTGAATTGGAATGGGTGGAGGTGAGGTCTCGGCAATAAAGAGATAAATAAAGGATGAAAGAAGTAGTCGGGGGTCGATGGACTACTGATGTGGTGATCGAGCCTGGGACGCAAGGAAATTTAATCTAATTGTAGGCGGAGGCGGACGCCCCGGGCTCCGCTCGACGCGTCGTCGCGTTCTTTTTACAAAGTAGGTTCGGATTTAGCGGACGTGACAAGGCTGTGGACTCCTTGGATCTGATCGTTTTATGCAAAGCCTTAACCAGTCCATAACGCCGACTTATCACTACCGTAGTGCTGTGCGTTGCTCTGTCACCTGCGTCTGCCCTTAGAGAAGAATGATTAAATTTAGGATTCTCCGCTGCTACCGAGCTGACCTATCAATACTGCAGCTGGCGATTTCGAACGCTGACGGCATTCTGTTAAACCGTATTCTGAACAGTGCTTCCGTAACAGTGCATTCAATGTATATGAACTTGAAAAGCAGTCGCCTAAGTCAGATCACCTCTTAGATAACTCGAACACAGCGAGGAATAAAAATGGACCATGAATTCAGCTGAAGTCAACTATTCTAATACCACTAGTCCAACGCGGATCCGACCCCGCGAAATGCACCTTCTAGTTGAAGCACTACCGTCCAGAGTCTAGGACCCCCAAAGTCTCAACCTGTCTTTTTCTTTAGGAGAAGTACATCTTCAAACCCCTTAACCTTTCCTTCGCGTCCTCGAGCACATCATCATTCTTACAGACGGCAAAGCGCATCCAATCCTCCGCGAGATACGCCCTTCCATCGGTGTAAAACTCCGTCGGCGGGATCGCCGCAACCCCCAGCTCCATGATCAAAAACCATGCCATCTGGAAATCCCTTGGTCGGTCCTTGACGTGCTCTGGGAACTTATAGTCCGTGGGCAACTTTACCTTCTTCAGGTTGGCGAGCACGAAATAGCCACCCTCGGGGATCGAATACGGGATGTCGAGCTCGTCGAAGACCTGGCAGAAGCGGTCCATCTTGCCCTTCATTTCCTTGACGGCTTGGTCCCAGAAACCGACTTTGTCAGCCTCTTCGAAGCCTATTGCGGCGGCTTCCTGGAGAGGGGACACGCTCGAGTAGCAGATTCTCGTGTGTGCGGCTGCCACGTATTTGATCAGGTTGGGTGGGCCGATCAGATAGCCAACACGCCAGCCCGTGGCGTAGAAGTTCTTGCCCGCAGACCCGACCGTGATGGTGATGTCGGCGAGTTCAGGTGATAATGTGGCCATGCGGGTGAATGGGACGTAGTACAGGCGATCGTAGACTTCGTCAGAGAGGATGATGACTTCATGTTTGAGGCATAGATCTCCTATCTGTTGGAGCTCTTCTTTACTGAAGACCTTTCCTACGGGGTTGTGCGGGGAGTTAAGGACGATCATCTTGGTCTTGGGGTTGAATGCCTTTTCGAGCTCGTCGAAATCTATGGTCCAGTTGGCGGCGGACGATGTTCTCTCTGCGCCATCTTTGGGGGGATGCATAGGCACATATCTGATCGTGCCACCGGGCATCTCGATGTTGCTGATATATTGGTCGAAGAAGGGCTCGAAGATGATGACCTCGTCGCCGGGTTCCACGAAACCCATGAACGCACTTAACATGCCTGTATGAAATATCCCAAGTTAGCCCAAATGCTTGTCACTTGGCACCCATCCCTTCCAAAAACACAACGCAACACAACACGAACCTTCATTTGCGCCAGTCGTGATGGTGACCTCCGTTTCAGGATCGAGTTTCCTCCCGAAGAAAGGCGTGTAGGCATCGGCAATAGCCTTCTTCAGTCTGGGGCGTCCCTTCGTGGGCGAATATTGATTGCACTCGACTCTATCGAGTGCACTTTTCGCCGCGTCTAGGATGAATTTGGGAGGATTGTAGCCACTGAGCGCCCTATCAGCAGATCTATTTCTTGGAAAGATGGTGCGAAACCATCAACTCACAAAAACCCCTGCCCCATGTTGACGATCGGCTGAACGGGGCTCGCCGCCGCGGCCTCATTGACGATCGACCAGACATCCTGTTTCTGGCCCGCGACACGGCGCGCAGGCTTGAATTTCTCTTCCAATTTTGCGGTCGTCGACATACTGCGCCGGTTGGATATGCCTGTCCTCGTGCGAACCGTCGGCCTGCCAGTACCCAAATCCCTACGTCCAGAAGTAGGAGCAGATGACCCCGCTACGAGAGCTGTAGGTAGGCACCGGTCTTGGAAGATAGGTACAGCGAGAGAACGGACAGCGGCAGCGGTAGAGCTCAGGAGGGAGCTGATGTTCATGGAGAAAGCAAAAAGAAAGAGCTCAGAAAGCCCAGGGTGTATGACTGAGGTGTGGCAGACTAAACGGTAAGAGAAGTCCTCGAGTCGAGTTGTGGTAGGACCTGAATGACCAATTCCAGGGCATGGGATCGCATCACCCAGATCAGATTATGGATATCACCGTATGGACAAAAACGAACGGAATGCTGGTTATGTATGACAGGCCCAAAGAATAGAGAGCTCTTATTGGAAAGTGCTGAGATGACGAAATTGCGTGCTTCTCTTGGTAGAAGGTACGCCATACTGCGTACTTTTCTATCTAGTGGAAACTCTTGTGACTCGAGTGTGGGGCGGCGGCATCCACGGTTTGCGGAGAATTGGCCGAGGTTCACCCTGCGCGTGATCATTCAACGGGGCTCGTCGGCAAGATGCCGATGTGTCGATATAGTTCCCAAGTTGATGTCAACCAAGGAGAGCTCTATAGATCAAGCTGAAGTACAACCTAACAATATTAATATCCTCAACTACCCAAGGTAGATATCTCTACGTCCGGTATAGGATCTATGTATGTATAGACATATATTGTAGTATTCGTGTCCTCCTGCTTGCTGCTTCCTTTCCCGAAGCTCCAGGATTGAGTGCCTGCCTATTCGATCCAAAGTCCCTTTTGGATTCGGTTCGCTTCGATTCATATCGATCAAGATCTGTCATAAGATGGGGGTCGTGATTGATACACAAGTGACAAACTCCCATAAAATAAAGCAATACCCAAAAAAGCTTTTTACGCCGTGCCGTATGCAGTGCAGTTCTTTCCAAACCAATGCGATATCAACGTAAGCAATGCTGTAGCCACACATGCAGTTTCGTCGTTCACACGGGTGCAAGGCTGTACAGTATGTCCGTACTCTTTCTTTTATACTGAATTGGCGTTTTTCACCACTTCTCAAGCATATCTCACACTTTGACCTCGCTGCGGTCCACCATAACCACCACTTGGTTGCCACCCACTATAAGATGGTGGGGGCTGTGGGGGATACCACGGCGCAGAGTTGGGGTGCATCTGAACCGGCGAGGGTTCATATGCACCTCCATAGCCGCGGCTTTGCATCTGAGGTGGAATTCCTGGGCCATCCCAGCCACCATGAGGAGGATTTCCACCCAAATTCCGGCGGCTTCGACGACCCACACCGTCGATCTTCTTGTGTCTACTCCTTCTACATGCTCGGATGACACATCCAAGGATAGCAAGTAAGAGAAGGCCACCGAGGGCACTGGCCAAACCAATCACCAATGGCTTGTTGTCATCGATCCAGGATTTGACTTCTCCGCCAACTGTACTTCCACGGCAGACACCGTTTTCGCAGTGGCCACCGCCTCCACAAGGCGTTCCATCCAAAAAGTTTTGTTGCATGCTATAGCAAACATTTGATCCAAAGTCCGGGCTCGCACAGCTCAAACTGCAGGTTTGACTGTTACAAGCATATGTGTCGTTGCCGGCCGTATAGCTACCCATGAGAGTCTTGCATTGCAGATCTCGACTCGTGCACTGACCACTGGCACATCGAAGGCCATCGCCACAGCTATCTCCATCAGGAGCCGTAGTGTCTGGGGGGCAGGTACCATTGGTGCCTGAGCAGGTTTCTTGTGGGTCACATTGACCGGTGCTTGCCCGACACACAGTGCCAACCGATGCAAATTGACATTGGCTTGTGCAACATCCTTCGTTACTTGAGTCGCAGACTGCACCTTCGGCAAACTTGCAAGTGGTCGGATTGCAGCAAATATTTCCGGTACAGCCTTGCTCACCACCACAATCGCAATCTTCACCTTCCTCGACAATGCCGTTGCCACATTGGTTGCCACTGATGGTAACAACACCCTTGTTGTCGGTCAGACAGCTCGATTGAACGGAATTCCTGCCGAGAGCACTGCAGATGTTGCCGACGGAGCAGGGCGAAAAGTTAGTGATCCCAGATGCCGAGAAAGGGTTCATCATATACTGGGCATTGGCATCACAAGTGGATGAGCTCGCGGGACAACATTGACCGGAATTCACCACATTGGAATCTTGGCAGGCACTTGAATCACAGTCGTGTACCGCACCAAAAGTATGGCCCGTCTCGTGAGCAAAAACTTGCCACTCGGTGGAGGTCTTTGCGATGACGTTTGCACCTGTAACACTCTGGCTGCTTCCGCTGGTATCAGTCTGAGTCGTAGCACCATGGTTGCACAATTGGCCCAGCCAGGCTAGACCAACTTCAGCACCAGTGTTGCAAGTTGTGAATAATGACCAGTAGGCATTGTCATCACCCCGTTGTCCTCGCCAGGCCGAGAAGAGGTTTAGGCGTTGAGTGATGTCGGTGTTGGTATTACAACCGACGTTCCATGGTGATTGACTGTTGGCAGTACCTGGACACTCCGCGTCGGAAACGGTCAAGTTCCTCAGGCCCAGGGTGATGTTGAAGGTGGATTGGAAGAGGTCGGAGGCGGTGTTGACCTGTTTAATGATATTCTGTCTGAGAGTATCTGTGGAATTGAAGCTGGCGGTATAGGAACAGTCCGTGGCAACGCCGAGGAGGGCGACTTTTCGTGTTGTAGGACAACCTTCAGTGCTGCCGATGGTGGATCTGAGATTGACACCAGCAGAGTTACCACTTCCGGCACCACCACCGTCGATGTTGCTTTGCCGCTTGCCGAATAGATTGGCAACAGACATGGTTCCCCAAGTGCCTTCGTCTCTCCTGAGCATTAATTCACGGTAGATAGGATGGTCAGGGTGGGTGTTGAATTCAAGTTGGTCAGAACCACAGGAGATCGGGGTACTGCGCTTTAGCTCGGTGTGGTGACCAGGATGCTGACGGCTGATGTCGCTGTCTCGCCAGACAGCCATGTACTCATCATCATCGTCTTCTAGTTCGGGATCCATTTCATGCTTGGTCGACATGTAGTCGGACTTGAGTTGGACATGGTGATGATTACCCAGGACGGTGAAAGCGCCTTCGAAAAGAGGGCGCACTCCGTCTCTGGTCACGACAATGCGAGCCCAGCCGACATGGGTGGAAGTGCCATCGTCGTCGACGACATAGGACCTCCCCTGGAAGACCTTGTGGTCCTCCCTTTGCATCTTCTCGGCATGTCTGACGTTACCATCCTTGTCAAGAAACTCGATGTAGGAGTCTTCGTGGAGAATGTCGTGGTTGGGTTCTAAACTTAATCGGATGTGCTCGGCATGGTTATGGAGGTCGAAGGTAATGTCGAAATGGGAGTAAGCATGTACTCTTTGCGAAGGAGTATGCAACCGGGGATCTTCAATTAGAGATAGGTAGTTTAAAGGATTTCGGGCTCTCGAGTGAGCATTGACGGTGGATGTGAGAAAGAGACATGACGCAGCCAAAGCGGCAAGGTCTCTGAAGAAGCGCATAGCGCTCCAAAGGATGAGAGAGGGGGTTGATTAAAAACTAAGGTTCAGTTATTGCATGAGAGCGACAGTGGTATTTGGACAGATGGGTATAGCGAGAGGCGGGTTATCGACGAGGTACTCGGTACAGGTGGATGTACAGGTACGGGTAGGTAAACAGGTCTAGAAAGATGGTGACAGTACGGAGTACTCGGTAGGGCGGTAGGTCCTTAAGTGGGATAAAGACGGCAGAGCGAAGGACAAGAGATATGGAAATGGATGATGGTGATGATGATGAGGCGTCGGAGGCAGAGACGGTGGGCAGAGGAGCAGAGAGAGACTGCGAGAGTGAGCGTTGTAATGCCCAGACGGAGTAATCGGAGACCTGGCAAAGGATAAGATCGGGAGTGGTGATGGAGGGTGAGAGGTGAAGGCGAGGGGGTGTTTGGATGGACGTGACTGGAGAGTCTAGGGACTAGTGGGAGCCGTAGTGGTGGCAGTTGGAAGGCGCAGTTCAGCATTTTGGGGGAGGCAGTGGCGGGCACCCGAACGTGGACGCGCGGTCATTGACTGATGGTGCTTGGCTGGAGTAGGTGCAGATGTGCAGACCTCACAGGCGCAGATGGAGGCGGTGGTGGAGGTGCCTCTGTTGCTTTGCTTTGCTTGACCACACCTACCCCGGTCCATAACGAGTGCCTGCACGGCCTCCGTGTACGGGTGCGGGCTGACTGGAGTCGCTACGACAGGGCGCGCACAGGGCGCGCACAGGGCACGCACAGGGAACTCCAACCTGTTGCTTGGCATTGGGTTCCATGCATGCGACCTCGACCCTCGGCCTGCGGCCTGCGACCACTGACCAGCCTCCTGTGTGTGTCGGTCCCCTTGGGCTTTTCCCTTCTCAATTTTCCAGGCACTCTTAGCTGCAGCTTACGCTCACACTCTCTCCCGCACCTACGACCACCGCCAGGCGTACCGGGCGAGCGCTCACAATCAAGTTGCCGTCTCGGCTAGAATAAGGCGTGCGGGCCTCCAATCACTCAGCGCTGACTAGTACCGCGCACCCGCACAATAATGGTCCAGAAATAAGTTATAACCCGGTCCCGTCGTTCCCGAAATACTAGTGATTAGCATTCGTGCCCGTTTGTCGGTCGCTTCTATACGAGATCTGCGCCCAAGAGATATGCGAGCGGGTGCACAAAACCTCCTACACAAGCCAGGCAGTCTCCTTCTCTAACCCTTGTGCCATTCTCTTCTCTTCTCTTACCTACTACACATTCTCTCGTCCGATGTTTATCTTCGTACTGTAGGTAGTATATCTTCGTACTGTGGGTCACGATACCAAGCCAACGTGCTGACGATGACGAAAGCCTTCACAAGTCAAGCTCGCTTCGGCAACGACTTTCCTCCCTCCCTGGTATTGAGTACCACGGAGGTTGCCCACAGACTATCTTGTACAAGTACGGAGTACTCCGTACATAATTAGTTCCTACTTACACCCCACCCCAATTTCGACTGCAATCGGTACGTCCCTAGATAGTGACATGTTCGGTGTTGAAGATGACATCCGTGGAAGTCGATAACCTTAACTCCGATCCCATCATCAATTGTGGTTCTTGCTCTGTCGTGCATAATCCTAACCCTGCATTATTCTGCATCTTCCCCCACTTCCCCCCAAAAACAATAATATCCATAGATTCAATGATGCAGAACATGTAGCAGAACATCAATGGCGCGTTCAACATTTCGGGTTCAAGCCAGAGGGTCAAATGCGGCCGTTTGGATGTCTAGAAGGGGGATGGCTGGGCCATCTTGGGCGTACTACTCGTACTCGTACGGAGTAGTCTCATCTTGACACTACTTACTAGCACCAGATCAATGCCGTGGCGTCCGATGCGCCGAAGCGTGTCCGGCCACTTGGTTCCCGACACCTCAAACACTTGCTAAACGCTCTTGTTCTTCCAAGCGCCCCTGCACTTTATCCTTCATTGCTCCTGGTCCGTCCTTATAATTTTAATAATTACAGTAACCTCCCCAGGAACTCAATCATAAATTATCATCTTTGTTTCCGAGACCTTGAGTTACAATCCTAATGCCTCCTATGATCATGCTACGCTAGGTCATTCTCCCTCGCTTCGCACATCCCTTCCCTCACCTGCTCCAGACAAGGGTTCCAATATCGCTCATCACGCAGCCTCGGTCTCAACACCAGGCTCTCGCCCACCAAGGCTGCCAGTAAATCTCTTCTTGATCCGAGAAACACCAATCTTGGCCTGGCTCTGGGCGAATTTGACATTGCGAGCAGGCATCCACTGGGACAGACCACGGTGTTTGCGTTCTTCAGCACGTTTGCCAGCCTTCCGGTCGAACTTTGCGTCTTTGGCCGCCACTGGTTGCACTGAATTGCCTGAATCTCCAGTTGCGGTTGTGTCATGGGTATCTGTCGTGTCCAACGTATCCCCACTGGGTCGTCCACCCGAAGAGACGCTCTGACGCTGCCGCTGGAATCCGCCTTCAGGTGCATTGGAAGCGTCAGTGATGCCCAGATCCGATTCCGAGCTGGTGTTAACCGCCGCATCGTCGTCATCATCATCATCGCTTGATGGGTTGTAAGGATCGTGCGGCGGCTCATCCCTTCCGGGCTCTGCAATCTTCTCCCACTTCTTGTTCGTGTAAGCCCGCGGATCGTGACTGAATGCCCCAGACCAGTCTTCCCCGGATTTACTGAGCCACTTCTTCCTCTCTTTTTCGTCCACCTGGTGATGAAGCACATCACGACCTTCCGTCAATGAGGCGTCGTGCAACTCCTGAATCGCATCAGGCACTTCGGCTTCCACCACACGTGCTCGGACCCCTTCAGTCAAGCATGCCTCGAATGTCTCATACGTTTCCCGCGTGTCATTGTCCACCACGAAATCACGGTGAGATTCATCCATTCCAGCCTTGAATCGACCACGGAACTGTAACCGTCCCACCTCTTCCAAATCATCAAGTCCTTTGTCGGTAAAAGCTTTGTAATTCTCCTCCGTGATGTAGTTCTGGAGCAGACGCGCCCCGTTCTTCGTTTTCCATATTGGGATGTCAAATGGAGTTTCTTCGTTGTCAATCAGGTTTTGCAGCCAGATCGAGGCGAACGCAGCCGCCCCGCGTTTCCCACTGACATGAAACTCGAAGATGACCGGAGACCGGTAACGATGCTTGACCGGCAGTCGCTTATGTTGGTGTTTCTCGGCGGAGACGTCCCAATAGACACCCTCGCCGTCCTCGCTCTTGTGGCACTGTGTTCGAGGGATTTTCCCACTGCTGCCACCAGTGCGAAGTTTCAGCTTGGTGTTCTCAGTCCAACCCTTGGTGACAATTTGATCGGACAGGAATTCAAACGTGCCAACGTCCCATCCGAGCATATTGGGTGGAAGTCGAGTTTCAATGCTTCGGAACAGAAGGGAAATTCTGATCCGACCGAACCCGATGCCTCCATCAAGCGGGTACCAGCGGGTGACTTGCGAGCTGGTAGTGAGTATCTCCGACAACCGTAATGGGACAACACCCAAGACGGGATCATGCTCGCGATTGCGTTGATCCCGCACAGTTACGGTGACCAGACCAGACCTCCAATCACGCATAAACCGTTCAGTGCCAGCATTAAAGATCGGCTTGCTGCTAACAGCCTTTGCACGAGTTCGATAGACCAGACCGTCGTTGAAGAGGATGGTGCAGTAAGAGGTGGGCAGTTCTGTCCTGGTTAGTCAAGATCTGTCAAAGGGATCGTTCACCGGTTGCTCACTGTTTGATTCTTCCTCGGTGGCCTCTCCATATGCTTTGGCGGGTTCGAACTCTCGGCCCTTCCGATTTCCGTTGCTGCCTTTGATGTTCTCGAGCTCCAAATTGACGATCTGGTGGACGATCACACTACAAATACCACTGGGCCACAGCGGATCAGGCGGTGTGTGAGCAACAGCATCGGAATCTGCAGTGTCCAGAGTGCCCTTCTCGTCTTGGAACTGCTCATCGTCCTGAAGTCCCTTCGGAAGTGCCTTGTTCTTCCCGTCGGTGCGGAGTGCTGGACGGAACTTGGGCTTGCCAAAGTATCCAACCTCCCAATGAAGCTCACCGGGCATTTCACTGCCCTCTTGGACACCGGCCAGTTTGGAGATTTGAGGATACATCTTGCCTGGATGCTTGATCATTTTTTGCATGGACAGTTCGACTTTACCCACCATGTCGTCAGCGGAGTTGCGGTCCGAGTCCCACAATTCTACACTGAGTTGTTCGTCCGCCTTGATCAGTTCTGGTGTGACCAATAGTGCAGCGGTCTCTTCCCAGACTGGATAGAGATCATCGGTGATGACACGAGTGCAATACATGGGCTTCCCGTATTTGGAAAAGGAAAGGTTGATATAGGGGTCACTTCCACCATATTTGCTGCCACGGCGATCTTGTTTGCTAAGGCCGTCGGCACGGTGGATGCGAACCCACATGACACCAATCGCTTGAGTGTCTTTTGTAATGTCATCGCCCTGTAGCATGGATTTCAGATCTAGCTGCATCGATTTCGGAGCGACATAAAGGCTGGCAGCGGCCGCCACTGCATAATTGACGAAATTCGAAATCAATGGCAAGTTGAGGAGATTAACCCCACGCTTAACCATTGGAATGCATCCTGCCTGGACATGAGGAACGCCCATGAGGGTGAAGGTCAGGCTTTTGGCGAATGGTGGTTCTGGAGTCATCTGCAGCCTCAACCGAATGGTCCCAACGAGCTCTTGCAATTCTACCCAAATCGGGAGAGGCACTCCAATGAGACCTTTGATGCCAAGGTAGAAGACCAAATTCATATGCATATTTCTCGCCCTCGCAGCGGCTGATCCTCCGGTGGGTTTGGCATGGTAAGCAAAGGCAACTTCGAGGTTGTAATAATCACCACCCTCTTCATCAGCAGCTGCTTCTTGTGGATCTTTGGTCTTCTTGTTCTCCTCGTGAATGCTCTGTTTGAGATCTTCCACTCTGGAATCCGGTAATGCCCGCAGACTCAGGATCCGGATGGGGTTGCTTCCTTGATCGATCTCGGCCACCCTGACATTGTTGATCACCCCGGGTACGGAGGCCTGCATGACATCTTCGAGTGTGTCTGCCACTGCTGCAAACATGTCTGGATTGATCAAGCCCCAGACGATACTCAAAAAGGTGTTCATCCATTCAACCGACTCTGGAAGGAGGTTCGCAGTTGCCTAGCCAGCTTGTTAGCTCGCTGTGTGCGTATCGATGTCTCGATGGGTACATACCGTCTCGCCTCTCGCCTGTTCAGAGCTCCATTCAACCTCACGGCCGCTTCTAACAACCTCTTTCATCCAGAGCCAGACGCCAGACGCGAGCACCATGCCAAGTGGAACCAAGCCTTTGAGAGCGCCACCAAACATCTTGCCTACGATGACGACCGAAATCAAGATTGCGATACAAAGACCACCAGCACGCTGTTCGAGCATGACAAACATGGGCTCGTAGCTGACTGACGGCGTGGGATGGAATAAGATGTTGGTCTTTTCACCATGGATAGGCACGTCTGACGTGCTTCCCTCGGCGATGGGGTCTGGGGGAGCTGTGATGTCTTGCTTCTCTTTATACTCTGCCCCTGTCTGAGAATGATCTGTTTGAACGGGGGTTGGCTTTCCCAGGTTGGCGTTGGGAATGGAGAGCTGAATGCAATAGTCAGCTCTCATGAAGGAAACCAGCTGGTATATATGCATTTACCGTTGGGTTATCAGCCCGTGTCATGTATTGCTTGCCGACATCTGCGATAACCACTTGGTTCCCCGTCACTGGGTCTGTGACCGTCTTGCCTTCTTTCTTTGGTTTTTCATTCTGGTGTGGTGTCACCTCCGTAGAATATCCCTGAGACGGAGTGTCACCGGCCTCAAGAGCCTTGTCTCTTTGGGCCTTCTCCCTATCGAGGTTGCTCACGAACTCCTTGATGTTTGGGATTTTGTTGGTACCGCTCCATGGCTTGCCAGACCTTTGCTGCTGAGCAGCGACTTCATCCGCCATGACGAAAGGTTGGGCGTAGAAGTGTGGCCGAGCTAAGGTGAGACCCTAATGCAACTGGCTCGTCAGTCCTAAAGACACGCCCAGAGACGAAAGCAATACACCCAAAGATGGAGAGAACAGAAAAAGAAAATAAACGACGAAGAAATAAATGACAAGCTTGAGGAGTTGGACAATTTAGGGATCGGCAGCAGTCGTAATCGTGTGAATTGAACAGCATGCCCGTACTTGCTCCTTGCACGACATCTCGACTAATGAATGACGTAACGCGGTGATGGCGATCGACGCCGACCTGCACCTGCCCACTAAGCTTGCCCACTAATCACGCCTGCCCAGATTCAAACGCGACAAGTGCCCCACCGCCTCCATGCGGGTCTCTCGCTTGTTTACCGGCATCGAATGTCTAAAAAAGCATGGAAACCAGCATGCATCGTTCACCAGAACAACCACTCAGACTATGCCTAGACCAGCCTCCAATCCAGCATTTTGCGCTGGTGGAGTTGAGCCTGCTACACTGTTAGCCACACCGGCCGGCTGAGGTGCGCCTCATCAAGCCATGGCTGAAGGGTTCCAACGCTTGAATTCAGCCCATCTCTCATGCCCAGCCCCCCCCCTGGCCCGTTCCATCATCCGACCAATCGTTTTGTTATCCTTCGATTCAACATAGATGATCTCCAGTCCGGTAGTCGTAACCACGGATCATTTCAAGGCTCAGCGTCTCAGCACCAGGCCAGGCTTATGACTGATATCATTCTACAGCACAAGCCACCAGGCCTGTATTAAAGGTGTTACCAAGTGCACGGTTCGAGTCTCACAGAGCAAAAAGGCCAGAGGTCTACCCTAGTATCCAGAGGTTAGTAGCTACCGAGTTAGGTAAGTATCGACTCTCTTTGCCAGACTTTTCTTCCTTCCATCCACGTCTCCAGTACCACACCATCTGCATCCATCACCACAAAGTCAGCTCTCCGTCCTGTCTCCAATTTCCCCCTTCTGTTCTCGCCCATCATGTCGGCAATATTCTCAGTGACACATTGCACGGCTTCTGCCAGGTTGCAGCCCGTAAAAGCGACGGCGTTCCTTACACACTCGTCGAGGGTACAGCAGCTTCCGATCAACGTGTCTGTGCCTTCCATGGTCACTCGATTTCCCTGCTTGACCTGCTGCAGTGGGATCTGCCAGTGGCCGGGATGAACGCCGTCAGGCAGACCAGCAAGCTCGATACTGTCTGTGATGAAGACACACTTCCTCGGGTCGGTGCGTAGACACAGCGTAACCACTGACGGATGCAGGTGGATCCCGTCCGGTATGATAGAATAGTAGCATCGTCCCGTCGACATGAGGCCTGCGAGACCAGGGTTTCGATGCTCGAATGGTGCCATTGCGTTGAAGACATGCGTCAACGCCCGCGCACCCAGTTGCAGGGCAGCGAGTCCTTCCTCGTACTTGGCTACGGAATGACCGAGTGAAATGATAATATGAGGGTACTCTTCCTGTAGCTGTCCGATCAGGGCCGTCGAGCCTGGCAATTCAGGGGCTAAAGTGATCATGCTCACGACCGACGTAAGGTTGTCAGCCCCGTAGAGTTGAACCGGCGAGATCTGTGTCGGATCTTGTAGGTAATCAGCGTTGTGAGCACCCTTCTTTGCAGGACTCAGAAATGGCCCTTCCAGATGTGCACCGAGAAGATCTGCCCCATTGGAAAACATTCTCGGTCCAAGAGCTGGCACTATCTGGCCATAATCAACATTAGCTTGATATCCCGGGAGGAACAAGTCGATGGCTGAGACAATGAACCATGGGAGAAGTCCCAGGAACCATTGAACCACCCCGACTCATCATATCCCAGCCCACAAACCGCTTTACCAAGATAATGAAATGCCTCTCACCTGCTTCCACCTCGCCGCCTCCACCGTGGGAACCGTAGCCCAAAACCCCGTGACACCATGAGACACCTCTGTCTTGCTCACCGTCTCTAATATCTTTAGATCCTCCGCCTCATCACCTTCTTCACCATTGGTCCGCTGGCTCCCCAACCGCGTGAAATGCACGCCTTGCATTCCATTCGTCTGCAAGTCCAGAAACCCCGGGGCGACGACTTTCCCATCCAGGTCGATCCTCTCGACACCTTCTTGCCGATAATAGTAGGTGGGCGTGATGATCCCGGTGTCCGAGCTGAAATAGAGGTCTTGAGAAACCAATTCACCCGAAATGCACACGAGGCAGTTCGTGAAGCATTTCAGTGAGCGATCCATTGTGGGAGTCGTAGGGTGCGAGAGTGTTAGGTGGTCGCTTTACATTGCGTTGGTGGGAGCGTTGGTGGGAACGTTGATGGCACAAACGTACCTGAAACAGTAGGTGTGAATTCGATCGAGAACTACTCCTCACTACATATCCGGATTATCTGTCTCGCCGAACGGAGAGCATCGCCAGATTAGATAGGACCAGTTTAGTCTGGGCAACGTCCTATAGAGGTGCGCCCAAAAGACTCCACTAGAGATATCAGCCACACCTGTGGGATTGAGCCTAGGCACCCATAGGATGTAGGCCTAAAGATTACTTAAGTTTTCCACTAGAAATTAGTATACACTCTTTCACTAACTTAGTTCTAAACTTGATCAAGAGAGTCTCGGTGTTGTTGATTTCTCATAGTGATATTCTTATTCAATATCAACCGTACATTGACTTGACCCAACGACCAAGATTGTGAAAACTTGGTCGAAATCAGGCTGGATGTCGATAGGTTCGACACCAAGCCAAGTGCGAGAGTCCAGCGTCTTCGTTTAGCTACCTGGTGACTGGGGTTCTGTGGAATGTGTTTCGTGGGTATGGTAGAGCGCTGCAGCTGCCTAGCACACCCGAAGCAACCGCTCTTCATCAGATTAGGCCACCGGGGAAGACATTCTGCGAACTCTGCCGACCGAGGTAGGTTAAGTCGACGTAAATACTCGCACTTTGATCGGCCGTGCTGGGCCGGGATAGGTATTTGGGCCTTGGCTGAAGGCCCGAGGGGGCCTTATGGCAAAGGGAAAGCTGAGGGCGACCTACAGATAAGGAACAACTCAGCACTGGTAGAAGCCGTCCTCTCAACACCTCACCACAATCCAATGTAGCACGTCCTCTCTAGACCCTTTCGAAAACCACTCCGAATTGTCCGCCTGAAAAGAGTGACTGGCCACCGTCCCACTTCACCGAACGACACAGCGGCATCACTGGTCACCACCATAATTACCTCCTCTACCATGACCGAAGTCACTGCGTCCATCCCCGACTGGCCGTACATCTGGGCATCCTTCTATTCGGCTACACTCCTCATCATCTCCGTGAGCACGTTCACGCCAGCCGTGTACAGCGTGTGCGAGCAGGCCGGCTTCCCGCAGCCGCGCAACCAGCCACTGCACGTTTACGTCTACCTGTTCGCAGGCTGCCAATTCATGCTTGGACTAGCAGTGGCTGTGCTGGAGGCGGCGGGAGAGTGGAGGGCGGTCAGTGTAATCATAGCCTGCGCGACTCCAATGGGACTGTTGGGCACGTCGCTTTCGGCAACCAAAGGGGGCATGGGATACGGGAAAGCATTTTGGTCCCACGCTCTGCTAACCACGATAGGGACGTCGGCAGGTTGGAGACTGTTGCAGGACAATTGGTGAGCGAGAGGTCTTGCACAACACTTGCTCTGAGGGAAGGTCCCAGTTTGGTTGCATATGGGAGTGTCTCTAGGATGGACAAATCGAAGTCTTGATAGGGGCACCGAGGCTGAATTCGTTGCAAACCCACAAATGTACCTACCTAGGTATTTAGATTATTCAATCTGCTGGACTCAGTTGGCGAGTTCAGCTGCCTCGTTAGAGAGGAACAATCTGTAGAACAGAATTAGTACTCCGTAGGGCGTACTTACAACAACTAGCACCGTTGGCAGCCTCGGCCTCAGTCAAACCCAACCCCCCGTCCCCACCTGATAATAACATTCAAGTATTAATTCCTTAGCCCGCCATTATACCCGGTTCAACATGCACCTCTTCGACACCACAACCGGCGAACTCGGGATATTCTGAGACACACATCGCCCACGATGTAGGATTCGCTATCACACATGGGGAGGCGAAGAACTCTCTACAGTACTGTGTATAAATGCCGCCATAAATGAGGTGCCTCTTCTCACAAACATCTCAGAGGGGAAAGCGTATTAAGCGCTTTCTCTTGCCATCTTTCCTATCACTATATATACCATTATACTCAGCACCGAATCTTGACCTCTCCAAAGTCCATTTCTGTTTCCAGGCCTGAGCACCCGCCGGTTTACCCTGAGCGATGGCTGTGCAACTCTGAGCTGTGGCTGTGCTGTGGCTGTGCAATCCTGCGCTTGGCTTGGTGGGCCCTGAGGCGTGTCGTGAGCAGCGTGAGCCAAGCCGTGAGTCCTGTGAGGGACCCACAACTTGACCCCCGGGTTCCCAGTTTTTGGTGTTTCGCATGCTCGGAAGCCCTAGTTCCGTGCTTCCCTGCTCGGTTATTGTTGCCCGGCGTGCTCACCGGGTCCGCTTTTTCGGCGCAAGCTGGTGCCTAGTGCAGGGACCCTTCAATCGACCAATGATGTAACCGCCTCTTGTGCAGTAAATTTAGGGATCACATGTAAAATCACGTGAATTTCATTTAATTATGCTGCTGTTTGCTTCCGTGTGGCTATATCCAATATATTACTCTCTTTATAGACCTTTGTACTGACAAGACTGCCCTTCAAACTGGGTATCTCCTCGTTAATAGTAACCGCATATTAACTACCACATTAGCTAAAGCGTGACACGTGCGAAATTGGACGCGATGACACCAATGACCGGAGCGGTTAGACTAAATGGTGCCTCGATGACTCAAAGGCAGCCTAGGATGATCTATTAGTCTTCCTTCGCCGAATTTTGGATTCCCTGTTGTGTGGCGGCGGCGTGCATGTCTCATGCCTTGACTGCTGGGAAATGGATTAGGCGTTTCTGGCTCGTGGGGGCCTAATCGGATGAATTATGGTCATGCGGACTGGAAAGCTAGTTGAGCAAGGTAGATTTATGCGAGCAGTGCGTTGGACAACGGCTGTCCTTCTACCTGGCTGAGTGGAGATTGGTAGGGGTTGACCGAACGGACTAGCGATAACGTCGGGTATAACTAATCGATAAGGATTCGTCTAGAGCTATGTAGACGTCCATCCTTAATAAAGAGACTATAATATTGGATAGGATAGCCCTAGCCTACGGAATTTAGCTAGCTAAGAGTATAATATCACTCACTCCACCTAGAAGTTGGCGGGCATGGATCGAGGGACGAGCTAATGGATCCCTAACGATGGAATAAAGGAAGGGGAGATAGGCATACAGTAAACCTTACACTCCCTTCGTCGTAGGCAAACGGGGATAAAGGCCTACATTAGCACCGCCCTCTCGTCACTAGCTAATCTACTCTCGATATTCCTGTCATTAGGTAAGTAAGAATAACTATACGCAATAATTAAATATAGTTAATCACGAGGTGAAGAGTCGCCGACTAGTTACTTCTACGATATTTAGATTTCCGCTATATTACTCGACCTTCGACGGCCTTGCGAGGGACTATCCACTACTAGCGTCGCGCTGGCAGTAGTAGGCCCGAAATAGTAGACCCTTTAGTCGTAGTAAAGGCGGAACAATTAGCTCCTCCTTCTCACCCGGCATACCTTAAAACAATTAGCCATTAGTACCGTTTTAGCCATGGAGTGCTTTAACATCAGTCATTAGCGGCATTGAGTAGAGGATGCTGTGTTCGATTGAACAATGCTAGCATACATGGGTTTATTGAGTGGAGTTAAGCTAAGGGAGATGTTACTTCGATAAAGGGCGTGACAGTGGTAGGATGTTTGGTTAGCTAAAATAATACCTTGGAATAGTGTGTTGGGACTCTGTAGCCCTATTATGATGATCGAGCTATAAAAGAGCGTAGCAGGGAGAATAGGCGCTGGCCTCGTCGAATTCCCACCCTAGGACATATACGCTCCTCGTTCAGGGGAGATAAAAGAAGATGGCAGAGTAGCAGGTATTGAGCATTTTGGCCGGTTATATTGAAATCGCCTGATGATGGAGCACTGCATTATGCAATGTGGCGCTACTGCGTAGTTAGAAGGGAAGTTTTCAACGCGTCTAATGTCCCAAAGTTTTAGGTTTCGCGTGTGTCAATCTACTGCTGCCAAGGTTTGGCGCCTTGGCGCCATGGTGCGACTTTGTCCCTGCTCACCCTGGTGGACCTCTTTTGCAGGCGGCCGTGATTGGTTTTCTGGACCCATCGTTGCGTCACCCGTGATGGCGCCGGGCTCATCCAATAGAACCGCGAACCTTCTCAAAAGCAGCGTCGGTGGACCGCACACTTCTAGGCTGGCTTCGGCTGGCTAGCGTTGCCTGGAGCGGTAAAGAGCAGCTGTCTTCGCTGCCAGCCGCCTACGACTTACACCAAAGCGGCCAATTCTGCCGAGCCCTCACCCTCGCGTCGTGGATAAATAGGGAGAATCCCTCCTCGCTGCTTTCACCGGAGTGCACGTTCTCAAACTATCCCAGCGCCCGTCGCCCTTCCACTCTCAGCTTCGCCTGACTGTCCGACACAAAAGTTGGCCCTCATGTGGTCATCAATCATCGGAGAGAATGACTCAAACTTACTCAAGTCCGACTAACCCCTTCCCACGAATTCCTGCTGCCGCCTCCGCTCGCTACCCCCCGATCTCTCTACGCTAGCCTTTTTGATGCCCTGGCCTCTATGCTCATGACCATCATTGCTGCATCTATACGACCAGTTTCGAGCCACGACCGAATGCAATGTTCACTCTCGTCAGCGAACTCAACATGGAGGACAGTTTCGACAACGTCGCATGGCCGTGCTTCCAACACACTCTACCGTGGGTCGAGAAGGGGCCTGATCTTCGATACAAGCTAATGGCAGAAATACCTCAGCAGGTGGCTGCATGCGGATGATACAGTGGGCTGAGACGCACAACCATTGACCCGCCACGGCGGTATACGCGCCGCACGAACACCGAAGAGCGACCCGGCATCCCTGATGGCATTAGCTGCGAAATCGCCGCCAAGCTGAAATTCTGCCTCGCTATTAGCGATCACACCGTTTTGGGTTTGCGCGACATGGGGGAAAGGGCGGGCTTTCTTTCACAAGAGTGCAAAAGTCGTGGAAAGTGGTGGAGTACGTGCACAATGGGCATCGAGCGATGGCAATGACTTTCTCCTCACGGCGAGGATCCTATACTCGCGGGCACGGCCTCAATACGCCTTCGAGCGGAATTGTGAAAACACATTCACGTTAGGCTAACAGATGGTCGAGATGATGCAAATGTTGAAAAGCAGGGCAACGGATATATCTGAGCACACTGGACGGAGAAGGGAGACCTCACACCAATCGTTGAGACATTCTCCGGGACAACTTTATACCCAGGCCGCAGCTTATGACAGAGCAGCGCACACGCGGAAGCCAGCAAATGCGGGAGAGACCTGAGTGCGAAAAATTGGATGAGCGCAAAGACGGAAAGACAGATATTAGCTCTTCGGTCAGATACATTTTATATGCGCAAAAGCAAGTCTGGCGAAAGAAGACCAAACGATAGGTGGAGGACCGACTACATACATGTAACGTATTATTCTCGTATGAATAAGCTACCAAATAACCAAGTTAGATATCAACCATCAACTTCAAGGGAGATTCCCCTGACCAATCTTCACGATCACCTCAATAGCACCACTACTTCATGTTTCTCCCAGCCTTGCTGTTTCTTTTAGGCACACACTCATCGCCAACAACATGCACCAAGACCCTGTCCTCCCTACCCACCAAGCTGCCTCTATACCCCCTACTCCAGTCATAGCCCACCGCATACGCGAAGAGACCTCCGTCACCATTAAATCCAGTCGCCGTGATGGCCGCCTGTCCCGCTACACCTGTGCTCACATTACCTGGCTTCTGTCCGCTTCCTCCACTGCCAAAACTCGTCGTCTGTCGATCCGTTGCGGCACCAGCCATACTCGACGATGCACTCGTCGCAGCTACGTGCGGGAAATGTTTGAGCCGCAAATGGGCCGCTTGGTCCCAGAATGCAAAACTTCCGTCAGAACCCGCTGTGCTGAACGTACGGTGGAGCGGGTGGAAGCTGATGGCGTTGACCGCGTAGACGTCAGTGCTGGACATCTGGGGGTGGCTACTGAGGAGACTTCTCTGGCTGGTGCTGGTGCTGGTGCTGGCGCTGGCAGGCGTGTCAAACCGGTGACACCTGAAGCTGAAATTCTCGCTAAAAGAGGGTGATTATCAGACCGCGAAATCCCAGAGAGAGTATCGTCTGCGATCATCCCGGGGGGTATGCTAGGACAAGCCCTTCCAGTAGACACAAAGACATGGGATAAACTAGAACATAGACTCGAACCTCGCCCTCTCCGGATTAAGATACACGAACGCGCAACGGCCCTCGATCCCACCCACGGCATAGCCATCGCCCGTGGGAAAACAGCTCACGACACGGATCTGCTTGTGTAGCGCCGTTTTCGTGGTCGTCCTGCATACAGTAGGGTTATTCAAGTCAACCACATGAACTTTCCCCTCGGACGTCGCTGCAGTAAGCAACATGCCGGCCGAGTCCATGGAGAAAACCCTTCCCTCGCAGTTCAGCGATGCGAGGGGCGTATTCTGCCGCACGTCCCAGAACTTGATGGTCTCGTCCCAGGAGCCGGTAGCGAGTATGGGTTCATTAGATCCGGGAATAGTCACGAACCGCACGCTCTTAATAGGCGCCGCGTGCGCCGCGACTTGGATAGGAAGTGATCCGTGCGCGTTCAGGTCCAGGAGAAAGGCCTTATGGTCGGTACTTCCGGTGACGACGTGAGTTCCGTCCTAAAGAGTTGTCGTATTAAACCGTGCGTCTTAAAGCTATTCCGAGGGTCCAGAGAGGGAAGGAGTGATATCGTGGGATCCAGAGTGGATGCTGTACTATACCTTCGACCAGTCGCAGGAGAGGAGCGGCGCGGACAAAGCGTGGGTGAACAGGAGGTTGCCAGAGTGAGGGGAGCCGGAGGATTGGGTAATTTCGTAGACTCGAAGAATGTTGTCCCAGGCTGAAATCGTGAGATGGTTTGACATGGGAGACCAGCGGAGTTCTGAAACGCTGTCGTTCGGTCCGGGAGCGAGCAGTACGTCTGCTGATAAGGATCCAAGGTTCGTCATTGTCGTGATGTTCGTGCACTTAGAGAGTCGTACTTCGGTTGGTGTGAGACTGAATGAGGGTCTACTCGGGTTGAATGCCGGCGCGTAGCAGTACACGATCTCGCGCGGTTGCACAGGAGGTTATTTTATATCCGGATTGGCTATTTGACGCCTCGGAAACAAGTGGACAGAGATTCGTAAATTGAGCCAGGTGCTGTTGGCGAGGAAGGATCCTACGGAGAATAGCTTAAATCCCGCCCAAACTCCGTACGGTGCTTTCCCACATGCATGAAGCTGAAGTGGGGAACCTCACGCGGATTCTACAAGGTTTGTAATCGACATCCCGGCGTGGTGGAACACCCAGCGTGGTGAAATATGTCCATGGTACTTTGACTGCCACAACGCACTGGCACACCATACATTGCTGTTGTTGGTATTTCAAGATCTCTATGCATCTGAAATGGTTTGTGCCATAGTCATTACCAATTTTGTTCATAAATACCACGATTTGATGTTTCTGTGCCCATGTTTCTGGAACCGTACAGAAATCAGCTAAAACTGCTTGGACCTCCTCCGGACGTCAATACTGCTAACTTTACAACTCAAAGACGATAAATACATAAAGTGACCATCTATTTTCCTTATGACGGATTATCAATCTTACCACTATCATCATTCACGGTCGGTGCTGCCGTATACTCCCCTTCAAGACCCCTGCCTGGTACTTGGAGACAGGTTTTGGAACAGCCGAGGACGAACCCGAGTATCATCATGGGTAACATTACAGTAACAGGATCAGCCACAATTAGACCTACCAGCCACAGAAGATGACTTATTCACAATCACGTGCCGTTGTAATCTCCTGCAGCCCGTTGGCGCAACTGCGCAAATAGATGACTGACTCGCCGCAGTGGTAAGGCCTCCAGACAAAGAATCCACCGCCAAATATGACTCGACAACTAGGCATCTGAGACAATACGTGGATTATGAGACAAGAAGCTCAAGTGTATGCGATTGGAGCCTAAATAGATCAAGTGTCTACCAAGTATATAGCCAACTTTAGATAGAAAATCAGAGATTTTTCTAGCAATTTTACTCCACCATATCACATACCAACACCGCCTTACTATTGACACAAATGCGCAAGTAGATGAATCATCCACCGCATTGACTCACCATAGATCCGTGCAAAAAGCCTCCTCCTGTGGCGCTCAGGAATGAGTTTTACTAGGCAGGTTGATACGGAAATGATACTGCAAAGTGTTGGAAGGACGTGAGAGGCTCCTACAGATGGAAAAATGGCCTTTCTAGATCACTTTACTAGCAAATATATATAGCGGGTAGAACACGCAACATTAGGTAGAAAAAACAGAGCATCTTGCCACTTCAATGGACCACCCTACTGCCAAGTAATCACGCCAACACTTACATATTCGCGGAGCAGTGTCCGCAGGTGATTTTGAATATCATAGATTGTGAATCGACATCCCAGCGTGATGAAATGCTCTGCGTTGTGAAATATGCCCAGGGTACTTCGAGTGCCACCACGACTGCCACACCGCCCATTGCTATGATCAGCTGTCAGGATCTCACTGTACCCCCAATCTGTTACTCTACTGTTGTCGCCACTCTTCTTCATAAATACCATTATACCCAGCTCCGAATCTTGACCTCTCCAACATCCGTAGCTGTGCCCAGCCCTTAGCACCATGCTGTTTTTCCTGAGTTATGGCTAAGCAACCCTGAGCAGTGGCTGTGGCTGTGGAAGCCTGATCAAGCGATTGCGGACTCAGAATTGTACAGAATATCTTGAGCATGCTGAGTAAAATCTGAGCCCCTATATTCTCAGTTTCTGCCCGTCTCATGTACTCGGAGAGCCCAGTTCCATGTGCTTGCTCGTTCATTGTTGCCATTAGCCGATGTTGCCTTGTTCTAGGCCAAGATCACAACGGCAGGTGCAGGTGGATAAGTCATGATTCTGTGGTGCCCTCTGACGAGGCCCCTTTGGACAAAGGGGTTCCCAGTTTGAGGCTTGCCTCAGGCTGGATGGCCCATTCCCGTGCCCTGTAACTCGGCTAGTGCTGCCAGCTGGGAGGCAAGGGTAATACAATCAACGTTTCAACCATAGGAGGGCAGAGCAGTCACCATACCGTCGAGATCAAATAGCCCGACTTTCCAAGGAATTTTCGGTTCTGTGTTTAGGGCCACAAACAAATTAGGTGACACTTTCGCAATAAAAGAGCTCCATGCAGAACGCCCGAAACATCGACATAGAAACAGCGGGGTCTACCTATGATTGCGCCATCCGCAGAATCTGAAATCGAGCTTCTCGGAAAATGCGAGCATCGCAATCCTAAAATATGTCGGTGCATATACCCTTGATTCTATACAGAAGACTCTATTCTTGGTGACTCAGCCCTGGGCGCCGATATCATTGGCGAATCTGTTACAGAACGTATCTGAGGATGGAAAGTCATCAACCTGCCCGTGGTGGGACAATGAACTCCCATTCGAGCCCGCGTTTCAAAGCTGCAACAGAAAGTTATACTGATGACCTTCCTACTGATAGGGACGAGCCCTTTTATCAATATGGTATTTTCGAGAATCAAACTCCCCATGTCAATATTTCAATGGACAGAGACGATGCCAATGGAGTTGATGCCACAATAATGTTGGATTTTGGCTCTATCATTAATATCATATCACGTCAAGGACTTGCCTCGCTTAAGCTCCGAGATGACCGTCTCTCCCCGGTCAGGTTAGAAGCCCCATCACCACATACGGGCTCGAAATGATTAATGGAGTCACTGTGAAAGAATCGGTCACGTTAAGACTCAAAATTGCAAGTACAGAGAAGTTTTTCAGCGAAGAGGTTCTCCTGTGGCCAAATGAAGGCCCTTTTTTCGGTCTCCTTCTGGGCATAAACTCAATGATGCAATACCTTCATCTGAAGCGCATACATTGTAGTCAATGCGAGCGCATAAATGTCTAAGTATTAGCCGCATTTCACTCCCAGGTTAGAATGGAGGTGGGAAGAGTGAGCGTCAGTTCTGCAGGCTCAGACTACACTATATCCAGAAATTTAAGCTCCCGCTAGAAGGTGGCGATCGCTTCAGCGAGCTCTCCAGGGTGCTAATAGTGTTTGCATCGATCAGAGTAGCAGTGCCAAGCTCTCTGATGTTACCAACTCTATAAGAGCTTGGTCCCGCGACGCAGTGGAAAGCTACGTGTACTTTGTCGACGTCTAGGCCACGCTATCTCGACCTGGAGATGGCGCAGCGGATGACAACGGCTCGATACGCTTCGATGACACGATCAGAGGACATTCCAGGAATGCGAAGTGGCTTGGACGTGGATGGACGCTTCAGGAGCTGCCGGCGCCCAAGACAGTCTCGTTCTGCAACAATTCCAGGGAGATCATCGCGTCTAAGGCGGAGATTGGGGAGGAGTCGGTGCTGATACCCAGAGCCCCGCTGATTTTTCTTGATGGTAGGGTGTCTATGTTAATCTCTCAGTGCCTCCGAAGTCTCTGGAAGGTGCAATATGTAACCAACCTCTTACAACCACATTCCTCTTCAGCTGCGTTACCTGATTTCGAAAACAGTCGAGTCAATTGGCTTTGCATTCTCATCTCCAGAGTTCCCGTTCTGCACCGACATGGCTTCCCCGTCCATCATGCCGTGTATATAGCATTCCCCATAAAGCTGATAACTGTAAAACCGGTCCTTCCCAAGCGCTCGTTTGACGTTTTCCCTCAGTTTCGCCTCGTACTCCTCCTTCTGCTCTTCGGTCAGCTTTTTCTTTCGTTGTTCTCGTACGAGCTCGGGTTCGGCTTCATGGACGTGGTCCTGGCCTTTCTCCTGGCCCTTTCCTTCCGTCCTTTTCTTCATTTCTGCTTCGACCTCTTTTCGAATGCTCTCCTTTACGTCCCTGGTTCTCTTCTTCCATCGGCGGAAATATCTCAGTGAGAGTTCAAATTCCCGCCAATTTACATTCGGTTCATCCCAAGCATGGTCCTCCTCAGTCATTGCCTTATCGCCTTGTTTTCGCCGCTGTTCTCTTTCCTTTTTCTCCGCTCGCTTGCCGCGCTTCCAAGCATCGAATTCACGATCAATTCGCATGATGCAATACCAAAACAATTCACGGCAATGCTGGACATAGACTTTTCTGTCTCTTATCTTCAGTACGCCAGCTGTCGACTTCTTGACGACCAGGCTTTTCGCTTTTGCCTCCTTCTCCTCGGTATCTTTCTTCCACTTTTTCCGCCACTCTTTAGAGGTTCTCGACCGCTTCCACTCTTCCCGCTTTGTCATTTCCCATTGTTTGTATTTCGCCTTGTCATCCTTCCATTTTTGCTGAAAGAATTCTCGGCGCCTAACATACGCACGATAACACTCTGCCAATTGCTTCTTCAGGTATTGGAGTTCCCATGCTATCTCCCCCTCCATTATTTCTTCTCTCTTTTCCTCGCTCTTGCGAAGAATAACGGGCACGCTGCATCCGTACAGGATGCAAACCTTGTCGCCAGGCTGGACGTTTGGACCGGCTAAACCGAGCTTTCCACTTTTCGTCCTGACCAACGCCCTGTTCCAGATCACGGCCTGCACCCTACGACAAAATTGTGCGATCACTGAGCACCTTTCGTTGTTTATCAGGTCTGTCGTGTTGACGGCGCCACTGACGTAGCCACCTTTTTCGAAGGACTCCTTACACGCCCGTGCGTAGTATACAGGCGGATTCTTTCCATCTCTTCCCCGATCGGCTACAATCGTGCGCCAAAACTCATCCGGCGGAACTCCAGTCCCAAGAGGCCAGCCCCCGAAATCCGCCCACTCTGATGGAATGGCTCCGCCTTGGGAGGAATTCTGGACTTTGTCGATGGTGTCGAATTCAAATCCTTTGACGTACAGGCTGAAATGGTTTAACCCGTTACTGGTTCGTTTCCGAAATCTGAAAGTCTTCATATCGATCTTCTTGGTCTCAGCAGCATTGTAATTTCTATGTGTCAGACTGGGAAGGCCAACCAAGGGATCTGCATTTTTGCGACCCATCTTCAAGCCAGGAATTCCTGCCTGTGAGTACATAGCAAAGGGTGCTCCGGAAAGCTGAGGGATCCAAGAGGCTAGTGGCATGTAGTGGTTCTCTGTGGTAATTTTTTCAACATCCATGGTTGGGGTGTTGGCTCGCTTGCGCTTCTGCTTTCTACCCGCCTCTATCTGGGGGTTACTTGGTGCAGTATTTGCTTTGGGGCCATGAACAGCTGCCCTTTTCCCAATCCTCTCCTTTTTAGCCTGTTCTCTTTTATTAGCCTTGATTTTTGCATTTCGTCGTTCTAAGATTTTCGTTCCTCCGTTGCCCAGGGTCGGAAAAGGATGTCAAGTGCTCGACTGGGATCAGTGTGAAGGGAGCGATGGATACAAAATTGGATGAAGTCCTTGCACACATCGACATAAGGTTGTTCGTAGTCAACATTGAACCGTTTCTTCTGCGTGAATCTTTCGAGTACGTCCTGGGTATGATCCAAGTGCTTGCTTGATATTTGTTGGGCTCGAGGAGTGGTGTCTCTCGCAATTGCAAGCAGTGCGTATATGGTGTCATGTTCAACGGTGGTATCAAATATAGACAAGCTCGAGACAAGGTATTCAAGGCCCAACAATGGCTGCCCTCTAATTATCTGGGAATTTACTGTCCCGTCCAGACTACCGGCCTCGGATTCACCGTCTGTCAAAGCTTCCAAATCGGAGTCCATGTCGAGTTCGGTGTCCAGATCAGCCTGTCCGACTGGAGACGTCGTGGGTTGCTGCAGCTCTTTGTAGTCTCGAAAGAGGCGTCCAGTGGCATCTACCAACAGGCTCGCACCCAGTGCTGAGACGTATTCGAACCATCCAGGGACATGATAGTATCTAGGGTCCTTCTTCATCACCTCTGAGAGTCGATGTGTTGCGGTTTCGACTTCGACAAATAGCTCGACCGCTATTGCGAATTTTCTCCAGGAGATTTTATCGCTCCCGCAGTAGATAAGAGCCCGCTGGGCCAGTGAAATTTCCTGAACTACCCAGCGGCGCGAAAACCATGGCCGTTGCATCAGTTCGAGGAGTGCATTCCACTTCGTGGTGTCTGCTTTCTTGTCACATAGATCATCAAAGTTTTGGAGTTGGAGGACTTCATTCTTGATGAAGCTGAGTGCTAACCGACTCGATTTAGTAGGATCCCCAAGCCAGATGCAGACACGCTGGGCCTTGCCGTAAATGATGGACATCATTTCTACCTGGTGATTTTTCTCTTCTGGGTGAAATTGATCGATGCATACTGCATCAATCCAAAGGTAGCGGTCATTTTGGTAGTGTCGTAGAGCCTGCAAAGCCGAAACGAGATCAGGCTGGACGTATTTCGCATAGATTTTGCTGCCTTTCCGGATATTGATGTAAGCGGTCTCAGACAGAGGTCCCCAGCACCAGGATAGTGCCTCATATGGGCGTGCTATTTCATTGTCCAGAGAGGTTTGTATCAGTTCACACTCGACCTGGGGGTTATTAGGGTTGCTAGAGAAGAGCTTGAGCACACGGATAGAGCTTCCATTCTTGTCAATCGGTTCATAGTGGGCAGACGTGTACTCAGGGGGCCTTTTTGAGCTTCTTTGATGCTTAGTTGGAGTGGATGGTGCAATCGTGGTTCCTTCCACCCCTACGTCTGTGAGGTATCTTTCCTGTGACATTGTAGACCACAACAACTGATAAAGGGACGCTGTACGCCCAACGCTCCAGATTGGTGGGGTGATCCGCAGATAAAATCAAAAGATAAGCTCTCCTTCCCGGACCTCTCGATCTTCGTGTCGCACATTTCGTTTACTGCCTCGGTCAATCGCTTTCTCTTCCTCCATGCTAAGGCCATGTGGGCACTGTGGTCTTTGTTTGATTGGTCGCTAAACTGGCCTGCATTGCTCAGGGTGAAAAGCTTGACATGGAGGCGGTCATCACGATAAGGCTGGATATTCCCGTTAAGCCAATTGATTCATCCCTTTTCATGCCAGCACTACGAAATCGTTGTGGCTGCTCTCTGAGTTCGTATAATTTGGTCAATAGGCTGATCTCGAGTTTTCAGCTGACAGGCTTGACGTGGAAGTCAGTCGTCAGGATAAGGCTGAAAAGTACAGTTTCGCCAATTGATTCAACCCTCTTTCATGCCAGCACTGCGAAATTGTTGTGGCTGCTCTCTGAGTTCGTATAATTTGGTCAATAGGCTGACCTCGGATTTTCAGCTGACAGGCTTGACGTGGAAGTCAGTCGTCAGGATAAGGCTGGACATTACTATTTATCTAATTGTTTCATCCCTATCTTATGCAAGGCTGCCGATCCGCCGTGGTTTTCGCTTCGACTTGTATATTTCGGTCACGGGACCGAGCTCGGACTTCCAGCTGAAAAGCTTTGTGCGAAAGGTCTCGCCAACGATTTGGGGTAGATATCGGCACAAATGGACGCCGTCAACAATACTGGTATATGGACGGTCTTCAATAGCCCTGGCTTTGGAGGTATCCGTTGTGGAGTGCTCACGGGTTAAAGTAATTTACACGTGTTGGAGTATGCTTATTGTAGAAATATGAAAACATGCCCAAAGGCTTGGGTGTACACGAGGAAGAGAGACAAGCTAGCAAGCGAATGGGAACAAGAAAGCCCCTTCAGGCCTCAATTAGGGCAAAATATAGGTTAAGGTTGTACTATGAGTACATTACCATCTAAAAAGTGGGTGTAGCTTTGGATCCGCAGCATTAGGCAACGAGCGGTCCCTACATGACAGGTTCACTGTGGGTTCAGCCCCACCTTGAGCGGACGTCTGTTAGAAGGCCGCAAAAGGAATACAGTGAGAGTGTAGTGCTTTAGTACAATTATACAGTGACACCCATAGGTAAGCTTTGGATTTTGAATCTTGGGGACGCGCAGTGGGGTGGGGTGAACCCTGGCCACTCTCTAGCGGCCAAGGCTGAGCATAAGAACGCAGTCAAGTCCATTGAAATGGGGTTTTTATCATTGATGCTACATGAGGCATCAGGTAGAGAGAAAGTCAACCCCGCCACCATCGGCTATAGGTCGCCCGCTGCAAAGTCTACTGTGTATGTACCGCGTTGGGTACACAGCAAGCACATCTCATGATGCTATTAAATCAGCTTCAATTTGTGTCAGCTCCTGAATATGTCGGACATAACCGCACCATGTCATTACGGCAGAACTCACTGACACTTCTGTCACATCCTACAGCTGTGCGCGACTCGAGAGAGAGAAGTTTTCCAGCTGCGTGTACATGTTATTTGCGTCTGTCTCAGGTAGCATGTCGATCAGTTGCTGAATCTTCTTGCATGCTGCTTCAAGAATCGTAAGTGTTTGTTTGTTGTGGGCGACTTGCTGCTCGGGATCGCGCGGAACAATGGTCTTCATTACGTCCAGGCGACTATGTCCCAACCACGAAGCTGTTTGTGGCCGTTTGAGCCAGGCTATATTGTTCAAGTTGGTCTGGAGCATGACGAGGGGAAAGTCAAGAGGCCTGTTGGGCATTGGGACAGGCCCACAGAGCTCGTTCTTGATCTTGTCGTCTTCGTAGGTTGCCTCGACATGAGCGATCATTGCCGCGCTGAACGTCTGCTGGCAGTATCGGACGGGCTGAAGTGTGATGTTGCGGCTTCGGAACACAGGCACCGGAGGGAGCTTAGGGATTCCTCCAGCCGAGCAATCAATGTAGAGTGTGTCCGGTTCGGGTTTATAGCTACCTTGTTCGAGCGTCACTTCTTCCCGCGTCACACTAGTAACATGGCCTTTACGGACAACAGATTTGATCTCCTTGAGTGCCTCAAACTCAATTTGTGATACCGTGGCGCAATGAAACATAGTAGGCACAACCTTCTCGTCCAGCTGAAGTAGGTTTTGCTTGGCCGCCTGGCGTTTTAGAAAATCTTCTAGCGAGGAGGCGGCCATAACTGACTCGACCGAACCTTGGACAAAAGCTCCGACTTGCGCGGCGAACTGAGGCCCCGGCTGAAATTTAGACCGGTCCAACAGATATGAATCGCGTGGTCTAATCCACGTGATTTTAGAGGCGTTGATGCCATTCTCCAGGAGCCACAGGCAAGCGTCCATGCTTGTTTTCCCACCACCAACAACAGTATAGCATTTGTATCCACGCGAAGCTTCAGCAAGATCGTTGGGTGTCACAATATCCACCTCGCTGGCGACGTCGTATGGAGCTGGCCGCATTGATGGAACAACAGTTCGGCTATAAGTCGCATCGACAATGCATGTGTCCTTGGCGACGCGGTACGTTTTCCCTGTCAGGATGGAGCGAAACTTGCCCTCCTCAATGTAATCGCACTTGGGGAAGTATTGGACCCGTCCTGAAGCTAAGAATGTCTTCCTCATGACCCTTTCGAAATAAGCACACACGTCGTCGCGAGATGAGCAGTCACAAAGGCCCTTGTTCCAGCCGAACTCCTCGATACCATCGTGTTCGAGACGCGTCGAGTTCACGCCGTACGAAGCAGCTGGTTGGTGTAGGCGGACGAAGGGGTAGGCAGTCGTCCAGTGGCCGCCTGGACGGGCATAGCGGTCGACCATAACGATTGTTTTCTTGCCCTCGGTGAGAATGGTGTCAACGAAGGCCATCCCCATAGCACCAGCGCCCACAACAAGGTAATCGGCCGCTATGAGCTCATCCATCTTCCCTGTTGTAGAAATTGGCTTCAGTAGAAATGGCGATAACACAAGAGTCAAGAGAACAGAACATAATGCACACGTCCTTTGGCGTTTTATCAAAATGAAGAAGCCTAGTCAGGTCAGATCGGTGGCCTGAATGAACACGTAGATTCCGAGACCTTCCTCCCTACCGAGTACGAGTACGGCGAGAGCTGACAAGTGGAGCTAATAATAGTCTTGAACAAGGAGCCGCTCTTTACTTGATGTTAGCTGTACTGTGCGTTATTGCATATCGTCTGCAGTAAACGTCAGCTCCTGTAAGCTATTCTGTAACATACGACAGAGAGAGAATCGGGGAAACTTTACGAGGCCAACATAGTAAGGTGGTGTGTTAAGTAGTGGATATGCTAGCTAAGAGATTGGTGGTGGAATGAGAGTAGCTGGGTTAGCTAGTGTGTGGAGGATCAGATAATCGTACTGATACTGTGTACATAAAGGCAGCGACTTATTCAGTGAGGCAAATTGGTAACCAAGTCCTATTTTGACCTTGGCTGCCGTTCCTAGCGGTGAATAAGCACCTCTGTTTATGGGCTTCAGCCAGTAGAAGTGACAATTCTATGGGGCAGGTATTGGCCTAGATCTAATCGAGGCCTTGGCTGCGCGTAAGCCTACAACGATCATTGCACATAGAAAAAGTGTCAGTCCAAGGAGACTTTAAAGTGGTGTACGCAAAGCCTGCTTAGTTGAGGAGATAGGAAGGCTACTTTTTAGGAACAAATAATCAAGGTATGAGATTTCTGCGATAGGATGCCGTATACCGGGCGCTGTGTAAGTTCCAATGTTGCAAAGGAGCTAGTGCTGTTGTTGCATGCTCCGCATGTTATGGTGAGATAGTGAGCATTGCAACCGGGATGCTTGGATGGATTATCAAGTGGGGATGGGGACCTTTCGTAGTGGTGGTGCTGATCATGAGGCTGCCAAGGGTGTGTGCGTGTTGTAAAGGCGCTGGCTCCGGGGAGGCTTCGGCTTTAGCATTTTGCCAGGAACCTCGGAGAGTATGTACTACGACCCTCGAAATAGATGTTTGTAGTATACAAATTGAGACTGCAAAGGAACCGCAACAATGCGAGGCCCGTATCGCAGCTCGTCTCATTTCATCATGTTACACAACCTTCCCACCGAGAATTGTGCTTGTTAAATATTTTATAACCAAAATACAGCCTTTGCAGGCAAGAGGGTATCTTTTTAAAAGTCGTCATCAGCTGTCCTCCCCGGTTTGTGCACCCTCAGGTTTCTGATGGCTGCCGTCCTTGATTCCTGGGGAATCATCAGCAGATTTCGTGAGCGAGCCCGGTATGGTCCACTCCCATTTCCTCGTTTTCCTTTTCGTCCTTCTTTCCGATGTACTCCTCGATCGCTCGTGCCGACCGCGACCTTCTGTACCAACACCGGCGTTGGACGTGGCTCGAGTTTTTCGTTTATTTCGTCCCGGAGAGGATAGTTCGTCGACCCGGATGAAACGGTGTTTGCCTTCGTCTCCGGGATTGTCGAGTCGCTGTAAAGATTCCTCTGATTCTGATGACGCTGTGTCTTCATCTGAAGAGGAGGTTAAATCAGCATGACGGGCGACATACTCCTTGGTCACAATCTCCTCCTCCAGGACTGGTTTGAATGATACCCGTTTTGGTGCTGGGAAAAACATCCTTCGACCATTGGTGCGAGGGCTTGCGCTTGCCGTGGCCAGCGACGACCGCCGGAGATCCGGAAGTAAAGGACTATTTTTCAATATGGGGTATACTCCAAACGGTAAATTTAAAGCATAAGGTGATGATGGTTGGAGATTGGTTGATCTTCTCAACAGACTCGGTCCTGGTGATGGGATGGTTGACACCGGGGACGGTCTGTACGTTAGGTCGAAAGTGTTATTGAATGTATTTAAAGTTGTCGGGGTGGCAGTAGTGTGAGCGTTGGCGTCGTTTCTCCCCGTCGTCGAGGCGACATATGTGGGCGCCAGATCGGAAGTTTTCAGAGACAGTTTGGGCCTCTGAGATGACATAGATGTCATGGACGCCAACCGGTTTTGAAGAGGTTCAAGAGGGAACATGGGAAGAGTATTAATCGGATCTATTCGAGATAAAAGATGAGGCGCTGCCGGAGCTAAAGACATGGCAATCATGTTGCTATGTGCTGGCGACTTGGACACAATGGCTGAACCACTCATCAAGAGCCAGAGGAGGTCTAGGCTATCTTCTCCTTTTGGAATGACGTTTGGCGCGCTGAAAAGAAATATTGATGGCGGGGCCAGAGCCGCTAAAAGGACTTTGGCTGCAGATTTAATCGAGGAAGCGAGAGGATAGGGTGTGGTGTGCATACACAGTAAGCACCAGGACGAAGGCCAGTCCAAATAGTACAACGGAAGGGATCGTACACATGGGACGGAGTTGTTCTCCACCCAGGGATGAGAGATGATGGTATCAGGTGCCTGGGAAGCCTCACCTCAGCACCACAATTGGAATAGGGACAAATAGTGACCTCGTAGTTGACTGTTCAAAATGGAGGGATATAGGCAGCTGATATGGCTGGAGGGCAAAGTGTTCGCAAGACCCTAACCAAAACCGCGTCATCCGCGTAAAAGCCACAATTTCTTTCCAAGGTGGACGCCACCCATACTTGGTACTCAAATGGCCACTTGATTTCTCGCACATCACCGGCCTGAGGAAAGAACGGACTTGCCGCGTGTGTGCGTACGAAAATGGCCAACGTGCGTATCAGAAAAGACAGGGATCAATTTCTATCTGTAGGGCTGTTGGGGTCTGGACAAGCTGGGGTACCTCAATAGTATACCGTACAAAGTATCGGCTAAGATACAGATCGAAGGACTTTGCGAAGGACACCGGACTTCCGTCGTATTGGCGGAAGACTTTGGCATCCAAAAACTGCGTTGCTGAGATCCATGACTTATGCTCTTGAGGGTTAGCAGCAACGAAGGCAAAAACATGGTCTGCGAGGAGATCGTCGCCATTGTCCCACAGGGCTACACATGGCTCTATTTCTGGCGAAAGCCGCCCGACTAGAGGGTCAATAGCGCAGGAGACGGGGCAAGTTGAAACGAACCAGCAAGGAGAGCCGTTAAGGAGGGCGGCTGAGCGCTGCGATTGGGGTCAAGATGACGGAAGGCTTTCTGCCAAATACGATTGCGAGCTGGGATGGTGGACACGGGGTGCTCCGTATCGCAGAGGTGGTTTGAAAATAGCCACAGGTGAAAGCTTGTACTTGTGTGGATGGTTGGGCATTATTCGGCTCGGAAAAATGCTAGGTCCGAGAGAAGCCATTTTCGAGAGAACATGCGAGTTGCTGGAAAGGGACACCTGTTGCTTCGGTCATAACCCACAGTTTTCTTCCTAGGCACTAATTTTGACGCCGATGCCTTCCTTATTCAAGGTACTCCGTACCCACGTACCCACGTACCAACGTACCTACAAAGGTATCGCGGTCTCGCCTTCGCCAAGCCACAAGTATTAGGGTACATATTGGCTGAGCCGCTACGTACAGCCAGTACTACCGGGGTAGGACGAATGTGCCGTCAACCGCTTGGAGACCTACAAGTGGGAAGTGTTTGCGAGGTGTGCAATGGCATTGGTCCATCCTTAGCTGGGTATTTAATTACTCAATTCATGGTATCGATGGTGCGCAGCCAATGCAAATACTGGAACGCATGCTTGACAGTACTCGCAGCGCTCCACATACGACCGGTCACTATCTTCAGAATCCCATCCTTCTGCAACTTCATCTAGGGCTAGATTGGCATTTGATGCATCTATCCCTGAGCTGCCGCATTCCACACTAGAAGCCTCCGGCACACGCGATGGAAGACCTTGTATCAGATCTGATTCGACGGTGACTCTGAAATCTTTGAGCAGCTCATCTTGATGCCGAAACATTTTCCCAATGTCCCGTCCCTCACTGTCTTTCGTCTCAGCTGCGGTCTCCGCCATATTGGTGGCTGCAACATTGATCAAGCTGAGATTCCAGCCGTTGGTTTCGTGTATTTTGCGAAACATCGGGATGAGCGTCTCCCCTACCAGTCTTTCAGCCAGCACAAGCGTACGTTCGTTCAGGCTGAAGACAAAATTTGGCATTGGGCCTGACCTGGAGATCCGGTGAAATGTCCTTGCACGTGTGCCGTCAGGTCCTGGCGGTGGACGCGGTCTGGTCGAAAGGCGAAGCGTACGAGGATGAGCCATCCATCTCCGTCGTGTACCGAGACCCTTCTCGTGACCCCAATCCTCGTCATCCTCGTCGTCCTCCAAAAGATCCATGCGCATTCGCTGAATAAGCCTTTCGCTGAGAAGGGTCAACTGCTCCTTGACTTGCTCAAACGTGTGTAGATATTTCATGTAAGAATCCTCTTGACTGATCTGAGAAGGTACTCGTTTGGTCTTCCCAACCTCGGAATCATCGATGCCATGAATCAAGTCCCACACCTTTCCTCCGATCCCTTTAGACGATCCAGGTCCTCCCAGGATAGCCTCAAGCAGTTCAGGGCCCATCCCGGCATGTGAACGCACGTCCCGGACAGAGACAGACTCTTTGGTACCTCCGTAAACGAAGCCTTGATCAAAATCAGGTGCACGTCCCAACACATGGGATCGTATTTTGTGGGCGAGCTTAAACCCAATTCCCGGTATCTTGCCAATATCATGATCATCCAAGAATTGTGTCACATTGCTATCGACTTGTCTGATCGACTCGTATGGAGGCACAATCGTCGTCTGGTTCTTCGGTTTGTTGACGTTGCCCACCAGCTTGGACAGAATTTTGTTGGTTGCGATCCCTACCGTTGATGTATAACCCTTGTCCGATTCCAACCCATGGCGCAAGTGCCTAGCAAGATGGGAACCCAGACACAAGCGCAAACTCAATTGTGTATCACTAGCAGTGGCAGTCTCTGGTGAGGCGGCAACTTTGGGAAAGGTGGGACCGAATACTCTGGAGGCATCGTACTCAAATCCAATGGTAGGGTCGACCTTGTCGAGGCAGAAAAAAGAATGAACTAGATCGTGGGGGTTCAACAATTCCATATTGTAGTCAACCATGTCGGTGCAGTCCAGCCTGCGCAAATTGTTAGGTAATGACATTCACTCGAAGCAGGTTCCTTTGACGTACCAGACCTCGTCGAATCCCAGCCGCTCTGCTCTGCCACTCCATATCGACTGCTGCAGGAACTTGTAGAGGTCTTTGGAAGCGTCCCGGAAACGAGTCAAGTCCTCACCCAAGATGATGACCACTTCAGGGCAAACCTTTTTGGCTTCAGTGATGAGCTGAAGCTTCTGCAGGCCACGTCTTCGAGCTTCGTAGTTGCAGGTAACCACAATCTGCTTCTGCTGGATGGCAAGAGGCACTGATTTTAGAGCAGGGTTCTCATTCTCGACGACTGATGCGTAGAAACAATCATAGTCGAAGTGAATGATTATCCGGTGGTCATCTCGCCGCGAACCCCGAGCCTTTTGCATTGACATTACATTGGAATGACAAGATCATGGTTGTCTTGTGCAACGAAGTCAGACTCAACAGAGTATAGTAGGTCTTGTAAGTTGTGGTCGAACGGGGTGGAAGCTGAGAAGGAAAGGTGCCTGCGGAGGGTTCATTTTCTGTACAGTAAGCAATGAGCAAAGCGCGTGGTGCTGCCATCAGGTCACGTGCTATGTACCACGTGCCGCGGACCTCCCCCTACGTATTCTCAACCCGCGGCGCGTCCTCCCCAACTGCCCATTGCCCAATAAACAAATAATAATAATAATTGAACCCCAATTCGAACGCGACCAAGATAAAACATCTTTCCCTGCTCCTTCACCCTTACAGCATTGTCACTCTACATGTATTGCCGACACCACTTACGCTGACATCGGCGCATTTGCGCCATACCCTATATCACGTCCATGTCTCAAGTGAACCCTTCCTTTCCCGGTCGGAACGTGTACTCCTCCTCGAGTAAACTACCTGACCGAACTGCCTTGAAAGCTGGCAGCGCTGCTGCCCAGCCATATTCACAATCTTCTCTCGGACGACGTCCTGACCAGCCATACCAATTTGGTCAGTCGGCTACAACTCAACAGCATGGCGGGCCCAGACCCAACATGGATAAAGAACCCAATGCGCTGAGCGAATTGAGCGAGGAACAGAGGGATGAGATTAATGAAGCAGTATGCGCTTCGTGGGTTTCTTCTATTCTTTGACCAACGACTGACACGCATGTGACCAGTTCTCCTTGTTTGACCTCGATCGAGACCGTCATCTCGACTACCACGAACTTCGGGTTGCAATGCGATCGTTGGGATTTACCGTCCCTAAACCGGAAGTGGCTCAAATCATGCAGGCCCACGGTGTGCCAAAGCCACAGTTTAAAAGAGGTCCTCCAGGGAGAGGCCAACAGATATATCATTCAAGCCAGCTTCTAATACCGCAAAACGCGTTTCAACGCGTCGCGGCGCAAAGAGTGTTCGAGAGAGACCCGACCGACGAGGTGGAACGTGCCCTATTGTTGTTCGATCCTGACCAAAGGGGCTATATCGAGGCTGAAGATATTCGGAGAGTGTCGCGCGAACTCGGAGAAACGGGCCTTGAAGATGACGAAATCCAGGCAATGATTGAAGAGTTTGACTATGATGGAACTGGCAGCGTTTCAAAGGAGGCCTTTTATGCTATATGTTTGCAATGAGCTACCTTTGGGCCTTGTTTCAATTTCAAGCTTAACGACGTGATGACTGGGAATTGAGAGAAGGGGCTTTGGAGGTTGATTGATCATCTGTGCCTTTTTCAAGGGGGGACCATGACAATTCGGTCCGAGGTTGCTGCCGTTGGAACTGTTGTGTGCGCTGAAGCTACTACCAGGGCAGCTGGACAGGACCCTCCTTCGCCTTACCTTTGCCGACGACCACATCCCAGTTGCCGATGTCCCGAGTGCCTCTAGGAGCCCAGTACGTGCCAGTCTTGTCGATGGAAAACTCCTTCTCCACCCAATCGGCCGTTATGCGGGCAGCATCTTCTGGTTCGAGAGCACCGCCCGCATCCCAGAATTGGTCGAAACCGACCCCCTTGGTCATTTCAGTCCTCATGAAACTGTGCCAGTCAGCATTGCCCGCCCTGTGACGAGTGGGTTACCATGGAAATAATGACCTTGGATGAATGGAGACCACCGCGATATCTTTGTCCTTGAGATCAAACGACAGCTGTTTGGCGACCATGTTCAATGCGGCTTTTGAGCCATGATGACCAAAATTGCCTCCACCTTCCTGTTCGTGCCTGAGGGTGATTGAGCCCGACTCGGACGATACAAGCACCACCTTACTACTCTTGGATAAGATGGACGACTTCACAAGCTCTTGTACCACGAAGATAGGGGCAACAGCCGAGAGAGTGTACATCTTGACCTCCTCCTCCCATTTGGCCTCACCGAAGTCCTCCGTCGCAAAGTAGCCAGCGGTGATGATCACTGTGTCGACGGTTTTGCCCTTGAGCGCGGACGCGAGATCAGACCCGGCACTGGGCTTTGAAAGGTCAATGTCTGGAATCCAGGATATTTTATCTGCTTTTGGGTCAGATGGCGTGTTGGAGGAGCGAGATGTTGCGTAGACGGTGTACGACAGCTTGGTGGCATAATATGAGGTCAAGGCCAATCCCAGGCCTCGAGTTGCCCCAACAACTAGAACGGAAGGCATATGGTCTGGCTCGAGCAGTGAACAGAGAAATATTTGGGTAGATTTGAATAGGAAGTTCTCAGTGTTAGGATCAGAGATCAGGGATGGTCGTTGAGAGCGAAGAGTCGAAAAGCAACAGCTTATAAAGTACTCGTAGGATCACGAATTGAATTGCTCTGGACCTGGGATATGATGCATGAAATATATACCTAGACTCCAACCGAGAGATAGTGATGTAAAATGGACATTGTGGAAAGCACATCATCAGCAGTGTACCTGTCTGGAAGGGGGTGCCCCTAGACTTTACTATGAGCTACTACTACCAGTGGTGCTGCGATAGGGAGCGAGGGGTTCTTCAGGCTACGTCATTGCTGGTGCTCGCGCCCGCGCTTCACTCACCGAACAGTCGAAGAGAATAAATTGTGGCCAGATTCATCAAACTCGCGCATTCACCCAACCTCACGAAAACGCACGCCCTTCTCGTTCCAGGAGATCCCAAAGATTTTCGGATTGCTTTTGGACTGACAGACGCCTCGTTTATCATTCTCCTGTCCCGTCCTCGGCCTGCAAATCGCGTGCAGCCCCGAGCAACATGACCAATACGCCCGACCCCGAAATCTCAGTGCCTGAAGAAGAAACGCCAGCTCAGCGTCAAGCGCGGATTCGAAGACAGAAACGAGAGGCCAAGGTCAGCAGCAATGCCACTGAACGTCTCGACAAGATCACGCGGTTGAGCGGGCGTACTCCAGAGAGCAGTGAGTATACCTTGAGCCACCGCAGATGAGAAGTCAATCCAGAAGTGCCTTGACCAATCATCGAGCATGGCGCGTGGAGGAATTTCTCACAGCTGGTTTGTTTCACCATGGCTTCGAGACTGATGTTAGACTACAGTGCGCAGAGAGTCTCCTGTCCCGACCCCACCTCGAACGATCACACCTTCGCCGCTCCCGTCGAACGAGATTCCTGATCCCGAACAGATACGTTTACAGCAAGAATATCTAAGATCAATGCTGAGGCAACCACTACCCGACGGGTCAGAAAACCAGACGCAACAGGAAGAGGATCCCTTGATGAAGATGATGCAGGCCATGATGGGAGGTATGGGAGGCGACCCAAACAATCCCAACATTTCTGCGGGCGGTTTGGGACTGGGAGCCGGACTATCTGCCGGAGATCTGTCCAAGGCTACTGGACTCCCGCCATTTATAGCAGACAAGTTGTTTGGAGGACCAAAGGCGGTGCCCAGCAAAGCCGAGATACAAGCGACGAGGTTCTGGAAAATGGTCCATGTGATTTTCGCCGTGATGGTAGGCCTTTATCTGGTGTCGAGCCTTCGTAAATCAACACTAGCGTTTGGCGAAAACCCGCCGGCTCCGGCAACCTTCCAGAATCCGTTCATCATGTTCGCGACTGGCGAACTGCTCCTTCAGACCACCAAGGTGGCGTCCAAAGGTCATTCGGGTAGAAGCGGGTTTGGGTTGTGGATACAGGTAATTAGAGACATCCTCGGCGACGGGGCGATACTTGTGTTTCTCATGGGAGCCGCAACAGCTCTGAAGATACTGTGATAAGCCTATGGAGAGGCTGGGCTGGACCCTCGGCCTTGTGATGAGTGTCCATTTCGGCTCTACGGATTTGGCGATGGTTCTACTAGTACGGAGTGCCTAGGTTGCGGAGTACGAGTACAGAGTACAGAGTAGACACCACGCAGCCTGAATCTGAAAGCGGACTCTGCTGTTTCATCCCGCTTGACAAATTCTCTCCAGCCCTCACACCACTGCCGTGGACAGAGCGCGCATTGAACATGAGATCCCCCAGCACTCGACAAGCCGGTGAAGCACATGATTATCCTTACTTAAGGAATGTCTGGGGCATCCGCAATCGCTGATCGGAGATGCGGAGACTTCTCACTGTGGCAACTGTCAGGCCCCAAGACGCTTCATGTGCCTTGAATGCCAGGGTGTCGACGAGCCTGGCCGCCCCCCAAACCTCGCACATCCAGGAGTACTCCGTAGACACAACGGCGCATATGATGCAACCGATGGTCGACGGGATAGGCCAAGCAAGACATGACGCTAGATCGCTGGCGAAGCTGAGGTGAAGTCCATTTAAGATGATGTCAAAGAGCGACCTTTCTGCATCCTCACTGGTGACTGGTGACTCAAATTTCTTGGGGATGCATGGCATTCATGGCATTCGAGGGCAATTATTTATCAAACGGGCGATTTCCAGTCTCCTAACATGTACGTCAGGGTCTGGTTAGGGACGCCCCAAGCAAACCGCCGTAGGCTCGTAGCTGATCGAGGGTGATCAACGCAGGGACTCATGGCGGTGCGGGGGCTGACGGAGTTGAATCGACGGAAGTCCTGTTGGCTGGAGGCGTCGAACTGGCCGGCGACGCCCCTCCACCCTATCCTCCATCTCTCCACGATTATTTACCCGAATTTCCCTTGCGGTTCACGGCCACGGAGGGCACGTCGAACCCAACGAAGCTACTTTCCATTCGGCCGGGGGAGACTGGCAGGGGTCCTGCAGACCTCTGCTGCCGCGAACCGACTAGCTGACTGACTTCTGGCCTGTGTTTACTACTTGCGAGTGTGTGTGACGAAATCCATTCTTACCCAAATATCCACAGAGACCTACCTGCTTTTCGCCTCCACTCGCGTGTCCTTCAAATAACACAACTGCCCACCCATTCCTGTCACCGCCCTCTCGACCTGTTCCTCTCATGCTCCTTGTTCCTTTTTAGCTTACCCAGCTATTGACTTGAACACGTGCCTGTAAGCTCAAAACCATGTCTGAAGGTGACGTCAAGCCTCCAAAAGGCCCCGTCGTGGTAAGCAATGCCCGTCGTGTTTTGTACAGTGTAGGAGCCCCGGGTCAAGTGCTAACGGTGAGGACAGCACGAGGCGCACGAGGTCGACACTTTCCAGTGGGTTCCCCTCAACTCTTCTCACAGCGAGAGAGAACGCTGACACGCTTCCCAGTGTACCCAAAGCTTTCTTCACCAAGGGCCCCGGCAAGGCCCACATCAAAGACCTCGACGAGTACTGGTCTATGTACAAGGAGTCGATCGAGAAGCCCGATCAGTTTTGGGCCCGCATGGCCAGAGAGCTGTTGACCTGGCAGCAAGATTTCCAGACCGTCCACAGTGGCTCCTTGGAGAACGGCGACAATGCCTGGTTCGTCGAGGGGAGGTTAAACGCCTCGTACAACTGTGTCGACCGCCATGCCTTTAAAAACCCAGACAAGCCTGCCATCATCTACGAAGCCGACGAGCCCAACGAGGGCCGCACCCTCACCTACGGAGAGCTGCTCCGCGAGGTCTCCCGTGTTGCCTACGTCCTGAAGCAGATGGGCGTGAAGAAGGGCGACACTGTTGCTCTGTATCTACCCATGATTCCCGAGGCCGTCATTTCCTTCCTCGCAGTCACGCGCATTGGTGCAGTGCATTCTGTGGTCTTTGCCGGTTTCTCCTCGGGCTCCTTGGCCGATCGCATCATTGACGCCAATTCCAAGGTCGTCATCACCACCGACGAGGGCAAGCGAGGTGGCAAACTCATCGGCACCAAGAAGATTGTCGACGAGGCATTGAAGAAGTGCCCCGACGTGTCCCACTGCTTGGTCTACAAGCGGACCGGCGCCGACGTGCCCTGGACCAAGGGCCGAGATTGGTGGTGGCATGAAGAGGTCGAGAAGTATCCCAACTATATCGCACCCGAACCCGTGAACTCCGAGGATCCTCTGTTCTTGCTCTACACATCGGGCTCGACCGGCAAGCCCAAGGGCGTGATGCATTCGACCGGTGGCTATTTAATGGGTGCGGCGGTGACGGGCAAATATGTCTTTGACATCCACGACGACGATGTCTTCTTCTGTGGCGGCGATGTGGGCTGGATTACCGGCCACACTTACGTCGTTTATGCCCCTCTCCTCCTCGGTGTTGCGACGGTCGTGTTTGAAGGCACCCCCGCATACCCCAATTTCTCGCGATACTGGGACGTCATCGACAAGCATTCGGTAACTCAATTTTACGTCGCCCCGACCGCGCTGCGTCTCCTCAAGCGAGCCGGCGATGAACACATCCACCACAAGCTCAGCAAGTTGCGAGTTCTAGGGTCGGTGGGTGAGCCCATTGCCGCGGAGGTCTGGAAGTGGTATTTTGAATCGGTTGGTAAAGAGGAGGCTCACATCGTGGATACCTACTGGCAGACCGAGACAGGTTCTCATGTGATTACACCTCTGGCTGGTGTGACACCCACGAAGCCCGGCAGTGCTTCTCTGCCCTTCTTCGGAATTGAGCCTGCGATCATTGATCCGGTCTCCGGTGAGGAGATTCAGGGCAATGATGTCGAGGGTGTCTTGGCATTCAAGCAACCGTGGCCAAGCATGGCGAGAACAGTCTGGGGTGCGCACAAGCGATACATGGATACCTATCTGAATGTGTACAAAGGATACTACGTAAGTGCATATGCATACGTTGTGGCATTGGACGATGGCTAATATGACGGCAGTTCACCGGCGATGGTGCTGGTCGTGATCACGAAGGTTACTACTGGATCCGAGGACGTGTGGATGATGTTGTCAACGTCTCTGGACATCGTCTGTCGACCGCAGAAATCGAAGCCGCGCTCATCGAGCACGATGGCGTGGCCGAAGCCGCCGTGGTGGGCATCAACGACGAACTGACCGGCCAGGCGGTCAACGCCTTCGTCTCCCTAAAGGACGGCACCGACCCCGGCGAGGGGACGCGGAAAGATCTCATCCTGCAAGTGCGTAAGTCCATCGGTCCATTTGCCGCCCCCAAGGCCATCTTCATCGTCGAGGATCTGCCCAAAACTCGATCCGGTAAGATCATGAGAAGAATCCTGAGAAAGATTTTATCCGGTGAGGAAGACAGCCTGGGAGATACATCGACTTTGAGCGATCCTAGCGTCGTGGATAAGATCATTGAAACAGTCAAGTCGTCGAAGAAGAAGTGAGTGAGAGAGCGAATACAATGATTGCACGTGAGAGTGAGACTGTTAGAGTGTGGCACCTGTAAGGATATACCCGGATTCCTCTGTTCCCTCACGCCTTTGGGTAGTTGCAAGCTTGGGGACATGCAACAATTTCTTCATAGCAAAATGAAACATATATGAACACTTCAAGTGAAATTATCGGTAATTCTGGTGCGAATTTCACATCACCGTGCTTCTGCCTAGTCGGTCGTCTGCCTGAAAAGACGATGAAACGGCCAAGTTTCCAACCCAGGCGGGCTGTGTACCTCGTAGACCAATCTGAATTCTCCTTGTATATCTCGTCATTGCAGCCTGAGGGTCGATCGAGCACTAGACCGTGGGGTTGACGATTCTGCGAGACACTGTTGGGTGATACAACGGCCAACATCAGGAGAGGAAGGAGACTGGGTGGCAGACAACGTCGAAGCGGCTGAGTCATCACTATGCGCCTTGGCAAGCTAGTGTCTCTTTAGGCCTAGCCCTGGAAGCTGAGCCTGCAACAATGGGCAGCACCAAAGAACACGCCGCAGTCTCAGACATACGATCTCCCTCCTAACAATTCCCCCATCTCTCGAGGGCGCGTTGCGTTGTCTCTGTGCTCACGCCGCCATCAATCCATCAGGTCAACCCGGATTACTCGAAGCATACCCGCCCCCTAGATCTGACGGCACTCTCTTTTGAGAGCTGTTGCCTGCTGGGAAGTCGTGTGTAAGGGTCTCGCTTCAAGTTTTCAATTCCGGTTCTTCTGTCTCTGGTCCCCCGGCGCGTCACACTGGAGACCTCAAAAAACTCACCTCGACCTATAATATCTTCGGTCCTTTTTAATTCTCACACTCCTTTCTTGAATCTCTTTTACACATCTCACCTTCGCGAAAATTGCGAGACGCTCTTCCATTCCTGCCAATATGTCGTTTGGCAGTGGGGGGTTTTCCTTTGGTGGAAACAGTAATAATCAGCAGAGCACCTTCGGGGGCTTCGGGAGTAACAGTAATACCAACACCGGTAAGTCAGGCTATTTTTCGTTGATTCGTCTCCATTGTGACTGATTCTCAATGTCCGTCTTAGGGTTTGGGTCCAACAACACAAACACAGGCAGTGGTTTCGGAACCAGCACCAACAATCAATTTGGAGGAAGCACTTTCGGTTCCAGTTCTGGAGGAGGTACGTGACCGACTTCACTGTTTTCCACTTCATCATTGTACAGGCAGTGCACTGCGCAGGCAGCTCTACTATCTCCGCGCTCCTCTCTCCCTTCTACACACTATGGCTGCGACTCTGTTCTACGCTCTTTCTCGCGCTTCCTTCTCATTCCTCGTCACGCGTCCACCATGTCGTTGGATATCTGGCCCCTCATGGAGCGGAAGTGCCTGCAACCCACAAGCATGACATCGCGCACATCTAATTCTCGCCCCACGCGTGCCACCGCGGAAGAAGATGATATGGAAATACTGACAGACGCAAAAACACCAGGTTTCGGAAACGCAAACAATTCCACCTCCCTCTTCGGCAACAAACCCGCCTCCAACCCCTTCGGTGCCAGCACCAATTCTGGTACTGGCCTATTCGGCAACTCCACAAACTCTGGTGGCTTTGGCACGTCCACAGGTGGATTTGGGGGGAATAACACAAGTGCCTTTGGGAGTAACAACAATAATGCCACATCGTCCTTCAGCTTCGGAAGCAATGCCAATAAGCCTGCGTTCGGCAATACCACAACCGCGACCCCTCTCTTCGGGCAAGGTGGTTCGGGAACCACCAGCGGCTTCGGTGCCACCAACGCTTTTGGCTCTGGTACAGCTCTGAGCAACCAACCCGTCCCGCCATCAGAAGGAACGGCATCGATCCCATTCGCTCCGCACATCGAGAAGGACGGCACAGGCTCCACCAGCAGCGCGTACCAGAGCATTGTGTTCCAGCAACCCTATCAGAAGTACTCTTTCGAAGAACTTCGTCTAGCCGATTACAACGCAGGAAGACAGTATGGCAACAATACAGGGCAGGCCGGCGGCTTTGGTGGCAATACCTTTGGTGGCTTTGGTTCAACCAACACAAATACTGGTGGCTTCGGCAGCGGCAACACTGGTGGTGGTCTCTTTGGCAACAATGCTACATCTGCATCCACCGGGTTCGGAGCCAGCAATACCGCAACGACGGGATTCGGTGGCGGAGGCCTGTTCGGCAACAAGCCAGCCACTGGTGGACTGTTTGGATCGCAGTCTAGTGGCACAACTACGGGTGGACTGTTCGGCACTGCCAACAATACCCCCAATGCCGGAGGATTTGGATCTGCGTCTGGTGGCAATAGTCTCTTTGGCAACAACCAGCAGACCCAGAATAAGCCCAGCCCGTTTGGAGCCAATACTACCACACCCGCATTCTCGTTTGGGAATACTAATGCCAATGCGAACAGCACCGGCACGAGTGGTGGACTCTTTGGTAATAACCAACAGACCAACCAAAGCAGTGGTGGTCTTTTCGGAAATAACACACAGCAGCAGAGCGGTGGATTGTTCGGCAACAACAATCAACAACAGCAGCAGCAGCAGAAGCCGCTTTTCGGCACCTCCACGGGAGGCTTCGGGAACTCGACGACCCAGAGTCAGACCGGAGGAGGTTTGTTCGGCAACACCAACACACAAAACACTGGTGGTGGCCTGTTCGGTGGCAACAACAATCAACAGACCACCAACACGGGCACTGGTTTATTTGGTTCGAACACGAACACCACTGGTGGCTTGTTTGGTGGAAATAACAACGCCAATAATGCTCAGAAGCCTGGCGGTCTCTTCGGGAGCTCGTTCGGAAACACCAACACCGCCAATACAGGTGGTGGACTGTTCGGTAATGCCAATGCCAATCAACAGCAGTCTGGTGGTTTATTCAATAACGCCAGCAACACCAACGCCAATTCGGGGTTTTCCTTTGGCATGAACAACTCGACTAACAAACCTGCCTCGACAGGTCTGTTCGGCAACACGAGCACGAATCAGTCCGGGGGGTTGTTTGGAGGATCGAGTTTTGGTGGTCTCGGCGCCTCACAGAATAATCAACAGAATGCTCAACAGCAAGCGGATTTCCGAGTTTCGACTCTGAATGACCCCAATCCTTATGGACAGACATCGATCTGGACGGGTCTACCGGTGCCAACACCTGACAATTCCAAACCCATCTTTACTCCCTTGACCGCCAGCCAAAAATTGAAGGAGAGTCAATCCAAACCCCCACCGAGCCTCCGACTCAACCAATCTCGTTACATGACTCCTCCGCGTCGACCCGGCTTTGGATTCACATACTCGACCTATGGAACGCCCAACAGTGCGGCTAGTACGCCCGGCGGTGGGAGTTTGAGCAACAGTATGTACGGCAACCGCAGCTTCAACGGAACTAGCTTTGGGGGCAGTATTGGACGCTCGTTCGGCAAGAGCGCATCCGTCAACAATTTGAGGTCCCAGTTCAACATAGGTGACAACGAGGGTGTCTTGAGCCCCAATGCTTTCAACAACCCCGGGCACACTCGTTGGTCGGGAGGTAATATGCGTCGCTTGACTATCGATCGAAGTATTCGCAACGACCTCTTTAGCCGCCAGTCGCTGCCTGCATTGCCTGCGCCAAGCCCGGCTGAGAAGAGCGTCAACAACAAACCCGACTCGAATGCTACCAATGGCGAAACCCCTGTAGAGCCAACCAAATTGAGGAAGCGCGTCAGTTTCGACAAGGAGATCACTGGTGGTCAGAACGGCACTTTGAACGGCGACAGCGGCGCGCTGGTCCGAACTGAAATTGACGCTGATACGCCTGAGCCCGAACCTCGAAGCCGAGCCGTCAATGGAGCCGCGACACCAGATCCCCAACAAGCCCGAGGCAATGAACTGGCTGTGGTCCCCGAGGACCGTGCTTCTGATCATGTCAGTCCAAAGAAATCCGCCGTCGAGGCGAAGCCTGATCCACAGCCTGGCGACTACTGGATGAAGCCGACACGTGCTCAGATCAGCAAGTTGCCCCGTGACAAAGCTCAGGAATTCGTCGGGTTCGAGGTTGGTCGAAAAGGTTGTGGCCGCGTGACCTTCCTGGGTGCCGTTGATTTGACAGCTCTGCCGCTGGATGATTTGTACGAGAAGATTGTCGAGATTCGTCTTCGCTCGGTCACCGTCTATCCAGATCCAAGCACCAAACCACCCGTCGGGAAAGGCCTCAATGTTCCGTCGATGATTTATATCGAGAACTCTTGGCCTCGTGCCCGAGGTCAGCCTTCATCCGCTACGAGCGGTCCCATCTTCGACAAGCATATCAATCGCTTGAAGAAGATGCAAGGCACAGAGTTCCAGTCCTATGACGTCGCCACCGGTGTGTGGGCGTTCAAGGTCCCTCACTACACCAGATATGGCTTAGACTACGACGACGACGATGATCTCACCCGGAGCCAAATCTCCCTTCCACCAGACTCCCTCGACGGCTCGCCGGTAGAGAATGCCCCAGGTATGGATGTTGACAGTGGGGAAAATGATGATTACGACGACGAGGACGAAGATGACACTTTCGCTTTCAAACAAAAGACCGTCCCTGGCGGCTTCGGCAAGCGTTCCCTGATTGATGATTTTGAGGCGAGGGCGCCCACGCCTCAGGAGCTGGAGGATGGCCCAGGGTCTGACCTGGAAGAAGAATACGAGGACGAAAACAGCGACAACGAAGTCAGCATGGCGGGCACCTTCCCTGCTCCCGCAGTCATGGAGAGTCCCAACAAGCCGATCCTGAAGGCGAGCCGTATAGGCACCCCCGGCAAGCCTTTGATCACCCTCGACGGAGACTGGGCCGAGCAGCTGCAACGCACCATCAGTCCTCGAAAGCAAAACCGCGAAGCGCTGCGCGACGTCCAGAGCAAAGTCTTACTCGACCGTACCTTCGAGCCCATCAAGCCACGAGGCGTCATCGGCAAGGGTCAACTGAACACCAGTATCGACATCATGAATTCCCTGTTCACCAGACACGAGGAGAGAATGACCAGGGGCGGAAAGGGACAGGCTGGGCCGGACTTCGAGGTTTGATTACTCCTTTCTCTCTCCCTGAAGTTTCCCATTGCACTCTCTTCCCCCACCACGATCATTGTTCCCACGCCCAAACAGGAAACCTATAATGCTTGAACCCCGCGCGGTATGTGTTGGATGAATAGGATTTGACGACGGTGAGATGATATGGTACTGGCCAGACACGTTCGACAGATTGTCACGAGCCCCGCGGTTCAAGAAAAAGTTCATCATGGGTTTTCTATTCCCCCCCCCTTTTTTACACAACACAACACACATAGTCTGTAGGTAGTCCTATTGGAATGAAACACATTTGCTAAACAATTTTATTTCTTCTCCATCTAGTTCCCTTATGCGAAGCGCGCGAAGACCGTTGATGACGATTCCGAAATGGCCGCGCACGATAAGTCATGGCATGCCTCTTTCAAGCCTCACTTCACGCCCACAAATGGTTTGATTTACAAGTCGAACGGTGAAGGTGATCACTCCGAAGTCGGGTGGAATACGGAAGGTCTGGTGACGGACAGCCGCGGGAGGAATGTGGTGGCATTGACTTCACTGCGAGGCAGTCTGGACCATGTCAGTTGTTACTTGCTCTTGAATTTTGCACCACTGCCTACTCCCATCTATTCCTTATTGATTCGTCTGTCTCGACACAGTTTGACACGGGTTCTTTTCTGACTTGCACGCGTATGCACAGACCACATCGACCACTCCCATGAACGTCGAATCTCTCCTGGCCGATGCTCTAGTCATCGAGCGCGACGGCATCCCCTTTGTCGAGCACCAGGCCGTTCCTTTCTCGCAGACGAAGAACCGATTCACGCAGCATCACACGAACCAGACCGAGCTCGACATCTACGAGCTCGCGCACGTCTTGTTTGATGACTACGAAGACGAATTTTCCCTTGGTCTCAGCCGTCAGCAGCAGCAAGAGTACGTCGGCAACATCCGCAAGGATCGACTCACTAAATATCTCTCGACCTTGATCTGGCGGCGCCATGGAGACCGTATACGAGCGTCCGAGAAGTCAAATGCCCCGACCACCGCGATATTGTATCTCACGGCCAATAATATCAGAGCGGCGTGTGATGCGTTGATGAACGAGAAGGATTTCCATCTCACACTGTTGGTGTCTCAGATTGACTCTGTCGATAACACGGTCCAACGGGATATCGGCGACCAACTCGCCGCGTGGCGCGACCAAGGCGTCATTTCCGAAATGAGCGAGGAGATTCGAGCTTTGTATGAGATCATCGCGGGCAACACGGGCGTCTGCGAAGGCAAGCAAGATGTTCCGGTTGAGAATCGCGCTTCAACTTTCTCGATCTCGGAAAAATTCGATCTCGATTGGATCCAGGCCTTTGCGCTGTCACTGTGGTACGGACGACAGAAGGGTCACGGGATTCAGGATACGGTCAAGGAGTTTCAAGATAAGGTCACCAGTCAGGAAGAGAGTGCTTCACCGTTGGATGAGAGAGGAAATGAAGATCCATTGTGGGTTTTGCTCAAACTTTTCGCGACACAAACGAAGGGCCATGTCGGCGGGCTAGAGAAGCCGACCTTCCCACAGGCGCTTTCGACACTCGCTGCCCGCTGGAACTCTCAGGTTGTTTTCCGCCTGTACCACGCTATTGTGTCTACGGTTCCCAGTGTCAATGTTGATGACAACAAGGCCGAGGAGCTCGCTGTTTCGCTTGCGTTTGAGTGTAGCGCACGTGGTGATGTTGTGGGAGCCGCCTGTGCCCTCTTGCACATCTCCGATCCAGGTGTCCGGACGCAATATATCAAGGACCTTCTCAACGCTCATGGCGCAGTCCTATCTGATCCACCAAAGTATGGTGCGGGAGCCCAATCACAACAGAACCTCTTGGGCGTTCTCGAGCAACGTCTGAGTATCCCGAGCACGTGGCTGTACGCGGCTAAGGCCCTCCACGCCCGCTCCGCAAACGACTCCGTAGCCGAGCTGTCCTACCAGATCCTAGCGAAAGATTTCCCTGCTGCCCACCAGACCCTGCTCCTGCGCGTGGCTCCACGGCTCGTCATCGACGAAAACTGGACCGTCCTGTCCTCCATCCTCAAGCAGTTCGGCAACAGCCCTGAAGAACATATCGGCGCGATTGCGTGGAGCGAAGGCGGCGGCGTCTATGAAGCTTTTGTGGTCCTGATGGGTCTCGAGGAGTCAAAGAAGGCACACTCAAATCAAGCTGTCAAAGCGGAGAGGGATGCCCTGCTCCACCACCTGCGAAAAGCACTGACCATCATGAACGCCAACGAGACCAATCTTGGTCCGCTCGGGAAGGATAAAGAAAAACTCGAGGAACGAGTTGCCTTGAGGGAGATGGGCAGAGCCGTTGCGGCGATTCTCAATCACGAGTCTGAAGGCGGCCAGAGATCGCTTTTGGAGAAGGTACGTTTCATTCGATCTTGAAAGAGATAGAAAACCATGACCCCCCTGTTCCCCGCTGTGTGTTCCGGATGGATTGTGGTTGTTGAAAGCTAACAAGCCACCCCTTGTGGAATTTGCAGAAATCAATCCTCGATCTTCCTCTAACTGCAGATGCGCGGCTCAGCCATGCGACTGCGTTGGGTGTCGACTATTACCGCGGAGTGATGGCCACGGCGCGATGACGAGGTTTGCGATGCGATGCGATGCGAAGTAATGGCGTTCCGGGAGCTTGGAATTACTACAGCTTGGTCTACTCGTGGCGGTGACTCTACTTTGACAGAATGAATGCCTTTTGCGGGTTGAACGCGAGCGTGGAACCCGGCACACACACACACACACACACACACACACACACACACACACACACACACGCGCGCGCGCGCGCGCTTGAGGGAAGTTGTGAAGTCTATTTGTATGAGTATCAAACGAGGCTAGGAATGCAACTCTTTCGGACTAGACTAGACTGGACTGGACTGGACTGGACTGGGATGGGAGACGTGAAAGCTGACTGGCAGGTGCTTGGCGTGCAATGGAAAAGCTTAGATCAGAATCAAAATGAAACGGAAGATTGCTTCTTCCCTCGAATTGATGAATCACTCTTTCCTCAAATGAATAGTCAGTATGCCGTCTAGGATTACTAATTCCCTAAGTTCTGTCGAGGGCACCGGAGTATTCCCAGTCCTCGTAAGCATTCGCTGGCCTCTCAGTTAGAGATATATGTACTCGTAGCTAAGGTATCGCATGTATTTATGGGTCTTGTGAGTGTCAGCGACGGGAGCGAAGGGAGTAAGAAAAGCGCAGGAAGATGAATTCCAACGATTAGCTGAGCACGTGAGCCCAGTCACGTGATTCCGTGATTCCGGGCTAAATTAGTCTGGGAGGATTGGGAGGCGCCAGCCTTGGGCTAACTACAATAAGGCTAAGACGGATCTAGTGGCTCTCTCCTTTCCTATGTCCTTCCTACTCCGTACACTCCACCGAATGGGCCACGCTTGTTGTTCCGACCTCCATTTTTGCGAGTATGTTGCATCAAATGGCTTATGAGCACCGCCTGCGTGAGCGGAAAACGCGCGAGTCGCGGCCTATCACTCTTTTCTTGCGCGACTTGAAAGGCGCGCGCAGCTTCCCTTTCTGGTCGAAAATACGGCTTTGCTCCTTCCTTCCTACCCAACCAAAGGCGACTGCTGATCAACTCCTCTCGCTCAAAGGCAAATTGGTAGGCTCATAGATGCTTCAATCCATTTGAATTTGAATTTGGAGCATAAAATTAGCGAGTGCAGAACTACCTGGCAATCTAGGCAGCTTCGATTCTTCTCACATCGCTGCTGGACCACGAACACCTCTTCCGCCATCAAGTGGAAAGATGACCGCAGCATCTTGCAATAAGGGTTTTACCATGGAAAACTCTGTGGCCTGTTAACACCTGCTGGAGCAACCCTGCCTTCCGAATGACTGTTTCGTTGCACATGATGTAACCAACTCGCAGGAGAAATTTTGGTCAGCCTATGAGTTGAAAAGACCTTGGCTGGCTCAACCAACGCCGCCCAAAATCTGTGTACGAGTACGCCATATACTTGGTTTGTGGATTTACCAGCAGTTCTGGCAAGCACATTGCCACAGTCCTGTGGGGAGATGTCAGTCACTTGGTCATGAGCTAGTCCCCATGTCTGGGGTGACGCAAAAAGCCAAAACGTTGTTGGAACACTAATTGAAGCTGAAACCTCGGATAATTTTGCAGATATTGAAGGACACGACGATCGAATTTGCTGCCAGTTGGGTCTAGCCACACCATCGGACGGGCCTTCGACGCGTCGATCAACTTTGATGACGAGGCTGGTGCGTGGCATTCCCAGTGATACTACAGAGATACATGATGCATCGCTGAGGCGCTTTCGACTGTTTTGGATTTCAACCTCGCGCTCCCTGGTCCGCAATGCCTTCTGTATACCAGCTATCCGGCATTTCTTAACAATGCGATCGACCGATCTTGGGTTGCTAAAAGCACCAGGACCCCTTGCCACTAGCAGCGGCATTCAAGCTCGGAGCCTTGACCGCATTTGATCTCGACTTTGTCCAGTACGACAACATATCACCATGATTGGCTTTTGGAAGACAAGCCCACTGCCCTGACTGACCTAATTCTCACTCTCGCGATGATCATAAAGCTTATATGAACCACGTTAGCAGCGGCTAGGGCGGAAACTCAAAGGACCCTTTGGACAATAACCACGTATTTATTGTGGCTAGTCATCCTGTTTTGGCATGATTACCAAATCACGAGTACAGGATGAGTGATGGCTTTCCTATCTGCCCAATGATCAAGTTCTGAAGAGGACTAAAAGATGTTCAATGGCTACCTAAGTGAACACATTGTTCTTTTGGGAAGGAGTACGCATGGACGCTCAACTTCATCTATCTCAAGACACTAGCTCGAATTATTCGTCGTGACTCAGAAATTGCTCACATCCTTTGGTCCGATCGGAGATCACGCGAGACTGGAGTTCAAAGAGGTGATGCAATCTCCATTGCATTCCAGTGGTGGGCCAGCAGATATGGACCCCTCTCCATAGAATAAACCTAAATGGGGCTGACAGTTTGGGTCAAAATTGTAAACTTCAGCCGCCGCGAAGTTTATTGAGCAGGACAAAAATGATCTTCATAGGGTGACCTCTCAGGTTCAATAACCAGACTGTACCACCTTCCTTACTCCGCTTGACACCACAGCAGGAAAAGTTAGCATCCTCATCTGTTGTGAAAATCGTACGGATTTCAGTTCTTTTGCTATCTATGATGTTCAAGACATGTCCACGGCTGGTGGTCGAGGACGGGTGCTCAAAACGGCAAACATATGCGGTCGTCTGCTTGTCTATATAAAGGGAAGGCCTGCTCGTCCTGAGGTGGTGTTGCTCTCAAGATCAATCATTCCATTCTTCATTCCTTGCAATTCTCCAAATACTATGAACCACTGGAAGGACCCCAGTGGATGAAAGCAGGCACATCCAGTCTCAACAGCAAAATCAACCGGCACGCTCGAGTCACGCGGTAGACGGCAGTTACCCACCTCGTTGAAAGATTTGAGGTAGACTTCCCGTGCGGAACACGGGGCGGTGCAACCGTCGATGAGTATTCCCTTCACAGTGTGGCGAGAACGCCAACCAGTACGAGCTTGCTAGCGAATGCGAGCAGGGACACAGCCGACATCAGGGATACACTGATAGCAAGGAGTCGAGGCGGATCCCTGTTGTTGAAGATGTCTTCGCGTGCATCCGCAAGTAAGGAAAAGAAACAGTCAAGACGATTGAACAGTCTGGTGAATGAGGATCATTGTCTTCATCCTTTCATCCATTCATTCCTACCCCACTGATGTCCTCGCCCTATCCATAACCTATCTGCAATGTGACATATGCTTTCTCCTCTCTGGTCAGGCGCCATCTTTCCTTTCTGTTGTCCTTGAATCATTCACTTACGTGTGAGATACCCAGGGTCAGTCCATTCCCTTCACGTGCCCCACATCCGCGCCTTACACGTCCATCAGTATCATGAGCAGACTTCCTACACTGGCCCCGAACCCCTCTAGTGTGGAGCTCGCACAACGCCTCCGGAGTCTGCGACACGGGTAGCAGGAACCTCCAAACAAGAGAGTAAGCGGGATACCGATGGGCCTTCCGTCCAATGCACATCTTGTCCCGGCCGTCGCTTGCTCCGCCGGGATGCTCTCTCTCTCCCTTGCACCCGTGGCCATATACATACCATAGGCCCACCGGTTTCTTTCCCTTGCTCTTGAGGCGCGGGCACAAAAGCCCGAACAAACACTCCCGGCCAGCTACTGACTCGCAGCAAGCAGTGCTTCCTCTTCGCCCACCTCTCTAACAGTGACCTTGGCGAAGGGTGGCGGCAATTGAGCGATGAGATGTCGTTCAGCCTCGCTCTAGATAAGCGCCAACGCAGCACGCAGATTTGGTCCTCAGCACTGCATTCTCCTGCTGCTACTTAGGCCTGTTCGTGCAAAGCAAGATGATAGATCCCTGGCAGCGGCCGCATCATCGTTATCATAACTATGCCCGGCCGGGTTTGGGTTGGTCACCCGCTCGTCACCTCAACTGAGTGGAATTGCAAAATGTATCGAAACATCCCGATGCCCAGAGAGAGGAACCACGAAGGGGTTGCTTCACGACTCACAAATCCAGCAAACCGCTAAGTCTGGAATCTACGAGCCAACGACCCTCGTCGAGTTTTTATCTATTTTTTTATTTTTTTATTTTTTTGGCAGTCTAACCAGTACGGATTCTTTTCATTGGATTATCCCTGCCATTCCCATAGAAGCTTTGTTTGAATTTCCAGAAGCCACGCAATACTAACGTAATATCACTCTCTTTACTTCATCCAACGACCCCAAACCCCAAAGAGGCCCCATGTCTTCTTGTTGCACCTGAATACTGTTGAAAGAAGCCTGAGGTTCGAGTCCGATGAATTTTAACAGAGTGCATAACTCAAGCAAGGGCTCACATGTCAATTTGAGTGGTAAGAGCTTGTTGACGTGGGAGCGCCCGTATTCCTGCCAGCTCGTCGCACAGGAACGTGGGCATAGACAGGTTTGACATATCAAGCCATGAGAGCACACGCGTGGTCGATTTTAGCTCAGATCATCACCTTAAAAGCCGAGCAACTCATACTTGTTAGAGCGAGCGTGAGAACCAGGAGAACACGGCGTGTGTTGTACTCTGCTGAGCTCTGGATTCATCGACAGAAACGGGAAAGCTTATTGACAACATCACAACACTTCGTCGATCAAAGATGTGCCAAGAGTCAAGATTTTAGCTCAAACCAAGCTTGGTTTACAAAATCAATTGTTGAACACCATGCCGCTGGAACCATGGCAACTGTTTTGATGCCAAATAGGTCCAGGATTGGGGAGGGGCAATGTGTGCATGCCTTGGGATGATGCCGTATTTGAGTATTGCTGATTGTATAGTGGTGGTACGCTGGGAGCATGCGATACACTGTTCGTGTGTTGTTGACTGTAGAGTGGCGGCATGCTGTTACTGTGAGTGGCGTTGTATGGCATGGTTATGGTGTATGGCATGCTGTTGGTGTATGGCATGCTGGTGGTAGGCATGTCATCATAGAGACCTGAGCCACTCGACAAGCTGGATAGCTGGCTAAGAGGTGCGAAGTTACCAGCATTACCACCATGTCCGCTCATCATAATTCCCATGTGACTGTCCAGGCCAGATACCATGTGGTTGCTATGACAATTACCAGGAGACAAAGCGTTCTTCATGTGAGCATTGCTTGGGGACATCATGTTGCTCATGGGTTCATTCGGTGGAGACGACGAGCTGTTCGTATGACTGTTGAAACCAGACATCATACCGTGGCTAGTATTGCTGGAACCAGACACCATACTGCTCATATGATTGTTATTCATGTGAGTATTCATACCGTGGAGGTCCGGACGTCCGAAAGAAAACAAGGCCTGGGAGGCTTGGAAGCCCTGGTGATTGTCCACAGGAGCCGCCTGAACACCCCAAGGTGCTATGCCTGCCTGGCCGGAAATGCGTTGTCTCGAGTCTTCGAACTCTTGATTGTCGAGATGGCTTGTGTGGTTTCTTGAATAAGTTAGGCGGTGCATGATGCTCTCCCCGCGTCGATTTGGTGGCATGCCAGGCCCAGTCTCGGCTGGATTGACACCTTGTGGTTGACTGAAAGCAAGTGGGCCTGATGCTCTCTCCGGACGCTGCACAGATCCCCAGCTTGTTTGGGACTGTTTGCGCTTGTTCCTGCACTTCAGTTAGCCTTGACCAATCGGACGGACGAGACAGGCAGACGTTGGTTCTTTGCGGATTCTAATCTTCACACCGCATTCAGCAACTGACCGTGTCAATTCAGTGGATGCTTTTGAGATTCCCATGCCTTTAGCTTCCCTGATGGGGAATGATCCGCTGGTGGTAGATGTCAGGAGTTTTGCATATTGGCCTAGGTCACCGTCATAACGAAGTTCAAAGAGAACGAATTTGAGGCGGTAAATTCCCAGATATTTTGGGCACAGATCTCCAAAGATGAAGTAACCGCATTCTGTTACAGAGAATCAGTCCGTGGGCGAAAGTGACGGCATCTCGCCACTGACCTTGGTTTTTCTCTGCCTTCAGTTTGTGCAGAGATGAGACTAGAACCCCTCCCAAACCACCATCAATCGGAGAGCTCACTTCATCGTTGGCAACGAGTTCAACAATGCAGAAAAAATGCGGGTTCGACTGGTGATAGAGGTTGGGATCCGCACCTCCACCCTTGAGTCGGATAATCGGCTCCGGGTGTAGGCTACAGGCCAATGGTTTACCTGTAACGGTGTGAGCAAAGTTAGAAAAGGAACTTGTCTGATGGTGATTACCTTTTGACTTTCCAACGTTGACTCGACCATCGTCAGGGGACTGCGCGATTTCTAGGTAGTAAAGAGGACTATGATGATTCAATCTTGTCAGTTCTGATGTAGGGAATGAAGGCAAATGCTGCATCCTGTCTAAATGTCGCATGCTACCGACCTGTCGTGATGGGCCCTCAAAGCGTTGAATTCGAGCAACTTCAGTGGTGGCGCTGTCCATGGTCCCGCTCTTGTCTGGTCTGTTTTCTCCTGTATCCTTTCCCTGCTCATGTCTTTGCTAGCAGGAGCTGGTCTTTGAGAGTCTCTGCTCTTCTCAGTAAATGATGGAGGCGTCTTTCTGCTGGGTGGAACAGGCATGAGTTCTGTGAGCTAGAGACCGCTGGGAAACGGTCTGTTGAAATACTTGACACAGCGTTGATCTGTTGATTGACGCTGGATTCTCCAACTTAGAAAGGACCACCAGCGTTGATAGATGAAGAAAGCGGTTGGAGGAGAGGAAATGAATGTTAAAATTGTGAGGATGGATGAATGAAAAATGGTTTCTGATGGAATGTTGGCACGACAAAGATGGGATCGAGGAGCTTAAAATCCTTGGTTTTGGGCAAAGAACTAGGTGGGAAGAAGGTGCGTTGCTGCAGTTATGGCTGAAGGGAATGTGCGATTAGGGCTCACTCCTAGTATTGTAGATCAAATCCTCATGAGGACTTCGTTGACCAGGTCGGAAAAGTCAACAACAGAGCTAGTAGAGTGAGTGCCTTGATTGTGAGAACATGGTACAATCAGAATCGTGAACTGATACCAGCAGATACCGGCAGTATGGTCTGGGTGGATCTCGCAAAGCTGAACGATCTTGATCGAGCGATCAGGTCCGCAAAACCACAAGGCAACCTTCGATTTGAGTTGAAGAAATACTTAGTCTCCAATTTGACCCTCTGATACAGCTTTACTGGTCGTTAGGCACTTGTTGGTGCTGAATTTCAAGGCTGTCCTTTTGCTTCGGACAACGATACAAGACGTGGTCAGAAACTTTACTTTCCAGGTGCCACTGAGAATTATCTGGACAAGGTCGCAAGGTGACAGTGGCAATGCACATCGAGAGGGCTTTCAGGGTAGTAGACAGCAGGATTGCATATCCCAAGTTGTAGAGCTGTAGCTGTCGTAATAACCAAGGGTATGTGAGGGAAAGACCTCGGGTCCTCGATAGGTAGGTGACTGAATCAGAGTCGGGAGGAAGCTCAGAGTATCCAATAAGTCCTTGATCGTCCTTCAGGGCGGCCTTTGCCGTCTTTATCAGCAAATGCTGCCGTGGACATCAGAAACACGCTTCAGATCTAGCTGACATGAGCGTACGATATGTAGGCTGACCCAATTTGAGGCTTGAGCAAGCAGTTTTTATCAGATGCTGTAGGGCAAGGGCTCGAGTGGTCTTGTGGAGCGATTGATCACAGTTGTTCTGGAAGAGGAACCAGGTTACCGGGATTTGCGCTGATTCTCATGAGTAGAAGGTTGAGACCGGCGTTCCTCTGCAGTCGCAACCGTGATCTCAAAGGATGCTGACAATCCGAATCGGGAAATTGTCTCGAGAGAACCTCAAGTACAAGAATGCGCAACAGATTAGCGAACAACTTCTTGGATGACAATAACGTTGAGATATTGTTGAAGTGCGAGTTTTCACTCTTCAGGCTTGCCAGCGCGCATCGTTGTCAGCAGTAAATGTGATCTGCAGGCTCTGCATCCGACCCTAGTACTTGGGTCCCTTCAACCAGCTCTCCTGCTACCACTTTTGGTCACACCCTCTACACCAAAGAACAGAATTGGCCAGCGCGCAAGATGCAGCGAGAAGCCAGTACACCGATATGTGCGAACTGCCAACCAAGCTAGGCGGGTGATCGTCGGACAGACTCTCGCGGCATCGGTAATACGAAGCTCTGTCCCGTCAGAGGCGTTTTCGACAAATAGCTGGACAACTGGCGAGGATCAACGTCCAGATTCTGCGCGAGAGATATTGTGTCAACGTGAGCTAGGGTCCCGGAAGAGTGCCTTGGGGCTTGGAGGGAGCACGAGCCGACCTATCGAAAAGATCATGGACTTTTCGATACCAAGTGTGATGAATCGGTATGTACGTACTCGTACGTCAAAGTCAAGGGCCGCCAATCTTGGCTACGCTTTAAAAGCATCACGTTCCTGGCTTTTTGCCCTTGTGGCACAGGTCGACTTGAGGAGTCACTCAATCGAGATTGAGAACGAAAGACTGGTGACAGGCGATGACCAATGAAAAGCAGGCTAAGAATGATTGCTCCAGTATGGGGAGTCTGGCATCGAGACTTCAATGACCATCGCTGCAGCTAGGGTCCAATGGAATGGGTGGGCCTCTCAACGTCAATCCTCTGTCCAACGTTAATGCCCGAACGAGTGCAGCCCCTGGTCGTTACCATCGACCAAACAAGAACTTCTCCCAGTCGATCAAGGCAGGCTAGGACAAGATAGAAATGCTACTTGCCAAGTACCTTTGAGTTTGGATCAAAAGGACTACTCCGTAGGTGAGAACGCGAGGCTGCTGGACATGATGTGGGCCTTACGAAGCGAGCAGCGCCACACAAATCTTGGTGACACAGATTTGTGTGCTATCCATCCACCGTACGGATCCGTTGTTCAAGAATGAACAAGCGTTTGATATCAAACTGACGACTCGAGCGGTCTACTGTGGATAACAGTAGAGGTTCGGCTCTTGCTGGATGCTCCAACCAGCTGGTTTTGAGCTCCTACGCTCTCCACACGTCGTGTACTCTGTACTTCGCACGTCGAGCTTTCAAAGGCGGGTGACCATAGCAACTAGGTGGCTGTAGACCAGGCCCACTGAGCTTGGCGAAGCACAAAGGGCCAAAATCATACGAAAGTTGAAGGGTTTGCCCTGGCTGAACGGTCATCGAAGTTCGAAATTGGCCTTCTTGCCGGTATCCATTGTCATGTAAAGAAGCTAAAAGTGCTATCTAGCCTTGATTGAGGATAGGTTGGTTCGCCTGCATGACATGTCGTTGGTCACGGGAGATGACAGCCAGCTGCGTGCTGACCATCTGAAGCCACATGAAATGCTCGGTCGCGGGCCAAGGGATACCAGGCCGGGACGGCGCTGTTGGATGCTGGAGCCGCTGTGGCTAGCCGCTTCCAGCGAACCAGACGAGCCTAGTACGAATTTCAAGCGACATGTAAGCACTCCGTCCGGAAGTGTGGATGTTGTGGATAGCTGAAAATGGGATCCTAGACCACTGATTTTGAGAGATCAGGGTCCGAGCACTACTGAACTGCCCAGCCTTGTACGACACCACATCCGGCCGCTTGGGTTTGTGGCAGATCCACGTCCGGGCTGGGATTCTTGCGTCGAGAGACATTCGCGTGCACGTACTTTGCTTGAGTATATGAATGGAGTGGTTGATAGATCTCTTCCCTTCGCACTGGATATTGGGGAGAGGGAGAAGACAGAGGCGTTTCTCGCACGGACTTGACATTGAACAGGTGGGCCATCCTTGCGTTGCTGTGGCCTATGATTCGCTTATGAACATGCATCTCACGTTTACCTAGTCTCTGGGTTCTCACAATTGAGTCAAAAGGGATCGAGGCAAGCTGGGTATTTCGCATGGCGTTTTTGAGAACTTCGCTTAGATGCTTGAGATCCACTAGTCGCAAGGCAATGTGCGGCCGTTGGGCGAGTGGCAGGACTTAGCTGGTGTCTTCTGGCATGGATAAGTCACTTGCTCGTCCAGGGGGGATCTTCGACAAACTCTATGCGATGGAAATCTGATGTGCAACAAGCGGGAACTCAAGACCATTAAAAGCGTAGCGAGGGACTCTATACTGTGTACGGAGTATCTATCAACCATGTGTTTTTTGCTTCGATCATGGCAGAATATCCAATCCAAATGCACTAAATTGGAGTCGAAGATCGAAGCTTGGAATATCGCATCAGGGCCCACGACGACAGCAGTGTCCTTTGCCTTGCTTTACAGTTTCACGAATTCCCTTTCCATGGCTTTTCTTCGGTCTGGTCAGATCTTTCTCTTATGCCGTCTTACGTGAGTGACTCTTCAAAAGGTTGGTTGTTACCGACTGAGTAGTCAGTGCCTCTGGCGCCGTGCGAAAACAACCTCAGATTTGTGCGGATGCACGAGTCCATACTGCCCCACGCTTCAACCCTCACCTCTACATACATCCTGCATGGCGGGTAGATGATGCAGTACGAGTCGTCCGTCTCATAATGTGACAGGATGCCGTGTGGAAATTGTAAAGCTCCCACATCTCGTGCACGTCGTAACTGTCACGGTCCAGGCCGGTCTTTTTACACAAACCATTTGTTATTCGAACGACCGAGAACGTAACTCTCTCTGGAAATCAGGCCAGCTCCACTCCAGAGTTACCCAGTGACAGGTATTGACCGAAGGGTCCTGACCTCTCCCAAACGTGGTGGATGGTGTTGAAATCGATAACTCGCATCGGACCTTCGGACCTTCGCCCGTGCGTGCACACGCACGGGCGAAGCCTTCCGTACGTCTAGCCTCTTGTTTCTGATGCCATCTTAGTGTCCACCTCCGTCTAAATTGCTCGATGACGACCCTGCTCATCGTGGCAGGGATTAGACAAGACCTAAGCCGTCTTTTCGCTTAGCAGTTGCGGGAGTACGGGGTTACGGTGTTCGTGATTCGCTTCGAGCCCGGTGGCCCCTGCACACGAGCTGAACCGACTACCCAAAACTGTTTTTTCTGTATGGAAAGGTGCAGGCAGAGAACGCCTTCGGATGCACTGCAGGCTGGATGAAGGAACCCACGTGCGGTAAGAGGCTTGCATTGACCACGTGTTTCCCACGCTTCTAACGTTGACACATGTCTCTCGTCCTCGTAACATGCCTCGAGATCGCGAAGGGGTGCAGAACGCCTCTTTGTGTCAGTCGAGAGGAGCGATATCATCTATGATCTGACATGCTACGAGGTATGGAGCACTGAGCTCGAGTCCCTGCCCTGCGCCAATCCTGATGATACGAACAAGTCCTGTCAAGATGAACAAGGCCTCGATCGGGTAGGCGTGATTTGCCCCTGTACCCAAGGGGCGTCCCGTTCCGGACAGCGACATGCTCAATCCAGGTGTTATCTTTGTGTGCGTGGCTTCAAGTTGTCCTCTATGACATCAGGATGTTGAAATTCGTGGGTGATGGAATTGGTGAGCATCCACGTGTAGAATCGTTTCCTCCAGATGCTGGACCAAGCTCCGATTTTCACTCCTGCAGCCACTAATTAGTTAGGCGACTCAGGCTGACGGGGCAACTTCAGATAATATGCAAGAGTTAACTAGCTCCTGAAACCCATCTCGGTGCCAACGTCTATTATTGCGTAGGTGGCACTTGGGGGCCCAGGGCCTAATTAACATCCCTGCCTACTTGTAGTCAAATCTGCAAGGTCGAATAGTTACGAGTAAGTCAACCACGGCAAACTTGACCACCCTAGACAACATCTTGAGCTCTGTCTTTTGGGGGTGCACCACTGCCCTTGTAGGAGGCTTCTGTCATGACTCATAACTGGTAGACGACAACGAGAGCAGGATACTATGGATGTGCTGCGCAGATCATGACTCTGCGCCCGCGCGAATTTGCAAATCCATTTGGTGCAGTAGACTCGTCACACACCACACCCTCCTTTGGCCAGGTGAGGTGCGCATTCAGCGCGCTTGATTTTCCCGAGTGAGTACGACGATGATGATCCAGGATAGTAAAATTACGAGCATGTCCGCAGTGCAGCTCTGCCGAGGTCCTTACCAGTAACCACCAGCCCTTTGAGGATGGCATTAACTAGCGTTGGCTGTGACTTAGGCTCATACAGTAGCTGAATGGCGAGAGCGATCATCACAACGGACTGTACCAATCACGTGGAAACATAGAATTTCTTTAGATAGATATATCTTCTTCTTCTCGTCATCAAATCGTCTTCAAGTCTCATGGAGGGATGGCCGAGTTGGTTATGGCGCCAGGTTAAGGTCAAATCTTAACATTATATCTGTTCAAGAACGGATATGCGCTTCCTGGTGGGGCAACCCTCGTGGGTTCGAATCCCACTCCCTTCATTTCTTTTTTGCCGGTTTTTGCATTTTGAGGCTACCTTACTTAATCTCCTCCTCTCACAAGGTGTCTAAATCTAGGTAGGGTTAATCCGGACGACTTTTGTTTCTTGGCATTTTTTGCGGCCCCCTTTCCATTCCCAATTGCGACCTCATCTTCATCGCCCTCCAGCAACGCCAGTAGGATTTGCCAGTTGTTCTACCGATCTACGGAGGAGCAGCCATCATGCACTGAAACAGACAAAATAGACATCGATTGATCGCTTTTAGATGTGAGAGCAGCACTTGCTTCCATCAACTCGAGGACCTCCCAGACCGTCCTCACAATTGTGACAGAAGTCCATGCATGGTGTTTTCTGAATCCAGCCTCCTTGTGCTGACTTGGCGTCATGGATTCTCTTTCTACTCCTCAACACCAGCTGTCTGCTTTATTTGGTCTGTTCCTTGTATGGAAGAGTCTCATTCTCCTCATCGTGTTTTCAAGCCTTGCTGTTGGCTATGACACCTCTGCAAGTCTGTTGATGAAGGCTACCAACAACGGAATCCTTACTGAAACCCCCAACAACTTTCAAAGTCAGTGGCTGAAATTTGTCAGGTGGGATGCCATATATTCCACACACATGGCTGGACATGGACTTGTTTTCGAACAGGAATGGGCCTGGGGCATTGGCTTGTCGACCTCGCTATCATTCCTTGCAAAGCGTGAGTCTGTTCTGAGGACACGCGAATAGGCCAAACTGGTACTTACTGTTTTGGACAGGTCTTGCTGTTCTCACTGGAACGAACGACGCAGTGACCTTGGTCATTGCCGGTGTCCTTCTATCACATACTACACACTGGCTCTCGACTGTTCAGCTGTGGTTCCTCGCGAGACGGCTCGTTGATGTAAGCAAGAGTCCTAAATCTCAGGTCCCTTTCTGTGCGGCCGCCTTTTACATCATCTCTCCAGCCGGAGTGTTTCTTTCGGCGCCATACTCGGAAAGTCTGTTCGCATTTCTCTCAATTTCCGGGTTCCTGGGCTACGTCTACGCCGTGCACTATTTCAACCATGCTAGAGTGTTTGCAGGGTCCGTTCTAATGGTTGCCGCTGGAGTACCATTTGGCTTGGCAACCTTTGTCCGGGGAAATGGCATCCTAGCTGGCGTAACCTATTTACTGGAAGCAGCAGCCACAGTGTTTGCGCTCTTGACTCAAGAGTTTACTATCTGGCGATTGATTCGACTATCATCAGTGGCGGCTGGAGGCTTGCTGGTAGCGGTGGGAACTCTGATACCACAATACCTAGCATACACGGAGTATTGTTTAGGCAGAGATCCTGAAGTTCGGCGGCCTTGGTGCAACAACACCATGCCGTCCATTTTCACCTTCGTTCAGTCGCACTACTGGTATGTCATTCCCTCCAGGATCTATGTTTCTTTCTAACGGTTGACATCAGGAACGTCGGACCGTTCCGATACTGGACACTATCAAACCTCCCTTTGTTCTTGCTGGCCGCTCCCTCCTTGTGGCTTCTCGCTGTCTCTTCTACTGAGTTCATGCGAAACCCTCGCATATTCTCGTCCAGCCCTGCAAAAGCTACTTCGAGAACAGTGTGTCGTCGAGACAGGGTCACTGCTTGGAGTCTCGCTCTCCCACAGCTGATACTGGCAATCTTGGCGTTGACCAGCTATCATGTTCAAATTATCACGAGGCTCGCCTCGGGGTACCCATTGTGGTATATTTGGCTGTCCCATCAAATTGTGGGAGGGTGGAGTCGCACCTCAGTCATCATTAGGTATATGGTGATGTATGGGCTGATCCAGGCTGGTTTATATGCATCATTTCTCCCTCCGGCTTGATTTGTGTGGTCAATATCTTTATCCCCACGCCATCATGGTACCGCAAAGCTACAGCCATCTGCTGGAGAACTCATTTACACAAGCAATGGGCCTTCACACAGCGACGTCAACCCCCCTCATATCCCTATAGCCGCCACTTTCACTCTGATCCCCTTGGTGTCGAGTTTGACAGTGGGGACAAAGTAATCATGCTTGAGAATGGTGTCCGTCACGTCAGTCGCATACAGTTCAAAAGTGAAGCGTCGCAGATCGGCCTGTGTATAACTCTACTTGCGCAAGACTGCCATCTCATCAGTACTCCGTCAACAGAGTTGGGGGTGTTCCTCACTTCAGACCAATACACGATCTCGCACCTTTTCCAAAACCGATAAAATACTGTTCCAAGCTCTGGCCCCTTGCGGTGACTGGATTACCTAGCCACCTTTCTGGCACGAACGAATGCGAGTCGGGGAAGACATCCTCGTCGTGGTTCAGGTCGACAATCGTCATGGAAACCGGCGTTCCCGCCGGGATCACCCAGTCTTTATACCTGAGATCGTGCCGGGCAACACGTGGTAGACGAGAAGCTATGCCATAAGCCAATCTGATGCCCTCTTTGATGCATCCCGTGAGATATGGCAACTGCTCGAGATGTTGCCAATCTAACGGCGCTTTAGGGTCTGGAATGGCCTCTTCAAGTTCCGCGCGAAGCTTCTTGAAGATGTCAGGCTTGTCGATAATGTGAAAGCTAGCCACGACAGCCGCCCAAGATGTCGTCAGGATGGCGGCGCCGATAATGACCTGGGCCTCTTGCATCATTCGCTCAACCGACTTCTCTATCGGAGCAAGGTCACTATGCAGCATTTCGTGGAATAACGTGGCATGGTCGGCCTGCTTCTGAGTTTTGTCGTGCTCTGCCTTGAGCGCGGTTAAGGTGCGCTGGAAATCCTAGAATCATCGGATCAATGAAATCTTCTCAAGTACTGGTTGGCCAAAAATAACCTTTTGCACCTGGATATGGACGTACATAGTGGGCTCAATCCTCAGAACCAGCCAGTCCGGCAAACCATTCCTTATAGGCCATAACCAAGGGAACTGCATTAGCACGTTTGAAGATTCACAAGCGGCGTGCATGCCTCCATGGAAGGCATCCTTAAAATCCGGTGAGTCCAGATGATCGTACGCTTTTGCGAAGCAGAACTCGGTTACGACATCACCGGAGAAAGCCGTCCAGGCACGATGTAGGGCAAGGACGCCGCCCGAAGAGATATAGCCCTCGATCTTGGTCACCAGTTTATCCAGCTTACTACGAATGACCGGCTGAAAATCCATAATCTTTCTTTTCGAGAAGGGAGCGACGGCATTTCGTAGGACACGATGGTATTCATGGGAAGGCGCTGTGAGGAACGACTCATCGGTCCCAAATCTGGCAGAAAAGGGGCGGTATTTGTCCAATTTCCCGGATTTTACATACAGCTCCTCAAAGTAGTCCGAGTCGATGATGTGCAACTCGTTCGGGGTAACTCGAACGATTGGGCCTGTTGCGAATCAGCAGAAACGAGGACCCTGTGTCTTGATCAAGACAAAACGAACCATATCTCTTGTGAAGGTCTTGAATGTGAAAGGTGAAATTTCCCTGCCGAATGACCTCGTAGTAGAACTCGTACCATCTGGTCAATCCGGCGAGTTTCGGTCCCCGGCAAATGGGCAATAGGATGGAAATATAGTCTGTAGATCGCCACGCCGAGAGCATAAAAGAATGAACCTATCAATCCCACAAGAAGGAGCCCCATTGAGGAGCTAATTGGTAAAGCCCAGGGGACCGCCATGATGTGCACCTCGGATGGATACAAGTTCCCAGCGAACGATGATTCTCATCAGAGCAAAAAGAGGGTGAGTGAAGATCAAAGATACGATGCGATAGGGCGGTCGGTAGAGTTGTTCCCACCGGAGCGGTATCAACGGCTATCTATCATGCGGCATGGGGCCTGAATTTTGAAAATAGAGTGATAGTTACATCAAAAGCCGAACCACGCACTACTTGGGTATTCGAGTCACTAGGCTGTGGGTCTCGGGAGGGGAAGCTCTCTCTGGAGCATTCTCCAAGGCAACCTTTATCGTAAATACTTGTAGGCCCCGTAGGAAGACAAATGTAGGCTTCGCATCGGCGATAGGTGCAGCGGGCTTTAACGGGTCGGCGGATGAGCTGCAACCGGGGACAAGTACTAGGATAGCGGCCGGTGATGGTCTGCCTTCATCCAACCAGACACGTGGCACTACTTATTATAGTGTCCGTACTCTGTAGATAGTGTGAATGCGGGAGGCTTGAATTGGCCGTGAGAGAAGTCTCATGGTAAAATATAATATCTAGAGCTAGGGTGATGTGCTGAACTCGACGTCTTGTATCTGCCTGTGCCTGCATATACTGACGGACGCTTCGGACCGACCGTGAAAACCCGGTAGCGCCGAGTTAACGTGCTCAGACGTCCATCCAACGACTGACTCATGAATTGGTAGCCCTTTCAACCCTGGCTACGGGTACAAGAGGTCATGCTGTTCCCACGACCAGCAACCTCGCTCATTCGAAGTTGCTAGACTACACGAATTTGGGCTACACGGATTGCCCACAGGGTCCTCCATTCCTCTGCTGTAACTCGTTGGTTAGCCACTCCGTGCGGGCAAGCGACCTGCCGTTTCAAGGATTTGCTTTCCCTCCACCACGCTTGGAAAAGTGGACGGAACCGGTTTTGTGCAGTATTAGTACGGACTACCTCGTAGGCCCAGCCTTCAAAGTCAGAGAACTCCATAGAGGTTGATGGGGTCGTCAGCTCTCGCAGCAGTCCAATGGCACGGCCACTGTTGAGAACAAGGTGGGCGAACGAACACTGTGATAGCCTGACATGATATGTAAGTCCACTTTCTCCAACGCTCATCGGCCCCTCCCTGTATGTGGCAGGGTCGTTTCCTTGTTTTTTATTCTTCTCCTTGGGACCCCCAACCGGATCTTGTGCAATCCTGACACCCAGCCATCAACCCAGGCTAATACAGAGTCACCTGGCCCTCACCAAGCCGACTTACTACCTGACTTGAGCACCCCAGCAGAAGCCCGGGATCAACCAGATTAATGTTTGACAGGCCGATCAGGATGAAGGCGATTCTGCAGTTGGATCATCAATAGGGGGCTCTTGGTCCGCCTCTTTGGCATTGTCGGTACTCAATTACAAGTATGAAAGTGGGCGACAGTACAGTTGTATTCACTGTCATACAACGATGTCTTCCTTACCAGCTTCTAAAGATATCACGCCAAACGCGAGGGTCAGTATATCCTGCCCAACGATGAAGAGGAGCAAGACCGACTCGATATGCGTCATCATATCTACAAACTCATCATTGGCGGTGCTCTTTTCCGCGCCCCAATTGCCGACAACCACGCACTGCGCACTCTCGACCTAGGCTGTGGAACAGGCATCTGGCGTATAGAAATTGCCGATGAGCAGCCGACTGCATTGGTCATTGGGACTGACTTATCTCCAATTCAGTTAGAACGGGTAGAGGGACACCTCCCGGAAAACTGGAAAGCGTCAGACCACTGACAGTAAAGTAGGTTCCACCGAATTGCAAATTCTATGTCGACGATATCGAGAGTGAATGGGCATATCCACCGGCCGAGCATTTCGACTACATCCAAGGCAGAGCCCTTTGTGGAAGTATTGCGGATTGGCTAAGGTTGTTTTCTCAATCTCTGGCCAATCTCAAACCTGGGGGATTGATTGAAATGCAAGAGTACAGCTGCATTGTACTTAGCGATGACGGTATCGCCTCAGAAGCAACTCATCTCCTGGAGTGGGCTGAGCAGATGAACGAGGCAAGCAAGAAATCCGTTAAAGAGCTAAGGGTTTGCGCCCTCCTCAAGAAGAACATGGAGGACGTCGGCTTTGTCGATGTCCACGAAGAAATCTACAAGGTGCCTAGCGGGCCCTGGGCAAAGGGCAAGCGGAGTAAAGAAGTAGGCCTCTACTACCGTGCTCAATTTGTCGACGCCGTGGAGCCCTTCACCATGACATTGTTCACGAGGGTGCTTGGGTCCAATGCGGAAGATGCGAAGAAAGATGCGAAGAAGTTGGTTGACCGCTTCAAAACCGATTTGATCAATCCGAAATTGCACATGTACGTGCATCTTTATTATATCTGGGGCAGCAAACCAAAATAAGGCTGCGCGAGGCGACGCGACGTAACAGATCGGGATGGTGAAACTTTGGTGGCAGGTGATGGATGTTTCCGTGTTACACGCCGCAGCTGCGTGCGGATTCACGGCCACTTTGATGAAACCCCTGCATCTGAGAAATCGAACATTATCGGTTCTTTCTAGAATAGATTACTTGGAACGATAGACATCACATCAAAATAGGAGCAGCATGGGGAACAGTACTCAATATCTCTGTTGATGGGCGCCCACAATGCCCTGTATTTAGTTGTATAGGTACGTTCCATACCAAACTTCGTCCTCCGGATGGAGAGCCAAAGTCGAGAGACGCGTATTTTTCGGCGTTACTGATTCTCCGGGCGCCGCCAAGGAAAGGCAAAACTGCTCGTAACTCACCCCTCCAAAGTAAACAAAACACCACCCTCTCACCACTCTACTATCATGGCGTTCCAGAATCCTGTGGGCCCGCAGCCCAATACCCAACGTTATGGTACAATCCATTCGCACCTTCGCTGACAGCTTCACCGAGGAGTTGGAAAAACTGCCAAACATACCTGCAATTGCCCAAGCCAACGCTCTTCAACATACCCTTACCCAGATCCTCGCTCAAATAACTCAAATAAACACTCGAATGGATCAAATGGAAACTCGAATGGATCGAATGGAAACTCGAATGGATCGAATGGAAGCTAAACTTAACGCTCTCAGTACTCAAATCTCTACAAGGTAAGTTTAGCTTTCAATCTATTATAATAGTTACTAATTTAGTAGTGAACATAATCATATGGCACGAGTTCAGAATTCCCTCCTTGCAAGAACTACAGATCGACTTGAACCACTCTTAAATCCCTCAACCAAGACCGCAATCGAAGGATATCCTACAAACCCAAGAGAAATAACAACGATGGAAGACGCGAGACTTATTTCTGTCCTAGAGCAGTTAGGATTACCTACAAATGGAGGAAGACTAGCAAGAGAGAAACGCTTAAGACAGAGCATTGGTCTTCCACCAATTGCTGGTCCATAAATGTCTAGGTGGAAGCGAAGCCCGGAATGACCTGGCCTACAACCTGTATTATTAGAGTTATGTATGTAATTAGGGTGAGCTCGGAGCAGTTTTTACATTGCTTTAGCTGCCAAGCGCTCATTGTGGTCAGGACTGCAATTCACAGCCGCGTGCAGTGCCAGTGCGAATGCATCTCAAGGAACAAGCCATCCTCGCCGTAGAGTAACTGGTCCGAGTCTGAGTCTGAGGCTAAGGCTGAAATCTTGTCCTCGTCATCGCTCTCTCACTCAATGACACAAACCGCCTTTCTCTCCAGACCTAGTACTCATACCCCTACCGATTTCCATCCTCGTCGCAGGCATTAGCGTGACGTAGCATAACAAGGCTGCACTGCGGCTTGCTAAGCGGCTGCTCGGTGCTCACCATACTTTCAATTAGCATACATACCTACCTCGATACCCTCATTCTGTACAACCATCATCTGTCATTCTGCTGATCCTCATTCTCCTACCTGGACTACAAATGTCCCGGGCATTTGCTCAGCTATGGACAATCACAAACAGCATCTAGAAGAGGTGGTGAATCACAACCTGAGAAATGGATCCGAAATTTCCAGAGCAACATCTCCTGGCGGCGCGGCCAGTCTAGATCAGACACAAATCAGCGACACGACACAGGAGGTCAAGCGAAATAGACCACGGACGTTTCCCTATTTCACAACCCTCCCTTACCCCGTCGAAGATGACAGCCAGCGTCAGAAGAACCTGGCCGAGATCCTCAAGCACCTGTACATCGCCATCCAGGCTGGTGATTTCACACCGGGCGCACTGCATTGGACTAGAGAGCTTCGCAGCTGGCTTGGATTGAAGTTTGATCCCACCAAAGAACAGCGAGTCCAACTCGTCCAACTCTACTATGAGCTTGCTCTGGCTCCAGGCATCGATCCCGGTGTGGCCGAACGTTTTGCGAGCATGTTTATGCTTCTCACAAAGTGCGTATTTATCCAGGGCCCCAGAGATATCCACTAACTTTAGTCATAGGCGAAAGCATTACCTGCGCCCACTCAAAGACCTCACTCTCGACTGGCGCCTTCTGTACCGGGAACTGAAGGTTTTTGTTCTACCTAGCGAATCGGGATTGATGCAGACCACAAACCTTAGGAGGAATATCAAGACTCTGATCAAGATATGCTCGTTCTCCCAGTTATACTTCGACCCCGAAGATACCCCTGCCATGCTGGAGGAGCTTCTACCTCACTTCACCATGTCGCAGGCGGAGGGTGCGTTTGTGGTGGTGGGATTGCTCAATCTCCTCCTCCCGACCGCTCCTCCTCCACCCAACCGTGCCGATCTGGCGCCCCAGCAATTCCTTCCGACGTACTTCCATTTATGGTCGTTGGTCAACCGTTCCCGTACGGTCGACGTTGCGAGTCTCGACCTCTTCTCTCGTATGGCTCGGGACGCCTTACCCAGTAAGCACATAGAGTTCTCAGAGTTTGGCATCTTCACACCAGAACAGTCGACCCTCATTGTGACCGCCATCTTGAGATTATTGGAGATTCCTGTAGGACAGTCGACCTCCCCCTACAGCGCTCTCGTCGATTTGACGGCGGGTATGGGCATTCTCCTGGATCGTGACAGTCGCAAGCATCCGGTGTCCCACCACATTGCACGATGGTTCGTCATGTCTCTGTCACCAGCCTGTCTGGGAAAGAAGGATTCGGTACTGTCTCTCCTCGAGACGCTGATCCAGGCCGTCGAAACCTTCTTCCACCCGTCGAATTCTGGGTCCTGGACCAGAACCCTCGCCCAATTGGTCTTCTACCTCGCAGACTTCTTCGTCATGCGTTGGAACCGAGAGCGTAACGGTGAGATGGAGGTGCCAGAGGAACGAAGACTCAATGCTCCACTCCGGAAGCGATTTGTCCTGTGCCTCCGAGAAGTGATCTTTATGGGTATCTATGCAAAGAGCGGAACCGCAATGAGCTATTCGCTGTCGACGCTACAAGCCCTGGCCTTTTTGGAACCAGACCTCATCCTTCCTGGCGCTTTACAACGCATTTATCCGTCCATGCAAGGCCTGGTCGAGGTCCACAGAACCATCTCATCACTAAGATCCTTGCAGATACTGGCCAGAACCATGATTAGGACCAAGGGGTACCGATGCCACATCACGGCGTTACTGGGTCTGGCTCTGCCCGGGATTGATGCCAACGATCTCGAAAAGACTCTCTACACGCTATCCTTCTTCGCCAATGTGTGCTATAATATTCCATTTGAGGACCTTTCCAAGGGCCGAGACGACGTCCAAGGCAATATCCTGGCCATGGAATGGATCACGGGGGAAATGGAACGAATGGAGCTCGAAGGCGCCACTGTGGAACTCAACTACGCGGAATTGGACGGAAAACAAGAAGAGATGATCCTCGCCTCATCGACCGCTGGGTTTGGAGAATTCGTCAGCTCCTTTTTGGGACGGGTATTTACACTTCTTGAAAATTTGCCCGACGCCGCGCGAATCAGAAGCGGGTCTCCCGAAGAAAACATTGTGAATACTCTTCCGGCCGCGTTCATGCCGTTGCTCGCGTCACTGTCTCCCGAGCTTTTCGACATGGCCCTGAACAAGATTGTTGATTTTGTGGCGAATCACGTAATCCACCAATCACGAGACGCCATGGCCTTCATCTGCAATTGTCTGTGCAAGGTCGATCCGGAGAAGGCTCTGGCCAAGTTTGTGCCGGTCCTGGTGGCCGCCATTCGAACCGAAATTGACGAAAATGGCGCAGGCTCGACGAGAAATGCGGCCTCCGATGTCCTGCCGCGTGATCGAGGATTGGTCTGGAACATCAGCATGCTCAGCATGTGTGTCGTTCATGTGGGTTCCGCTGTTCTCAAATACAAGCAAGAGCTATTTGAAATTGCCGTGTATATGCAACAGAAGTGCAAAGGAATGCCGACCGTTCATGTCTCAAACTATGTGCACCACCTTCTCCTCAACTTGACCGTCACGTATACGGCAGATTACAGTTTGTATGAGCCCGCAAGAAAAGCCCACGGCGTCACGGCAGACCTGTGGGGCGTGGCAGAGCCTGCCGCGACGGTCAAACCTAAGTGGCACGTCCCCAACAAGGAAGAACTCGATTTTGCCGTCGAGCTGTTTCAGAACCAAGCCGAAGGCGCCCTGAAGCACCTCAAGAGCCTCATCGAAGGAACCTCCAGCATCAAGAGAGATGGAAGCGGTAAAGAATGGTCGGATGAGGTCTCGAGAAATCTTGTTTTACTGCGACTCCTTTTGGCTGGAGTGTCGGTTCTCTTTGACGCAAAGGGTGTCAATGAAGGACTCACTACCACCGCGGCCGGCATCGATGCCGATACCGCTATCTCACATGCCAATGGGCATCTACCAGAGGAGGGTCAAGACGTGGCAGATTCCGATGCCGTTTTGGACGGGACCGACGAGACCTCCATTAAACCTTCTTTCCAGTATCCGAGCGGCGAGCTGCTCCGACCGGGAGACCAAAACTACGCCCCTCTGCATCAGTTAAGGCAAGAAATTGGCCGAGTGCTCCACCAAGTTCACGAATTCCTGACGAGGGAGGGCGAGGACGATGTCTCCTCCTTTGCACCGCTCTATACGGCTTACCGATCATGGTTCGTCGATGTTGGGATCGAACGCTCTGCGCATGTGCTGGACCGTGTGACCCGCCTGCTACATGCTGATGAACAACCGTACAAAGTCAGTGGCATCAGAAAAGATTACCCTCGGTCCATCCTGGTCCGACGCGCAAACGTCTACCATACGCAACGTCTGAGGCACAACGCCGCACCGAGACCGCGGTCTGAGTTGGATGAACAGTTGTTGACGGACTTGGCCGAATCTGCTGTCTCTTTATATACGGAGGTTCGCCGCAATGCTCAAAGTGCTGGAGAATCAGCGCTCAAGGTGATATTCGGAGCCCGCTTGTTCGTCATCCCACCACTTTTGGCCGCTTTCCAAAAGGCCGTGGATCGCAACGACTTTCCACGGATCAAAGGTGGTCTCTTCGCGCTCCTGTTCGGCAGTCTTGCCAAGACAGTGGGACGACATTGGAAATACACCCCGACCGTGATCAAAACATTCATTAACGCGAGCACGGCCGATAAACCGTCCATCCAGAAATTGTGCGGGGGGGGTCTTTTCCAAGTCATGGATTACGGCCGCCCTGGTGATCGTATGGCAATCGTCGATCGCACTGTGGTCGAACCCCTCGCCCCAGAAGAGGATGTCGAGGATCAAATTGCCAAGAAGAAGTCTTTTATCCTCAGCAAACGTGCGAGCATTGAGAAGAAAAAGGCCGAGCTTGCAGAAGAGCTGATTGAGCTCGGCCGCGTATCGCACTGGAAAAAGGCCACGCGTGTTGCGACACTGGTGATGTCGTTAGGCATGCGTTTCGATCACATTGCTTCGGACAACATGATCGATCTCATCACACGTGGTACCATCGATCCTCATCCGGGCTTACGAGGTCTTTATTCGCAAGGCCTGGTGGCATTGTTCACCATGACCGATGTCCGAGCCGTGTGCAGTCACGACTACGCGAACTACATTCAAGCCTTGCAAGAATTCCCAGCTAAAGTTAAGGTGACGACACATCCGGAGAAAGAGTCATGGACGGATGAATACTTGCAAGCTTTCTCGAAACCGGAAGCTGATGTATACATCGATCACGATTACCCCGGTTGGCTGGTCTGGTCCAAATCGATGCCGGGATACAAGGCTAATGTCAAGAATGACATTGAGTACGATGAATTGGAATGGAAAAAGCGCACTGTCATCGGCAAGTTGCTCGACCGGAATTGGTTCTCCACATTCTTCAAATACCTCAAGCAGGAACCTCGAGATCAGTCAGCGGATAAGTTCCGGATGGCTAGCGCAGCAATGCTGACCTATGCGTTCGAGCTCATTATCCGGGATGGCCTCGCGGTGGCAACATTTGACGAGATCAAAGAGGAAACCCTTGCCGTGTTCGAGGACGGGAGCGACAAACATCAACATCGAGCCACGGCCGAAATTCTAGCGGGCTTGGTGACGTCCGTGATGGACAATTCGATCGAGCGTCGCACCATGGTCTGGGAGTTTGCGTTTCCCATCATTCGCAAAGTCTTCTCCGACGGCTTGACACCGGAAAATTCGGGATACTGGACGACCTTCCTTCACATGATTCTTCAAGCCCGTGATCCACGTCGAGCATGGCCCCTCGTAGAATGGTTGACTAATTTCCGACTGGACATGGGATCGAATGCGGCTTTCAAGGAAAGCTCTAAAATCCACCTGTTGCATCAAGTGATCATGGACGCCGGGTGGCACTTCCAACTGGAGGCCCCGATCACCGAAGACTTCTTGAGCCACATCGACCATCCATACAAGGGGGTCCGAGAGGCCATGGCACATACACTCGCGACCATCTCGCGTACACGATATCACGAATCATACAAGGATGTCAAGCAACTCATCGAAGCACAGAAGTCAGCCGGGTCGATCGGTAAACAGCCGTACATCCCCACTCAGCAATTTGACAACACAATCACCGAAGTCTTCTTGCGCATCGAACAGTGGCGACAGGAGCGTACACCAGGACAACAGACTCCATCTTCGTACACATCGGGCAGCAAGACCATCCTTCTCTGGCTGGATTCGATGCTCTCTTCGTACGAGTGTACTCAGCTCTTGAAATACTTCCCGAACTTGTTTACTGAACAGTTCTTGCACATGATGGATGTCAAAGAGGATCCCGAATTGCAATCGTTGGCTTATCACGTTTTCCGACATCTACCAAATATTCCCCATCGCATAGGAGAAGACCAGAAGCTCATTGACTCATTGATCAGAATCGGAAGAACCTCTCCTTCATGGCACCAACGTTTGCGAGTCATGATCAACATGCAAATTATCTTCTTCCGACGATTGTTCTTGTTGTCGGAGGAGAGCAAACAGATTCTGTTCAAGTGTGTTGCGGACATGTTAGAAGACACGCAACACGAAGTGCGCGCCGGCGCCGCGACTACATTGTCGGGCATGATCCGTTGTTCACCTCTTGAACTCCGAGAGAAGATGATTGTCCAGCTCCGCGACCGGTTCACTCAGACGTTGATTGAAAATCCGCTACCCAAAAAGCCCAAAGGTCAACTGGCCGGAATTGCGGCCGGGTTATCATCAGCTCGTACATCCGGGACGAATACTCCAACTCCAGAGGCACAACGGTTGGTCATTGTCAGGCATGCGGCCGTTTTAGGTCTCGGGGCGTTGATTCAAGCCTTTCCCTATTCAAGTCCGCCACCACCATGGATGCCTGATGTTCTTGTGACATTGAGCAGCAAGGCGGCCAACGACCCCGCAACGGTAGGAAATAGCGTGAAGAGCATCATCAGCGATTTCAAGAAGACCCGACAGGATACTTGGCATATTGACGTCAAGGTGAGTCGTTGAAACGCCATTCAATTTTTCAATCTGTCTTGCTAACCACTTCTCAGGCTTTCCAACCAGAACAGATTGAAGATCTGTCCGGCGTCTTATGGAAGAGTTATTTTGCTTGATCTTTCTACACTTGAGATGCTGTCCAGGGTTACTGCGCTTGAACGGCATAGCGTGGGCGTTCAAAAGATTATTTCTTTCGGTAGGGTTAACGATTATGGGGTTAGAGCGGCGGCTTCGCCATTCATTCCATGTATAACTTTACACATGATCAGTTGGGGGAGACTCATAAGCAGCGAGCAAAGTGGAAGTGGAGGTGGAAGTGGAGAGTCTTCGGTGATGGTGAGGAAATTGACTGCCTTCTTGAGAGCTCATCGTCTTGGAGGCTTGGAGGACACCGCCCGTCTAGAAGTCGGGCCAAGTATTATGGTACGTTGTTGACGAGAATCAGCACGTCAAGCTCGGAAGGGACAACAGCATGCATTACAGGACATGCTAGGTGCCTACACAGAGGATGTGCCCTCTGTTGAAATATGATGCTAGGAAGCTTCAGCAGTTGATGGCTTCATCTTTGGCGTTCACGTTTATTGGAGCACAGAGTAGATCATTCGAATCGGCCAAATTGGGCTGGGGGGTCATTGTACAATATTGCTGAACTTATCAAGTTCTCGATGTCGTGAAGCCGTCCCTTGTCTGGTTCATTTCGTGCACTAACAAGTTCGCTTCAGATCGAAGCCAATCATATGGAAGCGTATTTATTTTCAGACAATCCGAGCAGTGTGCACATTTTTTACAAATGGAACGTGGAATGAGTGCTGCACTCGCCCGTTCTGAGTCACAGCGAACTATTATATCTTCCTCTGTTCTTCACCATCATCAATACTCGCCACCAGCGATCTTTGTGCTCCTCCTTCCAAAACTGACAGACCTGAAATCACAGGAATGTCTGTTATTTCTCTCTCACTGTCCACTGACCATGTGTTCTCCAAGACACTGTCTTCGTCTCTTAATCTACTTCCTGATCTAGGTGTTGAAGGAGACTGCCATTGCGGCAAAACAGTCCAACATCGCTCACGTCTACACATCCGCCCACCACCTAAGAATCTACGACAGGTGCACTTGATAGATCTGGAAATACTTGAGCAGTTCGATGTAAAACCTGGAGACTTGGGCGAGAACGTGACAACTCGAGGTCTACGGTTGTTGGAAAGACCAACGGGCACAAAGCTTCATTTCCTGCCGCAGGCGACGACTACAGTGGAGGATACCACGATCGCCGAGACATCACACCCTGTTGTTGTGCTTACGGGACTACGCAATCCTTGCCCACAGATTCAAAAGTTTCGGTCGGGGTTACAGGAAAAGTTCATTGTTCGAGATGAGGAGCGTAAGATTGTGGAGCGCAAAGCTGGGGTCATGAGCACGGTCGAGGTGGGCGGAGTCATTGAAGTTGGGATGCGGGTTCTCGTGGAAGAGCCTGATGAGTTTCAGCAATTGCAATCTGTGTAACGTGTCACGAGTCAATAGCAACACAATATTAAGTATAACTGTCGATGCAGAGCCAGTCTCCTCGACCAACGCCTTCAGTTGGCTGGGCTTGCCACTCGCTGTACCAGCACGATCAAGTCAGTCTTGGCTCGGTAAAATATTAAAGCGGCTTTGCGTTTCATCAGAGCCATGCTCCTCCGTACTTTCACGACTAGCTTCCTTGATGCAATCATCGTGACGGCCGCAGCAGGCCTCCACCTTTCAACAACACCTTCATTCCCACAATCAAGGGGCTTTCAAAGCTCTGTATTGTTTTCCTAATCCTCACGTTCTTCGTTACACGGCCTGGGTGGCCCCTTCATTCCCTCTCCACCGCCCAGCATGGCCCAACAAGACACTCTTTTTCGCTCGGCGAGCATGTCCCTGACGCAGCTCTACATCTCCAACGAAATCGGCCGCGAAGTCGTCTCTGCCCTAGGAGAAATCGGCCTCGTCCAATTCCGAGATCTCAATTCCGAAACCTCGGCCTTCCAACGGACATTCACCAAGGAAATCCGCCGTCTGGACAATGTCGAACGCCAACTCAAATACTTCAAGGCGCAGATGGAGAAATCTGGCATTGCCATGAGGAGCCACTGGGACTTTGATGAGAACATGCTCGCCGCGCCACAGGCCAGTGAAATCGATGAGCTCGCTGAACGGGCCGAGGCTTTGGAGCATCGCGTCAGCAATCTCAACGAGAGCTACGAGACCTTGAAGAAGCGCGAAGTCGAGTTGACCGAGTGGCGATGGGTGCTGAAAGAGGCGGGCGGTTTCTTCGATCGTGCACACGGGCAGACTGATGATATCCGCAACAGCGTCGATGACGATGATGCTCCTTTGCTGCGTAATACCGAAGCCGAGGAAGGCAGAGTTAATGGCGATGCCACCGGCCAACAGCAGAGCTTCGCCGTCATGAACATCGGTTTCGTCTCCGGTGTCATCCCTCGTGAGCGTCTCGCTGCATTTGAACGCATCTTGTGGAGAACGCTCCGCGGCAATCTATACATGAATCAGTCCGAGATCCCTGAACCTATCATCAATCCTGAGACCAATGAGGAGACTCGGAAGAATGTCTTTGTCATCTTCGCCCATGGCAAGGAAATCATCGCAAAAATCAGAAAGATCTCCGAGTCTCTCGGTGCAGACCTGTACAATGTCGACGAGAACAGCGACCTTCGTCGAGATCAAATTCATGAAGTCAATACCCGTCTCTCCGACCTCGCAAGCGTTCTCCGAAACACCAAGAACACTCTCGATGCGGAATTGAATGCGATTGCACGATCTCTGGCGGCATGGTTGATTGTGATCAAGAAAGAAAAGGCCGTATACAACGCGCTGAACTTCTTCTCCTACGACCAGGCGCGAAAGACCCTGATTGCGGAAGCCTGGGTGCCAACCAGCTCCCTTCCTCAGATCAGAGCAACTCTGCAAGATGTCAACGACCGCGCAGGCTTGTCAATCCCGACCATCGTCAACCAAATCAAGACCAACAAGACCCCTCCTACCTACAATAAAACCAATAAATTCACCGAGGGCTTCCAGACCATCATTAACGCCTATGGTACCGCCAAATACCAGGAAGTCAACCCTGGTCTCTACACAATCATCACTTTCCCGTTCCTCTTCGCCGTCATGTTCGGTGACTTTGGCCATGGAACATTGATGATGATGGCTGCCGCTGCGATGATCTACTGGGAAAAGCCACTGGCACGGTCCAAGCAGGATGAACTCTTCGCCATGGCTTTTTACGGTCGATATATCATGTTGATGATGGGTATCTTCTCCATGTACACTGGTCTCATTTACAATGATGTCTTCTCCAAGGGGTTCACTCCATTTGCTTCGGCATGGGAGTTCCCCGAGGAAGGACGACCAGAGGTGACGGGCCATCTCAAAGGCAGCTACCGATACCCATTTGGATTGGATTGGGCATGGCATGGATCTGAAAACGATTTGCTCTTTAGCAATAGTTTGAAGATGAAACTTTCCATTCTCATGGGTTGGGCACACATGACCTATGCCTTGATATTTTCCTACATCAACGCCAGACACTTCAAGTCACCCATTGACGTATGGGGTAACTTTGTTCCTGGAATGATCTTCTTCCAGAGCATCTTCGGCTACCTCAGTTTCTGTATCCTCTACAAATGGTCGATTGACTGGCCTGCGGAGGGTCGAAACCCACCTTCTCTCCTCAACATGTTGATTCAGATGTTCTTGTCTCCAGGAAACGTTGCACCTGAAGAGCAACTTTACAGTGGACAGGCCGGTCTGCAAGTGTTCCTGGTACTGATCGCAGTAATCAATGTGCCAATCTTGCTCTTGTTGAAACCACTGTATTTGAGGTGGCAACACAGCAAGACCACCGCACAGGGTTATCGTGGTATCGGCGACACCAGTCGAGTGACTCATGCTCTTGATGACGACGAGAACGATGAGCACCACATGAACGGCCGGCCGAGCCAGGACAATGACGAAGGGGCTATGATCACGGAGAATATCGGAGGGGCTGACGAGCATGAAGAGTTCGAGTTCTCCGAGGTCATGATCCACCAAACCATTCGTAAGTTAACAATTTTCGTAATAGATGACCGGCACAGTACTAACGATCCTCCTAGATACTATCGAATTTTGCCTTAACTGCGTCTCGCACACAGCGTCATATCTCCGACTCTGGGCGCTGTCCCTGGCCCATCAACAGCTCTCGGTCGTGCTATGGAGCATGACTTTGGGCAATGCATTCGGCTCGTCCGGTGGCATGCAAGTCGTCATGATCGTCGTCACGTTCTTCTTCTGGTTTGTGCTCACCATTGCTGTACTTTGTGTTATGGAAGGTACCAGCGCCATGTTGCACTCGCTCCGTCTCCACTGGGTCGAGGCGATGAGTAAACATTTCGTTGGCGAAGGTGTTCCCTTTGAGCCGTTTAGCTTCCAGTTGTTACTGGAGGAGGAGCCTGTTGATTAAATCAAGTAGGCTTCTTGGTCGGCCTCAGAAGTAGGTTTATGGTGAGAAAAGGGGGGCAAGTCCTCACTCGGGCTTTGTTATATTGTACCCACACAGGGATATAGAATAATTCAATTGAATCTGTCGATTGGCCATCATGGTTTCGTCCCAGTCACCGTCGGAACTTTTGTTCAACGGCTGGCACACAGTGCTTTTTCTGACCCTTGTTCATGCCAGCTATCTATTCTTACACCCCCGGATTCTCCCTCTCAATCTCAATCTCAGCCCAAACGCGCTCCACAACCTCGACGACATCCGGCTCCAATGGGCCCCTCTCCACCCCGTCCAACGTCTCCCTCAACTGTTGCACACTCCCTGCCCCAACAATGACCTTGTCCCCGTACGCTGCATCCAACATGCTATGCCACACCACCCACCGTACCGCGACCTCGTGCGCACTCTTGATGCCCTTCTCCGCCGCGACCGCCTTGACCCTCTCCGCCGCACGCCGCACCGCATCCACACCGTACGCCGCCCGCATCGCATCCCCCGCGGCGTTCTGCAGCTGCAGTCGTGACGCGGACCCGAAGATCCCCGCGGCGCCGGGCGCGAAGGCGTAGAAGGAGATGTCCTGCGAGTGCAGATACTGGATGAGGAGGGCTTCGCTCTGGCGGGCTACCGCGCTGTATTGCCCCTGGTAGACGGAGGGGCGGGTCCAGTTGTTCTCGTCGCAGATCTGGAGCAGGGTTTGCACTTCCGACAGCGTGTAGTTGCTGATGCCCCACCGTGCGGCCTGGCCGTGGGTCGTGACGGCGGTGTGGAAGGCGGAGGCTGCGGAGGTGAAGGGCGTGGAGCGGTCCGGTGCGTGGGCGTAGATGGTATGGACTTTGGGGAGCTGGAGCGCGGAGAGCGAGGCCCTGATGCTGGAGGTTATCCGTGGGATGGTGTGGTCGCCGGGGTTCGAGAGGACTTTGGTGTCGATCTTGATGTTGGGTGGGTTTGCCGGCGTGTTGTTCCTCTTCGAAAGTATCGCGAGCGCCGAGCCAAGGAGTTCCTCGCTCGTCCCCTGTGCGAACGGTGGGTAGCGTCGTGCCGTGTCCACCGTGTCGTAGCCATAGGACTGCAGTATCGTTAGAAGCTCCGCCGCCGCCTCGGGCGTCGTGGTCTTGCACATGGGATCGCTCGCTGAGCCCATGTTGGCGGCCCCTAGGACCAAGCCTGGGTGTGACTTGGGCGTTTGAGGCATGTTTGGAGTTTGTGAAAGATGAGAGGTTTTCTCGACGATGAATCCTGCGTCATCCAGGTAGTGGTGGGTAGTCAGCAGGAAGCAGCTCGGGGCTTGGAGCTTGCACTGCTTTTTATACTTCCATCTTCAAGCCATTCGGAATTCATTGTCGGTGATCTATCGGAAGGATCACCGGGCGTACGGCTGCTGCGAAGATGCGCACACAGCACAGCATCATGTGCGTTCATCCAAGTATTCTAGTTCTCACCTTTGTGGAGGATGTTGGCAATCCAGATTGCCCTTTCAACGAAGCAAAGCTGACCAAGACATCGACGGGATCCGCAACGTCACGGATGCTAGAGAAAATAGTGGATCGCTTGAACACGGCAAGCTTTTTTAGTGGTCGTAGCCGATTGGTGGCGTCGCTCATTAGCCTGGGAGGTTCAGTTGTGCATGAGATGTGAACAGATGGGCGATGTACATACATACATAACACCAACATTATCATCACACATAGGTTACTCCCGTGTTGGATCACAATGCTTTTATAATCAAGGACAGGGCTCTGAGGGTCCAATTGCTCGCAAAAAGAAGAAGGGACACCAATTATCAATCCTCCTCTTAAAGCGTCCTTCTTCCCACACCTTTTCTGGCTTTTCGGGGGCCCATCAAGCACGTAGCTTTCTAGTCTGATAGGCACCACCCTGTGAAGTTATCTAGAGAGCGGCTGCAGGATTGAGACCTCGAAAAGTCCTTTAGTCGAAGCCATGCTTATAAGCTGCGAATTGAAATGAACTAGGATAGCGAAGAAGCCACGACTTACCCAAAAGGCTGCCCTTAAAATGGTCCTTCCAGCGATATATTCTCCTCTAACAGGGGTAAAAAGAAGAAACTCTTCGTCTTCTAAAGATATTCAAGAATGATTCCATCGTCATCATCATCGTCGTGTCGCCGTAACCAAATCCCGCCAGGCTGCAGTGCAGCCTCGCCTCGTCTAACTTGCCACTTGGGATGAGTCAACTGTCTCACGTGATCTTGGCATTTCCGACTGCCACACAAATCTCTTGTAAGTATCGTTCTTCTCACCCCCACCACATCTTTTGATCGATCCGAACAACCACAGCACCCTGAAGATACTGTCAAGAGTAAGTTCTCCATATCGCTGAGATTGATGAATGCGCTGAGTATACTGACAACTATTTTAGTGCAGATGTAAGTCCCTTTTCATCCGCCCGAATTTCACCATGCCCTTTCCGAAACCACGAACGATCGAAAATTCGAAAATTCGCCACGCGGATTGAGGGAGACGTACCATGAACATGAAGAATCAAGGCTGACACAAATCTTCGCGGTTTAACAGCTTCGTAAAGACCCTCACGGGCAAGACTATCACCCTCGAGGTGGAGTCGTCTGACACGATTGACAATGTCAAGTCCAAGATCCAGGACAAGGAAGGCATCCCGCCCGACCAGCAGCGATTGATCTTCGCTGGCAAGCAGCTCGAGGATGGCCGCACACTCAGCGACTACAACATCCAAAAGGTACGCTATCACCCTTTTCCAAATCCACGTCCACAGGCAAGGAGAGAGGGAAGAGAACAGCGAGTATGAGAAAGAGACATGAAACAGGAGTCCGAACGGAAAGAAAGTGCCAGGAACCGAGAAATAATTTTGACCCTGAATTTGGAGAATTGACAGTCAAATATGTTATAGGAATCAACCCTGCACCTGGTGCTCCGCCTGCGGGGTGGCATCATCGAGCCCTCGCTCAAGGCGCTGGCCTCCAAATACAACTGCGACAAGATGATCTGCCGAAAGTGCTACGCCCGCCTCCCACCCCGAGCCACCAACTGCCGAAAGAAGAAGTGCGGTCACACCAACCAGCTCCGACCCAAGAAGAAGATCAAGTAGTGGTTGTGCGAGATCACGGGAGGAGCAGAGTTGGTGAGCGCGGGAGGTGCAGAGCATTCGGCGGTCAGGTCATGTATGGTCGGAGTTTCACACACGCAACCACATGAGGTACTGGTCGTTTTTATTTTCGAGCAGCATGGAAAGGAAATGACGAGTGCTGATTGAGTGAACGAGAATGAAATGGTGGCGATGGATCCGGTTAATGGAAAATGGGAACATCAGCTGCATTTACTAGATCAAAGTCAATCGTCTGCTCAAAATTGCTCGATCCATGACTCATGACTGCTGTTTACATCCGCATGATTTCCATGTGCGCCTGAATGAATTTGCCAGAAGGTCTTTGCCCATGCTGAATCCAGAGGCACCGGACCGACCTGTTTTCATGTCATTCTCTCGTCCCGAACAATTGGTGATAAAACCAAGAAGTACGTGCCCACATAGCCATATTAACCCCGGGTAGGCTATCATTCCCGTATATTTACCCTTGAGTATCAATGAAAACTGCCTCAGTCCCCCTTGGCGGCCGGACTCTTGTGACTGAAGAACAAGATCTTGATCGCGATTGCCAACCCGGCGTGCAACAGCACAACGGCCACCAACAAAACCTGGCTGATCTTCTTCTCTGTGGCGCTGATCACGGGAAACAAGTTCTTGACCAGGAAGAATACGCTGACGGCATAGCCCAGCCCGACCAACGCGTAGTTCAGACCATTCAAAGGCGACCATGACACCAATGCCACGGCGATCCAGAAGAGGTTGCTGTAGCCATAGAGTGCCCAGCACTCGACCAGCTCTAAAGACTGTGCACCGAACCAGCGCAATGCCCCCCACAGGCCTAGGGGGACAAACAGAGTGTACCCGTAGATCAAACCCGCTGCACCAGACAGCAGCTTAAAGTCATATTCAAAATGTTTCTTTCCCTCTGAGGCCAGCTTGTGACTGATTGTCCCGGTGAGGAACAAAATCACCACCACGGTCGTGGCAATCCAGAAGGGCCCGTACAGGTCCGGGTTTCCGTCCAAGGTATCGAGAAATGGAGGGGTGTTGGGGATGAACGGCAACAGTGCGGTGCGGCACCGGTGTAGCACGGTGGAAGTGTCGACGTCGAAGAACTGAGCGTAGAATGATAGAGACCAGAGCATGTGCTTGGATGGCACGGCCGAGGGGTCATTGGGCAGGTTTGCGGGATTCGTGCTGCTGTTGGACAGGAATGGTGTTGAATCTGCTGGGACCTTGCGGTTCGAAGGCCGTGTGTCGAAGTCTGCGAATCATGTTAGATTGAATCGAGATGGCTGAAGGTAGAGCTCACTGGAGGAATGGAACTCGAGGTCGTCGTCTTGTAGGTCTGTGTGGCCTAGATCGCCCTACAATTTATCCCGCATCAGTACTCTGACCCTGGAGGTTCAAAGCAGGTGGACTCACCTCTGTGTCGATGTCGACGACAACATCATACCCCCTGTTCGCCATGTTTACGAGATTGCTGGGACGTGGGAAAGAGGGAGATACTGTAGAAGGGGACGAGGTGAACAATTCGTGGATTCGTGAGGTTCTCCAAACACGTATACCTGACTGTCGCGCCTGCCAATGGCACTGTATGACAGTTACCGAGAGCGTGTGTCATTACAATTTCCAAGGGGCATAATGCCCACCCGGGTTGAAAATAACGAAAGAATACGCCGTAGCTATCGATACCATCTATGACTTGCCCGTCGCGCAGTCACCTCTACTGCGCTAATGCTTTATCATCTACCATTGTAGATGGATGATGGCCAACAGCTGCTGTAGCTTGTTTCGCTTTTCCGATCCTGAACCTGCACACGAGACTCCGGAGCGCTCTATTTCCCAAGAAATCTGTCATGTCCCGTGGAACTCATGAACATCCTTTCCCAACAAATGTGTGCTGGCGGCTCAACCTGAGCTTGACAGCAACCGAGCTGCCGAACCAAATAATGATTGGAGATACTGGTCCTGCCCCGTTCTACGAAGATACAGCGAAACGACAACAATAAACAGAGCGGCGGTCAACGACGTCAAGGGTCTCCGGTACTTGAGTAACTGTTTTGCCCGCTTTCTCATGAGTTCTTCCGACCGCAATTGTCGTATTTGTTTATGGCCTAAGATCTCGGCCTCTTCCAGACTTTGAGGCCGTTTGATGTCTCGAGATGTTTTGAGCACACTGTAAGACGATAGACGCCACCAGAGAAGCCCACGTAAACTCTCTGGCGGATGACTTCGGAACAGTTTCACCGAGTCCGCGGCCAGAGTGTCAATATCAAGATTTTGCGGTAATTTGGCGATCATATAGGTCAGTATGTCTGATTCACCAGGTTCCAGTTCGAGTAGTTCTGAGCGACGAGAGATGGTGATGGTGGCAAAGAGATAAATGCTCATGACCGGTTCATGTGCTAGGAGAAAATCGTACAACCGTGCAATTTCTCGGTAGTCCTGGATGTCATGGGCAAACAAGGAATGGGTCGCTGAAAGGGCAAAGCTGTTCTCAGCCTGTGAGATGTGATTAGCCAGCTCCGGATCGGCGATACTCACGACGGCCGAGACCAGCTCGAAATGCTTTCTTGCAGGGACGAGTGTTGGTAGCATGTAGTCGCGGAGACGAAAAAGAGACATTCGTGAGACAGCCTGGGCTGCGCTGTTCTGTCCCAAAACAAGTAGAAGAACCTGTACGACATCGTGGTAACTTTGAAAGTAGGAAAGTAGAGGATGCTTTCTCAGAGTTGAAATAATCAAGTCCGACAGCTGTGCTTTCTTCTCCTCGAGGGCCTGTTCAGACTGATCTAACAGCATTTAGCGGGTGGTAGCACCATTCGGCGGGAAGACACTCCAAACCTCTTGGATAGTAGACAAACGCTCGGTCAACGTCAAGTTGGACTTGATCCTCGTCGGGATGCCGGGGTAGGTTCTCCCAAGTCTTGCGAGATGTTCCCTGTAGCGGGTTTTCGTCTCGATTCCTATGCATGCAACCCAATAATATCGGCCCTTTTCGACAGTCAATGGCGTTCCAAGAGTGAACAGGGCCAGATACGCACACGCTTTTCGACGTAATTCATCGGTCAGGAGACCACCGGTCGAGGTTGCTAGCTCGACCAGCGCCTCAAAATCTGACCGTTCACAAGCCTCTTCGATGGATTTGAGCTTCTGCTGTGTGCCATGAGGTGGCGTTTGCATGACACTTGGCTCAGAAGAGTCGTGCATGGACTTGTCTTCAAGCAGGAGCGCCATGGCAGGGTCCACGATCCCTCCTATCTCCGTTGGATCTGGACCTTCTGCATACGGTGATGATGGCTTAGGTCGGTAGGCGGTACCAGACACCCACCAACAGCTGAATGATTGCAAACACGTACCGCTCCTGGAGTTGGAATTCAAATCCAACGACAAAGAACGAGGATTGTCACACGGCAGGTGTCAATGGGGTCGCCTGGGGATGGTTTGGATAAAGGTGACAGGTCGTAGCACAAAACCAGGCTGGGGGGTCGTCCGTGCCAATCTATCCGCTTTTTGAACTCACGACTTCCAGGCTGGCCTTTTGAATCAGTCAGCCAGTACTGCCTCAGTTGGCTGTATTCCGGGCAAAGTCTGTCATATTGTCAATGTTGTGACAAGGGGTATGTGGGGAGACCAAGGCCCCCGTGGATTGATGTCTGGCGGAGATTCCTAATCGGACTTGGTCTCCGTGCCAGAAGGTTTGCCATCTCGAGTCCCCGGCCTTTGTCAGCACTCTGTATTGTCAATTCCACTGCATCATTGATCCGCTGGTTCTTGGTTCTTAATTCTTGTACGTTGACACTTTACACAACCACTGATTTCCAAATTTGAGCCCCCCCCGGTTCAAGGCTGCATCGTGAGAAGGGCAGGGGTGTTGAATCTATGGAGGACACCATTGGATTTGGATGCGCGCATGGCGATTGCCCCTCGTGCTTGAGCTGCAACCTGCTGTTGTGAGCGACCGTGACCGTTTTTGAGCCCAATCATCTCGAAAAGTGTACAGTTCATGGAGACTCTATCCAGCCTGTATTCTTTCTGATGAAACATTCCGCTCTGGTGAGTTGAGTGCCGGTGCAGCACCGTTTTGCGATACCCAGGCCATCGGCGCACGCGCCCCGGCCCTGTCATATTCCTGACCTCATAAGACGCCTTGCATTGAGCTCTGCTCCTCTCCATCTCCATCTCTGCCGACTCTGTTGTTGTCCCATTTGTTAAAGTCTTACGACGCCGGCATCGTCCGTATCTCTGGCGTCTCCAGCATGCCCTCAATGGATTCAACTCCCTCTCTACCCCACCACTACACAGGCATTCTTTCAAGGACGTTCAGCTCCAGCTCAACGATCAGATGGGTCCTCCCGGCTCGAATTAGATCCTCCACTAAGAACGACGTGGTCTTTGTTGGTGAGACGTTTGTCCAGCTTCGTGAATTTCTGGACAGCGGTCAGTTGGCAGACGCAACCGCGAAACTAGACTTTGGCACTCAGATCCTCGCCGCACAGGTCATCTCAGCAAAGCTAGAGGTTGTGCCCATCATCGATGCCATTCTCAAGCAGGAGCGGGACCAGGAACAGTATAGCATACATGGACGGCCGATCGAAGACTCCCACCCGCCTCAACTTCTGGTCCTGAGCACATCTAGCAATGAGTTGATCTATGTTTACGCTAAAGAAGACTCATCGGGTGATGCAAGATTCGTGTTTGCAAAGAAATCCTTACTCCGTGGGATGAATCTCCCCATGAGACAATGTCGCCACATGGCGGTCGATCATGAGTAGGTGGGAAATGCCAGATAGAAAGACTCTCTCACTGAACTTTGCCCAGCTCCCGCGCCCTGGCGATAGCGTCGTCCAGCGGATATATTGCCATATTCAAACTTCACACAGTGGCCGACATCAAGTCTCAGGCAGACCACTGGGATCCACAAAAGCAATCTTCATTCTTGCCCTGGACAGAGGTGAGTGCGCGGCATCCTAGAAGCTTCGTTGACTGACCATCATAGCAACGGTTCATTCAGCTCGATGGTACCATCCTCAAAATGGCGTTCCTTCGAAGCTCGGATTCCGACGTCACAAAGGTCCTTCTGATTCTGTTGGTGGATTCAGGCGTGGAAACTAACCTGTTACTGTACAAGTGGGATACCCGGTCATCTCTTCAGACGATCAGACCGATGAGTTGCAGTGGTCGTCCATTGAAGGAAGACCGTTTCCCGTTGATGCTGATTTCATCAACTCGCCCGTACTCTTTCGTCGCCGTCATGGAAACGGGTATCAGCTACTATGAGAACGTCCATTCCATGGAGTTCAAACGTATCAACTGCCGCTTCACGAGCAAAACTGCCGGCCCACTCAAGTGGGTGCAGTGGGCCAAACCCAGACGACACAATCAATACTTGCAGAAACGCGACGACCTGGTCATTGTACGAGAGGATGGACTACTCCAATACTTCCAGATCGAGAAATCCTCAAGTACGAAATTCAACATGAACAGTACGGTTGGCCATTTGGGGATTCATGTCGACACGGCTTTTTGTATGCTTGCTGGCCCACCCGGCAAAGGAGGCGATATCATCATTGCTGGTGGAGACATGACCGAGGGAGGCGTATTCCATGTGTCTGCTCGAGGTGTCCCGGAGAAGACGCAGAGTATCTTCAACCTCGCACCGGTCCACGACATGATCATCGGCCCTCACGAAAGTGATACCGTTGTCGCAGCACCGACTCGACTCGAAGGATCTGATCGGCTATATCTCTGTGGAGGCAAAAGCGAAGACCGCGCGCACATATCTGAGATTCGCCATGGCATGGAAGCGCAACTGGGTTGGACGATGCCTTTCCCCGACGCTTTCGACATTCTGCGCATCTGGACACTCGAGATCTCCTGGAAAAAGAGCCTGTTGCTCCTCACGTCACACCCAACCACCACGAATGGAGTCACGTTTGACCTGGAGACACAAGAACTCGATATGATGGATTCTGACAGTCTTCCCGGGTTTGATCTCGACAACCCAACTCTCGTTGCAGCACCGATCGACAATAACTACATTGTGCAGGTGACAACAAAAGGCATCTACATCATGACTCAAGGTGTTGGTACTGAGATCAAGAGTTGCGGACACAAGGCTCTCGATTGTCTACAGGCTGACATTTTTGAGCGATACGATGTCGTCGCCATTGCCAGACAAGTTTCTGAGGGCTTCGAGGTTGGGCTGGTTTCATTTGTAGCCACGGCGGAGCAAGCGTTGCGTATCGATCCAGCACCCCGTCCTGCCACGTTGCCGGAATGGCCTATTAGCGTTTGTTGCGTAGACGTGAACGGCACTCGAGTCGTCATCCTAGGAACGACCAATGCAAAGTTACTAGCATATTTAGTCATGCCAGATTTGACACTGGAGCTGGCATTCGAACAGGAAGTCGGCGAATTATGTTCGAACATCGAAATTGCATCCATTGCAACTCTAGCGGCGCTCGGCCATCCTGATTCCCGCCTCACGATGCTTCTGTGTGGACTTCGAAATGGCATTTTGATGTGCTTGGAGATCAGGACCGATCGCAACGACAAGTTAAGTACGTAACGATCACTCTGGAATCTCTTCTCATTTCTGATCGATCACCAGGTATCCGATGCGACGATTTCTACCACCTAGGACAAACCACGGTGCAAATCTCCAAAGAAGGGACGAGTAGCGACAATATCGCAACCCCATCAGCACTCGTGCTTTGTGACTCTCGGTTATATCGGGTTACGCTGTATCAGAATAGTGCAGCAGTTGATTATGCGCTGAGTGCCTTGTGTCTGGCCAACTTAACGGCGGTAAGTTCGTCCCGTTCTGGAAACTGATTCATCTTCTAACACCAGATAGCCTGGAGAACTGCTACCCGAAGTCAATGCGGTTTATCGCGTTTCCAAATTGACGCCTCCATTCGGGGAGCCCGGTGGCCTCATTGTCTGTGCCACGAGAGAGGAGTTGTTCTTTGCATCTCTAGTCGCTCAGGAGCAAACCATTATCACTCAGCTTCCCATGAACGGCATACCGCAACGAATGCTCTATTCGAATTATTTGAAAAAGCTGGTGGTCGCCACTGAGAGGACGAAAGGTGTTCCAAGGCTGCTACAACGGCCTTACCCGGACATGGCAGAAAACCAGGCTCCAGATCCTAAGGACCCTCCGACTGTCGATCTCCCCCAAATTGAAGAATCGGTTCAAGTCAATCTGCGCATCATCGACCCTGACTGGAAAGAATCAGACGATAGGACATCGATCTCCATCGTCGAAGAGACCAATTTGCACGTGACCGCGCTGATCGAGTGGGAGTTGGAGCAGGACGATCAGTCCAAGGAGAAGGCACTGTGGATCGTGATGGCCCTGGAGCGACATGGCCGCAATGCCGACCAAGCAAGTGGCCGTGTTATCGCGGTCAATGCAAAGAATATCAAGAAGGGTCACGCGGCCCCTCATCAGCGGGTTTTGTATCGAAGCGTCAAGGGCAGCGTCAAGGCCATCTGTGCGTATGGCAGATCCTCACTGCTGATTGCTGCCGGGAACGAGGTCATTCTGCACAATCTAGACCTGACGGTGAGAAAATGGAAGACACTGTCAAAGTACGAGCTACCATCTCCAGCCACTTCAATCTCGTGTCAAGGATCGACCATCTTTGTCGCCACATCTCACCACTCTCTGATCGTCCTTGTCGAACGGAATGCAGAATTGGTGGAGCACAAGTCTGACAGTACAGCGAGAAACCTCAAGGCCGTTATTACTTTTGGGGAAAGCTGTGCAATGTTCTCGGCTTTTGACAACGAAGGCACTCACCTCATGGCATTCTCCGACTTCAACCAGGAATCAAGCCCGCCGGCGCCCATGTTCAGAGTGAACCTGCCGCTCGATGTTGATTGCATTCGGCTCCGAAAGAGCTCGCGCCCCGAGCAACGAGATCGGCACCAATTCTACGGAAGCACAGTAGACGGCACGATCTATCATTTCTCCACTCTCGCATACGACGAGTGGAAACTACTGCATTTCTTAGAAGAGTTGAGCCACATGGACCGCGAGGTCATCAAAGCCGTGCCGATGCGCAAACGAAACATCGAAAATACAGGGGTGGTATTCTCGTTCCCGACTACAAAGCTCTCCGACATGCACGTCCGAGGGGATCGCCTAGTCATGATGGTTGAGCCCGGTCCATACAATTTACGTCAACTTCTTCGCACTCCAGAGCAGCATAGGGCTTTTGAGAAACTGGCAGAGGCGGTTGTTGGGGAGACCGAACATCCCATTGAGGCCGTGGTGATTTGGGTGAGAAAGTTGTTTAGATTCCGGCCTCAGTGGTAGATTGTAAGAGGCGCTGGGATTAGGTGGAGCAATTGGCAGGGCATGGTTTACGGCGAAGAGCCAGGGCCTTGGACCCCAAAGGGCATAGCCACTACGACAGCCACTCGTCTCCTCCATGACGATATTGCTCTCCAGGTGCCTGGTCCACCAGGCTTTAGTTGAGCAGGGAGTCACGCCAGTCGCTTGGGGGGAAAGTAGAATGAATCCATAAATGTTTATTACGCCATAGGGATGACTCAAGGATAATCCAACGAGTCATCCATCCACAAGCTGGCCGGTGCTGCTCTACATGGTTAGATAGTGATAGCAAGTAGCACCGGCACTTGAGTGAAGGTGTTTTTTTATTCAGCAGGTCTGAATTGTGGACGGAGGGAGGATTCACCGCCAAGAAAGTGATACAACCGCCTCCCGCCTCCCAACATCACTCCGTGCGTTTATAACTAAGTTTGATGGTTACTGCTCGTCCTGCCCCACCAACTTTCCGCCTCTCTGCGCACCATCACCACATCCTTAAATCCGATTTTCAAAATTACTGTCCTTTGGCCAACCGTGGCAAAGAAGTGGGATTCCAGTGGATTGGCATCAACCAATCATCAGCCTCAACTCCAAGGACTTATTAGCCTGGTCCAACCGGTTCCCGCACACGACTTTATGTTGCCGCCTCTCAATCGCGAACGCTTCATCCTTTTGAACTCGTCCCACTCCATCACAATTCAACGCAATGGCGCCCAAGAAGAAAGGTGGTAAAAAACAGGCCGATGACTGGGAAGCCGATCTAGGTGAGACGGTTGATCCCATCGCTCAGGCAACGGAAGATGCAAAGCAGGCAGAACAGATTGGAGAGGCAGGCGATGGTGAGGTGAACGGTGCCGCTGGAGGCCTTCTGGCCGCATTACGAAAGAACAAGGACAAGCGCGCGAAAAAGGGCAAGCCCGTCTTAAATGATTTCGTCGACGGCGAGGATCCCGACGGTGCTGCACCGACCCCACTCTTCGCCGACCTTGATTCCAAAGCACCGGCCGAAGCAACTTTCGACGATGAAGAGGATGTCTTCGCTGGAAATTCCAAGAAAGATAAAGGTGGAAAGAAGCAACCGGAGAAGGCTGCGGAGGCCGATGATGACGAAGACAACGCAGGTGGCGGTCTAAAGTCGAAGAAGGAAAAGGAGCGTGAGAAGAAAGAGCGTGAGAAGCAGAGGAAGAAGGAACAGGTATTTCACTCGAGTTATATTGGTTTTTGCAGGTCTACTGACACGTCTTCAGGCTGCTAAAAAGAAACCCGCCGCACCTGCTGCTCCAGCTGTCCCTCCGGGCGCGAAAGCAGAATCTGCGAAGCCTGCTGCGGAAGAAAAGACCCCGACTCCAGCTGCTCCGGAAAAGGAAGATAAAAGTGGCAAGAAGAAGAAAGTCCCCGCCCACCTTGCTGCGATCCAGAAACAACAAGAGGCCTTGGCCAGACAAAGAGAAGAATCTGCCAGGCTCGCCGCAGAAGAGAAGGCTGTTGAAGACGAACGACTACGGTTGGAGGCTGAGGAGGAAGCTAAGAAGGCCGAGGCTCGACAACGGAAGAAGGAACGGGAGAGGGAAAAGAAGGAGCAACTTCGCAAGGAGGGCAAATTGCTATCTGAAGCCGATAGGAAGAAAAAGCAGCAAGCTGAGATCCGGATGAAGCAATTGCTGGAATCAGGTGTCAAAGTTGCTGGCCTCGAGGGAGATGCTGAGGAGAAGAAGAAGCCTGCTGCTAAGGACAGCAGAAAGCGAAAAGGACCGAAGAAAGAAGAGGTTGACCTTGAAGCTGCCGCTGAGAAAGCTCGACTCGAGGCTGAAGCTGCCGCAACAGAACGACAGCGGCTGGCCAAGGAAGCTGAAGCTGTGGCCGCCGCCGCCGCCGAGGCAGAGAAAGAAGAGGAATCTTCTGGCGTTGACGATTGGGAGAAGGCCGCAGAAGACGACGTCAAGGAGAGCTGGGATGCTGATTCGGATGAAGAGGCGAAGGCGAAGGCGGCGGCCAATGGCACTGCCACAGCTGCTGTTGGCCAAGATTCAATGTCCAAGTCTAGAGGTGAATCGGACAGCGACTCAGACGACTCTTCATCGGAAGAAGAGGGTACGGTCACCCAGCGAGCACTTGCCAAGAAGAAAGCCGAAGCAGCCGCTCGACGACAAAAGGCGCATGAAGAAGCACTTGCCGCTCGGTCCAAAGACAATCTACGATCGCCCATTTGTTGTATTCTAGGCCACGTCGATACTGGCAAGACCAAGCTCCTCGACAAGATCCGACAGACCAATGTTCAGGAAGGTGAAGCGGGTGGTATCACGCAGCAGATCGGTGCGACTTATTTCCCCCTTGACGCCTTGCAACAGAAGACGGCCGTCGTGAACCGAGATGGCAAGTTCGAATTTAAGGTCCCTGGTCTTCTGGTCATTGATACACCTGGCCACGAGTCTTTCTCCAACCTCCGATCTCGTGGCTCTTCGCTGTGCAACATCGCGATCCTAGTGGTCGATATCATGCACGGGCTGGAACCGCAGACCTTGGAATCAATGAAGCTTCTCAAAGATCGCAAGACGCCGTTTATTGTGGCACTCAACAAGATCGATCGGTTGTACGGGTGGAAGAAGATCGATAACAATGGCTTCCAAGACAGTTTGGCGTTCCAGAACAAAGCTGTGCAAAATGAATTTCGAGATCGACTTGAAAAGACCAAGCTCGCGTTCTCCGAGCAGGGCTTCAATGCCGAGCTCTTCTATGAGAATAAAGATATGCGACGGTTCGTCTCTCTGGTGCCGACGTCAGCGCATACCGGCGAGGGTATCCCAGATATGCTGAAGCTGCTGGTTTCCTTGACGCAAGAACGTATGACGACCAGCCTGATGTACTTGTCTGAAGTCGAGTGTACCGTTCTCGAGGTCAAGGTCATCGAGGGGTTGGGCACGACGATCGATGTCATTATCTCGAACGGTGTACTCCATGAAGGCGACCGGATTGTCCTCTGTGGTCTCAACGGCCCCATCGCCACCAACATCCGAGCGCTTCTAACTCCCGCACCGCTCAAAGAACTCCGTCTCAAGTCACAGTACGTGCACAACAAGGAAGCCAAGGCTGCGCTGGGGGTCAAGATCGCGGCCAACGATCTAGAAGGGGCCATCGCTGGGTCGCGTCTACTTGTTGTTGGACCGGAGGATGATGAGGAGGACTTGGAAGATGAAGTGATGGGTGATCTACAACAGTTACTTAGCAAAGTGTCCAAGGACAACCGTGGCGTCAGTGTACAAGCATCGACTTTGGGCTCATTAGAAGCCCTTCTGGAATTCTTGAAGGTTTCCAAGATTCCGGTGGCCAACATTTCGATTGGGCCAGTGTACAAGAGAGATGTGATGATGGCGGGCACGATGTTGGAGAAGGCCAAGCAATTTGCGGTGATGCTGTGCTTCGATGTCAAGGTTGACAAGGAGGCACAACAGTACGCCGACGAGAATGGCATCAAGATCTTCACGGCGGATATCATCTACCACCTTTTCGACGATTTCACCGCACACATGGACGCGATCAAAGAACAAAAGAAAGAAGAGAGCAAGCTCAATGCTGTGTTCCCCTGTGTGTTGTCCCCGATACAAGTGTTCAACAAGAAAGACCCCATCGTGATTGGAGTAGATGTGATTGAAGGCAATCTGCGTCCACTGACCCCGATCGCGGTGGTCAAGACTAACTCTGTCACGGGAGTCAAGGAAATCATCAGCTTGGGCAGAGTGTAAGTTCGATTGTGATGGAACGGGCGATCTGTTGCTAACCATCCTAACCAGGACATCCATTGAGCGCGAGCACAAGGCGATTCCGATTTGCAAGAAGGGCCAACCCTCGGTAGCAGTCAAGATTGAAGGCCCGAACCAGCCCATGTACGGTCGACAGCTCGAGGACAAGGACACGTTGTATTCAATGATTTCACGGCAATCGATTGATACGCTCAAAGAGTTCTACCGAGACGATATGACGACCCCAGAGTGGGCATTGATTAAGAAGCTCAAGCCTCTCTTCGACATTCCGTAGGCTGGAAAGACAAAAGAGGAAGAGGATGAGGATGAGGATGGGGATGGGGATGGGGAGGAAAGGCGGAGCGACGACGAAAATGACGAAAGAAATGGCAGTCTTTCTACTTATAAAAAGTTCAAGCATAGGGGTATTGCATTACTAGGGCGTGGTTCCATCGTTGCTGGGCAGAAGACAGACTCTTCTCATTTCTTGTATGGAGGGGAGTTCAGAGGGGACAGCGACACAGAGCGAGACGTGCACTTGAGATGAGATCAGCAGGCAATATAAAAGGCCGAGGGCCGAGGGCTGAGCACGTGTGTCTTCTATCCATCCCTCCAATCAATCCATACTCCATACAACCTGGACTTTGTGTGAAATGGTATGATGTCCTCCGTACATGCCGTAACATATATATATCTCTCGGGTGCGTGCTCGCTTGTTCCACTCGGGGATAGCGTCTGCCAAAAGCCGTTAGAAAGTCAGGAGAGACCACTAGTCCTGAATGGGGGGCACTAGGCGTTTAATGCGCACTATGGAGTCTTGATTAGTGATGGCCATGTTTGTGTTCGGAATGTCTGCCGAATAGCTGTCCCCCTACGGAGTACTTCCTCCCCATCGTGCTTGGACTCGTACTCGCTGGAATTGGATAGCGTGACTTTTCGATCAAAGTGTCGCCATCCGGAGCTGGCAGCAACCGATGGGGCTCTCACGCACCACGCCCAATAACAACGGCAGGAGCGGGCCCCCTTGGTCGCGATCAAATTTCCCTGGCCATTAGCTAAGCGGCTCTCAAGCCCCTCTCATCCACCCTGTCTAGGTGCTATCGCAATCCCCAACCGGAAAAGTCTCGTTGAACTGGACCTCGTTGTAGTTAGCATTTAGTACTGAAGGACCTGTGCTTGCTCTGACTCGTACGAGTGGTATGTATCCGTACTGCGACCCGGACACTCTCCTCCCCCCAGGCCAAGCTATTTGGCGGTGAAGTCGCAAGCCGTCCTTGGTCCTCCGTATACTTTCCACTACTTAGCCGCAAGTCAACAACCTACCTGACTATTTCTCCTTCTCCCCTCTTCCTCGTTTTCCTTACTTGTGCTGTGGTAGAAAAGAGAGAGTGCATTAGAAACCTTTCCACTCGTTTTCTCCAGAGTCGGTTGCTTCGCTCGTTGGGCCCAACGCAGGTGTTGGCTGTACCGCCTCTAGAAACATTCCCCTCCAATCGCCTCCCACCAAAAATTCAATCCTTCTGCTCAGGCACCGCGTCCTCATTCGACTCACCCCCAAGATCTCGATCCTTCTGCTCAGGCACCGCGTCCTCATTCGACTCCCACCAAAACAAGCACCTGCGTCCCCGACCTCGCCCACTGACCACTCGCTATGGATGTCCTCGCCAACGCCTCTAGCTTTGCCTCGCCTCTTGCAAATGCTGATTTGAACTTTCAGGCGTTCCAGTCCACGGGTCTTTTGGCAAGAGTCAGCGCGCAGTTTAATGTTTGGACCGTCCTGTTGAGCCTGCTCGTGCTCGGTGCTACATATGATCAATGTGAGCTATTTCCACATCTCCAAGCGGCCTTTGGGAGTCTGCAGCAGCAATTAACGCCTTTTTAGTCAGCTACCAGTTTCGAAAATATGGCATTGTTGGTCCCGCCTGGAAAATGCCCTTCATCGGCCCGTTCTTGGAATCGGTGAAACCAGATTTCAAAAAATACAAGGCTAAGTGGGAAAGTGCTGATCTGAGCTGTGTCTCGGTTTTCCACAAGTCGGTCACCTCTGCATTTGGTTGCGTTGCACCTAACTGACATAGTCCAATAGATTTGTGGTGATCGCATCCGATCGAGATCTCGCTCGAAAAGTCTTCAATTCTCCCGCTTTCGTGAAACCGACCGTTGTGGACATCGCTCCCAAGATTCTGCGACCGACCAACTGGGTCTTCTTGGATGGTAAAGCTCACGTGGATTATCGAAAGGGTCTCAATGGCCTGTTCACGCGTCAAGCATTGGAAATCTACCTTCCAGGTCAAGAGGAGGTCTATGATAAATACTTCAAAGCATTCTTGAAGATGTGCAAAGAGCGTGGCAACAAACCAACCGCGTTTATGCCGGAGTTTCGAGAACTCATGTGTGCTGTCTCTTGTCGCACTTTTGTCGGACACTATACTTCGGATGCAGTGGTCAAGAAGATCGCCCTCGACTTCTATCTGGTGACGGCGGCTCTGGAACTGGTCAACTTCCCGGTCATTATTCCCTTTACCAAGGCCTGGTACGGCAGGAAATCTGCCGATATGATCTTGGATGAATTCGCCAAGTGTGCAGCAAAAGCAAAGGTCAGGATGGCCGCCGGAGGCAATGTGACCTGCATTATGGATGCGTGGGTCAAGCAAATGCTGGATTCCGCACACTACAGAGAGAGGATCGCTCGTGGTGAAGAGGTTCCCCCATCCGAGAAGCCACCTCAGATCCTCCGTGACTTTACCGACAGCGAGATCTCTCAGACCATTTTCACATTCCTGTTTGCGTCGCAGGATGCCACCTCAAGTGCATGCACATGGTTGTTCCAGATCATGGCCGATCGCCCAGAAATCCTGGAAAAAGTCCGTGACGAGAACTTGCGTCTTCGAGACGGAGATCGCAACAAGCCCTTCGACATGGACATGCTCGAGTCGATGGTTTGGACACGAGCCGTTGTCAAGGAGACTCTTCGATATAGGCCTCCAGTCATCTTTGTGCCATATGTGGCCAAAAAGGATTTCCCCGTCACTCCTGATTATACTCTAAAGAAGGGGTCCATGATTATTCCTGCCTTATGGCCCGCCACTCATGATCCTGAAGCATATCCCAATCCTGACAGCTTTGAACCCGAGAGATGGATCACCGGTGACGCCGACAAGCAAGTCAAGAATTGGATGGTGTTTGGTACCGGGCCTCATTACTGCCTTGGTCAGACTTATGCTCAATTAAATTTGATGGCGATGATTGGCAAGGCAAGTGTCATGATGGATTGGGTCCACGAGCCGACAGCAATCAGTGAAGATATCGAGGTGTTTGCAACCATTTTCCCCCAGGTAAGACCAGAATCCGCGGACTTGACAGACCAGACAGCACTGACATGAATGATAGGACCATTGCAAGCTAGATTTCACCGAACGAGCATAGATCTGAATATTTGATTTATTTGTGTCTTGCGTTTGAGCGATGGGAATTCCAGTCCAAGCGTCGCGGGAATTCCATCAGTGTACATTGCACGCCCGGGACAGCCTCGGGAACGATGACAAACACCATTCGTCAAACAGAGGATCGTCTTTTCGGAACGAAGAGTCGATTCCCTGTTGACTCGTCGACCGGCTTGTTCTGGTCTCCCAGCCCAATGAGGCGTTACGGTCAGGAGTCCAGCATCCCGCCTGTTTGATCCAGGGTAGAAGAAGTATGATTATTGTACATAGATTTGGGAACCAGCAAGAGCTTGGATAGCTCTATAATTGGACGCACGCCGGTAATCAAATAGATTTATCGGGCTCCAGACAGGAATTGGTTGTGCATAAAGGAAAGTTATTATTATTATTAATCGGATATCCTTATCAGGATTATCATCAGGACAGTCGTTCATCCCACGTATGTAATACGATGCGTAAAGACTCGCAAAGGCTAGGAGTAGTGGCGATGGTAACAAACTAAGGGTTGGGCAATTCGTGATGCAACCCCTTTAGGGAACGGGGTGACGCCGCCCTGTACTCACCTCCGTCTCGCGCACAGACTGCAGTCATGGCAGGCCTGATCTACCTTTCATATTTACACCAAGAAACGTGTTATATATAGCCAAACCAAATAGTTTTCTTACGTATGTTAGGGTAGGTCCTTCTTGCGTAATCAACGGAAACGGCTCCTGCCACCAGAGCTGTTGAATGGCGCGAAGACAACAATGATACTGTAACCAACCAGCCTGCAAACCTTGACGTTGTTGCGAAGTGGTTTGCTCTATAGTGGAAAAGGCTAAGGCGCAAAGAACTCATTCTCCAACAGACTATCGTGGACAGACCACAGAATTGCTGAGACCGCAAAGGAGAGGAGTGGAGTATGGCTCTCAGCACCGTGCCACCGAACTAAATTGAGTATATTAGAACAGCTTGAGTAATTATCAACACTTCTACTTCGTTTGAAGTCACGAAGGCAATTTCTTTTTCATCCTAGGGGTCTATGCTTGTGGAAGCACGTGCTTGGAAACCACATGCTTACCGTTCGATGAAACCCATTTCGGTGAGCTCCATTGACCTTTCTATTTGCGAGGAAATTGTTGGAGATCAACCACCATCATACGCCAGTTTCTTCAAAATTCCATCCCCCGTTCAGCTATCTATGCACCTCTAAGCCGTCTTTCTGACATAAGCGACTGGTCCGACATAAGCGTGCCTTGCACGAAGTATGTAGTAGGTGAAGGCCAAGAGCAACAATCCCCCATACACGGCGATCGCCCAATTCATCTGAGCAGCTGCAGGATTCGGTACGGGAGGGAAGAATGCAAAGACATACACAACGGCGCAGAAACAGAGGGACGCAATGTTGATGGGAAGGCCGAGCTTGCCGAGCTTCAATTTTGATGGCAGAAGAGGGTGACCCCGTAGTCGTTTCCAGGTAATCGTCCCAATGGACACCATGTATGACGTGAGGAGTGAAACAGTGCCGACGGACAAGATGATGTTGAACGCGAGAGCTGAGCCGATGTAAATGCAGTGAAAGACACACGCCCAAGTTGCAGAGACCATGATGGCGACAACGGGAACGTCGTAGCCAGGTGGCACACGAGACACCCATCTGTGGAAGGGAACTCCCTTGTCGCGCGCGAAGGAGAACATCTGGCGCGATGAACCTGCCATGGTGGTCAGATTGGCGCAGATGTTGAGAATGATCAAGAGACATGTGAGGCCTGACGCTCCGCCAGCAGAACCAGTTGCCGTATTGAAGACTTGAATGATGGGGTAGCCAGTGGCTGAGGAGAGATCCTCATCAAGATCGCCCAGGGTGTAGAGGAATGTACTGGAGCAGATGTCAGCCTGCCGCGTACGCAGAAAGGGAGGAATCGCTTATTACACAAGCATAAGAAATCCGAGAATGCCGTTCACAACAATCGTCCAAATCATTGCTCGGGGGAGCATTTTCGACGCATTCTTCAACTCTTCCGCCATGTGTGCCGCAGCGTCTCCGCCAACAAGGGCGCCGGCATTCGTGATCATACCGACAAGACAGGCAACTCCGACTAGAGAGGTAAGCGAAGAACATCGACCAAGACTCAGAGAAACTCACTGCTTCCCCAAGGTCCTCCATCCACGAACGATGTCCAAACTTCCGAAGTTGGCGTCCGTGGGGCCATGACCCATAGAGGGACCAGAATAGCAAAAAAGCCGGCAAGATGGAGCACCAAGATGATGCCTTCTACCAGCGGGAGGTGCTTTGCCAGGAAAATATTGAAGAGAGCCACACAGATCGAGATTGCAATGGCCATCAGTGTTCCATGCCATCTTTCCGGCTGGTAAGTGTCTGGGTAGTTCAAAATGATGAGACCTTGGATGAGCGTGCCGGCAACATAGGCCCCGATCGTCGTTCCGACCTGATATCCTAGAATACCCAGCCATCCGATGAAGTAAGATAGAAGGCGTTGCACGTTGGGTGGCGCAAATTCGGAGACCCAGTGGTATTGTCCGCCTGTAGTTTTGTCAGTGCGTTCTTGGCAAGACCAGAGTCCAGAATGTCGGAGTTGGTAGTACCTGACGTCGGTGCCATTGACGCCATTTCCGCCATCGAGACACCAACCAAGATAAAGCCGGACCAGGCGGCGAGAAAGGTCCAAATAAGCCCGCCAGGCCCGCCGTTGCCTAGGCCAAATGCCACGGTCGACAAGAGTGTCTCCCAGGTGCTCATGATGATCAGGGCAAACCCGAAAATCGACACAAAGCCAAAGTTCCGCTGCAAGAAAGATCGTCAGTTCTGGCTCTCTGGTCACGAATAGTCGGCGGGGCCAACTTTGAACAACTGCTCCTTGCCCAGGCGATCCATGTCTCTCTTGTCTGCAACAGAACCAGTCTTGTCTCCGAGCAGAGCCTCGTCGTTGAGCTCACTGCTCGGGTCAACTTCGTATTCAGCTGACTTGTCCATTTCTATTGGATTATCTTCAAAGTTCGGCTGAGCATGTATAAGGCGAGCATAGAGGAGAGGAAGATGTTGGATGTGAAGGGGAGAGCTTTAGCAGGGGAATTTTATGCAGGCCAAGTTTCGGCAATTGCAAATGTTCTTAAGGCCGTGGCAACACCGCGTGGTAAACTAGGCTTCTGTTAGTCTATTTAGCCATGTTTTCCCCTGCCTAGACGCAGGGCATGGTTGGCGTGGCTGGCGTGGCCTGGCTTCTATAAAGATCGAAGGTATGTAGCAGAAAGACATGGTCGAACTCTGTAAGCGACCTGAGCAGCCAAAGGAGCATTTTGCGATTGATTCTAGCTCTGACAAGCATCATCATAGGCACCGGTTTTGACAAGTCTAGCTCCTCCCCACGTCCTTCTTCTGAGGACGAACTCACCTTGCGTATCATGCCACAAATCAAGATGAAAAGATGGAAGACGAACCACGAGGGTGTGGGCAAACTTGAACATACCCGCATAATGTATGCGTTAGACCTAGCCAGTTGCTGAGAGTCACTAGCGCCGCCGCCGGAGACCCCACCCGCCAGAAGTCAAGGATGAATGTGCATCAGATTGACCCTGCTTGGTTCTAGGGATGATTGCGAGTCGTACAGGACTGTCCCAGTACGGAGTACGTATGTAACAACGCATTTTGAGTTTTCCAGCAGTCGTTTTCGATGCTGGACATCACCACTCTTATCAGAGCTTCGGGCCCTCCTGGACAAGGTTTTTGGCTGGTCTGCGCCAGCGGCGCATTCCAGGTTGGGCTATACTCCGTACCTTGGATGGACTTGGAGCGAGTCTCAACAGGCCCATCTCATGAGGTGAAGAAAGGCTCTTTTGGCCAAGGGCCAGGAGCCTTTTTGGGGCTAACCCACACATTCATCCTGGAACCAGCATGTGCCATCTCTATATCAACATAGCATGAGTACAATATGTAGTACACATCGCTCAATTCAAGAAAGGCCTCATGGGTCTCCAATGCAGAAGGTGAATCTAAGCGTCGTGGCAGTGGCTTGGGACATGCAAGCCTGCATCCCCGTTCGGCTCGTTGAGGACGGCGCCGAACCCCCGGAAAATCCCGGACCCTCCTGGAAGTGGATCAGCCGAAGGTCACTAGGCTTGAACTCCAAACCCCAAGGCCCAAGGGCCAATCAGCCCGCTCGCTCTTGACTGATAGCCTCGTGAACTTGGCTGCTAAAGGCAAAGATCTACGGGTTTCTGCATATTGTCATTTGCTTTGCGACAATATTCAAGATCGTGGACCAGGTACCACCCAGCGAAGATTACCCTTGTCAGGCAGGCATCTGTACTGTGTGCCTGTAGAGTGGTCACACCACGGAGTGCTGCTGCCTTTGATGCGTTGCGAATCATGTCAAAGTCACAGAATATTGTTTGGGTAGTGGCAACACCCAGGATGTCTGGTTTTTGAGTTCAGCCTTCAGTCGAGGAAGCGTCCCTCACACAAGCTTCTAATGTATGTCAGGGGAGCTCAGGGGCATGAGCAAGCCTGTTTAGCACTGGACATAATACATACATACGTACAGTCAGAGTAGCAGACTTTTAACAATGGGGTCCCGCTACAGAGCCAGCAGTTTTGACTCTTGGGCAGCGACCATATCATCATCATCATCATCATCATCATCATCATCATCATCATCATCATCATCATCATCATCATCATCATCATCATCATCATCATCATCATCACGATGTCTGACTTTTCGGCGGAGGCGCCCGTGTATGGCCCACGACCGTTCCCTCTTAGCGAACATGATCGCCGGGGGGTCGTTCTGACAATAGGCGTCTTATATATCATTTATGCCTGCATGATATTGGTGATGCGTCTAGCCAGCAAGTACAGGAACATAGGCCTCGATGACTGGTTATCGGTTGCGGCAACTGTATGTTCAGATGCTCTATAATTGACTACATGGCCAAGTTCTTACCATCCGCAGGCCCTCGCAATACCGCAGTTTGGAGCCGTGATTGCCGCAACAGTCAAAGGGAGCTTCGGCGCTTCCTACAATCTTGTTTCGTCAAGTGATACTGAAACTGCTGCTCGAGTAGGCTACAGCTTTGACTTCACCACAACGGGTCTGCTGACAGGCACAAGTGCATCCGAGCTGGTGACGTCCTCTTCCTTCTGGCGATTTTTGTCGCCAAATGCTCGGCCATTTGGCTGGTTCGACGCCTGTTCGCCTCGTCACAACGTCAAAAGCGTGGTTTGTGTGAAATTACCATCGGTCTGTGTGCTGCATGGTGCCTAGGTTCTATACTAGTCGTCACGGTCAAATGCAACCCCGAGGGTGTAATTGACTCGGATACAGAGGGGAGATGTTTGGGTCTTGTATTGCTCATTCCGACAATATCTTCTTCAATTTTGGCTGACCGCTGGCTAGGGAAGTCGCTGGATTATCATCGGGGTGCTCGATGCAGTGCTTGAAATCATCATCTGGGTACTATCTTTGGTCGTGCTCATTCCCCTCCAGATGAGTTGGAATCGAAAAGTGCAGGCATCCGCAAGCTTCATTCTGAGATTGCCGTAAGACTTCCGTCACCGGCAATATTGGAACCCACGCTGATCGAAGAAAGCATCATTGCCTTCATCGGGCTCAATATTAAGTATGTGTCAGAATTGAAGTCGGCGTCCGACGCTGGGGTTGCAATCATATTACCAGTTCTTATTCGGCAAGCCGAACTGCTTTACGCGCTTTGCTCTGCAGCCATGCCAGCGTTGAATCAGTATCTACGTAAATTCGACACAAGCAACGCCACTCAATTTGGGTATCGACCAGATCAATACGGGGCCACCGGGCACGACTATGAGATGAGCAATTTGTCCAACCACAGAATGGCGACAGGAGCGGGAAACAAGAGTGCAAACAACGGCACTGGCGATAGCGACGATTCTGCAGCACAAAGTTCCGGCGCCGACTTCAGACCTCCTGGATATACACTGTACCATGCGAGGATTGATGGGCCAAGGGTCGGAAAGAGCAACGACGGGGTCTCCAGTGCCTCGCAGGAGGACGGGTCGGTAGAAAGGCACGGCAGTGAGGAGCACATCATTCGGAAGGAGGTCGTGTACGACGTCCGATGTGAATAGACGCATCCAGACCCTGTCTAAGCAGTCCTCTTGTGCCAATTTTCACTTACCAGGGGTGGCCATCACAGTCTAGGACTTAGGGCATTGGAACTGCCCCTCTTCTACAGCCGCACCCGAGTGCTGATTCGTCGAGTTGAGGGCTATATCAGTGGGGCCGGAGCATCGCCTGTATGTAAAATACATGTACCAATGAGCCCTACTGGCACCCATTAGGACACAGGAGCGGATTCTGTAGCGTCGAGGTTAACATGATTTGTGTTTGGCCTAAAAGTCAAATTCTACGGAGCAGCTTACAAATATATTTTGCCAAAGAGGGAGAAACGACCTGTATCTGCAGCAACTCTCTAGCAGCCTGTCGAATCCAGAGAATATGCATGGCGCCCATATCACAATTGTGTCCAAGGGGACACAATGCCTTGAATACCGCCCCGGCCAGGCTTTTCATTCTACAAACCAACGGATTCTCGCAGTTCAGCAGAGGAACCGCGCCATAGGCCCTAGCCGCACGGGGATGCGGGAGCGTAGTGACATCCCCGCTCTGTAGTTCCGCCGCAAAACAGCCTATGGTATATAGTGCAGATTTTTCTTGTCCCAAAAGGACCAAGATAAACAGTCTGAGATAACAAGGATCGCCGCTCAAAAACGACTTCCTGACAACAGCCAATGATTCCTTCTTTCCACTCCAGGAATTTCTCACCATGCCAGTCCGTCCTGCCACAAAGGCCGACCTCCCGATTATGGCCGCCATCATGGCCGCGTCGTTTGGTCCTGACCCCTTATTCCAAGTGATGTTTCCGCATCAGTCTCAACATCCCGAGGCATTTTTGCAGGCGTTCGAAGAGTATCTGTGGCTCTCTTGGTACGACTACGGGAGATGTCTACTTGTGTCCTACCACAAGACCTCCACAGAAGCAAGCCAAAGCCAACAATATGGAAAGACCGAAGAAAAAGCTCGGGAGACAGAGCCACTACTTTTCCGGAATGCGAGGCTGATTGTGAGGAAGAATCAAGTCCTCACTGGTGTTGCAGAATTGGAGCGAGTGGGCAGGGGATGGGAGCACATCTACGGAATCTGGGGGTTACTTGATCCACGTAAGAACTAGTCATTGTCCTCTCAAATTCTCAAACAATTAGCTTCATCTTCTTTGAAAAAGAAATCTCACTTGTTGACTCTTTGCATTTCTTACCAGGTCTTTTGATCAGGCCCCTATTGGCCGCCTTTTACACCTTCCGCCGTCGCGTCTATGGTAACGAAGCAGCCGCCCAGGCAACTCGAGACAATCCTTCACCTCTCACGTACTGGAATTTCCTGCCGTCCATCATTCCGTTCAGCTCGCCCTTCTTCAGTGCCCCTCATCGACAAAGGCACTGGTCATTGGAAACTCTCGCCATCCATCCTGACCACCAAGGGAAGGGTTATGGGAACAAGCTTGTCAAGGAAGCGTTACAGGTGGCCAAGACCGACCCCGTCGGCGATTTTCCCGTCTGTGTCATCGCTGCAGATGGCAAAGAAGGATTTTACGAGAAATGTGGATTCCGGCACCCCGTTGGCAGGTTAAGTGAGACAATAGATGCTAGTGGTGGTGCCAATCCTTTGAGAGCGAACGGCGTTGGTGGAGGCGCTGTGCTGTGGACAAGATGAAGCCTCTGACACGTGGAGTTTGCCAATTCAGAGAGGACTCTTTCGCCAGGTGGATCGGAATAGACAATCTTTTCGCATTATGCGAAGCCATTCCAAGAGCTCTGATCGTCTCGAAAGACGTAACGAGCTATGAGCCTCATGTAACGACATTTAGGTGTCTGAAATTAACATCACAATCTTTCTACGCTTTCGACAGTCATCTATAGTCCAATTACCCGGTCACTTACCTGTCCTCGTGCTCCTGCCAAGGCCCTCCGCCCGGACACAAATTCTTGTATTTTAGGGGCGGGCATGTTTTCACCATCGATGTGTACTCACCGTCAGGGTACACAATATCGGCCGAAAGTCGATTTCAAATGCGCGCTGGTCCATTTCTAAACTCAAGTCAGTGTAGCACGCCTCACTACCGGAGCGCACCCATTGTGAGCGTAATCCCAAACTCAGCTTACGCTCAATACTAGCGCACACTTACCACCCTTCTGAGCCTACTTCTTCTGAGAATTGCAGGATTGAATGGAACCATCAGGGCGAGGCTGAGTTGAAGGGTGAGGTGAGAGGAGGGCAAGTCACGAGGAGGCGGTTCTAAAAGCGGCACGGTCGAGGTGAGCGCTCACGTGAGATGCGATTAGATTGTTTGAGCCGCCGGGTTCAAACCTCCGCGTAGTCTCCGCATTTGTTCCTTGACTCCGACTTCTCCACCGCTGGCCTACCTATATCGGTTGTCACTATCAACCACAATTCGTGACCACATCGCCGGTGAGTCGGTGACATTGTCAAGCCAAAAGGCGCTAGGAGGATCGAGAATCCATACAGAGTACTCAGTGCTGGTTCTGAACTCGTATCAATAAGTGTTGGCTGAAGCAACTTTCGGCGGAAAGATTGCTACCACGCTTCCCCTACGTTTCAGCCTCGCCCAAATCCTGACGGTTAGGACAGCGTTTCAGCACAGCTGCTGCATACCACATCCGGCATCACACTGTCCTGACTCTGGTGTGATGTAGCTCAAGGAAAACCAACCATCGACCACTTATTGTCTAGCGTCTGAGCAACCTTTCAAGCGCATAGATACCTTTGTGGGGGTTGTTGTTTTTCGGGTTCCATTGTTTCTCTTCGGAACTGGCACGAAGCTCACCTCGATCGGATCATCGGAGCCATCGTCGCTCATGGCAAGCCTCCCGTCTTTGCCACGAGTGGGCTACCGCGTATTATCAGTATCATCATTATCATCATCTCGTACGACGGCTCGAAGTCGAGCATTCTCGACGTCTAAGGCTCTAGATGCTGACTTCACGCATGCGGTGAGTTGGGGTTCTTTCTCAATGCCTTCTCTATCAATTATGATCGCTTGTAGGCCACTTTTTGGTAACGGATGGAAGATGCAGACTCCAGCCAGAGAAACATCGGGCTGATGCATGAGTTTTTCTCTTTGTTGGTACACAGGTCATCGGAGCCGGCGCCGTTGGTCTTGCGGTTGCGCGACAACTTGCTACGAGAAGCGGCACCTCGACGATTTTGATTGAGAGGCACGACGCGGTGGGCACGGAGACCAGCAGTCGCAACTCCGAGGTAAGATGATACATTTCATTTATGTTCTCCATCACCGCCTTGTCGAACCCCTGCCCTCCAAAAAAGAAGGGCGGGAGACGAAAGCTTCGCCCGACATCGAAAATTTAAACTAACCACCTACCTCAACAATCACCAGGTGATCCACGCAGGGCTCTACTACGGCCGCGGCACGCTCAAAACCCGGCTCTGCATCCGCGGCAAGGAGCTGCTGTACGCACTCGCGTCGGCGAACGACATCCCGCACCGGCGAACGAAGAAATGGATCATAGCACAAGACGCGCAGCAGATGGAGCAACTGCATCGCCTGCACGAGTTCTCCCAGACCATCGACGTTCCTACGCACTTCCTCAGTCGCGAAGAGATCTCGCGCCAGGAACCGGACGTGCGCGCCGGGGCGGGCGTGCTGGAGAGTCCGACCACCGGGATCATCGATTCGCATGCATTCATGGCGTATCTGCAGGGGAGCTTTGAGGAGCGCGGGGGTGAAGAGGTGCTTAATACCGTCGTTACAGCGATCGAGAAGCTTGGTCATGGGGAGGGACCGGGCTACGCGATAACGACGCGCTCGCGCGACGGCGCAGGCGGCGAAGATACCATCACGGCCGAGACGGTGATCAACTCTGCAGGCCTGGGTGCGATCACGGTGAGCAACATGCTGCTCCCGGCCGAGCGACATCTGACTCCTTTCTACGCGAAAGGCAGCTACTTCTCCTACGCAAGCGGGCACCCCAAACCCCAGACTCTCCTGTACCCGGCCCCGGTTCCTGGGTTGGGTGGATTAGGCACACACCTGACACTCGACATAGCTGGCCGCGTGCGCTTCGGGCCCGACGTCGAATGGGTCGACGACCCGAGTGACCTCTCGCCAAACCCGGCGCGGCTCGCGGCCGCCCTGGACATGATCCAGTCGTATCTGCCTGGGATCCGGCGCGATGCCGTGGATCTTGACTACTGTGGGATCAGGCCAAAGCTGGCGAGGGGTGCGAGCGGGACTTATGGGAAAGATGGCACGGGGTTTCAGGACTTCTTGATCCGAGAGGAAGAAGGTTACGCTGGGTTCGTGAATCTGCTGGGTATTGAGAGTCCTGGGCTCACGAGTGCGTTGGCCATTGCCGAGGCTGTCCAGGACATTCTTTACGGGGAGAAGGCGACGGCGTGAGATTTCACTCCGGAGCGGGAAGGGAGCGAAAGAGAAGGGGGGCCGCTCTTTGAACGGTGTCGGCGGGCCATATGAGAGCGGTGTTTGGGGATGGTAACTCGACGCGCTGTGATTGGAATTAATCTCCAGGACAGGATAGGTCTCAGCCGCCGTGTAAACGCCCCGCTCAGCTTGGACATATATGGGGCAAGGCGTTGCCGCAGCCTTCTACCAACTAACCGGTTAAGCACATATCACGGGCAGAGAGAGAGAGAAAGAGAGAGAGAGAGAACGAAGGGATGTGATGTTGAGGTGGGGAAACGGAAGCGGATAAGGATAGGTTAGACGTCGGAAGCTCTATTACATTATACCACGGTATGGATGGAGAGGATATAAGCAATCTTACATGAGGAAGCTGAACGGATGGACGCGAGGGGTTTAGGGGTGTCACTTTTGACAAAGTATTGACGCTATTACAAGAGTCGGATTCTATCGTCTGGAGTACTAGGTAGGTGATTCTATAGCTGTACATCCACACATATGCGATAATCTTACAAAATTGGTTCGCCAGCTCAATTACAAGAGGTTGATCACTTTCCCGAAACTTGCAGCATCTCACCGACACTGCCGAATTTCTCTCTCGGCTTCCCTCTCACCTCACCCGCCTTCTTCTCTTCCCTATCTATGTTCTGCCAGTTTTCCCAATGCACAGGCTGGAGGCCAAGGTTCATAGTCTGCGCGTCCCGGAGCACTCCTTGCCAGCCGAGTCTCTCCGGGGCCAGGTTCTCTCGAGCGATTTCTGAGATGTCGCCACTGTGGAAGGTCTTCTTCCAGTCCTCGACGACGGCGTCGGCGGTCTCGAATGCATCGGTCATGGTGGATGCGATGACGCCCGTAGGGCCGCGCTTGACCCAGCCGGAGCAGTACAGGCTTGCCTTTTTGGTCGTGCCGCTGCCAGATTGCGGGACTGTGTCTAGGGGAACAATGCGGCCGGCACCATCGTGTTGGATAGTGCCCTTTCGCTCGTCGAAGTTTGCACCTAGCTCGTCCATACCTGGAATTGCTTCTGCCTTATAGCCGATTGAGCGAAACAGGGTTGACGTGGCAAGAGCGACTGTTTCTTCTCTAGAAGACACTTTAGAGTGGGATGAGGCGGGGTCTTCTAGTTTCGTCTTGGAAAATGTGACGCCTTCGAGTTTGTTAGGGTCCTCCGTAGACCACTGGATGCTCTTCGGGGCGAGGAGAAAGTCTAGAGACCATGATTTGGTCGCCTTATCTTTCAACGGACTCCCTTTTTGAAGGAGCTCGAGCAGTCGGCGTCTTGGCCTCGGCAACGCCTTCAGGTCTTGCGGAAAGTATTCATTTGGGATCGGAGTGAAATTGACGTCGTCCAGCTGAAGGAGTTCCCGAACTTCCTTAATTGTAAATGCTGCTTGCATAGGTCCTCGTCGACCAACGACATGAACATGTTTGATCTTGCTCTGGGAGAGTGCTTCCAGTGCATATTCGGTGATATCGGTCTTCCGGAGATCGTCCACCTTACTCAGCAGTGTCCTTGCCACGTCCAGGGCCACATTACCTTGACCAACCACAATCGCGGTCTCGCCGGCTTTCAGGTCCGGATTCAAGTCTCGATATTCCGGGAGTCCATTGTACCAACCCACGAATGCTCTTGCAGAATATATGTGTGGCTTGTCTTCACCGGTCAGACCCAGCTTGCGATCTTTGGAAGCGCCATATGCAAAGACGATCGCATCGTAATGTTTGGCCAGGAGAGGAAGAGGTAGTTCCAGCCCAAGGTGGACGTTTCCAATGAAGGTGTAGTTTGGGGAAGCAGCGACATCCTGGAAAGTATCTTGACAGTTCTGGTGAGCGTCAGAGAGTGTCGCTTGCGCAGGAGTGTGCTATCCAGGACGACGAGATCTACCTACTTTGACTTCTGGATGGTCTGGAGCGACTCCGAACCTGACGAGACCGAAAGGCACTGGCAGCTGCTCGTACATGTCAATTTTAGTATCATGGAGCGCTCGCATCAGCTTCTGAGCTGTATAGAAGCCCGCCGGCCCCGAGCCGATGATTGCTACCGTTGGACTTGGGCCATTCCCTTGTGCCTTGCCATGGAGACAGCGAAGGAAAATGCTAGAAATTGAAGCATTCCGAGGAGAAAGAGCTCTTATGCCAAACACCAGGCGCGAAGAGCCGTTTATCAGCATGTCGCCATCGTCTCCCCTTCATCAATGCCAATAACTGAGAGTCATCGAGGATGTATTTGACTGCGCAGTTTAGGTTGGAGAAAATCTTGGGGAAAACTCGTCCTGTGATCGGCCGTATTTTCTTATCGATAACGGATGGGACCACCGTCCTGGTCATTTGACTAATTTCTCGCGACCACAACATCGACCCGCTCGAGCAGATATTCCCTTCGCTACACATGCTACTAAGGCTAGGGTTGCATTCCCACATCAATGCATTTGATAGCGAATGGTCGATTGGCCAAGGAGGCGATGGCACTATTTGATGAGGTGAACACGTTAATCTGAGGTAAGCATCAACGCCACAAATGTGCCAAGCGCAAACCCAGAAGGGACTGCGGTCGACCATCAACCGCTGGGCCAGGAATTCACCAAGCCAATCTGTTTACGAGAAGATCTCATGGCTATCGTACATATCTGCGAGAACTGTGGTTGGATTCCAAATCTGTGAGAAGGCGACCCGCGAAGCGTGGACTGCCATGTTATGTCCATTCCCCGTTGTTCCCATCGACTCTGCGCCTTCAGCTCAATTTGTCCCACGGGGTATACCAAAGTTTGACAAACAATCACCTGCTTTGCGCCTAGAAATGCCTTTCGTATCCTCAAGGCTTTCCAAACCCTGAATCAGCCTGCTGATATCGTACGCCATACAATTGGTCGGCGTAGATGAGCACGAAGGACTCATTTCAGCCGTTTACAAGAATCCCATTTGTTGCTTTTTCGTTGTATGGCCTCAATTTCTCCGGGAGTGGTCCTCCAAGGTTTCCTTTCACACCATGAACGATTAGATAGCAATTTCCTTCAGAAGAACATCATTCTTGAGTGGTAGCAGGCCTTTGGCGGTCATGGCAGCAATCCTCTTCCTCTCCCCCTCCTCCGCCTTCCTCAATGCCCTCCTTGCCTTCTTCCGTCGGTTTCGCCGGTGCTGGTGCTTGTCGGTCCACGCTGTTGCGTCAAGGACCGGATAGAGGATCTGTAGCTGAAACACCCCGTACAGCTTTATTGCGTTGTCCAACATGACGGAAACGATTGATTGCCTCGCCAGAATTGGTGGATTGTTGATCGCTCGTTGGTATCCTTTTCTTCCTCCTCCTTATCGTTGGTATGGTCGGCAGTCCTATCGTAGTAATTGAGGGACAAGGGAATCAATCAAACAGCGGAGTGGTTCTTTCATGGGAATGAAGAGACTCATGGCCATACCCTACTACTCAGCAACAAAGCTTACAGCTCGCATTAGACAGGCTGGCGAAGTGGGCATGCCGGTCTTTTTGCACTGCTCGATGACTGGGTTAGGCCCGACCAGTCATGCCTGACCCATTGAGCATTGAGCATTAACCTACCATGACGACTTTGACAGGGCCACTGTGGGACACTTCATAAATGATTGTCATTCAGGAAGAGCATAAATCCCGATTCTGATTTCCAATGATCCGAAGCCACGTTCGCCGGAGGGCTGTAAGCAATGATAGGGGGGCCACTGGAGGCAAAGCGAAAGAGGGTTTCTGTCAGAAAAGCCAAATTACGGAAGTACAGCCTTGTTGGTTGAGCCATTTTTCGGAGATTGACGGCTTCCGCCCCGGCCGAACTCACGGAAGTATTTATGCAGAAACACGAGCAGGCCCTAACACAAAATAGAATCAAGATCGACATGGGGCATGATTATGCTGGCTTATGCAGACGATATGAAGAACCTAGCCGCGTGTGGAGGTGAGTTTGGACCAATCTTCGAGATCTTGAAACATCTACGGTTCTCGCCTTGTCTGGCATTGGTCAAAGTCCTATGTATTGGATCAGACGACCTCCCTCTTGATGAAGCCGACCCCTTTTCTTTTCCTTTTCACTGGCTCCCAGATGGATGCTCGCAGAGCGTCACATGAGTTGTGAAGATAGGTGAAGCTTCTGCAAGAGCACTATTTCTCAATGGTGGTGGAGGATTTGACCCGGGAAGCCGATCCAATTTCAATGACTAATAGCGGTCAAAAGTCTGGATACCAAGACTGGGGAAAGGCTGCTCTTTGCCTGCCTTTGTACTCCGTACTCGCTAAAAATTACACTGGAAATACATACTCCGTCCTTGTGAGAGGTTGTCGGTCTCATTCGATCTATGTACAATGACTACCTAGGTAAGGGGCATGCTGGTGGTCGGCCTGCGGGCATATCATATGTCCCCTTGTCCCTCACACGAGCTCCCGTGCCTTTACCAGGAGTCTGCTGCTCATGTCCATTCGCGCCACAGGATGCTATCCAGACCACTCTAGGCTTTGGTTTTCAGCCACTGTTCATACCTGCTGATGCGATGAGCTTTCCAAAGATTCAGTACGAGGTAACGGCAAAGGTTTGGGGTTCATCCTTTATTAATTGGCCAAAGACACGGCGAGAAAAAGGCGAGAAGCTCTCGACTAAGCGAGAAAGACTTGCTGTTGCCTGACTTGGCAGGTGGGGATAATGCATGTCGCATGTGGACAGTTGAGGTGCCTCACTCAGCCTGATCGTCTTGCAAGTTGCGACTTCACATGGAGCCGCTTCTCTACTGTTTATCCTCTCAATTCATCTCTCTAGACCTCATGCGGAATTATCGCGCAGGCACTCGCCGGCGAACAAATGACTGGTGGGAACCTGAACCCAGTTGATTACACCGGACTTTGTCTGTTATCGCTTGACGGTGGTGGAGCCCGCGGCCTATCCACCCTTTACATCTTGAAGAGCCTCATGACACGGCTGAACCACGAACGTCGAAAAAAGAGAGCTTCGCCGCTCAAGCCATCTGAATTGTTTGACCTTATTGGGGGAACGAGCACAGGAGGGTGAGTGCCAACCGCACTTGGGGGACCACGAACCGACTCGCTGAAATGAAATGTGGCAGCTTAATCGCCATTATGCTTGGTCGACTAGAGATGGATGTGGATGCATGCATCTACGCCTACACTGAATTGATCAAGGTGGTATTCAAAGAGAAGAGACACCGAGCACCCTTTAGCTGGAAAGGACGTGTTCAGGCACGATTCGACAGTGCAAAACTGAGGGCGGCAATTGAAGAGGTGATCAGGTCCCAGGGTTACGACCCGAACGAAAAGTTCAATGATGAGGAAACTTGTGGATGTAGAGTGTACGCATTACTCTGAGTGTTGGCTAATTTGAAAATGTCAGCTGAGTACTGAGACAGTTTCATGTGCACTGCGTCAAAGGAGCTGTACGGTATTACACCCTTGCGAAGTTATGATCTCCATGAGAAGAAGCCTGTCGTATCTGCTACGATCTACGAAGCCGCATTGGCTACGTCGCCTGCCACCGTCTTCTTTGACCCCGTCTCGATTGGGACACGACACTTTGAGGACGGTGCATTAGGGGCTAGTAACCCTGTCGAAAAGGTGCAAGGTGAAGCATCTGATATTTAGTGTCACCGTATAGGCGACTTAAAACCCCTAGTCAAGTGTTTCGTTTCGATAGGGACGGGAAATCCCGGTAAGAAACCGATTGAGGACAATCTACTGAAGTTCTTGTCCGAGACGCTAGTCCAGATCTCCACCGAGACAGAAGAGACAGCTAGAAGATTCCTTGCCAGGTGGAAAGCACACTATGATCGTAATCAACATTTCCGTCTATAGGAGACCAAGGACTCTAAAACGTCGGCTTAGAGGCGTACGAAGAACAGGGGACCATCGAAGCGGCGACCTATCAGTACCTGGACGACCAGCAACAGATATTTTGGGCCAGAGACTGCGTGGAGAATCTGAAGCTGAAGCAAAGTGTGTACATTGAAGATTTTACTTAGTTGCTGGCTGTTCCGTAAACGAACCCTACTCGTGGTAGGGAAGGCTGATTTAAGCCTGGCTAGCCGGTTCCAGGTAAGGCTAGTTCTCTCGAATACAGGTTCAGAGCTGAGTTTAAAAAAGGACTACAACAATGACGGCATCCGGAGTAACTTGAGTATGGAGAGCCTTAACCCTATTGACCCCATGAGATGACTCGAACTGATACTTACTTGTAGATCGTGTCTCCCTTCCCTGTTACTACATTCCGCTCCCACCCAACAAACGTTTCGTTGGACGGGAGGACGTCGTAGAAAATCTCTGCCAGAATCTATTCACGTCAGAAGGAGGCCAAGTGGTGATTCTTGTTGGTCTAGGCGGCGTGGGCAAAACACAGGTCGCTCTTCAACTCGCATACTGGACTAAAGAGAATAAACCCGATCATTCCGTCTTCTGGGTGCCGTCAGTTAACGGGGCGAGCTTTAACCAAGGCTATACCGAGATCTCGATGAAACTTACCGTCCGCAAGAATCGGAAGATGAGGGCCTCCGTAAATCGGTACGGCGATGTCTGAACTCTAAAGAGAGTGGAAAGTGGCTTCTTGTGGTCGACAACGCCGACGATATGGAAGTCCTGTTCGGGTCGTCCGAAAACCCCGACGGCGTCTACCAGTACCTGCCAGACAGTGGTGATGGCGCCATCCTGATAACGACGCGCTCGAAGGATGTGGCGCTGGGCGTGGGAGGCGAGATGGTCATACTTTCAGAGATGAAAGTGGAGGAGGCTACGAATCTCTTGACCAAGACGCTGGTCGACAAACGCCTAGTTAAGGATGAGAGGGGAGTAACCTCGTTGCTCAAACAGCTGACCTATCTCCCATTAGCGATCACGCAGGTGGGAGCGTACATTAACAGGAACCGAGTATTAATTGCGAAGTATGTCGAGCTACTGACGGGTACCGAGCAAGACGTTGTCAGCTTGATGAGTCGGGAGTTCCACGTTTCTACTCGGTATCGAGGCTCTAGGAATGCTGTGGCCACCTCGTGGCCAGTGTCGTTCCACGAGATCCAGAAGTCGGATGCCGCTGCCATCAAGTTATCGTTGTTTCTATCCTGTATTAAACCAAAAGCCATCCCACAATCGATTCTGCCTTCGTTAACTTCGGAGGAGGCGATGGTCAAGGCGATCGGGACGCTAGACGGCTACGTTTTTCTAGTCCGGCGCGGGGACACGGACATATTCGACATGCACAGCCTGGTCCATTTGGCCACGAGAATCTGGATTGGGAGGAACGCGCTCATGCCACAGGCCGAGAGGGATGCCATCCAGCATATGGCGGCCATCTTTCCGTCCGTGTCCTATGAGAATTGGAATCAATGGCGCGTATATCTACCACATGCGCTTCGTTTGCTTCGAGGAAAAGAGACGGTTGCCATGGAGGAGAGTTACGATCTGTACTTCGATGTTGGGTTGTGTATGCGGGAAGATGGGCGCATCAAAGAAGCTGTGACCTGCTTTGAAAAGTGCTATCACTGGCGTCAAGACCATCTTCCTTCGAATGATCCGGCCAAACTTCGACCCCAGCGTGAACTTGCCTCAGCATATGGGATGAATGGAGAAATTAAGGAGGCAGTATTGCTCCTAGAAGAGGTGGTCAAGATTCAGGAGGAGACAATACTGAAGCATCATCTTGATCGACTATTATCACTACATTCACCAGCCGTTGTATATTAAAATGTTGTGGGATCTGGGGCAAAAGGCAGCCGCGGTTCAGCTGATGGACCACGTTGTGGAGGTACGGAAGAAGTCACTTGACCAGGATCGTCCCCATCGACAGAGTTCTGAGACATGGCTTGAGTATTTCCACCGTGATATGGGCAAGGGTGAAGAAGCACCCCTTGGCCAACCAGATGAAACCCTGATGGCGCAATGAAGATTTGGTGGCCTCTCTTATAAGGGTAGTGCAAAGCATGTCAGCAAGAGGCGACAGTCCAACAGATATAAGGCTAAAATGCTCAAGTCGCTCCAGGGAACATCTCGGCCATTCCCCTAATGCTCAAGAACTGTCATATAAAGCAGTTTCATGCCTGGACGCGAGAAATCAAAGATTGGGGGTGTCTCCTGTCCACAGCAGTGGCATCGAGCAGGTCATACATGAACGTTAAAGTCATTTCTTGACGCACTCGGTCCAGAACTTGATTGCTTCGGCGTTCAAAACATTACTCTGCCACAAGAAATCGCCAAGATTGTGCTCAAACTCGGGCCAATGAAGGAGAGAGACGTGTGGCGAGGATGCTAGGTCGCGAAATTGAGATTTATACCACCGTCGCTCAATCTCTGCGGCATCGCTGATACCTCCAAGGATGAGCGCCCATAGGAGCAACCTGGGATACATCATCCAGATGGTCGGATGCTTGTCGATGCTCGTTTCCAAGGCGATCCTCAGATCCAATGCCAGCCTTATTCCAACCTCGTTCGTTGGAGAGAGAGGGTAGATGACGAGATTATTGTACGTGAGTAAAGAGAGCCGTACAATGTCGAACAAGCACCAGTCCTCGTCGGGGGCATCGTCTGCGTTCGGTCGCGGGAATTCTGGCCTTCGCACGCTCAGTGAAAGCCATTGAGCCCAGTTTCTCAGTTCGAGTAATCGAAAGAATGTCGAGGGAGATTCGTTCATATAGTACTCCCCCAAGGTGATAGTTGCTATTGCGACAGCTTTGATCGCCTTGTGAAGACCAGTGAGGACAAAGGTAGGTAAATTGAGGTTGAGCAGACACGACGCCAGTTGCCCTTCCACATCAGCCTCGTCAGTGTGAAGGCTGAGATGAGAAATGTCTGCGAAAAAGCTATAGTACGGTAGGCCCGGTGGTGTGCTTTGTCTCGAGGATATAACGAGATCTCCGCTACCACGTTGTTAGTCTCAAAGCCAAGAATGATGATGACTTGGGCCCTTCTCACAGTTGGCACAGTGCTGCCCTGTCTCTATGCACCATTCCTCCAAGCCCCCCTAACAATTGGATCAAGTTATAGAATGCGGTCCAATGTGATTGTGGATTTGGTATGTGACCGTAGGGGTCCAATACCTGCGCGTCTCCCAGGGGCGAACGGAATCGAGCAACAGGCAAGGATGAACGACTGAGTATTTCTCCTGACGGTACAGTCGCCAGGATAAGCACGATGATAATCAGCATATCAGAAGGAGCGCCATCGAGCCTCTCAAGATGCTGTCTGACTAAGCGGACAGTGCGGTAGATATTGCGGGCACGAAGGTTCATATAATGCTGCTTCTTTGGATGGTCGTCATGAAGCCACTCAAGGTTTGCTAGTATACCGAGCTGATATCCGTAGTATGCCATGGGTGATACACTCATGTCCTCAAGGAAATACCGAAATGAAGACCGGCCCTGAGCATCTCGACTGGGGGCTATCATTGGCCAAAATTGTTGTATTCCTAATATTGCCTATGTCAGGGCGTACGTTATTGATGCAGTAGGTCACAAAGAAAACCATGACTGACCATGATCGACAAGTTCATGTATATAGGAGTCGTCTTCGTTGATCGCAAACCTTGCGAAAGGGTCAATTCTGCCTTGTCCTAGTAGGCTAAGTGGGCTCTGAGGCCGAGTTATGCCCCTGGAAGAGCTGGAAACTCGTCCCAATTTCGCGTCATCGGCCTTGCCAGTGACTGGCGATCTATACAATCTTGGCGACGGAGGATTGTCGTCGGATGTCCAGTTAGCATTGTGGGATGCAGTTTGCTGTTTGGGATGTCGAAATTGCCAGTTGAACACACAGCGACGATTCTCTCGGACAATCAAGCCCAGCCGGCTGGGTGGACGATGGGTCACCTGCCCAATATGGTTGGTAGGGGTTTGAGCTGGTTGAATGATCGGGCCGAGAACACGTGGCTGGAAATAGTCTGAACTGTCCTTGGTGGGCCTCTGATGAGGAGCATCCGTATGCCTGGTTCGTTGTAGTTGTTGAGAGTATTTGCCAGTATGTTGGGAAACCGTCTGACGACGGGAGCGCTCTTTAATATGAGAGGGGTGTTCGTAATTCACAAAAACAAGAGTTTTTGTCATGGCTTGCAGATATTGTCCCTCACCTCAGGTTGCCCACACACATTTAGCTCAAGTCTGGAACTGATCCAGATGTATTCCCGGTGCAAAGCACTCGGTGCTGAAAGGTCACAGGCTCCACCAAACTCAAAGGGATAGCGCTTACAGGTTCGAGCTATATCCAAGAACGGCCCGTTTAGTTGGACAAAAGTAGACGGATTGTACACCTCGGCTAAGGGACACGGCGTGCCATGACTAACAGAGGAAAAGTCGTGTCCGCGAAGACCTATCGAATACGAACTAAGGCAACTCAGGGTAATGGCACACAAAATATCCTGAGACTGGATTATTAGTCCACTTTGACCCGCTTGACAGCCATTAACGTTTTACTAGGTTTTGCGGAGTGGAAGCAAAGCTGCAAGTAAAGAACAGAGAGATACCTGATGGCTGCTTGATGATTGAGACTGAGCCATGTGGAATACAAATATTAGAAATTGAAAGGATCCAGCAAGACGAGGCCAGGTGACAAGATAGCCGACATCTCAGCCTCGTCGGAGCTTATCGCCACGTGGTTCTGCCGGTCACTCACGTGAGCAGTACTTATCTGAGATTTGTTGAGAGACTTATTTTCATCGTCACTGACGCAGAAGAAGGCTGCAGCCTCGCTATGCCTAGTCGCCCTTTGACGGCGCAGGCAGATATACACACTGGTCACCCGACCAAACCTTTTTTATATGTTTGATCTTCTACTCACTCTACTTTTCACCTTTCATATCCCCTCGGGAGATTTCTTGTTTTCGACTACTGACATCCAGCAACCACCGACAATGCCGCGAGGAAAGTCGAAGCAAATCAACGGCCTACGACCTCCCCCGACGACGGCAATTCCCAGCACCTTCACCGACACCCTCCCTCTACCCTCACTTATAGTCTACGACCTGGATTACACACTATGGCCATTTTGGGTGGACACGCACGTCTCAGGCCCCGTGAAACCTGCGTCACCGGCGGGGCAATTCAATACGTGCATGCTCGACCGCTGGGGTGAGTCGTTCGCCTTCTACGACGACGTGCCTGGGATCCTGGCTGGCGCGAAGGAGCGGGGCATCAAGATGTCTTTGGCCAGCCGAACTCACGCCCCAAACCTGGCGAGAGATATGCTGCGCGGCCTGCACGTGCCCAACTTGACCAAATCCAACACTGCTGTCGGCGCCTACAGCGAGAACGGCAAGGACGACACCACCAACGCAGCGGCCAAACAAGATCCAACCCGATCACAGCCTCAAAAGGCCCTCTCATTCTTCACCGCACCGCAGATCTTCCCGGGCGACAAGACGACGCATTTCCAACGGCTACACGCGCACTTCAGCAAAGCCGACCCCCCGAATGCAATCGCGTACGAAGACATGATATTCTTCGATGACGAGATTCGGAATCGCAACGTGGAAAACGAACTGGGCGTGACGTTCTGCCTGGTACGCGACGGCGTGACTAGGGACGAGGTCGACCGTGGGGTCTGGGAGTGGCGAAAACGGCGGGGGATCTCCAAGGCAGACTTGCCGAAGAATCAACTGAAGAGTCAAGGTGCCGGCTTCATGGGCGAGGAGATCGATGAAGATGGGCCCCCGGAGCTGGAAGGCTAAAAGGAAAAGGGGCAAACTATGGATAGGACCCTAACTACACACCACCTCCCTTTAAACGGGACTGGCATCTTCGCCGCGAGAGAATTGGCCGTCCAACAAACGAGAATGGCGGTGCTTGAACAATCAGGATCGGAAAATCTTTATGCTGCTCCGTCAATTAAAGCACGATTAAAAAAGAAGGTCCATGTCGGTTATGATCTCTTCTACCCATCAAAAAGAGATCTAATAGAACAGCAGAAACTGTCAGAACGCACTTCGCCCTCTAGCTTGGCCTTAGAAAGGGGTACACACAAGATTTGCATTCTAGGCTTTGCATTGACGACATGCATATCACGAGCTCACAGTATATATATACACACGTTCATAGAACGAAAGAGAAGAATTAGTCAGTCGGGTAGTCGGCCAGCCCTCGTTGTAGAAGACGGCTTGATAGATTCTCAACGAAACGAGGGACACCTACCCAATTATATTATTATTATTATTATCATCATATGCCTATGGGATCAATCTACAAAGACACAAACAAGAAAAATCAATGAAACGTAAGCGGATTTCTGAATAACTTTCATCTCTTCATTCCCCCGGTCGGTTGATCAATCTTGGTACTGCCCATAGATTTGTCAAGGTTCTAGGTCATGTACAGAGTTGTCAAGCGATTCGACTCGACTCGACTCGACATATTATCGTACAACTAACTGCCAACGACAGGCTGGCTGCCTTCTTCACAAAGCAACAACGACCCAACAAACGTCTTGCTCATGGCTCTTCTTCCCCTCATCTCCCTCAATCACGGACTGGCCAGGCATCCTCCCTGCCAGGAAACCTCGTTCCCAACTGGTATCCAGCGACTCATCAACAACTTTGCACATGTCATGGGCCCACAGCAGTGGCAAGTCGACCGTCACATACCGATACGTATGTACATATTCGCGTCGCTCCTGCCGCCCCGGAACCCTCAGTGCTTACCAAGACTCACCTAAGAAAATAACAAGAGTCTAGAACAGCCTGGTCGTCTCTCCTCCAGGCTCTGACACTCGAATGAGTAATAAAATAGAATTGAATGCATAGTAGTCCACTGTATATCGTTCGTACCGTACCAGTACCGTACCGCCGCTGTGAATGTGTGTTGATGATCATTGTCCTTTTGTTCCTCGGGTGGGGTATCACAAAAAACATGAGGTAATTGTACAGTGTTAGGATTCGTGTTCGTGTGTTGTTTGTTGTTTATGGGTTTTCTCTCTCTCCCCCTGCTTCGTGATGTGGTGGCGAGGCATTGCCACGGCTCCTGCCGTTCGACGAACACTCCGTAGTAGAAAGAGAACATGATCTCGAGCCACATCAATTACATGATTGAAGGGCTCCTTCGTCATCGACGTCCTCGAATCAACCTCGTGATCTCCTCTTCGAGTTCGCCGGCATCGCAATTTCCACCAACTGGTCACTATCGTCGTCGTCATCATGATCAGCTTGTCCGGCAAACTCTGATGCCTGCTCATCAGGATCATTCATCCCAAACGATCGTCCTAATTTCTCTTTCTCGAGAGGACTTAGCACCTCTTCGTCCGAACTGTTACTACTATCTTCGGTTGGGGCGACCATTTCTCCCATCTCCTCGTCATCGTCCACATCCAGTGGACGCCGCTCATGACTAGTTCTGGCCTCCAGGGGAGGATTTTCCGCGTCGATGTCCGAACCTGACCCTTCGGATGATGTGTCATCCAATGACCCATCGAAATCATCCGTGGATCGCCCCCGCTCAGGGCTTGCAGAAAACAGGCTCGTCAAACCACGACTGACGGAGAAGCTATGATGATCTCCAGTACTTTGGTTGGATGAGTTGGCATTGCTTCGTTTGCCAAACGTGGTTATGTCCTGTTCTTCTTCGTCCAATGAGAACGGGTCTCCAGAGTCCTGATCATCACTATTTCCCAGGGCAGCGAATGGGTCGTCTGCCTCGGTACCAAATTCGGATGCTGCCAGCTCATTTTCTGCATCTTGCTGCTTTCGTCTTGCTAAGCGATCCGCTAGTCTCCTGCGAGCACGTGATGGCTCGATGTTCAGCGGCGCTGGTGGAGGAGGTAGTAATGGTACTGGTTGATCAGACTGTTTTCCAAAACTTATTAGCCTAAAAAACAAAAAACCGTCGAAAGGCACTGCTTGCACTCACATTTTCTGATGCAAGACCAGTGTCTGCAGCTGAAAGCTGAGTGGCGGTCCTTGTGGTTTCCTCATCCTCTGCATCGTCCATATCCTCGTCTTCATCATCTGAAGAGCTTCCAAACCCACTGGAAAGTGAACCACCAGAATTATAACCGGCACTAGTGGCACTTCCATTGTTGGAGAGATCTATGCTGTCCAGACCATGCTGACCACCGCCTAGCCCAACGCCAGCTAAGCCACTTGAGCCGCCAAAGCCCTGACCAGCGCTTACAGCATTCAGGACAGCTTGTCTGGGACCAAGACCATTATCGGGTCTGAAGCCTCCTAGAATGGCATTGTCCCTTTCTCGGGTTTCGGCCAATGTTTTGGTAACGTATTCTTCCCAATCACGGGAATATATGTAATCCTGCACAACGGGAGAGAGTAATTCTCGGGGTTGTCGCTCACCAAATTTGACGACTTCTTCTGCAACCAAGGTGAGATGTCCCATGTACCCAAGACGCATGTTCTTGGATTGTTGGGCTTCGTCACTTCGTCTCTGGCCTTCAATGATCTCGTCAGTAATGCGGCCGGTCTCGAAGAGATCAAATGCCAAGAATCGATTGTGGCCACGATCCATAGGTCCATTAAACACCTGTTGGACAACATCATAGACAACATTATGCAAGAAATTATTCCAGGGGAAGCGGAAAAAGAAGCTCTGTGGAAGAATTAGTAGTAATTTCGAGTGAGGAAAAAAGAACTTACCAGTATCGTTGGGACCACCCTGTTTTCCACGAACATAATCTTGAGGTAGTCGCCAACAACTGGTGCTTCATCAGAATCATGAGCTCCCGGCTGTATTATTTCGGTCGTATCATCTTGTGTTGTCTGGAAGGATTCTCCTTCAGGTTGACCGGCTGGAGCCGCTGCAGAACTGTTATCCTTGGTGGTGCCCGGGCTCCGAGGCGGTTCAGGACTACTGGCCGTTGGAGTCTTGTTCGGGTCGGAAGCCTTGGCAAATAATGGTGCAGGCTTGTCGTGATTCACCATAGAGGGACTCGACTGATTGACCGAAGGCGGGCTGGATGATTCTGGTTCATTAGGAGGCGATGTCATGTCAGTATCTTCAGGACTGTCCAAGCTGAGGCGGCGAACTGTTTCGTCCAGATTCGCTGGTGGTGCCAAATGACTCTGAGGTTGCTGCGGGGATAGAGACTCATTGACGAGGTCTTGTTGTGAAGTGATGGCGCTGGTAGGTGCCTCCGAAGCTTCAGAAACTGCAACCTTCTCGAAACCATCCTCCTCGGCGTTATTAACTATCCGAAGCTCCTCTGTAGATGCCGATTCTGAAGGGCTGAACGCAGTCTCAAAGCGAGAAGAGCTGACAGAGATGTCCACAGTCGAATCTTCAGATTGCTTTGGAGATAGAAAGGCGCCTTGAGCTCGTAATCGTTCCCGCTCAACATCTCGTTCTCGAATAAATTCTTCGCTTCCTCTTTCATTGAGCAATCCCATGTTGCTGCAGTGCAGGAGTTCGGCCATGAGCTCGCAGGTCTTGAACCTGTCGAATCCCAGCGGTTCGATTTGAGTTCCCCAGGCAGATTTTAACTCTCCTCTTTCAACTACGCTGGTCTCCTCGCCTTTGGTCACCGTGTGTTTTGAGCTAAGAATAAGGCTCATGAAGTCAGGGACATGCTGAGCAAACAGCCTCAGGAGTGTTCCCAGATAAATTGGGTCGTGATTGGTTGGAGGAGAGTCTGGGCTATGGCCTTGGTCAGGGTCATAGTCTGAGTTATTCTTTCGAATCACCTCAATGACAATCCCGACACCGACCGTGAGTGGATTGCCACCTTGAAGCATGAAATCGATCAGCTGCTCGACGCATTGCTGTGAGACTAGCTGGCGAGTTAGGGAATTCGGGCCGATACAAGATTGCTCGTTTTGAGCCGCATTTGCCGATATGGTGATGATAGCTTTCAGAAAGTCGCCTGCGGAGGTTTGTGTGGAAGAGTTGCATTCTGGGGCCAAATTGGAGAGCAACTTCGCAATCAGATCCTGGCTATGCAACCAGTCAACAATTCCCATTCCACCATCTGACTTCTCGAGGCTGATGATTTTCAACAACAAATCCATCACCATCGGGCAATCCACGTGCTGTAGGATTGCGGGGATAATGTTGGGGAGCGACTTGAAAAATTCCAGCATGTCTTCCGTCTTCTTTTCCAACAGTGTTTCGTTGACTTTTGTAAAATAGCCAGCTTGGAGCGGATCCAATGGAGCCGGCCGGCGCAGGAAATCCCAGAATTCGGTCAAGTAAGGCGTGTTCGACATGAGAGACTCGGTGATGGACCAAGTCTCACACGAAAGGATCTCACAAGCGACAAATGCATATTTCAATCGTTTCTTCTCAGTCTTCTCCTGTTCCTCATCGAGTTCTCTCTTGGGTTCTTCCTCTCCATCGTCTACGGCAGGACCTTTGCCTTTCTCATCAATCTCAAGTCCATCGTTCTCGGATTGGGGTGCGGGTGCCACAACGTAGTGGAGGAGAGTGTGGAGGTTTGTTTCATCGCGAAGATATTCGATCAATTTTGTGTGGTGGGATTTGAGTTCTTGAATGAGGTCGGACTCTTCCAGCAAGTCTTCGAGCTTGACGTTAGGCTTGTCGAGTAAAGTGTCGATTGTAGATATGTTGGAGTAGCCTCCAAAACGCCAAAACATCTTTGTGCGAGATTTGGTCGAGCAACCCAAGTTAATGAGGCTGCGTCGGGAAGTTTAGTAATGGTACAGGCCCGGCGGGCGTTGAGAGGATAGAGGCAGGCCGTGAGGAGTCGTGACTAGTGAGACTGTGATTGAACAAGACATAGACGGGCTCCCGACCGCTGCAAGGATAATTTCTTTGTTAGTTTTGGTGGGTAGTGTGCAGTTCACGAAATCGAGATCGGCGGTAGGCGATAACGGGTAGTTTTGTCGGGGTTGACCACAACTCAGTGCGCCCCGCGATTAGACAAGGGGACACTCTCGCGATGTCAAACAGCGCGGGTTGCTCAGTTGAGAAGTATCAAGTGGTCGTTCGACAAACAGAGGAGGGATGGGCTCGGATGATAGGATGCGCAGAGCCAGAGCGAGAGATTGCAAGGCGATTGGGATCACTCACCAAGTTGGACAAAAGGAGTGACTGGAATCGAAGTCTCGAGGATGAGGAGGACAATGGCAGATCAGGATCAGGCAGCGATGATCTGAAGGTTAAGGGAGAAAACCGGAAGGTTTCGACAGGCGCGGTCTATTGTATGACGCCGTGATGATTGGAATTGTGAACAATGAAAAGAAGGTGTTGTTGGACGTGAGTGCTCGGTATACGCAGTATGTAGTACTGTATTCCTGACTAAGGAGTCAAGGCCCGACGGAGATGCGGACCAAGCAGACGCCTACGACCACGCCTACTCGTAGATGCGCCTAAGGGACCCTCGAGCCCCCATGCCCCCCATTTCCCACGCCCCGAACTTGCACCAGAGCCTGAACCGGAACCTGGACCTGAACTTGGCACACGGGCGATGCGCTGGCAAGTGGAGGACGCTGGCTCTGGCACGCGGTACAAGTACTCCCCAATCGACGAAGAAACCATAATCCCATGACATGCTGCGTGACATGTTTATAATTTAGGCAGACTGTGCAACTCAATTCACATATCATGAGGACTATTCCTGCACAGAGGACACGCACAAGAACAATGTTCTGCCTACTACATAGTATTGTCCTGCTCAGGAGTTCCATTGGCGTCCGTGGGCTCGACAGAGTACGAAGTACCTGGGTCCCTAGACCAACCTGCTTGCCAGCGGCCCAGGGCACATGGGGTGCGGCGCCGTAAACCGCCGCCCCTTTTCTTCTCCCCTACTACAGAGGACGGAAAGAGCAGGAGCAGCCCAAAGGCCCGTTCTCCGTATCTCATAGCCTAAGCTCAAAGGGTTCGGAGACACATTTTAGCGGCAAATCGGCCCATTTCCCAATTCCCATTTCCCTTTGCACATCATCTGCCACGCAGCCACGCGTTGCTTGCATTGCCGTGCGCTACTTGGCCCCAAACTCCCCATCTCCATCTCGTAAAAGGCCTGTCGTCATTCTCCCTCGCTTCAGAGCCCACATGGCTGTGGAGGACATGTGGGATACTATTTGTGAGCCAAGTCCATTCCCAAGACAACGCCATACCTCGAGCCACATATGAATCGAGGATGCCTGTGCTCCTTGATATTGTCTGTATTCCTACAGGCACGATTTATTGTTGAAATATTGTGCTCTGAAGGAATTTACTCTGTCCGCTGTGCACCGTTGAAGCACAGGTGTCATGTTCTGAACCCAGCCTGGGCACCGGAGGCGTCGCTGAAAAGTGGCCTGTCGTCGTTTGAAGCGAATTAAAGCTCCTCGTAGTTGGTATATATATGTGGTTGATAGAACTGTACAGGATCTGCTGTTCTCTGTTTGTGGGTGGCAAGGCTAGGCAAGGCTGTGGACTGCTCCGGAAAAACGTCGGAGCGATTATCGCGGGGATGACATCGCAGGTCGTCCGCAGACCACCTTCTTTTCCTGTTTTTGACTATTACAACAAATGGCCTTTCCTGACACACCACTCTTCGTTTTGAAATAGTGCGTGTGGTGACACGAGTTGATTCTCCCGCTGCTTTCAACCATGAATCGTCTTTTTGGCTCAAAGAGCACGGCGCCTAAGCCTACCCTAAACAGTGCCATTTCAAATGTAGGCGGCTCTCTCTTCAACACCCATACCTCGCTCGTTCTCTCTCTTTCGTGCGCTAACCCCACGTTCAGGTCGACACCAGAGTCGACTCAATCGACGTCAAACTGGCGAAAATCAATGCCGAACTCTCGACATACCAGACCAAACTTTCGAAAATGCGCGACGGGCCGGGTAAACAGGCCATCAAGCAGAAAGCCCTGAAGGTCCTCCAACGACGCAAGATGTACGAGTCCCAGCGCGACCAATTACAGCAGCAGTCTTGGAACATGGAGCAAGCCGGGATGATGCAGGACAACTTGAAGAATGTCATGACGACGGTGGATGCGATGAAGACAACCAACAAGGCCCTGAAGCAGCAGTACGGCAAGATCAACATCGACAAGATCGAGCAGATGCAGGACGAAATGGCGGATCTGATGGAGGTCGGAAATGAGATCAATGAGAGCATAAGTCGAGCATATGACGTCCCGGAAGATGTCGACGAAGCGGAACTAGATGCTGAGCTGGAGGCTCTCGGGGAAGATATGCTGTTTGAGCAAGAAATGGGCATGGGAGAGAGCGCGCCGGGGTTCTTGCAGGATGAAGTCGCACCGCCTCAATTTGTTGACGAGCCCCCTGAGCAGGCCAAGGTGAAGGAGGCGGCTGGTGGAATTGGCTAAGCAGAAGACGATAGCGCGAATCTCCTGGCTTGTTTGTGGTCTGTTTCCATTTCAGCGTTTAGCCTTGCCGAACACTCTTCCTTAAATACAGTATTCATCCAGACCCAGCATTAATTTTTACACGACATTTGTTATTCTAGAATGCACTCGCTCGTCCCATAGCCATGCGTAGCAAAAGGCTAACTTCATCAATATCCAAGCCTGGCCAATCCCCAACTCCCTGCTAAAGCATTATCGCGATTCATCGAAGCCATCACATTGGGGTCACTCTCAAGTATTCTTCTTCAAATCCTGCGTCCATACTCTCACGGCTTTAGAACCCTCATGAGCAGCCTTGAAGATCTGCCGCTCACTTTCGTCCAGGCCCCGCAGAAACTCCGCGCCTTCTCCCAACGCACCACGAGCGTGATGAGCGTGATCCGCGATCTCGGCCGCACGTTGTTTGAATGTCTGTCAGGAAGTTCAGCTCCTCGATCCTGAAAAGCGAGACCAATTGATGTAAGACGATGGTCGTTGGGCATAACATACATCAACCAGCGTATCCAGGACGTCTTGGTCCTCGAACAAGTCCATGATCCGGGCACCGAGCGCGTAGAAGTGTGGCGCTTGGACTCGTAGGTCTACCGATTTGGGATCTGCCTTGAGAGCATTGATGACGCGCTGTTGAAGTGGCTCTGGGAAATCTAACGACACCAGCGGAGTCGCTCCAGGTGTGTTTCTGTTGTTGAGTTGGAGAGGTTAGCCCGCAAAAGTTGACCCAAAGTTACACGTTACTACGGTGTGCATACGCTCTGCGCCGCATGAAACGGAGATGCTGGGTCACTCACCCGCTCGAAACCGCAAGCAGAATCCCCAACCACATGGGCAGATCGATCTTGGAGCCTGCTTTGATCTAGTAAATGCGAAGCACCCAAAGTCAGTCACCAATGGTCATCTCTCCACTGTACGACACCGCAATCGCGCCTTCATTCCCTCAATGTCAGACTAGACATGCTCACCGTCTGGCCTGCATTTCCATCAAGATAGCCCAACCCTGGCACATCGAGTTCAAATGTACACGGTAGTTTCTGCGAGTCTGTCAAGATCGCGTCCACGTCGTAGTATGACATTCTGTCAGGATAGTCAAAACCAATATGTAGGTATTCCGAATATGTTCTAAAGGGATAGGGTTTTTGAGTAGAGTCGAAGAATCAGTCAATTATCTGCGTCTGTGGCAAGATACTTGGAAGAGACCTTAAGATACAAAAATCACCAACCCGTGAACAACGTCGGCAGCAGACCAATGAAACGCGTCAACGAAAATAGGCTCCAAACAGACCTTTCCACTTCTAGTCACCTCCATCCATACCACCCTACGAAACACCTCTAATTCCGCAAACTACATCCCAAATTTCTATCGCTCGAGCATCCCCAATGCTTCCATCCTTCCAAGGTGAGAAGCCGTCGCTACGAATAGGTGATCCTAAATGCCACCCCAACCAACAGGTCCACCAACCACGGCCACGACCACGACCACGACCACCACAACGACATCAACATCAAAACCACCCGTAACACTCCCGCCGTCAACGCACCTGGACTCGGGAGCCTACGTCCGCGGCACGCACGCGATAACCCTAGGAGAAGATAACCTAATCCACGCACGCGCCCAACTGATCGCAATCCATGGCCCACTCATAGTCTCCGACCGATGCATCATCAGTGAGAAATGCATCATCGGCGGTCCTGTGCCTGTGCCGGCGCCTCCCTCGAGCACCACCACAGCTGACGCAAAAGCTAGCCCGTCACTCGGCCCCGCGACAACTCCCAAATCCACTGGAGACGATGACGACGACGAGGAAGAACCCGACCCAGTGAAAACGCTCCTCGGCAACTCCGTGTACATCCACGCGGGGGCTCACGTGCACGCGGGCGCGACGATCCAGGACGCCGTGATTCTGGAGCCGAACGTGAGTGTCCTCGCGGGCGTGACGGTTGGTGCGCATTCGAAGGTCTGCGCCGGGCTGACGGTTGAGCGCGACGTCGCTCCGTGGACGGTCGTGATGGGTAATGGCGATGTGCATCGACGTCGTGGCCGGGGGAAGAAGGCCCCTCGGCCCCGTGATGCCGAGGATGATGATGACGACGGCGGTCTCACTGCGCTAGTTGAGACTATGCGTCTGCAGGCCATGGATAAGGAGCGTGAGGGCACGGTCCTCATGTACCGCACTGCGCTCCGCGTGGCGACTCTGGCGAAGAAGAAATGAACTCTGATGAAGGGGAGATCAGTCTACTGGGTGTCTCTGCCAAAGTCTCCAGAGTTGTTGGTTCAGTGGATCAACACTCCAGTGTAAGCCGTGGCTTAGGTCGACGTGGCTTAGGTCGACGATGGATGGGCTTTCGAATCAGGGGACGCCATCCGAACTGCAATCAACGCATTGAATTGCCGGCGAGACTCAATTTCACCAATGTGGCAGACACTCTTACAGTGCCAGTCGTGTTGAAACTTCAGCTGTGCTCACTCCGTCACAGCCGCAGCAATGCCGCATCTTCTCAGCCAAGAGCTTGAACCTGACGATGGAGTCGCTTTACCTCATTTTGGGCACAGCATTGTGAACTGCCAGATACGAGAAAGAAGCGATGAGAAGCAGAGGACATCCTTTAGCGAATCGTGCTCGAGATCTGGGAAAGCTAGTGCTAGAAAATAGATATGGTGAGAGATCTCAGAATCCGAGTTGCTCTCTAGTAGAGCAAATCCTCATTCAATTGTCGTACTAGTACATGCACTAATCTACCATGATCCATTCCTGACTCAACGTTTCGGCCTTTGGATTGAGCCCCTTTTGTGTCCTGCGAGATTTGAAAAGACCTCCAACCAAGATATGTAGTACTCCTCGCCATGCAACGCTTCCTGCGCTCTCGAAAACCCACGACTTGACATAAGAAAAATTAACCCCTGCTCAAGCTGCCCCTGTCTCTCCGCGGAATCTTTTGCCTTGGTTGGCATCATCCCCTCCTCCATCATCCCGAGCTCTCTTATTCCCTCCTGGCGTAAATTGAGCGGCTTGAGGATTGAGATTCCCGCGACTAGGACTTCCTGGTCCATGTCCACCGCGAGTTGATTGCTGTGGGTTGCCGCCCGGACCGGCCTGAGCCCCCCCACGTCCCCCTCCACGAGGGGCACCGCCCCGTCCTCTAGGGATACCGCTGCCACCACGACCACGGAATGCTCCTCCTCGTGGTATGCCTGACTGCAGCTGTTGCAATGCATTTGGACCTTGAGTCTGTTGAAGTTGCTTTACGGGTTCAGCAGCGGGGACCTGTGGGGTGGGTTTATCATTAGCTGCTGTTGCGGTTACCTTGGTCTCCACGGCAGATTCTTCAGTTGCAGACTGTGCGGGTTGTATGGCTACATCTGCATTTGGCTTCGAGTCGGCCTGAGGATTTGGTTGCGATGTTGCAGAAGCCGCGAGTGCCGGCAAAGGATTCGAAGCAGGGACTGGTACAACGGCAGGAGTAGTTGCAGGTTTGGGCTGAGGAGCTGGTGGCTTCGCATCTTTAGCGATTTCCCACACTTCGCTGACCGGTTTAGTGGGCGTCTCTTCGGCGGCCTTCTTCACAACTTCAACCTTGGCATTGGCTAATTGCGCGCTCCTCTGCGCCATGTTGAGCTTGACTGCACCACGTTTCTCCCAAAGTAGTTCGGCATTCTTGATTTGCTCTGCGATTTTCTTTGATGAGTCTTCGTCGAATTGAAGCTTTTGCGAGGTAAGCTCCTCTTGGTGCTTAATGATCAGAGATTGCTTTTCGCGAGCGAGTGAATCTTCATGTTGTTGGATGAGGTTTTCTTTTTCTTGATTGAATTTGGTCTCTTCCTCCTGAATGATCGCTTCTCTCTGAGCTTGGAGTTTCTGCTCGAGCTCTTCGCCGTGCTCAGGAACTGGATGTTCACTTTGGGCTTTTGTCGTCTCCTCGAACTTTTTCTGTAAGGTTTGCCTCTCCTGCTCCACTCGTTTCAAGATGGTATTGCTTACAAGCTCCTTTAGTATCTGGTTGGACTTGGCCAGATACACAAGCTGCGGTTTGGTGACTGCCGCACTTAATGCTTCATTCGAAAGAGATTCAACGTTCACTGCAGAAGGAGTCGATTCGGTATTATCATCGGTCGGCCTTTGTGGTTCGGGTACTGCATATTGCGACGTCTCATTCGTAGGCGAATGCGATTCAGGTGCCGTAGGGGTGGTTTGAGACCTAGTAGATTCAAGCTCTTGCTGATGCTGAGCCGTAAGTCTGGCTGCCAACTCTTCCAGAGCAGTGGCTTTGGTTTGCTGGGCTTCTTGCTTCACCTCCTTCAGGCGCCCGTTAAGCACTTTTTCCATTGCGGCGACACGGTGTTTGAATTTCTCCTCCTGTGTGGATTGAAGGTCTTCGACTTCCTTCTCTTTTGCGGCCAGAGCAGTTTGAAGCTCGCTGACCTTTGCCTCCAGCTCAGCAATGCGGTCGCCACTGACTGATGCTTCAACGGAGGGCTTCCCGTGGTCACCATTGATTTCAGTTTGAGGGGCTGCGGCGGCTTCTGTCTGAGAGGTTTCCAGTTGTTCTTTCGTAGAATCAAGCTCAGTCTGAAGGGCTTCCTTTTCACCCAATGCCGTGTCAAGTTGAGCCTTCACTTCATTCAAGGCAGCCTTATTCTTTTGAACGACTTCCTTGAACTGGGTACTTAGTCGCGATCTGAGGTCGGCGTTGGATTCTTTAATTGCTGCCTGCTGTCCGTCAATTTGTGCCTGCAGTTCAGCTCTGGCTTGATCCCGTTCTGCTGCTGCATCACTCAGCTCACTACGAGCCTGGTCGCGTTCAGATTCCAGAGAAGCCAAGTTCTCCTTCAAAGCTTCCAGCTCTGCAGGATCAACGCGATCATACTTTGATAGAATATTTTGAGTTCGTTGTTGCCAATGATCTCGATCCTCTTGGCTCAATTTCAACTCGCCCTCTCGCAATTCGACCAAACTCTCCAATTCCGCTACACGAGCATTCAATGTCTGTAGCTCTCCTTCAAGCTCCTCAACTCTCTTCGATTTTTCTGAAAGACCCTGGGCTGCTTGCTTTGCCTCAGCACGCAGAGTGACACTGCTTTCCCTGAAAAGATTGAGTTCGTTCAAAGTTTCCATCAATTTATTATGACTCAAAGCATTCCGTTCTGCATCAGCTTCGGCACGGCGCTGTTGATCGAGCTTGAGCCGGGTTTCATCGAGCTGCGACTGTGCAAAGTCAAGCTGCTGTCTCAATCTCTTGGCTTCCTGCGTGGACAGCTGGTACTGCACGTCCACGATGTCTTTTTCGCGACGGAGATAGGTGATGACCTCTTGTAGTTTATCCAATTCGGCAGTCGTCTGCACAGGAGGCTCGCCAGTTTGTCCCTCGCTTAAGGCGGCACGGTCACGTTGAAGCGCCGTGATCTGCTGAGTCACACTCTCAAGTTGGCCATGCAGAAGGTTGTTCTGTTGCGATACCTCGTCCCGTCGCTTCTTCAGATCGGCTATTTCTCGCTCGAACCGGTCCTTCATTTCATCCCAGCTGCTAGATTTCTGCTCCAGATTTGCTCTTGATGTCTCAGCTTGAGTCTTCAAATCAACCATTTGCAATCGCAATTGATTGGCATCGTCACGGATGCTTTGCAAAGTCTTGGCTGCTTCGCCGTGCTTGACGAGTTCACTTTCGTAGTTTTGTTGAGCTTCGGTCGCAATTTGTGCCTGTATCTTAGAGGCTTCGAGGTTGAATTGGGCCTGCTCGGCACTTTTCTGTGCTTCCTCTTTCAGGCGTTCAATCTCGGCATTGAAACGAGATCTCTGATCATCTAGTCTTCGGTCAGCTTCTGCCTGCTCGTCACGAAGACGTGAGAGCTCTGAGTTTGTCGTATTGAGTTCAGCCGAAATATCCTCAATGCGTTGCTCAAGATCCTTGATCTTGGAGTCTTTCTCGGCAAGAGCTGCTTCAGTCTCCTCGCGGTATTGTTCATTTGTTTCACTGAGCTCTTGTAGTCGTTCTTCACTAGATTGGCTGATGTTCTTGTAAACCTCGACCTGTTCATTGGCTCTTTCAAGCTCTGACACTTTGAGCTCGAGATCACGTTTGAGCTCTGAAATCTCAACCTCCAACTCCTGTTCTCTGGTCAAGGAGGCTTGCTCAGTAGTGGCATCGCCCGCGGGTTCGGCAGGACGTGTGAGCACCTCAAGTCTTTCCTCTGCCGAGCGGAGCTCAACCGTCAATTCGTCCACCCTTGCTTGAAGGTGTTCTCTAGCGGTCTTCGCTGATGCCAATTCCTCCTTTGTGGAGCTTAGACTTGTAACTAGATCATCGATTCGCTTCTGACTCTGATCGTGCTCGTACTCACGTCGGAGTGATAATTTTTTGCCCTCCTCTAACTCGTCGTTAAGTTTCCTCTTGACGGATTGGAGCTCTGACTCTAGACTTTCTGTCTGCGATTGCAGTCTGCGTCGGCTCTCAGCGTCAGTCTGTTCACGTTCATTGATCATGGTCTGAAGACTAGCATTCAACGAGTCCAGGCGACTGCGTTCATTGCGGAGAGATTCATTATCCTCAATGAGTCTTCTCTCAACACTCTTCCAGAGATCTTTCTCTGCCTTCAAATTTGCCGAGTCGCGGCGTAAGCTATCGAGGAGGCCACGGGCTTCAACCAGCTCCTCCGCAACCTGTTGGGTTTTGAGCTCTTGTTTAGTGGCATTCTCCATAGCAGTCCATGATCGCTTCTGAATCTCGCCGTTTTCGGCCTTGAGTGAATTGTAGTTCAATTGGAGCATCTCGTAGCGTTGATTTGCCGCTGTGAGTTGACCGACCGTTCGACTGATGTCGGTCTGCAATTGAGAGTTCTTCCGACTGAGTTCGTCAACTTGAGCTTTGAGCGAGGTGCGATCCGTCAAAGACTCCTGTCTGAAAGAATCAAAGTGATGCTGCACGTCCTTAAGCAGTTTGGCGTAATCAGACTCGCCAGAGACAGAAGCAGGTGACTCGGCCGGAGGGATAGGAAGAGATTTGGAGAAATCATTTGGTTGAACGCCCCCAGGAAACTGTCCCCGTCTGGTCAGCATGTTACGGAGCATGTCACGCTCCTTTGCAAAACTCTTGCTTTGTGCCATTTGCGATTTGAGCTCATCTTTATAACTGGCAATACTTTGACGAGCATTCTCCAGCTCTTGTTGCAAGGCATGATTTTGTTGTTCCTTTTCTTTGGCTTCATTACTTTCGAGTTCCGTGACTAGATTGCGGATGGTCTTTAATTGGTCCTCATTCTGACGTTGGAGCTCAGCGATATTCTTGAAGGCGATGAGTCGTTGATTGATGACCTGCTGCGTCTCAGAAAGATTTGCCATATCTTCTGTCATTGCTTGATTGGCTTGCATCTCAAGTTGGTCGAAATCCTCTCGGGTCATACCACCACCATGCTCCTTGACGTGTTGCTCGATGAGCAAGAAGCGAATCTGAGTCCCTAGATCACGAAGCTGCTGAGCGAGAACTTGAGTTTCCTTCGATTTGCTTTCAAATTGGCCTTGAACGGTTCTCAACTCCTTTGCGGCGCGGTCGCGAGCGCTGTTTGCCTGTTCAACGATGTTTGACATTTCCACAACCTCGCTCTGTAAACGGTCATGATCCATTCGCAACTCCTCGATCTCGGGTTTGTTGTTCTCAAGCTCCTCAACCATGGCGTCCAAATTCGAACGAAGTTGTTCATTCGCACGTTTCTCGGAGACCAATTCACCTTCGAGTTTCTTGTATTCGCTAAACAGTTGAGTCATCGTCATCTGAGCCTTGGGTCTCGAGATGGTGCTAGGCGAGAAGATGCCACCAGGAGTGCCTGGTCGTAATGGCGTGGAGAAGCCGGTCCCGTTAATAGGGCGTAGTGGAGTGCTTGGTCGAGCTCGGGTTTCCTCGAGCTCAGTCCTCAATTGTTCCAAGGCGTTCTCAAGCTCAGCTACGCGTTCTTCTGCGGCCAGTTTATCGACATGCTCAGTCTCACTTTCCGCACGGAGTGCACCGATTTCATCTGCGGCATCGGCACGAGCTTCGTCGAGCGCAACCGATAGCTCTTGGACTCGTTCTCTAGCCGTCTCGGCTGTGGCTTGCTGCAAATCTGCAAGACGCTTGGTGGCATCCACTTCTCTCCTCAAGGCATCTTCAGATGACATGTGCTCCTCTTGGATTTTCTGCTTCTCCTCCAATAGATTCTCGAACTTGGATGTCTGGTCTTCGAGTCGGTTCTTCAGGGAAGTCTCTAATCGTCTTAGGGTCTCGATTTCAGAAATATATTGCTCGTTGGATCTAGACAACTCTGAAATACGAGCGTTTTTCTCCTTCCTGAACGTGGTGTGTTCTTCGCCCTTGATCTTGCGTTCATTCTCGAGCCATTCATTGTTCTTTTTGAGCATTTCGACCTCCTGCTGAAGACTCTGCTCTTTGAACTTGGCAGAAGCCACACTAGAGTTTGCAGTCTGGACCAATTGTTCGAGAGTAGTGATCTGTTTACGTAACTCGACACCTTTCTGATGCTGAGCAGAAAGCTCTTGGGACAGATTTTCATATGAGCTTGTCTTTGACTCGAGAAGACCAAGAGTGTCACGGTTGGCTGATTCGAGGGAGGCGATACGAGCTTTCAAGGTATTGGTTTCTGAGGTCTCATTGGCGGCTGCGGAGCGATACTGCTCCAGCTCCGTTTCCAGTCGCGATCGGGCATTTTCTACACTCTATGTTAGGAACACACCGCACATGTTGAACGAACGGCTGATCTTACCAGATGTCTGTAGTTCGACGCGTAGTTTTGACGACTCGGCGAGGGCCTTGTCTCTTGAATTCTGTAAGACTTTCGTTTTGGATTCATTTGTCCTCACAACAGTTTCGAGCTCGACTTCAAGCTTGACCTTTTGCGACTTGCTTTGTTCAAATTCTTTGGCTTTGGCCTCGATGCTGTTCAAGAGTGACTGGACCAGGTCGGTCGTGGGATTGTCGAGCAATGAAGTGAGCGAGGCTTCAGGAACCGTAGTGAACGCGGAGATGACACGGATGTCAACCGCAGGGGCAGCCATGGCTGATGTTTGGGGAGGGTGGGAAGGTGCGGACTTGATTCAAGACAAAAGCGACACCAAAGGCCAAGGATTGGAAGACTGGCGCGCTCAGAACGAGATGCGCCAGCGACGGGAAATGGAGAACTTGTCATACAAGCTCACCATGGCGCATGATACACCAGCGGGAGAAGTGTAGGTGGCAGTGTTGAAAGGAATGTGAGCATCTACTTGAGGTTGCTGGTGGAAGGAGCTGCCAAACAGAGACAATTGCGATTGCGGGCAATAGCGACCATGACAGCAAGGACGTGACTTGCCTCCTTCCTGAGTCCTTTGGTGCTGCAGGCTGCAGGCAGTTCTTCGGCTCAGCGCCAAGCATTTCCTTGGCGCCCGTTGGACGCTGGATGCAGCCTTGCACGTCTGACTGCGAGTACTATCTAGCACTGTCATCTTCCTCAAGGCTTTATCTTCCCTTCTTGCTCCACTCCCTTACTATCCGTCTTTCTTTGTCTTGCTTCACGTTCTCGGCTAGCCGCCGTCTTGCTACTGTAGCAGCAGACCCTCCTTGACAAGACTCGGTTCTGTAGTCAAGAATCCCTTCTCTTCGCGCCATGATCTGATCTTCCCCTCCGTTTGCGGAAGAGATCCTTTCACTAGGCACTCTCAACCCTCGTCCCCTAAACACCCCTTGCTGTAGTGCAAGACAAGAGATTTCTGCTGTCGGAGTATGACCAGTCATGTTTTCTACAGGCTTCAGCGATGATGTTGACCTTGACGTGCAGGAGAGAACCGTTCTGTGGCAAGCACGCCCTCACATTTAGCCTGCATTCAGCCATTCATCCACCACCTTAGACTTCCTGCGACAACATGTCTGGGATGTACGGCCAGGGCCTCTCTGCGGCAGGGAGCGACGCCCGTACAAATGTCGTCTACGCCACAGATCGCCTGAAGGAGAAATTCCCGGCGTCAATCCCATCCCAAGAGCTGATTGCCTTCGTCCTGCCCGCGCACAAACGAAACGACGAGCAAGCCGTCAAACTCCTCAAAACTCTACTAAACGTCAATCCGAAAGTCATCTACGATGCCGTCACCGACAGCTACACCTTCAAACCACTGCACAACATCTCGTCCGCAGACGATCTCCTACGGTACCTCCAAGCCCAAGAGACAGCAATGGGGATTCAGGTGCGAGAATTGAAAGACGGCTGGCCCAACGTGGAAGAAACCATCGACAAGCTGGAGGCAGAACACAAACTGCTGGTCACGAGGAACAAGAAGGACAACCACCCACGCATGGTGTGGGCGGACGACCCGACGTTGATTGCGCCGCTAGATCAAGATTTCAAAGACATCTGGGCCCAGATCCAACTGCCGACCGTCGAGGATACCATTCTTCAATTGACCAAGATGAACTACAAGTCGACAGGCGCACCGGCCAGCCAGGACTTGGGACCCAAGGTAGAGAAGAAAAAGAAGAAGGTTCGTCGAGGTGTTAAAGTAACGAACGTGCATATGCAGGGACTGTTCAGGGACTACTCCAACCAGAGGCCCCAGGGAGGGAAATGATGATCGCTTCCTACGTTGCTTGAAAGAATCCGAGGAGGATGCTTTGCATTGGTTATTCAATGGCTCGAGCACGGCACATCTGATATCAAGGATCGGAGACCACCAGCGTTAATGGAACGAGATGTAGTATTGTAACATCATCAATTGGACCATGCATACATTAGGTCCATCAGTCCAACCAACCCAAAAGAACACGATACCCACGACACCAAATATTTAAGAAAAGCAAATGTATGTAAAAAGAGAACAAGGGAGGGTATCCTAAATGAAGCATCCCTTCATAATCCATAGAGAAATCACATTCTGAGGAGCTCAGAAAACCCGAGGACTGGCTTGCGTGCTCGATCGTCCCTTGCTGCTCCTTGCTGCTGATACTGATATTATATTTGCATTTCCACTCCCTGGGAATCCATACGGTTTCTCATCCTGACATAGCGATCTCAACCATATATGCGTGGAGGCCTAACACTTCAATTCCACTTGTAGAAGACATGATCATGCCCTCTCAGGGGGCCCAATGAAGAAACGCCTTTTGAATATCCTTTGCATCATAGCAGGTTGGCGAATCGTTGCTCATTACGACTTCAGATTCGGGTGAAGGTTGACATTATCCAAATGCTCTTCCCTGAACCGAGAGACACTACGACTTCGAGTACCGTTCATGCTGCGGTTGTCGACGCTTAAGGCTCTGGCTCTACTATCGGATTCCCTCGTTGCAGATCGGCCTCTCTCGGGTTCTCCCCGTGGGGCGTTATAGTAGCTGGCCGCTTCACCACCCGCGGGGGGCACTGCTGGGCCAGAAGCGGCGGCCTCTTCATAGCGAGGAGGTGGGGCGTCGACGTTGGCAATGCTTGCTGGGCGAGTGATGTTCGAGGTCGTGAATCCAAAGCCGTCCTGCGTGCTCCCTACACCAACGTGATCTGCATCCCACGCTACTCCGCCTGGAACGGCGGCGTTACCTAGTAAGCTTTGATTCTGGTCCTGCGTGTTTTGGTAGCCGGCTGGTTTGTTGGAGTACGGAGATGGGATGAGGTTGGGACCAGACGATGCGCCCGGGCGGTTGTGGAGCGGTACAGAGACGCCGCCAGTGCGACGACGTGCTTTCCGCCGACGCATAATACGCACCGCCATTATACAGGCGATTACGACAATGACGACAACGACACCAATGGCGATGCCGCCGATGGCTGTTCTCGAAATCCCGTCCCCGTTGTCACGGTCGTCGAATCCATCGCTGCCAGGGCCAAATTGGCGCGGGAGTAGTAGATGAGATGATGACGGCGCCATCGACTTAGTATTAGTGAATTGAGACGAAGATGGGCTTTTGTTTGTTTTTGGTACGGAGAATGCCACGCCTGGGGTGGGTGAGGTAAACTCCCTGGAGTAACCCCTGTGGCCTGAAGGTTGGTGTTGACAAGAATATGGAACGTGATAATCCAAGATATCAGGTATGGCGCTTTTCCTTTATGCCGGCAGTGAAGTTAACGAGTGAGTTGCTTGTCAAGATGGGGTGGTGCAAGGTCGAGCAAACGAGGGCGGACCAGTATGGATGCAAATATCCGAAATAAGCAATCAACGAGAGGAACAGCTGGAACAAGAGTGTTAAGTTGGTATTTAGTTAACGATTCTCAGAGCAACGGAATTCAAGAGAAGGGGACGAGAGAAGTACGTCCAGGTTTGATTCATAAGGATGGAGCGAAGGATGGATGTCAAGACGCAAGACTCAAGAGGTCGCCAAATCCCAAGAGTACTGAGTAGCAGGAGTCAAGAAGGCAAGACCCGTAGACGCTGACACCCTCGTACCTGCCTCGTCCTTCCTCGTCCCTGGCCCGTTTAGTACTAATTAAATGGCAGGAGAACTAAGTCCCAACTAGGTTAGTGGTTAGCTTACAGCCACGTTCTAGCGAACGCAGGTCTCTCTGTGCCCGGCTCTCACAGCCCGGGTCCACGACAAGAGCGGCTCAAAATTACTGATTAACGATGACAGTGACAACATTGGGACCACAAGGCATTCCAGCACCCGGGCACATACGCTGCACACTGGGGACTGCGAGTCTGTGACGGGGTACCGCAATCCTTGGGAAGCGGTGTTCAGGCTGAGCGACGGAACTCTGGGGGCTGAAGTCAACGAGGATGAAAAGCGTCAGGATTCGGATAGGACTATTACTTATTAGTCACACTTTCAGAAGGGGGCCTTGCTTTCGTATCCTCGTTCTCGGCTGGGCATGCGTCTCGCAATACCTCTCTTTGGCCCATAGGGAATGCGATTGACTTTAAGGCATGCCACGGAAGCTGTCCATGGAAGCGGCTTTAATGCACACTCTTGCTGGGCCATATCAAAGATCTGTCATCAGGCGCAGGTCTGTCCACACAGCATTTCAGCAGCTACGTTTGTGCCGAGTACAGCGTTAATACACCTTTGTCCCTTCGTCTTTGACGCCCGTGTCAAATACGAAAGAGCTGTATTTCTCCTACTTGGCAGGCAGGCTCATTGCCGAACACGAGCCCAACATGATTGGCTGGCCGAGGATGGAAATTACTTTGGCCGACTGCGCCATGTTGAGGCGCAAGCGACCTTTGGAGCTTTGGAGACTCTCCTCTGGATACAAGACAAGTCCTCACGGAGGACCACACCGGCACCTGGGGAATGCTTAGACTCTTTGGAACTCCGCACGTATTACATACCCGGTGTGGAACCATCAGACGAGATTACATGACGAGTCTGGAGTGGCGCTCCTTTATCCTTCCAAGACATCCAAACTAGACTACGAGGAGTCGTTCCCCTGATACGACGGTTCTCAATGCCAATGCCAATCGAGCTAGACACATTCCCGAATCAGGCGTCAATCCGCGATATGAGCTTCTGTGCGGTATCAACAAGGCTGTCGCAAATGCACGTCTTTGTGAAGGCCCTTGCACAATAGTGCTGAGGTGAGATAGTGATAACCATATCCAAAGCTCCACTTGTCAGCGACTGGCTCGGCTACCGGATAGATATGGTGGTAGTGACCCCCATGCTCCAAAGACCTGGGGCTTCGCAGATTTCAGCCTTTTATATTCCAGTCGGCCCTGTCACCAGTCATGGGAGTGGAAGGTGTAACCAAGAGCAGAAGGGTTCAATTGAGTAACAGCGAATCGCGACGGGTAGAGAGGGCACGGTGATGGAGCACGCACGTCCATCAAGTCTAATTTCAACTCGAACGTGAACTTCAATTTCCAAAACTGGTCTTCACTGCGAGTTCGTATGAGTCCTTTCAAGTCATGTTCAAATCTGCGTTATCCCTTTCCCCTCCAAATCCATCTTCGTCAAATGAGGGTTGACATACATTGATCAATGGTGGTGGCCATTAACACCATTGCTCAACTTCTTACCTTCAGCGTTGGCGACATAATCAACCAAATCTTCAATCGTGCAAGTCTTGAGGCCCCATTTCTTCCCAAACGCCAAACAAGCATCTCGTCTCATCATGCCCGGCTCACGCATCGCCGTCTCGCCAGGGACCACTTCTCCATCCTCGATCATTTCGCAGATGACTCCCACTGGTGCCTTCCCTGCTAGTCGACAGAATTCGACAGCCGCTTCCGTATGGCCGGTGCGTTCAAGAACACCACCGTCTCTGGCCCTGAGGGGGAACACATGTCCAGGTCGTCGGAAACTGGCGGCCGTGGCTTTGTTGCTAGCCAGAGTTCGACAGGTCAATGCTCGATCATGAGCTGAGATCCCTGTGGACACGGACTCATCGTCTGCATCGATCGACACGGTATATGCGGTACGGTTGGGGTCCGCATTATCAACGACCATCTGAGGCAATTCCAGCTCGGCCGCAATCTTGGAAGTAACGGGTGCACAAATCAGACCGCTGGTGTACCTGACCATGAATGCCATCTTCTCGGTGGTAAGATCCTCGGCGGCGATGATCAGATCGCCCTCGTTCTCACGGTTCTGGTCATCCAACACAACAATGAACTCTCCACGTCCGAAAGCCTCGATCGTCGATTCAATGGAGTCAAACTCCTTTGGCTTGGGGCTGCTGCTGGTAGGAATGAGCATGGTCGCGACCTCGGGTAAGATACTTTGGCTCGTGTTCCTGGAGATGATGATTGGTTGACTCGGAGGCTCGCCTCTTCGCCGCTTCGAACTTTCGGGCCCTAGACTCTCCGACTCTTTGACGTCTACCAGTCCCGCAAAATGCCGGCGCTGTCGGAAGAAGATCAATATTGCCTTCCTCGAAATGATATTCAGGATAGATCCTGCCCAATGCAATTAAGTGGTGGTATAACAACAGACACTGTACAATGATTCACAAATGCGGTGGTGCACACAGGAACACCAAATGCCGAAGCCTTTGCGCGTCTCCGGTTCCGCCTGAGAGAAGCGTTCTCTCTTTGGGCTGTTTAGACGAACCCCGCAAAAAGTCCAAGAACAAAGTAGGGTGAGGTAAATAACGGGCAAGTGGTAGAACTCCAACCTTCGGATTCTCCTCTTCTTTTCTTTCTCTCTTTTTCAAAACTTGACACAATGTTAGAATCGGATTGGCAGGCCGATCTCCTGTAGATAGTTAGAATGGCGCAGTACTACTTGCGTAGTGAAATGCGAGAAATTGGGCAGGGACCTGGAGGGGATGATGTACGAGGGGGAGAAGAAAAGGAAGAGAGGAAGAGAAGCAGACGGAATGATCAAGTAATATCACTCCGGAGCACGGAGACTCGGTCCATACATTGCAAATGAGCGTGAATACGATGCGGATGGCGAACCTGGGCCAGGCTTAGCTGGACTGGGGGAACAGAACCGCACCGCGGTAGTTCCATTTGTCATGTGGCCTGCAAAATTGGTCAGAGGCTCTTGGATTTAGCCGTCAATAATCGACAATTATTAGGAGTAGTTGATGGCGGGGTGGTGTGTGCGCTGCGTACCGTAGTACGACCTGACTCTGTGTGTGTGCCTCATACGCCATCTCTCGTCCCTCGTCTTTCAGTAGAAGTCAGTAACGAACTAACCAATTAATAGTTACGCAGGGCGGAAAGGCAATGCCTCGGTCTTTCTAATCCGGAAAGCATCGGGAACCGCTCGCCCAGACCATCAAGTTACAACACCTGGAATAGGTCGAAGAATCCCCTGGAACAACACAGAAAACTCGGCGTTGCCGTGTCAGTCAGGGAGGGGAAAGAAAGAATATACACTGAACACCGATCGTCGAGTATGATTGGACGTTGGTACAACATATCTTACCATCCCACTGTTGGGACAGCCGTATGAGTTTCACCAGGCCCCTGCTGCATGCAACATGCGTCAACTTGAATTGAACTGAAATGTAATCATCATGGACTGTTTCGGCGTTGTCTCTGCGCCGTGTCCACCCACTACTCACATTGTGAATCCATGACCCGACTCAGCCAGCATCATTGATGTGTTTTCCCTCGTTGAGTCCAACATGTACTGTATTACAGATCAACGCAGGTTGCAGGGAAATTTCCCGCCGAATTGGGCGGTTGCTGCCGCTGTTTTGGGGGGTGATTTAGCTCTTTCCTTGCCAAGGTATTTACGTCATGCAAGGAGACCATTACCTTGACATCACCCTCTTTGTACACAAACACGCACCCTCACCTCATTGCTATGACTGACGCTCCAAACCCACTCGGTCCGCAGCCGAATTTAGTGAATCTCTCTCAGGGTCTTCGAACTGCTGCAGATGAAGCCGAGAAACTTCAAAATCTTCCTGCCTTCAGAGATGGCGATGCAATCGTAGCTGCGATTCAAGACCTTCACCAACAATTCCAGATCCAATTCCAGAACCTTAACAATCAATTCCAGAACCTCAATAATCAATTCCAGGTCTTCAGTCAACAACTTCGGACTCAGTTGCAGGCAAGGTATGTATTGCTATTGATTTTCCTAATATTATCCTGGCCTTACTTAACTAATTCTAATTCTATAGCGAACTTAACAATATGGCTCGAATTCAGAATTCGCACTCTGCCACCCAATTGTCTCCTCTCACGCCACTGGTCAATAACTTGACTGCTGCTCAAGTTCCTAGTTTCCCCGCTACGTCAAGACAAATTGCTCGGATGGAGGGGCCCGAATTGGATGCCGTCATACAAGACTTGGGTGTAGGACCTGCTGCAGAAAGTGTGGCTTCAAAGAGAAGGCAGTTGAGAGGATTAGTTGGTCTGGAAGCACAACCTGAAACCCCATAAATGGAACATGCACCGATACATTATTGTTAATGGCAGCACAGCCTGAAGACCCATAAATGGAACATGCACAGATGGATCATTGTTAATGGCGTATGAGACACGAAATTACCCGAGAACATTGTATTGAGTGCGGCGCCTGAACCGCAGGTAGTTTTCCAGGCAACAACTTTACAAAGACAGTGGAAAGCAGCATTCAACATGGCTGCAAGCGAGTGAAGTGAGACTTTGGATTCAAGTCATACGACGAACTTACACGCTTCGAAGTGCAAGTGTACTCATGCCCGCCTCGCACGATCAAAAGCTTCGCCTGCCACCGTGCTCCATGCTCCATGCTCCATGCTCCAGCCTCGGTGCATCACTGAGCCTCAGCACCTCCAGTCTACCAATACAACATGGACCATTCCAAACAGGCCACCAAGCGCGTCCCGTCCCCCCCCCAAAACCCAAAACCCAATTCCGCACAGTATGTACTCAGTTTCGTGAATTCATTATGAACCATGGTGGTTGGAAAGACCCGTCCGTCAGTGCTCGCGTCTCCCAGTACCAAACTCCATGCAGGCATGCCCTTGGGCTGGCCACTTCACCCAGCAAAAACATCGATCTTCCTGGCCCTCGGTCCCTTAGTTGGAGTGCAGACTACCTCGATGGCATCGCCCTCGCTCTCGCCCTCGCGCTCGAAGACCTCAGACACTGGAGAACGCGGTTGTGACGACGGCGGCCGCTCATCCGTGATAAATTGCCAGAGCTGCGCTACCAATCCGGGCGTCTTCCGCGTACTATGTCTCGCCTTCTTCTGCATTGTTGCAGGAGAGATTATGTTTCGACCTTGCTGCGCTTTCTTCATGGGCTTCTTCAGTGTGTCAGATGCCCCTGGCCGGGATAGGCTCCGGTGGGTGGGTGTTTCTTCTGTTGTCGTGTTGTTGTTCTCCTCATCGTCGTCGTCGTCGTCGTCGTCGTCGTCGTCTATCAACACAACCTCGTCTGGGAGTATTTGCAGTTTCAGATTGCTGCCCGGATGCTCGTTAGGGGTGATCGGTGAGAACATGGGTGCCTGTGGCGTGGTTCTCTTCGCCGGACTTCGGACTTGGTGGATAACATCGTCGTCGTCAGGTCTTACTGGGCTGGTCAGTGGTGAGATCGGTGGTCGTTTGGCTTGTGCTAGGGGAGAGAGGATTCCCCTCGCGTAGTTGCCGAGTGCGAGTGGGAATCGGGGCTTGCTCGGAGTCGACATTATCTTCTGCATAGGATTCTGAAGAGGTATTCCGTGTGGCGGATGGGCTACTCGGGGGATCTCAACGACCACTTTCGTTTTCTTCGTCGGTTGGTTCTCGATTTCATCCTCTGCCATCACTGATTTCCTCTTCTTTCTTGGTTGGGAAGGCTTTGTAACTGTCATATCGATCTCGCCCTGTCGAAGCCACAGGTCTGAACGGCGGGTTCTCAAATCGTCGACCCAATCATCGCAATCCATGCACACAAAGTCGTCGATTGTGCCCTCCCACACGCTTTCTGCAGGGCGCGTCCTGTTCACAAAGACAACCTTGCCTTTGCCGTTCTTATGTGCATGAACGGCTTTGGCAAACTCTCGGACCATCTTCTGAAGACCAAAGACTTTCAATGATGTTCCCATTATGATCATCACTTCCGGCTGGCAGCTGGCGTCGAAGGGAATGAGAGGTGTGAGGAGAGTATTTGATGGGTGGTCCTCTCCGTACAACACAATGTTCGGTCGCAGACAGCCCACTGCCAGACCACGTTTCCCATTGGCCATTCTCTCCTCACTCTTCGCCTTGCATTTCTGGCAGTTTGGTGCAGCTCCTTCCAGATAAATATCGGTCTCTTCGTCTGTCCACTCATACTGAACGGCGCACATGGTGCATCGGAGCTTCTGCAGATCCCCGTGGAGCTGCACAACTTCGCACCCAGCATCGAAGTCGGTGCCTTGGACGTGACCAGGACGAGGACTCTCGTAATGCTTCTTCATGAATCGACGTTTGTTTCCCTTGCCACGCGTGAGATCGGTGACCAGTCCCTCTCGTGTCTCCAGTCCGTCGATATTCTGGGTGTAGCACCGCATCAATCTGCCCCCATCGCGAAGGACTCTCAGGAACTTGTGGACCGAGCTTGTCGCGCGAACTTCATCTCGGATCTTTTGTCTTAGCGAAGCGATAAACTGATAGAACACCCTGGTCGACGCGACGTCTTGAAACACTCGAGAATCAAACAGATCTTGTCCCCTTAGTTTGGACGAAGGGCTTGTAGATGCGCGTCGCGAGGTAGTCGATGCGCTGGATGCTTGTGATGAAGGGAAGTCGTCCTCTTCTACCATCGAGATTGTTCGCTTCAAAGTAGGGGTGGAAGGTTGTGATGCGGGAGGTGTTGGAAGCAGAGCTTGCTCTGGGATGATATTATACAGTCCATCCTTGGATCGGAAGTCCTGCTGGCCTTTAGCACATTACTTGAAAGATGCACCCAAGAAGACTTACTGGAATGCCACAGCTTGTGCTGATTCCCGCACCCGTGACGACAATCACTTTGTGCGAGCTGGCGAGAATATCGGCAATGTCTTGTAGGTGTCGGTCGTCTGTACTTCTGACCTCCTGTAGTCCCATGACGGCGGTGAGAACGAGAAAGCAGGTTTGCGGTACGTGAAGGAGACACAAAGTAAAAGTGTTGAAGTCTGTTTGAGATTTGAGGATGACACGTTGGACTGGTGTGGGGGGCGGTGTGTGGAAGGTAATCTGGTTGAACCAAAGATCGCGTCAAGTTCGCGTTGCTGGGTATGTCGCTCGCACTGGAGCTTGGTGGGGACGCGTCTAGTAGATGAAGCACGGAAATGTATTAAATAGTGACTTGTGAGCAAATCCGCATCGAGGCAGTGATGAAACTTATTGGCCTACCTGTAGACGGAGGGAGTCCGTTAACAAGTAACCGTGTACGGATATTGTTGCATTGTGTGTTTGGGAGCTGCTTGGATTGTTTATGTGAGAGTTGGACCGCTAAACAAGGATGAAACGAGAAAGGCGGATGATCGACCGCTAAGCATTTAGCTTCGACTTAAGCTTGTTGTGCTGCCTGCCAATAAACTGAAACTATGGCGTTGCCCCCTTGCATGAATGACAGACTCTGTCACGTTCTTGTGGATTACTCAAGATCGGCTTCGTTGCGCCCGCCAGCTGGTATCTGGGGGTTGTTAAAGTGGACAGGCTCCTTATGAAGTTCCCATTCCGATTGGTAGGCTGCTGACCACCCTTTCGTCTCTGCGACAGTCTTCCTCATTACTCGTGGTCGCTTGCGGGGAATTTCGATTTCCTCTTCTTCCATGGCTTTTTCAGACTCGACACCAAGGAGGTGAAGCAGCCGAGATTCCTCTTGTACTCTAGCCATCTGGTCGAGCTTCTCCATGTACTCATCGGTTTCGGCTTCAATCGCAAGTGCTCGTTTTCGCTTTGAGGAAGGCATTTGTTTAGCAGGAGAGTTCCCTGAACGGATGTTGTGGCTCCCATCCTCACTACCGAGTGACATGAATTCATCGCCTTCATTATCATCGACCATGCCTTCGTCCGTTGAAGATGCACGGCCTAACTCCATTCCAGGCTCAGAGACGTCAGCCTCGTCTTCAGGAAGAACAGCATCCTCGTCCCCGTCACCGCTCTCTGCAAGTGAGCCGTCGCTTTGCGCGCACTCGTCTGACAATCCGGACATGGCAGATAGCGATCGGCTACGCTTTCTTTCAGATAAAATTTCTTCAACTTTGTCGTAGTCCATCACGGCATCTGGGTTGAAACGCTTCACGTTCTTGTGCACAACAAGTAGCTTATTTCTCCTGGCCATGTGGATCCAGTACTCCCACAGATGATCGTTTATGTTCAGTATATCGAGAGCGGCAACCACGTCTTCCTGCCTCACAGTGTGGAGAGTGCTGTATGATATGGTACTCGTTGACCGAATTCTTGATTTCGCAATGAAGATGATGGACTGAACTAGCCTCCTTAGGTAGCTGACAATCATCTCATAGAAGTCTATGAGTACGTCCATAGTCAAAGCCGGCCGCTCATTGTTTTCTCCAAGTTCGTGCCAAGTTTCGCCAGAACCCTGATTCATGTAAAATCTCTCACTGAGTTTCAGGAATGTCGATGTATAGAACAATCGAGTTCTACCAGCATCTGGTTGAAAATCTCCACCGCCGTCGCCCTCTGATAGGTCACTGGAAAGCTCAGCTTCGTCAGCTGCTTTGTCAAGTTCTGAAGCAGTCTGGGGATCGATGAGCCAGACTCCATGGTTACGTTGGCCTGCTGCAAAGTCGAATTGTTCTTGAAATGCTGAAAGGGCCGCAGCCGCTTTGTCAAGCACCGCCTCACACCCACTGCCGATCTCAATGGCAGCAGGGATATCGATGTGCGAGATGTTCTTGGTCTGGGTTTCAAACAACTGTCGGTCTGTTTCTTCCTGCCTGAGCCAGCTGAGATATGAATTGACCTCAACCTCTGATTTGGTTCTCACGAGTAGTGCGATTGCTTCCACATCCAGGCGTCCTCTCCGTTCAAGGGCCTGATATAACCTGTCCTTTTCAGACGGTCGCCACCAGACCGCGCCTAGCTGTGTTGGGGGTAAATCAGGGGTCGAAATCTCGCCCTTGGACGGGTCCAACTGGAGCTTGAATATCTCGAGGTATTGATCGTTGTAGTCTTGGCGCAATTGGTTCCACTTGCTTCCATGAGAGGGTTGCAGAATTGGAGATGGAATGGGTCTCGTGGTTGAAGGCCCCTGGTGGTCTGCATCGGAAGTGGTATTGTGACTATCCTCGCCTTCATCTCCGAAAGCTGTTCTTACAAGGTGATGTGATTCATCCTCGTTGTTCACGCTGTTCATCGTAACGTCTTGACTTCATGGACATGGTATAGGTTGGTCTCGTAGGGATAACGACAAGGTCAGAGTGAGACATCCGATTGGTGCTAGGCCATCAATTTCGGAATTTCGGAATTTCGGAGGGTCGTGCCTGAGCCCTGCACACATGACTTCTTCGACTGATCAGTTGTCCATCGACGGTGACAACCTGATAGTGAGAATACTACGTTGCACTCGTTACGGCCACGTCCATGATGAAAACCTGAAACGTCTGAAATTGGATGGGAGAGTGGCCGGCCTGGTGTCGTCTGTCATTTGAAACGTATCTTCGCCTTGGCTCGGCACCCAGTCGGCTTGGCGGTATCAGATTATCAGATTGTCAGATTAGCTAATGCAAATCTCTTCTCTATCCAGCCTCCCTGGGTTTCCCTGGCCTTCAGGTTCAACTACCAGTAGGTATCTAGATTACAAGCAAGCTCCGAGGCACTTACGAATCGTCCGGCCACATCAAGTCCTGTAGAGCAATAGCAGAAGCGTTGTCTCCCTCCAAGTGTACACCCGAATACGTCTTGATTCCGATTCATAGCGACACGCGTCAACCATCGCGCACGAGGATGCTATCTATCAACGGGTTGTGTTGCCCAATCGGAATTTTCGCAAGCACTTGACATACTACTCGTGCAAGGCGCGCAGTCGGTAGGTGATGGAAGCTTCAATAAATTAAGCTCTGGCAGGCGAGTGTAAGGCAGACAACCGAGCTCTTGACTGCTACCACACGTCCTCCTAGACTGCGCCACAGTGCATCGTTGGGGGTTTATGAACGAAACCCAGGTTGTTCAAAGCTTCTCATCCTTCCGCCCCCACCAAGACGTAGTAGTATTCTAATTAAGGACTTTTTCAACACGGACGGGGGCTTTCAGCTATCGAATCTCTTCAGGTGGAAGGATACACTATGTCAATCTATAAATTGACGCCAGCAGGCTGCGTCTGAGCATCAAGTGCTGCCCGCCTTCGTTACTCTGTACAAGGAGAATTGTATCCTTTCGTTTATATACATTCACTTGATCAAAACCCGGTTTCTTGCATGTCAGTCAATATCATGGGTGCTCTTCTACGTCTACCAAATTTCTCGGAGCATTCGAACATTCGAAATGCCTGGGTTTTTGCTCTGAGTTGGTTTGCGATAACAGCCTCCCTCGCCGACGCTCTAAGCATTGGACTACCTCAACTGCATGAAAGAGCCCCAGACGCATCCCTCTCGACGCGTGCTACATGCTCTGCTAGGCCTGCCGGTCTCAAGCTGCCAGCTCCAGGAACAACATGGGACTACGTGCTTAAAAATCCAATAGCAAAGCCATCAGAGATTGATACTAGCATTTCTGTGTGGGCCATCGATCTTGTTGACAATACCGCGGCCACAATCTCCACCATGAAGGTAAAAGGTGCCAACGTCATCTGCTACTTTTCTGCTGGTAGTTATGAGGATTGGCGGCCAGATGCATCCAAGTTCCAGCCGGATGATCTTGGTGAAGAGCTTGATGGGTGGCCTGGCGAGAAGTGGCTAGATATTCGCTCAACGAACGTACGAAACATCATGCAATCTCGTTTGGACCTTGCGGTTCGGAAGGGTTGCAATGGCGTCGATCCAGATAATGTTGACGGCTACGACAATGATAACGGGCTTGACCTTCAAGAATCGGATGCCACCGACTACGTTATCTTCCTCGCCAACGAGGCCCACAAACGCGGCCTGACTGTTTCGTTGAAGAACGCTGGAGCGATCATCCCCGATGTCATTGATTGCGTGGATTTCAGCGTGAATGAACAGTGTCATCAGTACACAGAATGCAGTACGTATGCTGCATTCATCAAAGAAAACAAGCCTGTTTTCCACGTCGAATATCCCAAAGGAGACGATGTGAACAACATCAATCCAGTTTCTGACGCAATCAAAAATGCCATCTGCAAAGATTCCACGGCAACAGGCTTTTCGACAATCATCAAGAATATGAACCTAGATGACTGGATCCAGAAGTGCTAGAAGACGCATTTTACATATGAAAAACGAGCTATTTGCGGAAGATATCGCATATTTATTTCACTTTTTGATATTATTAGCAATCACTGGTGGCACAGGTGTGAGACCTGGAGCTGATACCGATTACAAGTGAAGGGTGTAGCCAACCTCTTATGGGTATCTCTGAATGGATGTCATTCAAACAGGACATAGTCCCGTGGTGATGTCTCAGCGCAGTGATGCGAATAATTGCAACACTAGTTCGCCTCACCATTCAAACTACTTTTGTACCTGTCCCCGGAAACGTGGAAACAGCTGCAAGGTATTCCTCCTCATATCCTGGACGCTGACAACCCGGCTTTCATGCAGTTGTCTTGAGAAATAGTCAATGGCGTCCACACCCGCTGGTGGAAAGTCAGTACCAAAGAGTATGTGAGCCGAGCTGGACCCAAGCAGCGCGCTAAGGGCATTGAGCTGCATTGGACTGCTGCTCAACGCAGTTTCGTAGTAGAAGCGACGCGCTTCGGCCAAAATCTCCTCCGATGATTTCTTGAGCCTCAAGGAAGGGGGACCCAGGCTCATCAATCCGGCAACTCGATCTATCAAGTAGGGAAGGTCACCGCCAGCATGGCTGAGGATGATCTTGCAGCCGGCCGCGTGGCCTTTCAGCATGTTACTCGGGTTGGTGATCAAATCAATGGCCGTTCGACCAGTCTCATGAGGGAACTCGAAAGCCGGCGCGGGAAGAGCTTCATTGATGGCCGCCATGTTGGCGGATGGTACGGGGTGCACAAAGACAACAGCCTTGCGAGCACTCAGGTCATCCCATATTGGTGTGAAAAGGGGGTCTCCGAGGTAGTGTAGACGGCCGTCCTTGTGATAGCTTGTCGCCAGAGTGATGCCGTCAGCGTCTAGCTGCTGAAAGGCATACTCGATCTCCTTGAGTGTCAAGTCTATCTCGCATAAATTCGTGACATGTGCGAAAAAGCCGAAAGAGCCACTGGGTGAATTCTGCACAAGCTGGGCGTTGTATTCGTTACACTCTCGGGTGAATTCACTGGCCCGTGGTAGATCCTCGTTGCTATGCGGCCCACCTGGAATGCAGGATAAGATGGCCACACCGATGCCTTTGCTGTGGCAGTAGTCGCAGGCGGTCTGGGCGGTCCATTCCTCAGTGACCCAACCGCCTGGCCTTTGACTTGCGGCTTCGAGGTACTTGATGTAAGCAGGGGGAAAGGAATGGTGATGGACATCAATACTTAGGGAATTGACTGAATCCATGGTGCAAGCCTGTGGCACCTGAAGGTGGAATGTTGGAAGAGACGTTATGGAAGAGAGCCCATATCAATAGATTTGTAACGGATCTTAAGAGGTCTACTCTATGCTGCATTTCCCCTGGGCCGTTTCGATTTCAGTACCGACACGCGAAATGCAGCAAATCAATTGACAACGCGTTCAGTCAATTTTGGGCCTTAGTGATAGGCCACACGCTCATTCTCGGTGAACGGTCAAGTAAAGATGCTTCTTCACGTCCATATCTTTGAGAAACCAGTTGCCGTTGACGATTCTAGTGTTGATGGTCTGTCACTGGCTTACCTACTTTTGGTAGACGCGAGCACCCAGACGGTGGAACAATGCGTCCCACAAATGCGAATATCTTCGGCAAAACGGACTAAAGTAGTGGATGTTCAATCTCCAGTTTGGAGAACATCAGGTGGGATTCTCCCAAAGAGGAGAAGCGTGAATGTCATGGCCCAATCGAGCAGCCTCGCTTCATGTGGGAATATCAGATTCATCATCAACACGAGATATTCCATTCCCAGAGAAATGTGTGCGAGCAACAGAATCGATAGTGGCTGACACATTCTGATCCGAGCGGCGTCCCACAGGCAGTCCTTCGACTCCGCCATGGTGTGGGACGTCAAATCGTGATGAAAGTTCAAGACCGGCTCCCGTTCAGCTATCAGATTCAAGTCCCTGAGGTCGGTCCCTGTGCTCTGCAGTCTTCAGTAAATTAGTGGTTCCAATGCTCTATACGATATACAAAAACGCTGTATAGCCGCTGTTTTTGATGACTGGAGACAGACTTTTGACAACAACGGGAAACACCACTGACACAGGAGAACGATGATTACGGCCTACACGACCACCGAGTCTTCCACCGACGGAGTCCAGAGACTTCCCGAAAATGGCATCAAGGTCGCCATAATTGGCGGCGGTGTGGGCGGCTTGCAAGCGGCGCTTGAATGCTGGCGAAAAGGTTGTGAGGTTGTTGTTCTGGAGCAAGCTAATAAGTTGTCTCCCCTTGGTAGGTCTGAAGCCATCTATCATAACTACTTCGGCACGCAAGTAAGGAAGAAAGTTGGTGCTACAGATGATAATAACAAGCTGGAGTTTTGCTGCAGGCGACTACTTCACCATAACTCCTTCGGCATTGACGGCCTTGAAAGAATATCCGAGCATGCACGCCGACTATCACGAGTGCATCTACGATTGTTCGATTCACGTCTACACGCCTTCTGGACGGGCGATCCACTCGACGGATCCTGAGTGGAACCGGGCCAGGATCGCGCACGCGGCCCCGGACGTCAACATCTCGTTCCTGAAACGTCGGCCGGTCTACGCTCAGATGCAACTCGATCAAGTGAACAGACTCAATATCCCAGTCCAGTGGGGAGAGAAGGTCATCAGCGTTCTAGAGCGAGAGGATAGCGTCGTTTTGAAGACCGCCTCGGGAAAGGAAATCACCTGCGATATCTGCATTGGAGCAAATGGTATTGGCTCCGTGATTCCCGGTTTCGAGACTGGCCCCGAGATTGCTGTTCAAGACAGCGGGTATGCGGTGGCGCGCGCGGCGTTTCCACGTTCTGCCATACTTGATGGCTCACCTGCGGCGTCGCTTATGAAGCACATTGATGTGAGGCCTGAATTCCGCACTTATGTTGGAAAAGATATCCATCTCATCCTTTTCCTCACACCCGACTGGGTAGCTTTTGCTTTCACACATCCAGTGAGTAGAAACACCAAGATGTTGTCCATGTGGTTTCACTTAGCAGGAGACCTCCTGATCCTGAATTGTCCAATTTTAACCTCCCTCTGCAAAGGACTACAACGATGCGGAAGAGTCCTGGTCGCATGTGAAAGCGCCGGCAGACCTTATCCCCTACCTCGAGAAAGCGAATGACGAGTGGGATCCAGCAGTGCTCGACTTCATCAGGTCAACACCAACCGGGGTCGTGGACTGGAAACTCCGATGGCGGGATGGCACACCACAGTGGACTTCAGAGCGTGGACGTCTCGTGCGTCTCGGAGACGCCGCTCACGCCTTTCTCCCAACCGCAGGCAATGGGGCGGTCCAAGCACTCGAAGATGCCGTCTCTCTCGCAGAATGCCTCCGCATCGCAGGCAAGAAGGGCGTATGCCAGGCCACGAAGGTGCACAATAAATTGAGGTTAGTAAGCAGGACTTTCCATCGAGCTCTTCTATCTTTTGGTTTAGAGCACTGGTGGGCTCCGTGGGAGTTGGGAAGGACAAAGCAAAACATAAACGTGTGCTAACTCTTCCCGTTCTCGGGGTGGACGAAATGCAGGTTCGAACGAGTAAGCATCCTGCAACAAACCGGCTTCCTCAACCGCGAAGAACTCCACACCGCCGACGTAGCAGCAATCCAAGCGAACGCGCAAAGCACCAGCAACACCACCATCGGCTTCTTCAAGATCGGCCGTTGGGTGTGGAACCACAATCCAGAGCTCTATGCACGGGACAATTACGAAGCGTGTCTAGCGCACGTCCTTGAAGGCAAACCCTTTGAAAACACCAATGTGCCGCCTGGTCACGTCTATCACTCCTGGAGTCTTGAGTCGGAGAAGAAACGTATGTTGGCTGGCGTCAGGTCGAATTTGAAGGAGAATGGTGATTGGAGTGCTTGAGTCCTATTAAGTGAACGTAAATGTAGGTACGTAAAAGTGGAAAGAAGACCTTGGCACAAAGACGCTACATGGCCATTTTTCGAACGGCACGAATATATTGTAGCAAATCACATATGTACATCGAAGAGGGGTTTTTTTTTATAAAAAAAAATAAAAAAAATATTGACACTCGATGTCACCAGTTTGATAGAATACATCCCTAGGTAGTTAGCACTGTATATGATACGATCTACATACAAATCCCATTGTGCGCTCTTTCCCCCAACCATCCGACATGTTTCGCCTCAACAATGCTGGGAGCAACATCCGTCGGTCAATATGCGAGTCAAGTCATGCGAGGGCACTGGATTGCGCTCTAGAGCCAGTAGGGCAAGGGCAGCAGGAATCGTCACAGAAAGGCCCAAGGCGCACACGTGTGGAAGAGCCGTCGCGCGAGGCTGCTCAGATAGGCCCGATTCCGCGGCTTTTCAGGTCCCGTCGGCGGAAGTTCCAGCACCTCGCTCGAAATGCCATTCATATGACTGAGCTAGTATGCGTCCCTCGTACTGGTGTGGTTGAGTAATATTGCCACCATCCTTTGGGCGTCCTAACTACTCGTTGTCGGGTTTAGTCCCCTTGTCCTTTGCACGGGTCCGATGGGCACCTCGTCACAGTAACCCCACACCAGGAGTCCGGGGGATAAGGGCGCCGATCTGACACACCATTCCCCTAGCGGAGAACCACATATCATGTTCTCGGAGTCTGGACCCTGCTGTGGAATATGTACTGGAGGATGGCAAAATAGCTTCCACCCACATCTGGCATCAATGTACAAATAGCGTAATACGAAAGCCACTGGTCTACTCGAAATCACGGTAGGTCCCAGATAAGCAGTCGTCCCACGAGAACTCGGCTTTCTCGGGGCCCCGCGAATAGGGGAAATATGGCCTGGGTAAAAGTGCTCTGGAAGTTAGGATGCATGTGATACCGAGTATTATATAAACGCAGCCATGAATGCTAGCAGTGCTGTTGTCGTGGTGCATATGTTTGACCTTGTGACACAGCCACTGTGCTTGAGAGTTAACAACAAAAGACAAGGAACATTTCCCTTGACGTTCCCCAAGCAGAGCTGCGAATAAAGGGATGATAACAAACTCCAGCTCTGGAGACATCACTCATCCGAGGAACAATTCACCGCACACGACCATGGCGACAGCAGAAGAGGAAGCGAAAGTATCTCCCGGCTTCGAGAAGCACTTGGAGCAGATCGACGTCGATGATGACCAAGATATCGTGTACGACGACACGGAGCATGAGCCAGAGTTGCATTTCCGGACATGGATTGCCCTCGCATCTATGTTTCTGTATAACTATGTCATCATCATTACTCTGCTGTCCCCGCCAACGGTGGTAAGTCGATACGCTCCGGGCTGTGGCCGTGTTCACGGGGCCGACCAGCGCCACGAAGCCTAGCTAATCTCCCTTTCTCCGCCCGCAGCTTTCCTACATCGGAGCTAGTCTCGGCGCGACAGACATCCAAACATGGGTGCTGAACTCGCTCACGCTTCCGCAGGCAGTCTTTGCGCCTCTCGTATCTTCGATCTCGGACGTTTTCCAGATTCGTAAGGGGCTCATGCTTGGGCTGATTGCGCTATCGTTCATTGGTGCCGCCATCGCACCCGGGTCGCAGAGTATATACCGGCTCATCGGCGCGCAGATCTTGATATCATTTGGATTCTCGGCGGCGCCGCTGGGGTATGCTATCCCTAGCGAGATATTACCCAGGAAATGGAGGCCCAGTAAGTGAATTGAATCTTATGCTAAGCTTGACTCTCATCTAACGGAACAATAAAGTGGGACAGGTGTGGATAAACATTGCTGCTGGTCTGGCAGCTTGCACAGGACCATTGATCGTTGGCGCCCTCACCAAGGCCGACCCGGAGAATGGTTGGCGGAAGTTGTGGGTACGAAGACTAAACCAGATCTTGAAAGAGGGGCGATATATGCTAACATGGACCAGTGGATTCAGATGGGCCTCTGGGGGGCCTCTGGAGCGGGTATCCTTATTGGATATCGACCGCCAAAACGCCATAGCCGCCTCGACCATCTGCAATTTTGGCAGAAGATACAGCATCTCGACCTTATAGGCTATGGACTCTTCGCCGCTGGGTTAAGTCTCTTCCTCGTTGGGCTCAGCCTTGGTGGTGGAGAGTATCCCTGGACAAATGCACGCACACTTGGAACGCTCATAACCGGCCTGGTCGTTCTGGTGTGTTTCGGCTTGTATGAGTGGAAAGGCACGTCGACAGGATTCCTTCATCATGACCTATTCCGAGGTGAACATGGCATGGGCCGGACATTTGCCATCTGTGTCTGGCTGATTTTCGCCGAGGCGATTCTGCTGTTCCCCTACGTTGTCTTCTATCCAGTCCAGTAAGTCTCCTTGTTGGAAGAGCTGACCCTCAAGCAGATCATAGCTAACTCAACTAGGAACTCAACTTTATTCGAGGAAGATCCATTCTTATTAGCGGCTAGGGAACAACCTTTTTGGCTTGGCTGTCTGTTGTCGACCCCAATCTGGGGTCTGATTGGCACCCGTCTCCGGAGGCTCAAAGAGCCCATGTCAGCGGGTTTCCTGATTTTCACAGGCGGTATCGCAGGACTTGCCACAATCCAGCCAGATGATAATACCAGAACTCTCATCTTTGCAGCTCTTGCTGGTACTGGCTTTGGGGCGATCATTATCATGGTCATTGCTATGGTGCAATTTGCTACGCCGCACCACCTCATTGCAACAGCCACCGCTGTCACGGTATCATCCCGATCTGTAGGGGCGGCCGTATTCACGGCGATATATGCTGCTGCTTTCTCAGATCGCCTCAAAGAAAAGCTACCTAGCTACGTTGCCGCAGCGGCTTCGAAGGCAGGTCTTCCACAAGTCTCCTTGCAAGCTTTTGTAGCAGCCTTGGCAGGGCAAGACCAGGCTGCACTGCTCAAGATCGAGGGTGTAAACCCTGCAATCATTTCGGCGGGTGTAGCAGCCGCTAAGCAGGCGAGTGCCGATTCTGTTAGGGTTGTCTTCATGATCGCAGCGCCGTTTGGCATAGTCGCAGCTATTTCTTGCTGGTTCACTGCTGATATGAGAAAGACGATGAATTACAGGGTTGATGCTCCTGTGGAGAATTTGACCACGAAGATACCTGACAGGAAGAGCCATAACAATAGCGATGTTTGAAGGCGCAAGATATCAAACCAGAAAGATAGCCCCCTCTGTATTGAACTTATCATGTTCTTCATTTGCTTCGCCATGGCAATCTGTTATCAATCAATTGATGGACTTTTGCCCATCCGAAGTCAATGAGTAGAAAGAGCTTCTTACAAACTGCTGTAATTCGGCGTCCAAATTGGTCAGAACAAGGCTCAGTAACCATTGTGACTGGCCATGGACGAACCAGTATGATGCTTCCTGCTTAGATAGCAGCACAAGCCAGTGCGCAACTAGGACCAAGGCCGAGGGGTCGCTCACTTCAATCATTTTGAAGAACTGGTCCGACAGCATCATCGGCCAACTCTCGATTCCATTCCACCGCGCCCATGTGGTGTCTGCGACATAACTTCGTGCATAACTTGAGACTAGAGCTGCAAGAGCGTTGTTGAAGGCTGCAAGATTTGAGTGAGTGGGCTTCGACACCCTCGCGAAAAGTTTTGCTGGAAGTGATGCAAGATGCCTGTATACGACTGGTGGAATATATGGGTAGCACAGCAGTACTGAGCACGGTGGCGTCTGAGATTCAAATTGGTCCTTGTCGTGTGAGGCGCTTGCTGGACCACGCGATTCATTGATAATTCTGGCGAGGAGATGAATGTCGTTCGTAATTTGGAATGAATCCGGGATGACAGTCTCAATCCAGCCTGGTGTAACTTGCTGTGTATCTGGAACATCTAAGACCGACACACACAAGTCGACAAGATGCTTAACATCACCCAAATCACTTGCCCGGAAAGCCTCGCCCGGAGCGTGAGAAGGAGTACCAGGGATCATCCGAGAGCAAACCTCGTTTACGAGATATGGAGTGGAGTTGAGAAGTGCATCCGGAGGCATTTCGCGTTGAGCAAGTCCTTGGAAAGCCTCACCGGAGAGAAAGAGCGCTGAACCAACAGGCAGAAGGCTTTGCATCCTCAGAAGCAGCTCAGTGCCACCTTTCAGCATAAGCAGCATTTCCACAACGGTAGAAACTCTCGACTCAGTAGCATCCATACTCCCGGCGTTGAACCTGTCTGCCTCCACCAGAGTCTCTGCACAGAACTGAACTCCGAGTAACCGAGCGAAGGTTGTGAGTGCAGTGCTTGACTGTCTGGTTGGGTGGTCGATAATGCTTCGGAAAGTGGCCAGTCCAATCGACTGATGCCGCAAGCCTGAAGCGTGATGTCGAGTACGAGCGAGGCCATCAGATGCGAGTAGTGCTTGGTGGAAAGCTGCAACACCGAGGATGCCATGCATGAGAAATGGCTGGGTCGCAGCTTCGAGAGGTAAGTCATGTGTCCAGAATTCCGTCGGTTCGGTGCCTCGTATTAGTGATAGTCCCGTACAGGTCATGTACTGATGGAAATACATGAGGTCCTCTAGCTGGTGCTGGGTCACGGTGGCGGCTTCCAAGCCTTCAGGGCTGTAGTTGATGGATTCTACAGTCGGCAGCACCCGTTCCATATTTGATTGCGACAAGTGTAGAAAGCGGTACTCAAGCGGCTGCGTACTTGCTTTATCTGTCTCTCGTGACACACTAGGGTCGACCTCAAAGTAGCGGACTTTATTGCCCTTGAAGAAGGTCTGTAGGTACACTCTCTGGTGGTGGCCACCGACGAGACCCATCGCGCTCGTCTCATGATTCGATCGCATGTGGGAGCTCATCCGTTTCTCCGAGATGCAGAGATGTCCACAATGGGGCAGATTGCACCGATAGCCACTGGTCACCGGCAAATAAGGGAGCGGCGAGTCCTTTGACAATGGAGTAGAAACATCATCAGGCTCTAATAATGTCAGTCCAGCAACACGTTCCAATAATAACCGACGCTTCTCTCGGTATATGTGATGCCGCAGGAGGTGACTCGTGAGGGCCTTGGGTTGAACGGCAAACTTGCACAGCTTGCAGATAACTATGCCATAGTCGGGTAGATGCACCAAGAGTGTACCTAAATGCTCAAGTCGCGGCGACACATCGATAGACTCTCTTCGCTCCTCCCCGGACTGGTCCCTAGACTCGGGAGCTGATACTGGGCTTACGCTGCTGGCCATGGCTTCTTTAATGCGATCATGATCGGGAATGTGCGCACCTGGGCGACGGTGACAGGCATAATCCTGGGAAGAACCGGGGGGTATGAGAGTAGACTCTAGGATTGGAGGTACTTTAAGTACTTCTTAATCGAGGGGAAACTTGGCCCCTTTCCCCTGGACTTGTATACCCCCGCTGGATCATGAAAATTCGATAACAGGCCGGATTAGGAAGCTCAACTTGCCTAATAGAGGCAATGTGGCACCCACTTCACCAGCATCATCGCAAACTTGTGGTGTTCTATGCGCTTGACTTAGACGAGAACAAGCCACAATTCGTGTTGATTCTCCAGAGCCGTTGCTATCTTGGAGGATGTCCCCAGTAATGGACCTCACCCTGTGCTACGTTGATCCAGGTGAGGCGCTAACCCTTTTCTTTTCGGCACGGAAAATCCATGATCAAAGGGCGCCAGGGTCCACGGTTTGCTTGCATTCGCTCATTTCGCATCGTAGAGGTCGATTCTCACTGAAAGAAATGGAAAGAAACCGAGGAGGAAAGGGTGCTAACTAAAGTGCTTTTGATTGTTCTCATACGGCACTCTGGCCGGCCCCGCAGGGACTTTGCTGTCCGCCGACAGCCAGAAAAAAACACCACACACCAGCACCACCTGACGATGAGAACAAAACAGAAGGAGAAAACGTATTCTTTGGCTCAAGGCCCACCAACAGCACCAACCGGACACCCAACACCACCCCCGCCACCACCATCGCCCAGGTCGGGACTTACCACCGAACAGATCCAAACAGAAACACAAGAGGCATCATCGCAAATGGACAAACGCAGCCTCAGTCGCCGCGGCGCTCGTTGTTTCGGAGTTGACGGCGCAGTTGCACCATCTCAAGTTGTGCCTCTCGAAGGAGACCCTCATTGAAGATGGCGCGCTGCCGCCACGTCAACGCCTCGACTTGGAGCCCGTTGACGACGTCGGCGACATCGCCTACCTGCTCCGCTCTCTCTCGGTGCCTCTCAATGGCCTGAACGGCCGCTCGCACCACGTTCCGCACCTCCTCCTCCACCATCACCAACCCCAACCTCGCCCGAACGGCCGCACCACGTCCCCTTGCCATGGCGGCCGCATCGATCTCATCTAGGATGTCGATCTCCGCGGCCACCTGGCGCAGGTAGTGGCGCGTCTCGTCCAACAGCCATTCCCACCGACCCACCTCCTCCTCTTCCTCGACGTCCTCCTCCTCCATAAAGTCGTCGTCCGCCGGGTTGTAGAGGGGGAGGTCACCCTCTACAACCCCCTCTGGGGCGGCGACCCCTCCCTCCCCCTCCTCCTCCCCTCTTTCTTCTTCTTCTTCCTCCTCCTCCTCGTCGTCGTTGTCATTGTCGCCTTCGTCGTCTTCTCCACCGAGCACGTTGACGCCTGGCGCCGCTAGGGCGCCAGCCAGAGGAGGATTTTGTCCGTGCTCGGTGGACAAGGTGCGTAGTGCCTCAGATGCACGTACGCGACGAAGGGGTAGAGAATGGTGACGCGCGCCGGGACGGGTCGAAGAAGGTTCACCATCGTTGTCAGAGTCGGCGTCAGCGAAAGGAACGTTGCGCAAGGTGAGATTGAAGTTCCAATGTGGAGTCTGAGCAGCGTCTGATGCTGTGCCATTGTTTGAACCAGAGGGACGAATGCGAATTGGACTTCCATCATCTGTGGTCATAGTACGTCGACGACGAGGTAGAGTGATCGGAGCAGAGACTTGTCTGCGAGGAGTTTGTGCCGACTGATCTTCCAAAGGATTCACACCGCTTGCAACTCTGAGTGAATAACGGGGAGCTCCAGCAGTTTGATGAGGTGGAGTTGAATAGGAGGGCAAGTGTGCACCACCAGTGATCTGAGTATCTGGAGTGTTGATCGTGTTTGACGTGCTTGGTTTTCTTGGAGGAGTGGCGATCGCAGGACCAGCGGGTAGTGTAGTGTAGTTTGTGTTTGTGATTCTGGAATTGTTTGATCCTAGATTGGTTGTACTTTCCGCACCAACGGCTTGAGTATTGTTGGTGATGAGGGTAGAGTTGTCTGAAAGACGATTGAAAGAGCCTGCGACTTCAGCCGATCTTACAGTGCGATTTGTGCCTGAAGAAACGTTTGATGGTGAAGCGCCAGTGCTGTCAGTGTCACGTGGACGAGCAGTCTGAGTTGCATCTGAAGAAGTGTCTGCTTGTGAATCGACAGTATTGACAGTACTGAAGTCTGGGTGAGTCTGGGTTGGGACCGTAGGAAAGCTTGAGCTTGCACGTCCAGTGTCGACAGTATCGCTTAGTAGAGCAGTCTGAGTTGTACCTGAAGAAGTACCTGGTTCTGAAGCTGCAGCGATGGTAGTTCTGGCGTTGACGCGACTCTGGGCAAAGGCTCTTGAGAATCTCGCGCTTGGACGTCCAGGATTGAGAGTGTTGAAATTAAAACGAGTTCGAACCCGGGTTGTAGAAGAGCTTGAGCTTGCACGTTCAGAGTTGACAGAGTTAGGGTTCAGACGAGTCTGGGTTGGGACTGAAGCGGATATTGAGCTTGCTTGTCCAGGATTGGTAGCAGCGTCAGTGACGACAGTGTTTGATGAAGTTGACGACTCGGGGACAGGAGTCTGGATGGTGATGGTGTTTGAAGAAGTCGCAGGCTGAGTGGCAGGATTGTTAGTACTGACAATGTCTGGAGGGAATGGAGGTTTGGGTTGATCAGTGCCAGTGGGATCTGAATGAACCAAAGTTTCAGTTCTTTCCGCGGCGACTTGATCGCGAGGAGATGATGCACCGTCAACGTTGTTGTTGTTGAACGCTTCAGTGTTGTCTGAGCCGGTGACTAGGTTTGGAGGAGCTGATGGGTCAGCAACGTTGTTGGTGGAAGCTCCAGAAGAGTTACCAGCGTTGTTGTTCGCCGCGGTACGTGAGGGAGGTTGAGAGTCAGAAGTGAGACCGTGGGAACTGCTGCTTGTGCCGTTCAGTTGGGTAGAACGAGTTGCTGGAAGGTTGAGGATTGCAAAACCAGCCTCTGCCCAGTCTGGGGTAGTGGATCTTGGAGAGGATGGATGATAAAGGTGTGGATGAAGATGAATGCCGTTTGCAAGAGGAGTGTTCTCTCGAGCGTTGTCAGCAGATGTAGAATAGTTTGAGAGAGGGAGAGTGCGATTGTTGTGATGAGGTCTGACAGAGGGAGTTCCTCGCTCAGGATTGACAACTGGACCACCAATGGGTAGATCTGCAGAGCCGATTGAATCAGGAGATTCGTGCGGTCTTGCGTTGACTGTGCTCAAGCGATCAATGACTGCTTGGATGTTCAAAGTGCTAGAAGCGCTTGCAGTGTTAGATCCATCCTCGTTTGGAGTGGCAGGATTGAGGGTGTTTTGAGGAACTGTGGGTGCTTGGCTAGATCCATTGTTTTGGTCAGCTGCAGAAGGGGCAGAGTAGTTGTTGGTCGGTCCCATGCCGCGTCCATTGAATCGAGGGTTTGACATGATGAAGAGTGCCTCGCGCAAGGACAACAAGGTCTCAATTGTATGATAAAGGGTGCAAAGAACGATAAAACGAACTGGTATGAAGTTGTAACGACGAGCGCGACGGAAAATGCGGATGGAGAGATTTGTAACGACGAGAAAGTGAGAGAGGGATAAGAACCAAGGTCTTTGAGTATTAGCACTCTCCTTCACTCTCATTCTGCCGGTCCTGGGAACAGAACTTCACTATCAACAGTGCTCAGCCTTGCCCAGCCTCGTTGGTCGCGCCAAGGTACTGGAGTCTGCTCACACTTTGTTATTGCATGTGGAAGGGCATAGGCCCACCTGACGCTCGGCTCTCTTATGTGTCAGGACATGGACTCACCTAAGATACCAGACCAACAGAAAGGTACAAAGGACGGACGAGGGAAAGAAGGAAAAAATGGACAAGGCTGAAAATGAACGGCGAGGCTGAGAAAAGGGTTGCCAGGAGGCATAGCATACAAATCTAGGACCAAAGCTCCAACTCTATAATCAATGTCGTCGCGACGGGTAATGCTCCGTCGCCGTATCGTAAATGTCTTGTCGCGACGTGGACTATTGATGCACGTCGTAAATTTCAACATGTTGTGTGGGAGAATCTCATCTCCACAGATCCACTACATATTGAGCAGACTCATTTGGCGCTTCACGGGGCTTGCAGCATGGTCACCGTCCTCGCTAGGGCCAATGCCGCTATCTGTGCCCCCTAGGGGACTCGAGTCAATGTCGATGTCCCATTTGTCGCCGACATTGGTGCTGTCCTCTTCATCTCCGTCATCCCATCCTTTCTGGACAGCACCTCTAACATTCCACCTGAGCGCTCGTTGAACGCTCTCAACCCACTCATTGGTGCCAGTCATGACAGTGGGGAAAGGATATTGTGAAGCTTCTAGCGTCACGTAGTCTCCTCGCTTCAGCTCTATCCGGCCCTTCCCATCAAAGGAGCAGTATGCTGAAGAACGAGACTTGACTGGCACAGCAATGCGCAATGCAAGAGTATCTGAAAGGACCATTGGCCTGAAAGAAAGGGTATGAGGACAGATTGGCGTAAGGAGAATAGCGGGAATGGATGGATGTATCAAAGATCCACCGGCAGAGAGTGAGTAAGCTGTTGATCCCGTGGGCGTGGAGAAAATACATCCGTCTGCCTGTACGATGGTGAGAAGCTCATCATCGCCATAGAGTTCCAAATTCGAAACATATGCCGATGGGCCACGGTCAATGACCAACTCATTCAGGACTTCAAACTGCTCTCCTTCTTCCACAGAGCCCTTTTCAGCATTGGGCGAGTGATCAGCTCTCCACACTGTGCAGGTAAAACGCATGCGGAGATTGACTCTCATACCGGCGTCACCCATGACACGATCAAGCTGCTCCTTGTACTTGTCAAACTCGAAATTGGTGAGAAAGCCTAAGCTGCCAAGAGAAAAGGACAAGACAGGAGGTACAACTCTCTGAAATAGCCAAGAGGTGAATAAGACAGTGCCGTCGCCGCCAAGAGTGAGCACGAGGTCGAACTTTTCTGGCGATGACCAGCACAAGTCAGGAGTCCAGTATTTCAACATCTTTTGAAATCGCGGCTCCTTCTTGAGCAAACCGTCGGCGTCAAATCTCTGAGAGTGGCGTAGCTTGGCATCGACATAGACATTGACACCCAAATCGCTTCCATACCTCGGCGTTGAGAGAAGCCACTCTGCAAGGTCGTGAGTCATGTGCACAAGACTGTTGTCGCGAGCCTTAGTCACGATCATTATGTTGCGCACAGCGCGCTTTAAAGGTTTGCGCTGTAATTGCTTGGAAACCTCGCGGACGCCCGTCGCGGTCTGCATCAATCGCGAGTGGGAATACTCGTCTTCTGCAATTTCTTCCAACACCTTCTGGATGTCCACAAGGCCCTCAAATCTTTGGTGGAAAAAGCAGGGAGAGCGAAGAAAGCTGGTCGAGGTTGGAGAGTAGCCGGATATCGAACTAAAGCCGCCCACCGTGGCTGTCTGACATATCGAAGGCGAGCCATCGTTCTGTGGTTCTGACTCTGGTTCCAGGAGTGCAGCCTTGAGAGTAGGCGCGCCCAAAGGCGCGGTATTGGGTCCCATGCTGGGCCGGCGAGAAGCCAGCGCCTTCAGAATGGTCTGTCTGGGAATGTCGGTCGACTTCGTATTTTTGTGACGGGCTCTGTATGGCTTTGGGAGATAGAGTGGTTTAGGGACAGGTACAGAAGGATGATGGGCGGTATATGACTTTAACAAGGAGTTGCTGACAGTGACAGGGCTGTTTGCTAGGTTGAGGGCGGTGTTTAAAGCGGTCTCGTGCAGGGTGTCAACATCAGGCTCTGTGAGGTGGTGAACATGATGGGTATCATCACCAGCATGAAGAGGATCTAAGTGCTGGGCATACTGGCGCAGAATCGACTCTCCCACAGAAGCCTTGGAATTCAAGTTGGCCATGCCATGAGAGAGCAGAGGGTCAGGATTATCAAGGGCAGGTGTTGGAGGAGAGAACGTGCTGGAACTAGCGGCTTCGGAGGTAGTGGGTGAGGATAATGTGGAGTGCGAGTGCGAGTGCGCGTGCTGAGTTTGCGGGTGCTGGAGGGAGAGGGACATGTTGAGGAGGAAAACGATGGGCAGTAACCGAAATCAGCAAAAATGGTAGTGATGGTGGAGGTGCGTTGGTGATGCCGAGGGATACAGGCCCGAGCTCCCAGGGTCGTCTGCGCCTGGCGGACGAATCGTGCCGGGGACTTTGGGTGACTTGAGTACCGAAGGGGGTGCCGAGTGGTGACGTCTGTCAGGCTGCCAGCGCCCAAGATCTGCGGGAAGGCTTCTTCCGTCTCGCCCGGAGTTAAAGCACACAAATGCGTCCGGAGGTGATTAATATTGCGATGCTTGAGTCAAACGACCGGTGATCAGTCACCCAGAAATGAAATGCCGCTTGCTGACCGAGGATAATGCAAAAAATACACAAAACGAGGAATGCAATCAGAATGTAAGAAAAGAAAGACGTGCAGCCAGCTGCTCTGTCACCTGGGTTCCGTACTGAAAGTCGGTTTGAATGGTTGATTTTTGTCCTCCATCTCGGTGGCTCGCGATGCCTGGATTCATCGACTATTAATACTCCGGTACTTTGTACCGTGCACATATAGCGAAGCGAATGTGGATGTCGAGGGGAGGGCCCGTCAGTTTGAGGATCAGGAACAAGGGGAATGTCGAAGCTGCTGGAGCCCGGGGGGTTACGGAGGGGGGCTGCATCTAACGCCCCTCGATCCGATATTCTGGCTATTCCTTCTGTGCACTGTGAGACAGCACGTGGTGGGGATCGTCGGCACCTAGCGATCAATCTTGCTGGCACCCCTGGGCGCTCGGGGCATGTCGACGCCTAACACCGACCATAGACAGCCCTTATCAACGCCCAGCGCCGCTATCTGCCCCTCTGAGGTCCTGTTTGATCCCATCAGCCGCCCACTTCGGGTGATCCAAGGCATTGTGGATGTGTCTCATCTTGATGTTTCTCATGCAAAACTGGTAACAGCCTCAGTCCTGTTGCCATCTTCCATCCTTAATCACTCTCTCTTCTAGAGTTTTTCTGATCACATCCAGCACAGAGACAACCGAGCTCTTACTGGTTGCACCGCCGTCCATGGAAACATCTCCGTTTTGTTTGTTGATATTATTGGATTTGTTGATATCCGAAGTTCCCAGAACCGCTGACCTGGCAACCTCTTCTGCGCGTTTCCAATCCCCCGTTTTGAAGTTGCCCTCGCTCTCCATGAGCACCACTTGGCCGTCACTGGTGAAGGCAAAAACGTGGAGGCTGGTACTTGTCTTTCTCTGCGTTACATTCGGGTGGACAATCAACTGACCGTCCCGATCGATCCCAATGAGTACTGCTCCAACGGTGGTTCTCATCTGTACTCCTGCATCGACACAACCAAGAATTGCAGCATTGATCGCAGATGGTAAGATATCGAGATACGACTCGCCTTGGCCACCTCCCTTGATTCCGCCCGGCAAAGACTCGTCACTCTGAACACCCACAACCTGAAGGGTGGCTTGCAGCATAGTTCTCGGCGTCTCATCACCCAGGACTATGCACTGTAGCGTTCGCTTCACGAGCTCTTCGACATGGCGTTCTTTGACCATGCCCACGCCGTTATGGGGTCGAAGATTTACATCGATGAAAGTAGACTCCGGAATCTCATCGCTTCTGTAGGGCACTTCCACCGGATAGTTGACACCGGCTATAATTTTGTAAGTGCTCCCAGGTTCAGTGTATGTTGCTGAGCCATCTGCATTCGATAGTGTACGTAGTGCGGCCTGGGGTGGCCCATTCACAAGGGGGAAGACCATGACTAGCAACAGTGATATTTGACTTCTTTCTGATGAGGTGACAATGGCATTCAAATTGGGATCACCAGATTTTGTCTCATACATGGAATCTTGGCATATCTTGGCAGCCAACGAGGCTCTAAAAGTTTAGGAGGCCACCATCAGCAAGACGGTATGTTCTCACTTCACCAAAATTGAAATGCGAGTTGCTCAATCCTGCAAGGCATTTGGTTTCATTCAATTATCCTCACGATGATCACTCTCTTAGAAATCCAAGGTGAAGCGGTTTATCGAATAGAGATTTCTACTAGTACAGCGCAGAACAGACCCTCGTAGATGGGGTGGTCGTAGAGACTATCTGAAAATCTCGATGGCGTATTATGCGAGCTTACGCCCATGTGTCATTCGCGCAATGGCAGCCGCCCAGATGCAAACTCCAGAACTAATCGGGCAATGCACGCATCACGCCTTCAAAAGCCACCAGCGCCATAGCATTCGCCGGAAATGCACGCAGAAAACAAGGTAGAAACCCTCTCCAGTAGCCTCTCCACCCAGACTCCCGATATACGGTGGCCGCAGCATCCTTCCAATGTCGGAATCGACGCGTGCCATCGTTCAGACCACCTCCCAGTGGATCTGTCATGATTCTCTGCTTGACCACGTCGGAAGGGTAAGACGTCAACCAGAATATTTGGGCCGAAAGTCCACCGGCCCAGAAATTGATTGCGGGAGTCGAAAGTGAGGTGCGGTCTTTGAATACTCGCGAGAAAATATCGTAGCTACCCCACCAAAAGAAGAAAAATGATCGAAATATCAAGGTCGCGAACAAGCCATGGTATAGGCCCTTGACTCCCTGATGTTTGAGGATCTTGCGACAGCAGTCAATCGGACCGCGGTAAAGCCTGTCTGCTTTCTTCGCAGCGTACTGGATTTGCAGTCTAGCCTTGACATGTTCTACCGGGGCAGCGATGAAGGACACCGTTGAGCCAGCCATGACTCCGGCAATGCCATGTCCATATGAAGGCAAGGGGTCCTTGGCTAGCTCTGCAGCAGATTTTCCTGGTCGGAGAGTCGGGCTCGAAAAGACATTCTCATGAAGCAGCCTTCGATACAACGTCAAACTCCCCAGCATCACCGAGTCCATGGCCATCCATCCTAATAAAGGCGGGGTGGCACCTTTGTAGAATCCACCGGGTCCTTCTTTTCTCAATGTTTGCATAACACAGTCCAAAGGGCCTTTAAATTGTGCCCTTTCTGAAGTCTGCAGGCGGACCTTGATGGTATCGAAGGGATGACCAACTGATAACTTGGCGATGCCCGAGAACACGCCAGCGACGAAGCCCTTGTAATTGCTCGTGATTGATCTTTGGGCAGGCTTAGACTCGACATGCTGCTCGTCGAGGATGCGTATATTTCCGGGAGACGACGTGCCTGCGTCTGCGCCTGCGCTCAAGGCATCTCCGGCACTATTATACCATTCAGTATCCAGACGGCTTCAGGGCTGAGCTACGGAAGTACTTACGTCTTGATTGCGGCCGACATGTCGTATCCATAAGGTCGTCACAGCTCGTTACCGCTGGCAGGGAGAACTGAAACTCTCATCAACCATTTGGACAACACAGTGCCGATGATAGCGTAGAGTCATTGATTGAGCAGGAAGTACAGGTGTAATAGAGCAGCGCAGGAGAATGGCCCGCTGCACAGGGCATTGCCGTACTTCTCTTTTTTCGCGTTGTGACCGGTCGGGCTTATCTTAGGCTCCCCGATGTGGGCAATGACGTCGACGATCTTTTCCGACTCGCCGACCCGGGAAAATAAAAGGATTTGTTGAGGCAACAATGCCGGTGAGAACGTGCGTACTGTAGATTAGAGGAAAGAAGGTTGCGGAACACTAACCAAGTCGTACCAGCAAAAAAGCCCCTAGTAAACTGAATAATGGCGCCATGAAGCCTCACCCCTTTCAAAATCTGAACCTCCTGTGGTACAGCTCCTGGTCCAAATCATAGCAGTGAGGTTGAGAAAAGTAATATCCACGATTCGCCCGAGACGAGCAGTCCAATATGGCTTCCAGCGAAGGGGAGAAGTCCCCCAAGAAAGTCTGGACCACACTGATCACAAACACCAAATATTTATCTGGCCTGCTCACGTTAGACTACTCATTGAGAAAAGCTGGATCGAAATATCCACTGGTCGCTCTGTACACGGATACTTTCCCCTCAGAAGGACTACAGGCGCTGAACGCCCGCAATATCATCGCAAAGGAAATCCCTTATTTATTGCCGTCTGTCCCCAAGGAATACACCAATGATCCCCGGTTTTACGACTGCTGGAGCAAACTCACTCCATTTAGTCTGACGGAGTATGAGCGAGTCGTGCAGTTGGACAGTGACATGATGGTGCTGAAGAACATGGACGAGCTCATGGACCTGGAACTGGACGCACCCGAGTTGAATGGAGATGGAGATAGGGTATATGCGGCCAGTCCTGCATGTGCCTGCAACCCCTTAAACAAACCACATTATCCCAAGGACTGGACGCCCGAGAACTGCGCATTGACGAGCCAGCATGGCGATGCGGACAACGCCCAGATTAATGGGCCTTCTTCTACCACGGGGATAGCGTTACCAAACGGGGGATTGGTTGCCTGCAACCCAAGCAAAGGAACTTACGATAAGATCCTTGAGACAATGAAGGACGGTGGTTTGACGTCTACCTACGAATTTGCCGACCAAAGTTTATTGGGAGAACGGTTTCATGGACGCTGGGTCGGGCTGCCGTATATTTACAATGCTCTGAAGACCCTTCGATGGAAGGGAGTCCACGATGCCATCTGGCGAGACGACCAAGTCAAGAATATGCATTATATCTTGAGTCCCAAGCCTTGGGACGAGAAGTATGAGGATATCAAGGATGAAACTCACAAATGGTGGCACGACATGAACAACGAAAGATTGAAGCAGGAGTCAGCAAAAGGACTTGAAGACAGATTTTGAGCAGGCTTCAGTAAATGATAGAGAGGTGGTGATCCATGTGAGCGTCTAGAAGCATGCCACGGCCCTTGCTACAACTTAGATAGCAGTTCAATCACCAGCGGCCACGGGGGGTGCCATAGATCTTTGATACCAACACGAGACTTTGATGTTGGTCATTTTCAAGACTTGACAATTGTCAACGCTGACACATGATTCTAGAGAACGTACAAAGTATCCTACTTTACGGCTTGATGGCAGAGACCATTCGCGTAAACGATACTACATAGCATCATCCCGATTCCCAAGCCTAGTCGCGTCTCAGATGTACGAGGGAGGAGGTACGGAGTACCTGCTTCTTGTTGTAACTCCAAAACACCGGGCGGACACCGCAATCTTGGATCTGTGCAAGCACTCGCGTTGGCCTTGCGCATCGCTGGACAAGGCACCTACCAGACAAGCGATTGATCGATGGCCACTCGCTTAAAGGTTGAGTGTGCATTTTGAAGGGCACCGGCTAGTTATGATCTGACAATGAGGGTGTTTCAAATGCTGAGAGTTCTGGCTATTTGTGGAGCTTGCCTTGGGCTGTTGTCATCACTTGTGCAGCTCAATCAGGGCGAGCTTGATCATTGCTGGAAATATTTTCCCAGCTGCTCAAGTCTTCAGATAAGTCTCTCCCCAATGTGCGCCCAGCCGTATAGAATGGCATATGTAACAATTGTAGGCATGACCAAAATTGAGCTTGGGCAAACTCACATTAGGTTTCCCCCAGCTTCGGCGTTGTTGCATTGAGCAGGACTGAATTCGTGCTGGCACAGAATCTTCATCTCGGAGGATTGAATGCATGCGCCGTGCAGGGCATGCAAGTCATACAAATCGGTGTTCCGGATTGTCTCATCCTTCTCTCGCCAAATATTCGTTACAGCATAAGCATAACGTTGTGAGCGAGCGAGCCTCGAAATCAAGAAAGGTCGCGGAGCTTCAGGTGATTCGATGGGCTGGCTGTCTTGATTACATACAGCTGGTAGGTGGGAGAAATGGCATGTCACCATTGGCTGTCCACTGGTAGAGCAGAAATCCGGGCGATCTGCAACAAGAAGAGGAAGAAGGAGTCTTCTGGAATCAAACTGCCAATGTTCTTCGAGATTCCAGAAACGGACATGCTCAACCTCAAGTCTGCTGGAGGCTGCGAATGACAACATCAACCAGACTCCAACGCAATGGGTTTTGTCTTACGGAAAACGTGGTGTCACTGCGTGGGGCATGTCATGGACTCGTGGGCAATGGTTTGCACAGCTGAGTAGTCTGAGTAGATTCCACGTAGCAGAAAGAAGAGGACGGGAGCGGGAGGAGTTCTTTCAGGTCACGAGTCAACATTCAGCATGATCGTCCCTTCCACAACAATCCACCATGCCATGAGGTCACCGGCTCTTGCCTCTTGCCTCTTGTTCCGCTTGAACGGTCACGATCACGTTCCACCCAATTCTTTCGACACCACGATTACCGAGCAAACCACCGCTCTTGTATCTTGCATCCTGGGTGAACCAGAGGGGTATCGGCATCGTCTGTGGCTTTCATCAACAACATGTGTTCAGGCCGGGTGCACTGAACATGATTCAGCTGATCACCTAATGGTGAATCGGCAGGGAGTCTTGCGCATGGTTTATCCGGCTCGAACTAGATTTGCTGAGAAGAGTCCAAAGAGAGTTCGTTTCCTATGGAAAATTGGGCCGGCATAGCCGCGGAATCTTCCTTGACAGCCTATCCACAATCACTGGAGTTCTATGTAAATACATATCGCTGATTCTTGGTGTCTTCGCAACGGCCCGACGCCTGAAAATCAACCAGTCTGCCCTGATTAACTGGTGGAATTACTCCCGACTTCTCTCCCAGGTAGGTAAATACGGACAAATGATAGGTGTCAGAAGATTGCTTTCCCAATGCTTCCCGAAAGGCCCCGTGAGGGTGCTGCACTTGTTACTACTCCTGTGCTGCATCTGCTGGTTGTCCCTCCACATCCTATCGGCATCTCATCGAAAGAGCATCCCACTGCGTTAGCGAGATCTCGAGGGGCCAACGGACTTGTATTCTGCCACCAAAATCCAGTGCAAGTTCATGACTTGGGGCTGCTTGGGTCATAATCACCTGTCAAAGTCAGGTCTCGGTCAGCATCCTCAGACTCCCAATCCAATGGCTCTGTGCTACGTGGGCTGGATGGAAGACACCGAGCTCCCAATGATAGATCCTTGGTCCATTGAAACCTGACCCACGTTGCCAGATCATTGCTGAAAGGATTGCCTCAACTGGACTTCCCCGTCTGCATGCAAGTCCCAATACGTCGCCCCAAGATCAGCATCGCCACCCAATGTCAGCTACAGCGGTGGTGGGGCGAGGGAAGCAGCTGCAAAGAGCCAAAAGGCGAAGGATTAGAGCGAACGGAGAGCGAACAGAGCCACAAGAGGCACCAGCACGCTAAAACACAAACCCAGAGCTACCAGCCAGGCAAGTGTCTGTGGTCTTGGAGAGACTGGAGGTACCAACTGACGAGGCAAACTTCCAGCCCGGAAACTCCACTACGAGCCGTGAAACTCCCTTCCCACTCGATGTGACAGGGCGAACAAGCTTGAGCTGGCCACTTATCGGTCACGCTTAGCCGACATATCTCACACTGGTCAATACCCCTGCAGTTTTGGGCGTTCAGGTCCGCCTTCTTGTGACACTAGGTGCCTTGTCCACCCGCAAGATTGAGAACTATCCATGCCAGCATCTGCACTACACCGACGGACTATCAGCCTAGAACTGCAACGATACCTCAAGCCATGCGTTTCCCTCGCATACGTCGTCCTCCGCGACTCAAATCTGAGGCGAGTTGGAATGGAGTCTGCATCACACATCTCGACCTCGTTTTTAGACTTGCCTCCCTCGTGTGAAAAGGTGACTTTAGTTCACTTCTTGCTCTAAACTCTACCTGCTCCCTTCTAGCACTGGGATGGGAAATATCTCACTTTTCGCCAACACCAAGAATTCTCCCGTCACAATATCCATCACTCCACGAGCGCTTGCAAACAAATTTGAGCACAATTTTCTCTTTGTCTTTGTTTCTATTTCCCGTCGTTCACATGCATGTTCCCTGTGGTAACGTGAGACGGAACCTGTCCCTCATGAACTGCATTACCCTTCTGTAGCAAACTGGTCCTGGCCTTGAATGTACCTCGACGTCACAGTTGAGAGCCATTTTGAGACCTACTTGCGTGACCTATTTGTGTCTACTATCCTTCAGTTGAACAGTGTACATGCTTCTGGTCTCTCTGTAGACCTTTACACAAGTCTTCACCGCCCTCTCGGTACCTGAAGAAGCCACCTGTGCCTGTTGCTGTGCAGCAACCTTTTGCACCTCATTCAATAGTATTCGATCAGAAAGATAAGAATTTGCCTCAATCCGCACCACCGCAATACCGCAATACCGCGACACAAGCACAAGCATCAAATCGTTTGCTTGAAGGCGTTGCAATTTGACCTCTTGCTTTCTGGCCTCTCTGTGCTGAGAATGTGTGTGCGTACCAAAACATCGTATGGATGCGGGCATGAGTACAAGACGACCAACGAGTGCTATTCGTCACGATGTACTGTGGTTGAGAAGTATCACTATCCCAGAGAAGGGGATTGTAAAGAGTGCAAACGTGGTGGTGTGGAAGTGACCAGAGGGAGAGAGGGCAAAGGGAGATATGCTCAGGCAATTGGTAAGCGCACACAAGAGAAGGACAGGTCTCGGGAACCCCTCGCAGAAATCTCCAACAATATCGAAACCTTGACACTTGACGTTGGTGGAGGAATAAGTCCCTGGGGACCGGCTTTACAGAAAGAGAAGGACTGGGGAAGTCCCTCACGGGCCAAGGCTGATCGAGCTTGGTTGGAAGAGCACGGCGAGAGGAATGTCGACCTCCAAACGATACGAGAAAGCATGTCGTCGACCATGTCCTCGGATGAGGCATCAACGGCCATCTATTCACCAACTCGACACGACAGACCTGTTTATGAGTACGAGGAGGATCATCGTTACCAAGATAACGATGACGACTATGATCGAAGGCGACGTATGGACACGACGGAGCGCAATCTCCAGGTTGAGATCCGAAGTATCAATGATGACTACGAACGACGAAGCCGACGGCCCACGCATCATCGTCAGAGACATGATAGCCAGGAAAGCTTTCATTCCCACAGTTCTCGATCATCGTCGCGCAGATATAAGGCTGCTCCAGCCAGTTACACGACGTACGACTACTATGAGCCGCGTGACTCGGCATATGGATCATATGGATCGTTAGAATCTCGAGGCTCCCACGGCTATGAGGTCGCAAAGACGGAGCCATACATGTATTCACCGCAACCGCGCGTTTTGAAGGTGAAGGCACCTTCAACTACATCTCACGGAGTCTACCACACTGGCTTCGGCGTCGGAACTGGAGGTGGTGCAGTTGACATTGTCACACACGTACCTCTTTATACTACGCACAGCCATCGAAGATATTAACGTCGGGGAGGGACCGATCTTACAATTTCACACACAAAGGTATGGCGTTTCAAACAATGATGGTGACGAAAGCAACCTCGAATGAGAGCATATTCTTCTACCTCTTTACAACCGGGAAAGGGAACGGCCCAAGGGAAATTCCATCCAATTCAGTACTTGTTCCAGTCAAGACAAACGGACCAAACTATATTATTCAAACCAGTTCACGAAAATGATGCCATGGGACAGCAAGAGCATCCGAAACATAAGGGGAGAGAAAGATATCAAGGGGATTTTCTTCCTTCAAGCGATCATGGGTGGGGCCACTTGGGGGCACCGGCTATACTTGAGTCTTGCCGCGGGAAGGGAGGCTCTTCTTCATTTCCTGTATGATGTTGACGCTTTACGACGACGATGGTGGGAGGGGAGGCAGGGCAAGGCAGGTGGCAGGTGGCAGATGGCAGATGGCAGGCATGACTGGACTCAATGGGAGGGAAGGCTCATAGTATTGTGTATTGTGTACTCTAACCAGGTGATGCTCTCTCTGTTCTTCTCATTCCTCCGCTATGTGCGATGGGCCCTCTATCATCTTCTGAACAGAAGAAGGATGCCCTCCCTCGAAACAAGCACTCCCTTTCCTTACGCTTCAATCACAGCAGCCTACACCTCGTCAATCATTCTTCTCTTAGAGCGCACCAGTCTATCACATGAAATCCTCGCAGGCTTCGACCGGTACGTTGTGGCATGGTGCACAATGCGTCACTGCTCAACCCCTCCACCCCTCCACGCACATCCACATCACGACCAACCATGACCATCTGTAGACCCATGACCCTGTCCCCTTCCAGTTCCTGTCCTGTACCTGAATCTAGGAAACAAACCAATACGGATCTACGGACCAATGACTGGACGTACTCGAAAGGGCGATCACACAAAAGCAACACGAGCTTTTCGCGCCGTGGCCCGTGGGCCCGTGCCCGGTGATGGACAGGGCACCACCACAACCATCTCGCCTGGCTGCCATCCCCGCAAAACCGGGCGCCTCGTCCGTCATTCCAGACGCCTCAAGAAGTCATATCGTGCCTATCAGCGATGCGCCGAGAGATGCCCCGCACTTCACCATGAAGCAGCTCTTCGTGACGAGAATGACCATGGTCGACCTGGTCAAGAATGTGTGTGGTGGGTGTGGGTATTGATCGGCCAGGCACACACGCATCTACAGAGAGAGAGAGAAAGAGAGAGACACACACAGGGGGTGGAAATTTCGTGATCAAATCTGCACACTCATATACACTACGAGCCACTGTGCGGAAAGCTTCAAGCTACACCCCTGAGTGTCGAACCCGTGGTAATGTGATCATGCTCGAGACCCCAGGTGAGACAGAGAAGAAGGCGGCAGCAAGTGATGCGGAACACAGACTCTTTGGATTACGACAACGAGGTAATCTTAGTACAAGATGCTGCCCTTGTTCTATCCAACAAAAACGCCTTGCTACGCGGGTAGCTAGCCGAAGGGTCAGGCCAGGAAGGGATTTCTGGGGCATCAAGAAATACCACCTACCCATTACACCAGGTTAGTCGGGGACAGGGTACTGAGAAGGGGCTGAAAAACGCTTGCTGCACTCGATACGCCCTAGAAACCAAGTCAACTACGAGGTTTTAACAGGCGTGACGTGCAGACTACTACTAAGTACTCCGTGCTTAGTCAATTAAATCGGGATGAAGAGAGTCGAGAACATGCCCAGCACGTAAGCTCTATTGCAGGATGGATGAGGGATGAGGAATACATTCAGATTGCATGGTGAGGCTAAGCACCTGGGCACGAGCTGTACTCTGTAGTTATGCCCATATCACGCAAGGAGGGATTCTCAGTGCAGGGCGCTTGCGTATCGGCATATTATTTGTAGTGAAGGAGGGAACGGTCGTTGACATTGCTATCTTCGATCTGGAAGACTACCTGCGGACTACTTAGTACTGGCTACTGAGCACGGAGGAGGCCTAGGAAGCAGGCAGAGTGTACTCCTTGAGATGTGGGCTCACTAATTTGAATTTCAACTTGAACGGTCCGAATATTTACCTAGTTTGTTTGGAAAAAGGAACCGTGCAGATGTCGTAGGATATAATATTGCGTGGCAACGAATCCTAATTCGAACATTCATCTGGAACCGAACGAGAGTCACCCCTGTGTTGTAAATTCCAGCACGGCTAACCCGTCCGCGGTACTCACTCGTACCTCCATGCTACTATGAGTATGTATAGCAAACGAGCCCAGTCCGGAACCAAGGATATTCCAACCAACACAAACCGGTGAGTGCCTGACCCACGAAAAGAGGACAGACCACCTCATTCTGTATTGTCGCCTTTCGAAGGAAGATGAAAGACGCAATATCTGCGTGCCCGCCTCGAAGCGCCCTTCCAGCTCCGGCGGTTGCATATTTCTCTGTATGGCTGCTCGGACCTCCGAGTTCAGTGCGGGCGGGCGGGCTGGCTGCGATCGTGACCGGGACGCCATGCACGCACAGCGGGTTGGAGTGAAGTTTCGTGCGTTTTTCTCTCGATCGCTGTAGGTATTTCTTGGTGCCCGCAGGGGTTGCTTTGAGACATGGACTATAGCGCTTGAGTGGGGGGAGGGGGGAGAAGTACTATGCTTGCTTGCTTGCTAACTAACTAAAGAAGGGAGCCGTTTTGGGGGTTGGGGGGGGTTGTCGGAAGTGTGAGAGGGAAAAGGACTCTGAGGCTGACTACTGTTTGCGTGTGCGAAGAAGATCCAGTCGCTACGAGTGCTGGTTCGGACCTAGATAGGGACCATCACACGTCCACGTACCCATTGATCGTATCATATCATATCACCAGTCTGCCAACAACGAAGGCACCATCCCCTCAAGAAGGTACTAATTCATATTCTCACACACACTCCACATCGTGACTCAAAACTCGGTATCACAGAAATGATCGATAAACTTCTGTCCATTTGACAATCGGTTCTTTCTCATTAGGGAACTAGCTAGCTAATTTGGCTGTGTGAAAACAGAGAGAGAGAGAGAGAGAGAGAGAGAGAAAAGCATGCGGGTATCATATCACTGGTGAACTCGTGCGTACGAGTAGCAGCACATGAAACAGGAAAAGAACGCCGTATCTAGAATCGCACATTCGGTCCATTATCCCCTTTCCCCTCGTGGTGTGATTGATATCGGATTAGTTTGATGGCGCACTGGGATTGCTCTGCTTCTGTGCATGTCGTCCAGTTCTTCGTGATGACCTGACTTGCTCTCATTGCTGGTGTTGGGGGAAGGGGTTGGCTGGTTGTTGTGTGGGCGCGAGCTCGGTTTCAAGTCGTTCAGTCCGTAACGTCTTCTGGGACAGAGCGGTATGATCAGTGAGTGAGTGAGTGAGGAAGACCAGAAGCTGGCTGCAACAGGGCCGAATCCGTTCCCAGAAGAAGGCGCCTCTCACCAGGTAACGCAACCAGACATATCCGCAAGATTGAAAGACAGCCCCTTCCTGATCACACGAACTCCTTCTCATTGACACACTCACCACCAGCCTCCGTACTCGCGACGCTGTCATCATCCCTCCACAACTTCTCGCCTTTCTCGTTGAAAACCTTAACAACAGCCGGCATCTTCTGACCACCACCAGCTCCACGGCCCATCTGCGCCTCGACCTTCAACTTGATCTGCTTCTTCTCATCGTCCCAGAACTTGGCCCAGTCGATCACCTGGCCATCATCGGTAACGTCGCCCTCGGGGACCCAGCGAGACGACGGGCCCATCTTGACCGCAGACCCCAGTTTTGCTACGCCGTGGCCGATCGCTCGGACCGTGACGCCCACGCCGGTGATGGCGAGACTGATACCCCGGAAGGGTGCTTTGGCAATCTTGACGCGCTTCCGTTCCTTGACTTCGACCATTGGCATGCGAGGCAGGGCTTTGCGGTCGCCTGGTTGCAGGGCAAGGCACCAGTCCCATGTGTACTGGCTGCTGGCGCCGCGGTATTGGAAGTAGAAGTTTGCCTGGCAGGGGTGGGCACGGCTATTAGTTTGAGGTGTCTCATAGATAGATCGGAGAGGGTGTGCTTACAACACCAGTCCTGTCTGCCACGCTCCATGTCAACTTCTGGTCGGGACCGACCACCGGGCGAGTGAGCACGATGGCGACGAACTGGATTTTGGCGTTCTTCGGGTGCAGTTTGCTGTCGCTGATGGGGCAGTACGCATAGTCTGCGAACGACTTGGTGTCTCGGACCTGTAGTTCCGACTCCGGGATCAGGTGGATGGTTTCATGCGGTGTCAAGACCTTGACTGTGTTGAAGATTTGGGGTTAGTTTCGCCCAGGCCCTTTTCATATGGAAGTCAAGAGGCAAAGAGAGAGGCAGAGGCTTACATAGCCAACGATAGATCTTCTCGGCGACAACTTTCTGGCTCTTCTCATCGTCTCCTCCCGCCTTGACCTCGAGATGGTTGGTGCCCCATTTCTTCACGTCCTCCTTCTTGGTACCGGTGCCTTCGCCCTCGTAGATGTTGACACTGACGAAGTTACAACCGTTTTTGATCGCAGAGTCGCGAAGGGCCTTGACGGTTGCGAGTTTCTTGGTCAGGTCACCTTCACCTGACCCGGAGAACTTGTCGGCAATCAAGGGGATCTCGGTTTTGGATGTGAGATGGGTGAGGAGGAGGTCTGATAGACGGAGAGTGACATTGGGGTCGGATGGGTTGTGGAGAATGGCAGAGTCAGGAAGCATGGCGTGCAAGTGTCCAATGTGAGGGATGCCGGTCCTGGGGTCGTTGATGTATACCCATGGTGCGATAGGTGTGGGTGTGGTGCTGGACACCGCGGCTTTCTTGGATTTTTTGCCCATCGTTGCTGAAGGGCTATGCAATGAAAGAAAGTGGTACGAGAACAACTATCGTTCTTGGTTTGTGATGGATTTGATAGAAAAGGTTGAAGTGATGTGGTGTAGAATAAGGCTGGAAGTCAGTGGCGGGGTAGTCGGTCAGCGAGAGGATGCTCAGAGGGGAGTATCAACGTTTGGATGGTCAAAGATAAGATCGATCTGGCTGGATCGTGACAAACTAAAGCTATCGCACGCCTTTGACAGTGATAACTCACAAGAAGAGAAAGGAAGAGGCGAAGGCTGGTGAGATAAAGTGAAAGAGGTCGGTCTAGAGGACGAGTGACTCAGTGGAACAGGTCACGGACACGACTCACGACGCAGATACGATCACGGCGCATTTGGGAAGAGGTGGCGGCGGCGTGTGCGTGAGGTTCACGCGAGGTTCACACGAACTGTGAACCTCAAAGCTCAGCCAGAGCAAACCATTGAAGTGAAAAAGGAGGGGTAGGTCAGTAGGCCAGGCAGAACCAGTCATCATGAGATACCAGGTAGGCTGGTACCAGGAGTAGGACTGGGAACAAGGCTGAATTCCTGCTTGGATAGCTAGGTAACTTGGAGGTCCTATCTCCATCCGCTGATGGCACATTCTCAGTGGTCAATCAAGTTCTTTGCAAGCTTCAAGCTTGTAGGAGGATAAAGCCGGCTTGGGTTGGCGGGCTGCCTCAAGGCATAAGCACTCGGACTGTCGATTCAGCCCCTCCATCCCTCATGTACGAGTACACGAACTATTCTTTCCGTATACCCGCAGATAACGCTCTCCTCTTCGCGGATTCCATTATCCCACGGATACAGCACCAACGGGCTAGAATCAGGGCAACTTCGAACTCTTGAAGCTGCTATCGCAACCCAATGTTCTTGGATGTTCAAGTCAGGCTGAATCGGCTACTGAGGGGATTTCTATCCACTCCATTCCGGCCTCGTCTTCTGATTCGCTGGTTGTCCCCCACAGGAGGGAGGATTCGTGGCCATGCATGTGCAAGGCAACAAAGCAGTCCAACGCCCAGTTGTGCGTCGTTTTGGGTCCTGGTTACGAGTACGACTCGTCGAGACCTAGGTGGAGGGTAGCCCAGAGGTCGCCTCGACGAAAATGGGGTGATGTTAGTCAAAGGGTATTGGCCGAAGTGCGCCTGATGTGCCCATTCTCTTCCGCATTTCTTCTCCAGCCGCTATGGTGCTGGGCACTTTGATACCACAGCAGTCGCCCCAATAGTCTGGCTCGTGTCCGCGTTCCTTGACATGCTGCATTCTCTCGGCCTGGAGACGAACCGTCTCCGGATCCAGTTGGCCCATATCCTCAGTACCAGGGACAAGGCCTCCGAAGAGGAAATGCTGCATGATAGGAAGTTTGCCCAGGACTTCCTTGACAAACATCTTTCTCATACCATCTTCCACCTTTTGCCAATTCCTTGCTCCAGAGATATCGTCTAGCATCGGACTATGCCACCGAAGGCCTTTGACGGTCTTGACATTATCCACCCATCTGACTTGATTGAGATAGATGTATTTGTCGCCCTCCTCGTCTAATATCACATTGTTGTGGATAGATTTAGGAGTGATGTAGGAATGCCCAACCAATTGACTGGCGCCAAACAAGAACGGGAGGAACTGATAGTCGTCGAGACCCCAAACACCATGACTACCGGCGGGTTCCAGATAGTATGTAACCTGTATCTTTCTCATCAGGTCAAGGTAACGTAAGAAGGTGTGCAGGACAATGGCTGGAAAGTCCTCGGTCTGGATCTGCCCAAGCTGGTACAAACACAGCAGCCACACCATGAAATTCAATTCATGACCAGATCCATAGTCCAGGCGTTCTTCAGAACCAAATGAATTGATCAGATACACCGAAGCTTCTTGCACTGCTTCCTCGTCGCCTAGGCCCAGCGTCTCTTTATGCATGCGCTCGACATCTCGAATTATTGCCTTATGAAAGCTCCGAAAGGCTGGATTTCCAAACCTGGAGCCAGTGTCTAAAGCAGGATGTTGTCGAACGAGGGATTCAAGCTGGTCGAGGACAGAGTCGAGTCGGCGGATGGTGTCTGATAAATGATGGGAATCGATCGAGGCGGTGGTTTGACCTCGAACCGAGTTAGCTAGGTTGAAGATCCATGCTTGCAGCAGGATGTAAGTCGAAGAAGCAAGAAACTTATCATGATCTTCTGCTGACAAGATTCTTTTGACCGGCGGGGTGAAGTGTATAGAACCTGGTGCAGGAGGAGATGGGAGAGCAGGAGTTTCGGGGGCTGACTCGGAGGGATGTGAAGGGTTGGCTGATTTTCGGCGAGATCCTGGAATCAGTTTGGGAATGCTGTTTGAAGCTGGAAGTCTTGGGATGGCATGGGAAGCCATCTTAACGCGCGGGTACCGAGATGTGTCGAGAGTGTAGATCTAGAAATTATACGAGTTAGCAAAAACATCAGGCAGTTGCATGTTGGATAAGGTCTAGTGGGTGCCTCACCACCTGGCTGCCGCCTATCACCCACTATTATCAAAGTCCTCGGAAGCTGACTTAAGCAGGGTCCACGCCACCCTGACGTTTCCGTGACCTGTCACCAGATGGGTGCCAGACCAAGCGACCGTTCCCTCCTTGCTCGTACTCGTAGGTGTGCTTGTTAGACTGTGTCGGGGACTCGGGGGCTCTCTGGTTAAACCGCCTATTCTCGCTTTTGTCTGAGGCGCCTTGGGGCGTTTTTAAGAGGTTCATCTCAACCACTGGATTTTCCCCAGGTCTTTGTGCTTAGCGGCCAGCTACCCCTCCAATTGCACGTCTTGTGCCTACGATCACGTACAGATGTCAACTAAAGCGCTAACTCCGTAGCCCTCGGGCTACGCCTGTGCCTTTCCCTCCTACATAAGTCTCCCACTGATATCATTCCCGCAGTCTGGTGCATCATTTGCTTCATCTATCCTTTCACCCATCACGCAATTCCTTGGTTTTATGATTAATTGCTTCCACTTCTCGTATCTCACCCTCCGGCTATTCCAATTCCCTTGACAACCTGACCTTTACTCCATTGTCCCGCATGCCTGGTTCCGTTTGATCCCATTAGCAAAGAGCTAAGGCATTAGCTACATCTGCTCTTCTGAAGTAGCTTGGGCTGCAGTCAATCTCATTCGTGGAGCTCTGCAACTATTGGAGAGGAACAGAGATGACACTCGCATGATCGTTTACCTCTGACAGCCGCCTTAACTCTATTGACGCAAGCTGTTAGGCCGTGGGTGGACCTAAATATGGCTTCGGATTCCCGGACTCACGAGCGAAATGCACAAAGCAAACCAAAATCTATTTCTTCCGATGAACCTGAGACCTCGGACTCTCTACCTGAGTCCTCTCCGAAACCTGTTCGAAGGCAATCAAGCGTTCGTTTTTCCGAAGACAGCAAGAAGCATTCTCAATCTCCAATGTCGAGCCACCGCCGAACACCAGCAGACTCAGATGAGATCACACCTATTCGAAGTGCAGACGGTCACGCCAGTCGAAGGTACAATACCGAGTCAGCTCCGTCTCCGTCTCCCTCTACGGACCCGGCCGAGGCCTCGGAAGACGAAGGACGGGGTGATAATAAGCAAAAGCCTACATGGTGGAGAGGTATTGCAGACAAGTACGGCTCCGTCTCTCTAGAGAACAAAGGCTCGGTCGCCAGGGATCACCTGGCTCTGGAACGAACATTTTTGGCATGGTTACGGACCAGCCTAGCGTTCGCAAGCATAGGGATTGCCATCACACAATTGTTCCGACTCAACACCAACCTACAGAGCCGTCAAAACTCCATCTCTGCCCTCTCAGCATGCTCCAATGTCCCGTTCTCGCCATTGGTAGCACAGTCACTCCCTCCGGAGTTGTTGCCATACATACAAGAACTCGTGGTGTCCGCTGTAGGTACTGCTTCCCCGTCAGTGCCAACTCTGGGACCTACACTCCTCGATCAACTATTGCTGCTTGGCCCCCCCGATGAAAATGGTCATCAGGTGCGCCATGCTGGTGTCATTCATGCCACAGCATTTGACGAAGAGAAAGCCGCTAGGCTCCGCCATATTGGAAAGCCACTTGGTGCAACATTTCTGGGCATCTCTATCGTGATACTGTTTATTGGGTTCCACCGTTATTTCGAATCGCAGCACTGGATCATGAGAGGCAAATTTCCTGCCAGTCGTGGAAGTATCTTTATCGTGGGCTTCCTAACCGGATCCCTGATAATCGCGAGTTTAGCGGTAGTCCTTGCTATTGCGCCGACCAGTTTTGAGAAGAAGTGATGAAGTGATGCTGCCTCTTTGTCACATTCCGAAAGGAGAAATGGACTTGGACACCTTTTTTTGGGAAGACATTGGCACTGAGGCACTCTGGTAGCCAAGCGGACCGTGGTACTTACTGAGAGGGGCTCGGAGCATTTGCAGTCGTGCAGCGGTATCGTCCCGGCGTGTTGTGGTGTTTCCAAAGTTTTGGGGGGTGGGGGGGGGGGGGGGGTGGAGATGGGGAGGCGAGTCGCCGTGGATAAACCATCATACCGAGCGCTTACGATGCCAGGGAAATTATTGGTGATACGCCGTCAAGGCGACTTTCGAAACTCCCTGATTTGAAACTCCAGACTGGCAATACAAACTCGAGACAATCGATGTCTGATTCGACACAGGGTGTCCAGTGTCACGTCCGGAAGATATACAGCTGCTTCCCCTCCCGCCTGGTTTACTGCACCTGACTCATCTTTGCTTGGGATCTCTTCTATGCTTAGGTATCTCGGCCTCGTCGATTGTACTCGGGTCCCTTGCAATGAAAAAGAGCTACCAAAGCATTCCCTCCTCCGGGCATTTTGGATGGCTATGGTGCCTGAGGAAGCTTATGTAGGCCACGCAGGTGGCCTTGATATATGAAGGAGTTGTGTACCGACCATTGTTTTGAATTACTAAGTACGAGTATTGGTTCATCGCGCACAACAGGGCGGTTGCAAAAGGACGAGACTTTAAATATTTAGTGCTTACCATCTCTCGGTCAGATTTGATGGAAAATCAGCTCCATGATGAATCCAACCGGATATGCGGCAATGCCAAGGATGGGAAGGATGAATAGGCTCATGAGTCAGGCTGGTCGGAGGATTTCCAGCTGCAAGTCATGCTGACCCGCGAGAGGCGAGCATTGGCAAATGCAGAGGCTTCAGGAATCAGGAGTACCGTAGCAGAGGCTACCAAGGACGCATGGGGCATGTTAGGGTTCCTAGCCATGATGTAGTGTTTTTTACAATTTTACTATTCGTGGATCTGAGAGAGACAGAGCAGGGATTAGCCATGAACAGTGCTTGCGTCAGAAGAAAAAGGAGGGAACTCTTGCACGACGAAATTGTGTCAACCAAGTACAGAGTAGAAAGCAAGTCCAGTTTGCGGCCTGGCAGATGGTGTGTTTTGCCCAGATTCCAGGAAGCCTTGTGTGGAGAAAGATGAAACACGGCACAAGGATCTGAACGACCAACCAGCCACGTACATGATATCTCGTATGTACTCGGTACTCGGTGCTGGACTGGACTGAGTGTGGGTGGGAAGATGCAGGATGACACAAGACAGGGGAGATGGGTAGATGTACGATCCCAAATCTAGGAGAATTGTCCAATAGGCATTCAAGTAATGCTTGCTTCCCATGATTTGGCGGCGGCGGTTGAATCTTCAAGATTGGCTTGTTCGCGGTGATTGGTTGTGCGAGACGCGGCTTAAGAGCTTGGTTTCTTGGGGGTTCCAGCGGCCAAATGCTTGTTTGCAGCCCCTGTGATTATGATTCAGGATCACGATGGAGCAAATGCTGTGCAATGCCTACGTAAGGCTGCTTGGTTGCCCTGGTCTTGTGCGGAGTCCTGGACAGTTCTGTATTGTCTGCAACCTCAAGTTCAAGGGCATGGCAACCAAAAGCAGCCTTCGACTCCGCGCTGGGCCTGCGAGCAGTGGATATGCCAGGGTACACAAGCTTTGCCTTCACCTGATTCCTGGTTGAGATGGCATCGCTCCAATAGATCTTGGGTGTGCTGAAAAGTGTGGTTGTACAGAGGCCATTCATCAAGGCAACTAAAGCAAACTCCAGAGCAGTAATTCAATAAAGGGCGGTTATTTGATTGTTCTTGTAACATCCAAGTCTGCCGTGCGAGGTATCTAATCCAAGAGATGTCGACAATGTCAATGACGATTTGAGGTGGCACGGAGCAAGCACCAAAGCCATGGCGAGCAGGATCCCCGCCAGCAATCAAAGGGATCAAAGGGGGGCTCTGTCTCTGCCAGACGGTTTTCATCCTCTAAGAGGAAGAGCCTGCACAGGTGCCCAGGTGCACAGTAGTATCCAAGTTTCCATGTGTGTATCCATGAAGGTATTGGCAAAGGCAGTGGCAGTGGCAGTAAAGTGGCACCCCTAGGGTAGGTTTTTATTATTATTATGGCGGGTCCCGACTGTTGTTCTCTTCCAAGGCATGATCATCAAGATACAATCTCTCCATCGATGGTCAAGATGGACAAGAAATAAAGGCAATGGTCCACCACTTGATGCGCGAAAACAACCATGTCGAAGGGTCGTTTGCAGGATTGCGTGGGCAACGAGCTTGCCACGAGGATCGAGATTGAATGCCTTTTCCTGGCCATCAAGCCTCTCAGTGTTTGTGTCAAGATATCGTCGAGCTTGAGATTAATATGGAGCAGCCGTCGACATAGTGTCTGGTAGTAGCGATCACACACCTTGTCGGGCGATGCTACGGAGTACGTACAATGCTTAAAGTGGTTTACCTAAGATATCACCAATCTGGGGCTTTAGCACAGTCAGTTGTCCTCCGTACTCTGCACGAGCATGCGTTCAATCACTCCTATCGCTAGTTAAGCGGCCAGACTCGTCAACTTGGTTGGCAACTGACGAGTTAGCACTCATTTCACTCTCGCTTGGCCATTGTTCAGATGGGTGTCGACGTGTTCATGGTCAACGATATGCCACTAACTTAATGAGTGCACGTTGTCGCCAATGGCATGTGTCTGCCGTGGCCGTGGAAGTGGAGTGCAATCTCTCGTTGGCTCCAGCATTGACCTCTAACACCCAGGGGATCGCTCAGTTGCGACTAGCCCCAGGTACCTGGGCCAAGGGCCCAGGGCATGTCCTCCAACCCCCCTGGAAAGCCTAGAAAGATGGAGTTCCAGGCTAAGCCTGTTCCTGGAACGCCTCCCCTGATGCCCTAGTCCATGCTTCGTCAACCCTTGTCGACGACTACAGCCGCCTACCGCCTCCCCATCGACCACAAGCCAGGAGACCCACGCCCAGCTTCTTGAACTCCTTGGCTTGCTCCTCTTCACAGCCTCTCCTTTCCTACACCGTCTACAGTCCTCCGTACCACAACCAAGCTTGCATTTGGCTACAACATTCGTTAACTTTGTCACGCTCATTCTTCCTTTTCCCTCTATCCTTTCAGTTGGCTCACGCTCATTACCAGAGAGACTTTTCTCTCGTTCCATTCCTTTGAGAATCACCACAAACGCTCGCGGCCACCCACCGTGCAAACCGCTCTCCAGCCAACTCCTCCCTTTACAACCCGCGCTTCGACCTCCCACATTCCAGGACAATTGATCATATGAGTCTCAGGCTTTGTAAGTCCAACAAGCCCCTTCTGGGAACGGATCTTCTGGGGAACTCACGCCCTTGAGTGGTCCTGTTTTCTTTCTTCTCTCATTTCCCGCGAACAATCGATACGGGACAAAGATGCTAACACGATGGTTGTGACAGATTCATCTATTCTGGTCCCAATTCGTTGCACCTAACGCCCACCTCCGAGACCATATTCAGGATACACACTACAGTCTTTGAGAGACTCAGCTACCTCAATCCGAACACAGTCGACATGAAGTTCACCTCGATTGCCTTGACGGCTGTCTCGGCGTCTATCGTTCTCGCCCAACCCCACAACCATGGGCATCAACACGTCCACAAGCACAAAAGGGATGTCACCGAAACCGCTTGGGCTCCCGGCCCAACTGCGTACAAGTATGTCCTAAACGGCGAAGAGATCTCTGCAGAGGAGGTCTGCGAAGGTCTTCAGGACAATGAATTGAAGTTCGTGGACGGTCAGGATCCTGGTGTCTGCTCTTCCACCTGGAGCTCCAGTTCTGCTCCATCCACCACTACTCAACCCACGACGACAATCGCCGCTGCCACCAGCTCCGCCGCTGAATCTTGGTCCAAACCTGCTGAGTTCTACCAATCTCCTGGCTCTTCAGGATGGGCCAGTCCAAGCGAGGCCGCCACTTCTTGGAGTTCACCTGCCCAATCGTCCTCTACTCCTTCGTCGGGCACTGGCGCAACTGGCATTGATGCTGATTTCCCCGATGGCCAGCTTGACTGCAACACTTTCCCTTCCGCTTATGGTGCGGTCCCCGTCAATTACCTGGGAATGAGTGGTTGGTCCGGTCTCCAAGCTGTTTCCATTGCTGGAGGTTTGGTAAATCATATCGTGACTGGAATTTCTGGAGATGGTTGCAAGGAAGGCTCTATGTGCTCTTATGCTTGCCCGCCAGGTATGCAGAAGTCTCAGTGGCCCAGCACTCAGGGTGCCACAGGTCAGTCAGTTGGTGGATTGTCGTGCTCGGGTGGAAAACTCCGTTTGACCAACCCGGGTCTTTCCACCAAGCTCTGTATCCCAGGTGTTGGAGGTGTCCAGGCTACCAATAAGGCCAGTGGTGTGGTTGCAATCTGCCGAACTGACTATCCTGGTACTGAATCCGAGACCATTCCAGTCGAGCTTCAACCTGGTCAAACCGATCAGTTGACCGTCCCTGACGCTGCAACCTACTACGAATGGCAAGGCAAATCCACCTCTGCACAATATTACCTCAATCCGATCGGTACGTCCAAGGAAAAGGGCTGCCAATGGGGTACTCCCGGTCAACCATACGGAAACTATGCACCTATCAATTTTGGTGTTGGTGCAAAGGACGGCAAGACCTGGTTGTCCATCTTCCAGAACTCTCCTACAACCGACGCACAATACCAAGGCACCGTTGAGATCCAAGGCAACCTGTCCGGAACATGCAAGTACTCAAACGGTCAATACTGCGGCGTCACTGGATGTAACAGCCAAGGCTGCACTGTAAGTTTTGCCCGTGACGGTTTTGATTTATATCGTATCCAGATATGCTGACATGAACGAATCCAGGTCGCGGTTATCTCAGGCACAGCCACCTATGTCGTCTCTGACTAGAAACTATCTGTTTTGAAAATATAACACCTCTTTGTACACGACATGACCTCCCGATTGCATTCGATGTTTGCATAACATATCTTATTTTCCCGCGCCAGCGTTGACGTCGGACCCTTGCTCCCGATCCTATACTTTTTCCTTTTTTTGTTATGTATTATTGTGTGCTTTGAAGCGAAAATGTTTGACCGTTTAAGAACTACTGTGCCTCTCTACCGCTCTCTTCTACTACGACGTGGAATCGAATCCTTCTCCTCGATATGTCTATTGCGCTGCTGCTGTTGGCAGATTGATGGGATCCGTTTTATGCAAATTACTCAGAAACACAGGCTGGCGTCCTCCATCAATGCGAATCAGAAAATAGCTGGCTTCTGGCGAGAGGGACCCTATCTCAAGAACGGCTGGTCATCATCTCTGGAAAAGGGAACATGTTTAAGGACCAGGACTTTGAGGACCACGTTGGGAAGATCTAGCTACATCTTGGAGTTCTGGCTATCATCTACACTACAGATGAAGCAGAGACATGACAAACGTACAGGACGTCGAGCACACAGGTGCCCCTGGCGTTCCAATTGATAAGCGGATCGGCTCTTCTACATACTTAGTAGACGCAGAACGCAAAGAGCCAGTCAGTCAGTCAGTCCTGGCCGCATCTCATGTCTGAATGTGCATCGTTTCCGCCAAGTAGTAGCAATCGCCACCGAAGGTAGCCGTATATACATCCCAGTAGATGACTCGTTGGGATGAGTATATACATACGCTCGGCGTTGTTCTGGTGTAGCGAAGGAATAGACATTTTTCCTATTTTTGGATCATCTCCTGGTCTCTGTTGCTTCTCCTTTTCCCTTTCTCCCCCTGGTACTTCGGACTCCGTACATAATTAGTTGTTTTTTTTTGGGTTTGCCAGTCTGGATCCCCACCAAATCCGCCTGCTCAGCCCCGTCAATTAGTCGCCACAGTACGAAGTACTCGCCCTTCCATACGACCTAGCCAGCTACTCGTAGCTATTCGGCAAACCACCAACGGCCCAAGTCTCTAGCCAGAGACAGGCCCATTCATCATCGACCTCGCACCTCAGCCCTCAAATCTCACGAAAGCACCACATCCAACTGCACCGTCCAGTTCCGGGGGACACACATGACCTGGTCGCGCTCGTAGACGCCCGGCCCACACGCGGCGGTGCCAACGCCGGCAACGTCTGCGTCGACGCGCCACAGCGCCCCTTCGCGCCGCGCGCCGGCTTCGTCCAGATCGCATGGGTGTGCCGCTTTCTCGAGCGTCGAGGCATCGTATTGCTGCGTCGAGAATTGGAAGTGTTGGTCGTGGATAGTGGCGGAGGCTATTTCTGGGTCTTGACTTTTGTGGTGCAGGACCGTGGCGCGGAGAGACGGGATGGTGGTTCTCTCCTTGTCTTTGTCTTTGTCTTTGTCTGTGGCCTTCTTGACATCAGCATTTGCCTGGACCGGTGCCTGGACCTCCCCTTCCTTCTCTGAAGCTTCGGCGCTGACGGTACACCACCTCGTGCCGACCCTATTCCCATTCTCCTGAGGTACCTCGTAACTCGTCCCCATGTCGTCGATCATCTTCTCCCAGATCCCGACCTGCTGACTGGAGCACTTATCATTATAGCTCTCGCCGGGACCTAACCCGAACCATGAGACGTGATTATACGCCGGTGACAGTTGGATATTATGGCCAATGCGCGGTAGATTTGGCGGATGGTGTCCCTTTGGCTCGATATCAGTGTGGATCTGGAGAGTAAATGGCACGGAGGATCCCCAGTCGACGATGACTGTGTAGGTGGTCGTGACTTCGATTGACCATGCGAGGATAGGTGGTGCGAAGGCCTGGGTTGCTTGGAAGGAGAGTCCCGGTTTCTTGCTGCCATCCTGGACTTCTTGAACGGTGTTACCCAGGAATTTGAAAGAGCATAGGCGACTGCTCATCATGTCAAGTCCAAAGTGCTTCCATTCGCCTGTCTGCCATGCCATATCGTTGTTGGTCGGTGGGCGCCAGAAGTCCAGCGTGAGTAAGGGTGCATCGGATCTGCTGCTCTGGAGTAATCGGATGCCGTTATACGTCCATCCTGTGATGTGGCCACGGAAGCGATCGAAGGCGATGAGGAAGTTGTCATTCGACACTTTGTATTCTTGTGGGGTTTCTGTGAGGGTGAGAGAAATTTCAGTGGTATCGGCCGGGGCCAAGGTAAGGGGATGATTCCATTGCTCCATATCAAAAAGCGTAGACGCCTTTCGCTTGTCTTGAGGATCCAGCTGAATTTGAGCCCAGGCAATAACATGCCCGGCTTTCGCCCAGGGCGTATGGTGCCTTTGATGGAAAGTCACCGTCAGCCATGTCTCAGCCGGGTGCTGGGATTTGGATTTGAGGATCTTTTTTGGAAGCCGAACTTTCGATCTTGTCCCTGCCGTAATGCGTGGGAGCTCAAAGTAGCCTGATGTCAAAGTCTTGGGCCTATATGTAGTACAATTTGGTCAGTCAAAAGAAAATATATACAGTAGGAAAGGGTGCTGCTCTTGGTTGGGAAGGTGCATACTTGTCGGCGAACGCTTCGACCCGATAGTTTACAGCGACATGGCCCAGCGAGGCAAAGTCGTACTCATTACTGACAACCAGCTCTTCCTCCTCTAGCCATGCTCGTATCGGAGCAATGACTTTCTTCAGCTGCACCAGTCCCGGCGTGGGACTATGGTCACTGAAGCAAAGGCCGTCCATGACGAAGTCGCCGTCATTAGGCACGTCGCCAAAATCCCCTCCGTAGGCATAGTATTTCTTCCCAGTATCGGCATCTTCCTTCCAGACCCCATGGTTAGCCCACTCCCAGATAAAACCACCCTGAAGCCGGCGATGGTTGCGGAACGCAGCCTGGTAGTCTTCCAGCAGGCCCGGCCCGTTGCCCATGGCATGGCCATACTCGCAGAGAATAATCGGCTTGTCGAAGTCGTCGCCTTGCGAGACTGCTTCCTTGGCAAGCTCTTCGGGAGACGTGTACATGTGCGATATCATGTCTGTGGACTGTGCTTGCCCATCGGGCTCGTAGTGAATCAAACGGCTTGGGTCCCTCGCCCTGGCCCATTTGGACATGGCCGCATGGTTCCGTCCGTAGAAGGATTCATTCCCCAGCGACCAGATGATCACGCTAGGGTGGTTCTTGTCTCGCTCCACGAGCTGGCGCATCCGGTCGAGATACGCAGCTTCCCAATCTTGGTTGTCTGAGGTGTATGAGGCTGCGTCCTTGGTAGCGTCGTCCGCAGCTGCAAATCCGTGGCATTCAAGATCGGCTTCGTCGATCACCCAAAGCCCCAGTTCGTCGCAGAGTCCCGTGAGCGCTGGGTGGGAAGGGTAGTGTGAACAGCGGACCGCGTTGATATTGTGTGCTTTCATCTGCAGGATGTCTTTCCGGACGAATTCCGCCGGCACAGCGCGGCCAAAGTTAGGATGGTGGTCGTGCCGATTTGTGCCGCGGAAAGTGATGGCCTTGCCATTGACACAGATGTTGCCGTTTTTCAGTTCGACAGAGCGGAACCCGGTGCGATGTGTTATTTTTTGCCTTGCATGACTTTCCATGCCATATATCGATATTTGGAGTTCATACAGGGCAGGGGTCTCTGCCGACCATTTGTAAGGGTTCTTGACTCGTATCGATTTTGTGAGGGTACAGATGGGATGTGAGGCTTGGATTGATTTTTCTTGGTCAAAGATAGGGTGTGAGACACTGATAGACTTCTCTTCAACTACAGCGTGTCCGAAGGGATCTTTCAGTAAGAGTGTCAGCTGGCATGGCTCGTCATACGTCATGTCCAAAGCAATGTGCAGCTCTGCATCCTTGTAGTGGCTGTCCAGAGTGGTGGTGAGAAAGAAATCTTCGATCCTCGTGCGACCTGGAAGCGCTATCAATGTGACGTCGCGGAAGATTCCTGCTTCGAATTAGAAAGGTTGCTCATTTCTTCGAACGAGATGAGTATCTGAAAATTCGATAGATCCTTAAGATTGCCACATGACTTCGCTTTCTCGCATACTGACCCGACTGCTTCTCTCTACCAAGCTTAATGTTGGAAGACGAACTCACCGGATAGCCACCACTGATCCTGATCCTCGATATAGCTCCCAGAACACCATTGAATAACCTGCACGACCAAGTAATTCGGGGCAGTTGCCGAGACTTGGTCGGTAATATCAAACTCGGCAGGATTTCTGCTCCCCTGCGAATAGCCAATCTTGACGCCATTCACCCAGACGTAGAAGGCACTATCGACGCCGTCGAATCTTAATCTCAAATGACTGTCCCCTTGCCAGTCTGAGGGCACATTGAACCTGCGGAAATAAGTCCCCGTGGGATTCTCACTCGGTGCGTAAGGGGGACAGCAGGGAAACGGGTAGACGAAGTTGGTGTACTGGGGTCTTCCGTAGCCTTGAAGCTGCCAATGGCCTGGCACTGTGATCTTAGACCAAGTCCTGCCTTCGATGTCTTGGTTTTGATCGACCAAGGGAGCAGCAATCTCTGTATTGTAAGCCTCGCCGGATGGGGCATGATAAGGCGTTGGTGAGTAGGTAAATGCCCATGTTCCGTTCAATGAGACAGACGTGTCCGGGATATAATATGAGCGAGCGGGAAGCCGATTGCGTTGGAAGACCTTTTCATCGCACCAGTCGGGATCTAGAGTACTCGTACTTCCGTCGTACTCGGTGACTGTAGGATCTCGTTCGACTGGGAGCACAACACCCTCGTCACTCGTCAACTGCATGGTCGTAGAAGGTTTAGGATGAGACTGGCTTGGCCCTCCAAAGCCTGTATTCACCCTTGGGAGCCTGTATCCCAACCGCCGTTTCTTGAGGGTTGACTTCCAGGACAGGGGCTATGACCTACCTGAATAATTACGATATTTATACGTCGCAAATTGAGAAATCGTAGAAGCGTTCTTTGCGCGGAAAGCACCTGTTGTTCAGATAGACTTGCGATGGACGCCTTACCAGCCACTAGCGTCAGAGCTCAATATGGCGGGACACCCTACTTGGCGGGACGTCCCTCAAATAACGCGTTCTATGAGTACTATACAAATTTTGCACTCTATTTACTTATCTATCAACCCTTCAAAGTACCCTTTTCTTTCAATGGTGGTCAAGCTCAATGTGTTTTAGATGCATTTTCAACTGAATGAAAGCTGGCAATGGTCTACGTCTACGGTACTGGGATATCGCAGATAATATTAACCCCAGGAATCAGTGATGATTGTCCGATGGTCGTAAGGGCCAAAGGGTGCCCTTGATGACTTTTCATTGTTCATACCCGTGAGTACACCATGCGTAAAGCAACTTACGACAGAGGCTTAATGATCGACCGAAGCGACTTCACATTGCAGCACAACCAATGCTCAAAGTATCTCAGCCGAGTGCTGAGTCAATAGCTATGTTCGAGCTCCCAACGAGTCTAAACACGCTTGTGCGAGAGATGACATTGCCTTTTGAAGAACCCGTTGTCGCTGTACGTCAAGCAATCATTATATCAGCCTCCATGGACTTGTTGCACGAGACGTCTTGCGGCAGACAATACGACAAAGACTCCCAGATAGTCAGGTCGATCGTGTCTCGATGTTGAAGTTCTAACAATGCTGGCTGGGCGAAGTGCGGATCCACTTGGGTCAGGACTTTCTTTCAAAGCCACCATATTATCACCTTCAGCTCTTGACGTACAGGATTATACGACAGCAGAAACCGCCCAGATCTCCCAAAGCATCTGGCGAGCCTCACGGTTGCCTACTGCACAATGCGTGCAAATTCTCCCGAAAGGCCTAAATCTCACTAGCGACAGTCTTTACTCTCACAATGCATGAAATGAATCATACTGTGATCACTGCCAATACCACGAACACTGCCTGCCAACACTTTCACCATAAAGTGTTCCTTGTGCTTGTTCCCATGCTGCTATATCATGTGCCAGCCATTGCGCAATGGCAATACTGTAGGGTTGGCTCATGGGTTTATTGACAACTTTACCACTATCCACGATTCATCGATCAGTATGCCTTGCGATTTGGTTTGAAACGGGCTCAGCATCGACTTGTAGAGTTTTGAAGCCAAGAATTACAGTAATAGCTGAGGTATACGGAGAATATCACGTAGTTGGCCCGGACAAAAGGCCATTTATCACATTCTATATTAGTGTAGCGCAGGGAAACATCCCCAGGGTATGGAGAAGAGACATGGTTATGGGCTATGTGCGCCGCTTCTAACATCCATGAGCACCTCGTTCTCTCCAAGGCCCTTTTCTTTCCCACCCGCTCATCCTTTCATATCTGTCGCGCCGATGCAACCATCACGAGCCACACGACGCTGCTCCCGCTAGTTTCGTTGTCAAACGAACAAGTGCTCATCTGTCTCCCTGTTGTGGCGTCTGAAGATCTCACGTAGTCAGAACTATATCTGCAGTCAGCCCTTCACACGGTCGTTTCCTCTCGCCAGGACATGCGTGATCTTTCACTGTTTCGCTCCGGGCAGCTGGTCCTGCAAGTGCTTCACCACGAGAATGACAGGATACTGAAGCAGTTCAAGGAAGAGTTGATTCTACTGCTTCGTGCACGGAAAGGGCGCCACTCCAGAAGCCTATCTGCACCATCATGCATCAATTTTGATAAAAGCCAATGACGATCCCGTGTTCTCTTATCTTTACCAGTAGGCATCATCTAGGACTCTGCAGCCTTCTGATCTTCCCATACGACCAAAGCCCGGAACTCGATACTCTCTCTTGGCGATGCCCCTTGTCCGCTCTCGTAGGGAAATGCCGAATGAACAACACGGCGCGGAATACCCTCAGCCGTTTTGTTGGTGTCAAAGATGGTAATAAGGAGCACTTCATCAGGCTGCATTTTGGAAGCAAAGTACCAGCGATGATTCGGATTCGCTTTGACATTGTATACTTGAGATTGCTCAGCTGATAGATCCTCGAGGGTGTTCCCCCAAGTTGGCGTTAGCGTGGCATACACCGGCACGAGATCAGAGTCAGGCACTGTCGATGTGTCACAGACACCTAGGGGATTCCTGTATATAGTCTTGATGGGTCGCCAGGCATTGATAATGGCCCAACGACAGCCACGGAAACGTTCTACCTCTTCAGAGGTGAAGAAACGTCGGAACAGCTGGTTCGCCCATGCCGGGCCGTTGTCGATGTGAGCATACATAGCCGGAGGTGAATTCCGGGGTGTTTTAACGTCGACACTCTTGTTCTGATCCAAAAGTGTGCTTAAATCAACGCTCCTCACCTCGTGAGAGAATCCTTTGACCGCGGTAGCCCTGGTGCTATCGCAATCATTGCGTCAGATTCCATGCTATCCGTGCCCGGTTTCGAAATGTACTTACACACGCCGAATGAGGTCCTCCGCCTCGGTATAATAAAAGCTTCGGATGCGTGCATCATCACCGAAGTCTCCCTGCTCACTAGCATGTTCAACCCATTGAAATCCTTGCTTTTCCAGAGAGAAATCTGTCTCCCTGCCGCGGATATCTTGAACCTTCACTTTCGTGGGAGCAAACTTGCGGTTGAAGAAGTCGGGACTTCCTGTCACGTAAGAGGTTGTGCCGCCCACTTCGGGAAAATAGTTGATTGTGGTTTCCACGTGTGCTGGAGCAGTTTGCATTGTAGTTGTAGGGGTAGTCATGGTTAAAGATACCTCTGTGCTGCACGTTCAGTTTCCGCCGGGGCTGTGTGAGGCACAAATGCAATAGCCAGTCAGTCAAGATCGATATGCACTTCTCAACTTCAAGGATAAAAACTGTTCCCGGAGAAAGTTCAAAATACAATTTTAAATGCTCTTTGCAGAGTCTATAATGAGCATTGCCACCCACCTGAGACACAGTCGAATCATTTCAGGACCCGAGCGGTCTCGAAGACGGTACTTGGTACTTGCCTGGGAGCCAAAACTACACATCCCGAGGACGATATGTGCCTGATAGATTGAATTGCCACACTAATACAGAAATAGGAGCCATCCAAGTTCCGAGCACCACCCGAGTAACGTCTCGAAATGAGATTTCTCAACGCGCTAGATATCACACGGACCTTGGAGACGCTCGAGACTGCCCCGTACCACTGAAATGATAGTTTCTCAGCGCAGAAAGAATGCCGAAGAGCCAGACCTTGTGGCCTTACCGCGCTACCTCGGATGGTCCCACCTCTCTCCCGAGGATGGGGTTTCGGTGGTCTGTCCGCAATCCAGCTAGCTCGCTCCCTTTGGCCATCAGAGAGTCTCAGTGGTTCCATTTTACATAGCTTGCTACCTCTGATGCCACGGAGGTGATGATCCAACCTGGTAATCGCATGAGTGGAGGAACCGCCCGTTCTTTCGCGGCAGGTATACAAGAACGAGAGTATGATATACTAGACAGAATTGGATCCTTGCCTGATAAGGATATCTCTCAAGGAAGAGCATGCGAATGGCATGCCGTCCCTGGTTGATAGATTCGCGAAACATTTGCTCCCTTACGGTCACTTCTATGCTGAAGACAAAAACCGCACACACTCAACATGTCAGAACTTGTGCTTTCCACATACATAAACCCCGATCATCAATGCCTTGGAAAATCCGGACCTAGTACTTGCCCCCCAGCCTCCACAGGCTGACACTCAGCCATGATACCAATCATGCGCGACCACTTCTCAGAGCTCGTGTTTCGCCATGCATGCAAGGTCGATCTCTGAATTGTCAAATCCCCTGGCCTCATAATGCGTTTCTCACCACTCTCCAATTTGAGCTCGACTTCCCCTTCAATCTGGATGACTATATCCAAGCTCACCGTGCGGTGCATGGGACTGTCAGTGCCGGGTGGCATGTCGATGTACCAGACTGCAGCATTGCCCCCAGCAGGCACAAGAGAAGGCAAGTCCTTCAATGAAGCCACGTACACTTTGAGATCTTCTTGACTTGTAAGGGCCGCGAGGCGCGGGGGCACAAGATAGCCAAGTCGCTGATGGGCAGTGCCAAGCTTATTCATCACAGGCAGTGCTGTAGAAACTGCTTTTGAGAAGAAAGATTTGCCATGTTCGTCGTTGTCCGTGATATGCCGTTGAGGGTCGGGGAGAGGTTGCACGTCTGACCTCGAGGCCGTCATTCCTTCAGTGATTTGGAGTTGACGCTCGCAACACAAATGATAGGAAAAAGGTATTGTTGGGCGAGACCTACTACGAAGAATCTGCTATTGTAGGATGAATCCTCATTCAGGAAAGAGTGGTTGGAGTGTTCAAGGCAGTGTGTTATACATGGCTGTGAGTCTACGATGCGCTGAACCTCTGCAGAAGCCTGCCCGATGAGTATCTCACCATCCCGAGCTGAATGCAAAGCCCCGCCACTCTCGGTCAATGCACGTGGGTCAAGATGTCTCGTCTGCGCCTAGCTGTACGCGGCTGCAACCTGGCACTCAACAGCGCTTCAAAATCATGATGCTTTCCGGGAGACGATCCTGCTCTGTACAGTTAGCTGCAAGCAGGCTTCGTTCGGGATGGTTGTTATAAGGTCCACAGTCCGTTCCGACGGAGGCCTCTTTGCCCCTCAGTGTCGCAGCCTCGGGATCCGTCGTCATTGGCTGCCTCCACCACCACCACCACCACCGCGCGACCAAAATTTCCCTTCACCACCGAAGACACTACGCTGGCACTGTTGTTCAGGTTATGGCTGGGTTAGCTTCTCATCCGTGCTTTGACGGTTTCTTCTTCACACCAGTCAAGCACGACGAGATTCAGATAAGCCACCCTGTGTTTAGGAAGTGTTGACGCTACTCCAGCTTCTCTCTTCATCCAGTTTGTCTGGTTGTTCCGAGACCTCTGGCGACGCAGGCATCCGCACGGGCGGGTAGAGCTGCCGAGCGAGAGTCTCCATCACTACCTACCTCTCTACCCAAAAGCACGATAAGAATGGACACGGTCCAGATGCACGCCAACGTCTATCCGCATTCCCAAAAACCAGCTCGGTGGGCATGCCAATTCCTATGTGAAAGAGTCACTTCCTGCTTTTGAACACATTGGGAACCATACAACGACATTTCTTTGCTCCTCTCAGTCCTTGGCTTCTTCTCCTAAGACATTGCAAACGCTTGGTCCTCAGACACATCACCCGGACTCCAAAGATAGCATCCATCAACATGGGTCAAACCTCGGTTGACACTCATAACCCCCAAGTGGACGCTCAGGACGAACCCAAAGCAAGCCAGCTTGCATCGAAACAACCGACCAGGATGAAGAGATCTCTCTCAAAATCCATTGGAGAACCTATATGGTAGTATTCGCAATGTCACTGATCTATGTCGCCCAACTAGTCAACCTCGTCGGGAGTGGTTCATTGAGGAGCTCTATTGCAAGCGTTGTTGGCGACTCTCAAGACAGTATTTGGATTGTTGCCAGCACTGTCATTATGATCCCCTGTCTGAGTCCTCCGATGGCCCAGGCGGCAGACTACTGGGGTCGCAGATGGCTACTTCTTGTTCCTACCTTCTGTGGATTGATTGGCTGTATCATCCTAGCTCGAGCCAAAACTATGGGTGTGGCTATTGCTGGAGAGGCCATCAGCAGCATCTCAACCGGCAGTTTGCCGTTATTACACGCCATTGCATCCGAAGTCCTGACTCACCGCAACCGTGGCGCAGCACAAGCGGCTCTCAACTTTGGCGTCGGTCTGGGCGGCATCTTAGGACTTTTACTGGGCGGCGTCATGACCCATCACAACCCTGAGGGATTCCGGAATTTCTGGTACATGAACGCTGGTCTGTTTGCAGTATCCACGATCTGTGCTTTTTTCTTCTACAATCCCCCGCCACGTCCGACCCAAAGCCTTCTGCGTTCTGAAAAGCTCCGTCAACTCGACTGGATTGGCTACGTTCTGCTGATCATTGGACTGGTGCTGTGGACAGTGGGCTTGGAAAAGGCCGATAACCCTTGTAAGTGATCTAGGTATGATCATGGCGAAGCGTATTGATGATCTTAAAACCAGACCCCTGGAAGAGTGCCCGCACTCTCGCACCTGTTACTCTCGGCGGATCATTCATCATTGCTCTGGCCATCTATGAATGGAAATTCAAGACTGACGGAATGTTTCATCACGGGCTATTCACCAAAGATCGAAACTTTGCTATTGCGTTGGGTTGTACTTGTGTTGAAGGGTCTGGTGTTCTTCACTGCCAACAGTTTTCTGTCTTATCAAGTCGCTGTTATGTATGAGACGAACACCATCAAAGTGTCACTCCAGTAAGTTTCCGCCACCATGGTATCTCTGACATTTGGAATGAGCCTCATCATCTCTACAACAGTTATTGTATTGCTTTTGCGGTATATATGGTTACCGGTTGGTGTCTGGCATGGTATACATTCACTGCCAAGCGACTACGAGTTCCACTCATGCTTGCATTTGGTTGCTTCGCTGCATTCGAAATATGTATGGCAACCACACAGGTTGGAAGCGCCAAAGCAGTCTGGGGCTATCCAATTTTCCTTGGTTGTGGCCTAGGTGTTGGCATGACAGCGCTGGTGACAGCTGCCCAGCTAAGTACACCTCCCGAATTGATGTCAGTCAGGCGAATATTCCACTAGCCCCAGTTTTTGGTCCAGTGGCTTACGATTCCCCATAGTGCAATTACCAGCGGCCTGCTGATTGCAGTACGTTCATTCGGAGGAACAATTGGTCTGGCCGTCTGTGAGTACATCTGGAATCCCATACACGTGCTAAAGACCAGAGAGCTGACACAAGCGACAAGATACTCCGCTGTTCAACTCGAAGTTGGCTAGTAATGTTGTGCCTAGGGTCACGGAGGCATTACTGCCGTTTCATCTTCGCAAAGAAACGCTCGAGGCCGTGATCCACGCTTATGCCACAGGGGCATCCTCGGCAGTAGGCAAAGTCCCCGGGATGACTCCTCAGAGCTTAGCAGCTGCGCTAGAAGCATATAGAGGTGCATTTGTTGATGCTCTGCGCGGAGTTTATATTGCTGCTGCATGTTTCGCTGCGGTGGCACTAGTCGGTAAGTACTGCCTCCATTGCAACCATTGCAAGAGGTCAAGATATCAGCGCTGACCTGAATTGCAAGCCTCTTTCTTCCTGATCGATCCAATTCATGACTTCAATGAGCATGTTGATGCCCCGATAGAGAAGGAAGAGGCTATGTATCCAAGGGAGCGAACTCAGAGCACTGCGACAGGTCCACAGGGGCCATGACCTGCGACTTTCCATTTTACGATATTAGGCATGAGGAGTATGCCCTTGTTAGATTCTCAAATTACAGGAATTGATTACAGGGAGTATTAAGTAACATCCTCTGAAATGCGTACCAGAGCTTTTGTTTCGTGAGGGGACGACGTAATTCGTGGCCGGGGGATCGCTGACAGAAAATACACGTTACACCCCTCTATCCTACTATCTCTGAAGGGCTCTTTGCGGGTCGATACTATCACGTCTATGCCAAGCAAGTCTTGGCCAGGCAGGCAAAGTGAGTTGGCTTCCATGGTTTGTATATCTGGGCCCAGAAAGCTCTTTTGTCTCTCGAGAGCTACTTTTTGACTAATAAGTGGATGAGAATGAAAGACTGGTATCTCGGCGTCTCGCAAGGTCTATACAAATACCTACAGATCCTCTCAATCCGATCAACCTTTATTTGCCCGCTCGCGGTGTGTTCCATCAACGAATATTCCAGACTCTATCTGCTCGTCTGCGTCTAATAGTAAAGCGATCCTTCTAAGTACAGCCGCAGCCTACGATCATGGCTGCGGTTGGGCAGCATCCCGATCGGATTCGGGAATGAATCCGCGCAGCCTCACTATCCGAGATGTGGAGAGCCACAATGCCGACTTTGTTCCTCCTTCTGACCAAAGACATCTCTCGAGAACTATACTGTTCAAGAGTTCAAATATCATTTGGGCCTGCTTTACGCTGCCGATAATGCGATTGACAGGCGCGAAGCAAGATACTTGATTTCACAACCACCAAGGCTGCACCCCCAAAAATGTCGGTTTCCGCACTTGACTCCCGCATTTTTCGCGGCCTGTTCGGCACCCAAGAAATTCGTAGTGTCTTCAGTGACGAAGCCTACGTAGCTCAACTCATCAACACTGAGGCGTCTCTTGCTCGTGCCGAATCCGCAGTGGGCGTTATTCCGGCTCAAGCAGGCAAGGTCATCACGGAGGCACTAAGCAAGATCGAGATCAAGTATGCATATCTCTCTTACATTATACCTTGCAATTCACCTCTGCTACTTACGAGACTACAGCGTCACAGTATCTTAAGAGCATCATTTTGACATATGCTAACGTCTTAAGTAGTTTTGAGCGACTTTCAAGAGAGACGGAAGTCGTCGGATATCCAGTGCTACCGCTCGTGCGGCAGCTAACGGAAAATGTCCCGGAGGAAATGGCAAAGTACATTCACTGGGGTGCTACTACGCAAGACATTATGGACAATGCCTCGATGCTTCAAATCCGCAGTGGCCTGAGAATCGTGTGGAGAGAACTCGACACCTTAGTGAAGGCTCTTGAATCATTAGCCGACAAGTATCGCGATACGTAAGTTGACAGCCTAATCTTAGAGAAGCCCTTTAGCTTTTAGCTTTTAGCTGAAGCCCTCAAGACCCATGACTGGCCGGACGCATCTTCAACATGCTTTACCATGTACATTTGGGTACAAATGCGCGATATATCTATCGAGTATACTACGGCACCGAGAGCGTCTAACTGAGATTGAAAGAAGGTGTCTATTGGTGCAGTTTGGCGGTGCAGCCGGGACATTGGCCTCCCTAGGAGATAAGGGAATCGAGGTCCGCCAGCAACTCGCAAAGGAACTCGACTTAATCGATCCAGATATTACATGGCACGTCGCCCGGGATGCTATTGCCGAAATCATCAACTTTCTGGCTCCAATTGGAGGCTCACTAGGTAAGATCGCCTACGATGTTATGATCATGTCCTCGAACGAGCTTAGCGAAGTCTCGGAACCCTTCATCCCTTATCGAGGGGCATCCTCCACGATGCCGCAGAAACGCAACCCTATCTCCAGCGAGATCGTGCTGGCGACCTCGAAACTCCTACGGGCCAATGCAGGACTGGGGTTGGACGCGATGGTAGCAGACTTCGAGCGGGCCACGGGACCATGGCACTTGGAATGGGCTGCCCTTCCAGAGTCGTTTGTACTCGCCGTGGGCGCTCTTCACCAAACGAACTTTGCGATGGCGGGGCTTGTAGTCAACGTGGATACGATGTACGGCAACTTGCAATCGACGCAAGGATTGATTGTAGGCGAAGCAGTGATGATGGGTTTGGCTCCCATTCTTGGAAGACAGCTCGCTCATGAGGTGGTGTACGAGGCATGTCAGATTGCCACGGACCAGAAAAAGCCACTGTATGATGTGCTCAAGGTACAAGAGGCCATCTTGGTTACTGGCATTGAAGACAAGACAATTGTCAGCCTGTGTGATCCCTTGAATTACATGGGTGCGAGCCAGAAAATGGTGGATCGTGTTCGGGAAAAGATCAGATGACCGTGTATGTGTCAGCTCAGGTTCTATTGCTGATCTTGACAGATTCTACTATCATATGCATATGAACAAGCAATTTTTTTCGCAACTAGGGATCCAACAGATTATATCAGCCCCCGATTCCCGGGTCATCCCACTCGAAATTTCCCAACCAAGTCATGTCCTCTGTGCCAAAGTTGTACATTAGGTTTGGCGCTTCCAATCCCATATGCTGGAAGACGTCTTGAAAGGCTTCCGCCGGAGGCACCTCATTATCCGGCAGATTTCTAATTCTCATGACTTTCTCCCACATGCTGCGAAAATTCACGACGGTCTCTGGAAGGAACTGGCAGAGATGTTCATGTGCGGTGAGTAAGGATATGGCTTTTTCCCAATGACCCGAAACGACAGACTCGAAGATCTCTGGTCGCATCATTGCCGCGATGATGTGTAAGGTGGCGATCCATAGGTAAAAGACGCGATACCACCATGGCAATATTCCTATCGGAGTGTCGGACTTCCAGTCTTCGGCCACTAGATCAATGACTTTCTGGGCGTTTTCTACACAGAGCATGGCACAACTTTGCAAGATTCGATGCTCGAGATCAGGGAAAAGCCCCGCAGGCGTCAGTGACGAGAGGCAGAGCCGGACAAGTATCGGTCTGAAAAGTAGGATTCGGGCGTGTGCAAGCCGCAGTTCGAATAAGAATCGTTGTCGATCTAGGTCATCGTCTGTCTTTGTCAGGGACCCGCTGAGCAATAGAGAGGCATGGCTCGATTGCAGTTTATTCAGACATTCGTCAATTTGCATGACGGTATTCAGGTCTGCAATCTTAGTTGGCGGGGCGATGCCCAGCCGTTCCGCAAAGCTACTACGGGCGACAATTTGTGAAAACTCGATGAATGTGGCTATTTCCTCAAGGTCGTGCATCTTGGCAGCAGGATGGACAGGTTCTCCACCGGCCGGGCTCCCGTATCGCGAGTTCAAGATGAAGGAGCAGGCAGTCAGTGTTAACATCGAGCTCCTCCCGAGAGTCCATGATAGGATCCTATCACAGATCAGTGCTGACAACACAGAGAGTCGGTGCTGTTTACCTGTCCAAGTATACACAGTGCTGCCAAACTTGTCGGCCCACATGATTCTCACGGTTGGAGGAATTTGTCGTCGACTTGTGGCACAGATGCAGACCGAGGCTCTGAGCCATGCGTACCGCGCAGCCTACCGCCATCCACGTCTGATGCGGATTATTCGTGCAGTGTAAATACCTTGCAATCAGAAGCAAGCACTGGACAATGTCCATAGAAGCTGGATGCCATAGAACGGATTCGGGACGTAATAAAGACCAGGCGCGGTGGAAATATGTCCTGGCCATGCCTGTCCGTTGCTCAGAGGGAATGGTCTCTTGAAGTTGGGTGGCCAAGGCGAAAATAGCATTCAGAGTGCTGACAAAAATATACTCGTTACAGTCGAGTTCGTTACCGGCAAAAAGCAAACGATAAGAAGTATAGAAGTGGTCCTTGTCGAGCAGAGGCTCCATAGGTTCAAGATGTAGCCAGTAGAGCCCCGCCAGGTGGTCGGCGTGCTTGCGCGGTGGCAAAACATTGTCTGCGTTGTGGGCTTCATTCGTGGGTTGGTGATGAGGCAAGACGTCTCCAAACAATGGCGCATCTGTCAGAGGGATTAAGCACCGCTTCTTGGCAGCAGGAAGCCCAAGTCTGGTGTCAATGGCCTCGGTCACCTTGGTGGCAAAATCATTTGGATCCGTATCCCCGACGGGCTCACCAATGTCGGGTGTCGTAGGTTGCTCTGCTCGCGACAATGACAATGAATTCGTCGGCACCGGCACTGGCGCCGTTGAGGACGAGATCGGCTCCGTCCTAGGTATGTCGTGCGAGTACCTGGACGAAGTACTAATATTATCGCTGCAAGGGACGTATGTGCAATTTTCGCGGAGGTGATTTTTTGCCTGACATCTGCCACATGCTGGACCAGGTCAGTATTGCGGCACGCTGTATTCTTAACTGGTTTTGACTCAATTGACAAAAGCGTAACCAGGCCCTTGGGCAAGCACCAGTTCGTTAACAGGCCACAAAGCTGAGATTGAGGGATAGTGTACCTGGACGAGCACCGTCACATTTCAGCTTTCGAGCACGGCAAGTTGTACAGGCGAGCGAGGTTTTGTATCTTTTTGTGCGGACGCCGCCCAAGCGCTGAGGAGCTGGGAGGTCTGTCATTCTCGAAGCCATGATGAAGTCTACTACAAAGTGCCAGCTTGCTTCCTGACCCCTTTTATCAGGCCACAAGTTAAGGGACGAGTTCAATGTGTTGCCCAAGAGTAACAGGATAGCTATGTGGACAAACGGGCGATTGGGGGGATGTTGGGGTTCAAACCCGTGCGTTCTTGGAACCCCACCTTGTGGCTTGTAAAGCTTACGGCTTGCAATGCCTATCTTAAGGCGCTCCAGTGTTCATTTGCTTTCACCTGTCACTATCTAGCTACCCGTCTATCCTGAATGACTATGATAACTAGCTTCCGTGGTAGCCTCTTAAGGGTGCGCTGGCGGTGGACGTACTTCCTCGACGGCAGCCTCCTGGACTACCATCTAGAAGACGAAGCTAGCATTAAGCACAGCAGAAGCCACGTCTGAGGCAAAGTCCCACACCCCAAGAGCGTCTTGAGTCTTATCACGTTGTGGCATCAGCAAGAAGGAGAGGTACCTTCTCGAGTTTGATGATTGTCACTTGAGTGTCAACGAATTTGGCTTTGATCGAGCTTTTTTCTCCGTCGTAACACAGTAAACCTGGCACTTCTCGTGGACCTGAAGATGCAGGGAATGAGTGTTTCCTCATTGTGTCGATTATCAGCACCTTGCCGCATTGCCACAGACGCTCGAACAGACGACTTGATATCCAGAGGGAGCCGAGGCTCCGGAAGCCGAGTTGATGATAATGCCGACATGGAGGCACCAGACGATCCCGGACCAATGAACCGTCGTCCCGAAGAGAGTGTACTCTCAGACCTCAGGTCCCATGCGAGTGTGTCTGAGAGCTCGGGTGCATTTCTACGATTCCCATAGCTCCCACTGTGGTCGAAAATTGTCAGGGCAGACAATGGAAGAAACGCTCAGTATTCCCGGTCTGCTGCAATGAAGCAGGCTTGCTACCCGACCGGACTTCACCCACAAGGGTTCCAGTAGATGGTGCTGGGGATCCAAGGGGCTGCAATGATGCGCTGGACCGCGAAACTCCGAATAAGAATGATCGGTAGCTTATATTGATGGTACTCGCATGACGAAACGAAAGCTGCTGTCATATGTGCGCGATGAGAACTGTTCACTTGCCGATATCACAACAAAATATCACAAATGGCGGCCAACGGTATTGCAAATGGTGAAGGCGCCGGCATTCCAGCAACAAATCTCCTCGCCGCTTTCGTGGCTGATGCATCCACCTCGCAACTGACGCAGGAGCTTCGACAAAAGGTCAAAGAAGTCGTCATCGACTGGATTGGTGTAACTATAGGTGCACTGGACGGGGCCGAGTCCACAAAGCCTATCTATGATGCTATTCTGAAGCTTCAGGGTGGGGACATCAATGGCAAAAATGCATGTACAGTCTTGGGCAAAGGCGAGGCACGTTTCCTCCCCCAGTATGCTGGACTCCTCAACGCTACACTGAGTCATTCCTTGGATTTCGACGACACATACATTGATGGAACGCTTCATTCTGGATGTACAGCCGTCTCTGCCGCTTTGACACAGGCTGAAATGAAGGCATCAGAAGTCAGTACTGATCAATTCATGTTGGCCGTTGCGGTGGGCTATGAGATCACTTGCCGAATTGGCCGGGAACTAGGCTTCGAGGCATATCACCGCGGATTCCATAACACAAGCACGGCGGGCATCTTTGGCGCTGTGGCCGCGATCACTGTTTTGAGAAACCTGCCCGCGAAGACCATCGAGATGGCGTGGGGTCTCGCGGGATCCAAGGCGGCAGGTTCAATGCAATATTTGGATAATGGCAGTTGGTTAGTACAAGATCTGTGCCAGGATTGGACTGTGGCTAACCATTACGTTCAGGAACAAGCGACTTCATCCTGGTTTCGCAGTACACGACGGTTTCCTCTGCGTGTCACTAGCCGAAGGGGGTGTGATCGGGGCAACGAGAAGCATCGAAGGGAAGAATGGATTCCTCAAGGCTTACAGTCCGAACGAGGATAAGGATTTGACTCGATTGACAAAAGACCTCGGTCACAAATGGGACTGGTTGGACAATGCCTTGAAACCCTACCCAGCGTGCAGAATGACGCACGCTCTCATCGAGCTGGCTGGGAATATCCACACAGAATATGCAGCGAAGCACGGAAAGGCCATCACGCCCGCCGACCTCGACAAAGTGATCTTGTCAATTCCGGCGAGCAACTTCATCCTTGTTGGCGACCCTACACCAAACAAGATCCACCCCAACAATGTTGTCGATGCTCAGTTCTCGGCATATTTCCAAGTAGCCAATGCCCTACTTTACGGATCACCCCGCGGTCTCCAAGGGTACAAAAGACTACAAGAGCCTGCTATCCACGAAGTCTGTGCCAAAATCACCGTGCTTCCCGATGAGAAGGTCCGCGGGTTCCCAGGCCGCATACGTTTGTTGTGGGAAAATGGAATTGAAGAAGAGAGATATCAAGAATTCGCCTTGGGTGAAGTACAACATCCATTCACTCGCCCACGCGTGGAGGAAAAGTATTTCGCTTTGGTGTCCTCCACAATTGGTGAAAGCAGGGCCAAGGAGATATTGGACTGTATCGATGGATTGGAGAGTGCGAGTGTTCAGGGATTAGTTGAGCTACTCAGATAACATTTTAGATAATGATAGATCTTTAGACTCATTAAGGGAGTTGCAGGTCTATAATCGGGAAGAAACATGTCGCATTCAAGCCCACTACTTCTGCGTGCGAAAGCCATGCTAGCCAATCACTTGGAAGCAGGTCCTCGCAGTTGGTTGATGGTTATTCTCCTACATGTATGTCGACCTTAGCGGACCATAGGGTAGATAGGGTCTCCTGTGGAATATGCATATAACTTCATATGGTAACTATGTATTCAGATCTTACTTAGATCTTCGCAGCCCATGGCGAGGCGGAATTTGAGAAGGTCTCGCTTCAGAATGACATCTTTTCTGGCGATAAATTCATTCATACTATCCAACGTCTTGTCAGATTCATGGATGAAGGACCAGCAGGAGCACAACAGCGGGTTCGAACTTACTCCCAGTTACAACTGATAAACCTCCCTGCCAACCAAGGTCTCCTTTCTTTCAATAACCATGTTATGCAATCTCCAGGTAATTCAGGCTTGTCGATTTGAACCTTGGACAATGCGGGTGGGAGGTCTTTGCGCTCTGGATGCGCCACGGCACCAGGATGTACCCAATATGAGATAAGTGGTGTGCTTCCATCTTCTGCTTGCCCGTACTCGGCATTGACAAAATCCAGCAATTTGGCCTGTCCCATCTTCGCAGAAGCCATGCCGGACATCCCAGGGCGTAGCAGTGTGGAGGCTTGACTGTTCACAGTGAGAACAGTCCCCAAGCCGTCCTTGGTGGCCCGCAGCAAAGGAATGAATACTTGAAGACAGTGAAACACGCCCAGAACAAAGACTTCATATGAACGCCACCACTTGACCGCATCCTGGTCGGGTATGTATAGTACAGGTTCGAGCACACCGGCGTTCAGAACGATCGCATCGAGCCTACCATCAAAACCTGCGCGGATGGCTTCTCCCACAGCAACGACATCGTCCTTTGAGGTCACATCCGCTGTCCTGCTTATGATCTTTGGCGCTGGGTGTCCTGCCTCTGTGGCTACTTTGGCGAGCTCATCTGCTAGCGTCTCGGATGGTGAAAGGTCCATGATGACAATACCGGCAGCCCCTGCACGTGCAAACGAGACGGCAATGGCACGGCCAATGCCTCGACCTGCTCCTGTGACAAGAACATATCGCCCTTGGAGGTTCGGCTTTTGAAGGGGTGAAATGAATGGATATGTGTCACTTCGCCTGGTGCAAAAGTTGAACCCATGTGAGTCGTACTTGCTAATAGGATCGGAGGACATATTTTGCACTTGTCACGGGACGTTGACCCTCAACTGAATATCGCTGGAACGATGTTGAAGGAGAAATCTCGCCTGACGATAAATATGTATACAATTGAGCGGCTCGAAATAATCCGGGGTCATAATGGTGGCCAAAAAGCAAAACAATTTGTTGTACTCTATTTGGGCTTGGATGTCGCGGCCACGGGCGAACTGGGACACTATCTGCTCTTGGAATTGGTACAAGCGGAGCATGCATATGCTATGGAGTAAGGACATGCGCAAAGTAACCATTCTCGGGTTACTTGGATCAGAATCAACGATTTTCCCTGGTCACTTATCCACGGTACTCTAAAAGCTGTGGGCACTCCTATCCAGATTCCACAGGGCGTCTCGGGATCTTTCCGAGCCATAATACGATCGGAAGCCTCATCCCAAAGTGAAAGCCTGTGAACCAATAGCATGAACTTCCGACCAGACAGGATACTCGGTGCATTCAACGCCAGAACTTAATGCCAGGTTTACCGATCAACTTCCTATATCCGTATACGATGCATTATGACGCACAGTCGGGCTTTTACATTTCGTGAAAAAGAAATTATCTCGTCCACGGCCCGAAAGGTCACCAGAGGTATCCAACCAGCTCGGCAAACGTTCTGGAACCGAAAGAACGAGAGGGAGCTTGTCTTTTTGGACAGGGTTTATTGCCAGAGAATCAGAGATGAAGTATAACTTGCTAAGTTATGGTCTACTGAGCTAAAAACCTGACAAGCACACGCGATTCCTACGAAGATACTGGGGCCTTCCAGTGCCTCTGCACCCCCAACTACTTTTTGCAGACGGTAGATTCGATCGCATCAGTATGTCAGGCGTACCATCCCTACCGGCCGACATCGTCCGAAGTGATATTTTAAAGCACGTCCCAGAAAACAGTGCAACCAGCCTTGACAACGCACCTGTTGAGAATTTCCGACCTTTCAAGGTTATTGTTATTGGTGCTGGCTTTTCAGGGATCAACTGTGTCATTCGAATTCCAGAGAGACTACGCAACGTGGGTCTGACTGTTTACGAAAAGAATAGTGACGTTGGCGGAACCTGGTTGGAGAACAGATATCCTGGCTGCGCCTGTGATATTCCAGGTAAGGATGTCTTCAGTCCGATGCTAGCATGGAGCGTGTTATGCTTACCAACAAATAGCCCACTCTTATCAGTATTCCTATGCACCCAATCCCAGATGGAGTGGATTCTATGCATCTGCGGAAGAGATACACGAATACCTCAAACACGTTTGTGAATCGTTTTCGGCATCTCGATTTATTCGACTCGATCATCAAGTGGAAAGGTGCAGATGGGACGCCTCAGAAGGCAAGTGGTAAGTCAGGATAGTAACTGTCCATGCGTTCTGGCTAGTATCTGATGGTTCCCTTACAGGCATGTAACCGTAAGAAATCTAGCAAGCAATGAGGTTTTCGAAGATGTTGCCAACTGCGTCATTTCTGCCAGAGGATCTTTAAACGAGATTCAATGGCCAGAAGTCGACGGTCTTGATTCATTTCGAGGAAAATTAATGCATTCGGCGGCTTGGGATAGAAGGTGAGTGAGTTGTCTATCATGGCATCTACAGACACAGGTGTGTTCAGAAACTCATATTGTCAAGCTACGACTTGAAGAACAAGACCATTGGTGTGATTGGTGGTGGGAGCAGCGCCATTCAGATTGTTCCACAACTACAAAAACTCGAAGGGGTGAAGCTGAAATGCTTTGTTCGAGGCAGAACATGGATTTCTCAACCCTTTGGGGAGGCCAGCATGCAGAAGCTGGGGCTTTCCGGGATCAACTGTAAGATTGAAAGGCATCGAAGAATGTATATAAGGGCTCAGATTTGTGTCCTAGTTCCCGAAACGCAGATGAGTAGCTTCGCCAACGACACAAGGCTATACCACGAATTCCGCAAAGAGATCGAACAAGATGGAAACTCTGTCCATTTCCTTACCATTCTTAACTCTGAAATGCAGAATCAAGCACGAGAAAGGCTCCAATCAGAGATGAAGCGTTGTCTGCGCAAAAAGCCGGAAATTGCCGATCATATTATTCCCAGCTTCGCTGTTGGGTGTCGTAGACTGACCCCTGGGGAAGGATACCTAGAGGCGCTGCAAGAGTCCAACGTCGAGTTCATTCCCGAGCATGTTCAGCAGATAACCACCGAAGGAGTCATTGCAGCTGATGGCAGATCTATTGTCCTCGATGTCTTGGTATGTGCGACCGGATTCAGAGCGGCGAAGGCACCACCATTCCCGATTTATGGGAGCAACGGAGTTGATATGGGAACAAGATTCGAACCATTTCCCGAGACATACCTGAGCATGTGTATGGATGGCTACCCCAATTTTTTCACCATATTAGGCCCCAACTCGCTGATCGGAACGGGGAGTCTTACAATGATACTTGAAAGCGAGTGCGACTACATCATCAAGTGCGTCAGGAAGTTGCAGCGCGAGAATATCCGCTCAATGGATGCGAAGACGGAGCGTGTCACAGACTTCTCCAGATACTGCGCAGAATTTTTTAAGCAAAGCGTCTATCTGGATGGCTGTACAAGCTGGTATCGCAACGAAAGAGGCCGTGGCGATCGCATTATAGGCCTCTGGCCTGGAAGTGCTCTCCACGCCATGGAAACATTTCGCGCTCCTCGGTGGGAGGACTTCAACTATGAATATGAGAAGGACGCAAATGGTAGGACGGTGAACCAGCTTCAGTGGCTGGGAAGTGGATGGTGTGATTCACAGCGCTCGGGTTCCGGTGACTTGGCCTTCTACCTCGAGCCTGAATATCTGGATGTGCCTGCGAAGCCGTTGCCGGAGGAAACACACATGTATCTACTGCGCTCTTTCTGTTACTGAGCAAGAGGGATATGTTGTCGTATAGATATTGGCAGTCAACGACTCCAACAGTGAACAGCGGCTTCTCCGCGGATGCAGTGAATACTTCTTATCGGTATCTTTCCAAGGAGGATGTCTTTCTTGTAACTAACTCATCAAAAGGAAAGTCTAGAATTGTAGACGGGCTGTATCTCCTTGACTATTGTTGCCTAAGTATCTCCGTAACTCCGTGTTTAGGAAACCGAATTTTGGACGCGGTCCAATTATATTGACCAGTCAAAATACATTATAACGTAGGCGTGGAGCTACGTCGAGTGAGGGCAAGGAAGACCTTCACAACAGGCCTACATCCAACTCACCTGTCCAATGAAACGGGCTCCCGAGGTGGAGGCCTACGAACCGTCCCAATTATGTTACATCCCGAGCCCGGCCAACAAGGTCCTTCCGGGTACAACTATCACCACTGAAGAGAGTTCAAATGCAAGGTACAACGTCCGGCCACTAAAACCGACCCGATGATAGGCATGGGTAGCGTAGCAAGTCAATTTTTCAGTTCTGAATATATAGCATAATTGGAACAATAAATGATTTTTTTTCAGGAACAGCCGAGACTTACTGACCCTTTCAAAGGCTAGACCCGCGCAGACTTTCTCGTAACATCAATATGCCTCTTGCTCTGAAGAACCTTCACCGTACTGACAGCACCAGCTTTGGCTATCTGGTGGAATTCGACGTCAATGTGCCATTGCGAACCGCCAAACCCAACACCACGGACGATCCGCTTATTCTCCGCGCAAATGTTTATCGTCCAAAAGCTGAAGGGCGGTATCCCGTTCTTGTAACCTGCGGTCCCTACGGGAAGGACATTCCATACCATCAATTCCATGAAGAGTCCTTTTCCCTTGTCAATCCCAAGCAGAAATCACCCCACTCGGCGTGGGAAGTGCCAGATCCGGGATATTGGACTTCGCAAGGGTATGCGGTCGTTCGAGCAGACGAGCGAGGCACTGGAAATAGTCCCGGGAAGCTTGATTCGCTGGGACCGACAGTGTGGGATGGATTTGCCGACTTGATTGAGTGGGCTGCCGATCAACCCTGGAGCAATGGTAAGATTGGACTTCTTGGGATCAGCTACTATGCGGCAAGCCAATGGTCGGTGGCGGCTCGTCAACCGCGAGGATTATCATGTATGATTCCATGGGAAGGTACTAAGCCGGTCTCTATCATGGGGATTTACAATACTGATGCGCAAAGGAATGACCGACTACTACCGAGACCGCGCGAGACATGGAGGGATTATGTCGAATCGATTTATCCGTATGCTTTTGTTGCCCGCCATAAAGGCCATTGCTGACTTGAGCAGAATACGTGTACAACAGACAAGTAGCATCAAGTCAATATGGCTTGCCAGGCAAAGCGGAACGACATTGGGGCCCAGACACTTTTGAAGGGAGCCTTCCGGCCGAAGAGCTCGCAGCGAATCGAGCTGACCAGCACGAAGATGCTGCCCGGTATCGCTTCCGAGATGAACCCTACTACCAAGAAAGAGATTTCGATCTCTCAAAAGTACAAGTACCTCTGCTGAGCGGCGTAAACTGGGGTGCTATTCACTTGCATCTCCGCGGTAGTGTGCTTGGATATCTCGGTGCGAGCTCGCAGTTCAAGTATCTTTACTTCCTGACCGGTCGTCACGACTTGCCGTTCTTTTATGACGAACATGTCGAGCTGCAGCGATCATTCCTGGACGCGTGTCTCAAGGGGGAGGACCGAGAGGGATGGTTGGTGCCTGGGAAGGTACCACCGGTGAATTTGTGCGTTCGGCGTGGCAATCCGGGCTACAGTAACCCCGGGGCTGAACGGCAGGTTTTCCCTCGAAGGATGGAACAGGAGTGGCCGCTGGCTAGAACACAATATATGGACTACCACTTACAAGGAGATGGCATCCTAGGCCTAGACAAGCCGGTGAAGGAAGCCCGGGTGGGTTGGGAAGCGCTTGACGCCGGATCCAGTGCTCGTTTCAAGACAAAGCCGGCCGACAAGGAGACTGAAATTACCGGTCATCCATGGGCTCGACTTTCGGTGGCAGCTAGTCCATCTAATGGCTCAACACCATCCGAGATTGATTTGTTCCTCACTCTTCGACACTACGACTCCGTCAACCAGGAGATCTTCTACACCGGCGCTACGGGAGATGCAGTGCCTGTGGTTCGAGGCTGGCTGCGAGTTTCGCTGAGAAAGACCGCCAGTAGCTCTGGACCGCTAGGTGCAATCATGCCAGAACGGAATTACTATTCTACCGAGGTGCAGGAGGTGGTTCCTGGTGAGGTGTACACTGTTGACGTCGAGATCTGGCCAACCAGCGTGGTTCTCTTGCCTGGCGAGACACTCGAACTTCAAGTCTCCGGCACGGACAGTGATAATGTCGGCATCTTCGGACACGATCATCCAGAGGACAGACCCAAGGAGAAGCTCCTTGGGTATAATGAGCTTCACATCGGTCCTCGGTACGAGAACTTTCTCAGACTCCCAATCATCCCAGAGAAATAGACCAGCAGTCGAAACAGTCGAGATGTTGGGTGGTCAAATTCCGAATCTCCATGCAGTAAGGGGAGACACCGAGAAGAACGGGGTTTGTAACGTTGAGATTATGCTTCATCTGGTGGATCATGTCGCATACCTTCATTGTGTTTGCGAGCCTGCACACTAGTTCCTTTGAAGGCGTTCTTTGATTTGGGAAAAGGAGAAGCGGTACTTCGAGAGGCTGAGTTTCAGAGTCTCCAGGATCAATACTGAAAAAAAAAAAACCGGCACGTACCAATTTTGATCTGCAAACAAGTACGCTCCCGCATTGTCGAGATCACAATTCATGAGGTCTGCTCCACCTCGGCCAAACACTTTTACACAAACTGGCTCAAATCTCATCCATCGGATTGATCTTGCCGTCAAAGATGGCCTTGAGATACGCTTGTGTGCCGAGCGGCTCCTTGGTGAACCTCTGACGTCCCTGTCCCATCTGCAACGGCAGTCCGACGAACCACAGTACGTCTTCACTGTTGAAGGACATGTACCGCACGGTTGTGAGGGCGCGAATGTTGTTGCGGCGCCGATAAACTGGAGGCGGAGAGGGATGTTGAGATTGGGGACTCAGCCATGGCGTGGACGAGTGCCACGTTCCATCACCACCGTACTTGCTACTGCTAAGTTATTGAAGAGGGGTATCTATTGTGGCCAGCGCCACTGAGTTTTAGTATCCAAAAGGTGTTAATAGTGCAGTCACATTTTGGGAGGCTCAGTACGCGCTAGTTGAGTCATATCGCCAGCAGTTTGGCACAGTCCTCAATAGTTTGGAGGCAGATAAGCTGGGAAGTCTGACTATATCAGGAGAATAGGATAATTTTGTGTCATCTGGTATATAATTGTGAGGGTCTCACTATAAATAAGTCTCCTGATCCCAAACATGATAGCGCTTAGAGAACTACTCCAACAAGGCCTCCGAAAGACAGACTACTATGCGCGTCCTCGCGAAAGGCATGCAACTTCTACAACTCAAATAGGAGTTGGAAGGCCCCATCAGAGTTGTGTTCGAGGACGATGCTTGACATCGTAAGGTGTGTGTACAACTTCGCCAAACTACCTGATGGGTTTCGGCTCAGTGAACGTTTCCTCCTCAACTCTTCGCCTCCTATCAAGGGAATCACGTCCCTCCCTAGAGCTATCATCGTGATTGAGACCGCCAAAGGCCGCTTTGGAGCTCTGCTCCTCGTGTGAAACATCATCAAACCCTTCCTCCACAGCGCCGGTTGTGGACAAGTCACCCTGACCAATGAGCACAGCTGGTGCGTAAGGCAGGTCTCCTTCACCTCGACGGGCTTTGGGAATGAAAACGTCGAAAGATCGAGGTACAATAAGACCTAAGACCACCAGAAGCATGACGACGTGTCCAACGCAAAACCCGAAGATGTGGAGCGGGTCGTTCTTGACTCTGTTGAACGAGGGATATGCAAAACTGGTGAGGATGGCGAGAATAGGTGCCGATATATATCTGAGAATTGGTGACCAAAAATAGGGCAGAGGCCAGTTTTTACCGACAGCAATTGTGACGTTCAAGTCGCGGGTCAACTGATTACCCTATTGCAATTGGGTTAGTTTCTATCAAACAGCACGAGAATTATCGAGCTTACCGAGTAGAACACCATCCACCAAAAGCGTCGTAGGTAGGCGTTTCTCCCCCAGAAGTGGGGTGTCTCAGCATCGGGAATTCTACTAATGAATACTGCAATGATTGTTCCGACGATGAACAGGCCAAATCCGACACCTGCTCCAGCGGAAGGACCCACTATTTGGCCAACCAGGACTCCAAAGATCTGACCACCAAAGTAGCCAGTATTGTAGACCAGGTATGCCGGCCATCCGACTTGGCCAACAACATCCTTATGGCGATAGATAGAGGTACTGAAAACGCACTCTGACCATGCGACGAAAAACAGGGACATGAAATTGGTCCACGTGTCGACTGCGTCCAGGAGGTAGAAGCCAAATTCGGTGCAGAACATGAGCGATAGCAGGCACGAGACAATGACAGCAACGGTCGAGACTAGTGATCGTGGGATCTTTCCACCCCAATCGGTATCCTTGACAAGCGTCACAACCGACTCTAACAGTGCAAATGCTGAGCTGATGCCCAGGACCATCAGTGTGAAAAAGAAAAGCACCGACCAGAACTGCGCTCCGGGCATTTGAACAAGAGCTGCCGGAAGGGTAACAAATGCAATAGAGAATGTCGACTGCCTAGTCTCTGCGCTTGGGAAGAGCCCAATGTTGCCGATGACTCCAAAGACCGCGAAGGCAACAAGAACCTCATAGAGGCAGTTGCATACGGCAATGATGATGGCATCTTGGACGCAATTGGCGTACTTGGGTTTATAAGATGCATAGGATGTGAAGTAGCCCATGGCAACACCGATGGAGAAGAAGATGTGGCCACATGCGGACTGCCAGATGGCGCCCTGGCCCAATTTGGCACCATCCCATATGCCAATGTATAGTCGGATTCCGTCCCATGCATTGCTTAGTGACGTACCACGACCAATGAGAATGATGGCTGTCACAATAGGAAGGCCCATAGTGAAGTAAACCACCCTTCCCAGGAGACCAACACCTCGGAACATGCATATGAATACGATGAACCATGTGAAGACAACCCAGCCTGTGGTCTCACCGACCATACCGATGCCGGGATATTCAATCCAGCCTCCATCTTCTGGTACCACAGGTGCCACATTGGCAACAACGTCGCCCATGTAGAATTCTTGTAGTCTGCCTTCCCAGGGCAAAGGGCTCCTGAACGAGTTCCGGAAGTACTTCATGACCCAGCCCAGAAGAGGTACGTAGTAGAGGACGATACAGTAACCCGTGTAAACAATGGCTACCCCGGCGCCTTTCGCCCGCTTATTGATGTGATCATAAGCAATGGCACAGCCACCACGATATGCCTGACCGATGGCAATTTCTAGCCAAAGGATTGGTATTCCCAGAAAGCACAGCGCCATCAAGTAGGGAATGAACCATTGTGCACCATAGTTGTTGAACACCTGGCCAGGATACCGAAGAATGTTTCCCAGGCCGATTGCGCCTCCCATAGACGCGAGGACGAATTGGGTGCGCGATCCCCATTCAGACCGTCCATCGGCTCCTTCCTTGGACTTGGGCGCGAGGAATCTCCCAACCTTCTGCAATTTCTCCATACTTGCGGAACTCGAACCGATTGATGCTGAAGCCAGATAAATAGGATGGTGAAATTCCTTTGGCAGAAGAAGAATTCCGCAGAGGCGACAACGATCCAGAAAAAGACACTACACTATATCGTGGAGGTCACATTTGAGCCAAGAGACTCCAAGTCTCATGATAAGAGAAGGCGCCGTGGTAGGATCACACATCTCGGCGCCATCCTCCTCATGGAGCAGCGCCTGCGTCAATCACAGGGTCGACCGTGATATCCGAGAGCAACTGGGGAGACTGGGATGTCTCTTAGCACTGAGAACTAGGCAGTACTCGGTATGCCAAATCTTGGTAAGAATGGCTGGCGAGCACCTTGTAACGTTAGACATGTAGCTGTGTGGGAGGGGATAAGGCTGCCCAATGGCTTCTAGCCTCGCCGACCCAAGCCAAGAGAGACAACGTTCAAGTGATCAGCGCCGAGCCCCGATGTGGATAACCTCCTCCTTGTCTCGCTGTTCCCAACGTGACCCAAGACATTGTAATCTGCCAATTGATATGGAATGGAGACGGGTCATCTGCTCCTGGTCGACAATTGCCAATGAATGTCTCCTGTGATTTCTTGGGAAGGTTGCAATAGCCCTTGCAATCAGGTGTCTGTATCCTTGGCCGAGAATTAACTGCACTTGCCTAACTCGCCACTGAACAGCGCCAATGCTTTCTGTTGTCCGCTTTGTCCCAATGATGCTTTTGGTGTCCCAAGGCCATGTGGCGAGGGGGGTTAGAGAAGGGTATTCCCGGGCTGTGCTCTTGATTGTGCAACGCCGAGAAGACTGGGGCCGTCTCATGACGAGACATGGGCTAGGGAGGTACCGAGTAATCTGTATTTTGAGAGAAGCAAACAATAAACGATGTTTTTGGCTACAGCCCAAGCGCGGCTTCGGATTCCGTGGAATTACAAGTAAGCTACGGAGTGCAAGGGCACGACAAATGCGGGGTAGGAGGTGGCTCGCATTGAGGCTTTAAACAATTCCATGTTTGTCAGGCTGTATGCCCCTTTTTCAAGGACTGTACGAGCAGCAGCATGCAAAGTTAGGGAAAGTCAAGATGCTGTACATCGACCTCACGGCCAGATGTTGTATCTATGGAGCTTAGAGCGATAGTTGTTTGGCTGTGCCAAGAAACAAACCATTGAGGAGCCAACATGTTACGTGCTTCCTACCTTGGGGCCGAGAGTTGAGCTGGAGAGCTTGAGCAGATAGAGGGCCTGCCTTGGATCCCCAACTGACCTGTATTGAAATCCGAAAGCAACCAGGGAAGAAGATACAAAAAATCTCAGTTTGGCATGGTTTTCTCAACAAGGTGTAGATCAGCATGAAGAAGAGCAACAGCTTCTGAGGGAGGGATCTTTCGAACCGGATATCATCTCGATGAGGCAGGTGGGCGTAAACAAACGGTCTGGGCGCCTGTTCAAGTATCTCGCCTATGGTGCTTGGCTATCCATGTGTCGTTTTAGTCTATGCATACTATGGGGACTAAGGATATAGCTCCAGGCAACATTACGAGTAAGAGCATCACCCATTGAAATGAGATAGATGCATGTAATCGTCCCCTAGTTGAGTGCGGGTCGAACCACCACGCTTAGAGGCCTAGAGAAGTCTAGGACTGGTGGTTCCCTCGCAGAACGATTCGAGCATAAAGAGGCGGCAGGTCTTTCGAAGAACGCGCGTATTCCAGCTACTCAATCACAGACACCAAGTTTGTCCTTTTGCTCTCAAGCTTGTTGTGGACGCTGAGAAAGGGCGGAGCTCGATTCGTTAGGGAATGATCTGAAGGTAGGCAGTGATGGCAAATCTCAAGTCCATGTACACCAAATTAAGCAACGACCAAGGAATATTGTAGGCTCATTCCGTCGATTATTGCACATCGAGGGCTCGTTAAGGGCGGTTCTTGAGAGCATTGCGCGAAGCAAGTCAAGGGAACAGAATGTAAACCCGTGCGTGGAGACTGACATGACGGATCGATTCCAGACTCTGTGCGCAAATACTCACCTGAGCTCACAATCGCCTCTGACGAGAGAGAAGGTCCGGAGGCGCAACATTGCAGCAACAATATTCATTTCCCCCACAATTCAAGGGCGGCCATGGTGGTCAGGAACCTGCGACTGCGGTTAGTAGGGGCCCAGTACTGCTCTGCATTTTGTCCTTTCGGCATTTGGAAGCAAGGGTAAGATTATAGTGTTAAGGACGTAATCCGTTCCCCATCCTCAATTCCACTCATCTATGCCGTAGGGATTTGATGAGGAATCCATGTTTACAAGCAGACCATGACTTCGCGACCAGCAGTTAGATGCATAAGTGCACGCTGAAAAGTGAGGCTGGAGTCCTATCATTGTCAAGGGCAAGTCTGCACCTGTGGAGTTTTCGAAATATTCATCGTGCATCTCAAGCTGAAATTCGGGGTTTCAGGACTTAGTCAAATCACCGATTTTAGCATGCCAGCTCCCCAGCTGTTAGCCAAAATCGAACAATCTTGTCTCTGGTGAGCACAACGCCTGTCAAGAGGCATGATAGCCGATGGCTACAGGCGCAGAGGAGATAGGATGTATTTGGAAATACACAGCACCCAAGGCAAAGTCAATGCAGCGGCTTTGGGGGAGAGAGACGGCACGGAAGCGTTCACATGGCCAAGCTAGAGTGGTTGGCCCATTGAATATACCGGACTGTCGCCTTCATTACACCAAAAACTCCATCGCAAGGGATGCAAGGGAAACGACCAGGGCAGGAGCGGATCCGCTTTCTTCCAGGGCGGAGAGAGATAGCTCAGGCTAGCAAGGCCCTATTGCATGACAGCAGCAGCGATGATGATGTGGCAAATGATAGTCGAACCAAGGATTGTAGCCGATGAACGTTCAACAATGCCAAACCAACGTCAACTCCGCGAACTGAAACTGCATTCTGGGGAAATTTGCGGGGTGGACCGCGTGAGGGCAGTTGAATTGCTAGCGTGGTCCAGCACTCCGCTACTCCTCGAGGCCCAAAGGGACAAGCTGGCCATTAGTAGCCACAGCGGTGGATGCTGGATTGTGATGCTTTCTCCGTGGCCACCAGGAAATGGGAATTGGCATTTCATTGCTCTTCAGCCAACATGGAGTTTGTCATGCTGTCCATTGCTAGCATGCAAAGTGTATTTCGCAACTTTGTTCTCGCATAGTCCTATTCTGGATGTATTTCTGCTCATCACGCCGAACGTTGTCCTTGATCGCCAAAAGCAGACACGAAGGAGGGGTTGTATCAGAGGCCCTTTGCCTGACGTCAAGACATGCAGACCCCACACAGTCCCAACTTTGTCTCGACACTGGAGTGATGTGATCTGCTACCTGCCCGGAGATGTTATCCCTTAGCCAGGCTCCCTTGGCTTGCCAACCAAGGGAGTTTCAATTGGGTAGATCATTTCTGCATCGAGATGGATCCACGGTGATCTGAATGTGTGGCGCAGTGTGACACTTACAGCACTGTCCTCGCAGGACTGTTTGACCTGAGATCCGTTCAAGTGCCGGTGGCGGTGGAAGAAACCCAATCGAAGGAGACAGAAGAACCTGTCTTTGCCAAGCCTCGCCCATCCCGGGTTTTGGCCGGACGAATATTTCCCGGCTTCGAATTTGATATTGCATGGGTGGCTGGCTGCCAGTGGTACGATACGTCGACTCTGCGTCTGACTGAATTTACACTTGCGTGGTCCTCCCAATTGACAGTTATCTGTCTCTGTGGTCACCAAGCTATATTGTTGTCTGACCGATTGAGTCATGGCGTGTATTGACCGAAGGAAATAACGACTTCATCGAATCAGTAGGCTTGTAAGGGCCTTCCTTCAGCCATGAAACAGACCTCACTGTCGCTTAAGAATCTTCATTCATGGTCACACTTCAATGATATTCGACTTTCGGGGGCTTCAGTCGAACCCCACATAGTTGCGCCTGATGGCAGTCACAAAGGCGGCGGGCTTCTCGCAACAGCTGACCATGGAGCCGGGGAAACACTTCTCTCAGTTCCGTTGGAGCTACTTCTGTCGAAGGAACGTGTCGAGCAGTGTGCAAAGGAAGATAAAGACTTTAGGGAATTGATGGAGGCTATGCCCTCTCTATTTCAGGTTGGTGAAATGAATCGATCACTGCTCGGCTAGCTCAGCGGGGTCCTTTTTGTGTCTGGTGAAGCTGACGTGTCAAATCATGATATCAGACTCCACGAGCGACGGTACTGCTATTTCTGGTATGGCAAATGACAATCAACAATCCAGATTCTTACCAGCATGGTCTTGGGGTTCACAATCCATTCGCCGACTATCTCAAGTTCCTTCCCAAAGAGATCCTCCTCCCGACATTCTATACACCGGCGGAGCGGGAGCTGCTTTTGGGTACATCCCTGTCCGATGCTTTGAAACAGAAGGCCGCTAGTCTGGAACGAGAATTCGACAATCTCAGAGAAGCGACGCAGGTCATCCCCTGGTGCCAACGTGTCTGGTGGGACGATCAACCCACTCGCCTGGACATTGAGGACTGGAAACTTGCAGATGCGATTTACCGGTCGCGTGCTTTGGAATTACCTCGAGGGGCGGGCGTGGGTATGGTCCCCGTATTAGACATGGCAAACCATGCTTCCGAGGATCACTTTAACGCACATTTCGAGGTCGACGAGACGCAGGGCCAGGTGTTGCTCGTCGCCAGGGACAATAAATCAATCCGCCAAGGGGAAGAGATCACAATCATGTATGGGGTCGGTGGTGCATGCGAGATGATTTTCTCCTATGGATTTCTGGACGAGCACGCGACCAGCGCGAGGGAGATGTTCCTCGATCTGCCCATATCATTCGATGACCCGTTGAGGCTAGCAAAGATTCGGTTCGCCCAGGAAGCCCCTGGGGTGCGTCTATACGTGGATCAGCAAAACGAGATACAGTGGGAGAGTACATTTGTGTGGTGGGCCTGTGTGAATCAAGAAGACGGCCTAGACTTTCGAGTGGAGCAAGCGGTGACCGGAGACACGGAACTCAAGGCGGTATGGAACGACCAGGACCTGCAAGCGGATGGCCTGCAACCGACACTACGCAAGCATCGTCTGTACGATGTCTTTTTGCTTCGAGCGACCGTCACCATCCAAAATAGAGTTGAATCGCAGGGAATAACCTTGGCCGTGAGCCAGGATTCTTTTGAAGCGCATCTTCCTGACCAGGTCCAAATCAGGACATCGGTATATGAAACGATCGGGAGACTTCGGAGCCTGGAGACAGATCTATTGACCAGAGCGTATGAAACACTGGAAGAGCAGGTAACGTGATCTCAATCATTTACCGGAAAGACCCAGCACGGCTAACGTCAAGCAGAAACAAAGTCTCCTGGAATCTAATGTGGTCCGCAAATACCTTGATGCTAATAATACCTAACGCCACAGCCCTTAGATACCCATACAAGAAGCAGATTTCTCGTGATTGCAGTTACAGCTGCGGAATTGACCCCGAAGCGTGGGAATGGCTGAACGGTCCAGGGAGGTGGTGGTCTGGTCCAACTACAGGGCGAGTCCTAATTAAGCTGCATCGATCCAAACTGCATTTAGTATGCCGGAGAGGCACGGTTACAAACGCCACAAGAGAGGTGGTGTGAACTGGGTCTCAACAGCGATCAAAGTGAGCTGATGATACTCGTATTGACAAGCCCGGCTGGTTCTAGACGCTCAAGTGGGATTTCCCCCGTCAATACCTACCCTCTTCAACATACCCCGTACGCTGTTCAATACACGGGCCAGCCGGCCGGCAGCCTCTGCAGATGCTAACAAGCTAGAAGCCTTCCATTCATTTGTTGGCCGCTTTGAGGTTAGTTTTCCCGCGACGTTCCGCTCGTCCATGAGAGAGGCACATGTGCGCACGCAACGCATCGGTGACAGAGTTTCTTGTGTGTCGACGTGGTCTAGTCAGTCGCAAGCTCAATGTGTCCCCTGATTCCTTCTGCTGGCAACCCAGGTTGGTTGCAGGGCAGTATATGTAGCCTTAGAACTTGCGTGCCATGCATGAATTGGCGGTTCCGCTGAGTCCATACCAGATCTTTCCCACAAGAGGTTCCACGGTTAAGCGAATCCTTGTGGTATCTTGACAAGGGGAGTGGGCTGAAAACAGATCTCAGTCCTCCTGAACAAGATGGGTGCGTTAGGATGCAATTCAAGATGATCATCATCCGAAGGGTTTGAGCGTTGAGACAGACGCCTTGCTTGGTGGGACGCGGAGCCCAGCTGAGCGGAACAATCTCGGATTGATGGAAGTTCAGGATATCAGCGATGGGATTGGCCTTGCCTGTCGTGGGTCGTGGGTCGTGGGTCAGAGGTGTACAGTAGTCACAGACTCACAGCTCTGGCGTCTCGCGAGTCTCCATGACCCTTACAAGGTCTACACTGAGTAGAGTGCTCGGCTGCAGGCAATGCGTCAAAGCTGGACCATGTCATTCGCTGCCACTATCTGCCGATCCTTGGGGCACGAATAGTAGAATCAAAGCCAAAAGCCATCAAGATTTCTATCCATTGCGGGGGAATGGAAGCCATCTAGAAGAAGAAAGCAGAGATGCGAAACAGGACCTGGCGGTGATCGGACCACCCATCCAGGGGGCTTCAGTGGCCGCCGCTTCGAAGGATTAACTAAGTCCTCAGCAAGTGGAGTTTCTCCTTTGGCCCTCGTAGGCTGCATCTTCCCTGTAACCAACAGCCTGGAGGTGTCCCTACGCATCGTGCTGGGGTGGTCGGCGGCCCGCACGAGCTTTGCAGCGTCACAGGCCACGTTGAGCCTGAAGCTGCCCCTCCAAGTCCAGCGGGCCCATCCAACCATGAGTTAGTGTGTGAGCCCTAAGTTGTTGGCACGCACTTTCGCGCAGCCTGCACATCCTTCAACAAAAACTCTGATGCCTGGGGTGAGGCGTTGACCCGCGCACCCAAGTCCTTCGCTGACCCTCAATACGTGAGCCCCCGCCATTGATAGCCCGGTTCTCTCAGAAGGGTTTCCCCCCCTCTCAGCACCCCAGCTTCACCCGCGAACCACCCACAATTCCCCCCCGGAGCCAGGTTCCTAGGCGAAGCTAGAGGGCCGATTGAGGGCACGACATCCAACGGGTCGGGTCCCTAACAATCTCGTCCTGGTTACTGTATCTTTTTCCCACCCCTCCAGACACTTCCTCATCTTCCACATCTTCTCCCTCCTGCTCCGCCATTCTCGCTTTGTCGCCTTTACATCCCGCCGTCCACACATCCCTCATCCTTCCGTGCTTGAAATACGGAGTACGGAGTACTCGCTACCCGTATTGTCCTTGACGCTGTCGCACTAGTCGACGCAGTTACTTCGTGGCGCACATCACCTCACCCAATAGTCATTTTGCCGACCCTGACCTTCAACACGAAAATCTTAAGACAATCCCTCCACCGTCTCGCGCGGCATGTTGTCATAATCCTCATCTCACCCCTTTGCGTCTTGCATCAAACCCTGCCTTCTTCAGACAACCCCAGGCTTTTATAGAATTTCCAAGAAGCTGACGTCGCCTACATCTCGACTATTCATTTTACCCCACCGGAAAATCATCTTGCATCTCTTGTCAATTCTTTCGTCCATGCCTCTGCTATAATCTGAATCAATCTACCGCTTTTGGACGAATTTAGCCACCATGCCTGGCATTCTACCGATGAAGATGATTCGGGTGGGCAGTGCCACCCAGAGTCGCATCGCGCAGGCCTGCGATAGGTGCAGAAGCAAGAAGATCCGATGTGACGGCGTACGGCCAACCTGCACACAATGCTCCAACGTGGGCTTCGAGTGCAAAACCAGCGACAAGTTGAGCCGAAGAGCCTTTCCACGCGGTTATACCGAGTCCCTAGAAGACCGAGTCCGAGGTCTTGAAGCTGAAGTAAGAGAGCTGAAGGACTTGTTAGACGAAAAGGACGAGAAGATCGACATGCTTTCTCGAATTCACAGTTTCTCTCCCCCGTCCAGGAAGTGTTCGACTTCACTGTCCCCGGCACATGCTGCTCAGGTCAAGGCTGAGGTCGAGTCTTCTCACGATGAAGTTCTTCATGTCGAAATCCCCGTTCCAGTGTCACCAAAGGCCACCTCTACTGGATCTTCCACCACATCAGCCTTTATCGAAGCCTTTGACCAAAACGTCCATGATGCCGGTCGACAAGTGACCGGCGTTTCATCCTCAGGAATACATAAGGCTATTCAGCCTTCTAAACCTACCATCAATGCAAAGATGCCCCCCAGAATCTTATCAGATCAATATATCAGTGAGTTTCTCCTGTACCCGCCTTGTGGCCAAAACACTTTGCTAACCGGACTAGATCTTTTCTTCCAAGAATGGCAGCCTTTGCTACCAGTGCTCCATCGCCCGACTTTCCTTAGAGTATACGAACAATATATTGCCAACCCGGATTCCGGAAATTGGCAAAACAACAAGCAGGCATTGGCTCAATTGTTCCTCATCTTCGACATTTCAGCCCTTTCGTCTATGACTACCCCCAAGAAGAGCACTCCATCCTATGAAAGCCAATGGCGAAAAGCGTTGTATTCAACTTCATCCAACGCATCTCTGTCAACCCTTCAATGCCATGTGCTGGCTCAAGTATGCTATCTGTTGCGAGCCGATTATACTCATCTTGCGCGCCATCGGGGTATCGCTGTTACCATGTGCCACGAATTGGGTCTCCACCAAGACCAGAAGTACCACAATCTGTCGGTCCTCGAAGCTGAGACGAAGAAGAAAGTCTTCTGGTCGCAATACGCTCTTGATAAGTATGCACACCTTACAAGTCTGTCAAGCGTGATCGTCGCTAACACACACTAGATTCACTTCTGCCGCCACTGGCACTCCGATGCTACTTCGTGACGTTGACATTACAACAGAGTTCCCCGCTGATGTCGATGATGAAAACCTCAGCTCGCAAGGCATTTCACCTACTCTTCCTGGCGAGTTGACCAAGATCTCTAGCGCTCTTGCCCTTTTCCGTGTTTCCAAAATCATGTCCCAGGTCCTCGAGTCGCTCTATCCCGCGAAGTCCAGTTATCAACTATCTCTCACCAAGCTGCACTCCTTGTCTGATGAGCTTGACCAGTGGTCTGAAGAACTCCCTAAGCACCTTCGCCTGCGATTCTGTAACGATAAGCCAGCAACACATATGATTAGCTGCAGATCACCGTTATTGGTAGGTTGCGCATTGATACATTTCTTGCAATCCCACTAACCTCTGCAGTCCATCGCATATTTCTATACCCGAAGCTTGATTCATCGACCCTTGCTCTGTCATGGATCCGGTAGCGCTGCCTCCGCCGCCGGTATCGTCCTGGCGGCTGCTGGAAAGCATATTCTGCAAATCCTCGATCTCCTCGTCGAAAGGCGTATGAATTACACATTCCCAATGAACAAGACCGATCTTTTACTCAATTCCGGATTCTCCATCATGTGGCAATCACTTGATTTGGAAGATGACAGCAAGCTGGTCAAGGATAACCAAAAGTCTTTGGCGCTGCTGTTGATTTTGTTGAACACTGAAAATCAGGCTGCGGCTATCGAGTGGCGAAAGATGGCGCAGTGCTTCATTACCCTCGAGGGACATCCGATGCCCTCACCTGCAGTTTCTCCAGCGACCATCTCATCGTCACGCGCAAGCCCCACGATGGCAGCACCCAATGATACCAAGTCCAAATCAACCCGAAAGCAACTTCAAGCAATTGCGTCGAAATGGTCTTCATTCAGCAATAAGGCTAAGCCTGAGGATGTGCCCAGACGAGCAACTGTACCACAGACCAACTCCGCGACCCGAAGCCCAGCACACCGCGCGAGTAGCACAGTGAGCCTGTCATCAACGCGATCAGCTCCAATCCTACCGATGAACACTGCTGATACCAACCAATTGACAACCACACATTCTGTTGATACTTCAGGTATCAACCTCGATTACTTGCCTCTTGGCGATGAATTTGGCGACTCACAAACAAGGACGTCTTCAAGCACGATGCTTCCCCCTCGAAAGCAACAGACACCAACGCTTGTGGATGCTAGCTGGGATCAACTTCTCAACAATTTTGATGGAACTCAGCAGGGTACTATCTATCCTGACATGACCGTTGGCGGACAGGCACTCTATCAAACGACCAGCAATGAATGGGTTCCAGATGCTTGGCATCTTTCGCCTTTGGAATTGAACGCAAAAGGCAATGTGCCACAGAGTCTACTCAGCTTCTCAGAGGAATCGCTGACCAGTGGCGACGATTTTCTGTTCTCGGCACCTCCCAGTAATAACGGTTCTACGGCCCCTGGTGAAAACATTGATATCGCAGATAGATATCGAGGCATCACGATTCCTGTGGATGACGAATTCGACTTCCACGAGGTGGAAGCATGATCTGATCTGATCAGCTGTTTGGTCGCACCACTTGGGTTGCGGGGATTCTCGGAGCTACGGAATTTCGGGAGAGGCATGCGAAACAAATTGTACAGTTTACACAGGAAGATTTGATTCACACAGATTGCGCGACGAGATGGGATGATGGCACTCGAAGCTAGGAATGGCATCCGACGGACAGACGGAATGTTGATACCGGAGATTTGAAGTTTTTGTATACATGATCTATCCTTTTTTTTTCGATTTTTTGAAGATGATATCACGGATCAAGAGATACCCGAGTGCGAAACGCGAATTGCTCCGGAGGCCAAAGTCAAGACTTTTCCTTGGCCAGAGCGTGAAGAAGTGGAAGAAAGAAATAGGAAGTGCAAATTAAGACTGAACTACCATAGGTATCTAAGAATTTTCTTGACAGTATCATTTTGGAATAGTATACGCGATATTTTGTGTGTTAACCGGGTGCATACTGTACTCATCCAGTATCTCACAAGCGATATCTCGCCCCTTGTACCTATGAACCACAAGCTCTCGCAACGACTACCGCTAGTGTTTGATAGTAATAGAGAACCGGCACCAGGTTTACACTATCTCAACCTCCCGGTATATTCCGACTGTACTTCATTCGGTGTATGATGACCGAGCCACATCTTCCGTTTGTCCCTGTTGCCAGGTTGCCAGGGTCTAGCATAGTTTAGGGAGCTCCATCTCCCCGCCAAGCAAGTGCCATTTGATGTAAGCTCGGAGATCGGTGCGATCGGCTTTCTGACCACAACCGTATCGTCGCTTTTGAGAGTAGCAAAGCAAACCCGAAGCATCGAAAAGTGGATAGTCACAGCTGTCACAGTCTCCGCGGATAACGTACCCAAGCGGCAGAGCACCGACAACTGGACAGATTCTTGACAACTGATCCGACATTCGGGGGGCCCCAATGAAGGACCGTAAGTGAGCTAGCAAGCCAGCTAGATGAGTCGCAGCACGCAAGGCTGCTGGACCTGCCGAGTCCGACACAAGAAGTGCGACGAGACACGCCCTTTCTGCAGAGCGTGCACCTCCCGCAAGGTACAGTGCCACGGCTACGGCGAAAAGCCAATCTGGCTTGACGGCGGACCACTAGAGCGAGTGTATCGGAAAGACATCAAGAAGGCGGTCAAGGAGAACTTCAGATTGCTGAGAAAGTCAACATCTTCGGGTTTCAGGAGTAGGAGTCGTCCCCGTACGGGGCAGCGGCTTGATGATGATGAAGATTTGCCTTCGCTCAAGGGACCCCTCTCTTCCAATCGAGGAAGGGGAGGGCCTCACAGGTTGATTCCGACAGAGTCACAGCAGCCTCACAGCTCTGAACCAGCCGACGAGCAGCAAGGAGCGGTACCTCAACACACTCCTTCCTCGAGCGACAATCGGCGGGTACAGAATGTCGTACCCCTGGGACGAAACGTCTTCGAATACCGGGACGCTGAACTGCTGATGCACTACTTCGACTACGTCTTCCCGCTACAATTCCGATTCTATACACATGATCTCGAGAAGCGAGGACGCGGCTGGCTTCTATGGCTCCTCGTTAAGACCGGACCTCTCTACCAGGCTGCCCTGAGTCTGGCTGCCCTACATCAATACACCTTGCGCTACCACGACCAGAGTGAGAAATACGTCGAGCTCCACAACTACCATTCCAAGGCGTTGCGGGACCTGCAGCTATTCCTGCAGGAAAACCATGCGAACAATGACGCAAGTGAAGCTACCCGGCAGATGGAAGTGCTCGCTTGTGGAGTGTCGCTGATTAGTTTTGAGGTGAGATTTGCGCTTGATATCGAAACGATGTTTTTTGGTCTCTAATTAAATCGGTTAACCCATCTGCAACAGCTTTTTCGCGGTGGTGTGAGTGATTGGCAGTTGCATCTCAACGCACTTGCATCAATTGTCCAGAACCTTGAGCCGAGAATGCTACATCCTGGCCAGGACGTCGATGAGAGCTTACAGCAAAGCCCATTACCGTCTCCCCGCCCTGAAAGAGAAGCTCTCCCGTTCTTGGTCGCCGTTGTGCTGTGGTTCGATTTACTGTCCTGCGTCTCCACAGGGTCGACCCCTCGCCTCGCCTACGAAGCACTCCTCCATGATTATCACATCAAGCTTGAAGATGTCGTGGGTTGCCAGAACTGGGCGATGGTGGCAATTGGCGACCTGGCGATTTTGGACGTGTGGAAAAAGCAAGCCCTGCTTGCGGACGACTTAAGTGATCAAGAATTGCTCATACGAAGCCAGAGTGTGCGGGAGAGTCTAGAGAAAGGACTCGCTACTCTTGAATCAAAATTTAGTCTAAGCTCTACAGCAGAAACCAGCCAATGCCCTGCAAGCCCTGAGCTGAATCAGAGCGTGGTGTCCAAAGTCACCACAGCGTTTGCCTCCGCAGCTCTTGTGCAGTTATACACAATCGTGCACGGTGCGTTCCCCGGCCATCCAGATATCCAAATGGCTGTTCAAAAAACCATGAGCGCTCTGGAACAAGTCCAGGATTATCAGGATATGCGTGGTTTGATCTGGCCCATCTGCATATCTGGCTGCATGGCCGATGAGTCTCAGCAATCTGTCTTTGAGGATTTGATCCAGAGGATTGTCGGTGAGTCTATGCAAGACTTTGGGAATTCGACGACCGCTCTTCTGATTATGCAGAAGTGTTGGGCGCTGCGACTCTATAATCCAAACAAGCAATGGAATTGGCAAACCACAATGGTTGAGATGGGAATCTGCGGCCTGCTAGTTTGAGCTGATCTGATATTGTCTATGGGCCACCGCCATGCGCCTTCCATATTTCAAGCGGCAACCGCCATCACATGGTCAGAGGCCGCGATTTTATATAAGCTGCTATCCTCCCGTGGTGATCGCTGAGTTGCAAAGTCTGCTTCTGCAGAGTGTGCTTCAGATGCAACACCTACGTCGATACCATTCGCCGCAGAAACCAAGGACGATTCAACTCGTGCGACGATCTGGAGCAGTTTTTCCTCTTGGAGCCTTCTAGTCACGACTTGAATGCCCACTGGTGCTTTTGCATATCTCGCAGACCCTTGGGTCCCATACAGTCCTCGAAACCAATCATCGGTGGCACTCAGACTTGCTGGGTTTTCTCCTGAGTCATCCCGTTTGTCAGAGGCCCGGATTGTTCTGTACGGTATCACGGCCGCCGAATAATCAAGCGCGTTCCAAACGCTAGTATAGCCCCAGTATCGGCTTTCTCCATGGACAGAAGCCATGGTTGGACTTGCCGGACAAATGATAGCATCGATACCTACAGCATTCCATTGTCTGGCGTACATTGTTCGCAGGAGATCAACCTGTGCGTTCAGCTTGTCGCTGTGTCAGCAACCTTTACCGACAACGAAGAGAAGTTTATTCATTCACACCTTCCATGTCTCCTCGACAGTATATGAGCGACCCCCGTGGGTCTTCAAGATCCATTCAAGCATTGGCACGGGCGGCTCTCCGCTAGCGTCTAGAGCCTCCCAGTACTCTTTCCCACCATCGAGGAAATATGCTTCGTTGACTGCTTTTGTCAGAGCCTCATGGAGGCCGGCATCCCAATCAACGACGATGTGGCCTGAGCTCCTCAAGTTGGAGACCACTTCCTGGAGAGCATTGGCCACTGGTGGATGTGGTCGGACCAACCCATCATTCCATATCACCCCAAACTTGAGCTTCGTCGATGTTTGCACCTCCTTCTTCCATGGCATTTCGATCATTGAAGGCTCACGGTCCCAAGGACGGTTCACCAGTGCTGCCGAACAGAATAATTCGATATCTTCAAGACACCTAGCCAATGGGCCAACTGCACCGATAACATTCTGCATCCCGTCGTGGAGACCACAAAGACCACTATGGGGCAACCTGCCAACGCTCGGCTTCAGGCCATAGATTCCGCAGAACGCGCTGGGAACCCGTATGGAGCCTCCGATATCAGTCCCGATCCCTAAGACACTTCCTCCCATGGCTATCAATGCCCCCTCCCCTCCGGTACTACCACCACAAGTTAAATTCGGGTTATAAGGATTCAAAGTGCGCCCGAACAGATTCGACTCCGTCTCGATGGCCATCAATGTCTGCGGATTGGTCGTTTTCACGTGGAATACTGCCCCTTGCTCTCTGAAAGTCTGCACTATAAGAGCATCGCAAGGACTTATTTGATCGGCCCAAGCAATTATTCCAGATGTGGCTCTGGTTCCGTGGACGAAGACATGTTCTTTGACAGAGATCGGCAAGCCGTGAAGCATTCCCTTGGGTCTCCCGTTCACTCGCATGTACTCATCAAGCTGTTTCGCCTGTTCCAGCGCATCCTGAAACAGAAATTCAGCCACACAATTGGTCTACCTTCGGAATTTCATCTGATTAGCACAGCTAACTATCATCAGCGCAACATCACGCATCGAATCTTCCTTCGCTAGGGTTACCTACCGCTTGATGGGCAACCGCAGCCCTCTTACAGAAGGCCATCGTGACATCGAATGAACTGAATTTCCGCGCATGGAGTGCTGCGAGGATATCGACCGCTCGCATCTCCGTGACCTCGAGTTCCCACGCCGTCAGTATTCCAGATACTCGCGATAAGGCCAGAGCCGTCATGGTGGTTCGCGCCTTCTGTAGTAAATGCCGAGGCACGAGCCATTCGCTGGGGATCGCGCTCTCGATCTCATGCCGTCGGCGGGTGGCGACCTCACTCCAGGAGGGTTTCATGCTGCCCATTGCCACTCGTACGTGTGAGAGCGGTGCTGGCCAACTAGTGGCCGAGTGGGTAAGTATTACGCCGTTTGCAATAGTACTTGTCGTAGGAGGTATGCACAAAAATGGGTACGCAGGGACTTGTATACAGTAATATACAGGAAGTAGGTAGAAAGTCGTTGACACCTTAAATGCCCAGAAACGCTGCTGGAAATTCAAGGACCGAGACCGGAGCGGGACAAAGCCACCAAAGAGTCGTAAACAAAGTCAGCCCACGATCAGAAAGAAGAGAAACATGGGCCTATTATGTATCCATTCAAGCACACGAAAATGAGAGACATAAGCCAAGCAGATCATCTTCAGGGCAAAGGGAGCATCTCAGAATCCCCAACGATTCTACATGCCGGGGCCCACCCTCAAAAGAAGCATGTTGAACGTTGTCGACGCGCAAGTGGGCATCAGGACGCCAGGAATGGCGAGACGATACCCGTCGTTTTGACGCAGAAGCTTTAGCCGAGCGCGGGAGCCCCATTCAGCCTTGCCGCCGCCGCCGCCGCCGCCAGCCCGCCTCATCCTTAGCCCAAGTGCCGCTCTCCATTGCACAAAATCGACGGCTGATGCATCATTAGCACAAGAGCACTCGTTCTCCCGAGAGGAGAAAATATCCAAAGGGGAGAGACAACGGCTGATGGGAGCGTGCGGGGGTCGTCACGGTCGGCTTGGAGCGACGGAGGGAATGAGAATGAAGCCGGCAAGTTGGCTTATTGCTTCACCATGAGATATCTGGGGCTCGAGCAAATAAGGTACATATAGTAAGTAGCATAAAACCACGTCCATCTACACGCGCACTTTTAAACACATTGGCGCACCGACGTCTTAAAGTGTTACCAAAGGAACAATGTTCCAGGTGAAGCCCGTGGAGGTCGCCCCCCATTGGACCCCTGCAAATGTCGTCATGATTTCGACATCGTTTGACACTGTTGATCCGGGGCATACATAAGAGGGAGGGCTCGGACTCCACAACCTCGAATTGTACCTGCGTTGTTGAATCCGACGTGCGGATATATTACTTTGGTCTTTGCCTGGCCTCTGCTCTCCTCGTTTCGAACACGGGGTGCAAGCGATCTCCAAAAAGGTCACCCTCGTCGCTCGGACCCGATTTATTCCCCCACCTCATCGTAACGGAATATCAGTGTGTCATTAAGCCATTACATATCATGCCTCGCCTACCGCCGCAGGCCATAGCGAATCTCCTCCCGTGGTCGAGACAACATGCTTCCCGGGTTGGCATCCGCTCGCTCTCAACGACCACGTTTCTTCGCGCCAACGACAGCGATGCGACGTCTGGCTGGAAAGGGAGGCATGGCGATGAGCATGCTGTGAAGCGAGACGGCCTGGACGTGCAATCGGAACAGTCGCATAAGGCCATGAAGAAACATGAGTCGCTCGAGGATGGCAGCCAAGCGATCAGTCGACAGGACGAGGGCGACAACAACAAGCGGGCCAAGGAGGACCATCCCAAGGCACCAGATCCTGTGATCGGAATGAACGATGAAAGAGGCAAGGTGAGAGTTGAATACCCCCACAAGACCGCGTTGGTTGTCATGGTTCCGAATTTGCTGACAAGCCATAATAGAAAGGGCATTAGCGGGCATACGACCTGGCGTTTCTGTCCCCATGGGAGTCTTCCTCATCAGAGCTGTATTGTAAATAGTGTTTGTAAAAGGAGCAAAACTCTTGACCATCATCTTCCAACATGGAAAGAAAGGATATCGTTCTTGCCCACGCTCACGACCTGGTCCTCTGCCACTCTTCGGCCACCGTCGCCTTCAATAAAAGCGATTGGTGCGTCGCCCATGACTTTCCGAGCCACGTCGGCCACCGTGCTGTTTTTCTTCACAAGCACACAATCGCGGAAGACCGCTGACGAGCTGTTGACGCCAGAGCTGTAGGTATGGATGTTCTTGACAGGGAAAACGGGTACAAGTCCAAGTAATGCGGCTGCTCGGGTCAATACTTGGACAACACCAGTACTTCCAAATCGGTACAGGACCATATCTTTGAGATTCTCGATTCTTTGACTTAGTTTGTCGTCCATTTCTTTGAGCCCTCCACCATCAGGATCTCCCTGCTCGATCAGATCTTCTCTCGTATCCAGATACTCTGCGCCTTCTTTGTATTTGATGTAACCTTGCTTTGCTAGTCGTCGCAAGAAGACTTCTGAGATGGCTGAGCAGAGGACGATGCTGTCAGGTGGCTGTTGTTTGGCAATTTTGGCAATATTCCGATCGGCATCAGGGTGATCAATTTTGTTGAGAGCGAGGATGGTGGGGAATTTCTCGTCCGTGAATGCGTTGACGACCTTTAGAATGGTCTCATCGCTCCATTCCTCAAGAGGTTGTTTGAGCTGAAGGCGATCGAGACATCGCGCAACAATACTGGTTGTACTTCCGTAGCCTGAGAATTGTCCTTGTAAGGTATCCACAGCCGTGGCTTTGACGGCTATATGCCTTCTCTTGATACTTCCCCATTTTTCCATCAGGTTTCCTTGGATCCATCGCACGATTTCTCCTCGTAACCATTCGACATCCACACTGGGATCGTAGCCTCGGGTGGCTTTGCCCTCTGCATCTGTTGTTCCGCTTACATCGACCACATGTATCAGAGCATCTGCATGCCGCAAATCATCCAGGAATTTGTTCCCTAGTCCCTTGCCTTCATGTGCGCCAGGTACGAGACCGGCGACATCGAGTAATTCAATGGGGACTGATCTCTTGCCATTCAAGCATGACCCGTAGTTCGGTTTGCACTTTTCAGCCAGGCCATGTCGCACGCATGCGCAATCGATCTGGAGGTATCCTACCGCACGTTGAGGATCTATCGTCGTGAAACTGGCGAATTGTTTAGTCTGGGCCCTTTGTACGAAAAGGATATCGGAATCTTACGGGAAATTGCCTGCGCAAAAAGATATCAGCCTGACCCTCCTCTTCCGTCTATGGGGAATTTATCGAAGACTGACCAACTTTCGAAGAGGCATCCGTCAAGCTGTGAAGGAGCGTGAGCAGGGGCTTGGAGGGTCTGGTCGTAGTGGATAGAGGCCGCACCTATTTAATGTGGTGGATTTACCTGATGAAGGCTTGCCAACCAGGCCGATCAACGGGTCACGGGGCATTGCGGGCACAAGAAAAGATACCAAGTTTCCCTCGCACCATGGGTGTACAACCGCCTAGAATGACGAGAGTCAACGAGAAAGGATGAAAGAGATGTTCGCAGGCCTTGCGAAGAATATAGGCAATGCGCCTGCACGGTCGATTCCCAAGCCCTACTCGCACACTCTTTTTTTTCAAATGACATGTCATATCAAAGGAGGGCTTCGCTGATCGCTCTCCGGATTCCTCCATGTGCAATGGTTATGCTCCTTCGGTTGAGCCATGCAGTCCAGGAGCCATACCATCTTTTATGGCTTTCAGCTACATCACTAGATCGAATTGACGCTCTGTATATTGAATTCAAGGCCCCCCAGTGGCTGAAAGATAGATCGCAAGACATGTTGGCCTCTGGACTACAACACTAAAATCTAAGGAGGCCGTGGTAGGAAGCAGGATGGTTTTCTATCATATTTATTATCGGGTGGCTTTTCTCACCGCGGCTTTCACTCATTTATATTGGAACAATCTCCTTGAAGCTGGTTGGAAAATGGTTGTTTCCTGTCTCTCGGCATCAGCTCAGCCGATTGTCTGGAGGCTCGTCCGCCTGCACACAGCGGTCATGATGTGCTTTGTGGTTGGTGTGCTCTTCAACACTGCTTCTGCAACGCCAGATCAAACCTTTTTCGAAGACGGGGGATCTTTGTTGCACGTAAGAGGATACCTCGCTAGCAATATGCGTCAAGCTTACGACCATGCAGTTCGATGACATTGACACCTCGACTGGCTGGGGCATCCTCACAGAACCCTATCATGGCTTGATCTTTGAAGGCTTCTACCCCTTCAAACCAAGCCATCCAAGATTTGAAGGCTTGATATCTGAACACGATCTCAATTGTGCCGTGTCAAAGCCAAATGCACTCCATGGCTCACGGTACAACATTGACTCGAGCATCAGGCCTATGCATGGACACGAGGAACCCACACGGCTTCCTTCGATCACCTCGAATGACGGGGACACCTCATTGAATCTTTATTCTTTCAGCGTAAAGCCGCTAAACTTCCCCATCAATTCCGTTACATTCAACCTGCGCGGCACCGTGGCTGTTGGGCCAGCTTCTCCATCTGATGGAGCAATAAAGTCTGACTTGATCTGGAGGGTTGATTTTCCAGCTGGTTACCATGAAGTCCTAAATGTCTCTCTACGAGACTACAGTCATCGTCGATGGAACAACCTGTCTCGAATAGAGCTCTGGGCCGATTTCAATAACGCCGACATCACTATGGACTGGGAATTTTGTATAGATGATCTGGAACTCGATTTCAATAGACCTTGAACACAGGAGACAGAGCGTCTTGTAATCCTCCCTTGGAGCCTTATTCACAACAGGGTCCCCAGAGCCATTTCACAGCACGCAGGGTGATTCTAGAGGGTTCCAAGTACACGAATCACGTTCTCAGGTACGAGGATGATATGATTGGCTCGGAAGCTTCACACCGTGGTTGTCTGTTTTCCGCAACCCCAGGCCATAGCATGGATGGCTCGCATCCCTATTCGACAAACGGCGATGGAAATCTTTCGGCATGGTTTTCCAAGACGTCAACCCAACAACGTTATGACGTAGAAAAAGGTCTTGACCTTCTCCACCATAATGGACGGGATTTGCTCTGAAGGGCCACTGTTGAACTCTTTCCCCAGTATTCCCCTGGTCTAGTGAGGGAGCTGAAGGTCAACAAGTCGCTATGATTGCCAATGAGAATCTCAAACCATGCTCGCAGCCATGGCCAGGTGGGCTTCAACCAAGAGTGACGTCTTTCCTTTGCCAGCGTGAAATGGTCAAATGTCCAGGATGAGAATCTTTCTTAAAGAGTAAAGAATTTTTGAAGTACCACCTCCTCTAGCCATCTGCAAATACCAAAAGCCCCGACTCTCTAGGTCTACCCAAGCACACTTCAAAGCGCGACCAATCACTCAAACCAGCCCAATATGTCTGAACAAACCTATCACGTCACCAGCGAGGACGTTCGCAAGCTCGAGGCTCAAGAGTCGAAATACCACGACGGCAAAACACCCCAAGACTCCGATGTCTCTGCACTAAAGGTACGTTTTCCCGTCATGAGCTGTCCTCCGTCCCCGCCTCCTGCTCTTTTCTAATCAACTCACATTTGTCTACACACACAGCAACTCCTATCCGAGCAAGAATCGAAGCAAGACCAAATCGACCGCGTGAAAGCGAAGCTGCCACTCCCAGATCAGCCCGTGGGCGGCGCCTCTGCTGATCTCCAGTCTGCCGACCAACGGACCGTGAATGTTGGGAGTGGCGGCGTCAATGTCAAGCTCGGGACGCAGAGCAGCAACGGTCTGAGGGAGCCGGCAACTGCTGAGAGCTCTGCAAGGGTTGATGGTGAGGAGTTTAAGAAGCAGACTGCGCCATGATTGGAATGAATGGGAATCAAAGGAATCACAGCTGGTGTAATCTTAGCTTAATTGGAAATGTAGATCATCGATCCCATGAGAGATCGAGCACTGTGGGAAGTGAAGCATTCTACACAGGAGTTTTTTGAATCCATGTCTTTGCAACAGACCCAGGCTTCTTAGAAAGACCCCTGCGTCTCCATTTGAGTTTATTTGACCGTCAATTCATTGTGATGTCGACATGCTCCAGGTTCGGCCGCACCAGCGTTTCCATAGCAGCTCGCCCGGAAACCGAACAATATCTGGCTACATACCAAATTCTATGCGTTCTGATTCGAGACCTACGGCGAGGCAAGAGGCAATTCATCGCGCCACACCTTACCACTCTCTTTGGCTACGATCAGGTGTAGGAGCGTTGCTCGAGGCATCCCGCTCGATATCCTGCACGACCCCGTCTGGTCCAACAACGGACACGGCCACGGAGTCTCGTAGCAAGGTCTTGTGCACAATATGTATCACGCCTAGTCCCTTGATCGTCTATCTCATCCCACCGCGTCTCAAGATTTCGGGATCAATCCTCTCAGACTTAGGTCGTACACCACATCTTCCACCTTTTTTACCGAGTACTTGACCCCATCAGATCGTCGGCGAAGTATGTCGTTCTTCAGGTTGAGCAGCTGGAAGCCTGCGTGGACATCCTTGATGAATTTCGAGATCTGAAGCGGTCGCATGTAGTCCCCCAGAGTGACTGCGTTCGGGGCAAGGCGGGCAAGTTCTTCGATCGTGTTCGTCAGCGCAATGAGGTAATCTTCAATGGTAATGTGGAAGGTGTCTTCGCTCTTTAGATTGACGGGGACTGCGGGAGAAACGGCATGTCAGTCCAAAAGCTCTCGTAGTGGTAGCCTGCGTTCTGCTCACCGTTCAAGCGCTGGCCAACCTCTTCCAGAGTGACCAGATTTCCGCTCTTCAGCCAGCCAGACAGTTGTATACTGCTGATTACCGCTTGAATATCTCTTTGCCAGATCGAATTCCACTTGTAGAAAGGGTACTTGGAGGCGGACTGGCCAAGGTTCTTGACGGTGGCAGCCTGTTCGGACAGTGCATCCGCAGCAGGTTTCAGAATTCGATCGTCAAGGTCGGAGGAGGAGGTGTTGTGGATCCGCGACAGAATTGACTGAGTAAGACGACTTTGCTTTTGTAAATTCTCGACGTGGGCTTTTAGTTCATCTCGAATCGCGCTTTCTTCGTCGATTTTCGTCTGCAACGACGTAAAAATCGCGGGGTCTACATGTGGTGAGGATGGCCCTGCCGGAGGGTTGGTCATGGCTGTATCGTCTGACATGTCCCCGTTCACTGGCAAGGAAATGAAGAGTCTTTGGACTTGGTTCGTGGATATAGGTCGCTAGGTACCCAGAAATTTGAGAAAAATCGATGAGATACTGCAATGTGAACTCAGATCTGACGTCGCTGGGCACGGATTTATGCAGTATACATGAGGGTATTCTAGATTTGATGGAATTCTACGACAAGGAACTGGGCTGTTACTCCGTGCCTGCAACGAGGACGATTGTTGTTAACCGTGATATTCTCGCCGCCCGCCGAGCAATGACCTGCAAAGATTTCCCATGCCCCTTGTGTCAGGTGTCAGGTGTCAGTTCACGTCACTTGCAATCTCGGTCGACTACCATTCACTCTTCTCCAAAGCTTTGCTCAGAGGCAAAGGAACAATGATGAAAAGGGGTTTTTTGTTCGCATCACAAGGTGGTAGTGTAAGACCAAGGACACGGTGCCAGAAATCCATTGCGCAAGCACAGAGGGATTTGACCAGCCAGATCCAAAAATGAGAATAATCAATGTATTCATCCCGTAGGATGATTTCAGAGATTAAACTGAAAAGAACAGATACTACACTTGATCTAAGCCAAAAGGCAAAGAGAGCTAAGGGAAAAAAAGAAAGGAAAGAGGAGAGAAAGCAAGCGCCGGGCAAAGGAGGAATATATAGATAGAAAATATCCTGTTGCCAAGGATCATTGACCGCCGGATTCACAACAAGCACTTGTATTTTGATCTGAAGAACCACTGCCTGCTCCATTAGCGTGATTCATTGGCTGTAGTGGAGGGGCAGGGGACAAGGATCAAAGAACTTCACCCCGGCGGTGAAGACTTCGAGGGCTCTCATTAGCGGAAGTGAATAAGATTGATCAAGGAAAGGTGGCCCGAAATCGATTTTACCGGCATGATTATGGATTTGAATGGGGTCAAAGCTGAAAAAGTGGAGGAAAAGGATTTGAAGAGTACGGTAGGAGTACGGGGGACCAAGGAGAGTGGCAGACAGGGGCAGGGGGCAGCTGGCCGCTGGCCGCTGGCCGCTGGCCGGCCGTCTTCAGCCTTGCCAAACTTGATAAGGCTGTGCCAGCGTCTGGGAAAGGTTTTCGGCCTGGGCATCCAGTTACAGGTTTCCCTTTGGAGAAAGGACATGGCACAACCATAGGACCGGAGCAAGCCTGTCCTCGCTGCCAGCACAATAGTTTATTTTCAGAGTTGGCAGTCAGTCAGCCAGCTACAGGCTGTTCCGCACGACCAATCAGAAGTCTGCAAAGTTGCAAAGCTTCCGATCTCGGCGCCTGCAAACTATGTACAGCCTTGTCAGAGTCATGAGACACAGGTGACAGACCAGGATTAAGGTACAAACCAAACTACCTCGACCTCGACCTTCACATTTCTGATGTCTAGGCATTCACATCGTGTTGATCTCGCCGTCCTCCTGAGGTGAACGTTGATACCGCCTAGATCATTTTATTGTTCTAGAATCATGGTACTTCACTAAATCAGCGCTACAATCTAACATTCACATCGTCTTGACCTTACTGCCCTCCTGAGGTGAATTAATATGCCGTATGCCGCTCTGGTTATTGTGTCGTTCGGGAATGATAATGGTGTGTCGCCACGATCTTGACGGCCTCCCAATCACATCGTCTTGAGCTCCCTGTCGTCCCAGTGAAGATTACACACAGCGTTCTAATTGTTGTGATCACTGATAGATCATGGTGCCGTTCTGGGGATCAGATCATCCTGTGTCACATGATACACTAAAAGTGAGCTAAGTTGAGCGCGTTGCGTCGTGTTTCTGTGGAGAGTCGAGCATGTTTCAAAGGTATGTTAGACTTTGTTGTTGTTTCTTTAAGTTATACGTGGGTTTGCCCAATGGAGAGCTTGAAGCACTCTCTTTCCGTCCTCTAGAAATGGATGAACAGGTAATGAGCCCGGCACCACAAATTCCTCCTCCGGCCCGACAGGCTATGAGCCCAGCACAGCAAATCCTTCCGCCCTCTTTGCAGGTTACGAGCCTGCCATCGCCATCACCAATTCTCCCGTCTGCTGTTGAGGTTATAAGCCCGCTACAAGACTCTCTTCCGGCCGCTGCTGTTGCTGCCGAGCAGCCTTTGCTGTCAATTGGCACGAATCCCACTCATATTGTCTTGATGATGATGACTAACAATAGCTGACAGACCAGGACCCGCCCGGGGCTTTGCCTCTTCTTCCTCCCTCCTTCCCTGCTCTTGCTCCATCGTATTGTTCTGAGGAGAAGGAGAAGATGGAGAAGATCAAGAGGAAGGACGACAAGGAGAATCGGCCCAGAATGGGCGAAGTCTACACATATGCAACCTTTACTCTCCAGAGCTAGTGGTGCAACCGATCCTGAAAACTAGATTAGAATGCGTACTTCGATTTGTCAATGCATAAACACCCCCAAAAATTGAAACATTGCTATCAACGACCATACTCCTCACGGTGGCAAATTCTCTCTGTCTCAAGGGGACAGGCGTAAGGCCATTCAGTCTCAGCATGGTTATCTCTACGTGACTGTGCCATATGTTAAGCCTCAGAGTAAAGGATGGGCTGCACCTACCTACCTGCAGATTGGAATTACTCGTACACTTGTCGCATGAGTGTGACGGGACAAGAAAGGGACAGGCCTGCTCGTAACTCCCATTCAAAATCCCAAACTATGAAAAATGGGTCGCATTGAGTGTAGTTTGCAATTCGTGCTCACAGCTCTAGTTGGTGATCTTTCTACTCCTAGACCGTTGGCTTCGTGATCATGGTTTGTGAGAATATATATCCAGTGCAGCTGAGCTCATATAGTTATTCTCTTGATGCTGATGTTCGTTTATTTGTTTTCTTCTTCTCTTTTGTTCCCCGTGCTTTTTTTTCTTTCTGATGTTTACGCGTTCACATGTTGGAGAATACATTTGGGTCGAAGGCCGACGGAGTGACTGATATTGGCACTCGTGAGTTCATAGCCCCCAAATTAAACCCATGAGTCTTGGTGCTGGCGATTTCCATGACCCCATCGTCCACTTCTAGAGCACGGATAGATAGGGTATTATGCCCTTCTTCGAGGCCGCAAATAATTCAAACAAGAAACGAACTCTGACATAATTTTGAAACATGCATGGCGGCATGATCGCCAGGCAGCCGCCGAGATCAAGGAGATGGCGTGGTGATCACTGGAACGGCGAGAAAATCAAGACGCTATGATCATTAAGAAATGCAAATGTCAAGATCATGGTGGGTTGGCCAATGACCACCTGACGCCTTCTCAACTCATTCTGATGTCGCTTGTTCTCGGTATAGTCGTCCACCATAGCGCTTCTCTTAAGGGATCGCTCCAAAAGAGGACTACTGAGCATCATTTAGACTTGAAAATCAAATTGAGGTCCGGTCGATCGCTGAAGATAGATGCATAGAAACATATCCCATTCCACAATCATATCATTGACATCACTCAACCGATATTTCAAGCATACTTTTCTCCCACACAGAAAAGGGCGAAGATGCAGTTGCAGGTCAAAAGGGGCGCCGCAAGGCTGGACCTCAAGAAGCGCCAAGGCCGGTAAAAGCGGTTTAGCCTCGCCGAGCCCTAAATTTCCGCACCCACAGCCTCCAAAATTCCCCAAAGTGAAGATTGAACATTTCGAGACCGCATCATTTCTTCGGCACTCTCAACCACACCCCTCTCAAAAGGCGCAGGATATAAATTTCTTTGCGACCGACCACACACATCTACCTCAGGTACTCTCTTCATTCTCCATTATAATGGCACCCACACAGACTCAGGTAAGTCCGCCAGACCGAACCGCTTTGCTGCTTCTACGCCCCTCCCTGAAGGTTGCGTTGGACAACAACGCAACCGGGGGATATGACGAAGAGAACAGTAGGCTAAGGTTTCCATTTTTTTCCGGGAATTTGTAGGCTCGCAGCCAGAAGGGCAAAGGATCCAAGGCCAAAGTGACCAAGAAGGTGAGTTTTCTCTGTCTCTGGCATTTTCGCGACGGACGATCGCAACGCTCAATGCTGACTCCTATCGACAGTACGTGATCAACGCCAGCCAGCCGGTGAGCGACAAGATCTTCGACCTGGCCGCGTTCGAGAAGTTCCTGCACGACCGCATCAAGGTCGAAGGCCGCACCAACAACCTCGGCGACAATGTCTCCATCTCGCAGGTCGGAGAGGGCAAGATCGAGGTCGTCGCACACATTCCTTTCTCGGGCCGCTACTTGAAATACTTGTACGTTTGCAGGGTTCCTTGGCAAGAAAGGGGACAGCGGGCTAATACTTGTGGGCACAGGACCAAGAAGTTCCTCAAGAAGCAGCAACTCCGTGACTGGCTCCGTGTGGTGTCTACGAGCAAGGGTGTTTATGAGCTTCGATTCTTCAACGTGGTCAACGAGGAGGGCGATGACGATGACGAGTAGACAAGATAGACAGAGCGAAGCCATCATTCGAATGGGAAACGGGAAAAGCCCTGATAGAATTGAGAGCACAGGTCATGAAACTTCGGGTTCTATTCTTTGATAGAGATGAATCTGATACCTCATGTTCTCAAGATCCATGGGATATTTCAGCGACGGACTCAGTCTAAACCATCGTGAATCGTCAGAGACATGTTTCCTCCACTTACTGCTCTTCCCTCCCGCTCCTGCAATCTCTAGAAGTGTGTGATCGAGCAGCCACTTCATAGGATAACGCTTGGGTTTTGCTGCGTCGTTGTCCCGCAACTTGACCTCGGAATAACTGCCGGGACTGTCGACGACCAGCAGCCACGAACCCAATGCCAGGGTATCAGCAAGCGCCAACAAGAATGCGGTCGTGCGTGCTATTGAACTCGTAAACAGCTCGTTCAATGTGAACATGATCGTACACAAATGAACGCCACCAAGCAATTCACGAAGAATACTCTCGTTGACGTTCAAGATATCGTGTTGCGAAAAGCAAACCTGCAGACGAGCGGGGTCAATAAGGGGTTTATTCGCAGCCTTCGCGCTCTCACTCGCATGGGTAGACAATATCTGCGGCTGGGTCAAAGCGGCCGTCAGCTTTTCAACACAACTCGACCAGTCTGCAATGTCGATGGCGTGAATTTCCGCTTGGGACAGCGACAAAGAAGATAGTAGCGTTGCAGCCGCAGATGCAGCCACCTCCGCGCCCGCGCCACCTCCAATGCAGGCGACTCTACAAGCGCCGGTACTGGGCCTGGACGTGGACGTGGACATGGACGTGGTTTGTAGTGGGTCATCATATGCGTTGTCATCTGGCCCACTTGCATTGATTTCGCTGAGCCAGACGGGCTGCAGGTCGCCGTGTAGTAAAAGATCAAGATACCCAAGGGCACGGCTGGCGCTCCACCGGAGAGCATATGCATCCATGTATTCTTGATGGGCGAACGCCTTGGCAAAATCCCGCATAAAGAGATGGCCCTTCACCACTTGAATGGTAGCATTTACATGGTGATGCTGGTCCTGGAGGTGGCCATCATAGAAGGCGCGGCAAAAGACATCGAGAAGTGCTTGCTGTAACTCGATCGGAGCAGCCGCTGGAGTCTCGGAGACTTTTTGTGCACTGACGGTTTGCTTGGGTGGATTTCGACCGTTGTGTAGCTTGCTCACGGCCTTCTGTATCTTCCGTGGTGCCATTAAATTGCGTGTCACAACTTCAAGAGGGACAAACTGTGCTTGAAATGTGGATAGTGATTTTGGGCGTACAAATCCGAGATTGAAAAGACAGCCTAGATTTCTCGAAAGCGGTGCGTTGAGACTGTCATTGGCAGGCAGGTCACGCAACCTGGAAATTCAAACTCAACCAGTCTGTACTCGTAGATTCCGCCGAAAGGAACTTCCCTCTTCGGTACGGTGCTGAGAGAGCGCTGGCCCACAAGGGAAACGCCAAAAACGGTCGGGTGCTGTAGTATTCGAAAATGGTCTCAATGTGGAGATGCAAAGCCTTGAAAGGATTTGCACTAGGTGATAATCACTGGTTGAGCAATGAATGATGCGAGAGGTCAAAATAATTGGTGGCCATCCAGGCGTTGCGCGGAAAGGTTAATGCAGGAGAAATTTTCTCTCGCATCGTCGTGCATTCAGCGATGCCCTTGCATAATCGGCTACGTGGTGCAGGAACTTGCCTGGGAAGGATACGCTAAATGCAGGTCTGCAAGCGGTCTGCAGGAGAAGGCGGGAAGACCCAAAGGTTCTCCCTTCAAATGCAACATTGAATGGCCAACAGCAAAGGGTGGTGGCTTTCCGGGTGGTTATTGACGTGAAGCGGTCGAAGTTTGGATAGGATTGGTTCACAGGTTGTTCAGCTTCAAGTTGGCGGTCAAGACTCAGAGTGGCAAGACGCCCTCGTTACTACGAGTACTCGGAAAATGCTAGCACTCCTCCTAGAGTCCTAGCACCCACCAAGTACGGAGTATGGAGTACTCGCAGTGCTCGCAGTACTCGTAGTGGACTTTGGGGGAACAGTGATTTTCGATCGAAGGCGCCGATTCAAACCACAAACTGCTTAAGCACCGGGGTCATGTGCACACTCTATCGTGTCTGCCAAACAAGCGAAATTTAGGCACATGGTCGCTGTGGTGACAAACGACAAGCGAGTCTCAAGTTGAACTGAATGATCGGCGTGGCTTTTCCTGGATGGAAAGTGTTTCAACGACGAGCCGTTCAACTGGTTACAGATGCAGAAGCAGATACGAGCAAGAGGTTCGAGATTCGCTGGCGCAAAACAGCCATGCATCCCGCAATGCGGTGATGGAGGAGCCGAAAGGACGAGCAGTCGGGACTCTAGACCAACAGCCTCTCTCTTTGATAAAGGGAATACTCCGTACAGAGTCAAGGGAATGTGGATGGAGGTGAGCAAGGAGGAAGGAGGGAGCTGGGTGCTCGGTGCTCGGCGCTCGGGCGGTAGCTGCAGGTTCCTGCATAAGCGCAATGGAAGCAGGAGCCACCAGCCTAGCACAAGGCAAAAGGCTCGTGTTGGCGCCTGTCGCCTTGACCGAAAGAGGGACGCGATCTGATGTGGTGGCATTTCACCCGTCCTGACCCTCCCTTCTCCACAAGGCCGTTCCTTGTTCCTCGTTCCTCAGATACTCGTACATCATCCATGATCCATTCATCTTTGGGTCGCCTCTTGACTCTTGAATCTTATCCACGGCGGAGGAACTGCCAGCTGACCACACCTCACGGTTGGGCCAATTCGTCACCGATGACTGTTTGACATTCCCTCGTCCACACCTCCAAGAATCTCAGCTTTGACACTGCTAGAAAAGTGGACTTTGGCCAATCTGATTCAGTAAATTGCTCATCTGACGTGCCAGGGATCTGCACATTAGACGCATTACCCATTATCCTCCTTTCCTGCTCGGTCGGCCGTGCCTGTCGAATGCGGCCTCTTCCCAACCGTCCACTGTCAATTCTGCGCACAGAAGAAATTGTGCATCTGCTCGTTGAGTCGCGGCCCAAGCGTTCGAGTTTCGGAAGCCCAGGCTTATGAGACTGGACTGACTTGTGACGGCAACGGGTTCTGTATAGTACTTCCCTGCACAATAATGTGTGTCAGCAATGATACCCAGGTACCCAAAGGTGCCGGCAAGTACGTACAGTAGTAGACCGTAGTACGACAGCAAGATGCTCCGAACTCGTTCTGTCTTCCGTATCCTACAGTACGTATCTGAACGGGCAGATGCACTCACTCATCCTGGCCCACACGACCTGAGCCGTCGATGTGGCCACCTGTGAGCGCTCTTCTTGAAAGGCAGAGTGGGAGATGGACAGGCTTGGGGCTGGCCGCTAAGCCTAAAGCCCCCCTCAGCCCATGCCTAAAGCTGAAGGCTTGAACCCACCCTTTCAGGCACCCAAGCCCAGCACCACCAATGCCACCTAACCAAGTAGCTTCGTTGCCCCCCCCCCGTCGCCCGTCCCTGTCCCCGTACCCTCGGGCTTTGGTCTGGTGGTCTGGTCTGGTCTGCAAGTGCCAGGTGGTCGTGTTCTTGGCCCGCCGAGCCGTCCTGCGTCCTGCGTCTTGTTCCTGTTCCTGTTCCTGCGCCTGTGCCTGGTTGCTCTTGCTCTTGCTCTTGCTCTTGCTTCTTGCTCTTGCTTCTTGCTCTTCTTGCCCGTTGCCGCTGCCGCTGCTTCCCGGCCAAGTCAGTCGTTCGTTCGTCCCCTCTGCTTTTGTCTCTCCTCATCAGTCTATCCAGTCCACCACCACCATCACATCCTCCTCCATCTCACCTTCACCTCATCCTTCGGCCTCACTTTTGGCTCCTGCAGAAGAAGAGATCCTCTATAGGGTCTTTACTTCCAGGTTGCCGTCCATTCCTTCACATCCAAACCGATCTTCCAGCTCCAACGTCATACGCCCCTTCTCTCCACCAATTCCACCACATTGCGACTTCTGGTTTGCGTCCACTCGACTGGTCTTCAGGTACGAAGGCTATCTACCAGAGTTGCCTCGGGCGCATTCTGACTTCTCTCAGATCCACTGTCCAAATCGTTCCTTACGAGACCTGCTTCGTCCTATCGCCTTTTTACCAATATTGTAATGGTGGCTGCCGTTCCTTTGCAAAACCCCAGAAGAAGTACTTCAAAGGTGCTGGAACACCTGCAGCTCTATTGACTGCTCCTGCCTACTGCTGGACAGTCTAATAGAAATTTACCACTAAACATATTATCGAAGGGTGGCTCCTTGATCCAAAATGACTTCTCTTTCAGTACCTGCCGCACCGCCGGTTTTATCTCCATTCGACTCCGCCAACAGCACGCCTCCAAGATCACCCCAGCCTCATCGAAGAAGAGCCTCTCGAAATCCTAATGCTACTGCCTTGCCGGCTTTTAATTTCAATCCAGCTCAAGATGAAACTATGAGGGCAGAGACTACCACCGAGCAAGGAAGCCCCAAGCCAAAGACCATGGCGACAGAAGGGCAGCGACGTTCTCCTCGCCCTACCTTGCCCGAGTTCAAATTCAACCCTGGTGCCGATCTACCTCCAGAGAGAAGCCCGAGTCCAACTCATCCAGTCCTGCAGGAAATGGCTCTCAATCAACAACGTGCCGTCCGGTCTGCAAGACCTGCTCCCCTGCCCGCTTTCACCTTCGCACCACATACCACGTCCGTCCATGGCTCACCAAGTCCGACAAAACCAGATTTCACCGAGTCCCAGCCTCCTCGCTCAGGCCATCGTCGCGGTGTCAGTGAGTTTGTTGGAGGTGGCGGAACTGATGGTCCTCAGATGGTCAGTTCCAGTCCGGAAAAGCCCGAATATCGACCTCCTCCAAGAATGCACGCCCATCAACGCAGTCAGGCCGTTTCTGTCTCTGACATCGATACGTCCGAGCTCATCAAGGCCAACGCTTTGGCCAAGGCTCGGGCGGGTTCCACCCCAACCACCCCGTCAGATGCACAGACTTTCTCCTTTGCGCGCTCCAGCCCCCAAGTCCGACAATCAATGTCAAGCCTCATCAGAACTCCACCATCGTCTCCCCGTCGCAGGGATAGTGCTCCTGGTGTTCGTCCACGTGTTGGATTTTCCGAACATGTCGACGTGATTCCACGACCGCTGTCGATGATCTCATCCGAGACCGAAGGAAGTAATTCCACAATTCGTGGATGTCATTCCTTGTCTGGAAGCATCAACTCTATCGCCAGTCCCACGCCTCGCCCTACCCTTGTGGTCAGTTCTTCAAGTGAATCGACCAATGGCTCTCCTGAAAGACCTCAGACTGCCGATGCTCTTTCGACCCTGTCTGGTAGTATGGCTTCTGGGAACAAGTCACTCGATGTCATAAGTCTTCCTAAGCGTCCTTTGTCAGCCTCTGGGTCCCCTGGCACCTTGGGTTCTGGCAGCCCACCTAACAAGAAGAAGTATTTCTGGCTGAGTCATACCAACAACAACGTCTCGCCCTTGTCCACTCCAAGAGCAGAAAATGGCAACCCAATGGATGTTTTCGTCGCCGCCTCGCCTCAACCACCCAAGCGATTGGAAGTATTTGGAGATCGTGCGCGACCAAAGACATCCTCTGGAGAGGCCACATCCTCTTCTCGAAAGCGGAAATACCACACATGGACCTCGGGTATCTTTTCAAGAAAGTCAGAGAAGCGCTCCAGTAAGGCGAAGCACCCGCCATTGCCTAATTCTCCAGCATTGAACAGACGACCCAGCGATAGACTGAATGAAATCTTCGATGCGGATGATACCATTGTGCTACGAGAACCATCACCTGTCGTCACACGGGTTCGACCACGCACCCAGCCATTGCCCCCCATCCAAACTCTCACTACCGGCCCAACTAGTGAGCCGATCATGAGCCCCGTTTTGGATCTTGATGCTGCCTTAGGACCGTTTGGAAGCGAAGAAAAATTTGGCCTGGACACCAACAACAAACAAATCCCCCCCTCCAGAATGGCCAAATTACACAGCAGCGAACGGCGAGGCACTCCCGATGCCTTTGGCTCGGTTCATAGGAGAACCGAATCCGCACCTATCATGCCAGCGGTTAATCGGGCTACTTTTGGTGTGCATCGCATGGGCAGTAACCCTTCACTATCCGAGGATGTATTTGACGAAGAGGAAGAAGACAAACTTCTGGCGGAAGAGAATGCAAATGCGATGTCATCGGCAAAGCTAGTGCGAATTCAGTCACGCACCAAAAACCCAGCCGTGTCACCGAGTGAACCCAGTTCTGTGACCCCGAAACCGAAACCTGGAGAAGGACTAGGGCTGGCTATCGGCAGCGGCTGCGATGACGATGTGATCATAGTCGATGCAGAAGAAGATATTGGACGTGTCAGCTGTGCACGAGCTTCAGACTCTACCATTGAGGCCCCCGTCTTTTCGGATCTCGTTGCTCTGAAGCGCCCGGTCTCATCCCCTATGGTCTTCGCCTATCCAGCTCCCCAGTCTCAATACGCTTCATCGACGGAAGGCAGAACGACTTCGGCTTCGATGATATCTTCTCCAGATGCAGATCATATATCTTTTGACAATCTGTCACCACCAACTCGGTCTCACGGTGAAATTAGCCCAGACTTTGTTCTAAGAGCGTCCAACGATGATCTACCTTCACTCAGCGACAGCATCTCAAGTGGCGCACTACCTAGATTCTCCAGCAGTGCTGGTACGAGATCATCTATTGAACATCGTTCTGCTTCAATGATTGTTCCATCGACATCCAGATCCAACAATCAACAAGCGTGGAAGAGAGCAAGCTTGGCAAGTCTTAATCGATTGATTCCGGGATCTTCGAATGGAAGTAAACTGAAGTTTGAGACAGTTCCGGACTCTTTCGCTACTGACGAGAAGGCTAAACGAAGGTCTAACCGAATAAGCAAACTTTTGTTCTGGCGATCGAAGGACAAAGACGAGAAATGACAGAAGTGTAGTACGGGCGACGATGGAGTACTTCTTTACGGCTTTATGACCAGAGCTCTTGCGTTTGAGAGCTCTGACGAATCACGGTTTTTGTGGCCATTCCAGCAATAGGCACTTTTCTGATGGCCCAATTTTCATAACGACATATTCACGGGAATGGGAGGCTATCTTGCGCAAGATGGCCGAATTCAACCCTTCCTTCTCACTCGAGTCTATCATTGAGATCAGAATTTTCAGCTAGCTAGCTAGTCAGCATTTCAGCTTTCACGCAACCACTTCTTTACTACAATTAGTCTGCCGTGACATCATTATGTCAGGGGACACGGGGAATGTTTCGACCATGGACCAGATTCACACATTCCATCAACTTCTACAACTTCACAATTTTGAATGAGTGCAAATTCACCTTCTATGCACTAGCTAGAAAGAAAAACTCAAATGTCGATATGGCGAAGCTTTGAGAGATGCAAACGAGCTGTGCTATTCAGGGAAACGAGAACTTGGACGGTCTTTGATATGGGGCGGGCATGATGGGAATTATGCATGAAACGGAGTGGTCAGCATCCACGTACATTTGATATCGGCTCACGCGTAAGCTGATGGGTGATGCTCCAGGAGATGCTACATGGCACAGCAAGCAATTGGTGACTTGATCTTTGAAGCCACGCTGCTTCGTGATTTGATTGATGCAGTAGAAAATAAATGATAAAGCTTTGTCACATCCATCACTACTCAAATTCAACCATTCTACGAATGCGGAATCTTTATTTCACTGAGTGGAGAGCAGACAAACTAAGTACAACGCATTCCTTGCCTACTGGGCTCCGTAGTGGTGTATGTGCATGTCTACTTGGGAATCAAGATATAGCAGTGCTATATTAATAATGAGAGATGCACTGTACTCCGTCGCTGTCGTCTGACCCGACTAGGATTAGTGCCGTTAATCGCGGAACATGAGCAAGTACGCCATTTAACGAGTCATGATCGAATCTAACTGGTCAGTACCCAATTGCAGACATCGAGTTGCTGTTCTTCGAGCACCTACACGCACCTTCGTAGCGACTAATACTTATGTAAGAGACTCGGGCTTTGTCCTCAAATTTCAAGCAGTATCGTCAGCCTCGCTGTTTTCTTGTCAGCCAGCTAGCACAGGCTCTATCCTGGATGGTTCTTGGCTTCTTTTCAAAGTTCCCATCCACAGCGTAAAGCTCCCGTTCACTCTCTATTCCTTATTCATCGTCTTCCCGAGTCAAAAGCCACAGTCATCGGCGTCGGCATCGGCATCTCTAAAGCTGATCCTTATCGGCAGGCAATGCTGAGCAGGACCGTATTCGTCTACCATGTCCTGGGCGGTAGGCTATTATTAACACGACCCGGAGGACCTACATCCCGGACATTCCGCAGAGGCCTTGCTGCCAAATCGAAGCAGCGCTCTAGCAAACCGAACCCTAGACCAGCTACCGTGTCCAGATTTCATGGTGACCGGCAGAGGAAAGTGCAGAAAGGACAACAGAGGGCACTGGAGAAATCTACCCAATCCGTCAAGCTCATGACGCCATGGCTCGAGCTCAGGCAGTGGGCTCATCCACGATTTCCTAGTCATGAAAGGCCGGAGACTCAACTTTCTCTGCCTAAATATCATGTTGGGGCTACGTGGTTTAGCGATGAAACGGAGTCATTCGTAAGCACCCTCTCCTTGCTTCGTCTCGTTGTCGGAATGAGATGAGCCAGAAAGGTTGTCCCGCCAAACAAAGAACTACTCCGAAACTGACTGTTCTTGATGCTGCTACACAGAATCCAGAAGATGTACTCGAACAGTTGCCAGACTTCAAGGGCCTTGGTCCACATTGTATTAGAAATGTGGTCATTCTGGTCACTCCATCGATAGCTCCAGTGTTGGCGCGAAAGGACTTTCTCCAGTCGATCATCACCCGGATTTACGCTTCTTTTGAAAAGCACGCGTTGCCGGAATTCTGGCTGAAGAAAAAGGGTATAGAAATCAAGTCTCTAAGTGCTGTGGTGGATGCACTGCCATTCCGGGAGACGGCCGCAGCGCAGCAGCTTGAGTCAGAGGGCTTGTCCATACTATTCAGCTCGGGGTCGGTCTTCAGTGAACCAGGTTTTCCGACACCCGCTGGAGACGATGACACTAGTTATACTCTCACTTTCACGTCGGCCTACCACTCAGTTGATCCTGGCATACCAAGTCAAGAAATAAACCCTTCACCTGTGCGATATCTGACCCTTCCAGTCGCCAACACATTCTTCGTGAACGGCTCTCGTGCAACGCTCTTTCAGGATACTTGGAAGGTCGACCTCAGCAGCGGCGGTTCCGTAAACGGCCGAGGGCTGGTAAATGTTGCGTCACTTGTCAGTCATGAAAGGAGGCAACATCTTCAAAGGGCAACTATTGCAGGAAATTTTCACAGTAACGACTTAACCCAGTGTGTACTCCCACTCACGCCATTGACCGAGTCCCGCGAAATCACCAAGGCCATGGGGAATGTAGTGACGGAAATCCAGCTTCCAGAGCGGAAAGCTCCAGCCTCGGCCGAGTTGGAGAGCAGCGTGTCTAAATATCTCAGGGATAATCCTGATGCGACGGCGGCTGGCCCACTACTAATATATGCCTCCATTCGCCCACCGCGCTCAGCAAACGCAGGAACATACGAGACACCTCCACAAGACTATCTGCGGACCTTGAACTTTCTCGACACTTTTGAAGAGTGCACGAGATTATTCCGAGTGACGGGGGGGGGAGGTGGTTGGGGTAAGAAACAGGGACTCCTCTCCCTGGATCCGGCTGTGGATTTCGACAGCCATAGCACGACTGACTCTAACTTTCCCGACATCGGTGAGGATGTGGATGATGTGAGTCAGTTGTATGAACCTAAAGGTATGATGCCAGTGGGAAGCTCGATACGGTTTTGGGTCTGGGACCACAAGGATAAAAACAAGAAAAACGGCATCATCAAGGAGAACGTAACCGACCATTTTCCAGACCTTGACCCTGAACAGGAGAAGCAGTCTCCGGACCGGGTATGGTCTGGCCAGGACAACATGCATTTTGTGTTTGGCACTGGGTCGAGGGCCGAGGAAAGAGAAGGCACTGAAGGACAAGGCGCAGTGGTCTCAAATAAGTCGAGGATAACACACCAGTGTCTTTATGGCTATTTTGGAATGCTATCGTACGGAGGGGCTGCGATAGGAAGCGCGGAGGAAATATTCCCAGAGGTTACATACACATCCAGACCGAGTTGGCACAGGCTCTGGGCGGGTGCTAGAAGCCGGGTTGATGTGCCAAACACAACCTTCGTTCTCGATGTTGACAGTGGGTATTTTGAGAAGAGTTTTCCAGCAGAAGGAGTTGTCGAGTAAGCAGGAACGGCAGCGGAAACTGCCAACGGTCATATTCACCCACTATTAGTTGTCCGTCGGCTTCTTAAGGAAGAGGAGGCAGGTGTATAGGATGAAGAGTATGAGAGGTCCAATGTTAAAATGCAATAACCAAGGCTGGGCAGTAGGAGGGACCGACGCCAACACTGCTGGCCATTGTAGCATAATAAATACAGACGTATGTATTCATGGTCTTTTAGTAATCCTAACACCAACCATAAGACTTCCACTCAAGTCAGGGAAAGGGTCATGACAGTCGTTGCTGTTGCTGTTGTTGTTGCTATTGCTGGGGAGTTCCGACATCGAGTTCCTCCATAACGTGCAGGACAACGCCCAGGGATTCCATAAAGCCATTCACAGCCACCCGTAGCATTCGGTTTGTCGTCGCGCTGTATTCCGTGCGTAGGATGGTATTTTCTGGCTGATCTAATTCGTCGCCTGCGTGGTCTGATCCCGAAGATACCAGAGAAAGGCGGCGATGCACCAAGGGAGACAGTTCGGCATCTACTTGTAGAGCGCGCATGGCTGACGAGGCCAGGCGGTGGTTGAGGAGTGGGACATGGATTACTCTATGTTTGGTGGATGAGGGAGCAGGGTGTTAGTAATTCAGTTCTTACAGAATGTCGTACAGACTATGACTGGTGGATGAGCAGGCGCACGCACAGTGAGCATGGAAATTCATCAGACATTATGGGCCTGATAGAGTCTGGATCCGAATGTGATTAATGATTGTGGTGTTTTCATGTAATTCCAATATCGCTGCTGGGTAATGGCAATGGCAATTTGCACGGCGTAAGTGGGATGGGCGACGAGAAAGACGTAACTGAACTGGAAAAGGGAAAGGCGTGTGCCAAGCCCGTCAATCGGCCAGGGGCAAGGCGAAGGGGCAAGGGGGAAGGGGCGATTGGCAAGTTTGGGGTTGGTCGTGGTTGCTGGGAAACGGCGCGACTAAAACAAGATCTCGGGTGCAACAATATCTGGTGCGATTGCCATTGCTATTTACTAACACGACAGGGAGCCTCCACCTCCACCATCATCAACACCACCACTTATTCTCCAGGTCCGCCCACTCACTCATCTTTACTCTTCCACCACTACTGCTGCTACTACTATCTACTCCTCAAGCTCCTCATCCTATTTCTCATGCCACTGTCATTATAGCTATTCATCCACATCCTGGTCTCTGGCCGTCATTGTTGGTCTCCTCGCCCGCTCTGTTGCAGAAGAGCTATCGCAAACACAAACCTGAAGCTCGCCCGTCTCAGATCAGATCTGACCAGTAATGGCGCCAACAATGGCCCATTCTGCCAGTTATGGTCAGGTCATTGAGTACATCCAAGGTAATGCCTTTGGGTTCTCCTCTGCCTCAATTGCATCCTGACACCGACACTAACAAATCGTCTCTCAGATCGCTTGTATCTCGCTTCCTACACTCAAGCGCCTAATGAGCACACTCCATTTCCCTATCCCTCTACTCAAGCAAAGAGATCGCCTCATAAAAAGCCCTCGAGAGTACAACCCACACCTGCGTCTCCAGCTTTGCGCCCGCCACCTGTCTACTTTACAATTGACGACACTCTCCTCTACAATGCATTCCACGCCGATTTTGGCCCATTGCATATTGGACATCTCTACAGATTTGCTGTTCAATTCCATGAGATCTTGGGTGATCCGGCCAATAATGACAGGGCTGTTGTCTTCTGGTCCAGAGCCGATGCGAGAAGCCGAGCCAATGCAGCATGTCTGGTAGCCTGCTACATGGTCCTTATTCAAGCTTGGCCTCCCCATCTTGCTCTGGCTCCAATTGCTCAAGCCGACCCTCCCTACATGCCTTTCAGAGATGCAGGCTACAGCCAAGCAGATTTCATCCTCAATATTCAAGATGTTGTATATGGTGTATGGAAGGCCAAGGAAGAGAACATCTGCCAGTTGAAAGAATTCAATCTTGAAGAGTATGTTCCCACCCCATTCCCTTCTTTCCCTGACTGCTGCTAACTGTGTCCAGGTATGAACGATATGAAAGAGTTGATATGGGTGACTTCAACTGGGTATCGCCCCAGTTTGTCGCCTTTGCTTCACCCCAGTCTGAACCTGTAGCACCTATTCCTGTTACCTCTCCAGCTTATACAACTCTGCCATCCTGCATACCCGAGATTTCAAGTGCGAGGATAGGCCAGCCTTTCAAGAACGTGCTCACCCACTTTGTCCAACGTGACGTTGGCTTGGTTGTGCGACTCAACTCGGAGCTGTACTGCCCCACCTACTTCACTGCTCTGGGTATCCAACACCTTGATATGATCTTCGAGGATGGAACTTGCCCTGCACTTCCCATCGTGCGCAAATTCATCAAGCTCGCTCATGATATGATTGTTAAGAACAAGGCTATTGCTGTCCACTGCAAGGCTGGCCTTGGTCGGACTGGATGCTTGATAGGTGCATATCTCATATACCGCCACGGTTTTACTGCCAATGAAGTCATTGCCTTTATGCGTTTTATGCGCCCAGGAATGGTAGTTGGTCCACAACAACATTGGCTGCATCTGAATCAAGGTCAATTCAGGGAGTGGTATCTCGAAGATCAGTGGAAGGCTAAGATGGAACTGGCCAAGCCCACCACTCCTCGAATCATGTCGGCCAAAACACCCATGCGCATTCCCAGTGGTACCCAGACCGCAACACCAAATCGTTCCAGTGTACAGCGAGCAGCTCTTGGAGAGATCGACGGAAATGATGTCTCCAATGGTTCTTATCAGGACGAGAATTTACCAGCCCCAACACCTGGCCAACCAAGAAAATACGCCCGAATGGACCCCAGAAACCATCCCTATGCTCGATCAACCTCAAATTCCATGCGCGTCAGTGGCTCCAAGGCCGATGAAGCTCAAATGTCGGAGCATCGTCAGAGTACAAATGGCGGTGACAGCGAGGAAGAGTTGATTCTCCAGAGAGCAGCTCTTCGGAGAAGTCAAAGCCGAAGCCCCAGTAGTAAAGGAAAGGCTCGAAGTGTTTCATACACAACCACCACCACCACCATGACCAAAACTTTTGATGTTGCTGATCCGATGGGCATATACGAGGACGACGCTGAGATGAATTTCCAAATGGAGGATACCAATGCCATCTGGGATGAACTCGCCCAAGAGCAAGAAAACCTGAAGCTTAGCACCAAAAATGACAAGGTCCAGGTTGGAAGCAAGCCAAAAACTCCACGATCGGCCAGTGGGATGGGAGCCATGAGTGTTTCAAAGACGAGATCTCTTCGAGAGTCTCCTCGACGAAGTGGTGCTGAGGATAAGACAAAGGTTCGCAAGACCAGTAACCGTGTTGCTAGTGGAAGCCATGCACCTATGGCTGTCAAGCGGTGATGGACTGGGTATCTCTACCCCATTTGCTTGAGTCATCAAAAAGAGGAGATCTTGGTACTTTTGCCCCTTTCTTACCTCCTCATGAGCGAAACGGCGATCAATGATGAATAACACGGCTGAGAAATAATTGGACTGGGTCTAAAAAACGGAGCTTCTTTCAAGGTTGCCTCAATAAATCTTAGGTGACATGTATTTTTGTACCTCGACGAGAGTTGCAATATGCGGGGCGGCGACGGTGATTCTTTTGAAAGGCATGAGCATGGCATGGTGTACAGGAGTGGTTGTTATTGTCTGGCTACAGGTACAGAGGGTTGACTTGACGCACGTGAAATGGGATTCCTTTGAGGTTCATCCAGGTGGACGATTAGCAGACTATGGTTAGAAGACCAGTGCAGACAAAGACAGATGAGACAGATTAACTCATTGATTTTGAGTTCGCGTTCCCTTCCTTTTTGTAGAATGACGGAGCTTCTAGACTCGCCCTCGATACTTGGAGAGGGGGATGATACATCATTCAATTAGACGTGCAGGTATGTTCGTATGCTGTAGCTTTTGCTCGACGGTTTCTCGAGTCACGAGGCTTAGAAGGCTTATAAAGCTAAGAGGGGGGGGGAGTCAGTTGGTAGCCTCGGCAGAGACGTACGCCCGCTTCTCGAGATCATGTCTATTCACTTAGTCTTCTTCATTCGCCCACGTCCAAGTAATTAATTCCTGCGGCTGTTCCTGCGAGACAGAGGAGATCTGTGAGGGTAGAAAATAGGTCAGCAGCTGCGTCTTCTCTAAGTTTTCCCTGACAACCTATCTGAGAGGAGGAAGGCATGTGGCTGCGCTGACAGTCAATTGGCCAGCGTGCAGCATATCGTGATGACGTTGGTCTATGTTAGTCTATCGCAGTGAGGCATCTTAGTTTTGTCCACTTTGCTGTAGATGTGCACGACCAGGGAAAAGAACGAACGAAACTTACACCAAGAGGAATGATGTTGATTTCAGGGATCGAAAAGACAAGCGGGTTTCCTTTCACGTTGCACTACAGCTCTTGACCCGGAAAATCACCTCTAGGACGAGAATAAAGTAATTCGTTTGCTACTAACATATCCGTGGATTGGCTGCAAGGAGAGAAGAGGTCGTGGGCTTGCTTACTTGAACCACTAGACTGACTGGCCGGGTTGAGCCATGCAGGCACTAATCACGGGGACTGTATGATTCGACCATGTTAGGATCAGGCTTGAGTGAAACAAGCTACAGGGCTAAGTAGCAAGGAAAGGTGCTCTTACACAAGAACGCATGCCACGTGGTGTGCCATCGTTGGATGTCTTTCCATTTGAATAACCCAGTGAGAAGTGACCGGCTTCGAACGAGCCAGCGCCATAACATAAGTTAGACAATCAGAATCCTTGCCGGACCAGGTATCGGGAGGCAACTCACATGAAGCGGAAATACATATAGCTGCTCGACGTCCTCGACTCCAGCGGTGGCAAAGGTAAAGATAGTCCAAGACAGTTCAAGAAACGCAATGTAAAGTGGAGGGCTGACCTTTACTTCTTGTCAAGACGTTCTCGCTTATACAACAGAACAAAAATAGGGGGGAAAGCCTTACTCTGGTAAGTAGCAGATTTGAAGGAATCTGGCCCAAACACATATGCAGCGCTCCAAACGGCGTCGGCACAATTGAAATTCAAGTTCGGCTCCACACAGCGAAAGATCCTCCTTTATGCCACTGTCTGTAGAAGACTCTTAGAAACCCGGTTCGAAAGCCCGGTGGAAATGAAAAAGTCCCTTCCTGAATGCGTTGGTAATATCAACTTGATCGAGGTAGCGACACATGAACCCCCAGAGCTGCTCTCATGATACAAGAGTCAAGTCAAGCTCGGTGAGGAAGCGAACCTCCTCCTTCGGACCATCGAGTGCTAACAGAAGCTTCAACGACTTGATGTTTCTTTGCCCTCAGTACCCCAAGGAGGACTAACATGACCAGGTAATTGACTTTCAAGTTCTTTTAAGCTCGCGGGATACCTGGATTTCCTGATCGCGGAGGGATCTCGCCTCCGACATCTCCGACGACCAATGTTTTAAGAGTCTTTTCTGATGGGGCTGGCATCTGCGCAGGAGTCGATGAGATGGCACGCGAAGGAATTAGGAAGGAGCGACGGGACACTGAGAAAGCTAGTTGGGAAGGTAAGACGGTAGGATTTATGATTGAATATCAGTGGACGGTGAACAGCTTCCGCGCAGTAGTAATGATATACACCTACGGAACATGCGATATATCTGGCTATATATCTATCCAATTTGTCTTTCCCACTGACTGGCTGGCTGGCTGGCTGGCTGGCTGTCCAATAAACCCCTCTTGCCCTGATGTGTGGGCGGGCATACATTGATTGATCCATTGGGATCCTTTCTTGCTAGCTCTTACTGTGGCTCTGGGCGTGCTTGTGTACATTTGGAAAAAAAAGGGTGGTGGTATTTTCGTGTTTGGTCGCCGTTGGAAAAGCTGGGACCAAAAGAAAGGAGAAGTTTTGTTCGAGTATCGATGTTTACTCGTAGTCATAAAACTGGTTTTGCAATCAAAATGCGTTGATTGTGTATCATCGTCATAAAGATAAAAAGAAGACATTGCTAAAAGGTACATGGATGCGGATTAGCAGTCCGTGGAGAAGCGAAATAATAAAAAAATCGACGTTTGGACTTTGCCGGACTCGTCGTGCTTAGATGTCATGGACGGTGAGGTATAAGTCTCCATTCTCCGCTTTGCTAGGTGTCAATTTTGCCTTTGTCGAAGGAGACCGTTCAGGCATAAGGGCTGACGATTTGGTAGGTGATAATTGAGACTCGATAGCCATCATCTCGTTCAACGAAGGGCTATAGATCGGAGCTAGAGGAGTGCCTCGAGACGCACGAGTAGGGGCGTTTCGAAGCCGGGCCATCTTCTGCTTGAGAGTGTTTTGTGTGACGGGTGGCCGTCCTCCTGGTTCCTTGTTCGAGCTGACCTCTGACGTGGGTGGCACTGGCCATTCAATTGTTTCATCGGACATGTATCCGTCGGAGGAGGCTGTATCGCTTTGTAGGAAGCTTGCTACTCGCAGGACCGGATCTTGAGTGGGACGAGGAGCAGAAGCTGGCGAGAATGGATTTGGGGGAGCAGCCCCGCGAGGCTGGGCCGGCCGCTCAGCTTGCCGAGAGACGGCGGCTGATCTAGGTATTTGGGGGTATTTGAGGTCTCTGATAGGACTGCCTTGTCCCACGTCGTCCGGCCGGCCGTCAATGCGGGAGTTTCGGGGCGCCGAAGGCTTCGATGGCATTCCCAATTGCCTATTAAGCTCCTCTGGTGTTGTATCTTCCTCGATAGTGGTATATTCAGAGCTCAAAGACACCGGACGGGCAGGCTGTCTTGATACGGGAGGCATTGATGGAGGTGGAGGAGGATTTCGAGGCTGCTCCAGCGGCTCGATTGGAGGGCTGATGACAGCACGAAGCGGAAGCACCGACGTCGGTGGTTTCTTCTTCAACATGTTCCGGGTTGCATAAGTTGATGATGGCGCCAACCTATGCTCGGTCGTTGGTAGAGGAAACTGTGAGACTGTCACCACGGATTCTGTGCCAGTGGAAGCGCTGAAAGGAGGTGATGTGATGTCAATGTTGCCATTGTCGTAAGTAGGGGTCAATGGAATCCGTGCAGCAGAAGCAGGTTCTTGTCTCCGGTTCTGGACGGAATTCTCTGGTACAGGAGGGAGCGTGATCGGGGGTGGAGCGGTGCGTAGTCTTTTAGCAAGAGGAGGCTTCTCTAGGATGAAGGGCTGATTGCCGATGTAAATCGCTTCTTCATTTGTGGGTTGGATTCCGGATTCAATATCGGACATGGTACCGTCACTCATCGGCCGCTGTGGATACTTGCGACGCTCTCGTGAAGCTTCAATGTCTAGGGGAGCGGGCATGAGAGCGCGATTTGGCAACATGGGCAAGAGCCGCGAGATACTATGTTGGGATGATGCGCTGATAGGTGAGACATCACCAGGTGCCCTAGGAGAAACAGCAACGCCAATATCTTCTGGCTTAATGCTTTTCCTCCAGAAGCTTCGTCTATTTTCTTCTACAGCTTGCTGAGGGGCGTAGAAACGGCCGCTGGGACTCGGTACGGGGAATAAATTTGGGTCGGCTACAAACGCTGCCGATTCTTTGATTGTTGGAGCCTGGTAGTTGGGAGGAGGGGTAGTCTCGATGATTCGAGATCTACGTTGACTTCGTCTCTTCTCCTGACGTCTCTTTCTGATGCAGAAAATGAACATCAAGAGCGCAAAGACACCAACTGCAATAGCAGCTCCACCAACCGCAATACCAACAACTTGAGCAGAACCGAGGCCTCCTCTAGGTCCACCTTGGTTTGGCATGGCAACGGCGCCGGCAGTGGTATATGTTGGGGGGCTCTGTGCTGTAGAGGAGCCGGACGATGTCGCGGCCGTCAAGGTTGTGGGACCAACTGGAGTTCCAGAGTCCATGACGATCATGCTGACCTCTTGAGTCGTGGCAGGATTGCTGATAGTCGCTGGAAGATTACTACTCATTGTTGCCGAGGTGGTGGATGTACCAATCAAGGTGGCTGTGATGGTTTGAGCGGTGTTGGGGAGAGCGCCTTGCACACCTATGCACACGCTGAAAGCCCCGACGTTCAATTGATCTTGACCTCTGCAAAAGGAGACGACGCACTGGACGGCGGCTTCTCCAATCGTGAGATCTGAGGTATTGTCCTGTGTACACAGAAAGTTGAGGTCGGATGTGTTTGCACAAGTACTTCCTGGGTAGTTTGTCGTGGCGAAGGTCTGGAGGCAGGAGACGGCGCAGTTGGGCACTGCAGAGATGAGGGCTTGTGGTAGACAGACATTTGACGAGTCCTGGCGGGCACGTACGAGACCGCCATGGTCGGCTGCAGGCGCCGGACTCGGTGAGGCCCATGGTCGATTACGCATGTCGAATGCTCTGCCTTTGTCATTGTTGATGGATCATGGTAGAGGAGGTTGACCGTTTGCGGAACGAAGAGAGTCTGTGAACAGTGAGATCTTTCTGAACGCACCACTCACCCACATACAGTGCTGCAGCAGGACGAGAGATTTGACACGGACGAATGAGTTGAAGCTCGGAATCTGGGGCTATGCATCAAATATACGGCGCGAAGGGGGAAACAAGATCTCACCCTCAAACTTTTTAGCAGATTAACCCTACCTGGCCCCTCGACGAGGGTTGCTGGGTGAGAAATTCGGTCCCTGAACACGACAAGCATGGCAACGATGACGATGGCGGCTGTGAGATAGGGCTACTCATGGACATGAAACTTGTAAAGCAAGAGGTTGTCGGGAATCAACGACGAAGACTCGTTGGTCGTTTCATTAGGTTGTTTCGCCGGCGCTTGGGGCACTCACGTGACCCATCAAGGAGGCCTTTGAGATCCCCTTTGAGATCCCCCATCCCATGTCTCCCCTGTACTCGTTCACTCGTGATTTTTCTCACCCTGTATATCCGTGTATGATCTCCTATTACGAAGAGTGAGTGATTATACCTGCCTAGAGATGGGTCGTACTGGGCTCCATTTTTCCTAACGATACCAAGATACCGGCATCATGCACGTCTACGTCAAGGCTCGTGGAGGGCCTATCAACAAACGGCCATTCTTGTCACAAGCGCTCGTAATTTGGAAGTTCCTACACACTACACGCTGAGCCTTTGTCCATCACTTGATCAATCTTGCGTAAGTATGGGCTGGGCGGTATCTCCTTCAGAAGCGATGATGAGACGTGGTATGATATCATCGGCAATGCCCGAGGCCTCAGCCTTTTGTCATTCCTGGAACAAAACCCGGTGTGGTGCAATGGCTCCAATCCCATCCACCCGGATGAATTGTCATATTGTCGGTCCTCCTACTCTCCCGCTAAAATTAGGAGGGGCCCTTCCACATGGCAGTTGGGGCATGATGCCTGGTACGCAAGGCACTCTCTAACGGTTCCAGAGCCCCAACGGTCAGAACTACCAGCTAGGGGTTCGGACCAACAGCTTTCCGGGGCGTTTCACCATAGTGTAGTAGTGGGAGTCACCACGGGGTACTTTAAAGTAACTTAAGCTACGTTCCTGGTATCGGGACTCAGTGTAAGGCGGTTCCGGAGTAGGGAGATAGAGATAGACGCGATTCAGAAGAAGCTCTAAGAAAGTCAAATGCCCCAAAAATCAGTCAGGTTGATGCAACTAAGCAGGAGGAAAAACAGGTCTCATTATGCTGAATTAAGGTGTTTACTTGCGAGCCTCATACACCACGCGCGCCAGAGTTGGACGGAAATGCTCTTATCCGTCCAGCAATCGCGGGTCTGCCAGTAAAAGTCACACCGTCCGTCCAAGCCAATGCCCCGCGGGTTCATATGCATCCAAGTCTGCTTCCTTGCTCAGAGATGACTCTTGCGACAAGAGAACCGACTCGGCATCCCCCACCTGTACTGGCATCACTGCTCCTAGAATAGAAAAAGTACTGGGTATAGGATATCAATTGATGCGAGGTTGGGTCGATCCTCGTTAGAATGTGGGCAGATGTCGCATGGCATTGAGATGAATTCGTGGTCGCTCGCTTAATACTTCAGAATGATGTAACTGTTGATGATTGTCAGCCGGTGTGTGCGCAGGGGGGTGGTTTGGAGACAACGTACAGCGCGTGTATGATACCTGGGATATAACCCAAGATGGTGAGCAGGATGTTGATGAAGAAGTCTGCGTTGCAACCGCGCTCAAGGAAGACACCCAGAGGGGGGAGGACGATGGCGAGGATGATTTTGCAGATGTCTCTGTTGATGAAACAAATTGGTCAGCTGGAGCTGCTCGGAATGGCCGGAGCAAGCGGGAGAAGCGGAGGAGAGGGAAGCGGACTTACGATGCTGTGAAAGGCATGATGGCTGATGGGATTGATTAAGGTGGTGTTGGGTCGAAGTTTGTGATGAATCGACAACGACAGGTAGGGACGGTGGTAGTCTATGGGATGGGAAGGAGAAGAGAGGAGAGCACGGGCAGGAATAGGTAAACCAACAGGCAATAATATAGGCAGGCCGGATGTCAAGCAGGCGTGGCTGGAAGGACAAAGTCACTCGTCAGTTGCACTCGTTACTAAGGAGGACGAGGGGAGAGGGCAGCAGAAACGGGGCCAGTGTGTTGAACAACGAGCATCGCTACTGGCTCGCCAGGGTCGCAGACGGGGACAGCTAACTGAGGTAGGTGGGCTGGGGGCTTCCGAACCAGGGCAGGTGCGACCAAACGGCCAGGAAAGGGCAGGAAAACGTCATGGGGCCCGTTCCCAATCTCTCGCGCCTGCCTTTTGCCCGCCTTTGCGCCTTGTTTTGCTGGCCTGTTGCCACTGCGTGCTTCCATATCAACGCCACAGGATCGTCCATGGCATCCTCAATAATCCGCCTGGCACGAATCCCATTGCTCCTTCGTTCCGACAAGCAATCACGCGTCGTCACCTGCACCGCCACGCCTGTATAGCATCGCTGTGGCTGACGTTGTTCCCTCTCCTCCCATTCGCTGCTCGGCAAAGTCGGCCTGCCGATGACTCAACCATGAGGCTGCCCTCTCTCATATTCCGATTGTCTCCTGCTGGCTACTTGGCCTCCTTTCGTCATGCCTGGGCATTTGGGACCAAGAAAGAAGGTTTGGTCGTTGACCATATTCCCATATTTAGATGAACCAGATATTGAGGCTCGGAAGGGCATCCGTGGGCATCATCCCATGCCGTATACGGTATGACAACTACAAAGATCGCCTGAGATATGTCTTCTGCGCCCTGGTCTTCAGCGATCCATAGCAGTGTCAGATCTTGGTGCAATCATGGACAGGACGAGGAAGGATCTGTACCTGGGCAGGTTCCATACTCCTCCCTGCTCAGTGCTGAGTTTGCTGACAGGCTATTGATCCCCTTACGTCATCGCTGCTGTGCCATCTCGTGACCTGGAAACGGCGTCTCCACGTGCTCGTAAGGACAGATGTCGTGACATCCGTACTCTGTACAGTACTCCGTATATGAACAGTACCAGTTTCTATCTTCATCGGTGGTTTCACGCAGTGGCAACGTTTGTGATGATACAGACGGATCACATCGCCTTCGTCTTTTTGGGAATCGTCCTTCGCTAGACCATTACCGAGTATCTCACACAACACGGAGTACATACCTCGTAGTTAGCTTGCATCCTCCAGTCCACCCCCCAGAACTAAAACACACTACGGAGTACGGAGTACTACTACACTAGCCACAAGTTTAGCCGCTTTGCCTCGACTCCCCTCGATTCTCGCCCTTTGCCTGAAGGATTGCGGTACGCCGGCACTTTCCACTCTGGACCCTAGAGCATGACTGCTACTATCTGTGAAGCCCTTGCCGATTCCATGTCCATGTTCCATTTTCCGTGTCCTGTCTTGTCTCTTCGTTTCAGGTGACAGCTTCCCCGAGCAAGAGCGCACATCACACTCTATTCCTGCCTTCCTCATCGCCAACATGAAAATTTGGGAAGACTATCAAACCTAAACCCAGGAATCTTGAAATTTGACCCCACAAACAGACCACAAAGCATGTCGGCCCGTACAACCACAGCCACAGCCACAACCACAACCACAACCACCACCACAACCACTCCTCGACCTCCTAGTACCACTCCATTTCTTCGCTCGTTGTCATCAAGGTCTTTACTGGTACCATCCAAGGACAAACCTCGTTTATACATTGTCCTTTATCCGAGGGGTGGCTCTTCACCAACCTCATCATTTCGCAATAACCTGAATTGTGATGCCTATCACTGGTCCATAGTAGTAGGCCCACAGACTTCCGGCCGAAAGGACCAGGGGACGCGCTATCATGTTGCTCATTTAGACCAGGAGTCTGAAAAGTATATCTATGAGGACCAGGACATCGCATCTAATCCCTCGCTGCAAAACGGCCTGATCCGTGTGACGGTTGCCAAGGTTACAGACGAACCACGATTGCAATCCATCATCCGAGCAATTCAGATCCGAGAAGACGATACCGCTTTCAACTGTCTGACTTGGGTGCGCGAAGTCTTCCTCAAACTTCACCAAGATGGTAAGTGCCTTAAAACTTATCTGACTGCCGAAGACTGGAACGCCGTGGAGGCATGCGCCAGGAAATATTGCAAGCGCAAAAGAGACATTGGCCGCTGGCAAGAGGACAGGGTTCCTCGAGGCCTGTGGAACATGGAGAAAATCAGCACATTCAATTTCTGGGAGAATCGAGAGACCACGGCCTGAAACCTCTCCTGAGTACGGAGTCCATCTGCAGATGGCCATTTAGGTATCTGTGTGTAGGGAGGATCATCCAGGCTGGCAATGCTCGCAGATGTCCCCATTGGCCAGCAGTTAGAGATTTGTCTGTCATCTGACTTGAGAAGCATGCGCCAGATCTGAGTTTGTTCCCCGGACATTGCGCATGCAAGGCTGGCTACAAGCATCGTTTCATCAATCGACGTTTCAAGATTCGCATTCTGCGACGCATCGGATCGCCATCGGGTTTCCAGACCCAAGACCAATACAATACAAATACTTTGGAATTGCGCAGTGGCATGACACAAACATCGGACGCGAATCCATTTTGCAATGGTTTCCATGCAATTCGCAAAGCAAAGCACCAACCAATCTGCTGATCTACTGTGCGCCCGCGAGGTTCAGTCAATTGAGAGCAGCCACGAAGGGAATTTGCACTGTTCGGCACCACCAGTGATGTCATCATGGGAGTATGCACCTCAAAGGACGGGACTTTGATGCCCAACAGATTTCATTTCGGTGATGTCGTCCTGAAGTGATGATGGCAGTCGACCACGTACAGAGACAAGATGGGATTTGGGAGAACGGACAATGTTATATATATGTATTATATACACCCCGATCTGACCTTCATCCATTACCATGTTCGTTCAGAAAAGGGAGCGCGGCCGCTTGAATCGCACACGTGACGGAGCATCGGCGACACCCGGCCGAGCACGGGAGAGCTATAATTGCCCCAGCCGTTCCTCCTCATCCGTTTCGGCCAAGCCTGGGGGGTTCTGGCAAGAGGTCAAAATGGCTGAAGGATCACTTACTGTACATAACTTAAATAAGTCCCCGTCGAACCCATGGACGATCACCTCTGTTTTGTTTATCACAGTTAAGGCTGCATGGTAAAGCCCACACCACCTCCTGTTCATCCGCAGATCCCGCCCTCCAACGGATCAGCTAGCTCATCAGCCGGATTTTGGTAAAATGTGGCAAACCAGCGACTCAGCTCGATATTGACCTTACTTCACGATCCGTCAGAAGCAAGATCTTTCCTTTCCTGCCTATCGATCAACGACAAGTCTGTTCTCTCCTGCATGCAGCAGCAATTCTCCTATATGTATCTCTGCCGAGTTCTTCATACGCGACCTGCGGTTGGAGAAAGATTCAAAATGAGATTCTCTCACCTCTCACAAGACATAATGTCGACAAATCGGAAGATTGGACACGCAAATAAGAGCCTCAATGTGATGCCCCAATTGAAAATAATGCTCCCGGTCGATGGAGACGCTAGCGCTACAGTCTGCATCTAAAAGTCGTAAACCATTTGTTCTCCAGAAGGCTACACTTACTTAAAGCTATAAGTTTCAGGAGGCTTAGAACTCGGTTAGCACCACTGCTAACTTGAGTGGGTTACTTAATGGTGCAATAAGATGGGACCGCGTGGCTCCCTCAGCTGGTAGATTAGGCTAGGCTACCTCGATGAGGCTGAATCCCATGCCCAGCCTCTCTCGACACAGCCCGATCAGTCCACAGCTTTCATCTATAAACCCTCCACTCTTGTACGAGGTGGGTGACGAATCTATTCTCGATCCACGCAACTCACTCTGAGCGCCATGGTAATGGACCCTTTAAGCACGCTGGCCGTGGCGTGCAATGTGCTACAACTTGTGGATCGGGGTTACAAAGTCCTATCAACCGCTACCGATATTTACAAATCTTCAAAGGGAGCTTGTACCGAACATGTAGAACTGCAAAGTCTTTCAGAAAAATTACATGCACTCAATGAAGATCTCGCGTCATCTATTCCTCTTACCTCCGGGACTCCAGTCTCGTCACAATCCAGGCTATGGCAGGCCAATCAAGATTGCCTCCGCATCTCCAGTGAATTCATTAGCCTGTTAGATAGCTTCAAGATGAAAGGCTCCAGCAGTTTCATTCATAGCGTTCGAAAAGCGTTCAGGATTCAATTATCCAAAGGCCAAATCGACAGTGCGGAGAGAACACTGACTCAAGCGAGGAGCAACCTCACAGTTTCAATGTTGATGTATATGCAGTAGGTGCCCATGGGATCTTCTATTCTAAGAGGCTTATGAGTGACAATAATCTAGTTCTCAGCAAGATACATCAGCTGGTTTGAATAGTTTACTCAGAGCGTGTAGCACGTCGGAAAGCGCGTGCTTAAAGATGGTATCGACGGTTTCAGAAGACATAAGATCTGAGATTGAGGATCTTTCGACGCGATTGAAAGACGTCAAACTGGATGAAGATCGACAAACCAAACTGTTGACTTCTTTTCATGAGAGTCATAGAGATATTTTGTTGAATCTCTCTCAGAAATTGGATCAAATCGTATCTGAACCGCAGCTGAAATATGACGGAAAACTCGAAAGGGCACAGCAAATAATCTTAGACAGCTTCACATTTCCTGGAATTCGGTCCAGATATGATCAAGTTCAGGATGCTGAGTACGAAACTTTCGACTGGATCCTAAACCCCCCTTCGGACCGAGATCTTCCATATGACAATTTTGTTCAGTGGCTGAATGATCAAAGACCAAAGAGCTATACTTATTGGGTTCGGGGTAAGCCAGGGTCAGGAAAGTCAACATTGATGCGTTACTTGAGCGAGAATATCAGCCCATATCATTTACACCAATGGTCAAAAGGTCAGCAAGTCCTTCGAGCAGAATTCTTTCTGTGGAATCCTGGACAAGGCGAAGAAAAGTCCTTTCGAGGATTACTCTACTCCCTACTGTACCAGTTGCTTGAAAACAGTCGACATCTCATTCAATGGGTAGTCCCGCAAGAAAAATGGAAAGCCGCACAAACCTCAGGATCTCTATCAATACCCTGGACCTCGAGAGAGCTCATCGGGACTTTCCATGAATTTCTATTAGTATGTCTTTCAAACTCCAAACTGCTGCTATTCATTGATGGGCTCGATGAACTCGACGGGAATGAGGACAAGTCAAAAGAAATGCTTGATTTTCTTTCTTCCATCACGACAAGTGGGAAAGTCAAAATTTGCTTATCAAGTCGACCTTGGAATGTATTTCAGGAAGCATTTGAAGACGTTCCGCAATTAAAGCTTCAAGATCTAACCCACCAGGATATCAAGAAATATGTATTTGGCAGAATGCGTTCTAACGCACACTTTCAACGCATCTGCAAGTATGGCACCACTAATGCAGAAAAGCTTCTTCTTGGTATTGCAGATAAAGCTGAGGGTGTTTTCTTGTGGGTGAAGTTAGTTGTTACAGAGATCTTGCGAGGAGCCAGAGATGGCGAGAGCATCCGTACTTTACAAAAGAAGCTCGACGGAATTCCGATTGACTTGGACTTATACTTCCGTCGCATTATCGAGTCGATTGATCCCGTGTACCGCGAAGAGGCATCGGTCTTGCTTCAGATCGTACTCCACAAAGAGGGACTAAATGGCTCAGTATGGACTGCTCTGGATCTATCATTCGCCGAGGAAGGAGACTCCAGGTTTGGGTTGCAACCTCACTATGACTTCTACGCCTTAGATCTTGCAGACACTGAGGCTCTGGAATTCAAGTTCGACCAAATGAGGAGACGAATCAACAGCCGGTGTCTAGGTCTTCTCGAGTGCCACAATAATCGGGATGAGCTCATGACCAGCCTTTATGGACCACAAGTTCAATTCTTGCACCGATCATTCTACGACTTCCTTAAAACAACAACCTCGCAGAATCTCCTTCATCAGTATACTGATGGGAAATTCGACACTGCTTCATATCACAGATGTGTGCTGCTAGCGGAAGCTTTTGCCTTCATAAACCTTGGTATGGATGATCAGACAGACAGCCTGATGGAAAGTCGTTCCAAAATTCCGCTTCAATTGCTGCCGTTGGACGCATTGTGTGAGATTATCGGCAATGAGGTCCACGAAGAGTCAGAAATGAACCGATTTGTCGCTGCCATCGAAGCCCTAATACCAATAATACAGACACGTCGCAAGAAATTATCCGTAAAAACCAAACTCCCACTTCATCTCCTGGTGGAAAACATTCTCGAATGGGACATGGACCGACCTCCGATTCTAATGTTAGCGATACAATATCATTGGAAAGCATACTTGAGTGGTCGGTTAACTGCAGATATTGTCCAGAGACGGGGGGGAAGACCAGTGCTTGATTATGCTCTATCCTCAATGGGCCGGGGCCATAGGTACGAACCCTGGACAGTAAACTCTCTCCTGGAACTTGGTGCCGACCTAAATGAAGAGTATTTGGGGACATCAGTATTTTTCCGAGCAGTGCAATCTCTCCACAAAAGCTTGAGCCCGTCAGACACCAGGATCTTGGATTATATGGACCGTTTCATCTCCAAAGGTGCGTCTGAACTTGTGTCGGCAAGCTGGACTTTTCAAGATGACACTGGAGATGTTGGGGTCGGCCCATTTATGTACAATGCCGACTACCGCCGACCATCTACCTTCATAAATGGACAAGCAAATTACCAGCTACTCGAAGTCTTGCAAGCAAGACACATTTTTGACCTCGCCACAGCAAGACAAATTGAGGTGATGTTGAGAAAAAGGCATTCGATGATGGAACGTGCTGAGTCTGATTCACGGGTTGAAGGGATTAAGAGAGAGCGGGGGATTGCTGGAGAAAAGGACACCGATGACGACGTTCCTCGCAAAATCAAAAGGGGTAAGTCATCTCGAGGGCGGAGAAGAAAGGCCAAATGATCCAAGCCTAATTGTGGTGGGAGGATAACTCCTTGGCAATGATAGACAAGTGGCAGAGGGATAGTTTTGTCGCTTGAAGAAGACGTGGAAATTTACCAATCTCTCTCAGGAAATACCGGCTTTCCTCAGGTGCATTAGTTTTTATCACTGCACTTTAACGTATTCGACCACCTCATCAATGCACTTTTCCACTGAATGCACACTTTTGGCCCACACGTACATTCCAACTTCTGGCGAGTCGCCATAGCGAGGCCGGGCGACGAGCGGAAGCACTACAACTGGCGAAGGAGGTAGTGAAACTTCGGAGGAGCAAGCTCGGGGAGGGTCATCCTGCCACGTTAGGGTAGATGCACTCTTTGGCAATTCGGTACCTTTTGGCTCAATGGCATGGTGGGCATGCGTAAGTTGACCGTCTCTCGGATTACCGCGGAATAGTTTGCTGGTCAAAGTCATACAGAAGCGTTTAGCAGCCAGTCGTCCAAATAGGTTTGTCATTGTTCGTTCCCACCATTCTTTGGAGCTTGTCGCTAGGCTTGGAGTTGGTTCCATGGATCAGCTTGGACTTCGATTGGAAGCCCGCGCTGACGGATCGCTCCGCTCGCGATTTCAAGAGAGCGTCGCGGGAGCCACCGCAGAGTACGGGGAAGCGCGCCCGAGCACCGGGCGAGCCGTAGGGGGCTTGTCTGATCCCGTTGTGAGAAGCCGGTTCGGGCTTAGGGGGGCCCCTTTGGGCCTCGACTATGAAGCTATTTTCCGCACCCTCCCGCTCGGCTATACTTGACACATTTATGAAGGCCCCTTTCCGGGCCAGGCTGTTGCCTGCTGAGCCTGTTCACGAGTATCGAGGTAGTACACACGAAAAACCCGTCGCCCTAAGCTGCTCGCCGCTATGCTAACCCTCCGCTCACCCTCTGCTCAGGGAGCAGAGGGTGAGCTTCCTGAGCGATTCCCTGAGCGCTCCCTGCGCCTCGCCGTGCCTCCGGATCTAAAACACAAACGTTTGTTGACCTTAGACGATGGGATCCTAATTCGGCTCTTCCTTCAATCTGCCCGGATTACTTAGTCGGGCTCCCTCTCTATGATACTCTCTTATACGGCAACAATAGGTTTATTCAGCGTTCTCCTAGATCTGCTAATCACGATAGCATTGGAACCAAAAAGGAGGCCGGAGACGTAGGCGGAGAAGGTGCGGCGTAGATGAAGAGGGTGCCGGCGCTGGAGGATGGACACTTACGGAGGAATGGGGTTAGGTCTTATTTGTGTCCGACTCTTGAGAGACGAGGGGCGCATCTATGGCGTCTACTATGTCGTTATATGGTGCAATAACTTAGAGTCCCACCTCTTCAACTCGTCCTAGTGCAAAAATCGTAGCTTGCTCACATTCTATAGTAAGGGTAGTATGACTAATGCGCATAGTCAGGTCAACAAAACCTTTTTGTTATTTTGAAAAGCTTCGCTTAACCACGTATGTCATTTAGTTATGCTACTACTTAGCGCCCATGCCGGCTAACACGTGATATCATATGCACTGTGCTCCGACCGGTAGACACTAGATCTCTTGGCATCTAGAGGAAAAGGCTTCTACCTAGCAAAGTCCTCACGAGCCTCCCTCGAGATCGTAATTTAGTTTCGCCATGCTGAGTAGGCTTATTCTTGTTTCAATCTTCCTAGGGCCTGTGTAAGTTGCCAACTTACATTCCCAACTCTCGCATGGTCTGCTAATAGACAGAAAGAATGGGAATCTTCGACCTCGGATTTTTCCCTTCGTTGTTCCGCTCCCAGAAAGGAACTATACTTCCTAACGACGAACGTGTCAATATCCCCTCTTGCCCACTCCAAACTTTCAACGATATGGAAAGACACAACCCTCGCAATGGATCAATAGTATTTGGTTACCCGTCCACCGGTGGTATTCTAGTCCGCTCAGCTGGACCCGTCGAGCTGTTACATCTCGGACTTGACCGGTTCAAGGACGCAAAGCGATCGCCGAACGCCGAGGAGGAGGACGAGTTTTGCAAGCGGCTAGGGCGAATTGGGCCTCAGTGGTGGGCAACTAAGGCTGAGCTGATGGACGCAGAGCTTGGGGAGGGTAGTGATGCTGCCAAAAAGAAATTGGCGAAGAGAGTCGAAACGGGCTGGCCGAGCTCGAGACAGGGAGTTTGGGTTCTTGAGTACGACCTGGAGGATCGAGCTCATTACGAACTAAGAACGGGAGCGTCACTGCTCAACAATTGCCTTAATATGGATGAGAGGTGTAAGATCATCGAAGATCTCGGAGGAACTTTCTATTCTAACCCAGATGACTGTGAGGCTCTGTGCCCACTGCCCCACGAGGAGAGAACTTTGGGATAAGACACTCGTCACATTATTGAGCTTTTGACTACTGATACAACCTACGCTGTTTCACGCGGCCTTCTGATAGTCGTCAAGAATGCCAGGAATTCCTAATATAGGGGTTTTGCGGGTATAGCTAGGCCAGAGTCGCTGTTGAGTGGCAACGATGTTGTACGACCGTCTTCCTGCATGCCTTTGCCCCCCCCCCACCACCACACACACGGTTGCAAGGATCCCGACGAGGCTTTACAGTATTGCAACATCAACGTCGTCACGCAGGACGTAGACTAAGGCCTATGACGACGAGGTCGCCAGAGCACTCCTAGTCATAGGTGCTTAATATCTAACACTGGGACCTCCTAGTAACCTGCAGCCAATATTGGCTAAATGGGCGTAAAGGCATCAATCAGGAATAAGTGGCACGGCGAAATAGGTATCTACCAGCTCGATTAATAATCACAAATTAAGATAGAATGGGAAGTCGAGGAGTTAGCTCGATCGGCCAGATGGCAGGTGCAATAACATAGTGTGTACATGTGACTTTATTGAGTCATGGAACTCAAACCCCATATTATACCTAACTCAGGAAGCTTCGGCTCGCTCCTTGGAGACTTTATCGTCGCACTCGTTAGTTAGCCTTCCTTCATACTAGAATTCATATTACATTGAGATCGCTCCGGTGGCTCCGTGACACCGTAATATAGGGGAGGTTTTCCGGTCGCACCTATCCATTGATACTTGCTTGTTCGTAATCAAATCCCTTTGAAGCCAATCTAGCGGCACTAGTTTCATTTGTCGCCCACCACGAGCAGACAGAGTACCTATCATTGGCCGTGACTTGGGCCGGCGTCTAGGTTAGGCGCATTCGAACTTTAAGCACTATTGAATATCAGACCTACTTTGTGGCCGTAGCCGCTGCAGCTTTCTCCTAGACGCTCGTCTAGAGGTGATACACTACCTTCTCCAATTTTTATAACCAGCTTATAATACCCAGAGGTCTACATTTAAAGGGAGAGAGTAGCAGTGAGTGATAAAATATACTGTTTAGACTATTTCGGTGTAGATAAGAGACTACCGCTCTAACGGCAGAGAACTAACGAGAGGACGTTCTTCCATATTACATACGAACTAAGCAATATGTCACGGGTCGTCTCGACTAGGGTTAAGGCACGGGTCCGAAGTGGATATTGTCTCGATAGGCAGAGCAGTAGGGAAGCTTAGATAGAGGGCTGATAGCGAAGCGTTAATAGCACAATACGTTCTGTTAACGAAGTTAACTACGGAGTCAGATTAAGCGCCACTCTTCGGAGTGACCTTGGTATCGACCTAGCTGATAACACAATAGCCCTTTGTCAAACTCCTCGTTATATTCTAGATTCACTATATCATGGCCTATATGAGACAACTCATTTCAAAATTAGGTTTAGGTAGAAGTCGGCGGCACTCCTACTTTGATTACATGGTCGATGCTGGAGCTTACTTCGAAATCTTGGTATGTCTAAGGGATTCCGCCTGGCCATCTATACTAGGTCATGCCTCAGAGAGCTTGGTTGCTCCTAGACAGGCCAAGAGGTGTATTTTGATCCTTTTGCGTTTCATGACCCAGTTTTCTCAGACTTGCTCTTAATTTCCTCGCAAAGTCCCAAATGTGTGACCTGTTAGCCATGCGGATTTCGACTTATACTACCTTGGGGAAGACAGTCCAGCAGCCTTGCCAAAATTCTATAAAGCGGTCAACACCCCTCTTCCTAAGCCAGCAATTTCTGACTATACATCTCAAGTCTTTCCTTTCTCACTGATCTTGTTTCCACCTAAAATATGCATATACTCATCCAGGTGCTTGTCGCTTTCGCTCTGAAAGTATTGGCCCAGTACGAAGACTTGCCACCAGAGCTCGCCACCACCGCTTATCCAGACTTGAATGACACAAATCTTCGCGGTACATGGCTGTGGGGCTTTAAGTAAGAATGTTTGATCCACGATTCCAGGACGATAGCTTACTATAACGAACAGTGGATGCGACAAAGTCCAGACGGCAAATATTAAGGAAGCATACGATGATTTCAAAACCCTTTCCAACACTAAAGGCGTCCTAAGCAACATTGATTGGAACAGTGCTGCTGCCTTGGAATACCTCGGTCCCCCAGGTTTCAATAAAAACCAGCAGAAACAAATCCAGGCAGTTTTTGCAAATGCTGCAACTGTATACCCTGGTTCATTTATTAATCCGTTCAGATTATTTATTTATGTACGGTGCGACGATCCTTCAAGGAAATGTGCCGATGATAATGGTAATGATCCGTGCAATCCTCCGTAGAATCCGCCTCCCCAAACACCGAATCCAAGTCTCAATGCATATTCGCTGAATTCAGACCCGGATGACCCCAACTGGCCTATGATCAATTTTTGCAAACCATGGTTTGAGAAGAGAAGTCTTGGAAACGCGTACGCTTTTGGGAGTGGTCAAACTGGGACTGCAAAATTTGATATTACCAAATATCTTAATCGAGGTATGTCTCAAACATTGTCCCCGTGACCTGCTGACCATCTTGCAGCCGAAACCATGTTTCATGAGCTTCTCCACCTGAATAATGTCGCGGATTCTGTGGGAAACGTCCCAAATCCAGTTGTTGACGATATGACAATCACGTACGCCTTTCGCGCATCGACTGGCAGAGACGTGACCGTAGAGGAGAGAGCATATGGTGCCACCCGCTCCAAACTCCTTGCACGTTTCAAGCCAGAGATTGGCGATCTACCGACGGGCTATTATGTCCAGCGAAATGGTGGGTGCTGCATGCTGATACGTTCTTTACATATCCAAGACTAATCTTACTCTAGCTGACAATCTTGTATTCTACGCGTTGGCCAAATATACGCAGGAGAAGCTTGGGGCGTAAGCGGTCGTCAATTTCCTTACAGCAGTTGAACTTGCTGACCCTTGAAAAGATACCCTCATATGCCTGTCATCAGAGAGTTTAAGCTTACCTTACCGCCCTTCAAGAAACCGAATCCTGTCATTGAGTACAAATCGATCGACAATAAGGCTGTGTTGCTGGATGAGCTAGATATTGAACCTGTACCTGGATGCAATGACCGTTTGGATGATGCCAGCCCCACCAGCCTCACTCTGGGAACTCCATACGACGACAGCGAATACCCCTCAGACTATCGAATTCAGATGGCTCAATGGGTGGGCGCCTTGTCAGATACTCCAGCCCTAGGCCAACCATTCCCTCCCAGATGTCAGAGTGATGTCTTGACCGACGCTATTTATAGCACTAGTCTTGCTGAGGCTGCCGACAAAGTCCAACAATACTGCAGCAACAAGGCCTGGTGGGAAGTGAATATTGTTCCAGCAGTTACCTTCGGTGATGGTTCTGGCCACAAGGCGCTTGGTGTCAGCGACAACTTTACAGTCAACGGCTCAGCTGACAAGCTTTGCCTTGATGTTTCTTGGAAGCCGGGATGTATGGGAAGTTCGCTATTCACAGTCGGAGCAACAGATGGCGACAAAAAGTCCTATTGCACTACGAGATTTCTGGCAGCTTTAAATGGGGTGAGTCTGAAAACCCAAAAACCCTCACCATAGGAAGGAAGACCTCTAAGCTAAGAATGGAACCCCTGTTGCAGTGTGATACATCCTCTACTGATAAAAAGTACGGCGGAGGTCTCGTCGACAACTGCCTCGTCTACAGAATCGGCGCCGTAGCAGCAGACGCCGACGTGCCATTCACAGTCTTCACAGGTGGGCCAGAATTTTCCTGCACTGATGGGTATGTACCTAAAAGCCTTTCTATTCTATTGCATCTCTTTGCCCTCTGGAAGTGACATGTTAACCGCTCCTTCACACAGGGACGCATCCTTCGACCCCAGCTTCTCAAACGCATGCAGCTGTTTCTACACCGGTGAGCCTGAGACCGTGGCCCTCTTTGACAAGCCTGACGGAGGATGTCCGACTCTCACGAAACCTCCCGCGATGACTTTCCAGGAGGTGCAAGGAGCTACTGCCACTAGTGCTGCGAAGCGGGATTACCTTGGTGAATCCAGCAGGACTCATCCTAGAGACGTGACCAGAAGGGTGTGAAGGGCCGGCGAAAAGGAAAGATGATATTCTGACACCAAAGCTAGTAAAGACTCGAGATGTCAATGATCGCAGATTCTCATGCCTAGAGCTTCCTACAAACCACCGCCATATGATTGGAGACTGCATAGAAACTTAGTCCGAACCTTTCTGCTCTATGTTGTTCTTATTTGCTTGCGGCTATTGAGGATGTGAAAGCCTTAGGCAGAGAATGGCTCGGCCAAGTATATTAACTTGTATGTGATTGTGGTGGCAATGACTTTGCCGACATCTTCTTTTGTTAAAAATTTATGCTACAACACGATCTAAACCATTGAATAGAGGTACCATTTATCACGGCGCTCAACAGATCACTGTTAACGGTAAAAATTATAATATGAATACTAGAACGTTGAAGGTCTAAGTATAATAGTAGCGACGGCGCGAAGATAACCACGTGTGACGCGGTAAGGCGCTAAGCCTAATCGGGACAGCCGTACACTATATAGTTACGTGTCTTCCGTGGCTACCTTCTGTGGACCGTGACACCCACAGAGCCATTTAGGTCACGTGATCCGTGATAGCCTTGCTAACGAGGCTGCTTTGATTTCTTCGCTATACCTTCCCTTTATAGCTCCTAGGGGTGGCCGTATGAAGGTCAGTTCGTAACAGGAAGGAAGAATAGTAAAGGGAAAAGAGGAAGAGGAGTTATTATCCTATAAAACTAGGGGATTTAGTTAATCCCGTCTAGTAACGTAGTAGGGTATTCTCTAGTGCATTCTCTTAGGGATTTTATCTCTTAATTATCAGGGCCGAAACGGGCCATTATATATATATTCGAGTAAAGTTACTATAAGGCTAGATATATATAACGTTAGTACCTATAAGACTAAAGCCCGAATAGGAGCCTCACTAGCACGTGAGGGAGCACGGTAGGAGCGGGTCAGAGTCGTAAAGGAGCAGAAGGGAGCGAGTCGACTAAATAGTCGTTAGCGGGAGAGTAAAGCGGCGGGTGATAAGTCAGCGAAAAAGTCGCGGGCGACGACTGTTCGGGGAAAATATATATATATATATATATGTAAACCCCGAGCTGTCGTGTTCGAAGGCCTTTGTGCTGCCTATTCGACCGCTGCTTTCCTCGCGCGCTAATGACTACGTGGTCGAGTTGCTCCATTGTCCGCTCTCTTCTACTCCCTCCCTTCTGCTCCCTCCCTGCTCTAGCCCGCTGCTGTTGTGCTCCCTCACGTGCCACGTAAGGCTCCCTGTTCGTGCTCCAGTCTCATCGGCACCAACCTTAACACATATCTAGCCTCGTGGTAATTTTAACCGATTATATCTATGATGACCCGTTTCGGCCCTAGGAAAAGGTGGGATCCCTAAGAGGGATACCCTCGTACGCTTTCGGACGGGGCCAACTGAATCCCTTCGTTCTATAACTATGGCCTGTAGAATAGGACAATGTATTCTCTCCCTTAGTTTCCTTCCCTCTTCTTGTCTTTACCTTTCCTCGGGGCTGTCACCTTTCCTCGACTTTCTGGTAGCCTAACTGCCCCGCTAGCTATCTCCCAATGCCCGAAGAGAAAGAGAACCGCGGCCGAAGTCTTCAACAAGGCGGAGGAGAACGGCTGACAACTCATTACGAACGCCGATATGTATGAGGCGTATCCTAGTACTGACTACAAAAGGTCTTATTCAGCGTGGCGCCCGCTGCTATTAGTTTTGCAGTTGGCTTTCGAACTGCGGTCAACACGTTTTTGCTTTCATTCTACGTTCTTTTTACGTGCCTTTCCGCCTGCTCCCAATATTATTCACGGGAAGTGCTGACCATCTCAGGTGGTTTAACTCGACTGGCGCACGCCTCAATGTCACGATAGCTATGCTGCCCAAAGACGAGAGGGGCTGACCAAGGTACTTGGAAGATGAGCAGATACTGGTCCTCTCTCGCGATCGCTAACAAGTCTCCAGTTACTCCCATCCCTTTTGCCTGTCTGACTAGTTCCAGCATGCACGCAACGTTGACTTGGATGGGCCTGATTCATGGCTCAATACATTTGGGTACGTTATTCGCGGGAACTGCCTTGGAATTCCACCCAGTTTCTGCCATGTGGTTCATGGTGGGCGGTCTGCAGATAAGCAAAACTCTCCACGCGCCAAAGCCCTGATACCACCAGGAGGCCTGATCTTGGAAAGGTGATAGAACATGCGGAAACAGCTAGTAAGAGTCACAAGGAGCGGGGATTGCTGATATGCAATGATAGTCTTCGACAGAAAGATCCGCCCATAAGTCCTCTTTAGTGACCTGATGATATACGGAGCAACTGTGGTCCACTCACACCTTGTTTTGCTCGTCCCATGCTACAGAATAAGCTTATCCACCATGTTCTTGAACTCCGTGTTCGCAAGCTGGATTGTATGCACCGTCAGTCTTGTTCGTCTGCTGCTCCAGTGTTGTAAGTCAAGGCTACAGCACGAACAGTGCAACAAGTCCGTCCTTGGAAGACAACACCTTTCTCTTTCAGAGTGTAGCTGCTCAAAGAACACTCCATAAACCTCTCGAACCCTAGGCCCAAAATCTTACCAATATATGCTTGAACTCCTCTGATGACATGAGAGAATCTTGCATTTGAAGGAGCGTTGGCTTGCGCCGAGCTACACAAACACCTGGCGAGGTTCTAACCGCACTTCCATGTCAGAAGACGGTGCTTAGAGCTCTTGGCCCATATTGAACACAGCCGACGCTGTCAACACCGTGTCGTCTTCAAATCTGCACCCGATGATCTCCGTTCCCACTGGCATTTTCTCTCCTTCATCATTTGCCAAGTAGCCACAAGGAACACTCATCTCTGGGTGGCCCCTGACATTAAAGGGGCACGTGTTGCTCGCCAACTGCGAGCATGATCTTCTCCACACTCGACGCCGGCCCAGGGTGTCTCATGGCCACTGTTGGCGGGACACGACGTAATCAAGACGTCGACTTGGCCCAGAGCCTTGTTGTAGGCGGCCCGGAGTTCCATAACCTTGCAACGTGCTTTGGCCACCATTCCAGAAGGATATTGCTCCGCAAGATATGCTGCGTTGAATATCATGTCGGTGGCCGCGGGATTGCTGGACGATATCAAGTCGAACATCTCCTGATCGTTGGGCGGGGGCGCCGAGAGATACCGTGGTGGCAGAGTTCTCACAGCTTCACCCTTCATGCCGTAGGCAACCAAGGATTTTTCTCGTAGCCGCCAAATGGCTGTCCCTCACGCGTGTAGTGGGACGTATATGTCCGACACAGTGGAGCCTACTGTCGTGAACGACGACAATGCTGCCCTAGATACTACATCACCCACACGAGGATCCAGGCTGGGGATCTTGAAGCCTTCTTGGAGTAGCCCAACTTGTATCGGCGACCCAACCTTTTCGCCGTCCGATAACACTCTCTGAACACAGTTACGGAGCAGTTCGGTGTTATCCTTTGCCTGCCCCAAGAGCGGCGTCTCAGGTGTCATCCGCGCATCCAGACCGTCGTAGCCCGCGATGTGGCACCCAAGAGAAGGCCAATGTCTTCTACTAGCTTTGGCCAGCGACAAATGCGGTGTTGGAAGGGGAAGGGGCGTCGGCGGGCATCATTGTGACGCAAGGCCATAAAGACGTCTTAGCTCTGAGAAGGTCCCAGATTCCGGGTCACCTTGGTGCTTGGATCAATTTCGACCCTCCAGAGTCACCGATTCACCAGGAGAGCACCATTACGTGTATACCACGTTTGTCTGTCGATGGAGTCACCGTCACCCCTGTGGATGAGGGTGATTTACGAAAGAACCTTGTTGAATTCAAGAGCCAGAAGCTGTCGGTCATCACTGTTAGCCTGGTCAACTCCTATTCAAACAAAAGTCATGAGAAGGAGGTCGCTCGGATCGTCCAAGAGGAGCTGGGAACCGAGGTTGAAGTAGTCTATTCATCCAACGCGTCACACCCGCGGCGAATGCGGTGGTCAAGCTGGCGGTTAAGAGTTACCTTGCGGGCTTACAGAAGCTGCTCGCCGAAGACACCTCTACAGTACGGATTTTGAAGAGCGATGGTGGCATGATAAGTCTAGGGATGGCCGGTGAGCTTCCTTGAATCTTCTGAAATAAGTTGTCCTTCCCATTCGGAGCTACCTTCGTCGGTCTAGCATGCGCCTTGACGTCTTATATAGGTCGGAGCCTGCTGGTGGAGTCCAAGGGGTGGTTGATGTGATTGCCAACCAAACTCCATATAAGAATCCCTTCACGCTGGATATGGGCGGCGCTTCGACTGACTGTGCTTCAATCTCGAATAGCTCTGCAAGCGTCAGACAAGAACACCTAGTTGGCAACTTGGCAGTCAAGGCTCCCTCCGTGGACGTCCGCACAGTGGGGACTAGGGGTGGTTCGATTGCCATTTCCAGGAACTTACCTCCACGCTCCGAGTAGGTTCGGAGAGTGCTGGTGCTACACCCGGACCTGCATGTTATGGCAAGGAAGGCACGAAAGTAACCGTCTCTGATGCAAACCTCGTCCTCGGCTACCTCCCAGCAGAGCTTCTCGCTGGAGACTTTAGCCTCGACGTGGAGGTGGCCGCGGCAGCAGTCGATGAGATTGCGGTTCAGATGGACCTTTCGATATAGTAGACTGCCGAAGGCATCATCGACCTCGTCGCCGAGACCATATACAGCGCTCTACGCGTCGTTCCCGTAGAGTTTGGCTACGACCCTGCCGATTTCGCCATAGTAGCTTTTGGCGGAGTGGGGCCCCTTCACGCAACTGCGGTAGGCAAGCTGCTCGGTGCCTGGCCTTTCATCATCCCGCTAGCTCCTGGTAGTCTGTGTGCCCAGGGAGATGCCACCACCAAACTCAGCCACGAGACTTCAGTTCAGCTTCTCACTTCCTTCATTCGAGCTTGAATTTATGCGTCTCAGAGTCATAGCCACACATTCTTCGCCCTGTCAAGGTCCCGGAGCTGGAAAGGCTTGGTTCCGGGGAGGCGAGCACTCCTCCAGGCTCGGCCGTCATGAGCCGAAGGCCCATCACCGTACAGGGAAAGACGACCCTGGCCATGTTTTGGGACCGGCGACAGTTGATGAAGAACGGGTATCGTATCCCCGGCCCAGCGACATTACCGAAATGGATTCTAATACTCTTATCCTCCCCGGGTTCGTTGGCACGATCGACGGAGTAGGGAATATCCTTATCACGCCGGCTGACGAAACTAGCCTCAGCGTCGGACTAAGACTGGCACTGGCTGAGAGCACGAAGGAGAAAATATCGAAGGCAAGTCTCATTTCGACGGTCATCGCGTCATCCTTAGCCTCCACTCGAAATGAAATGAACACTCCGATGCTGCGCTGCGCCAACGCCGAAGGACAGATACTCGTTGGTCAGTTCGGCAGCTTCACTCCCTCATTCCTTTCATTCTGGAAAAGAGAGATCAACGAAGGCGATATTTTTGTCACCAACGATGTGTGCCAGGTCGCTGGAGCCGTGACCTGTCATCGTCCTCATGCCCATTCACCATCGCGGGAAGCTTGTCGGCTGGGCCGCCAATTTTGGACGTTTGACGTGAGTAGAACCCAAACAGTGAGACATGCGGGAAGAACATGGACTAACGTATCTCAACTCGTATGGATGTGGGAGGCAAGGTTCCCGGCACCTTGACTATCGGCAGTACGATTGTCTATGATGATGGAGTCCAGATTCCCGTGGTAAAGCTAGAAACCAAAACATCAAAACCATTCATTATGTTCGTCTAGCCAAGTCTGACATCTCTCTATACCTGCTCATGTACGAGATATATTTGGGCCGATCTTTCTCCCTCATATACCAAGATTCGTAAGTGACGAAGACAAGCTCTTGGGGCCTTTTACATACAACTTAAATCCCGATCGTCAACTAGAAACCCCGGAGAATAGGTGAGGTAAGCCGCAAGGACCTTAGCTTGTCGACATTTCTCCTATTCCAGGCTGGTTGTCGCTCGGTGGCAGGGCATCTTCATCCAGACCGCCACAGTTCTGACAGTGTTGTGCGGAAGCTGAGAATGGAGCTGTCCTTTTTCTGACTTCGTGGCCTGCGATATTGACACGACGGCGACCAATGGCGATCTCGCCTTCAGTACCAATGCTCCCTATTCTCTCAGCATGCTGGGGAATGGCGGTCTGCAATTAAGCTTGTTGCCATCCTTCAGGGCACCGACTCAGGGATCTGTGCGCGGAGTTGGTCGTCTGTTTGCTTTGCTAGTTCGACGGAATCCTGGAGTAATTGGACGATAGTCTGGTCTATTGACTGTACCTCTGCTCCACTCATACAACTCATATCTTGCTTGGTAGCACCCTTCTCCCAAGTCCCATCGATCATCCATTCGGTTGGAACGTCAAAATCCACCGAATCGATTTCCTTATTCTTCAAAAAGCTACCATTGAACCATAATAGCCGGGCTTTGTGGTCGACGTGGGCAATAGTAAAGCTGCATACTCTGTCTTCTCTGTTCCCATCCTGGCCGATTTTCGCGTGCCCAGTAATGGCTGCATAATGTGGTTCCATCGAGTAAGGAGTTTCTGTGAGTTCAAAGCCAAACCACCAGCTTTCTTTGTCGCCATGGCCCTGCCTATATGTATATGCTTCACGGACATCCCTCGTGTTCTGCCATCCAATGTGAAGGAGACCAATGAAGACGTCCAGACGAGACTTGTCGGCCACCACAACCCCGGAGTCTCCTTCTTCGGCATAGCCCTCCATAAAGACTTTGGATTGCTTAATGGTATCACTGAGCGTGGTATTCTCCAATTCCTTCTCCCACCAGGCATGTCGCTCCTTAAATGCACCTTGCCAAAGCAGGCGATCGTGGAAAAGCAAAGTACCGGTTTTCAGGTAATCAGGGTGCTCTGCAAAGATGACATCTGGTGGTTGCAGAAACACATCGTCTGCATCAAGCAGCATCACCTGCTCAAAGGTACTCCCAAGGATCGCAAAGGCTTTGATTGCCCATCCTCCGTTGGGTAGATTTAATGTTTGGTCCTCGAAGACAGTTGTCACATCGAAAGTTGTTATGCCCGGCGCAATCCCAACAATGAAATCCCTGTAGGCCTTTGGCAAGTCATTTTCTCCGGCGTAGGCAATCTGTATTGGCAATTCTGACTTTAAAACGTGACGCAGACTCAGAATGAGATGGCATGCATAACGGAAGCGCTTCTTGCCCGTGGTTATCACAAGCCCTTCAGAACCGCGAACAAATCTACCACGTAGCTGCTCTAGCGATTTATTGCTGTGACTGCCGGGCTCTTTGATGAAAGGTACCAGTGTTATGGCCACATTCTCAATCATCTCAGACCACTTATCCTGATCCTGCCGGGAAAGTGTCACCGTCTCCACATGATTGATCCAGTCTTTCAGAGTCTGCATTCTCTTTCCCATTTCCCCAAATCGGGAAGGGTCCAAGGGATGGGCGCGCATATACTCGGCGATCTTGGAGGCGGTGGCATATTGTGTATCGGAGGAAGGACTATCAATCGACTGCTCGGGAACGGATAACTGTGGTACATTGCCGGATCGTTTAAATGTCCACAGTGACAGGAGTAAAAGAACGACCAAGCCGGCTATAGTGAGGAAGCGATGTTTGGTGAGTGCTCCCGAATAATTGAATAACATGATAAGTGTTTCCGCATTGATCCCATTTCTAGATGAATCTGAGCAGATGGTTTCCCTATTTTTCGAGGGCGACACTCGGAAGGAGGAGAGGCTAACAGGCCCCCCACACCAATAGGAATTGTGTGACAGACGGGACGTGACGTATCTGTCATTTATTTAGGCGCCAAGAAGTCTGCTATGTATTCTAAAATAACAGCGTCGATAGTTCTCAGGATAATTAGTACCTCTTGGCGCCAAGCTAGCTAAGTTAGTTAATACTATTCCACATACGTAGTAGACTTTATTAGTACTACGTCACTAAAATTAGCATTTCTTAATACTAAGGCACCCCGATATTTAGCCACGTAGCGCACGATTAATAGACAACGAGTGTCCAGCGAATTCAAGTGTGTGGAAAGGTAAATCGAGCTATAAATATGTGTACCGCGGATCTAAAGGTTTTAGGCGTAGACATAGAAGCACCTAGGAGGGCGGTTAATACGCTTTTGTGCGAGATTCTAGTCTTTTTGAGCGATCCTAAAGGGCTTACGGACCGCTCTTCTAGTATAACTTTCTATAGAAATTATAGTAAAAGAGTTCTTATAGTATACTTAGAATATTAACTTTATAACGTAAAAGTACCACTAGGTCTAATAATTAAATTGCCCTATATCCTAAGTATATACCCTAGCTAAATTTTATAAGCTCTACGTATAAATAGTTAATAATATACCAAGATATCTATACTAAAGTACTTTACTATAGAATCTTAGCATAAAATATTCTACCTAGCGCCAAGGCGGTAGCATTTAGTGTTATGCCAAGTAATTAGCGTTATGACGTCTGTCAAATATTCCTTGTCTGTCATTTGTTGCGTTTTGTCTATCACTTTAGTAATTGACGGACAAACTCGATCCCTCCTACTGACCACAGGTTGGGCCACGTAATCCTGTCATTTCCTTTGAAACCCGCCTGCAAACGGTGGCACGAAAACAGTCCCCGACAAGCCGGCGCTAGTATCCGGGAATGGGTGCGCCTAACTTAATGAGGGGTTGTCTGTTGTAACTCCCTACCATATATGGGTAGTATAGGGTACTAGATGATGGGGTTTAGTCCATCAGATGGATGGGCTTATTGGCCAACTCAACAACCCATGTAAGCGCCCCATACAAGTTGCCGCCTTTTGTTTGCCTGGCCTGGAAATTTGTCCTCCGCCATGGTAGAAACGGAGCCACTTTGAGGTACATACCTCGTACGGAGTACGCAGTAATTAGTGGCCTTCCATTTCGATAAAGAACAGAATCAGCACGCCTCTTCCGCAACTTGGTGGTTGAAGCCCTGTGACCGCATAACTTTCAGGGGGTGCACCGGCACATGCAGAGATGTCTTCGCTAGAAAAACGGCCTTCCCATCTCAGTCGACAACGCCGCCCTTAGGCTGATGATGAGATGGAGTACGCTCAATGGCGACTCCAAGGCCCAGTGATTCATGCTGTTGTTGCGATGGATGGCCGATGGCCTAATTACCAATCTCTGAGTCTAAGCATCACTTGGCCTTCTGGAAGCACTGCTTTAGACAGAAGGGTCGCGTGACTCGCCACGTATTTTGGCCCTGGCGATGCCTGCGTCAACTCTGGAGCCCTGCTGGGTACAATGGGTCGCAGCATGGAATTGACTGCAGGGTATCCGTGCTCCATCCTGAGTACTCCGTACGGAGCACCCTTGCAGTCAAACCTCACAGCCCTCGATAAGAGTCTTTTTCTGTAACACAGTTGCAGTGGTTACTGAGCGCTAGTTAGGCGCCTCGCACTACTCAAGGTAAGTTTGATTCCATTGCCAAGAGACCTGGGTATTATTTTCGAGCCACAATATGCACGACCGACAGCTACAGATATGAATTATAGGTCAGTGGCTCAGAGTAGCCTCTTGTCGAGGTTTCATATCCTACGCGCCCTAGGGATGCCTTGCAGAGGAGAGCGGCAAAACGGGTTGGCCATGGTTGAGGAACCAGGGAATACACATGAGTTCAAATCGGCCTTGCCCTCGATCCGACATGGAGCATCCACCTGATTCCCTCGCCCTTTCGGCTTCTCTGTATCTTTCCATAACCACAAGTCGGCTTTTTAATGTACATCGACCAGAAGTTCTGACCTTGCAAGTCTCCAAGGCTCCTGTAACTTTGCTATCTCGACTGTCCAACCCATTCAAGTCCATTCAAGTGAGGATGTTACTCAGATACAGCATTCCTCTGCTCCTGTCCTTCGTTGGACTTGTTTTGACTCAAGATGAAGAGTACCCTGGCAAGATTGATTGCTACGGTTGGACGGGGCTGGCATTTCCCAACAATACACAGTGCCCCGGGTCTCACATCTGTTGCCAGACAACAGATTTCTGCGATCCGAATCGGTTTTGTAAGCAGAATAATCAATTGATTGTTCCTACTTGCTCGACCTTTCCGTGGGATAATTGTGCAAATATCTGCCAATATGGTCAGTAGCAGCTCTTGTGTTGACCTTGGCTTGGGAACATGCTAATTAATCTTCCCGAACAGATCCAGGAACCGGTTTCCTACCTCGTGCAATCGAATGCGACGACGGAAGCTTTTGCTGTGACAATGATCCACCCTGCTGTTCAGAAAATCGCGGTATAGTTCTCAATGGTCTCGGAGCGGTCGTTTCCACCCACTCTGGCACATCAACTTCATCTCAAACATCTACAACTGATACCCCCACGAACACTGGCAGTAGCCTCGCTTCCATTACCACTTCTGCCAGCACGGTTCCAAGTAGCAGTGGAACAGCAACCCCGAGCGATTCCGGAGTGACATCCTCATCTTCGAATGGCATGTCGACAGGAGCTAAGGCTGGGATAGGGGTTGCAGTGGCGGCGGTAGTCATCATCATCGCCACACTCTCCGTCCTCCTGATGCGATCTCGACGCCGTCGATCAAACCTGGAACCCCACTCATCTCAGTCATATCATCCATCCGGAGACACAGCTGTGCCAGCGAGCTCGAAATTCTACAACCAGCACTACCCTGCTAGATATTCCGATCAGCCGTCAATCCCATCTGAGATCGATGGAACCAAACTCCAGAATTTAGGCATGGTACATGAGTTGCCTGTGCAGCACAACTCAAGGATGCAATGAAAGGGGCCAAATTTTAACGATAACTTGACTTCCAGGACAGCTTTTTTGGGAAGGAATTAATACGAACTGTTCTTCATTCAATTCGCAAGGCTTTCGCAATTCGTGGCGTCTAGCTATTTTTTCTCCAGAGGTCTTTGTCCATGCGCCCAGACTCGAATTACAGGTTCAAGTGCGCGGCTATTTTCAAACTCGACGGCCAGACTTAAGTCCTCGAGTGTGAGGAGCATATCTTCATTCTAGCCTTTGACAACCTCCTGTGGACCCAGTCCCAGCGACCCTTCTTCTGAATTCTTTGAGAGATACCACTAGCTAGCCAACTCTAGCTCTGGGGCATGCCATCACACCCCTCAGGGCCCCAGGACAAGCAAGAAGCAGATCTTTCCGTAAAATCGGCAGCAGACGACCACCCAGGCCCTTTTACTTCTGCTCTTCTCACAGGCTTGTCATGAAACTCCTTTTCGAAAGTCCAGCTCATGAACTTGCCACTTTATGACAGGCCGCCTGATCAGGGTCCCCCACCTCATCTACGGCAGTGAAGGGTTCTGCTAAGCCTAGCAGCAAGCAATGGACAACTTTGTCGAGAACATCGCAACGCACAGCCGCCGCAGCAGAATCGAGGACGAGGACAAACAGCTATTGGGTGAAAATTACAGCGACAGCGTCGATGCTTTCCCTTGGCCCGTTTTCTCCTTCAAAGATGAGGACGACCCCAACGGCGTTGAAGAGGAAGACCAAGAGACCGAGTCTCGATAGTCTGCACTTGCATCATCTGCTTGTGATCCCATCTCTGCCGTTCGGCGTCCTTCTTGCCACAACACGACACAATACAGCATGTCCAAGAATCCTCTCAGAAAGTCGAATACTCAGCTAACTCCACGCCCGGCTGGGCCGCCTAAAATCCGCTGGCGTATGTGTCGTGTCCTAATGAAGAGTATCATGCGACCAAAACATGAAAACATCAATCTTATTCTTGACCTAGCTAGATTCATACAGAGTACTCGGTATATAAACCGATATGTGTAATATGTCATAGACAGGTGTCGGGTAATAGGTCCGTAAGCCTCTGAGGATCGCTCAAAAAGACAAGAAGAATCTTGCACGAAGTACGAGGTATTCTCGGACCTATCAACTATAAGCTTGTCAGGCTTAGCATTTCTGACGCTCGTATTTACGAGTACTCGGCGATTAGTCTCGTATTTCTGAGAGACATTATTAGAGGTCTATGTCTATACAATATAGGCTTATACACCTTAACCTGAATTAACCTTAAGTTAGTCAATCAGATAGAAAAACAACGATAAAATTCTATTCTTCCTTATGATAGCCTTAGCTACTTCTATTGTAGATCCCAACCTGGTCCTCTCGACAGCACTTGCTTATAACAAGGGGTTATAGCTAGGTAAATAGTGGAGGCCCCAAGGGGCCTCCCAACCCTGAACTGACCCCTGGGAAAGAAGGTCAGTGCTCAAGTGTGCTGCGTCACTCTCCTGCGTACCCTGGCGTGGCTCCCGCGACACTCTCCCGGGCTTGGCCAGGTCTCCGCGATGCTACGTCACGCGCACCAGTAAAGCGGCTTGCTCCCTTTCCTAAATGGGTTTCAAACAGTAAGGGATAAGGCGTAGTTTGGGGCATATTATATTGTTATATGTATGTCTACAGATCGCTTTGGAAAATAGCACAAGGCTGAAATGAACACAATGAAACATCCGCCAGCTCAAGCACCGCCGAAAACAAAGTCTTTCCTTGGGCGCGTACTCCGAGAAGAAAGCCGCCGGGAATGCAGAACTCGAAGCACATTCACAAAGACAAATGATCTCTCGCCCTGCCTTTTCCTCCGGGACATTAAAGCCCTTGACCAACCTAAAGGCTATACTCGATGATGATCGCATGTAAATACTTTGTAACTACCTTCCTAGGTAGGCACCACCGAGGCACCATCTCGGCCGTCCCCACAGCAAGCTCGTCTTTGTTCCATACGCCCATTAGCTCAGCCTTGTCTCACCTCAGTGAGCCTCACATGACCGCATTTTCTTCACAACTCCATCATTCTCTCCTCATCTTGCCAAAGATCCGCAGCAAAGTTGCTCTCATACAGTGATACGTATCCTCCACCCTACACCTGTCTATCTTCTGTCTCCTATCCGAATTCGACTCTCATCTGATAGCGCCATTGGAATCAATATCAACCGATCGAGCAAGAGCGCAGCGTCTGGATCCCGATGGATTGACTGCCAGTGGCAGATCTGATAGCCCGGCCTCTTAATGGGCGTATCGTAGACAGGGATCGGAGTTAGTTGTCTTATTTATCTTATCCTTGCATGTGTGAGTGCTGCTGCTCCTGCTGAAACATAATAACTACTAAACACCCAATGCAGCATCGGTGTCGATGGGCAGCGGTACATAGCAGTGGTATCAAGAGCAGGAGAAGAAGAAGAAGAAGAAGGAAAAGGAACAGTACCATCGATGATTATGATACACACGGCTAGGGTGTTCAACCTAAAACAAAGTCCTTGGTATGTTGATTGGTGATTCAGGGAAGTCTGGAAAGAAAGCAGTAGCTTTCGCTGGTTCCCATCCTTACCCGCCCTTGTGTGTGTGTGGACGCTCTATTCACAGCGAAACTCATTCCGTAAGTACGACTAAAGTGCTCATTGATCTCAGCAATCAATCGATCGACAAGAGCATGACTGCAGCCAACCTCCAGTGGTGAAAACGTGCTGAGTTGGGGCAAAAGGAGACACAGCCTGACCGAGCCCCCTTTGCGCCTAGCACGAAAAAACAACAAGCAAGACCGGTAGTTGCGGATGATTAAGCAGCAAGAACACCCTCGAAGT